ATCAACAATCCTTATATACGCCATGAATTTTTGTAAAAGCTGCAGTTGCAATACCATCCACGCGTTTCGCGATCTTCAGTTCGTGTTCGTCATCGCCAACTCAAGCGTGAATTTCTTCTGCTACGGGTTTCGCTCCAAAAAGTTTCGTTCCGCGTTTAAAGTGATTCTCAGATTAAAGAAATCTTCTGCAGATGTTGATAACACGAATTTTTCGATGAATGCGACGCAAGGAGTTACTGAAGTCACATGAAAAGGCTTGCAAACAACGTGTTCATATTATTATTAACAATTGTAAGAGTATAACATTTGACTGGGCGTATATGTCACAACAGGAAAATACAAGTTAACACAAGTTTACATTTCTAATATGTGTATGTTTTAGATAGTATTCATTAGGATGATTAAAAATCATCAATCATCTATGACCAACCGTATTTTCTATAACACAGGTTAGCCAGCGGGGGGGGGGGCAACAAGTAACAGAGAGCTTAGCCGACGTAAATGTTATTGAAGTGTTTTAAAATATTGACAATGCTGCCAATACATGTTAAAGAAAAGTATTTTTGGAAAGGAGGAATGGGCTTGTTACCAAAGATTAGATCGTTACAAACTTCTGTTTCAACGTATTTCATTTTGCCACTGGCAATAAAAATGCACACTAACTATTCACGTGACTCGAGTCATCTTTATTATTTCAACGATTCACGAAATTTAAGACAACGACCGTCAAAACATAGATGAAAAGCTACAAATAAAAATCGCCAGCAAAGGACGTGCGGACACAAAAAGAGTTTAGGCAGCTTTTTTAGAAAAATTTTCCAACATCAATGATACAATGCCAATAGAGTTGTCTGAAACTTCAGCGATCATATCCACTTTACTAATGATGCCTGGTTGCAGTTCAAACCAACCTGTTGGTTTGTCTCGTCATTATTTTTCATCGTAACAGGGAATTAAGAACAAAGTTTAACTCTTTCACGTTGAATCTTGCTTTCGCAGATTTATTAGTTGGTTGTTTGGCTGAGCCTCTAGCCATCTACGTTCATGTTGGTGAAGATACGGTCTCTGAACGTCTTTAATTATCGCTTCTGCCATCTTAAAATCATTTCATATTCCATATTTTATATCGGTCATTGCAAGTGTCTAAACAATCGCTGCACTGACCTTTCAACGATATTGGGCGATAAATTCACCGTTTTACTAACTCAGGTATTTTGACACGAAAATAAATTTCATATTCTCTTTTATTTGGACATTAGCGATTACTCTTAGCCTTTTTCACTCGTTCTTGAAAGTTTTATTTTCGTTAGTACAGTTGTATTGTTTAGGACAGGGATAGTTTGTTTTACTTGTTACAAAATACGCAAAAGTTTGGCAACGACATGAAATCATTGCTAAATCAAGCGCAGCATGTGATTACAAATTAAATTAAACACACATGATCGTTCTTTCGTTTTTCTACATTCCTGCGTGCGCAATGGCATATTTCTTTGCCTTATGCAATAATTGCGTGGGCATATACTGGGAAAGCTTTAGTCAATTCTAGACATGTGGACAGTATTTTTACTTCAGATACATGTAAAATTTGTAAATAATATGAACAACAAAGTATTCACATTTTTATAAGCTCCCAAAGAATATCTTTAGGACATACTAAACTACTCTGTTAAATTTATAAATCTCAGGCAATTATAAGTAAATAACTATATGTGTTAATAAAACTGACCCACCTCACGTCATTTTTTCCACATAATTTGATTTCGTGATATTTGAAACTGCGAACTTAAACGAAATAATTTAATGAAGTAATCAGTACTTCTTTCACTAGTAAATAGCAGAATTCAAAAGGTGCACCTTCTATTTTTATGAACATCTTTTTTTGAAAGTGCTCAAATGGTTTGTTGAATTTGCCGCCATTTTGTGTCTTTTATTCTTAATTAAAAATTTAAAATTTAAGATACTTGTGAACAGCAGTTGTACCAGGTTATTTACAGCAACTTCATGTAGCACCAATGAAACATGATGAATGTGAGAATGTCATCATATCAACCAAAGAATAAGATTCTAATCAACAGGAAAACATCGGAAAACAGTTTGGTGTAACATGTATACACAAGCTATAACATATAAACCAAAATGTACAAATTTATTTCCAATTTATCTGCTCTACATTAACTTTTTTATGATACCCAAAACCATATTCTTTCATTCGATTGACATGACAGACGTATATTTGGCCAAAGGGACCTTAAATGACAAAAGGGAAAGAGGAATTATAATAAATCATTTCGCCTAAACTATTTCCAATATTCTCTAAATCATATCACTCCATATTTTATACATAATTCATCATAATAACACACTAAATCATAAGTTTGGTAATCTTCTGTCAATTCTTCACCAATTTGAACATCCCTTGTTGTATAGTCCCATCCATCTTCCCTAGTCACAACAGAAGGATCATCAGAATGATTAACCATCATTGTATCAAACTCTTCCATATCAAACTTCATCAAACCATCCAGACAATAAATATGCTCTAACCACCATTGCCGTTGTCTGTTATTAGAAACAGCTTCAAAAAAGGCATGAGCTTGCTTCTTTGTCATAGATATATGCTCTCGATCTGTATCGATGCGCGTGCCTTTGGGGAGAAATTCTGCAGCAAACACTCCAATACCCCAGTGATATACAGCGGTCAGTGGTGAAAAAATTTTTTAGTCATGCTAGGGGCAAAATCTTAAATCTATTGTTTTTGCGACGAATGAACCTAGATAAATTTGCGTAACAGGACGAAATAAGAAGGTGGGCTACATCAATGCGTATACTAACCTTTCCTCCAGATTGGATTTGTAGAATCACACATTTGATGCAGCATTAATGAATGTTCATTTGGTTGACTTTCATGCGTCGATTTCTTTGATCGCGGTTGATTCATCATAAGACAGAGTTTCTTACATGCCCCTTTCTTTTCGAGCAAGCCAATCAAGGACTTTAAAGTCCTTTCACGGACAGCATCATATTGATTAGAACGTGCTCGTGAAGTACCGCTGGAACGACCTTGAAGAAAGAAATAAAGAAGATCCACACAGAATTTACATTTCTCACATTATCAATTTTATCTTATTTTTCCTCTAAAAATAGTTTTACTGAAATATTTTTTAAGATACCTAAAAGAAGATCAACAGTCTCAAATTTCGAACTTTTCGCGGCCATCAATAACGGTGTTCGACCTGATGGCTGAGGATCAAATCCTCGACATTTTGCATTTAACAAGGCCTGTACGATGTTGTTGCAGCCCCTGTGAGAAGCAAGAAAAAGAGCAACGGATCCTTTATTTGCAACATCAGATTCAATACGGTCTAGTCCGCGCTCGTCTGTGTTGACTGGCTGACGTCTTGGGACACCACAATCAAGCATAGCTACGATATAAATGTGAAACAACAAACCAAAGCAAAATAATGTAGTGATTATTTGATTTTAAAGCGTTGCTAGTCCTTTCCACCTTGCAAGTCTCCTTTAAAAACTGCTCGAAATAATGGTCGCCATTCTGGCCAAAAGCACACGTTTATCACTGCACTTGGAGTAAGATGATAAAATGAAAGTTTTGCATCGTCCTGCATGTCGCACTCATCTATATAGCGCAGTCTTTGAAGTTGTCTGAAATTTTTGCGAAACAAAAAGAATGAATGAATAAATCTATGCTATCAATTCTCAATTAGCAGTTTTGCATACCGAGGCAGTCCTGTTTTCTCTTCAGAAATATCTTTCAGCTCAAAAACTTTCATGTCGGCTGAAACATTCACTTTGTACTTTTCTTTCGAAAAAATTCTTAAAAATATAGTGAGATTACGGCACTTGTCGATCTTCGCAGACATGATTGATTTGAATAAGTTGCGTCTAATGACGTAAATTATTAAAAGAAAAGATGACGTCACATTGTATGAGAAATGACATTACAACAGGGGGGTGAATATTTACTAAATTCCCGAAGATCCGAACTCCGAAAGTCTAGCAAGGAAGTACTTGCGAAGGGTGGATCGTGAAGTTTATCACTTAATTTTTGGTAAAAAATGGCCAAAGCATCGTTGTCAACACAATTTAGGAAAGTAGATGTGGATGAATTGGACGAAAATCTTTTTCAGGATGAGCAGGGGGAAGATGGCACAGATAGCGGGCCAAATGAAAGCGAAGTGAACAGCTTGATTTTACAGTATCCTTTTCGTTCACCAAAAGAAACGCTTTCTTGTAGTTTTACAGTTAAATTTATGTTTGTTATGTCAGTTGAGAGAATGAATTTTCAAATTATTTTCAGTTGCAATTTTACAAAGAATATAAATAGTTAACTATAAGAATTGTTCTTACGAATAACGTACAATTATGACAAGTTGTTTTTGTGAGAAAGCCAAAGAAATTCTTAACTTGATCATAGAAAAAACAATAAAGACGCTTTAAAAGCAACACTCTGTAATCCTCCAATAGCTTCAAAGAATCAAGCTGCTAAAGTAAGTTTATAAAAATTTGCAATATAGATTTAGTACTCCCCCCCCCTTCTATCATTCCTAAAGACCACATTCTTTACTGTTTTGCTTGCTTTAGGACAAAGCATTTAATTTGGTGATGAGAGTATTGCAAGCCTTCAAATCAAGTGAAATTGATGCAGGATTGAAAGTCCTTGATAAAGAAGAAGTAGATATATTAATGCGATATATATATCGAGGTTTTGCTCAAGCGTCAGACAGTGCTAGTGCCATCCTTTTAACGTGGCATGAAAAGGTATTGACATGGAGATAAAATTGCCTTAAAACAAGATGATATACAATTTTTTTGATTTTTAAATTCTAGGTTGTGGCCATTGGAGGTATTGGTACGATTGTACGAGTTATGACTGATAGGAAATCTGTGTAATAGCTGCTGTAACCAATTCCTCAAATAGTTTTTTAGAGAATATAACAATTCACAAAACTCAACCATTTACAATTGTTTTAAATGTAAACAATCAGTATATTTGCATTGTATGGCCATTGTATTGTGAATAAATCATACAAAATACAAGTTTACATTGTAAAGCTGAAGTTATTACACAAAGTAAAACATATTCATGGAGAAAATGACTAAATAAACAGATCATTTGAAACAAAAAAATAACTGCATTTATCTCATCTTGAAATGTGTATGCACCATCACAACAAAGTAAATGTGTCAGGAGCCACCTGTCTAAACTAGTTTCTACAATATTATAAAGAAACAATTTCTTTCATGTTATGAGGTCACTCTTATCAAACTTTGTGTTGATACATTTTAACAGTTATTAATTGAAATTTGGGTGTTATGAAATGGCTGATGCAAAATAGAAAGTCAGAGAGTCAAATTCTATTCTGGGTTTACTGACAAATTACAAGTAACAGCAAGTACAATCTTATAATAAAAGAACTTTCACCCAAGATCCAATTACAAAACAACATGAATGATATAGAAGAAAAGAAATTCCAATTGATGTCAAAAATCTTCAAATAAAACATGGCATAGAAATCACAACAACCAAACATACAAGTGTTATTAAAAAGTGTATTATGCAGGGTTTTTCCCAGGAAGTATATTTAGCATGAAATATGTTGATAAAACACCAATGTGCCAAATGTACTTTTCTTATTTTACAAAAGCTTAAAACCAAACATATTTCTAAGAATATCAAATTTCCAAGTAAAATAAAAACATATCATCTTAGTTAATTACTGATGTTCAGTCAGATAATGACATGTGTTCTTTATCATTGGATCCAAATGATGTTCAACTTATCTGGCTTGCTCCACTAAAAATAAATAACAACTATTTGAAGAAGTCTGAAGTGAACACTAAAATTTCACAATACAGAAATACTTACAATACGAAGTAATATCTATTTCCTGAGGTAATTCACCAATATTCACTTCAAATCTATCTTGAACGTCATTTAATACTTTGGCATCAGTTTCATCAGAAACAAAGGTAATAGCAAGACCTTTTGTACCAAATCTTCCAGCACGAGCAACCTTTAAAATTCATTTAAAATGGATTAACTTAAAAACAAAATAAGCTGTTCATTACAAGTACAATTCACAACTTACCCTATGTAGGTATGTGTCCGAATCCTCAGGCATGTCATAATTAAAAACAATGTTAACTCGCTCAATGTCCATACCACGACCAAACAGATTTGTCGCAACCAAAATTCTTTTTTGGAAATCTTTAAACTGTTGATAACGTGACAACCTTTCCTCTTGTGCCATTCCACGATGAATACCAATGGCAGGGAAATTTTGTTCAACCAATAACTGTGAAAGTGCCATGCACCTTTGCAGGCTTTTCACAAAAATAATGACCTAAATTAAATTGTACATCAGCACAAGATGACTTGGAAATGAATTTAAGAATTCACTAGGCTCCAGACCAAAGAACTTTTCAGACCTGATTGAATTCCAATATATCAAGAAGATCAAAAAGTTTGCGGTTTTTTTCACTATCGCGAAGCTTCACGTAGTACTGTTGCAAACCATGTAGAGTCAGTTTGGTTTCATCATCAACATAAACTTCCATGGGCTAGAATGGTAGAACATTTCAGTAAAAAGTTAAACAAAAACAACTACATGAAGTATTTAAAATATTCAGAAATAAACTCCAATTATGCAAAATGCAGAATAGCAACAGGTTATTTAGAGGGGAAAATTATCCTAACATACAGATCATAAGAAAATACTGAAGCACAAACAAAATATTCGTTATAGCTACAGTACTTTCTTAATTTATGTATACAATACTCCATGTGATTCCAATCAGCAAAGGCTTTCATGGGAATCTCAGGCAACTGTGCAGCACTTTCTCCACGTCCAGAGAAACTGTGAACTTGCCAGACAGGAGACAGTATATCTTCATAACAATCACCATCTTCACATGGTTGTTCACCATCTTTAACATCCATGGCATTCACCAAACGGCAGAGTTTGGCCATTTGAAGGATAAGCAATATATAGCAACAGCTCATAGAAACATAATTTCCAATTCAGCAATTTTGGCCAACCAGATATATCATTTATCTTCAGGCAGCTCTCACAATACCAAAACCTCATAGCCACCAAGAAAACCCTCAATAAACCCATCACAAAGCATCTCAACACAAGAATACTCCACAAGAAGAAAGCTTCACACAAAAAAGCAAACCAAAGAAGAACAATGGATGATAACACCTTTCATATGAGATAATGAGCCAAAACAGTAACCAACCATTTCAACCACAGAAATAAGACATAAAGAAGCAGATTTATAGTAAAGATGAATGAAGGAACTTAGTATTGACATATTTACATCTTGCATGAACTTCTTGCAAATTGGTCGGATATCTTTTGCAAGTGTAGCACTGAACATCATCACTTGCTTCTCATGTGGAGTAGTACGAAAAATCTCTTGAACATCTCGACGCATGTCTAAAAATAAAACTGTGTAAATACATGGGAGGCATTAAAACATTTCAAGACATCTTTTTGTTACCAAGTTGTTCAAGCATCTTATCACATTCATCAAGAATAAAATGCTTTATATGTTTCATATTGAGAGATTTTTCACGAGCCAAAGCTAGGATTCTACCAGGAGTTCCAACCACAATATGAGGACAATTAGCCTTGAGGGTTTGCTGATCTTTCTTGATATTAATGCCACCAAAGAAGACACCAACTTTGAGACTGTTCATGTACTTTGAAAACCTAAGAGGGGAAATGCATCTTATCTAAATGGAGTTTTACTTATAAATAATTTCTTTGCTCTAGTTCATTTCTCAAGCCTTGTCAACATACCTTTCATATTCTTTACAAATCTGAAATGCCAACTCACGTGTATGACACAACACAATAACGCTGACCTGACCATCCACAGGTTCAATCTGTTGAAGAGTGGCGAGAACAAAAACAGCTGTCTTTCCCATACCACTTTTGCTTGGCAAACAATATCCATTCCAAGAATAGCTTGAGGAATACACTCATGCTGAACTAAGAGGTTATAAAAACAAGAAAACGCTTAATTATTGAGTTATTTTTTTATAAAAAGCAAATAAAACACTAGAAATACCTTCGCTTGGATGTTCAAAACCGCAATCGAGAATAGCTCGCAACAATTCTGGTTTTAACAGGAAATCTCGGAATCCTGAGCTATGAATGCTGACATATGCGCCTTTCACATCTTTTTTTGAATCCTTGGCACCAACAGCATTGGGGGCTTCTGCTTCTTCTTCTTCATAATCCAACAACTCAGAAACATCGCCATCTTCGTGATCAGCAGCCATTATTGAAATATGCGAATGCTGAGAAATTGTTGAAAATAGCACATGTATCCCATAAAACGACAAAAGTTGCCACTAATATTCGTCCACTAAAATATCCCCCCAAAAAGACGAAACGATGTATTCAATTAAATTAATAATTGAAGGATGGTATTTACCTTTACAAGTACGATGAATCTACTCACGAACGAAAGAAAATGGCAAAGTAAAAATGGCGAAGAAAAAGAAACTTCCCAGCATGCACATTGCGCTCAGATAGCGCGTGGAAACTCGCGTTCTCGCATGAATGACACGCATTACCAGCTTAATTGTGACCTTGTGACAGCTACGTGTAACTGGGGTCTAGGGGTATATTTATTTCTGTCTCTCAGTAATTACGTATAATACATAAATAATCCTTTGGGATGAGTACTCCAAGCTAATTTCAGTCAGCTGCGTAAGGAATTTTTTGTCTTCGCGCAGGATTGTCTTCCTGGCACATCTCCTCCAATGAGCCTTCATCTACTTCAAGTGAGATCAATTTGCACGGACGACAGAGCATTCACAGCCCATGGTGGAAAGTTCCTTTGAGGATACAGTGAATTAAGACGCTTACGAACAAATTTGGGAAATTCATCATTCATAATGCTGTCACGCATTTCTTTCATAAGTCTCATCTAGTAAGCAAAAAAAAAATTGAAAAATCTACCACAAAAAAATACACAGCCAATAAGCAGTCATGAGATGGGGGTACAGTGAGGGGTGGGGTAGGTATAACATGAAGTATGAATAGGGTAAATCATTAATGTTCACCTGATAAAATATGTTGTGTGTAGTAATAAGATGACAGCCGACTGACTCACGATTGAACAAAGAGTGAACATAAGCGCGTGTATGGTTACGACATGTTGAACATAAACAATCACTTTCAATAGGAGTGAAATCAATGCAAATTTTTGATGCTTTAATGAGAGTGGTCCATTTGCAGTTAATGCTGTTCCAAAACGCTAAGAAAATACATAAAATTGTTGCTCATGCTATCAAAACTTTGTCAAAGTGAAATGAAGATTTAGTAGACTTACTGCAGTCCTTGAGGGATAGACACAATCAAACATGTCTGCACCCAAAGCAACACAAACAATCAAATCAATTGTGTATCTACAATGAATAAAGAAGTTTGAAAGAATCTTCCTAAATTCTTCATGATTCCAGTTAATCATGCCCTTACCCAATTCCCATGCAGTATCGAGGTTTGTCCTCCGAAGATTATCTGTACACAATGAAACCGTTTTCCAAAATAATTCTTTCTCTTCTCCACCACTTAAACCTCCAATAGCATAACCTGGACAATTTCTCTTCACCATTTCTGTTCAAATATACACACAACAAAAACACAATAATCTTAATTAGATTGTAGGTAGATCATAAACACTTTTTCTGTGTCACCTCTACAGCATATTTCTCGCAATTTAAAATCAAGTCCTCCTTGAATAATTGGAAACAGATTTTGTTCAGTAGGCCTTTTGTGAGCTTTTATACAGCGATCCAACCATCTAATTGATCTATACATAGCCTCTTCTACCCTTGGACCTGTTGTTAAGCTGCTAATGACATCATCAAGTTGCATTACAATGTCCGCTCCAATTGCATTCTGGATCTCCATAGATTTTTCTGGAGTTAGTAGCATTTCTGAACTGTCATGAGGAGCTTGAAATTTCACTCCTTCCTTGTCAGTAATAAAATATGAAAACTTCAATATATGTAAAAGAAATAGGAATTTATTGAATCCCAAAGACGTAAGAAGTAAAATATGTGCCTACTTCACAGACTTCTGAGAGTTTTAACAATGATACCATTTGAAAGCCACCACTATCCTAGAGTAACACAAAGAGCCATTCAACAAAGGGCTCGGTTCTTCACAAAAAATTACATTGTTTAAAAAATTTCCCACAGTCAGCATTGCTCGTTTCCAATTCATAAAGTTATGCAGACCCCCGGCTTTCTTTAAGACATCGGTTCCCTGAAAATAATTTCGGAAATCATCATCAAAAATCTCATTTCAACTTTTACGATACAAACTTTTACTAACAGGCCTCATTCCCAAGTGATATGTATTCCCAAGAATTATGTGACAATCAATCTTTTCCAATTGATAAGAAGTCATTCCCTTCAATGTACCCTGTGTACCAACAGGCATAAATACTGGAGCGTCAACATCATAATGTGGTAGGGAAATTATAGATACTCGGGCTTTAGAACGACTACATTTTGCTAAAATTTTAAATTTCAGCGCCTTTTCTTCGGCCATGTTGAGTATTGCGCAATATCAATAATTATCCATCATTATCCATTCATTCTTGGTGAACTTCAAACATTCATTGTTATTTGTTATCCCTGAGAAATTTCTTTTTGATATTAGTCATTTATTTAAATCATGCCTGGAATAAGTAATATTAAGCAATGAAAACAGCTGATGAAAAATAGCCAAATGAGTGATCAGACAACAACACCAGATGAGTTTGATGAAAGGCTACCAATTACATTTTCAACCCAACAGAAACGTTTGGTGTGCATTGAATTTCCTGGATACATCAATAACATTTCTAAATGCTTGAATACGCTTGGTGGTGAAACACAGATCAATTCAACTTTAAAGGATCCCTTGCGACGATTAGGGATATCTTTTAGACCAAATGACCCATATTGCCACCAAGGCTTTGGCGACAAGTATCCAGTCACAGATTTACTTATGAAAGTGAAGAGAAAGACTCGTAAGATAAATGGTAAAGATGAAATAAAATACGAGTGTGAAATACTGGGAATAATTGACACTGTTATTAAGTATGTTTAACATTATATCAGCAATTGAACTTTTGTATACGTACATAGGTACATAATTTATTGACTTTAACTTTGTCTGATGTGTTTTAAATTATAGATTCAAAGGATTAATGGATTTTCAGTACCTTGCACCAGATATACCTGACTTACTGAATGATCTTTGTGGCAGTGAGATCCTTGATATATCCACTCCACTACATATTCCACCACCTGTATTTTGTAGATTAGATCATCCATTTGATTATCAATATAAATCTGACCCGGGCAGTAAAAGCAAAAAACCTGCAATAGCAAATGATCAGTGAGTAAATGACCATTTCATGGTAAAATGAGGAGACCATGTTTGATAGGTTGCTTTTTTGTTTGCATTAATATTTTAGAAGTCTTGGGGCGACACTTCGAAAACCTCGCCCTTCTATGGTGATCTCTTGCAACTTTCATGTGGTTTCTGTACCAGATCAACCAAAAGAAGGCGCTGAAGAGCTTTTGAAACGTTTTAATAATGATGGCCTGGATATAGTCGAACATATGTTCAACATCAGACCAATATGGTCAAAACGCGCAATCATTTGTCATATGGGAGAGAAGGCAAACAGAGTAAAGTATGTTTTACCTTGTGTGGCATATTATTGGATAGGAGGACCATGGAGGACATTTTGGACGAAGTTTGGCTATGATCCTAGAAAGAATGCAGCAGCAAAAATGTATGACATGTCTGTACATAGGAACGTAAATTGCAGTGCATGAACATTCGAAGTAATATCTAAACTTTATTTTTTTGTAGCTATCAAAAATTAGACTTCAGACTCCGTTCAAAGAAAGATCTTCGTAACATGAAATTATTGCCTCCAGTAACACGCGTCAGCAGTGAATTTTCATTTACAACACGGTTTCAGAAGAATATAAAAAAACCTGTGATACCTTTGGGAGTAGAGAGTTCTTCGGTAGGAGGAGAGAACGCGAGTACAAGCACTGAAAATACTACATCAGAATCAGAATTCTTGCCGTATGCTTTTTACACAGATCGTCCGCCAGTTGCTCGTCAGATGATTTATCATTTGTGTGACTTAAGATGTTCAGAAATACAGAGACTCATCTCTGCCAATGATGGAAAGGTAAATTGAAAACGTTTGTCCGTATGGATTGACTGCGGACAAAAAGAGAACAATGTTTTGTAAAATGAAAAGTGTTTAACTCTAAATAGACACGATGTTTCGTGCTTTTTATTTGATCACAAACAATACTAGTTATTTTCAATCTGATTTTCGTCTTTTAACTGCATGATGTCAGTCGTGAAAAATCTTTTCATCGATTTTAAAAATTTGTACAAATTCAAAAACCTGCCATTCATATCAGAAATGTTTAAACTAGGAGTCGAATTTGTGGATGGTTTTCCAACAAGGTGCAACCACACTAAAAAAAAGTCACCTGTAGGTTCCAAAGCCTCTGACTCTAGTGTCTTTTTATGGAAATTGTTCACTTGTCAAAAATGATAGTTTACAAGCAATAAAACAGCAATGGGTAGAGAATAGTTGTGTAATGAATAAAAGGATGAAGAATATTTAGAAACTCAGTCTTTTGCTCGTTGTTTTATGTGTATTTTTTTATCAACAGGAACGTGAATGTACTGAAAGCGATGGTTGGTTAGAACCAGGTACTCTAGAAAATATACGTAAACTTATGACAGGATACATGACGCAACTCTGCCAAAAATCGAAAGGACGCAAAGGTATCATGGATGCGTCTAGTGGTGAACCTGTTGAGGATATTGAGGAAGAAGTTGGGACGTTTTTGGATACGTTGATGGATGACGAGGATGTTGAAACCTATGACATTTTGGGTGATGAGGAATTTTAAATAAGAAATTTAAAAAACGAGTTGTCAGCATAACGAATTCAAGAGCGTTTTTTTATCTTTTTACTTTCCTTTTTACTTAAAAGTAAACTATTCACCGCGTTCCATTCCACAGAAATATACATTTCATTTGTTTCCATTGAAGAGAGAGCCATCCTATGGTGCGATGATTATACCGCTCCACCCAGGGGCGGATTACTCAGTACGCTAAATAGGCTGAAGCCTAAAGCCCCGGGCTTTCGAGAGGCCCGTTGTATCTAGACATAATTAGTTTTTTGTTTTTTCCCATTACGGTCTAGTTAAATGTTCTTAATTTAGATCGTTTATGCTGTTAAAAACCCTACAAATCTACTGCCCAAATGCACGATAATCAGAACTCATGAAGTAATGGGTTTTCCCAGTTTCGACTTTCAATTTATTCCTTACTGTTGATACTATGAGATACAAAAACAAGCTGGGAAATGCAAACGCAAAGGAGCGTAAGGAACGCAAATGTCATCAAGAGACTGAACTTAGTGGAAGGAATAGATACCAAATTTAAAACCCAACAACTTTGTCTTAGCCTACAGGCCCTGTACTTAGTAATCCGCCACTGGCTCCACCAAGGTTAACCTTGCATATTTACTAATAAAATACAAGACATTTAATCGAGAAAAAAATGTGTCATTTTTTATAGCTTAAAGCAAAATGCTGAGTGAAAATAACTGTCTCGTTTCTACATGCCGCAAACTCGTCCTAAGGATAAAACGTATACTGCATTGACATTTCAAATTTACATACTGAGACAGACAGCCGAGTGGGTGGAATATAGAACGGGACAAATTGTCAGAAAAATTTTATCGCCACGATAACAAGCTGTAAGTTTTTTCTAGAAAACTAACATTTTCGATGATTGCTGTCGATGCCTTCTCGTTGAATACAGGAGAAACACATTTTTTCGAACAAAAGACTTCGCTGTAACATCAACTCGACCGGTGAATTTAAATAAATCTTTGCCAAAGTATCATGTATGTTTAATTACATAAATACGCGTATAAAGCAGATTAAAAATTTGAAATAAAATACAGAAGGAAACAATCGATGCGAGCTGAAAATAAATCGTCCTAGATGCGTAATGGTTGAAAAAGAACAACAAATAATTGAAGCACAAAGTAATGGATTTAAAAATCAGAATCGAAGTGATCGCGTTTTACGTCAGTGAAGGTAGGACAAAATTCTATTATTCATGAAACCTTTGAAATCATTAAATGATTTAAAGATTGTCCTGAATCTAAAATAGGATAACACTGAGCTAGTTACATAATGCTTACAAACACATAACTGTACTCTCAGCACGAGTGAATTTCTGCAAGTTTGTCTTTTGGAGACCTCGTCAGGTACATGATAAAGCAATATTTGGATAAACATTTATTTTATGAGTTTTTTGCTTGCTGCGCCTGTATGAACTTGACAAGATAAACATATATTACATTTCTATTGCATTGCGTAAGACTTTAACGTCGGTGATGTCTCGATCCCATGAAAATGTACAAGTTTCGCGAAGTCATTTAATGGGAAAGAATTGAATGAATCAATTTGTTGAGGAGTTACATGAACAGTAAAGTAGCCAAATTATATAGAAACACAAAACAAAAGTTTTTGTGAAATTTATCTAAGTCATGATTCATTTATGACTTTAAGTTTCCTGTTTCCAACGAGCGAAGATTAGCGACAAGAACGCTGAGAATCTTCATGTAATGTTGTCTTCACTCAGACTGTTAGATTTCTTAAGATAACTTGAGTATTGCTGCAATAAAAAATAGTCATCGATTTGATAAAATTTACAATATAATTGCATTTTCGTTTGAGCGTTTATGTGGAAGTGTGCATTAGATAAACTGAATAACAAATAAACGAATACGATGCTGCTCCATCGAAATTAATCAAAAAGAAAAGGACTCGTCATATAAAAACATTTCAGACTTTGATAACGTAAAATATGAAATGTTTTTGCAAGAAATGCGTGATGATCCAATGAAATCGTTAGGAAATAATCGTGTTAACGTGCAGGTCGTTAGCAAAGGATCATCCTCAGGGTAAAACTTATATACCAATTCTCTACATTAGCGATTCTTACATATGGCGTGTGCAACAATTTTCATTTAAGAAAATGCTGAATTTAAGATGTAGTGTAGTATATACGATCTCGCTTGTTCGAACATGTTTTCATTTGTAATCATTAAATATGATTAATAGTCGCTTCATAAATACTTTGTTGTTAATTTGACATAATGTTTTATTCGTTGTTTTCATTGGCTCAAGAATCAACAGCTTGATTTGATGTTCACTCTCTTTTCTTCGTAATTGATTATTTTAGTGTTTTGATGATTGATTGCTCAGCGAAAGACTTACTAGCAAAAACGATGGAGGGAACTTGTATTTAACGTGTTTTAACAATATGCGCATGCGCGGTCAGGAAATGTTCTGTGTAGATGAATTGTTTATAGCAACATAGTGTGGTAACATTTCAATGAATAATTTCAAAAGAAGAATGAATGAAGTAATTGCTGGGCAAAGTCAAAAACGAAACAGAAAATGAAAAAGAATACCCTAGTTCTTTATATCGAGTTTCATTATTTTATTATCTGCGCACGACAAATCAAAATTATACTTCTCTTTCAATATATGTCTTCTTTTTCGTCTAGGTGTGCCGCAGGACTTTGATAACCAATGAGCTCGCATATGGGATATGTACATTACATTATTGCAATACATAATGCTTCTTGGTTTGTGTTACACGTCTCTGCGCATGCCTAATGAACAAGATAAAACGTTACAAGAAATGGATAGAAAAAAAGAATGCTTAATGGGGATCACCGCGAAAGAAAGAAAAAGCAGTCACTTTAGCGAACAGCTCTTAAGAAATATGTGGGAGGGAGGAAGGTTCGGAAACTTAGCTACAGATGTAACATTTATATTTCTTTATCATATTGCAAGAGGAATGTGTGTGGACACCTTTCTCATTACAACCGCAATGTTTTTCTGGGAAGTTACAGCTTTTCCTGTAAACTGTACAGCTTCACATATCGATATTAGACAAGATAAAGGTTTAAGAAAATCACGCCAAGAGGTTTCTTTGGCTAGTTACAACTTCAACAAAGGTAACTGCTTCAAAACTTGAACAGCGAAAAACTAATGCAGGCCGACTCTTTAAAATCAATTAATAATACATACATTGTATTGCAGGAGATTGCGAGGAGGACTGGTTCCAATTCAATAAGAATTGCTATAAAGTTACGACAGCAATACGGAATAATCACGACGCCAATGAACATTGTTCCTCAACGAAAGCTGAGTTAGTCAATATACACAGCAGCAGTGAAAACATGTTTATCAGGACTTTGGCTAACATACAGGGTTCCCAGAGCTATATATGGATTGCAGTATCAAAAACAACAGGCGTCTATAACAACTGGTTACCAGGAAAAGAAGGAAGAGGTGCCAGCGGTTGCGTTATGATGGATCTGAATGGCTATTGGAGGGCGTTTGACTGTGGTTATATGCTTCCATTCGTTTGTAAAAAAGGTAGTGAAATTATCGAAGGCTTTTTTTTACTTTTATGAAGAAAATACTAAATGCGAATATTTAAGAGGTAGAAATTTTATGTTGGTTGAACCAATCATAGTTTCAACAATGTTTTTCTTTTACAGCTCAAAAAGAGGATGATACAGAACTGCAACTCCTACTTGCTTTACTCATACCAATATTACTGTGTGTTTCAGTCGCTCTAACACTTATTACAGCACTACTAATCATCAGTATCTGCAGTGAAGACGAACCATTCAAAATGGCAAATCGTTATTGTAACACGAAGAAGGAAAGAAAACCCGCAAAGGGGCATATGATGGATGTTATAAGAAAAGCATCAATGAACATGAGAAACATGAAATTTAAATATAAAAGAAAATCTGTACCTGGTATTGAAATTACCAAAGTTAAAAACACCGACGGTACGTGAAAATGATAATAACATGAATGAATAAGGAATGCCAATATGTAGATTTTGAAGCATATTTTTTACTTCAGATCCCTCAGAACAGAACGGTATCATGAAAACAAAGCCGCGGTATAAACTAGGAAACAAACATAATACAAAAAATTTAAATATACCCGAGAAGGAAGAACGTTCTAGTATTAGCAGCACAAGCGAAAAGTCCAGTCTTTACGAACTTCTAGCAAGACTTAACACAATGGATTTTGAAATTGCACGGAAATATCGCTCCGATGAACGTCGTCAAAAAGACGACATACTAGTGAAAGATGATGAAAACAGACTTCAGATCGACGATGTAATTAACGAAAAGGAAGGAAGCTGTAGTGATAGTCATGAACATCTACTTGACACAAGACAATCATATGAAGAAAAGGCAACGTCAAGTAATAGTTCCTTCAGTAACATAGCATTTCATTATTCCGTTGAAAGCATTGGAGAAAAAGGTGATGGGATAACATGGGTGAAAACAGTACAACATATGAATGAAAAAAATTCATTAGAAGAAATCCAGGTTATTTTAATCTATGAAGGCGACCAGGAAATACTGAATGAAAGACTTCTTAAACAACCATGTGAGAAAACTGATATAAATTCACAGAACATGAAAAATGAAATCGTTAAAGTCGACGTACATCATAATTTAAACAGTAAAGAGACTGTTCAAGGCGATGTACATCACGATTTAAACAGTAAAGACAACGTTCAAGGCCACGTACATCATTATTTAAACAGTAATGAAACCGTTCAAGGCGATGTACATCACGATTTAAACAGTAATGAAACCGTTCAAGGCGATGTACATCAAGATTTAAACAGTAATGAAACCGTTCAAGGCGATGTACATGATGATTTAAACAGTAATGAAACCATTCAAGGCGATGTACATTATGATTTAAACAGTAATGAAACCGTTCAAGGCGATGTACATCACGATTTAAACAGTAATGAAACCGTTCAGGGCGATGTACATCACGATTTAAACAGTAATGAAACCGTTCAAGGCGATGTACATCATGATTTAAACAGTAATGAAACCGTTCAAGGCGATGTACATCACGATTTAAACAGTAATGAAACCGTTCAAGGCGATGTACATCATGATTTAAACAGTAATGAAACCGTTCAAGGCGATGTACATCACGATTTAAACAGTAATGAAACCGTTCAAGGCGATGTACATGATGATTTAAACAGTAATGAAACCGTTCAAGGCGATGTACATCATGATTTAAACAGTAATGAAACCGTTCAAGGCGATGTACATCACGATTTAAACAGTAATGAAACCGTTCAAGGCGATGTACATGATGATTTAAACAGTAATGAAACCGTTCAAGGCGATGTACATCATGATTTAAACAGTAATGAAACCGTTCAAGGCGATGTACATCACGATTTAAACAGTAATGAAACCGTTCAAGGCGATGTACATGATGATTTAAACAGTAATGAAACCGTTCAAGGCGATGTACATGATGATTTAAACAGTAATGAAACCGTTCAAGGCGATGTACATCATGATTTAAACAGTAATGAAACCGTTCAAGGCGATGTACATCACGATTTAAACAGTAATGAAACCGTTCAAGGCGATGTACATCACGATTTAAACAGTAATGAAACCGTTCAAGGCGATGTAAATCATGATTTAAACAGTAATGAAACCGTTCAAGGCGATTTACATCACGCTTTAAACAATAATAAAACATGGATGAGCGAAAATAAACATTGCAATAAGAATAGTAATGATTTAGTGAATAGAACGTCAAAACGTCAAGTGTTATGGACGTATAAAATATAAAAAATGTTCTATTTATAATTAAAATGTTCTACATTAAATGTAAATTGATGCATAGTTTATAGAGAAAGTTTAAAATTTTTTTAAAACATTCGTTTTTCTACTGCACCGTAAAAAAACTCCCGGAATTGTGCAAAATAACAATGTTCGTTTTTAAACGGAAAGTTGTAAGTGGATGCAAACTAATCTGACTATGACCAAACAATAAAACAAACATACTTCTCAATTAGAAAAATATATAATCTTATATTTTTTTTGTCATGCCTTCATAAATGCAATTTGCTTCGTTCCAATCTTAAAACTCGTCTTGTGATTAACAACTGGTTTGTCAATACCATCACCATTCCCAAAAGGATGCCGCTGAATTGATTGCTGTTTGTTCATTCCATTTTTGGATACTCTTTTACCCTTATGGTGTAAGCTTTTCCGATCAATAAAGGTTTTCTTCACTTTTCTTAAAGACTGAAATAACCCAAAGTAAGCGATCAAGCCACAGTAAATTAATTCCTTTTAAAAAACATCTCATTGATGCAGCACATATATATATATATATGGATTAGGATCAAATAATAATTCAGAAATATAATAGTAATAATAAGTTGACTAAGCCTATTGCGAGTAATGTTTTTAGCGAAACACCTTAATCATGTTTTCCATTTCTCAACTTAATTAGCATATCATATAAAACAGTATCTGTAAACCTTGGATTAGGATTCCATTGATATAAATATTAAGAACAATACTTACCTGCAGCGTAGTATTGTTGTTCATGCAAAAATCTTTCTCAGTCAGACAAGTATTTAGTTTTTGTTCATTTATAGGCGGCAACACTGTCTTCAATGAAAGATCTTTGCTACCTGAATAATATATTAGTTAGAAGTTGTTTCTAGTACAAAAAACGATCGTTTTTATCATCATTTAAAAGTATTCTACCTTTAAATTGAAGCAAATAATTCGGTATCAAAGAAGGAAAGCTGCTACTAATTGCTTTTCGTACCATCTCTGCTGCTTCGATACCATTCGCCGATTCTAAAACATCCTGAACTGATTTCTGAGGAAAAAGTCTTGAAAACAACGACATGACACTGCGATTGCTCGGTTCCAAAGACAGGCAACAAGTTACATCATATTTTGCACCTTCATAGTCCTATAAGATCACCAAAGACGTAGAGAAAAACAACATCGTTCCTTGATATCCTTTGAAAAATTGTGTAATCATTGATTCGTGTTCGTATCTACGTCACTTCCTCACCTCCAACATATAACGAGCTCGAGCCCTTGATGTATAATAAATGGCAACTTTAGGATTATAACCTATAGCTACGTCAAAATATTGATATGCATCATCATATCTCTTGTCCGTGTAACTAAGCAAGCCCAGCTCGTTGTACACGACAGAAAGACGAACTTTAATGGAGGAATCTTTTGGATCGAGTTCCAAAGCTTGATTGTAATCGTTGAGGGCAAAGTTAAACTCAAACGTTCGGAAGAAACAATCTACAAATGAATGAAATGAGTGTTGTACGAATAACGAGGAACTTACTGTACATGTAGATCGTTTATGGTACTAGAGTTCTGAGAAGGACTGTTGGCGCCAGTCTTAAATTTATTATTTAACCACAAAAAGTGACAGTCATCTTTAATTGAACTGCTTAGGATGTAGAAACTTCAGTCAACATCAACAACAACAGTCCTTCTCAGGAATCTACTAACCTGGACGATCTACATCTACAAATACATAACGATATTCCCTGGTTCAAACCATTCACTTTAACATTTTAAATCATTAACGTATCTACCTCCTCGATTGATGTAAAGTCCTTTCTCATTTTTTTCTTCTTTGATGGCTTTATTTAACAAAACTATTGCTTCGTCATAAAAACCTTTGCTTTAGAAGAATTGAAGCAGAAAATTTCATGAAGTTTAATCCTTGTATATGATAAGAGCAAAATAAGTTTATGAACTATGATGAACTAAACTTCATCCTTTATTGACTTAGCCATTTACCTGAAGCACTCCACGGCAAAGTCATTGTAACAGAGTAAAAGTTGCTTGTTAGCATCTTTATACAATTGTTTGTTCGAATCATGATCTGATTTGCTCATTGCAAGAATGTAGTCATCAATAGCAGAGTTGAAATTAGATAACTGTCGATGCACAGCTCCACTAAGAGGATACAAGCAAACACAAAATTTATTTATCATGATATAACTTTTCAACAACTTTGAATCATAACTTACCGATATATAAGATATTCAACAGATTCAGGGTTTGTTTTGACTGCATTAGAAAACTTTATTAAAGCTTCCTTTAAGTTGCCAAGGATTTGTAGCTTTACGCCCTAAAAAAAGGAACCATGTTAAAACTTGGAAGAATAATTTTGAGACGTTAAAGTGTTGAATGATTTTCACCTCCTGTTTTAATTCTTCAGCTTTGTTTTTTACATTGGCCAACATTGTTTTACCTTCATTATGTTCTGGATCAAGCTGAAGTGCTTCAATGAGATCGTAATAACAAAAGCTATCCTAGGGGAAACAAGAGCAGTTGTATTGGTATAAAGACTGACAAACATAAAAAAATAGAAAAATGTGAAACATACATTGCCAAAGCATTGATGGAGTCTTGATCTCATTATTAACAAATCACTATTATCACTTTCAATATTTAATCTTTTGTTCACAAGAGCCAAACAATCATCATATCTTTGTAATGCAGCTAAACAGGCAACACTATAAAATTGAACAAACAATATGACTTCAGACTTGGTGTGATATAAAAGAAAAACACTATTCCTTGTTAATGCCAGATCATCCGGAATATACATGATGAAAAATCAAAAACTCACCTTCGAGTGTGATAACTAAGAACATCTGGCTTCATTTCTGCAGCTCGAGAAAAACTCTTCAATGCTTCTTCATAATTTTTATAGTCAAATAGACATTGCCCTTTTATGTAATATATCAAAGCTAACTTGGAGTAATGTTCATCATTATCTGGATCGAGAATACACGCTTTTTTATAGTTTAATATGGCTGATTGAAAATCACATATTTGTAAATACTTTTCTCCTCTTTTGATGTAGTATTTACACTCCATTGGCTTTAGAGAAATTGCTTTTGTTAACGATGAGATACATTTTACATTGTCTTTTTCATTACTTCCATTGGAAAAGCTAAATAAGACAAAGGGTTTGGTCTATTTATTACAGCGAATGACAAAAACTCAAAAGCATTTGGTATTATAATGACTTACTGTTCTTCGGCACGATTCCATATAACAAAATTTGATTTGAAAGCAGATTTCCTTACGGCTTTAGTCGAATTATTTAGTTCAATAAGCTGGAATGAAGTAACAATCTTTTCCTTTCTTTCATTTAACTCTTTCTCCAGAGCCTTGACCACTTCATTTGTCGACTTTAAAACAATATCATTTATTGATGTTCGTTGGTCGTTTGTTGTTTTCGTTTCTTCATTCTGATTCATACCAAATGATTCATTTCTACATTTTTCTGACTCTGCTATAACTTCTTTATTGAATGGCAGCCCGGACATTACGGCAAAAAGGTCATGTTAACAGGAAATTTCAGTCGATTTTAAGTTCTTCTTTTGAACTAAATTCGCCATTTTCATCTATTCGTACATTTGTTATTGCCATGGCAACAACATATTTTTTAAAGTTGTTTCATAAATTTTTGCGATTACATAGATTTTTTAAGTCGATTTTTGAGGGACAGAAATGTACAGTGACAAACTCAAACCTATTCCATTAGCAAAAGAAATACATCCATTGCTCAAAACTAAGTATTGTCACTTCTGTGTTTATATTTAACATCATTACATAAATGAAAATCACCGACTATACAACATGATAAAAAATTATTTGCATTTGACCAAAATAGAAAGACAATTAAGGATTTCAAGCAAAGAAATGATTGCACAAAGTCAAATATTCATTACCAATTGTTGAAACTCCCCCCATTAAAATCTTCACAAATGATGGCAATTGTGCTAGAACATTTGACCAAAAAAACAAATTTATTTACATTTCACAAAATACCTTCACTACCGATATCTCCAGGAATCTTGAGTCCTATTTTTGAATTTCTCAAAAAAGAAATCGTCTGAAGCTTTATCATGTTGTTTACCACCCTTTTTGTAGCTATTTGTACCATCTTCACCATCAATACCCACACCAAGACTTTCAGCTGTTACTGTTGGTCCTTGTGGTTTACTTTCTTCATGCTCCTTAGCTTGCTTTTGCATTTTTTTCTTCTCTGCTTCAATTGATTTCCGTTCATCATAAACTACACAAATTAAAACTCATTATTTTCGATAGCTGACTAAAAGGATTAGCGTTCACCTTTCTTTCTTTCTCTGACAGATTTTTTTGTGCCAAAAAATATCACTTACATCGATTATGTTGCATGAAATCCACAGCAACATTGGTTGGAACCATAATAGAAGGTCCTTCACTACATTTATTGCGTTGCTTTTCAATCATTTTCATCTTGGCTTCCTCAGTAGCCTCAATGTTACGTATTTTTGCCTGGATTCCAAGATTGACTTCAGGTATTCCTGAGAGCATTTGGTTTGACAACATCTCTTCGGACTGCTTTAGTTGTGATTTGACTTTAAGTTTGTCAGGCAATTCAAATAAAGCATCCTCCTTTGACTTAACTCTGAAAACAACCAAAAGCATTCATTGAAATATGAAGATAGGAAAACACAAGATTTTCCAAGCCTATACAACATACTTCACTGCCTTTACATCTTCATCACATTCGCCACTTCTTGCTTTCATTTTATCTTCAATATATTTCAACATATGTGTATCCTCATCTCGCCTGTTCGTTTCGACAGCAAAACTACTACCAAGAGATATCGACCTTTCTTTTTCTTCACCTTCTCTATCTCGATCTCTGTCCTTAATCATGTCCATATCTAACATGCCTCCTGTTTTGCTTTTGTAAGGATCAGCGACATCAGTTTTATCTCTTTCGGGCAAACTTTCCCCTAAAGCGAGCTCAGTGGCACTCAGACCCTTCTGTCTTTTACGAAGTTTTTGAATTTCTTTACGAGTCTCCAGGCTCTCCAAACTATCATTCTCGTGGTCAATGTCTCCTTCTTCTTCTTCTATGTCTCGTCGTCTTCTGTAGTTTCGTTTGCCCATTTTTTTTATTGAAAAAGTGTCTTGAAGACAAGCTGTCTAGGATAAAAATACAAATAAATATTCTTAACATGAATCTTTTTGGATCTTGATGGATAGATTTGTTTGAAAAGTAGGAAGCTACGGGGAACTAAAAGGATCGTAGAACCGCTGTGCAATCACATGGCAATCATATATGACAGCGGTCTCCCGTGTCAAGGAGGAATACTTCAAATAATTAAAATTGTGAAGAGAATGCATTGCAAACAGAAGCAACTAACAAAATGTCAAGTGAATCCGAGGAAAATTCTGTAACCTCGGTTGAGAAAAGTTCAGAGAAACCTAATGCTCTATCATTTTTCACTGCAAATGACGACGATTCATCGTCTGAGTCAGATAACGAATGTGATAAACACGACTTTCATAAAGAACCAATAACAACTCCTGAAACTTGTATTGCTGTTGCAGACAATAAACTGCCTTCTCCAAGTACACTATTTGCAACTGTAGGAAAGCCAAAGTTTTTGGAGACTGCATTAAAACCAAATGAAGTTGACTGGAATTCGATTTCTAGGCGTTTTGAACCATTGTACGAGTACTCTAGTGTTTCTTGTCCAGCAGAATCTGTTGATTTAGAGTCAGAAGAGAGAAATGAAGCCAGTATTTCTGGGGCACCAATAAAATATAAAACTGAAATTAGTGAAACTAAAAGGCATTTGTTCTTGCATGGTAAACGATCTGCTGATCTTACAGATAATGTGGATGTACATTTAGCAGATAAAGGTGATGTTTGAAACTTGAACAGCAGTATCGTATTAAAATCTGCTGGTTATAATGAATTTTTTAATCTTTAGATGTTTTAATCAGCGAGAAGAAGAAGAAAACATCTTGAAGAAAAATTGGGAAGACATAAAGTGTCCCAATATATTAGTTTTGTCAATAAAATGAACACAATTTGGCAGTCATATCTTTTTAATAACAAAAATAGACAAATTAAATAACTCTTGTATATTATAAAAACATAAACTGTCACACATATTCTTGTGTCTTTTCTACTTCATATTGAAAAAATATTTTGTAGTAATTCATACTTGACCCTATTGTCGATAACAAGTGAAACCCACAACGAAAAAAACATGTATAATTAACTTACAATTGAAACACAAACTGTCAATGAACAATAACAATAAACAAAGAAAGAGACCACCATATAGTATACTTGTGTCGTTTGGCCTTTTTACATCAAATTTTGATAGCAAAATCAAGAAATGAAAGTGACACAATTTTGCAGCATTGTGGAAGCTTGATCAAGTTGGGCGAGCCCTTGAACAAGTGACTTTCTATAAATAGCACATGTTTTAATATCTATGAAATTCATATGAAGACATCATTCGTAACCACTAACCTCATTGAAACATCTTCACAGAACGCGTAAATTTTTTCTGCAGTAGAATTATTGTCTCTAGACAATATCTGAAAATAACGTTCTAATTGTTAAATAATCAACGTTCTAATCATTCTTTATTCAAGAAAAAAATGCAACAAACCTCTTTGAGAAAAATCGAAATTGCTTGTTCCAACTGCGTGAACAAATTCTTATTCAAGGAGATTTTCTCCCAAGGATCACGTAAAATGCTAAAAAAGGCAATTCACCAACAGTTTAATACTTCATAATGGAACAAATATTACGAAGAAATTGCTCACTTCTGAATGCATTCAACCAAATTGATGAGTTTCGGACACAAAACGTACAAAAAAGAAACAGCTTCTTCTTTTGAAGCTTCTGGGTAATTTTCACGAATACCCTCAGTGATTGTGTTAGGAAATCCAAGAGCATTGAATATCTGAGTACTAGAAAGAAAGAGACGCAAGCATTATTAAAGAAAATATATATTTGGTTCAGTTGAGTATTTCAAGGTACTAAATGTTGTGTATTGAAGAGGCGTAGCTAGAGGGGGGCGCCGGGGTACATATGTCCCCGGCGCCAAGGTACAGGGGCGCCAAAATGAGGCTTACAAAATTTTTACAACAAGGGAAAAAAACCGGTCACAAGCAAGATCGCAGCAGCGGGCAAACACAGGGTAGTTTGCCCCGGGCGCAAAATACCCTGGCTACGCCTCTGGTGTATTGTAAAATTTTGTTCTACCTGAATTGTGTAACTGCACTCCATATTAAATTAAATGTATTCACTACATCGTCATGAGTGGACTTTGTACTAGCACCACATAATTCTTCGTTATTTGTTGTATTGGAGCTCCCCTGTGTTAGGAATAGATATAATCAAACCATCTTAGCAGAAAAAATAACGCAGCAAAATCCATTTTGTTTTCATCTTCTTAAGACTTACGCGATAAGCATCGTCGGTGATATTATTGGATAAAGTGGAATATGTGAGACATTTCGCTTGATCTCCACTATTTCCTGACATATTTGCTTCATATTGTTGACATTTCTTGACGAGGACGGTAACCGCAGCAAGACATTTAGGTATTGCTTCATCGTAACTTAAAAAAGAGGAATAATTCGTGGAAACACAATCCTGGTGTTTCACAATAAACATGGACTATGGCCGCAGACTTTTGTGTCTTTGGCCGCAATATGATGCATGTTTCACTGTTCAATACTAACTTGGAGTGATAGGAAAAACATTGAAAAAGCTCTAATGCTAATTTTAGCATTTCAGAGCAAAACTGTAAGGAACTGGCAGTTCCTAGAAAAATTAATCGATGACATAATTGAGACAAATGAACGTGAATATGACATTGTATAAAAATGAACGTTATACCTTTCCTGTCGTCAAATTTTTGTCGAAGTTCCTCAATGATTTTCTTTTTATCTCGCTTTAAAATATGTCCAAAGACTGCAATCCAATGCCTGGAAAATACAATTTAGTATTTTCGTAGATGTCGGCTGTGGAAATAACACATTTTTTACTTACTTGTCTAATAATTGCAAGACATCTATCAACGTCCACGGAGGTTTAATGAACGTAATCTCTTCCCTGGATAGAAAAATGATGGAAAAAATATATTTAAATCACGCTTGATTTAGTTAGAAATGTTGTAAAAATCTCACCATAAATCATCATAGGCTTTTCTCATTTCACTTTCAATGATGTACGATAAACCTTCACGTAAAATAATTTGCAGTTCACACAATATATCGTCTGCCTATGAAACCAATAAACATGTTTGAATACAAGCCAACGACATACCACACGTAAAGAAAACATCGTTGAGATGAACGTGAAACGTTTGATTATAAAACAACGTAAAATGTAAACCTTTTGTCGTTGTCTTGCTTTGTCTTCTTCAATGACAAGTTGTGCGTTGTACTCTGTAAAGCACAATGATAAAAAAAACTATGGAATGAATCAAAACAACATAAAACATTTACAATAATTGACGATAAAAATAAAAAACATTATTATAATAGCCTTTGCTACAACTCCACGAACATGGCAGACATGAAAACCAGAAAATATTCAATTAATGTACCTTCGTTGTGTTGTTTGACAATCACTGTACACTGGAAGAGATTTTTTAAGCCAGGAAGCAATTTCTTAAATGAAATAAAAACACGTCTGTTGAAATTTTAAGTTTATTACAATACGTTAAACAAAGTGTAGAGATATGTTAAGGTAGAACACAACGTTCAGAGACATACTTCATAATTAAATGCCTTTATTCCATTCATAATTGCTTTGTTACACAGATTCACATCGTTGGAAAATAAAACACAACAACCATTTTTTGCTAAAGGTGGAACAAAAGCAAACGCGATACAAGATCATTTCATTAGCTATGTAACAAGACTCCCAAACTCTCACCTCTCTCTTTAAACAACAAACAACACTGCAGTATTTTGTCATCGTTAGTTTCTTCTGCTAAGGTCCCAACAGGCTCAGCAGCCTATATGAATTTAGACAATGAAGAAATCGCGATGACGACATAAGTAAACACGAAATGTTCTTTCCCTTTTTCTATGGACGTAAGAAAATCAATAATTGGAGGAAAGGGGGCCTTATATTCATTAATATATGAGATGCAGTGTTAAGCTCCTTTGAAATTGTAAGTGTCTATGAAACGAAAATTTTCTTATCTGAGTTGTGCTTTTATTGAAGAGATATTTCAAAATGACAATGGACATTCTAAACGGGTTTATGCATGTCACTTTTAATTCTTGAGATATTGAGGTTCTTGCTTTGTGCGATTTATCTAACTTGTGACGTCACATTGCATAATGGCACTAGAATTGCCAGGTCTATTTACCGATACTTTAATTTACAAGGACAGAGTTCACTTCATCGTGACGTGGTTAATGGTAAAAAATGTTGCCTACTAGCATCAACCTAAAGTTGTCAGGAAACTGAAGAGTATTTGAAACATTGTGGGAACTCATTAAGCAATATGACGTCACAAGTTGGATAAATTGGAAACAACAAAAACGTCAAAATCACGAGAATAAAAAGAGTTATGCACTAACTGTTTTAGAAAGTACACTGCCATTTCAAAAGTTCTGGTCATTGCAAACATTATTTAACTTGCAAAATTTTCGTTTCACAATTTCGTTTCAAACTTTAATGGTTAAAAATAATTATATATTAATAGATGTAATGAAGTAAAATTTTAGACAACACGGCCCTTCGAAAAATGTAGAAATTGAATAGGCCACCGTGTATAAACATTTTCAAATACAAATACGAATACAAATACATAGCTACCTCTTTGATTGTTTGACCTCGTACTCTTGGATCTTCCTTTTGAAAGCAGCAATTGAGAAATTTGATGGAAATTCGAGCTAGAAAATCCACTCTGTTCGACTTGTCACCACTTTCGTGACATTTCCATCGATTTTCCTGCAAAAATGAAAAACGAACACGTTGCTGTAACATGTCAATGTTTAGACTGTTTTCAAGATCATAGCTCCATTTTTCTTTACCTTAAGAGAATCCAGTTCTTGAATGACAATCCAGGGAATCACCAAAATCGGCATACCAATCCCTATAACATCAACGAAGAGCATAACTAAAGAAAGAAAACACGACAAACAACATTGAGTCTGTACTTTAGAAACATCACCAAACTACCTGGTATAGGATAGTCTTTCAATTCAACGACAAATTTTAGATGTGACAGTAAGACATTAGTGTCAAGAACAATATATAAAGACCCCTATAAACAGTAAAATAATCCATTAAGTTAAGCTGTTAATTAAGCAAGATGATATTGAATAAAGGAAAACCTCAAAACTGCCATTTGAGTAACAAAGATCCATATCATTATTTTGGATCTAATAAAAAGATAAAAAAGGTTTATCTTTTTCACGACAACGAAGATATTGGCAAAAGAGAAAATAATCTTTTTTACCTTACTAGGTCTAACAACCATATTATTTCTCATTTCTTTTAACTAAAAAAAAATTTTACACGAGCTTTGAAAAAATTTTTCTTCTCACACACAACTAGGAGCGTTGCAAAGCTTTACATATTATTTCTCGTCTAAGCAACTAATACAGCTACCATTCCATGGCCTAAAAAGGCCTTGCTACCTAGAGCAGGCTAAACTAGACAGTCTTGAATACTATAATAGATATGTCTATAGTGTTCCATCCGGGTATGCAGGAAAGACTCTTCTCAAGCTGTGCGGATGCAACAACGTGCGCTTAATATAACCTACACCACCCGCGGCGACAGTGATTCATTATCGGGCTCCCAGGAGTGTGGGAGAACATTTTCAGCCTTTTTCGTTTCTTAATCAGGGAAAAATAATACTATTGATCATTGAACCAAATACCTACCTCCTGTACAATTTCCTTTGCAAAATTCTCTGCATTATCAATGTCCATATCAACGACGTCACTCGTCGACAAAGGTATTGAAACGTCACTACTGACACATTCATCCATCGATATGACGTCATCTCTAACTGATGTGACGTCATTCAAACCATGTTTGACAGCGCTAGATTGCGATGACGAAGCAACATTTCCCTGACTAAAATCAACATCATTTTGAAGGGAATGTTCCTGTGAACGTCTCCAAGTATTTCCATGATATCGTTTAGGATTTTCCGTAGAAATTAAACTTTTCGCAGCCGAATCACTCTTTTCACGTGGTACGGCGTTACCGCTCTTCGATATGTTTCTCTTTGGTATCAATGTTGTCGTGTCCTGATTGGCTAATGCAACTCTACTACTATCACTTTGAATAATTTTTACGCTGTTGTTGTTGAGTTGATACATAATCTTCCTTGTTTTTTGTTGCATTTTTTGATTTACCGGTAACGTGTTTACTTGTAACAATATTGTAGGGTACATAGCGAGTTTTGCACAAACAGAAGTGTGACCTCGTAATAACATATCTTTCGTAGAAGTTTCGCACTTTGAAGTATCCAAAGTAGTTGATGGAACTCGAGCACACGTGACAGCTTCTGGTTTTTGCTTTGCTTCAGTTTTGGAGCAATCCGACGATTTCACACTAGAGTTTGCAGGACATACATTCGCCTGGATCGTTGGTACAGGATGATCTTTAAAATCAATCTTTGACGTATCTGCAAGCCATGCGATAATGCGATCACTTGAATCGGATAATCCGCTATCACTATCTTCTCCTAAACTTATAGAGCTTGAAAATGATTTGAGTTTAGGTAATGCAATATCTATCGTCGGATTTAAAATTTTCTCTGATGAAGATACTGTCAGCTTTGATTCATCTGTACCATGTTTTAATAAGTTGGATGGTTTAGAGTTCTTACTTGAAAAAGTCTTTGCGAGAAAATTACTGGTGCTGTCTCGACTATATTTTGTAGATTTCTGACCTTTCGCGTTCAATTCGTTCGTTGCATTTTTCCCTTTTGATTTTTCCATTGTGTTGAGCTTTGCCGACGTTTTCTGAGGAGGATCACGTTCTTTGATAGGGATTTTCAATTTTTCACTGACGGAGGACTTTGAAGGCACAACATTACTTTTTTCCTCGTTGCCTTCCGAATTCTTTTATCATTTATCTTATGCTCCCCTTTCAAATAATCCACCATTGATTCACATCTTGCCTGGTTAGATTCGTTTGTTTTTCGTTTTACCGTCGTTCCTTCTTTATCCTAATAAAAAAGTTATTATCGCGAGAAATAAGTAAAAAGTAAACCCCGTAAACTTGTCACACAAACACCGTGTTTTTCATTGGCCCGAATTATACTTGAGAGGCATCAACCATCCAGTGTGCGAATTAACGGTGTGCAATGTGCAATTTGCACATCGTTTTAGCTAAAATGAAAACAATCACTTTTTCAAACGATGTGCAAAAATCAGCGGTTTTAACGAAAAACACTGTCGTAAATCATGAATTTGTTTACGTTTAAAAATATTAATTTAGCAATTAGCGCTATATAATAATTAACGTAATATCGATTTGATTATGCCTCTAAAGAAACACTTTTGTCAAAAAACTTGCACATCGTTTTTTCTGAACTCATTCGCACACTGCAACCATCTGGACGAATTTTGACAAGCAAAACATAGTTTATCTTCAAATCCATTTGTGTGTAAATACAGGCACACTTACGAATCATCTGTTAAGACAAATTAGCTGAATAGTATTGCACAGGTTTTTTGTCGTGATGCATCATTAATCTGTGAGAATAAATACAGAATGTGAATGACAATGCCAACTTTGTCTAGATGTAGTTCATGTAGATAGATCATCTCAACAGATGATCCGCCTCTAGTATAAATAGGGTCATTATGGATCAATCTAAATATCCTAGATTGGTGTGAAGTGCTAGCTAGATGCAAAATGTAAAATGTTGGAAAATGGAGAAGATTAGAAATGTGCTAAAAGATGTTGCAGTTTGTTTTATGTCTTCACAAATTTCATCATTTCACGGATTTCAATGTGAAATGAAAAAATTTTGTTAAATTTAATGTTTGATCGTGAAGACTTGAGAAAATTCAACAAGTCTCTTTATTTGGAAAAGCTGGTACTTTGTACTTGTATATGGTCTAGAGTGAAAGCATTTACTTTTCAGATCAACTTTGATGCACGGCGACTTAAATCATCTGATTTTATATACCAGATACCACTGCCTGAGATGTTGTACATGCAAAAATTTTTCCAACATTATACTATATTGTTCAAATGCTTTGCTTCTTCTCAGGCAGAATGTTTGAAAGTTGTTTGCAATAATCATTTAAACAGAATCAGATGAAAAAAATCACATCACACATATTTCAAAAAACTTCGAAATTAATTGTAGAAAATGGCACAAAGTTTTACAGTTCCAATGTGATTCGGCCATTTTGAATTTGAGAATTGAATTTGAGCCTTTATTCAGTATGACAGTCTCATATTGCTTCTATTTTTCATCTAAGCACCTCTATTTTCCCACTAAATTAATAAATATGACAACAAGATATCTTACTTTCTTTCCATCAGCATTTGGATGATTCCATTGAGTTTTTTTAGTGATGTCGTTGAAGTAATACAGTCGATTTGATTTCTGTGAATAAAACACCTTCCAATTTGCTGGCAAACCTTTAGCTGCTTCCTTTAAGTCTCTCTGTGACATTGCTTTCTAAAAATATAAAGTACAACAAAACAAGTGCAACAACAAGATTAAAGAACATCTTATCATCATGTACGACACTTTGCTGTAGAGTGTGGAATAGATTAAAAACCAACATCGTGGGTTGATAATGAAGGAATGTAAACATTGCAGAGGTGGAATTTGTCAATTTGAATATGAAAATAAGTTTTAAACGCCCCGTTAGTAACATTAAAATTTGAATGACAATAACCTCAACAAAATGATTTTTTGATTTATTATTACGCGTATACAATAAACTAAATAACAAATTTCTTGAAGACACAAGAATGTCACCTGTTTCTCGTCAAAGCATCATAACGGCAATAAACCAGGCTCCAAAAAAATTGCTTTCATTACAAATATTTTATATATAAAAGACTGTTAGTTTGACTGCCATGTTACATTTCACTCGTGGACTACACGAAAACTCACGCAAGACACCAGAGAGGGAATGGGGGATCATCAGGGGACACTCCAAAGGGTAACCAACTAATTGTAAAGTATAGGTGAAGCCTATACCGATATTTACGATGGCGAGAACAATTTTACAATTTTGAAGGGCTTAAGAACAAACCAGTAAAACAAACGAAGATTAAGACATGTCATTTCTCAAATTGATATTTACAAATCACTTGGGAAAGCAGTACACTATGTATTTTACTTATAAATATTTATAATTAATGTATTCTTTATATACACCAATCATCTTTTCGCATTTTCATAGGGCTCCCAGTTCTTAAAAAATCAACAAAAATTTAAACAACCACAAAACACATTGTCTCAAAAAATACTAAAATATTTAGTGCGTTTACAAGTCGACAGAACGATCCTTACGAGGCTTGTGGCCATTACGTTTAGTGTGGACACGTGACTTATTGGATTTCACAATTGACGACTGTCTGCGAACCTTTTTCTTACGTTGAGTATGACTAGTGCTATCATTATGAATGCTTTGTTCCTTTATATTAGACTCAACGAAGGCTTTATTAAGATCTGTTGAAGAATCGTCAGGATAATCACTAGTGTCTAACACGGTTTTACCATTACTAGAGGATTTAGCAATTCTTTGCGATCTACGTAAAGGTTTTGTATCAGTTGTAGTTGCTGTGTGGTTATTTTTCTCATAATCTTCGTAGTTTGTCTGTCCAAATTCTGAGTACTTTGCAGATCGAGATAAATCCCTCCTTGTACCTAAATGACCGTTCTTATCAACTGAAGTATCTCTGGATAGTTGCTTATCTTTATTGGTTTGATTTCGTGTTTTTCTTTTCGTTTCAACCACTGACTCCTCGGTTGACATTCCCTTTGATTTAGATCGTGCAAACTCTTCACGACGACGGCTTGTTGCGTTCGACTTTACCGAAGCACGATTCTTTTTGGATTGCTTGTTATTTTTCTTCGATTCATGATCGTAAATTACTTGTGGTGGCTCCAGGACGTCGGCAACGAAATCTAACGTGTCAAACAATTCATCAAGTTCAGTGGGTTGCTTTCTCAACGTGTTATTTTCCCGACCTGATCCTCTGGTTGAGATCTAAAAAATAAAAATCAACATAGCACCATCTTTGTCAATAACTACATCTAACACGTACGTTTGAGTAACTCTAAATACCTGTTCATTGGAGGATTGTTTCATGGGAACACTAGAGGATTTGGAATCCTGCTCCGATGATTCAGACTGGGATACAACTGGATTTGACTTCACAGGATCCTCCAAAGTCCCCGTGATCTCGTTCTCTTCCTTTAAGGGAGGAAGACTTGTGGTATCTTCAGGTACTTCTGGGATTATATTGGTTTCATCAAGAACATCCCCAAAACGTTGTCGGACATTTCCAATCAAATGATCATGAGAAGTCGTCGTTACATCTTGTTGATTTTTTGGTAAATTTTGATCTTCTTTGAATAATAATGTTTCACTAAAGTTATCTACTTCAAATTTATTGCCTTGGCCTTTGTTAACATCCTGGGCATGAGTTGATTCATCCAAATAGTGAGAAGGATTTAATGCTTTGCCACCATTCGCCAAACGATATGACGCATCCAGATAAGCACTCGGATTCATGATTTGTGATGTACGTTTTCCTGCAGCATTATTGACGTAATTACTTACCTCGTGTGTTACGTCATCGTCTGGTGGTAATATGGCTGCAACGTTTTGTTCAGAGGCAGTTTCAGAGAATCCCATGCCAGAGTCAGAGCCAGATATGGAACCAGCGTCCTCTTGGGCAAACTCGACTTTTTCCTGGAAAGTTATATCGCTCAAACGTCGACGTTTTACGACACTATCCGAAAAGTGAGCGGCTTGGGTCATTGTCGAATCAGTAACTTGCTCGTCCCATAATTTTCTATAAGATTATAATATTACCAGAAATTTTAAGCAACTTCCAATAAAGAAAAATCAAAGTAAATTTATCACATTTGCACCTGTAGTTTTGCATAAGAATTCTAATTGGCTCGTGAGGAGTCTTCGTTTTAGGAAACACAATAAAACTACGAAACTAAAACAACAATATGCTGCAGGCTAGTGTTTGAAAACAACATTACTCCGTCATAAATATTACTGAGAAACAAACCTCCATCCAACCGCTGACGATCATAAATAATTTGGCTTCGTTAACATTCCAAACGAGCGATCGAAATAATTGACCTTCTGACCATATTCTTCGAGGAGTTTCATCATCTGGGTCCTTTGATATACATCTACAAATAATGTATCCACAAACAGAACAACTTGAGCACTGGATAGAATAATATAATACATGGACAAACGTTTAAATCGAGGCAAATATCTCTAAACAACCTATAAACTTGTGACTAGGCTAGATGCAGCAACTAAACCAAAAGGTTTTTTGATTAGTAGTTTTTACCTGAATATATTCAACATCATCTTCATAGTTCCTTTCAAATCGGCAAAGTTGTATGAGTTTGTAAGAATATTTATGGCATGATCGAGAGCTGTAGGAATATCACCATGATTCCAAGGTGTCATTTCTTCAATGCTCGGACGAGAGAATACTTGCTGTAAATGCGTAAACAATAAATATTCTGTAGTAAATTATTTTATAAGTGATCTTTTACGAAATCGGATTTACCCTTGGTAAGGTGTTTGTCTTCTTTGAGGTACCATCAAAGGTTTTCTTGACATTGTTTCGTGCAGTAGCGAAAGTGAAGTGTCTTCTGATAGGCTTCAGATTTCCATCCACACTAAATGAAACAGTTCCAATAATAAAATTTTTCCATCCACACTAAATGAAACAGTTCCAATAATAAAAATTTTCCATCCACACTAAATGAAACAGTTCCAATAATAAAAATCTCCTCATTACACCATAATATGCATTACCGGAAAACATTTACATTGAAAGTACTTATTAATGACCAACCTGTCCAAATCCTTGCTCAAATCTCTTCTTGTGCGTTTATTTGTGGTACTTGCTGAGTTTAAAAGAGCTATTTTTTCTTGTACGCTTACTTTGCTGCTAGCAAGAATCTTAACCAATAAAGAAAACTGCAATAATACCGATATCAAATACAATACAAATAATTATCAAACACGTGATGGTCAGGAAGAAAGCACGTGTAAGATGATTACCTTATCACGTTGTGAACCATAACGCGTGTTCTGGGAATCAATAGCAAGTGGTGTAGTTAATGCAACCATTGCAGCTAAACCAGCAGCTGCAGTAACAGCTCCACCTTTGCCATAATTTGAACGCTCTCTGTCTGGTGTCAAAGTCTTCAACAATGGCTCTGTTCTCATTGCAGCTGGCGAGAGACTGTAACGGAAAACATAACGTTTAATGAAACATATTTTACCCGTAAAGATATAGCAATTTCTCAACTTTCAGTTTCATCATACTTGTTAATTTCTCGAGTTGTAGTGTCAAACTTCATTCGCTTGATTTCTTTTTCCTTCCCAGGTTCTTCTCCTTTAACTCTCGTCTTTCTTTCTTTGTCTAATGTTGATGTTCGTTGCATTTTAGGAACATCAATGTCCATCGAGCTTGGAGGAACAACACCATTGTTTGCAGTTTTAAAAGAACCAGAGCCATTGTTCATAACAGCCTGTGTTGGTTTACGAAATGAGTAAGGTGATCGTTTCGCTGACGACTCAGAACCAATCTGCTCTCTTAATACTCTGTTGTTGCTGTTTTCAACAACAGGCATCTTTCTAAGATTCTTGAGTTCAGGAGATGCTGTTGTCTTATTGAATGTAATACCTCCACTTGGTTTAGTTATCTTATCATTAACATGTTTACGATCCGTTGTAACTTCCTGTGTTGTCCGCGACGTGATCTTCTTGGTACTTTTCTTTCGCGTCATATTTTTCTCAGGATAGGATTTTTCGTCCTTTTCAGTGGACGAACTCGATTGAAGTTTTGTTTTAGTCCCGCGGAACAAATTCCATCTTGTTGTTGATCGCTGTTTCATTAAGACACTGTTGTTTTGATTTTCTTCCCTCTCCGTATTCCTAGTTGGAGCAACCTTTTTACCTTCCTTGATTGTATCCATGTTAATTTGGCTGGTGATAGCGTCACGTGACTTAGCTCGGTCCAGTTTTCTTTGACGCGCACCACGCAGTTCTTTTTCATCTCCTGATTCCGACGATTGACTGCCCATCTTCTTCAACTTATCCTTCTTATTTGTTGGAATACCGCTGGCCGTCAATTCACTGTCCGTGTCGCGGCTTTTACTTCGATTTAATTTCTTCTTCGCTGACTTTTTGCGGTTTGTTTTTTCTGCTAAAGAAAACGATAACGGGTTTATTGACGACTAAAAATGATTCGACAATTAATTAAAATAAAATCACACCTTTTTTGTTATCATCTAGAGCACGATCAGAGCTTGATTTTCGTTGTCTGGTCTTTTCTAAACGTATCGATTATATGAACCAAAACATTATGGAGAAGTTCAAATACATAAACGTAAAATGTGACATAGTAAAGTTTCTCAAACCTTTCTTATCCTCCAAGTTATCAGAACTTGATTTTCTTTGTTTTTTCTTTAATTTACCAGTGCTCATGCGACGTTTAGTGTTCTCTGAAAATAAAACGCAGCAGCATTTCCAGAAACAGTAAATATACAAAGTTCACATAAAAAGCCTTTCCATAAAAACTTTAAAAATTATCCTACCAATGATAGATGAAGCAAGCCTAAAGTCGGCACTGACAGGGTCGTCCGTATCATACAGATGATAAACTTCTTTCACTTTATTCATATTTCGATCAAGATAACGAGTGAAGGGATTGATCGTGTAGCTGTCAAATTTCTTGTTAAGATTATCCGTAGTTGTCGCCGAGAGAAGTTTGTAGACGTTTTCTCGTTCACTGAGTATCTGAAGTGGAGGTCGATCCATAGCAAAAGAACGCAACATCCATGCAGTGTCCAATGCCGAGAGAACCCCCCTGGCACAACCAGATCCTGTCGGCCAAAATGGCTAAAATGAAAATATATCTTAATCCGAATCTTCCTTAATCCGAATACTAATTGTAACTATATACGCTAACTTCCGTCATCTAACTTGTAACTATACATCTTGATTAATACACTAACTTCCGTCATCTTGTATATATATTTTAAGCATTTATTTTAAGCATTTAAGTATTTATTCATTAAATCCCCGGAAGAGTGAGCAATCACGAAACAGGCTTGTCGGGATGAATCTGTAGTTTGGTGATTTTTTCTCAACACCACTACACATAAAATGAAAATATATGTACATGCAGTGAGCTGGTGATAAAACAACGCAGGTGTGATTTATGACTTGGATTTCATTAAGAAAAAACTTAAAAAGAGATCGTTATTCTTCGTTATATGAATAACATGATGGAACACATTTCTACCTCGATCAAACTGTCGCCGACTAAAGCCATTAATAATCTATGACCTTTTCTCTCCACTATCCTCGCAGCATGTTCAGCTTTCTTCAGCGATGTGAAATCAAAGACAGCTATATCTGGCGCGTTACGATCGTTAACGACAAACTCAACATTTGTTAACTTTCCTTCCGTGCCAAAGTTTACAGCGTCCAAAGCATATTCAATAAGTCTTTCAGTGTTGACATTACGAGGTGCGAGGAGATCATCTGGTTTTGGGTAGTCCTGATGAAATAACATTGAGTTTAAAGAGGTTTGAAAAGAAACGTTTTTGATAAAGAATTCCCTGAGGTTTTACATACCATTATTAAAGCACCTTTTGCTAACAAACTTCTTTTCACGGCAGTCATCACAAAATAATGTGTTTCTCCTTTGTAATAGACAAAATTTTCCAAACGTACGCCATGCCTACGGTAAAGTTCGTCAAAAAACTGTGGCTTGAAATGGTAAGCAAGTCCACTAACTTCAGGAATGGCTGCCTCTTCTTTCGTTCCATGATTGATTAAGTTGAGAGTTAAACCAATTGCTAAACTGCCTAGATAAAGGATGGGGAAAAAATACAATGATAAGTAATACATTGCAGTTTGGTTCATGTTTGAATACAAAAAAATTAGAAAGAAATTGTTATAGTAATAATTGTTATTTTAGGTCAGTTGTTAACAGTCTAAGAGACAATCAAAGAATTAAAAATGTAATAAATTAAACATAGTTTGTCTTGCTCTGTATTTAACAAAGGTGATTTTAACTGCACATAAATTTTAATCATATGAAAAATTTCAAAACGCTATGCAAATGTAGCAATACAGAAGATGAAAAAATTACTCAAATATAAAGCAATTTTATAACTTCCTTCAATAGAAATATTGACCAAAATCACCTCTCATTTCAATCTGTCTAAAATTAGGAAGAACATTTCTTTTGCCATCAGCCCCAACAACCATATCAATGTCAAGCTGACTTGCAGGATGAAATGGAGGAGAGACTTTACATCTCCATCCCAAATCTGATGTTGGCTCAATCATTTTTTCAAATGTTACTCCTGTATATATCTGAACACCCAAAATCAAGGCTGCCTTCATCAACAAACATTGCAAGATTCGAATTCCTGTAAAAATTATTCCACATGAACTATTAATATAAAAGTTGATGAGAAAAAGAATTTGAAATAAAACCAGGGGAGCAGGGTCGAAACTAGAACGTTAATTGGGGTATATGTTCATATATTCAGGTCTGCCCTGCTGACTTCCTTTGTTTGCCATGAAGAGGTCAATGTGTAATATGAGCCGAAATATTTCGCATTTGCGTGGTGAAATTCAAAATCAAATGATCAAACGTTATAACGATGAATGTATAAAAAACACGTCCTTACACGAATATTCATAAAGAATTAAATATTTGAATAGCAATTTACAGGTACTAAAGTACATGACTTTAACATATGAAATAGCAACGCATATTATTGTTGAATAACACAAAGACTTAGAAATGTTTAATAAAGAATACAAAGCACATTACCTATATGATCTAAAGAACCAGAACAAAATTTCCCATAGAAACGTTTCGCTCCAAGTGAACGAAAATCATGAATTAAAAACGGCCAAAGATGAAGAACGTTATTTCTTGAGAACGAAGTTCGCTTCTCAACAATCATAACTTTAGCACCAAGTAAAGCCACTTCGATGGCTGTACGAAGGCCTATTGGACCAGATCCTATCACAAGAACTTGTATATCTTCACAAATTTTCTGATTACCATACTCCTTATGTTTTGCTCTAGCATCTAGAACTTCCCATAAACTCTTAGACTTCCAGGAGTCCAATTTGGATTTCAACGCTCCGTATAACTCTCTGCCATTTTCTGTATTTTCCGCCCCTATCGAAGCTTTTAGTTTATGAAACGTTAGTAAAATTTCAACTGAATCATTCGCGTTACAGAACTCTTCAAATAAACTTTCGGTCACTTTCGAAGTCGCTCCATTCACAGCTTTTCCTTTAGCCACAACCATTTTAATTATCGTTCAATTCTGTCCATCTTTTCCGCCCGGTCATGAAATAGGAAGTCAACTGTCTGTTCAACTACAGGTACATGACGTCTTGAGAGGCAAGTGTTTTGATTCACGCTTTTAACATTCTTGTTTTAAGTGAATGCGCTCTTGCGTTGAATTTCCACGGCAACCACTGTGAATAACTTGAGCAATTATTTCAAACTTTTCAACAAGGAGTGGATAAACGCACTAATTAATATTTAACAATGATTAATAAACGTTTTGCACAAAGACGTAAATGAAAGTTAATATGATCAGTTAAATTGTTATCATTTTTTTTCAAATTAGCTTGGATAAAATTATTTTGCAAAATATGCCAGAATCGTGAGAGGATGGCGAGGAGGGAGCACGGCGGATTTCCTCTGAGCTTCTCACCCACTTCAACAATATTTGGGTCGACGACAAAAAAATAATGACGTCACACCGCCAGAAGAGGAGATTTTTCTTCGGAGCTTGATCGTTAGCATTGACTTGAAAAATATTATTTAGTAAAAGAATACTTGTACTTTTGAACACGTATCCTTCAATAAGGTTACTCCTTTACTGCAAGCAAAACAACAGCGAGTTCCATATCTTTCATTGTACCCCAAAAATTATTGTCTTCTACCCATAAATACCCCCCATACGAACATTCTGTTCAACAATCCCCGAGGATATGAACTGCCAGTCGAACACTCGTCCAACACAATTTATCCTTAAAATTCATCAATTTTCTTTCTCGTAGCTTCTCTCTGATTGGTGAAATTTGTTTTTCTTGTTTTTTAAGTTTATAAAACTGATAAAAAAAGATGAAGCATAAACATTTTTTTCAGAGTTTTTTTTCGCACAAAGATGTATTACGAAATGCATGCAGTAACGTTTAAACTATACATGCATATACAACTGGATTTTACAACGTGCACACACTTTCGTTATTTACAATTCTGAAATAAAAAATCTCATTTTATCCAACATGACCTTGTAGAACGGACACATGATTCATTCCATGTTGAATTATCGGCTTACTTTGAGTGAAACGTCGCTTTAAAACCTTCTCCTCGTTCAATATTTGACTTTTTACAAACATCGTCTAAAACACATGGTATAAAAAAAACTTTTAACACTAGAGAACAAAAAAATTTTAAAAATACATTATTTTAATTTCTGCAGCTAATGCATTGTACCTTCGGATCATTTAACGTTTGCACGGCAATGGACCTTGTTTGCTTGGAGTCGCTTGTTGATAAATACACAGGAGTAAGCTTGGGTTTATTTCTTGGAACAATGCCTAGGTCACCTAGTTTATAATGCGGAAGTGGTCGGGAAGTTGAAAATAGCCCAACAGGTAGACTTGATCTAAAGATGAAATATAGAAATTAGAACAGATGTGCATATAACAACACTATTACAAGATAATGCCCATTAAATAAATACGACAAGTTTTTTTTTCAAAATAAACATGTTTCAACATCTCATGATGCCATCTGCAGTATAATGTATAATCATATACATATAATATAATCATAATCGTATAAATTGTATCACTGTATCATATCACTATTATATATATTCATCACATGCGTAATATTCTTTATTATACTGAAGATGGCATCGTGAGATGTTGAAACATGTTTACTTTTAAAAACTTGTCGTTTTTACTAAATGCGGATTATCAATACTACTTTTACGCAGTTAAGGTGACATTATTAGAAGACATTTACATTTTCCTTCGACGAACATATTTACTTAAGTCTACACAAGTTTCTGAAGCATCGGTTGGACCAAAATTCTTTGCATGAGGACCAACACCATAGTCTGCCGCACTATTTAGAATATCTAGTAGAATTTGCAGCAAACTCTCTCGTTCTGTGGTCAATTTTTGTTTTAGTTCTTGTGTACTCGTCGTTTCATTTGCAATGTCGCTCTTTATCTGCAAGAAAAGCGAACGGACTTAGTTATGGAAAAAAGTAGCAAGAGAGTTATAAGTGTAGCTACTTACCTTTAAAGAGGATTCCAATGCAAGAGAAGCTTCAGATAATACTTCAATCAAAGCATGCTTGTGTTTCATTGCAACATCACGATCTCTCGTCACCTTTTCAATTTCAATTTCAAAATATTCATTCCTTGAATTACTTTTCTAAAAAAAAAACACGTAGCAGTTAAGGGTGTTGTACACGTCACGAGTGACGTATACGCCCGGATGTTTTATACGTCATACAAGGTGGTGACGTATTTTCGCCCCTTACAAGTTACGATCGCATCATTGTTATGAAGAACATGTTTTAACCTGTAATTCTTCTTTAATACTCCCGATTTGCTGTCGATACAGTTCAATTTCTTCTTTTAAACTCTTTTCTTGTTGACTTTTTCTTCATAATCTAAGATTTTCTCTTCTTGTTCTTTTGCCTTGGCAGTAAGCATACGAATGATCTGCAAAACACCCGTAAATTAGTCGACTGTTCTTGTTAAAGAAACCCCTCAGATTTCCTAAATTGTGAAATCAAATGAAAACCTTTTGATTGCTGGAGTTTTTCTTCGCTAACTCTTTTTCATTAAACTCCAACATATCAATCTGTTGTTTCATTTGTTTTTCCTTTTCATGAAGTTGATCATTTTCTTCAATGAGTTCCATGGTCTTGTCGGACATCTTCGACAGCTGTGCGTTGATCGAAACATTCTCTCTAATCGTTCTCTTTGTCGTTTCTGCCATTTGCTTATTTGAAACTTTTCTAAACTCCGCAGCAACTTGGTTCACACGAAGAATCATCTCTTTCTTCAGTCTAAGGTAAAGAAATATTAGTTATATTTGTCAAATAAATCCTCAAATGTTAAATTGTCGCGTGTTGATTTTGTTAGTGAGTAAAATTATTCTCGTGGTTTACTTGTTCTTCGATGCAAGATTAAAAAACAAAACTATCATCAAAATGACAAGATTCATCTAACGAATATTGCAAAGTTTTTACCTGTCTTTATCGACGACACTTTTTCTCTCAAGATTGTAGATAACGTCCTTGTGTTCCTGTTTGTTATCTTCAAGCTCCTTTTCAAGTTTTGCAAATTTTGCCATCAGATCTTCCTTTTGAACCTTGAATTCTTCAAGCGAGGCAAGTTTACCACCAAGTACCATGTTCTCTGATGTCAATTGATCTTTAACTTCCTGCATTTCAGTTCGTATTGTAGCAAGCTGCACCTCGTACTGGTCTTTTTCTGCATCTTTAGCTTGTTGCAACCCTGAAAAATTGCGATATCTAAGCATATCATTTGAAATAAATCAAACAAGTAATGAATCTTGTTTACTAAATCGTTATCAATTGATTTTGGAGTGTGAAAGAAGAAACATTTGACATGCTGGGTAAAATGACATTCACATCAGCATGTGCTGCCAGTGAAAATTTTAATTTTGAATAGAAATTTTACCAACCGATAAGTCTATCCTGCAAATCAGCACGCTCTTCGCCACGTTGTTCGAGTTGTTTTGTTAGAAAAGAGACAATTTCCTTTTTGTCGTTCACTTGTTGTTCGTACTGCGTCTTAAAGCCATCATTGCTTATCTCCAGTTCGTCGCATTTCTTTTGATAACGAGCGAGCCTTTCTTCGAGATCTCGAATTTGCAGCAAAAAATATTCCTTAGAAAGTTCGCTTAGTTGTTGTGGAACTGCGACGTTAGTGGACGATTTTTTCCCACTTTTCTTTTTCTTGCCACTCTTTTTGCCCTTTTTCTTTGGCGGCATTATTTTTAATCGCCTCTACACACAAATTTCACAACAAATATTGTTTTTTCACGACAAGAAACACAACGAATGACAATAAAATGGCCGAGTTGTTTCCGTTACCATGACAACTCAAAGCTTCATGCATTTGCCCGCAAGCCTTGTGTCAGCGGACTAGACGTGCGCATTGAATTTAGACATTGCATGATAAGTTTCATTTATTTTTAAATTAATTTCCCACAGAAACTAGAAATCCCTAACTTCTTTTCCGTTTATATTTGTTTCTTATGTAGAATCCTTTCTTTTTTGTTTTTTCCCGTGAAGCCTGAATCTCTAGGTATTTTCTTTTATTGTATCTACAACATGAAAAAAATCATTGTCAAACCATTCCATTAAAAAAATACACCAATGACTTTTAAATTACCTTCTAAACTCTGCATCAGCCAAGAGGCTTTCAACAATAGTTTTCTTTCTCTTACTATTGGGTAATCTTGATGAATAAAACTCTGCTGGACCACTTACAACTGTACCAAACTTTAAAAAGAAAGCAGATGTAAAATGTAAACACACACATAAATGTGTAAAACAATTATGTTTATAGTTTTTACTCCAACCTGAAAATATTTTGGTAACTTTTTTGAATTATTTTTCTTGTAATGATGTTTAGGATCAAGAACATTTCTCATATGAAGAATTCTCAAATCACGTTGAGCTTCTTGTGTCATTTCAGGTGCAGGCATATTGAACCATCCTTTTCCAGCCGATCTATCCTTATCTCTCTATAAAAAATCAACATACTAATGTCTGTAGTTAAATTAAGACTATTCATAGTTTTATTTCACCTTTTTTTCTTTCCTTAAAGAATTGAAGGTCTTGTGATATTGTGGAGCTTTTTCTTTCTTGTGGAAATCACTAGTAATCACACATTTTTTCATTATCTAAAAATAAAAGTCTGAGCTATAGAATAAATGACTAAGTGCTGTAACAAAGCTGTCTAATCAGCACGACTGACAAACTTTCTTCAGTAGTAACCTGTTTCTCATTAAGTCCTTGGTCAATATTTCCAGCAATGACTGTAGTATTTGTTTCATCCATGTTGAAATAAAGATCATTCATATCAACGCCTGAATCAAGTTCAGTAGCAAATGTTTGATTCCTATAAACATATGAATATATGGTAGAGTAAAAGGTATACGGTTAGTACTCGATAAAATAATATCAAAATAATTACTTCGACACGTTTTTATTTGAGATGCCACACAAACGCTGAATAACTCGTCTTCATTTCCTTCTCCGCAAGCCAACGGTCCATCGTTTATCGAAATGGTACGACGAGTATTTTTTAAGTTTTCTTTCATAATAGTATACGTAGATTTTACTAAATCCTTAAGTGTTTCTTCAGTATTTTCTTTTGAAATTTCCACAGCTTTGTTCTTGAGACGAGCACTTCTTCGTACCATAGTTAAACAATAGTTATATCTGTCTGTGTAGTTATAGATTAAAGAGAAAGTGAAGAAGTTATACTACTTACGAGTGCGAAACCAAAAAAAACTTAGAGGCTGAAGGCATCCCTCCCCCCCCAAAATATGCAAATAATGCGTCATTAATTACGTCACGGCAAAAATTTTGTGAACTGTCAAACTGTGAAGAAATAGACTAGTGAGAAAGAGTTAAGAAAAGATGTTCACTGTTGACTTTAATACATTTAATGAAATAAGTGTTTTGCACTTGACAGTAATTCATAAATTACAAAATTATGCAAACATAGAGAGTCTACACCTGGTCTGCTACATGTGGGTAGAAAATCCAATTAGTTAAAAAATTGATGAGGTAAATGAGAAAATACAATTCATCATAAAGTGCACGTTTTATAACTATTATTTCACCAATCTTAACATCATGTTTCTGTATGTCATAAAACTTCATGATGAGTGATCTAGAAATATATTTTTTTTACAAGAGTGAATGTAGGTACAGGACATTGTTTTTCATTGTATTCGGTGTATGCTTGGGTAACTTGGTAATTAACTCTCAACATCATAGACAAAAAATCTTTTGTTTGATAATGTTGTCCGAGGCTCATTGTAAGAGCTTTGATGTACCATGTTCCCTCTTCAACACTGCGGAAGCTTACATACCCTGTAAAGATGATTATTTGTAAATATTATTAGTCAGCATTATATACATAATGGTATTTCTTACCTGGAGCAGTTGAATAACCAAGAAAAAAGTCTGGTTCATTTGGATCTACACTTTGCCGAATAGCTAAATCATTTTCTCCATCAAGTTCATCTTTGTCTAGATTTGAACTGTTGGCCACAAGAGTTGTATCAGAATGCATGTGATCCAAGACTAAAGTTTGACTTCCTGAATCAGAAGGATGATGTATTTCTGTATTGGTTACTGGTGTTGGAGTGGAACTCATATTACGTTTTGGATTTATCCCTGCATTTCCTCTACATGCCTGAATGAAAAATAACTTTGGCTTTTCTTTTAATGCCTTACAATTTTCAGCTTTAAAAAAATTGATGATGTCATTGATCATCACATAATGTCCATCTGCTCCATATATTTTACCCATTTCTCCATGTGACATGATACAACAGACAAAACAACTGGACTTTTGCTCTATGTTGATTCTTCTGGCCATATCTGAAGCAACTTTGTACAGTTCATGACCTTTCAAATCTGTATGTTTTTCAACAACAAAGCCCAGTGTTTGCCAAAGTTTTTCAAGATTAATAACATCAACATTTGATCCCTCACGCTCTGTCAATTGCACACCATCACTTGTGACTTTGCAAGAAAATTTTTCTATATTTATAACAAGTGCAAATCCATGAGGGCGACTATCCATAGGATAACATGATGTTGGATCTCTTTCTGATGGAGAGGATGGCACATCTATAAGGAAAAATACTTAAAAATATCACCACAGATGAATGCAAATAAAATATATTTTACCTTTTTTTGCAAGCATTTTATCAATCCTATCATTAACATCCTTTCGAGGAATATAATTTAAAAGATCTTTTAAATAAGAAAAATCATCTTCAGAGAGCTTTCCATCCCTTTCCATATAATCTAGGATAGTTTCTCCATTTTTAATGTCCTCTCCTATCCCACCTACACACAAAAGAGAAATGACTAGCTGTACATTCATAAGAAGGTAGATACCAAACATGAAAGCAGTTGGAAAAAGGATTCTAAAGAAAATGAAGCAACCTAGATGGTTGCCCAACATGCCTCAAACTAAAGAAACAATGTCGTATTTGCCTTAAAATAAATTAGTTCAAGTTTAGGTAATATAAAAATTTGAGAATGAAAGACTTGTATTTTTTTGACTGAGCTTTTCCCAACATATCGGGATTATAAACTGGCTCAAATGTTGGGAATGTCATTTGAATTTATTATACTAATAGTGAAATGAATTTGCTGAAAGACTTGTCAAAATGTGGCAATTTGTCTGCACAGTTTTAGTTGAAATTCTTCTTCATACCTGGAACTTTCAATAAGAACTTCATAGTACTAACATTATCTGACGTCAATTCATCTGCTACTGCCTTTAAAATACTCCGATAAGGTGATATACCACTTGAAGGAGGTACCATATTGCTGGATATGGGGACAGTGGAGATAGTACCTGACACAGGCAAACTACCACAACCATCAACCAAAGAATCCACACAACATTCAATGGGAATTTTCCTTGATAAATCAACACGTTGGATTTTTTTTAAGACATCTTGCAACCACATTAAGTTTTCAGAAGATATAATCCGTCTCTCCTGAAGCATATTAAACAATGCTAAAGGATCACGATCAGATATTTTATCAAGTACAGCAGCACCGACTGAATCTCTACAGACAAACTTTATTGAACAAACATCACTTAAAGTTAAATTATCCGCAATTTCTTTGAGAAATTTACGATATTTGTCATTTGTCAAAGCCATTTACTGTTCACACATACAGCTATTTCCTCTTTCTCCGGAATCTTTTTCAATCTCATTAAAAGTCGTTATGACAAACAAAGAACCTAGAGAAAAGAGGAAGACGAACTATTCCAGGAAAGAGCTAGGCAAATTAAAGAATTCCTTGAACGGTTGAGAGGTGCCACAAGAATAGTTAAACTAGTTGTTCCATTCTCTTTCAAATTTTACTAATTTAAAATATATTTTGCAAATACAAGCTTGCAAAATACGTTATTTCACCATCAGTTGTCGATTAACGAAGTAATATATCTCCCGGAGCTAATCCTTGATGCTTCAATTGTCCACCTTAACCAAAGGAAACTCTTATTTTTGAAAATTTAGCAAGTTGACCACAAAATTAACTGAGATATTAACAGAGAAAATACAGATTATCAAAGCTGCCACTCCGTATATGCACATTTCCCCTACCAAAACTTGATTTTCCCCCTACCTCCCCTCACGATGATTTTCCTTGTTTTCCCGTCCTTTTCCCCTACACAGCAACATACCCCCCTATTATATACCTACGTCGGGTCAGACCATTGAATTTTTTAGTCAGTTTTTAAAAAAATGCAAACAAAAAAAAGGTTTATCGAAAACTAAGAACATCAAGACGACAAAGTTTGAATTTGGCGTAGGAAGTAATGACATTCAAGTGGTGCAAATGACACACTGAGTTTATGCTAAGTTGCTGATCTGTATTGCCATATATGGTCACAAAATGTGCCAAAAGAAAGATTCTGTTACAATCACTTGCTAAATGGTGAGAACACAGGAAGAAAAGAGTATTTTGGGCAAAAATGAGGCTCATTTTTAAACGATTTTCTTTTCTCCCTACAATCCCCCTACATTTTACAGCTTTCCCCGTAGGTTTCCCCTACCACCTACAAACCACTAAATCCCCCTACTGTAGGGGATTTTCCCTACGAGTGGCAGCACTGCAGAATATTCACTATCAACCATTCCAGCGATGTCCATCATAACTCGGATTCTCGGGGATGGGGTGTGATTACACAGCATACGTATCATTTTGGTGTCATCGCAGCAATGAATTTTAAATTGAAATTGCATTAATGAAACAACAATAAAACTTTACACTCTTTATATGTTCTTATGATGGACTTAATCATCTTTAATGAAAAGACATATTTCATAATTCATGGTCATTTAAGTCATTATAATTGAAAAATAGTTCAACTCCTGTACAAGAATAGTATTCTCAATGGCAAGAATGGTTTTATTGAAAGTTTAGTCACTTAAAAATACACGAAAACTAAAACTTACTAATTCATTAAGTCAACATTTTAAAACTATCATTTCACCAATCTCACATCATGTTTTTATGTCATAAAACTTCATGATGAGACTTCTAGAAATATATTTTTTTTACAAGAGTGAACACGGGTACAGGACATTGTTTTTCATTTTTTTTGGTGTATGCTTGGGTCACCTCGTCATTAACTCTCAACATCATAGACAAAAAATCTTCAGTTTGATAATGTTGCCCGAGACTCATTGTCAGTGCTTTGATGTACCATGTTCCATGATCAACACTCCGGAAACTCACATACCCTGTAAAGATTTGGTAAATTTTTAAGCATTACATGTCTAGTCAATATTTTAAAAAAAATTATATGTCAGCATGTTATCTAGCTCATACCAGGTGCAGTTGAATAACCAAGAAAAAAGTCTTGCTCATTTGGATCGGCTTTATGACGGAAAGTTGAATCATTTGCCTCAGAATCAAGTTTATATTTATCTTGATTCGAAGTATTGGACACAGGATTTGCATCAGAATGCATCTGATTTGAGACTGGAGTTTGATTTCCTGAATCGGTGGGTTGATGTGTTTCTGTGTGGGTAACAGGCATTGTGGTAGAACTTGCATAAAGACTTGAATCAATCTGCGTCAAAGTTCCTCGACATGCTTGAATAAAAAATAACTTTGGCTTTCCTTTTAATGCATTACAATTTTGAGCTTTAAAAAAATTGGTGATCTCTTTGATGTTCACATAATCTCCATCTGTTCCATATATTTTACCCATTTCCCCATGTGACATGATACAACAGACAAAACAACTGGACTTTTGCTCTATGTTGATTCTTTTGGCCATATCTGAAGCAACTTTGTACAGTTCATGACCTTTCAAATCTGTATGTTTTTCAACAACAAAGCCCAGTGTTTCCCAAAGTTTTTCAAGATTAATTACATCAACCTTTGATCCTTTTCGCTCTCTCAATTGCACACCATCCCTTGTTACTTTGCAAGAAAATTTTTCTATATTTACAATAAGTGCAAATCCATGAGGGCGACTATCCATAGGATAACATAATTTTGGATCTCTTTCTGATGGGGAGGATGGCACATCTATAAGGAAAAATACTTAAAAATATCACCACAGATGAATGCAAATAAAATATTTTTTACCATTTTTTTTTGGAAGCATTTTATCAATCATAGCAATAACATCCTTTCGATGAATATCATTTAAAAGATCTTTTAAATTAGAAAAATCATCTTCAGTCAGCTTTCCAATCCCTTCCATATAATTCAAGAAGGTTTCTCCATTTGTGAGTTTTCCACCAATACCACCTGTCAAAAAGAAACCTGACAAGTTATACCTCAAAGTTTACAACTATACATGTAACTGATTTAGAGAAAGGATTTTTAAAGTAATAAGTTGAAGTAAGATGGCACAAGTTGTGACCACCAAAGGCAATCTTGAGTATTACGATGAATTGAATTTACGTCCATTAAATTTAAATTTGGCTTTTTATACTTTGTTCAAGCTGTTTTTACAAATTTTGGACGGGCAGCACAAAGCAACAAAATTAAAGACGCGACAAAATGTTGTATGAAGTGTTTTGCAGACTCACAAAATTGCAGGAACACAGTTTCAGTTTAAATTTCTCCATATACCTGGAACATCCAATAAGAATTTCATTTCACTTATATTGTCTGCTGTTAATTCATCTGCTATTGCCTTTAAGATACTCCGATAAGGCGATATACAAGATATAGAAACCATACTGCTAGATATTGGGCTAGTAGGACTAGCCCCCCCAACATAACCAGCATCAACTGACGTATCTACACAATAATTGGGAATTTTTCTGGATAAATCAATACGTTGAATTCTTTTTAAGACATCTTGCAACCACGTTAGGTTTTCAGAGGATATAATCTGTCTTTCCTGAAGCGTATTAAATAATGTTAAAGGTTCACGATCAGATATTTTATCAAGTACAGCAGCACCGACTGAGTCTCCTCTACAGACAAACTTTATTGAACCAACGTCACTTATAGTTAAATTATCCGCAATTTCTTTGAGCAATTTGCGATATTTGTCATTTGTCAAAGCCATTTCCTTGTCTTGCCAAGCCCCGAACCTTGATACTTCTCTAGTTTTTTCTCAATAACACTTCAACAAAAACAATATTTAGTACAACAAATTGTTGCCAAAATCATATCGTTGTGCACTCGATCGTCGTCTCTGACGATACTTGCTACATCAACGTAACGTAACATGTGACCATTTTTGACCAATTACATTTGATAATTAATAATTGGTCATAAAAGTTTTTGAACTTTTTATCCTTTCCGCTTCCCGAGCCATGTGGAGCTCTCTGAGAGGAGACAAGGGAAGTGAGGAAGGAGAGAGGAGAGGAAAGAAGAGAGAAAGGGGAGAAGAAAAGAGTGGCGTGGATGTGGTTGCACTGCTTACATCCTCCTCTACACCACGCTCTACACCACGCACTCCACGCTCTACTCCACGCTCTACACCACGCACTACTCCACGCTCTACACCACGCACTACTCCACCTCTACACCACGCTCTACACCACACCACTTCCTCTCCTTTCGTTCCCTAACTATGCAGCGTTAATTTATTTTCATTTTTTTTACTGCATTGGTTCACCTGTCTTCCCCCTCTTCCAACTCCTCCTCTTTCACCCTTTCTTCTCCACATCCTCCACACCCACATCCGGCAATACCACCTTTACCTCCATCCTGACAACCAGTTACACCTCAACAACCAACCTGACAACCAGCTACACCTCAACAACCAACCAGACAACCAGCTACACCTCAACAACCAACCTGACAACAAGCTACACCTCAACAACCAACCTGACAACCAGCTACACCTCAACAACCAACCTGACAACCAGCTACACCTCAACAACCAACCTGACAACCAGCTACACCTCAACAACCAACCTGACAACAAGCTACACCTCAACAACCAACCTGACAACCAGCTACACCTCAACAACCAACCTGACAACCAGCTACACCTCAATAACCAACCTGACAACCAGCTACACCTCAATAACCAACCTGACAACCAGCTACACCTCAACAACCAACCAGACAACCAGCTACACCTCAATAACCAACCTGACAACCAGCTACACCTCAACAACCAACCAGACAACCAGCTACACCTCAACAACCAACCAGACAACCAGCTACACCTCAATAACCAACCTGACAACAAGCTACACCTCAACAACCAACCAGACAACCAGCTACACCTCAACAACTAACCTGATAGCCAGCTGCCCTTTCCAATGCTGACCTCACTTGGTGCACCTCTTCTTAGAACTAACTTTACTTAGTGCACCCCTGCTTATTATTGACCTCACTTGTAAAGAATTCTGGTGTAAACTGTAAAGAACTTTTTCAGATTGCAAATATGTTTAGTTTAACATTTGAAAATCTAATTGTATATACATTATTTTATAAAACAAGGCTTGAAATATACGATGTCCATTTAGCGTCAACGTACCACTACAGTGTGGTAATAGAAAGCCTTGACTCTTCTCTTGAAGGACTGGAGCATATATTCTACTTCTACGCATATATATAATGCACCTTCATTCACATGGAGCATTCCATCTTGCAGTATGCGTCTTCCTTTATCACGTGACTTTAACGTAGACCATGTTGTCTGGACTTGAGACAATGTTAGTTAAGTTGTTTTTAAAAAAGGCCCATTTGTAACCTGAGGAATAGAAAATAGTTTCACTGCTTAAAATATCACTCTCTTTATTTGAATATACTCCTTTGCTCACCAAAACTTTTTCCAATGCAATGAAACTAAGGCTGATTCTGTCATACCTTAAACTACCCCAAACACAAATGTACTAACCTACGATTAAATGAAACCACAAAAAAAACCCAATTCTTAATCATCAGTTTATAAAAAGGTGAATGTGATACATACCTATCCATGATTTCTCATACGACATGACAAATGATCTACAATGTACATCATTGTCACACTCTTTCATAGCACCAACTTCATCGTATACTAACATCTGACAATTTACGAATGATAATGAATAATCACACTCGTAGTCATGAAAACCAGGAAAATCTGCATGTGCAATCGCACGATATTTGTTTCGGGGTCTGTATTTTTCTACAAACATAATACATCAACATTAATTACCATCCTTGATACAAAAATAATCCATTGCAATCTCGCGTTTACCTAATCCAAAACCGTTCCTTAGTTTCCTCAGAAGATACTCCAAGTCACTTAACAATGTGGAAGCGTCGTACATAAATGATGCCGATTTTTTCTTAATTTTCTGCAAATCTTCAAACACACCCTGCGGAGCTCCGATTTGAAGAAACTCCTTCAAATAAAATCTTTCGAGGTTATAAAGATTCCATCTCTCATTATATCCCGCGCATGTGTTATTTATGCAAGACAAAGAGATGTTTTTGGTCTTGCTTCCTATTACACAATCCGAATTAGACTTGCAACGAATTCCTTCATTGGTGACGTCATCCAAGTCTGAAATTTTGACGTCACCATTTACAGTCACAAATTGAATCAATTGAAAATCACGAATTACCAATGAACCAAGCGGAGATTCACTGAAGTACTTTAGCAATCTTGCCAGACCAACAGCAATCTGAAATTGCAAGTAATCGTGATGTCAATAAGGACTCAGTGAGTTTTCAAAAAGGTTAAAGTAGAAATCTGTCTCTCCTAAACAATCTTCTAGTGACAAGAAACATCTCTAGCAGCACCATTGTGGGGACATCACCCGACGAAATAGGGGTCACAAGGGAAGTTCTTGCACAATAAAAAATTGTATTTATGATGAATAAAGTCCAACAATATATTTATAAAAAGTTTTCTACATACCCTAAACCGTTCGTGCCATGCCATCTGCAAGATGGTCATCAGATTTAGAGGAGTTCCAAGTTCGGTGACAACCGTCAAACCTCGGGTTTTTACGTTTCCAGTATCTTGATCGTTTTGAAAGCAGTAGCCCAATAACTATGAAAATACATTAGAAAACAGTTACATTATCTAGGAATGTTTATAACAGATAAGCATTTGTAATTTTCCTCTAATGAAGTCAGTAAGTCATTATGACACAAGACAATATGTAGATACTATATATCTAAGGGTCAGTTGAAAAGGTCACAAAAGATCTCATGGAAATGATAAAGAAATGTCCACAAGCACATGGCATTTTAAAACATTTATGTCCATTTTCCAGTCAGCTTTCAGGTAGTGTATAGAAACTTTACAACACCAACTACACAGTAAACAAAGACCAAAAATATTTGCATCGAACAATGGTGCTTTAGACGGTTGAAAGTATGGAACAAATCACTCATTGACGAATACCATCCCGTACGTCATTCGGAAATATTTTCTAGTTTAAGAAATGTTAGGCAGTTTGGGTATTTTGACGATTATTTTAAGTAGAACGATCTCTTAACAAGAAATCAATTCAGTCGAAGCAATTATATAAGCACAAATATCAAAAAACAATTCAGAGAATGAAAAATAGCAAAGACAACTAACTAAACAGAAATCACTTTGTGCTTGTTCTAAATATATCTAGGTAAATATCCAACAAACGCATAATTCTACTCGCCTCATGCATCTTTAAAGATATGCAGTCGCGGTCTAGCATGCATCTTTAAAGATATGCAATCACTAGTAATGTGCATGCTAAAATGGAGAAATTTTTGGCATTTTTATTCACACTTATTACATTTTGATTTTTTTCACTTTAACGATAGAATTGATACGCAAAAGGTCAAAGCATACCAGAAATTTTCCATCCGATTGTTTTAAACTATATATGAATACTTGCCCAGACATTATGTAGTAACCTTGGTACAAAATAAGAAACACTTTGGGTAAACAACCATATTTCCAACATTCATAGACTTAAAGTAAAGACTCGTGAATTGAAAACTTTATCCTCTTCATTCCTGAAATAGTTTTATCTATGTAACAATGGAAATATATGGATAGGTAGGTATTATCTATTTAAATAAGCAGAACTTTGAAACGGAAATGTAAATTCCTTGGCTAGACGTTTTTGAAAGCATGTCGATGTACAAGAAGCAGATGTTTTTAATATGTTGACCATTTAAAAGCACAATAGATAAAAGGGCAAAACTGACTGTGCGCAATAACCTCCCGTGTGGTAAACGTCTTAAAAAATTCACAAATACAAGATGACGACATGTGAAGAAGTGAATACAGATCCATTAAGACCTTGCATGATCCATCATTCAAAATATCATCAGCAAATTATATCCTGTTTAAAGGAGAATGAATGAATAGATGGGACACCTACTTTAAGTGACGACACTTTACAAAATAAATGTGTGAAAGATGTTTGCAGTAAATAAAAACGTTTAACAAGATCTTTTCGAGTGGACATTCATTCGGTCATGTTCCTCGTTCTTATGATTATTTCATTAACAAAGGAGTATGACCTGTTTGCAAAGTGCTGATTGAAATGCACTAAAACGAATCCTTTGATATTTTCGTAGTTTTTGTTCAAAAGATAAGAATGACCTCTGTTCCTCACTAGAAATACTGTTTGACGCAAACAAAGTTGACACGCATAATCGAAAAACACTGGCCTTGCATGCTTCCATTACAGATTAAATCATCACACTTACTTTAATGACATTGGAATGCTTCAATTGTTGATACAACAACAGCTCCTTCATAACTTTATATCTTGAGAGAAGCAGGCAATCAGAAACCAGTTTTGTTCTTTTCTTTTTCATACAATTGTGAACGTCAGTAGAATCAAGAGCGACACTTTTTACAGCAACCTCTCGATTGTGATATAAACCACGTTGCGTGCGTTTTGTGTACCCTCGACCTAACTCTTCTTGGATAATGATTTGTGAAATTTCCTGACATCCTAACGTATCCGGAAGACCTTCATCACTTTCTAAATGATTCGTATCTGAAGCAGAATTTGTGGAGTGAGTGTTTAACGATGAAACTGCATACCTCAGGCCACGTTCTTGCCAGGCTCGAACTCCATTCATGATAAGATTGAGTTTTAAAGAATCCGAATTCGGAAGATTTCGGTCTTTTTCTGACTTCAGACCATAATCAACATCCATGATATTTTCCAGTTTCCTTGAAAGGTAATTTAGTGAATTCAACTGACCAGTTACGTCTGTACGATAAGCGGAAGAAGGATTTTTAAGTACACTGCCTAAGATCTTCTTTAAAAGAGCATTTTCAGTAATTATTTCTCGTAAACCATATTTTCGCAGGTGAAACTCCTCGTTGGACTTCAGGAGAGTTCCATCATTCACAAGAATATCATCAAGACATTTGAGTGTGTAACGTTCATCTAGATAATAAGAACTTAGAAATACAAATGTAAAATAAAGAGAAATAACGATGCAGAGTAAGAAAGAAACATAACATCGAGTGTTCTGTTTCCATTGTGAGCGTACGTGAGGTTGCATTTCAAAGAAATGAAGACGAAGCGGTAGAACCTACTATCAATAAACACATCTCCGTGGCATTGAAATAACATTACCATATGACACTTAAAATAATACCTTCAACACACATGTGACGTAATTTTTAATTATGATGTTAATTGTAACTACCCACTCAGATAAGTGTTGATAAACAGCAAACATGTTGTCTGAGTCAACTTGTCTTTTGATTTATTGAATTTGTGGCTTTATATGTTAAACGACGCCGCAAGCTGCCTAAACGTTTTGTCTTAAGCAATATTAATTTTCTTTTAATTCATCTTTACAAATTTGCGCGACGCCACCTCCTAATTGATGACTATCTTTTAAAAGATGATCGTCATCTCACAGATTGTAGAAATTATTTTGTGTTTCTTTTTCATGGTAAACTACATGCTGTAAATTATGGCAATAGTTTCTTTACATTGTTTTCAGAAGGAGTAAAAAGATAATTAAACAGCGTTATTCTCTTTAACTCAAAGGATCGAGAACAAAAGTTAAATATCTCATGCTACTGTACGGTAGAACAGGGCAATACGTAGATCGGGATAGCAGCACAATCTATACTTGCAATATTTTACATAAGATCAACTGGAAAGCCCAAAAATTTTCACCGTTCCTGCATCTCGATCGTGTTTATCCTAAGACAAATTAATTTTAATGAAGCAAACGTTTCTTAAAGACAAGGAACACGTGCACACCGCATGAATTTATTCTTGAAAAGTATAACTTAAATAGTACCTTATCATCGCAAGCGAAGGCAAGAATATGCTTCCGTGGATGCCAGGCCAGTGTAAACGTTGGAGCGGTACAAGGTACCTCGCAGATTTTCTCACCTGTTTCCACCATTGCCTGTAACGTAATGAATATAATAATTCAAAAAACGATTTCTGTTTTAATCTTGACACACAAACAAATGAACGTAACTAAGATGCGTAACAAAGAAATGTAAACAATGTCTATTTCCTCACAATATCAATAAGAAGATCTTCTGAACCAGAAGCAATCATTTGACCGTCGTAGCTAAAGCTAAGAGTACGAACGGGCCAACTGTAGTGAAAAAACACAGTAAATTAGTTGAAAGCAAACTTGACTTAACAGTGCAATAAATTGGTAACTTACTCCAGTCTTGAAAATGTTCTCACACACACAAGCTCATCCAAGTCCCACAAACTAATTAATGCATCCGCACTTCCGGTTGCAAAATACCTCAAATTGAAGAATGAATTGGTTTTAACTTTTAGTTATATAACATCAGTGTGCGAATTAGTTCAGAAAAAACGATGTGCAATTTTTTTGACAAAAGTGTTTCTTTATAGGCATAATCAAATCGATATTACGTTAATTATTATATAGTGCTAATTGCTAAATTAATATTTTCAAACGTGAACAAATTCATATGATTTATGACAGTGTTTTTCGTTAAAACCGCTGATTTTTGCACATCGTTTGAAAAAGTGATGTGCAATTGTTTTCATTTTAGCTAAAACGATGCAAATTGCACATTGCACACCGTTAATTCGCACACTGATAACATAAAATCAGTAGTGACCTTCAAAGGCCAGTTGTTCAATATTTGTTTGTAAATGTAGATCGTCCAGGTTGGTATAGTCCTGAGAAGGACTGTTTTTGTTGTTGTTGACTGACGTTTCGACAACAACAAAAACAGTCTTTTGACTCTGAAGATGACTACCGCTAAGGTTGTTGAAACGTCAGTCAACAACAACAACAACAGTCCTTCTCAGGACTATACCAACCTGGACGATCTACATTTACAAACATGTAACAATACTCCCGGGTTCAAACCATTTACTTTAATTCTATATTTACTATTCACATACTTCCCAGTTGGATCAAATTTTATACAGATGCAGTTGGCTGGATGAGCATGAAGCGTCTGAAGAGATTTCAATTCTGGATAGCTGCAAAAATAACAATGTGAAATTTATTTTCATATTCATAAATATGTAAATAAACTGAAATTCTAATAACATAAAGACATTTGGTAAACTTGCAAACCTCAAAACATTGATAAAACCTTGTCCATTGGTCAAGAAAAACAAATCATTGTCATTATTCCACGAGATTTCATTTACCTAAAGATACAGAGATACATATCAAATATACCTAATAGTAGTTATTGTATTGTAGGCTTTACATGAAATGCTATGGATAAGAATTGTAAATTAATACCTCAAAACGAAATTGTTCTTCACATTTTGGTTTGTATGTTTTTGCATCAACAAAAGTTATAAGATCTTCCTACATAATTTTGAAGAAATAATGCCATATCAATACTACATATAGGAATGCATATGTTGTCATTAACAAAGCATTGTTAAGCATAAGTTTGTAAGTTTTAGGGAACGAAATAAGTATGTTCCAATGTATTGTAAATATAGATTCAATGTTGGTGCTATTCTTCAAAACCACAGGTGTCATTATAATATTTTATAACAACATAACATGGTCATACTTTATTTCCAACAGCAATAGTGTTTCCATCAGGACTCCAACAAATGTTAATATTTTCACCTTTAGTGTTCACAACATTTACACATTTTCCAGCTATAAAAGAAAATTGCCAGTTATACACATGAAAAACACAAGAGTATCCTTTTGATGGGAGTATCAGTAATAATTTTCTTACACATTTCCCTGGTATCCCATATTTCCCACTGGTATCCCATATTTACTTGGCATCCAATATTTACCTTGGGCATCCCATATTTCCCACTCGTGTCCCAAATTTACCTCGAGTATCCCATATTCTTATGGTTTTATCACCAGATGCTGTTGCCAGTAAATCAGGATTTGAGGGATGCCAACATAATTGATCTACACTTTCATAATGGCCTCTGTAACTTGCCTCTTTATTCTAGATTACAGTGAAATTAATAGTATTTGTACCTCATATCCTTTGATGACCCACATAATCATTTTTTCTACCTACCAGTCCATATTTATCCAAGCTATAGATGCTAACACACTTGTCAAAAGAGCCCGAGGCCAACCTACGACCGTCACAACTCCACGCAACAGAATGAACCTTGAAATCAATATAGCCAAGTGAAAATGGCAGGATTACTCGAGAACGCCTTTGACGGCTTCTTGACAGTTGATTAACAGATCTCATTGTTTGAGCGAAGTACAAATAAATTTACATAATATAAACGCAAAACTCACTTTGGATGTATGTGCCTGGACGTCTCTAATTTTGGAATTCTGTTCAAAATGCCTTTGCATCTTTTGAAAATAAACCTCTAAACTTGATGCTTTGGAATCCATATTGTTTCTGAGGCAGCATTCCTTGTGTACAGCTGTTTGAACCATTACCACCATTGCACGGGGGAGGCAGGGAAGGTATAAGGAAAATAAATGTCATCTAATAATATTATTGTTATATTGTTATATAAGTTGGGCTCATTAATTTCCACAAAGTGGATTTAATACCACGCATGAAACTCAAAATTGTATCAAAGGCATTGTTCAACAACAAAAGTGGACAATTTTCCACAAATGTAAGAAATCTGGGAAATCACTTGAGATCCCTTCGTGATAAATTCAGAGAATTAGGTGATGGCAAAGTGTCTCTGAGGCAACTAGAATACAAAGGGCATAATATAGCAGTAGTAAGCCTTGAAAATCCTAAATATAAGAATGCACTTAGTGGAAAAATGATGGTGGAGATGGCAGAAATTGTTGATATATTAGAAAATTGGCACGATGGTAAAGCTATCCTTTGAAGGAGTTGGAAATACGTTTTGTTCTGGTGCAGATCTTACAGTTGCCAAAAGTATACTTTCACATGAAGAAGGTGATATGATGGCAACACTAATGCATGATACTGTTTTACGTTTTAAATGTCTTCCACTATTATCTGTTGCATTATCCGAGGGGCAATGTCTTGGAGGTGGTGCAGAAGTACGTGTAAATATGTACTTAACATTTAGTTATATTGTTCTTATATCATTAAAATAAATCAATTTGTAGCTTCTTCTGTGCTGTGATTTCAGACTTATGGCGAAACATGCAGGTAAAGTCCAAAGTTTAAAACACACAATGAATATCTTATCTTATGGTTTTTGTTTATGCATGATAGTGATTCAGTTTGTACAAGCTAAAATGGGCGTAACACCTGGATGGGGTGGTGCTGCACAATTAGTTGAACTTCTTGGAAAGCAACAGGCATTGAAAATCTTAACGTCATCACAGAAAATATTTTCACAAGAAGCTTTAAATATAGGCCTGGCAGATGGCATAATCTCGATGAAAGTGTATGTAGTAAATTGGCAAATATATTCATTACTTATATTAGCTGCAATCCAAGGAAGATATGTGATTGGTTGCTATCTTATTTAACTACGTAGAATGATACACAGAGTCAAGCATGTGATTGGTTGCTACCTTACTTAAGTTCATCTCCTGCAGTCATTCAAGCAATGAAGAAATGTTTGATGGGAAATACGTACATAAACATGATGACAGAGATACTTAAACATGAAAGGTATATGGTATATTAATATACTGGGAGATTTATCAATACATAGTGATTTGTGATGGAAAAAATACATGAAATAAACCTGTATGTTGCATCGTTTTTCAGATCAGTTTTCAAAGAAATGTGGTCAGGAGAAGATAACTTAAAAGCTCTTAAAATGAACATAAAACATCACGAATAATGAGAAAAAACAAACTTGAAATTCAATGGAAAGACAGATGGAAATGGAAGTAGTTTGCCAAATGGTGGTGTGATAGTTGCCACAAACACAAACTAGAATTCAAAACTCTAAATAACAACACAGTTGGTAATGGAAGGCTAAAAATATTTTGGGAACAAAATATGATCAATTGTTAATGAGGCATTTTTAAATTTAAATAAATCCATTAGTCAACTATCTCTTCATTTACCACTGTTAAGCACATTGCTTCAATATGAGTGGTCTTCTATCTTTTGATATCGTCCCTTTACCCACATACTTGTTTAAATATATACAGACTTTCTCTTTAAACATATTAACTCTCTTCTTTGCATCCTGTTTCATCACTATCCCCTTGCGTATCATTGTGTTCACTAGTATTCTTGTGAGTACGTCTAGCAACTTCAATGCTATATGGATGGATTGGAAGAATACCGGCCTACAAAAAAATCTTTAATGGATGACCAAGTGTTATTGATCGGAAGGAATGTAAACAAATTAAGGTGAAAGTCGTGTATCACAGAACTAACACGATAAGATCATAGACTTGTCTATTTTCTCAAAAAATTTCATATCAAATTTGCAATGAATATGAAAGGACATCTTACCAAACCAAGAAGAACGGCTACAGATTTCTTAGGTTCAGCTCCATGGGCCAACCAATATCTTAATAATAAATTAATAATAAAGAACATATGATATGGGAAGTGTAGTGACGGACTAAACACAATGAAAGTTTATATACTTTATCCTATCAACATTAAGACTAATGACTTTTTCGTTATGTTCATTTGGCATTGGATCATATACACCAAGCTACAAAAAGATAAAATACTTTGATTACATTTATTAAAATGAAACAATAATTCCGTAAAGAAACGTTCGGACTATTTCTTTATTGTACGTACCTGCTCGTAAATATATCTATTTCTTGCTGCTCTTCTTTTACCAGCAACAATATGAAAGAAAGGTCTGTTTGGACAACCATAAAGTGCCAAACGCAACACTACCGAAGACTTTCTCACTCTCGCCATTTTGAATTCACCCCATTTGTCAAGGGGGGGAAAGGACGCTTGTCACGGGGGGAGGCTACACCCTAATTTGGTAGTAGAATATTTATAGAACAACCATAATATAAATATCTTTTAAATGTCTGAAGGCATTCAACAATTAAGCAATTGTTCCCAACAAAATGTCGAGGTATATGAAATATAAGTGTTCTGTGAACCTGTTGAAAATTAAATATTGACTTAATATTCTTTGAATAAATTGTAAACAACTTGTAAACAAATAAACTATCTTTATAGATAAAATTGGATATTTTAAGCAGTGATGAATTTGAAGATGAACTAAGAACTCTGAAAGGAGTTTTTACTTCATCATATGGCCCAACAGGACGGTAAAAATATATGAAAATCAATTTCATTCTGAAATCCATTGTGATTGATCACACAGGAAAATGATTTTATGTAGGACAAGTTATATTCAAAATGTACATGGTGGTCATGTGAGAGTAACTTCAAGCTCAAGTCAAATACTTAATAGTATTACAACAGTTTCAAGTCCCTTAATTCAATTGTTATTGAAGTCAATCCAAGGTCAAATCAACCAATTCAGTGATGGGGGAATTTTTGTTGCACTTTTGACAATACAGTAGGTATACAAACCATTCTTCATCATCACATTTTGATCATTTACATGGCATTTTCTTTTGTTTAGATTGATTGAATCATCACTAAAATCAGGCCTCCCAAGACACACAATTATAGCTTTAAATGATATTGCTCTTAGTATTATTCTACAAAATGTCGACTATTTATCAATCAAAGCGGATTTTAGCAATATTGAGCAAATGCTTTGTGTAATAAAAACAATCCTGCTATCAAAACCTGTCATAGGACTTTCAACTGATGAAACACAAAAACTGGCTGTCACTTTGCTTCAAGTAATATGGACTGTTTCAATTTTGAGTCGCTCAAACAAAACATAATTTAAACTTTAGCACATTTACAGGGATTTTTGAATTGTGTTCCATCAGAGAAAGGTGGTTCATTTGAGTTGGATAACTTAAGAATTCAAACTTGCGAAGGGCCATCAATTGAGAAGACATGTATAAATCAAGGCATTTTGTTGGAATTATGTTGTCCGAAGTAACTCCTATCAATGTACATAAGTATATTCTTGTAAAAATATAAACCATTATAAATTCATTTATAAACTTTCTTATATATTTAGACAGATGACAATGGGATAAAAGTTGCACTTTTTGATTGCTCTCTGGCAGGCAATGTGGAAGATGGTTGGCCAAAAGGAGGAGAAATAGAATTGCTCAATGACACATCTTTTAAAATTGAGGATGATGTATTAAGACTTATGATGAAAATGGTTGATGATATGATCAAGCATCATGTTCAACTTGTAGCATGTCAAAAAATAATTCATCCAACACTTCAACATTACATAACTTCTCATAACTTATATTTTGTTGAAAGATTGACAATATTTCATATTGAAGCCATGCAAAAACTTACTGGAGCCAAATTGATCAGTTCATGCTTGGCTAAAATTAGTGAGGATAGTTATGGATCATTGAAGGAAATCAAATTATTGACAATACAGAAGAAAAGGTAAAATAAAACAATTATGTTGTTCCCAAATCCAGCCATAAATATTAAATCAGTTTGTATTTTTAGATATCTCAATATGATTTCTCATCCAGAAACAAAACCAAAGATTTCGACACTATTGTTGTGTGGGCCAGATGAACACAGTCTTGACGAATTAAAACTAGTATGTCCAGGAGTTTTAAGGTCTTTGAAGCAATTACTGATTAAACCTTATATTTTACCCGGGGGAGGATGTTTTGAAACAATCATGACAGGTACCTTACTAGAGACTACAAAGAGTAACAGCAATATTTATCATGGCATCTGTACTAAAGGTATGAAAGTTTTATGATCAACAACTTATCTTCAAGACATCATAATTCTATCTCAATCTTTTAGAGCAATACTCAATTGGTCTAAATTCAGTGGCCTCAGCATTTCTCCAGATTGCACTTGCCTTGGACCATGATGGTTTTGATCATCTAGTTGATACAAAAACATTTCACCACTGGATATGCAGGGATAAAAACTTGGGAATTTTGAAACAATGTCTATGTGGCTCTGTGAATAGGACAGAAACCACCGAGTTTTACATGACAGAAGAGTTATTGAGAGCAATCCCTATGGATATCAGTGTACACAAGACATTAACTTTGGATAGTAATGAATACAGACAGTCAGTATTTGATGTAATGAGCATTAAGGTAAATGGTATAAAGATAGCATTTGAAACTGCAAATACTTTGTTGAGAACAAGTCATTTTGTTAAGGAATTATTAGACAATTGTGAACACAAAATGAAGCAATATTATGACATTGGTCTTTTTAGATATTTGATGAAGTATCATAAAATAAGATTAATTAATATTGTTTTAATACATACATATAAAGGTTGTGAGCTTAGCATTTATGCCATGGTGTTTATGATAAATACATTTTCCACTGGCCTAAACGTTGGAAATAACAATAGTACACATATTGAATGTCTCTAAAATATCCTTACATATCCTCACTTCTCTATACGTACCTATCATCATCACCTGTTGCTACTAAACCAATGCGTTTGACAACTTCCATACCTTCACAGACACGACCAAATATGCTATGTTTTCCTGAACAGATTGAAATATTTTATACCATAGAATACAACATCCTAAACCAAGCATTACAATACTAACCATCAAGCCATTGAGTTGGTGCTAATGTTATAAAGAACTGACTACCATTTGTATTAGGACCACTAAAAAATAAAGAAAAACACACAGATAAGAGAACAGAGTGACCAGTGTAATGAAATAGAGAGCACAATTTTGTTTTACCTGTTTGCCATTGAAAGTATCCCTGCCCCTGTGTGTTTTAGTTCCCTCGTCAGTTCATCTTCAAATGTAGGTCTATAAAGATAGTGGTCATTTTACACCTCAGAACTTTTTCCAGCAATATTTTAGGCTCATATGTGCAGGGTATATGGTTAACCTTACCCATATATGGAAGCACCGCCTCTTCCTGTTCCAGTTGGATCACCGCCTTGTATCATAAAATCCTGAAATTTCTCAACTTTTTAAGACATTTTATTGACTTACTCAACAAAAAACTATAGATCAGAAGCCAAAACGTGAACATAAATATCTTTATTCTTTACCTTAATCACTCTGTGAAATCTACAATTGTTGTAATAACCTCTACGTGCCTGTGAGTAAATTACAGAATAAATATTGAAACAATTGAACAAACTGCGAAGGGTTGTCAGTTTTCACTAGGCAACAACTGAACAACGCAACATTATTCATTATTAACTTTATGCATACCAATTCCGCAAAATTTTTGCAAGTTCTTGGTGCATGCCTCCAATATAATTCAACAGAGATGTTACCCTAAATATAATCAAAGTAAAAATAGATAATTCATTTAAAATAGACGAGACAACAAGGAGAAGACAATAAATTACCATTGTGGTTTTTAAGGTCACATTCGCTGGTTTTGCCTCCATGTTGGAATCGTGAGTGATGGTATTTCTTGATAATAATTTATTGCCTGCGTGGCAGGCTCATGCGTGGACTCTTCTACCCTGTAATTCGAGGGCTTGTTGCAATGCTGCAATTGCCTTATTGCCATAGTAACATGATTCAGGGACCTACCCAGTGGAACTACATAAAGAATTACCATTAAAAAATACATTACGGCATTACCAATGTACATTACAGACCCACACAAATCCATTTGGGGGACACCACTATTCCTGTTATCTACTATCATTAACCATTATCCAAATTATCCTTCTATTTTTATTGATTGTTAACTGTAATGAAATTGACCAATCAGCTACAGCTTATTATAAATAGCATACATCCATGACAACTAATGGTTAAACAATGAGCAAACTATGTGGAAAAATAATGGTTTATCGTCTTTTCTGATATTTTTTTTTTGAAATTTGTATTCCAAGTATGTGATACAAACTGAAAACGCACAAGAAATAGGTTACTTCAAAATAAAGAATTTCGAAATCAATGTTGAAATATGCCAATATGTCAGACACGTTTGGAACAACTTCAAGTCTTGAAACTTTTTCAATCCGTTCGAGAGGAAAATAAAACACAAATTGAAAAGCTAGCTACAAATGGTGTCCCTGACTTGATCAATTACTCAGGTTAGTAGAATATTTGAAAAATCTTACACAAGTTAACGAACGTAATAAAAATGGACTTATGGTGAATGGTCTCATAGAACCTGAAAATGGTGATACTGCATTGCACATTGCTGCTTGCAAAAATAACAAAGACATGATCATGTTCCTATTTGATATGGGAGCTAACCCAAATGTCCTTAATAAACAACATGAAACACCTGCTATGAAGGCAGCAGAATATGGTCATATTCAATCTTTGGAAGTGTTGGCTCAAGCTGGCTCAGATATGACAGGTTCCATTTAATATACATAGTTCATGCTCATTTATGCATTCCGATTGCGTGTCTGGGACAAATTTCTGACTTTTCTGAAATTATTTCTTTTTAGTTTATAATATCGACGGTAAAGGAATTCTATTTTACTGCCTGACATCAACTACGCCACTTAACTGCCTTAAAAATGGCATTAGAACATGGTGCTGAAGTGAATAATGTGGTGAGATTTGCATATGGATAATTGCATCAACTGTTTTGTTTGAAAATCATATTTTGTCCCCCTTGATAGCATTCATTCATTCATTATTGCCATCTTACATCTTTTAGACAAATGATGGAGTGCCTCTCTTAGTGAAAGCTGCAGAAGATGGTCTTGAGGAATTTGTTGTGGACTTGTTAGAAGCTGGTGCTGATCCAAATAGCAAACATCTGGTGTGTACATTATTCAAAACATTAATTCACATTATTTTTCTACATATACTTGTTATTATTTGATAATATTGCATTGTTTGTTCCAGAAAACGTCATTTTCAGCATTGCACGCTGCCGCACTATCAGGAAGTGTAGAATGTTCAAGGTCAATTCTTGAAGCAGGTGCAAATGTGGATGTCTTAGATGAAAAAAACATCCATGCCTCCCATCTGTAAGTTTTAATATAATTTTCTGTTTTATAAAATCTTGGCAATTCATTTTATGTTCTTAGTTTTCAAGTTGTGTTACATACATGTAGTGCAACAGAGCAAGGTCACCTTGATGTTATCAGATTACTTGCATCATATGGAGCTGATCTTGGTAAAATCAACAGACAGGGAAATACCCTCTTCATATTGCTGCTATGAAAGGATATGGCCAGATTTGTAAATTTCTTGCACAGAGAGGTGATTCATTGCCTAGAAATATTTAATTTTCATATTACTACATAGGAGTCAATAATTATAGTTTATACTTTCAAAATAGGTTGCTCCTCTTTGTAAAAACAAGGAAGGAAAGCTTGCAAGAATAATTGCTAAAGAGAACGAGCATAAGGAAGCAATGAAAGAATGCAAGAAAGCAGAAAAAGCTGAGGCAAAAGGGAGAGGCAGTAAGCCTGGGACTGAGCCATATGCTATCAGAGTAAATATCAATCTTTAAAAGAAACAGCTGACTGGATAATTTATGTTGTGTTAATCATTTTTCTTATTGCATAATTATCATAGCTTTATGATTGGATGATGGAGCAACAAGAGAAGATACTAGATTTGTTTTATAAGTTTGATGTTGAAAATGAAGGTGGTAGTCGTTCAGGAAAACTGAGCAAAGATAATTTGATGACATGTTTACTAACATTAGGTATTTTTTTTCATAAAATCATTTTCACATTGATAATATGTAATTTCATTAAATACCTTGTTTGGATTTATTAAGATCCATTTTAATAATCATGTTTGTTTCTTTGAGGTGCACCTATTGACAATGAATTATTGAAAAAGATAATTGATATTCATGATCCCAATAGAACAGACTCTATTGACTGTTCTATCTTTCTAACGGGTAAAAAATTTGTAAACAAGGTAGGAACTCTTCCCGATTCCATTTATATTGACTTCAATTGACTGGAGTACTTTTTTTCTTATGTACCTACAGTTGTATCAAGTTGGAGCAGTGAAGGTAGACTTTCATTTTTACATAGTTACTAGAGCCGTATTTGTGTTATTTTCTACACTGCATAAACAATCAACTTGTCTTATGTTTGTTTTGTAGAAAAAGAAAAAGAAAGGAGGTGGAAAAAGGGGGAAAAGAAAAAAAGTATATACTTGTGAATTTGAAACATTTGAAGGAAATTATATGTTTACAGTAGTGTATTTATTTTCATTATTAAGGGCAAGACCAAAGTTCCTTTGCCTATATGCACAGCTCCAGAAGGTCCAAGAAACAAAAATGGTGGTCCACCATCTCAATATATAGAGCAATGCACAGTAAGACATTAGTATTTACTATCAACATGTGATTGTATCTTTAACAGAGGGGGCAATACTATCAACTGGTAATGGTACTATTAATTTGTGATGGTACCATTGACTAGTGATGGTTTCATGAATAATACTATTAACTAGTGATGGTACTATTTACTAGTGATGGTAATATTAACTAGTGATGGTAATATTAACTGGTAATAGTACTATTAACTAGTGATGGTACTATTTACTAGTGATGGTAATATTTACTAGTGATGGTACTATTAACTAGTGATGGTAATATTAACTGGTAATAGTACTATTAACTAGTGATGGTAATATTAACTAGTTATGGTAATATTAACTGGTAATAGTACTATTAACTAGTGATGGTAATATTAACTAGTGATGGTAATATTAACTGGTAATAGTACTATTAACTAGTGATGGTACTATTAACTAGTGATGGTAAAATTAACTGGTAATAGTACTATTAACTAGTGATGGTAATATTAACAAGTGATGGTACTATTTACTAGTGATGGTAGTATTAACAAGTGATTATAGTATTAACTAGTGATAGTTCCATGAATAATATTATTAACCAGTGATGGTAATATTAACTAGTGACTGTAGTATTAACTTTGTGATGGTAATATCAATTGGTGATGGTGGTATTTGCTTGTTGTAGCTTTTTACTGATGAGACAAGATTTAATCGAGATCACCCTCCTGACCACCCTATACATGATGACTCTGCTTGGTATCTTAATTCACCAGGTAGATAGAAAGTTGCTATCATTTGTATGGTCTATAACAACAAACAATGTCAAGAATGAAAGTGCTTACCTCTTGATACAGACCCAATCTATGTAAGTCTTGGGGATGCTGTGAAGTTTGGTGATTTAGAATCGATCAAATTTGCGATCAACAACTATGGCACTCCTGTCGATCAAAGAGACAAGTATTACAAGACCCCACTGATGACTGCTTGTCAATATGGCAAAATCAAAGTAACCCAAGCTCTACTAAACATGGGGTGAATATGAATCTACGTTATTTTTTATTACTATGCGAGTTCACGTACATTAAAATCTTTTTTGATTTTTTCTTCAGCGCTGATTTAAAATCAAAAGATAATTTCTTTTGGACACCCCTTCATCACGCATGTCACTGTGGTCAGCTTGACGTTGTTCAACTACTCGTCGATTCCGGTGCAGACATTGATGCTCAGGCAATCAATGGAGGAACACCGCTTATGAGATCAATTGAAAGTTCAAAACTAGATGTTGTATGCTATTTAATTTCAAAAGGGTGAGAGTTCATGTTTTATACGTCGTTATGTCCACTTCAAATTAAAATCACTGTTTATTTCCTCAAAAATTGCATGTTTTAAAAGTGTATTTTATTTTCTTTAGCGCCAAAGTTCAGCTGGAAAACAAGAAAGGTGACACGGCATTAGATATAGCGAAGGCGTACGCTGATCCAAGAGTCATTGAAGTTGTTCAAAAACGTTGGGATGAGATTCCACCTCCAGTTGACAAGAACAAAAAAGGGAAAAAAGGGAAAAAAGGTTTGTTTATGTAAATCATGGTTTTATCTTAACATGTGCTTGTGTTTTTTCCTTCTTCTTTCATGTTTTAGGTGGTGGTAGCTCGGCTAAGAAGAAAACAGTGAAGTCTGCCAGTAATAAAAAGAGTAAAACTGACACTTCTTGTTCATCACAAGATAAGGAAGTACGTTTTCGCTAACAAAATATAAAAATCTTTTCGATTTTTTCTATTTATCATTAAAAACGAGATTTCATACCTTAGGAAAGTAAAGTGGAAAAAGATCTTCCTCCCTTACTTCCCAAGTCCTCCGTACTGCGAGCGGCATCTGCTTTGGGTATTGATGGAGAACAAGTCAGATCTATAGCATTTATACCACATAAAGCCTGGATACCTCAGACAACAACGGTTTGTTTGCAACGCTTTTCTTTCAATGAATGACAAGTCAATGATTGCCATGATGATGCATTTCCTTCAGGAGGATCTGTTGCGTGAACGTGAAACGCGAAGATTACGATACGGTTATGAAATAGATTTTCCAGAGTATAAACCACCATTTCAGAAAAACATCGACATTCGCGTAAAAGAATTAGAGAAACAAGATAGCTGACCGTTGTTCAACTTCTTTCAGACCGTTGATGTGTAGAATGGCACGTTCTATCATTACAGTCAAACGAACAGACCTGTGGAAGAAAGAGGCTGTTCAAGCAGACGTTATTCACGTCCTTTGCTTTTCATTGGTTATACTTGTTGTTTAGGAAAAGCCGCGTTAGACTTTATTGACTTTTGTTGATATTTAAATATTATATTGAGTATTAAACTTATTTTATACTTTTCGGTGTGTAACAATGTTCTTTTGCAGTTTTGCAGTAATTGAAATCGTGAGAACGATTATCACATTTTTTACAGTGAATTGAAATAATTTACGTCTAAGAGATAAAAGTTAACATCCATCTAACATCAATGTCCGTCAATAAAAAACGACGACAGTATAAATATTTTGGTGCTGAATATAGCAGTAATCGTGATAGGAGGAAAGGTAAAAATTACAAATACGATATTATATAACATACCTGTTTTTAATGTATAAATGAAATATCAAAAAGCACTACTCATTTACACACATAATTTAATTGGATAATTTAGCATTGAGAAGTATGTTCGAACATTAAAACACTAGTGCTCTCCAGCCTGATAAGAATATTTTATATACAAGCATATTAGTGGTCAATTCTTAAATATGTAGGAAATTATTATTTACACGAGAATGGCGACGAAGAAGTTCTATCTAGGATAACTTTTATCACCATATTGTGTGGTTACATAAACACCGTTAACACCTTTCGTTGGATCATTTGGTTTCAAAACTTTACTTGGATACCTAGGGAGCAAATCATTGTTGTTCAAATACAATGATTCATTTCTTAAAATGACGTTCTTCATTGAAGACGGTTCGCTACCGTATATGATTGTATTAGGACGTGTTGAATTGATAAATCCTTGAACTGATTCAACTCTTTCGCCGTCAAGCAAGCAATCTTTTGCAACAAGTTTTTGATCATTTTTATTTTGATAGTCACTGCCAAGCGAGGTTAGAGGACGAGAGTTAAATAAAATAGTTGTAGTACTTCCTTCCGACTTATTCCATGAGTGGGAAGTTGTTATTACAGGTTCGCGTACGCAGTTGTTAACGATTGTTGATTGAAGTCGCTGAGAATTTAATATAGAACTGATGCCCTTACCATGATTAATAAAAGTACCTTTAAATGTCGAACATTCTGGAAGAATATTAGAGTCTTTTGGTAGAATTCGTATTGAATTCAAAGACTTTTGAAAATGTGCATTAACATCGCTTATGACACCATTAAGTTTAACAGATTTTTCTTGGAGTGAATTGGACACGGTTTCAGCTCTACTTTTCAAATCTTCGCGTGGATTATCAGATTTTGAAACAACGTTCTTTATCTTGTTGCATGGCAATGAACCACTAAATCTGCTGTCAAGTTTATCCTCTGATGAGCGTTTGGCTTCTTCAGAAATGTTATTTTGTTGCTTGTTAAGTTGAGATCGTTCTACAATCCCAGCAAGATGCGCGATGCTGAAATTAGATTTTGCTTTCGACTCCAATATATTTGTGTCTGAATCTTCATGACCAAAGATATGCATCTTTTCGTTACTCTCTACAGAATTCTTGAAATCCTCTACACCTGAAGGTGATGATGACTTGGCGATGGTACAAATCGACGGAAGTATTTGATCTCCAGGCTTTGTCTTCAAGGCGTCGTTAGTGTCAGTAAAGGTTTTTGTAAGTAATTGGTCAGGACCTAGATTAAATTCACTGCTACTCAAAGTAAAACAAGGATTAGGCATCGCAGGTTCCATCAATTGTAGGTTTAAAGAACATTTACTACTTTTTGACTTTCCAGGACCGTTTCTACCTTTATTTTTTGAAACCGCATAGATCCCCACATCAATATCCATTTCTTCATCATCATTATCATATTTATCCTTATTTATCCTTCGTTTACGAGGTGGACCAGTCACTTGTGTGTCACATTCCTTAATTTTTTCAAGAAGTTCTTGTTTTCGCTTTGACTGCAAAATGACTTCGTTTAACAATCCTTTACGAAAATTATCTGGTACATGTAACTCACTCAAAAGGACATGTTTTTCTGTCTTTCTAGCATCAAAATTTGAAGTTCTACTTGTGGATTCAAGCATTGATACTTCTTTATCCATGTTTACACATTTCTCTATTAGAGTGAGTTGCTGTTCAACTAACTCGTGCAAAGTTATGAACGCTTCTTCTGGTTTCATAGCATCCAAACCAATTTCCTCCATACGTTTCTCCAACAACATCTTACCATTTTCTTGTAAACTATAAATATGACACTCCAGTTCTTTAACCTGATTTGTTAAAAGTCTTTTCCGTCTACGAACTGCTTCAATATCTTGTAGCAAAGATTCATTATACTGTGGTGTTTGCATGTGCTGCCAAAATGCAATATACTGTTGTTTCATTGTTTCCATAAACTCATTAAGACCATGAGGTATAGGTGTAATATATCCATTGCTTGACTTCACTAAGGCTGACTTTGTTGCTTTATCAAGGGCAGAGACAGCAAGATAGTTTAAATTTTGCTTATTGTTTTTCTTTATATGTCTACGATATTTTCGCTTCACATTAGAGGCTGCATCTTTCTTTTGATCTTTGCGCTTCTTTTTCTTTTTCTTCTTCACATAATCAACATTCAACGTGTCTGTCTTGTTCACCACAACTGGCTCAATCTTGTGTTGTTCTATCAAAGCAATGAGATTGTTCCACTGACGTGCAGTTGTTCCCTGTGATAGCTCATCCAGTTCATCCAACTTGCCAACCCATTCATCTTCAATGCCAATAGATCCATCAAGACTACAGGTTTCTTCCTTATCCTTCTTCCTTTTCAACTCAGAATAATACTCCTCCAACAATGTGCTATCCACCATCTGGAGATAGTATGACACAGGGTTACCAGTCCATGACACTGAACCTGGCATTGTTGCTAACTCTGTAATCCTTAGTATAGCACCAATATCAGATAAACTACGATTTGTCCTTCGAAAATTCAAAGGACAATATGGTTTAGAAGATATAATCTGTGTCCCATCCTTCAGGCGTGAAAACCTTTGCTTTAGTTGATGATCAACATTTGGACCAAAAGCAAAATTATTTACAAAAATTATAGATGCCCTGGAAATCTCTGATTCATTGTTATCTGACAGAAAATCCCCTTTCTCTAGTCGAAATGGGCTGTATGTTTTTCCATGCCAACTCATCCATTGTCTGAACAATCTATCCATTTCTAGAGAATATTTTGCAGGAGTAGATGCCTTTTCAATACCAACACACTCTTTAACATGAGTAGATGCAGCAACCTGCAGCACAACTTGACCAACACCACTTCCTAAGTCCAGAAAAATTTCCTCCGACTGAAAAGGTATAGCTTTTACCATTTGTGCTACTAAATCAAAAGAGGTCTCTCCATAAACTTCGGGTGAAAAGGGTTCGTACAAATTTAATTTTTCTGGATCTTTTATACTATGATTATAAACTTTCGATAGTACATGTCGCAGTAAATCTTGCGAAGGACGCTGATTTAAACATTTTGGTGGAGATCTTCCTTTCCAAAGTTTAACTACACTATCGACGGCCCGATTATAACGCTCACACATTGTTGACATGCTATGAAAACACTTTGGGTCGTATTCGTTCAAAACTCGATTTTCAATGGCAATTTGCAGCTCCGGAAAATCAACTCCAACCCATCGTATCGTTTCAATAATTTCTTGTGTATCGTCACGTCCATTCGAATGATGTAAAGGCCAATCGTACGTAATTGCTTCTGCCCCAGCAGGACTATGAAGCCTCAGCACTTGGGCCATTGCCTCTTAAGTTTATCGAAATAAAAACATCTTTTAAAAATGGATATTTTTATTTGAGAGCAATGTCGTGTTTCGCGGCTACATTCCTACCATAGAATATACACGCTATGTGCTTCCTTTTGACAAAAGCATTTTCATATTTATTCCTTGCTTCGCCTCACTGGTTTACAAAATATTTTTTCATTTCAAATTTTTAACTCTACTGCAATGAATTTGAATACGACGATATGCTTTTATAGATTTTTTGTATGAACTTCACGGAAAACAAGCGTAATTATTCACCTGAATAAAGAGATAAACGTTACTTGCGCTTTCTTTGTAAATAATCACAAAAATTTCCTTTGAAAAATTTCGAAACATTCCAAATTAAACATTCGTGACTAACTGTAATGAGCAGGATTTTATGTAAGTGAATTATAATAAAGCTGCACTATCTACTTCTATTAAAAAAATGCCAAAACCGATTAAATGAAGAGCAAAAATTAGGTCATTAACTGGGAATTCCGATTTTATTTATTAAATATTAATAATTATGTCCAGCGTCCTTAGAGATCACTGTGTGAGATAATTAGTTCTCAGACCTCTGTAAACAACGCAGATCATTTAAAGTTGTCATGAAAGAACTAATGAACTATTAATGAATTTCTTTTCGTCAAACAAAAAACACTGTTTTGTTGTAACTTATTTACCTAAAATTACTTTGTAGAACACTAAAACTTACAAGAATGCCGGAAAAGGTTTGTAAACATTCATACGCATCGTGAAATGACTCAAATACATCATTGTTCCTATAATGTATTTATGTAGCGGGTAATTTGAAATTATTTCTTTACAAGATAACTTCTTGTGAACTTATACATGAAACTAGGTCATGAACTTAAATCATGAAATTGAAGTATATTTTAGTTGTCATAATGATAAAATGCTATGAAACACCATCACTTTTGCTAAATATTTTGTATAATAAATGTATGTGTCATAGGTGCATCATGTCTTGAATTTATGGCAAAATGCTTGATATAAAATTTCATGTCTGCCTTCTTTTGTCATATCACGAGACTTGTGTATGCTGAATTTGTACACAACCTGTTTTTACCAATATACCTGCACTTAATGTTTGTTATAGAGAAGGACATCAGTTGTTCATCCGATCACTGATTTTCCTACTTGTGATAAGGTGTTGTATTTTTATCATGTTATTTTCTTAAAGAAATAAATATGTATTTAGATCTCAGTTGCTATGATAGAACATTGTCATTCCGGTTGCTTACTTTTGGTTTGCTAAACAACAGGTTAATAATTATATAGTAAATAGATATTCATAAGGAAGATAGGGGCTGTATTTAATTCAGGAATCGACATTTAAATGATTTAATTATCCAATGAGAATCAGATTTAGTTTTTGTATTTACTTGATTAAGGAAGCAAAATGCTACTGGTTAGGACACCCTTTTATCTTCCCTCCATTCAATGAAGAGCTTTTCTTTCAGTGCCCGAAAAATGAACCAACATTTTTTGATCCAGATTGTGAAGGTTGTATGGAGATTTTATCAAAGTATGTACAATGCTGACAACATTTTTTACAACAACTTTTCATTTCTACACTTAAAAGACATTTTATACTAACCTTCGTTGTGCATCTCCTTGAAGTGTTCTCGCAGAAAATAATTCTTCACTTCCTAAACAGTACACAACTTTGAAATGGAGGAATTTATGTGTGATAACTCTTTAAAAAATTTACCAGTAAAATATTTACCCAGTGCTCATAAGAATGGTAAACGATGTCACTATTTTCTTTATGATTACATTACTCCCACGTGGGAAATCTAAAACTACCGTTGTAGAACCGTAATTTATGATTCCCATTGAGCTTTTACCACGAATTTCAGGGAGGACACATCCATATCCGAAATATTCGCTATCGTGAGACAATGGGTACCGCAAGTGCAAAAAAATTTGGAAAAATTTGTTCACGAGGTTGGATGAATACATATTTCTGTGATCTTAGATACGTTAATCACGCTTTAAATACTCCATTTTCTAAAGAATAAGCGATAGAGAGATAAGATGGGGAGATTAAATAACCCAAGATGATGACGTAATGTATTTACCATTCAGATAACACGACGTGGTGGAGGTATCAATGACCGCGATGGTTTAACTGACATGACGTTACTTCATTATGCTTGTAAATCTGGATCTGGTGAGATAAATTACTTTAGCAAACCTGTGTATGCTTAATGTACTTTAGAAACGTTTTTTTCTTACAGTGGGTATTGGTGATGTTGATAATGCAACTGCTTTGGTTACTGAACTCATTTCTCAGGTAACTGGAACGCTATTAATGACATCCACGACATTGCCAATTGTTTCATCTATTCATCGATACAACACATTTTTTTTAAAGTTTTCTTCTAGTATCGGAGTTACGTTATAAAATAATGGATTTACTATAGGGAGCAGATCCTTCTATAAGATGTCGATGGACGGACATGCTTCCCATACATTATGCCGCTTTCTTTAACTGTGCGCCCGTGATCAGAGTACTGTTAAAAGCCAGCGGTGGTAGAGGTGGGAATATTAAAAATTTATATATTTGTATGAATGTGATGGTGGATCGTTTTTGCCTTCTCAGATATTGACGCCACTAGTTCTGGGTTTGATAATGGAACAATACTTCATATAGCCGCGAGCAATCTGTGTTTGGACTCTGCCAAGTGTTTGGTAAGTCGCTAGGTTTTCATTTAATTCGATTTTGAAATCATCTTGGAGTAATGTAAAGATTTCATGTCAGTCATGATGTACTGTTAACTCTTCAAATAGCTGCAACATGGCGCCAATGCATTTGTCAAAGATGATCAGAATAGAACAGCATTAAATACAATCCCAGAAGGTAAACTCATCTGTTGTGTTATGTATGTTGCTTACCTCACCAACCTATCAGATTGAGTGTGATAACACATTTACGTATAATGAGACCTCTGTACAACTGCACAAGGCGCATGCGCTTCATAACCATCTGATGAGTGTAGTAACAAGGTATTGAAATCACCTTTTAGCAAATACTTTTGAGCGTTCTTCGCCATCGTTAGTTATTGCCAACAAACTAAGAAGATTACTAAATGAGGCCGAGACAAGTGGTAGTGAATCAGGGATGGAGTCAGCTACAGTAAGTTTCTTAAAACAACATTTCTTAGTTCTCACATCGCGTGATTTTAACTGCGTTTTATATATTTCTCAATCGTTGCCAGGATTCATCTGTAAATATGTCGGATATAATTGGATTGAAAATTGGTGATCACGTTATAGTTGGTGGCACTAAGGTTTGTTAACACAATTCTTGTGAGGAAATCACAAGTCACAGTTTTTGTTAAAAGTTCACACATCACAGGTTTTCATCAAAGTTCAGACGTCACAGGTTTTCATCAAGGTTCATACGTCACAGGTTTTCATCAAGGTTCAGACGTCAAAGGTTTTCATGAAGGTTTATACGTCGCAGGTTTTCATCAGGGTTCATACGTCAAAGGTTTTCATCAAGGTTCATACGTCAAAGGTTTTCATCAAAGTTCAGACGTCAAAGGTTTTCATCAAGGTTCAGACGTCAAAGGTTTTCATCAAAGTTCAGACGTCAAAGGTTTTCATCAAGGTTCAGACGTCAAAGGTTTTCATCAAGGTTCAGATACGTCCCAGGTTTTCATCAGGGTTCATACGTCAACGGTTTTCATCAAGGTTCATACGTCAAAGGTTTTCATCAAAGTTCAGACGTCAAAGGTTTTCATCAAGGTTCAGACGTCAAAGGTTTTCATCAAAGTTCAGACGTCAAAGGTTTTCATCAGGATTCATACGTCACAGGTTTTCATCAAGGTTCATACGTCGAAGGTTTTCATTAAAGTTCAGACGTCAAAGGTTTTCATCAGGGTTCAGACGTCACAATTTTTTCAAGGTTCACACATCACAGGTTTTTCAAGGTTCAGACGTCAAAGGTTTTCATCAAGGTTCATACGTCACAGGTTTTAGTTTTTTATTTTAGATGGGTATATTACGATACTGTGGCAGTACAGATTTCGCTAAAGGTCAGTGGGCTGGAGTTGAACTCAACGATCCAGTTGGAAAGAACGATGGATCAGTAGGCGGGAAAACTACTTTCACTGTAAACCAAAACACGGTATAAAGTAGAATATTTATGTTTGTCATTCGTATGGTTAATTCAACATGATAAATGTTGTCTTTTAGGATTATTTTGTCCTGTTTCTAAAATCTCCATACCGAAACCACATAATCATGCGATAAAAACACGACCTAACTCTGTTAAACTTAACACGAGCCTCACACGTATCGTACCTTCCAAACGTTCGACAAGTGGTTCGTTACCAGGCTCTCGTTCTTCTTCCCGGTCACCTTCACCTCAACCTACACAGAAAACAGAGGAAAACACGAACATCAAGGTGTTCACATAATGGTGTAGAAATTCATTTTTCACGGTTTTTATGTTTCTCCATAAAATATTTCTTTATGGTTTATAATTAGGTCGGGGATAGACTTGTTATGTTGAATGATAACAGGAGAAGAGGTATCACTAGATATGTTGGTGAAACACAGTTTTCATCCGGGTAAGTTGTGGTAGGAATGACCGTTGTAACTAGACAATTTATAATAAATAATGTTTGTATCTTTAGTCTTTGGATAGGAGTAGAGTTGGACACAAGTATGGGCAAAAACGATGGTTCAGTAAACGGCATTCGATATTTTTGTTGTAAACCCAATCATGGCATCTTTGCTCATCCCTCCAAATTCGTGATGTATGTTGTAAAGATGTTGTTCATGATAAGTAAATGTCTGAAATGAATTTCTTACCATATTTTTCATAATAGCGAGAAAGATGTGCAAGAACGACCGTCATTAGCAAAATCAAAGGACATTAGTATCTCAGATGATGCAATCAACCAACCTCAACAGACTGTTAACGACGATAGTGGGATAAACAGAGATAAAACGAAAAGTAGATTAAGTTTATTGAATAGACGTCTATCCAACTCGGTTCCTGATCTCACTCAGAAGCGCCATAAACAGTACGTATATTATTGTCCTTTAATGCGATTGACAATTGTCTTTACCCAAACCACAAAATTACTAAGTTCCAAATATTGTCAACTACATACATTGCTGCAACGTCACATACGTTGAAATTCCTTTGAAACAAAGTCGCACGGCTCTTTACATATGTAAAGACAATATGTGAAAGGGAAATGGCTGTAAAATCTTACCTCCATCGTATGTAAAGACAATATGTGAAAGGGAAATGGCTGTAAAATCTAACCTCCATCTTATGTAAACACAATATGTGAAAGGGAAATGGTTGTAAAATCTTACCTCCATCGTATGTAAACACAATATGTGAAAGGGAAATGGTTGTAAAATCTTACCTCCATCGTATGTAAACACAATATGTGAAAGGGAAATGGTTGTAAAATCTTACCTCCATCGTATGTAAACACAATATGTAAAAGGGAAATGGTTGTAAAATCTTACCTCCATCGTATGTAAACACAATATGTGAAAGGGAAATGGTTGTAAAATCTTACCTCCATCGTATGTAAACACAATATGTAAAAGGGAAATGGTTGTAAAGTCTTACCTCCATCGTATTTTTACAGATTACATTCCCGTCGGGAAAGTGGTATACCTAGATTCAAACGTACGGCTACCAAGAAGAACAATTCAGACAGTGAAAACGTCAGTAAAAATTCATCATAGCGAGAAGAGTTTTCGTGAACAGTTTTTACTCTCGACAATATGTCTCTTCATGATAGATTTCTTAAGTGACATCTTCAACTCTTTATGAAATCATTTTATTGAGTATAAGACATCAAAAATCTTGTTTCCAAAACCATGTTATAATATTGAATGATATTAGGGCTTTGAAATCGAGACTTTCGATAGAAGAAGATTGATTTCAGTAAAGATTTTTACATGTAATGATCAAAGCTAAACGAGAGTGCGACCTGTATATTTCACCCTAAATCATGTCATTAGATTAAATAACTTAATGTATACTTTACTGTACAGTTTGTGTTTTTCTTAGATGAACCATTGGATAATAAATACCACCAATATACACAATTATCATCCCATGTTCATAGTTGTTCTTCAATCTCTCCTCAACCACAAGATTATTTTCTTGAAGGTGTGCCTACCTTAGACCTTCTAAACCACGGCTTGCTTTCTTCAGCTGCTACCGCTGACATGAAGTTCGACAGACGATGTTCAAGATCTTGCACGTTACATTCAGCTTCGACCAATGATAATTTAGTCTGCGCTAACTCTAGTTCCAGTTCTTTCATGCGCTGGTCAGCGTCCACTATCTTTACACTTGACTTAAACTTCTTACCTGACAATGTATCGTCGTTGTCCGTGAATATTTCTGAACAGTTCGTACACGAACTGATTCTTTTCTAAAATTAAGGATGTTATACCATGAAAGTAAACAGTTTATTGTAGTTTTCTACGTTTAAAATTATTACGTAGTTTTCTACGTTTAAAATTATTACGTAGTTTTCTACGTTTAAAATTATTACGTAGTTTTCTACGTTTAAAATTATTACGTAGTTTTCTACGTTTAAAATTATTACGTAGTTTTACGTTTAAAATTATTACGTAGTTTTCTACGTTTAAAATTATTACGTAGTTTTACGTTTAAAATTATTACGTAGTTTTCGTTTAAAATTATTACGTAGTTTTCTACGTTTAAAATTATTACGTAGTTTTCTACGTTTAAAATTATTACGTAGTTTTCTACGTTTAAAATCATTACGTAGTTTTCTACGTTTAAAATTATTACGTAGTTTTCTACGTTTAAAATTATTACGTAGTTTTCTACGTTTAAAATTATTACGTAGTTTTCTACGTTTAAAATTATACTTAGGTACATATAACTACGTAATTAATAATTTACCAAGATTTCACGCAGTTCTTGCTCTAAATTTGACTTCAGTTCTTCGCTGCGCTCGTCCAGATTTGAGCATATCTACAATGGAAACACATGTAAAGAATTATTTACAACCATTTATTTGACAAGTCTATATCATAGACATCATTAAAGACGATTAAAACGAAGAATAACATCCTAAATACGTAAACATGAACAAGTAAATACGGCTAGACTAAAAAAATTCATGACGGGCGAGATTTGTGTTAAGAAATAAAAAGATGTTCACTTTGTTTGCACAGGGTTATGCAAACCGAGGAGACCTCTGGGAGAACTCGAGAGCAGATCAGTGCAAGTTCAAGTCCGAAAGGTCGAGGGTTGCACCTGCTCGAGAGTTCTTACAAACATCATCGAGGTTTGCATAAGCCATTGCAAACACCAAAAACATCTTTTATTCCTTTTATAAAAGAACATCAATGCGAAACAGACAAATGTAAAACAAACGTATTTATTCTTCCTCTAAAATATGTTGATGATTGATTGGGAACAATTTACCTTCTTGTACTCCTCAATAACAGACTCATATCGTAATTTTGTAGCCACGCTTTCATCGTCATTCTTACGCAATAAATCCTTCACCTACATTTATAAAAATAACGAGCATTTACACAAATTACATAAGCAAAATGCAAAACATTTCATTGCTTACACGAATGTTCTCTGCACGAAGTTTCTCGTTTTCGTCTTCAAGTTCTGGAATTTTCTTTTGCAAAATTTCCATTTCTCGAAGATAATCGTCCGCACGTTCTTCAGCCTTTAAATCCATGAGAAAACCATGTTGTGGTCACATGACAACATTGCATAGTTGATGTAGTGGTCACATGACAACATTGCATAGTTGATGTAGTGGTCACATGACAACATTGCATAGTTGATGTAGTGGTCACATGACAACATTGCATAGTTGATGTAGTGGTCACATGACAACATTGCATAGTTGATGTAGTGGTCACATGACAACATTGCATAGTTGATGTAGTGGTCACATGACAACATTGCATCGTTGATGTAGTGGTCACATGACAACATTGCATAGTTGATGTGGTGGTCACATGACAACAATGGATAGTTGATGTAGTGGTCACATGACAACATTGCATAGTTGAATTCTTTATCGCAAAGGAATAGTACCAGCAAACTGACGATAAGAACGATAAAATTTTGAATTACCTTATCCAACTTTTCTCGAAGCGAAATCTTATTTGAAACAAGCTCATGTGCAAGAGAATCGTTTTCATGTTCAAGTCTGATATTCGCAAGCATCAGCTGTTTATTCTCACGCTAAAAGAATTTAGACAAAAGAAAGCTGAATGATAACTTTTGTTAAAATAGGTACATGTTTATAACTACACGAGAAAAAACCTTCAGTCTCTCCACTGGGTTCTCATTTTCTCTTTCTTTCTTCAATTCATACAATTCTTCGTACCTTTTCAACTTTTTACAACACTCTGTAAGAATAATTCAATACACCAAAAGGTAAAACATACGACGCATGCGCAAGAGGTGAGAAGGTAGTTAAAAGTTTGAGGAGCGCTTACTTTGTAGGAAAGAGTCACATTTATAAAGATACTTTGTTCATCCTCGCTGATAAATCTCTTGGGAAGTGACACGCGAAAGTACTTCAACATTCCTTCAAAACTGAGCTGTAGCAAGTCTTTCTTGGCAACCTTGAAGTTGAAAAGGAAGATTTTGTAAATTACTTAGGACATTATTGTCACGGAAAAATTTAGGAATAAATAAGAAAGTTCAATAAACTTCTTCAATACCTTCAATAGAGCCGTCGCAATTTGATAAATGCACTGTTGACCCTGATGATAAACAAACAAGTTAGTCATGCTATACACATGCTATACACATGCTATACACATGCTATACACATGCTATACACATGCTATACACATGCTATACACAGCCATGGCAAAGTTTTACAACTAACCTCACTCAGATATAAGTCGATAACACGGTAAACCAAGGAAAGAGGAAATTTAGCAGTAAACAGTGTTAAAAACCATTGTGAACCGAACATATGAGGTTCTATTTTATTCTCAACAAAATGACTGTAAAGATCAGGTAAAAATTCCTACAACATATCAAAGAAGGTGGATCGTGTTAATCACGTGATTGATGACGTATTGGAAAACAATGAAACAAGGGTTGGCAAACCTCGACAATTTTTTTCAAAACAAAGAATCTCTCGTTAAGTTTTTCAAAACCATTAAGAAATAATTCTCGATGACCGTAATTGTACATAATCTTGACAAAAACACCAAACGCTTGCTCCTCCGGAAGCTAATGTCAGACATACGTAGCAAGTGAGTGTTGACGGTAAAAGATTTTTAGACATGTCAAAATACTTACATGAAGTAAAAGTACAGCAGCAAGATATGACATTCCTTGACAATAACCGACTTCTTCATCATATACAGAATATGCCTAAAATCATAAAAGTTTTGTATCTTCTTCTTATAAGCTGTAAATACGTAACCAAAATAAACTATGTTTTTTTGCATACCCGACAAATTTTCTCAAGGTTTTCTTGACCTTCACCTTCACTTGATCGAAAATACTCGTGCCCAGGAAACGTGCGATGAATATCCCACTTTATAACTTGTTCAGTCGGCGATTCCTGTGATCACATGATCAATTACATCACAACACTTGTTCAATTACATCCCAACACATGTTCAATTACATCACACATGATCAATTGCATCACAACACGTGTTCAATTACGTCACAACACATGATCAACTACGTCAGAAAGCCTTCAAATAAATACAAACCCTTCGTATAAGATCTTTATAAATCTCAATAAGATCATTTGTGTCATCCAGACACACTAAATTCTGCCAAACTTTGGCTCTCAGTGGCTCAGGAACACCCTGACATTAAATACAATGTAAACATACTAAAAACTGTATGTAAATGACGAGGTTACAACAAGTGAGCATCAGATCGTTATGAATTACCTGTTTTCGTATAAGTTTTTCTAAGTGTTTCGGACGATTTTTAACATCTCTCCATTTTGTCATTATTTCAGACCAACTATCTAATTGTTCAGATGAACATTCACGAAGAACTTCACCAGATCCTGACATTAATGGTTCATCAGTAGCATCGTCATCATCGTCTACGTCACCATCTTTATGAACGTAAATGAATCGTCATTAAACACACGATCTTATTAAACAAAGAATAAAACAGGAGGGATTTAGGGAAGAGGTGCAAAGGGCTGCAATATTCCAAACTGAATACTAAAACAAAAAAACAATTAAGGAAAAATAAATTTGATTTTTTATAGGTGAGCATACTTCCAAAAACCTCCCAATTATAAAATTCTTACCAAATTTAATGAAAATGTTAGACATGCGAGGTCAACAAGTAGCCACTAAAATTTAATCCAAACTAGAGCACACCTTACACACACACAATAAACCAGAGGTCAACAAGTAGCCACTAAAATTTAATCTAAACTAGAGCACACCCCCAACACACACACACACAGACAATAAACTATTGTCATTGTGTGTTAGACATGTGAGGTCAACAAGTAGCCACTAAAATTTAATCTAAACTAGAGCACACCTTCCCCCCCCCAACACACACACACAGACAATAAACCATTGTGGAATAATCCCTGGAATAAACAATAATTTTGTTCAATCTGTAATAATAAAATGTGAAAAAACATAAAATTTCATAATAATTTAACATAATTTTACCTGGATGAGATGTTAATATTTCTTTGATCTCGTGTTGCGTTGAGCATTTAAGACTCAAAACTTCATAAGATTTCTCACTTTCCCTATCACCTTTTGCCTGTAGACAAATGTAGCAATCCCTTTACTAGTATGTGCAAAAATAAAACTTGGTATTTGTGAATGTAAAACTTTGAAAAGTGTGTGCATCATAAAACAAACCATTTTAAGTTCAAGAGTATACTGTTCTTTAATCTTTGGACGACTTGGATTCCAGAACCTTTCATTGGATGGAAAGACTTTAATACCAAGCTCTTTAAGAAAGCGGACAGGTTCACTGATGCCTGATACCACAAAATCAACAGCTACAGTCATTTGTACAACTATAAAAATCAAACAAAACAATGTTTCATCATCTAGAGGAGATATATCCTAACAATAACTTTTACAATTCGTACTTTTCTTTGTCTCGGTGTTCAACACTAAAGTATCCTCTCTTTCTGGGTCCCAGATTCCCGAGACAAGATATGTACGGCCATTGTCGGTGCTTTCCATGGAAACCTATACAAAAATATAAATAGATCCATACTTTTCACAGAAATTGAGAGACAAAACACCAAAAATTCTCTATTCTAACTTTTTCCAGTAAGTTCATATCAGACTGAGTTACGTTTCGACCAGGACAAATTAAAACACCAAAACACCTACCAAATATAAAGAAATCATAAACTTAAATTAATGAAACAATCATTACAATCTAAAAAAAAAAATTCTAACCTTTCCATTATTAGTAATCGATTAGACAACTGGTTGAGCTGAATGTGAACTTGTTTGTGAACACCACGACGGAGCTTAAAACAAGTTTTATCTCGAGGTACAGATAAATACGATCCTTTACCATCATCTTCCAGAATGTCAAAGACAAGATCAAATTTATAGACCAATCCAGATGGTAGCTATGAAAAAGAAATTACAACAAAATTAAAACAATGAATATTATAAGAAGACAATTTTTTCAGTTCAACTTTTTACCTTTTTCTTGTTGTTAAAAGATTGTGCAAATCTTGCTAGAATATTTGGTGGCTATAACGGAGATATAGTAAATGGTTTGAACCCGGGAGTATTGTCGCATGTTTGTAAATGTAGATTGTCCAGGTTGGTATAGTCCTGAGAAGGACTGTTTTTGTTGTTGTTGACTGACGTTTCGACAACCTTAGCTGTAGTCATCTTCAGAGTCAGCAACAACAAAAACAGTCCTTCTCAGGACTATACCAACCTGGATGATCTACATTTACAAACATATAATGGAAATGATAATAAATTAGTATTGAGTCACGAAATCCCTATAAAACCTTTGGCAAACACTTATGTACTTACATTTGCATTTCCAAGACAACGAAAGACATGACAATGAAATACATCTGAACTACCATGACAGATATTGAAAGCAAAGCAGTCTTTCTCTGTACCATTTTCATCACCGCGACCACAGAACAAAATTTTTTGCATATGATATGTTGCAATGACTGTTTGGTTTTTTGGATCAAAAAATTTGACAACTCCATCAAATAATGCACTGACAGACAAAACAATGTCCATTGCAACAGTACTTTGCTGCTTGAGTATAGCCATGGTACGCTTAAGTTCAATGTCACTAACTGGAGCATTCACTGAAGTTGAACCAAGATAGCTGATCTCATGAAATAATGTTGCATTTTTCTCATCAATAAAGCTGCATGAATCTGTTGAAATTTCCTCATCTTGTGCAGGTGTTTCTTTAATCTCATCTGATTTACTTTCAATTATTTCTGCTGAACTTTCAGGTGCAACTTCTTTGTCCTCATTGTGAGAATTTTCGTTGTTTACCAACTTAATTCCATCATGAAATTGCTTTTCTTCGACAACAACACTTCTAGATTGAATATCCCGTTGAACCATTTTCTCATTTTTGCTTCCAAACAATGAGCAGTTGTCCTCAAAAGAACTCTCTCCACTTTCTTTCCCAGCTTCATGTAATAATTTTTTCATATCTGAATGTGCCATTGTCATTTCAACACCAGGGGATTGAGGCAGTGAATCAACCTCTGTGTAGCTACTTAGACTACTGCCATCAGATTTAGGTAATTGAACTCCCTCAATATCATCAAAATCACCTGGATTTAACACTTCAAACACAGGATCTTTTGAAATATTTTCTTCACTATAACTGTTATCATTTTGTTTTGCATTTGATGAAATATCCATTGATGGTGACACCCAGCTTGTACGCTATCTTTAATTTCTGTATTGACGTTCTTACGTATAAAGTCTTGACTTCAATTGTTCAAAAATCTATTCAAAAAACAACATTAATGTTTAAATTTTTTGTGACGAACTGAATTCAATATATTTGGTTCAAACCTAAAGCAGTTTTTAACGCACATAAAGCTACATAAATATAGATGAAAAGCTTAACTTGTATTGATGTTTTCCTAACATTTTTAAAAATTTATGCGAGCAAGTTTTCTATTGTTTATAGTGTAAAAAGAAAGGAATACGGGCACATTGAAATGTCCGTCAAAAAATACTTACTGCATTGAAAGCACTTCTTTAATTAATGACATGTTCAGGGCCTATCAAATACTCTTACTTTTCTTTATAATTTACCAATTTCTTATTCAAAGCAACAAATAAGGAAATATTGATAATAAAAACAGAAATCTTAATATCACTTCACCGACCGAAGAACCACAGCATGTCAACAACAATGACATGAAATATGAGCCAAAGTATCTAGTAACCAGCGGTAAATACCAATTTTTTTATGATCCAATGCTTTATGTAACACATGTGTTTACACAAACAATATCGTTACTCGTTTAATTTTCCTCTTTACTGGTTGTAAATCAAAGACAATAAAGTTAAACATACTTTCTTCAACAGTGAATAGCATGATTAAGTAGTCAGTTCATTGATTCATTTATTCTTTATCTTCGTTCAGCGATTAATGAATGCCAATTAAATGTTGGCTGGCAGGCTAAGGATTCCCTTAAATTTTGCTGCGCATGTTCAGAAATTTCGATGCTTGGTTGGGGGCATTGGAAATAATCTACAGAAGCAAGAACGAAACAAGGGTGAGTTATTACTGGTTTTTTTATTATTGTATATCACATAACTTGAAAATTTACCTTACAGATTTGCAGAAAGACGCCCTGGCACATGAAGATTTTTTCTTAGTATCAAAGTTATTTAATGTTGAAGATCTCCTTAATGCCAAAGTTCATCTTGGGCATCATGAAGGTTGCTGGAATCCATATATGAAACCATACATTTATGGATCAAGGGAGCGATTTCACATTATAAATTTGGATGTTACATCCAAGCATCTTAAGGTGACTAAATAGTCATATTGCATTGATATCAATCCTTGAATATTACCATTTATCTTCTAACTCTTAACTAGCTTGCATTGAATGTCATCTCTCATGTTGCTTATCGCCATGGAGTCATCTTGTTTGTTAGTACACATCCACAATTTGAAGATCTTGTCCAGGAGACAGCTCGGGATTCAGGAGAATTTTTTGTGACAAGACAATGGAACATTGGTACATTAACTAATTCAAACGTTTTACTAAATACAACTCGTTTGCCAGATTTAATAATCTTTATGAATATGACCTTATTTGGTCGTGGCTCCCCACCTATTAAAGAGGCAGCTCAGTGTAATATTCCTTCAGTAGGTATTGTTGATAGTGACTGCGATCCACGCTTAATCACTTATCCTATACCAGGAAATGATGACAGTCCTTTAGCCATGAAATTATACTGTACATTATTCAAGCAGGCTATTTTAAATGCCAAGGACATGTTGCACAGTGTAAATGCTGATGCTTAAGTGGAAGATGTGTAATGTTTCATTTTGTGTGTTGCTTTGTGATTTAGGATGTACTATGCTTAAAATCAACGACAATATTTTCATATCTTTGACGTGTTACTGTCTAGTGTAATTACTTCTTTTTATCCATTAACTAATGGTATACTCATCTGATCTGTTAGTAGAAAAGCTATCATCAAAGACTGGACTATTTTCCTGTAAATAATTCTCCCATTGTTCAATTGATGCTGGATTTAAAACAGCCAATGGCATATCTTTATGTGGAACATTTATTTGTGGCAAAGGCCGCAAAAACTCTTTCAACTTTGTTTGTTTCATCCTCGTTGTTTCTACACTGCTTTTGTTCTCTAAATAATTTTTAATTGCGTCAGCCAGTATTCTTTTGTTGATATCTGCTTTGGTTTTGGACATCTGAAATCAAAAATAAAGTTACAAAAAGCACGCAATTTGAATTTGTAAAGTTTTAGAAACTTCACACCTCTCCTTGATTTATTAACCGTCTGCTTTCCATATACTTCTTAACCAACTCTTGTTTTTCTAAGTAATTTTCCCGTTCCAATCTGACAGTCTCCTCCAGGCTCCTCGTTTTCTCTTTTCTAGCCTCGGCACGATCGTGGTTCTTAAGGGCCAGAGATATTGAATTTTGTTGACAGGCAAACTCGCGCTCAAATGTCAACTGAGATTGTCGAATGCGATTTTTCACCAACGCTAATCTCTGTCGTTCCGATACTTTACGACGCTCTTTATCCAGTTTTACCATACTTGCTCGTAGAGAGTCCGCGATCTTTACACCATCGTGAATGCGGTCTTTTATGATATTCTCGCGATGTTCGTGTTTCAGATTCTATAAGAATGGAAGAAATTTTCACCCCTAATGATTCAGTTACAGTGTTTCAAATAAGTTACTCGCTGTGTTGAAAAAAATGAATATTTATACATATATACATATATATATTAATGGAGAATATTCCTGGATAAAAGAGCGCTCAATATCCTATATATTAGAAGAGCGTAAGATAAAATAAAATAAAATGAACAAGCGTTTGCTGTCGCTACTCAGAGTTTCACGCCGTAAGGCGATCTTCAGGCAACTGACAGATTGTCCTGCGGCGTGAAACTCCGAGTAGCAACAGCAAAAACTTGTCGATTTTACTTTATTTTATAAGTACAGATACTTTATCATCAGGTCTCTTTAGTAAAATCAATGATTTTAAATCCAATATTTTATTTCTACGGGTTATACCATGCACGAAAGGTATAAATACGATATACCTTTCCCTAACAATCATCGATCTTCCTACAGTCCTGCTTACCGTAACTTTCTCAATAGCTAGCTCTCGACTTTCCTTCATCTTGCTCACTTTTTCAGATAAAGCAGCTTGACGTTGAGCTTCATTACGGTCCTCATATGCTTGATGCACAGCCCTGAGGCACACTAGTCCCATTGTGCCGTGAGTGCGCAGAAATAATCTTTGATCTTGAGATAATTTCAATGTAACGCTCGTGTCTTTCTTTTGTCTTCGCCGCCGTCGTTTCTCAGTTTGCAGTTTTTTAAGTGAACGTCTTATATCTTCACCAATTTCTTTCTTTAACATCAACATATCTGCTATTGGTTCATTCTTCTGTATTGGTGGTTCTTTCCCACATACTAGGAAGGCATTTGTTTCATCTTCGTCGTTATCGATGACCATATCTTGTTTTACGTTCTGTTCAATAACATTTCCCAAGAACGCTCGAACAGTATGATATTTTCCGATTTTTTTCGGCTTCAAACGACGCTCACAAGCCGGATTTTCTTGTTCATCATCGTCTTTTTTTGTTTGTTCAACGCTCATTTGTTCTTCAACAATCTTCTTGTCGCCTGTTCTATTTTTCACAACTTTTACTGAAGTTGATTTCTTGTCTGAAAAAAAAGTTAATATTAGCCACTGAAAAGAAGCTTTGGGACAAGGAGAGGAGAGATATAAATTTAAAACTTAATGTCATCATCACCACACAAAATAATGAAGAGGGGGTCACCTCATGAAATGAAGGGGGGAGGGGGATCGCCAAATGAAATGAAGGGGGGTCACCACATGAAATGAAGGGTGATCGCCAAATGAAATGAAGGGGTTCGCCACATGAAATGAAGGAGTCACATGAAATGAAGGAGGATCGCCACATGAAATGAAGTGGGGAGGGTCACATGAAAGAAGGGGGTCACATGAAATGAAGGAGATCAAAATGAAATGAAGGGAAATGGAAGGAGGATCACATGAAATGAAGTGGGGAATGAAATGGAATGAAATGAAATAGGGACATGAAATGAAGGAAGGAAATGAAGGAAATGGAAGGAATGGAATGGAAAGGAAGGAATGGAATGGAAGGAAATGAAGGAAATGAAATGGAAGTAATGAAATGAAGAAGGAATGAATGGAACACATGAAATGAAGGGAGTCGCCACATGAAATGAAGGAGGATCGCCACATGAAATGAAGTGGGGAGGGGTCACATGAAATGAAGGGGGGTCGCCACATGAAATGAAGGGGGTCGCCACATGAAATGAAGGGAGATCGCCACATGAAATGAAGGGGGTTACGAACTAGACACACGTACCAAGTCCAATGCTACTGTAATCTGTCATGTTGTCTAGAGCACTTTTAATGGTACTGATTGCAGAGGACTCAAACTTCTTTACGTCAATCATCAATGGTCGTTGTAATTTCTTCTGTCCTTCAACTACTTCTGATAAAGCCTCAAGGCTTTTAAAACCTGCCTCATCCACTGAACTTGAATTTTTTTCATCAAAGTTAACTTTGACGGTATGTACACCACCTGATTTAACATCATGTGAGAACGATTTTTTGCTTTGTTTCGAATCATTTGTGAAAGCTTTATCACGTTTTGTTGCTTGCGTTGAAGTTTTTCTTTGTTTGCTTTCCACTGTTGGTCGTCTTTTATACGGTTCATAAGACAAAGTAGACGTAGGTGAACTCACCGTTTCTTGCTCTGATGTATAATTAACGAATGGAACATGTACAATTTCTTGTCTTGAACCGTGTATAGCATCCTCTCCCCCAGTCCCTTGTTTGAGAACGGTTGTTTGTTCTAATGGTGTGGTTGGAGGAGGCGAAACAAATGAAGATTTTTCAGTTCCTTCATCAGAAAGATATAATGGTGAAGTCATGGCAGAGTGAACTGTTTTAGATATCTCGATTTTTTTGCCAAAAAAATCTAATGGTGTAGCAGGTAGGGATGGAACAATTCTAGACTTTTCAATTCCTTTATAATGACGATAAAACCGTTGAATAGATGTCGCAGCCCTAATTACGAGAAAGATCATTTTAAAGTCTAATCTATTGCAACGAAACACAGTTCCATTGAAAACCTACCAAACTCTCATGGCCATTAAATATTTGTATCTTTTTCGAGTTGAAAACATTCTAAATGTCTTTTGAACAATTAGAACAGGACAATATCTCGCTTGTGTTTTGTTTACTCTGTCTAACAATGCTTTCATTTGTTTCGCGGCTTCTTCAAGACAGGATTCCTTAAAGAAAGAGATATAACTAGTGTAATGCTACAAATCACATATAAATGAATGCATTACCTGCGTGAGATTGTGCGCAAGATTCACTTTGAAATTTCTACTGAGAGCAGAATACTTTTCCGGCATCTGAGCATCCTCAATTATCTCATCATCTGAGACGACATAAAAGTCTAAAGCTTTCAGAGACCATATGCCATTAACGACGTGGTGACGATAGTTTTTTTTGAGACTGAGAGGTGTGTCATATAGTGTTAGAATGGTGAGCGATGGAGAACAACTGAGAGAACGAATAGCATCTAATTTTGAAATACCATTATCGTGAAGAAGTGCAATTTCCAACTTACGCAAGGTAGTCCAGAATTTGTGACCTGGTATCCGTTTTATCTAAAATTACAAAAGACACAAGACATCAGTCAACCAATTGACACGACATAATCATTCTATGATTTTTCCTGCTTCGTACGACGGCTTTATTTTCATGTAAAGTGACGCAAATCATTAAAAATTTATTCTATGTGGGGTTCGTCTCACCTGATTGGAGTGTAAATCCAGAGCCCACAGATTGACGCATATTATCAATGAATCAAACTCAGTTATATAATTTCCAGGTAGAATACATATCCTTAAACTGCTACACATTTCTAATGCACTTAGGGAATTGAGTTGCTTGGATGTCATGTTTATAAACTGAATATTTGGTAAATCATCTTCGTCTATTCCAATGTTATCGTTCAAATACTCCACAGTCATTCGTCGTAGATATCCACGGTTTGTTGCATTTCTTATTGTCTGTTCTTCTCGTTGTCGATCGAAAATTGACCGACGTTGAATAATTTTCCGCTTAGTCCTCTTCCAGTTATTTTCACTGGAAGTGTTAAAACTCATTATGATACAAGGAGCTTGGAAGATACCTGATAGAGCACAATGAAAAAATAATTTTTACACTCAGTTGGTCGCCATGTTTATGACGCGTTTCTTAGCAACGCTGACGTCAACAAATCGTCATCGAATGACGCCATGCATGGTCATTCATTTATACATTATACGCGCGTCAGTTTATATTTTGTACAGTTTTTTTGGTATGAATTACAACCAATTCTGTTAACTACAAGCTATTATGTACAGGCATTTTTTATTCTATCATCTATTAATATTTCAAGCCTGCATTTGAGAAACCTGGGATTATGGAAATTATTACAACCATTTACATGTAAATACAAGTGCTTTTGACACTCAATACACTCTTGAGCAATGTTAAAACTTGCTTGTTCTTAGATATGTCAGTAATTTGTACTTATTTTCTATGGTCCAGCGTTTTCTTTGCTGTCACTGCATTGCTTTCGTGGAGTTTGTCAGGTCAGTAGAGAACAGTAGTAAGGAACAGCTATCAAAGCAATTTGTTGTATGCAGAGTTTTTAAGCAACTTATTTCTATCTATCGAAACCAACAACAAGAGCAAACAATAGCAAAACATAACACAAAAGTTGTGATGAGACCAAGCCAAGTGAAGATCAATAATCGATGCTGTTCTGTTAAACGTCTCTCGACTTGTTTTTCATATACAGCCATTCGATCCTCGAGGGCGAGCAATCTTTTCTCGTGATCCTCAAGGATATGACGGACATTACATTCTGTTCCTATTTTATCTGAAGAAAAAATAAACAAACGGCAAGAATATTTTCATAATTGCGTTGTTAAATAAATTTTGTGGTGAACTAATTTATTTGGAAACTCCCATTACGACAAGGAAAGCTGATTAACAATCTCGGACAGCGACAGACACCTCTTGCTGAACACTTTATAAACCATAAGAAACAAGAGAATAATGAAATATAAGATGGATTTTTTGTCTCGCCCTAATAACGTTTTGGAAATAATCGAGGAGTTGATATTGTTAGTGCAGTCGTATAATGAAAAATTTAGTGAATGATTCCAAGGAAGGCAATGTTTATAAATATTGCATGATAAATCAATAAATCAAATATTGTCAAGCGTACTTGAATTTTCGTCCAACATCTCTCGCATCATTTCAATTCTTGCGAGCTGATCTTCAAATTGTTCTTCGTGTCTTTTTATACACTGTCCATGCTCTTGCAACTGTAGATGTTGCTGGTTGAATTGATGTTTTATCTTCACAAGGGATACTTCATTGCAAGGATCATCGTTCGTCTTCTTATCGATCATTGTGCCGAGTTGCGTTTCAATCCTCTCCCACAAAGTCTGTGTATCTGTAAATAGAATAGCACGCTGCTGTTGAAAGAATGTTCTTTGACCGTTCGCACGTGAAAGCGTATAAATGATGTAACTTCTTTGAAGCGTTTGTATATTAATAAAAGATACACTGAATTACAGCTCAATTCAGCTGGGAATAATGGCAAATTTTAAAACAGGTTTTGTGCAGAAATATGTAAATATTAAATGTTTCAACAGTTACGTCATCAAATATCCTTAACCACGTGACAGTCTAACATGTTATCAAAGCTATTGTGATTGTCTTTGTGATGAAAAGCCCTTCTTTTCTTTTTGAGTACTTTTCATTTATCAAATAACTCAGAGAAAATATGATGTTATAACGCAATACTAAAACAACATACTCAGTTTGCCTGTAGCAAGTTCTTCATAGCTATAAAGATCGTCATTTTGTTTGATCACTAAACATTGTCTTTTTATGAGTTCCTCTAGCATCATCATTTTGGTTTTATGTTCAACCATTACAGTTTTATGGATCTTTAGTTCTCCTTCGAGTTTTCCTATTTTCTCTTTTGCTTCGTTCATTTCGTCAACAGTTAGTCGAGGTCGTCTTTTCATGTACCTGGATGTGTTGGCGGTTTTAACGTCATCTTTCTGTAGTTGTTCGCCAGAGCCGTTCTTCACAATGGTCAAGCTATCTTTCTCTTTTCCACGTCTGCCATCTACAAAAACATGTCTGAAACGATCACGTTTATAACCTCATTGGTTATAACTATATACCGTCAGTAATGTTTAAATTTTAACCTCTGTTTCATCCTAGGTTTCTCCTAACATCAACCTACCTCTAGATAGAGATTTAGCAATATTTACAATGAAATGACGAAATAAATAATACATTGTTGTGAAATTTGAGCTCTAGAATACAGCAAACCGCATATTTTCATACCTTGGCGAACGCCATTATTTTTGGAGTATCTGGTTTCATTTCGAGGACTTTGGTTCATCTTTTCAACGTATATTCGCAACTTGTTCAACAAAGATCCCATTACAAACACATGTCCAAACGAACAATATTCATGAATTCAAAGAATATTTCATGAATACTAAAGACGCACTTCTATTTTCAGGCTAGTATTCAAAAAACCCTTTTGCAGCAATTTCTGTAAATGCAATGGTGCAGCCAAGCGAACGATTTCAACAAGAAATCATTTAAGACGGCAAAAAAACTCTTTGTGTACTTGCTTGTATTAATAACAAGTGTTTTTGACAATATCTCAAACAGATCTCGTTTATTTCCAGCTGCTCTTTCAATGACGATTTTCATTGGATGAAATCTATTGACAAACTTCAAAATGCAAAAACTACAGCGAGCGACGTCGTCAATAAATTGCTTGGAATCGTTTAATAAAAAATACGAAAATATGAAAATCAATGTCTTGGAATTTCAATTTCACTAAAATTCCTGCTAGATAAACAATAATTTATACGTAATTTCTGCTCAACTTTAATCATGGGAAGATGTCAGGTGGTTGAGATGATAACGAAGTGGTGTATTCATACCAGTTATATTTCCTTTTCCAAAAATCACACAAAACACGAAAATTCAAATAATTTTTGTTATAATTAAATACTTAACACAATAACAGATAGGTGTTCCTTTAACTCGAGTGTACAAATTTCATGGACAAATTTCATTCCTTACCCAACCAGAATTTCTCCAAAAGATAAGCACAGTCAAACATCAATACAAAATCTTGGGTGGTGAATTGTGATAGACGTTTTTTTCCCCAATAAATGACTCTTGTTTCCAAATTTTCAATACAACATTGATATTTTTTAAGCCGTTTCAGAAATCCTTACTTGTTCAATTCTTACACAGTACTCTCGAACAAGAGTAATGGTCTTTTACGTTTAAACGAGGCACGTGGGGGCTCTTTCCGATCACTCTTTCGTAGTGGTTTCCATTTTAGAGGTCTAAGACCATTGATAATGACAACGACAAGGCCAACAAGGTCAGCTAATACTGCCATCCAAACGCGAACATATCCTGTGAACGCGACAACAACAAAAACAGCTTTCAAAAGCACAGAGAGAATAATGTTTTCCTGAATAACACGACGACAAAATCGACTTAAGCAGATCATCTCAGGAACTTTAAGAATACTGTTGTTCATCAACGCAACCCCAGCAGCTTCGACAGCAAGTGCGGAGCCTCCAGCTGCCATGGCTATTCCAACATGCGACGCAGCTAGAGCAGGACCATCGTTAACACCATCACCAACCATGCCAACGACTTGACTTTTTTTCTACACAAAAGTCGTTTCATTAATTCACATGAATGAACTACATTAAAAAAAAACGTAAATTGAAGCTTCATCTTACTTTTCTACTGAAAAATCTTCGTTTCCGAACGTCTTGTTCTCTTGTACTCACAACCCAATTCAGTTTATCATCCGGTTTCAAGTCAGATAAACAAGAATCCAGTTTTAACTGACTCTGAACAGCATTGGCGGTCTGTTTCGAATCACCAGTCAACATACACAGATGTACATTGAGATCCTGTAACCATTTGATCGCATCACGTGACTCCGGACGTATGATGTCGGCCAATGAAATCATTAGTGCAAGTTCTCCATCAACACACACAAAAACAACGGTCTTAGCATCAGCACAAAATGAAAAATATTTTGTTTCTAGTGTCGATGAGAGAGACAGACCAAGTTTCTCAAGTAAGGAGCGATTACCCACTTCTATGTTGTGTCCCTCAACTTTCCCTGATATCCCCTGACCTTCCATTGTATAGAATTCGTCGACATTCGGAAGAACATCGGAGTCTTTCACGAATTCTGAGACACACTCACCAGTGAATTCATTAACAATAGCAGCAGCCAGTGGATGGCTTGACTTACTCTCAATAGCCGCCGCCCATCGTAACACAACACTTTCATCGTGTTCATCTAGTGACACCTGAAAAAATATCTTAAATTAAAAAACTGTTAAAAATGATAACATTTGAAAAATTTGAGCCACATAGTATTGAAATAGTCAATAAAAGATTACGATATATAAAAAGACAAACTTGCCAAATCAACAACTTGAAATTTCCCTTCCGTCAGAGTTCCAGTCTTGTCAAATGCAAGAACATTTAGATGCCCTAAAGCTTCAAGGTACGTCCCCCCCTTGACAAGTGCACCAAGATGTGCAGCACCAGTAATACCACATATAACGACGGTGGGAGTGGCGAGAAGAAGAGCACAGGGGCAGGCAGTCACGAGTACAATCAACGCACGTATACCCCAAACCCTTTCTTTACCAACAAAATCATCAACACCGGCAAGACCCAAGAAAAATGGAACAAGGAAAACAAGAATGGCCACCACGATCACCAAAGGTGTGTATATCTTCGCAAATTTGTTTACTGTAATTTCTGTTGGCGATACATTCAACTGGGCGTCTTCAACCATTGCAGATATTTTGGACATAGTAGAACAACTAAAATTGGATGTTGTTTCTATCTCTAAATATCCATGTTGTATAACAGTACCACTGTAGGCTGACGAAGCAAGACTTTTTTCCACAGGAGTTGCCTCGCCTGATATGGAACTTTCATCTACATACGCTTCTCCTTTTACAACTACACCATCTAGTGGAATGAGCTCACCTTGTCGAACGGCGATTATTGAACCTGAAATATTAATGTAAGACAATCCTTCAGTTAGATTACATTGACGAACTATATCACCGGCGGTCTTACCAATAGGAACTTGTTCCACTGGGACACATTCTCCGGTACAAGCCATGACCACCATTGAAGGTTTTGATAACATCAAACTTGATATGGTTTTTTGAACACGATAAAAACAAAACCGTTGTAAAAAACCAGCAAGAGTAAATACAAAAACCACAGCTGCGCCTTCGACCCATTCCTGAATGACCAGCGTACCAATCACCGTGATGGTTATAAGGATATTTAAATCGATATCTTTATTTCGACATGCACGATACCCTTTCTTTAATATGGGTAAAACTCCAAAACATATTTCGGCTATAGCTACCCAAACATACCATGAGCCTGAGGTGAAATGCCCAACCAAAGCGGTGGTAAAAAGAATAAATTGAACGGTGAGGTTTGCCAGTCGAATTTTCATTGATCTTGGAAGTCCTTCATGTAATATAAATAAAAAAAATAAAATAACCTTTCCTTTATGAAAATTTACTAACAAAATGACGTTGGCAAGGATTGGCCTTTATCATCATTATTATATCACCTTTTTCAGCGTCAGCCTCTGACCCAGTATCAACAATGGACACACCAAGATGTCGTTTATTTAATGCTGTCATCAATGACGTCGCTGACACGACTTCAACATAATGAGTCACGTGAACAACACGACCCAGAACGTTTATACGAACTTTTTCAATGCCCTAAGAAGTAAATGATAAATGTTAATGTCGTATGTTGGTGGTTGATATGACAACATACTGTAACTACCTCAATAAGTTGTAATTCATCGCGAACAATCGTCGCTTCCTTAGGGCAACATAAGTTTTGCACTCGAAGCTTCGTTGTTCTTAGCGTCATATCATCGATGTCAACTTTAGAATAATCTGATTTCACTAAAGACTTAAACTCTTCGTCTGAAGTAAACAATTGTTCGTCGCATTTTGAACTATGGCAACAACTTGCATCTTGAGATGTTCCCTCCTGGTGACAATGGTGGTCATCTTTTTCATGGTGATGGTGATCATTGTGGTCATCCTTTTCATGGTGATGGTGACAATGGTGGTCATCTTTTTCATGGTGATGGTGATCATGGTGGTCATCCTTTTCATGGTGATGGTGATCATGGTGGTCATCTTTTTCATGGTGATGGTGATCATGGTGATCATCTTTTTCATGGGGATGGTGATCATGGTGATCATCTTTTTCATGATAATGGTGATCATGGTGATTGTGGTCAAGGTGATCATCTCTTTCATGGTGATGGTTGTGGTGATCCCCTTCATGGCGGTCTCCTTGATGATGGTTGTCATGATCAACTTCATGGTGATGGTGGTCATGATGATCATCTCTTTTATGGTGATCTACTTCATAGTTATGGTGACCATAGTGATCAACTTCATTTTGATGGTTGTCAGAGTGATGATCAATAGAATGTCTGTTATGAAACATTTCATGATGGTACTCGTGAATGCGATTATGTTCATGACCTTGGTGTGGGTCAGGTACAGCGTCCGACCGTAGTTCCTGTGTTGATAATGGAAAACAGCTGGGACGTCGTTCATTCAACAAATCACCAAGTCTTGCTTCAGCTATACTTTGACTGCGCTTTGTTTTAAGAAAGGAAACATGAGGAATCTCGAACGACAAAGAAGTTTTAAGATCAAAGTTTGGCGTCGGCGTAACCTTAGAAGGAGAATTAGGATTTGAGGATTGTTTCAATGGCAGACTGTTCGTACGAGACAGCTTCTTCGAATGAGAAACCGCACATAAATCATCTCTCATTTCGTTTCCGAAATTATTCTTTCCATTTACAGGTTCGTCTTTGTTGATACCTTCTTCAGCAATATCGCCTATATAAGAACAAACACAACCTTCTTATGAGATTCATGAGGTTTATAAACTGGTTATTTGATCGCAGCAATATGAGACATACGATACATTATCGGTATTGTCATAACTTATATTACCATCTTCGTCTGTCTGACAATCAATATCTGCTGCATCGGTATTGTCATCATCAAGATAAGGCACAACTGGTTTGAGGTAATCGGTAAGTTCATCTTTAGTACGACAAGAACATATCGTGTGCAAAGTGGTCAAACGTAGTTTTTCATAATGATGCTCGGCTGTCAAGTGTGTGTTCTCTAAGACCAGGGAACCATCAAGTTCATTTGTGAAAAGACATTCGCAATCATTTAAGGCTATAGAGCATTCACAAGAATCAACGGGACAGCAGCCAATCTGACACGCGGGCATTATAAAAACAAGGTGTACTACAAAAATATATAATTAATTTAATTAATGACCGACGTTAGCATAACATGTAAAGATGAGTCATCATAAACTGAAGCAAGTATTTTTTGAGAAACACAACCGAATTTTTTTTTAAGTGAAGAGACGACTAAACAAATGGTTCGAAAACTTCTTGCTTTATGCTGCTCTGAAAAATGCTCAATCGTATGAGTTGCTAAAAAGGATTTTTCAATAATGGCATGGCCAATAAAAAGCCACCATTTTAATTTTTAGTCGTAATAGTCACGTCAGTTTATGTAAAATACTTTGTTAAAAAGATTAATACAATTACTATTTTATAAAATCAAAGAAATCATGTGAACTGAGCTGAGCGAAAATGTTGGTCATTCGAATGTCCAACTTGTTCAAATTGATGACGAAACTGGTCATTTTTCGTCTCAGCTGGGGCTAGAAATGTTCTGAGATTAGGCTAGACTTAACGGCGACATTTCAAGACTATGCTAACGATGTGTGATTCGTAAATGATAATCATAAAGCCCAGAGAAAAATAAATGCACTACACGATGACACACAATGGTATCCACAATAAGAAATTCTGACAGCTTTGCACCTCCACAGGTTAAACCGAGGACAGTTGACCTTCATTAGTATCGCTTCCAAGGGCAAATCGTAAACAATTGGAAAGACATTTAGCAGTGTAGTCACGAGACACAAATAGCGGGCGGATGATTGTGAAATATCATTCCAAAAGATTGACCAGTCCATATACGCTATATGGTGCTTATCTCTTCTCACCGAGACAAAAATTTAGAACACGAAAGCTCCGACATAGTTCGGGCACAATAAACAAAAACAAAAAAAAAACTTCATCATACCAGATTATGCAATGTTACTAACAAAAGGATAATCGTTCGCCTCAAGCATATCCGACATATGACCAATGTAGCGAATCACCAAGGTCAATGTACGTTATGTCTAACACACATGCAGCTACTTTTCCTTTGCTTTATGATATTGATAGGAAAACAGCTGCAACGCGATGGTTAAATTTTTCAATAATTGATAAGAAACCTGAATTGTAAAAAGGTTAATGAAGATAGCCATCTAATGATTACAAAAATGTGATAACATAATGCACGTTTTGAATTTCAAATGACAACATTTTAAGTAAAGTGCGAACATGGTGTAATATGAGAATACCAAACCGGCTTTAATCAATACCATTAGACAAATTTCTGTAAGAGCTCATTTACTTTAAACAATATTTAATAACACATCTATCATTTAAAAGCTTCAATGCTATATACACGATTCTCTTACATGTTAACTTATTACATACAGCTCTTACTAAAGTGAGCAAGTAATATTTATGTCACAAAGTCAACGATCATAAATAACTGTGTGTTAAAAACGTTCTTTCCAAAAACACCAAGCAGTTTATTCAATTTTGGTAAATCAAATTTTTGATAAACCTAACTAGCAGAACAAGTTTATCATAAATGATCTGTTAAAGGTGTTTTGTAAAGTTTATAAACAACGAACTCTGCCCAAAATGAAGCGTAATATACAAGAAAAATCGTCTAAAATCACGAAAATCGTCATACCAATATCACCTTGAAACAAAATATCTCCACTTAATCATTTGGCCATGTTTACCATCAACAAGCGTTTTCTTTGTTTAGTAATCGTCTATGTTTTTGGTTTTAAATTTTTAAAATAAAAACATACATTTACCATATAAAAGTAAAGTGAAAAATACGAGCGTTAGAAAATGTAAAAGCCTCACTGTTGAGAGGAGATGATCTAGAAAATAATGAATAAGCTCTAACTTTTTTCCTATAAACTGAATAAAAAGGATTCTACGTAGATTTGGTTAGATCAGTCACGTCATTGGCAAATTGATTTTGTCGGCAAAAAGGCATCTTTGTCACGACAGGTTGAAATACTCTTTGTATTTTTACTTCTTATTGTACTTGACTGAATATAGCACTTTTTTCATACAATGTAAAAACTTTAGTACAATTAAGCATAATACTATTTTAAGCCTTGACGATTGTAGCTACCTCCATGATCAGAGACAAGCATTTCGAACTGGAATTGGCCACAAATAAATATTAAAAGTAGCAACTTATCCTTTGGTTACCTGATGGCGATTTCCAGCGTTTTTAAATATTGTAGATGGTACTCCTGTAGATTGATGAAATTTCACTCGTTTTGTAAATGATAGAGAAAAGTTCAAACCTAAAATGAGCAGTAGTAGACATATAAAAGAAAATATAAAAGATACAACACATAAAGAAAAAAATGAGTTAAGTCCTACGACATAGTGGGACTTCTACATCACGGCTTAACGTGATGCAATAAAACTACAACAACTATACGACTGGACACGATCTAACGGTTTGAAAAGAAGTTTAATTCAATTTTCAGACTTATTTTTTCCAAATAAAAAAAATGAAAGAAGCTTGACAAACGATAGATAAAATCGGAAAAATAAAAAAAAACACCATTCTCACTGATATATATACATGTATTAAGGGCTCAAGTCTATCTAAAAACGTGAAACTAGGTAATATTTGAAATTCTTATAAATAACATAACTACTTAAACTGGAAGACGTTTTATTATAATATCATCTTAAAAACATGTATTGGTCATCTCATCACAATAAACTCCATCTCCTTATAATCCATCATTATCCCCTTTGATCTCCTTATAATTGCACCCAATGTACAGTCAAAATAGTTATCAAAACCAAGTATTTTCAATGATTCAAGTTAGACAGCAGAGTCGTCGATGGATGATAAAAAAATTTACCCTTAATTGTAAAGAATATATGTATTGAAAAGACTTCATAGAGAAACTTTTCAACAAACACTGGTAAAAAAACAGAAAAAGTGTTCTTAGATAGTCAGAAACTATTTCAAAGAAATAAGTTTGACAATTTTCCTGATACAACCATTCTTAAATCACATACATTATAACAATATTGCATTTTGTGAGATCAATAATTGGGATAAATATGCAACTCAACCATCATGTGGTTATTCACAAAGAATAAGGAATTTAAACTATTTTGGGTCAATCAATTACGAAATTTTTTACCAAATCATCTGTTGTAACATTTTCAATATTTAACAGTAAAGATATTTCTACATTCTCAAAGACAAAGAACGATTAAGAAAAGAAAAGATTAGAAATTAAATCAGTTTTTGAATGATTGACAAGTTAATAATGGCACATGATAACATCAAGCCATCCATAAGAGCAGTAAATGAACACATTAAGTAAGAATGACTATGTTGCATATATGTATGTGTAGTCCATGCATTACAGTCAGAACAAAAGTGATACATCTTAGATTACCACATGCAAAGAACAGCACAGGACAAACTTAGTCACAAATTATAAATTGCGTCATTGCAAAATAATGAAAACAAAAAATCTCACATTTCAAAAACACCAGGCCACAACAGAACCTCACAACAAAGCTATGCAACTCAACATGGAAAATTGATCACAGTTAATGCACATCCATTTCTACAAACACACTTGGTTACAATCTTACCTAGAACATACATGCATACATAAAAACACCTTTTCAAAATGCAAGCCAAAATAAATAATAAAATGATAAGTTGCCTAAATAAATATAAGAAGCAAATATTCCTTTCCCCACAACTCTCCCCCCAGTGTATTACAAAATAAATCAATTATGTTGCTAAAAGAAGCTCACATATGGTTGTATAATAAAAACATTAAAATTGAAATTAGTCAGAAAAACCAAAAGGAAAAGGGCATTATTGCATGATGCAGTGTTAAATTTTTATGAAAATGTGAGGCTGTGCAAAATCTTTAGTTTTGAAAACAAGTTTTGGTAGTCTAAATTCCTCATGAAATCACATTTTCCTACAGTTTTGCACAACAGAAGGGGAGAAGTAAATATTCCTTTCCCCACAACCCTCCCCTAGTGTATTACAAAATCAAGCTAACATGATATAAACGAAGGCACAAAAACATACGTAATTCATAAACCACCGTATTTTGACAGTATTGTGTACAAGCATATGTAGTATGAATGACATACGTGCTGGGAGAAAGGGCAAAAACAACAAACAGTCCAACAAAACAGAAAATATAAGCAACAAAAATTTCAAATAATCTCAAATAATCAGAGGATTTCAAAACCAATAAACATCGCAATGAAACGACTGAGATGTGAAGCCTTAGTAATTCACAGCAATAAATAAACACATGAATATTAACTCGTCAAAAAATTTTCTTCAATGTCCTGATTTAAGAAACATACAGCCATTTATAAATGAAAAAATATTGGACAAGCGCTCTAGTAAGGTGTACGTTGATAGAAAATTTCACGGGATACAAGCTTACATAATAATAATAAGTGAAACTTAGCAATTCTACATGCTTATTACAGTACATCAACAATTTCAACAAGTTACCATTTACTTTATATCAACTAACTTGTTCACTAAAATTAAAAAATACCTTTAAAATTATCTTTATGAAAAAGAACAACACAAAGCGCCACGTAAATTTATAGCATTTCAGACAAAAACCACCGATTGTTGAGATGATGATGATTCAAGACAATCACGAGCAATGTTGTAATGCTGTTCTTCCATATATGGTCATACTTTCCTTATGTGGATCAAGATGATCGAAGCTAAATGCGCAGCTGCAGTACTTCCTTCCGTTCGATTAAATTTCAAAATGTCTAGATCCGACTAGAAACTATGTTATTTGTGAAATTTTAGTCTGTTTATGTTCATGTATTTATCTTAGATCAAACAATATGTCTCTTGAGGATCCTTTTTTCGTCGTCAAAGGGTAAGCTGTCGTAACTGTAAAGATAATATTATCTTTTGTGATTTGAAAATATGGTTTTGTTTTGTTCCGAAGAATTTTTCTGCTCACTTTACTGTCATCTCTTTATAAAGTGAATCTTTGTGCTACTATTTAATAAATAATAAATAAGGCCTTGTGCTTATGAATACTTTCGACGGATTATTTCTGTTTTATATTGTCAACTGTCAGTGGTAACTGATCAATCTATTATTATAACTAAATTAAACAACTATGAATTATAACCAAAGTGAATTTTCATTTTTATAAAATGGGATATTTGTTAATAAAAATTTTTAATTCTGAGATTTCTTCAAACTCTTCCCTCCCCTTTCCCCATCACTTTAGCATGTACATACATCTTACCAAGAATATTTACATTTAATATACGAGCATTTTATGAACATAGAGAGGTGCAAAAATCCATAAGTAATCTTGGTGATCTTTATGATAAATGGAAGTCATTACTGAACAATCCTGCTGCAGTAGGAAGAGAAGAATATAATCTAACTACCAGTGAATTACGTAACAACATTCGAAGCATTGAATGGGATCTCGAAGATCTTGACGAGACAATTCAAATTGTTGAAGGAAATCAGCGAAAATTTAATCTTAGTTCAGAAGAGATTGCTGATAGAAAATCTTTTGTGCAACAAACAAAACAAAATTTAAGTGAAATCAAATTGACAATCAATAGTTCATCAACCCAAGCAAAAGTTCAATCGTCCTCTCGTAAGGTGAGATTAGCCGGAAAGATTTTTATGGTGGTGTACAATTGTTCTTATATTTGTCAACACTAAAATCATAATGATTTTCTTTATTTTATTTTAGGCTCTTATAGGAACAGGTAGTAAATCAACCTCTAACAAATATTCTCGTCTTGATCAAGAAATTGAACGTTCAAATCAAGATTACATTAAAGATCAACAACAACAGCAGCAGGTAACTACTAATGAAAATAGTCTTGTCTCCTTGTTTGAGTGTTTATAAACATGTGTCTATCTTTGTTTAGTTGATAATGGACTCTCAGGATGATCAAATTGAGCTAGTTGGTCATAGTGTTGGAGTTTTAAAGACAATGAGTCAAAGGATTGGAGATGAATTAGATGAACAGAATGTGTAAGACACTTTAAATATAAAATTGTGTTTTTTTTTACAATTGCGATGTGTTTGGTAATATTGTGTTGTGGCAAGGTTTAGAGTTATAAATGTTCAATTTTTTGTAAATATTTTCAGCCTACTTGACGATCTAGGACATGAAGTGGATATGACCGATTCACGCCTGCAGCAGACTTTGTTGAAAATTGAAAAAGTTCTAAGACTTTCTAGTGGTATGTCAGTAATATTGTGTTTACATAATGGACTTTGGGCAAATTTACATGTTAGCAAACCGTTATGATTGAATTGCTTGGTCAATAAATATGTTACTTTTTCATTGTGTTTTCAGATAAAAAGCAAACCTATGTTCTCATTGGTTTGATCATTATTCTGGTCATTATTGTTGTATTATTCATTGCTCTATGATGCTATTTATATATAAAGTTGGAACTTAATGATACAGAAACAATTCCAGTACATGAAAACGCACACAAGCTTTAAAGTTTTGGATCATCTTTCTCATCAAACAATATAGACTGGCTGTGTCATTTATGTACTTTGGGGTGTGTTGATGGTTCAAAGCTTTCAACTACAGGATCATGTATGAACAAGAAAGGACTAAAGGATACTCGTTTACGTGACTATTAATGTATATAGTTAGTTATGGAATGGAAAAGTGCAAGCGAGTTATTACGGAATTATAACTCAACGAACATATTATTTACGTTATTCAAGGACGTTTAAAAATATAAATTAATCGACACTAATTTACACTTATCTAAGAAATTAAATTTCTCGCTGTCATTTTAAGCTATTATTTTTGTAGGAAATAAAGCAACAGAAAGTAATTTATTTCATGTATAACACAAGCCGTGATGGCAAATTGACAGTGTCTATAATAAATATTAGGAAGGAATACTAATTTTACACGGAAGCTGTTAAACCATTATGTTCTTGATGACAAATGCTCTTTCACGATATAGAACATATGCAGTACAAGAAAAGACTGGTTCGAGTCTATGATTGACTTTTAATTGGGTTAGCAGATACGCAATATTTTGTATAACTAAAGAAAAACGTACTTAAAAAGGATTAGTTTGAAATTCTTGCATAGTGATAAAGTTTTATTGTGGCAACCATGGAATCCCATCGTGAAGAACAAGCGGTGAACAGAAGCAACACTGACTCTGTCAGTTTTTTGGGGCCCAAAAGAACACCTGAAATGGATGATTCCATGCTTGAAGCTTCTGTTACTGAGAAAGGTAAACCTGGAGAAGTCTGATGGTAGTGATCTAAATATTTCTTTGCAAGGATTTGTTTCATTTTTAGAACACGACAGTTCGTTCTTATCCAATACCAGTCTTCAAAGAATGCGTTTCCTAAGTCAAAGTATCAACGATATGAAATTACTACGTGAACAACAACAAGTTCGTCATGAAGAAATAGAAAAAATTCTTCAAGATGATTTTCTTGATGAACACGCTAGACGGCTGCAAGACGCCAGGAATAAGATTAAAAGCCTCGAAGCGAAATATCAACTGCATAAACGTACAGGGTTAATGCAACAGAAAAGACGATCAGGTAACGGAACAGGAAACACTGCTGAGATTTTTGGTGTGTCCTTTGACTAACCTTCCTCACATATCTTACGTCCTTGTAAACAACTAAATAATTATAATTTTCTGTTCATCACAGGTGATCAAGTCGATGGATGGCATGAAGTGTTACATGATGAAGATAATTCAACATTTGATGACTCCGATGAAAGAAATACAGGACTATTACACAAACCAAGGTCATTTGTATGGGAGAGTGAAAAAAACCTTACTGCAGATAGTGTTAATAACATGAGGAAAAATTCTGAATTTTGTAACACGGAGAGATATAATTCTACGGAGATAAAAGAGGATAACCTGAAGACCGAGGGAATCTCTCCAAATTCATCAGTATTGCCAATGAAATGGAAAAGTCTTGATAATCTCACAAATATGGCTCACGATAACACAATTTTTACCAACTATATATTGCTAAAAGGAGATGCAATACCAGTGGATGGAAAAATAAACGAGTCAGCAAATTTGCTCGAAAAACTGGATTTTATTCCGTAAACGATCAACCAAAAGGATGTCCACTTCAGTCTAAAAAGAAAAAACATAAGATGAGAAGATTTTATGAAAAAGTTCAATCGAAGAAGAAGAAGGATAACGCTTCAAGACAAATTACTTCTCCAAGTGAAATACGAACCTTAGGACGATATATTGGACAACATCCTGACATCATCAACGCTTTTATTATTGAACTTCATAAGTTAGAAAACAAAACTTTTGGATTTAATATTCGTAAAGGATACGAAGATCATAAAAATGGTGTATTTGTTAGCAAGATAGTCGATAAAAATGCTGAGAAATTTCTATGCGGACTTATTAATGTTGGTGATGAGATTCTAGAGATTGATCGTACTGCAATTCGAGAAGAAAGTTTCTCGTTGGTTAAAAGCCAATTGTCAGACGCAAATAAATTAGTTTTAACTGTTTTATCTCATTCTTCACGAAAACTGGAAATACAATAATCTCAACGCCACGAAACAGTTTAGCGAGCATTAATTTTTTGTAAGGCACAGGTTTTAGTACTGTTCCTTATCTACTACAGAGAACATGGGCAAGACGTTAGTGCATAAACATGCTGAAGAATTACTTCATAAATTCAAATGAAAACGAAATGCAACGTTTACAATTGATTTATTGGTACATATCACTGACTGTAAACGCCGACGATGGACGCAATTTGACTGTAAACCCTTCAAGAACTGAAAAATTTAAATATCTAATATTTCCTGGCCATAACATTTACATACGCATATATGAAAAGAAAAACAACTGACTTCTAAATGAAGTCCAATAAATTATTTGTGAAACAGTCAAATGTAAACGTCTGCGCACGCATTTGGCTACTATTGGCTATGTTTTAACAATAGCGTTCACTATGATATTCAACAGGTCACAAAATCAAGTCGCCTCCCATAATATGGCTGTTTTATCAGCACTAGTACTAACAAATGATGGTGCATATGGATGCCAGCGACATTGAATGATCTTGTCATGATGTCTAGCGATGATACGCGACTCAGAAAGAATGTTGCTGCTGTTGTAGTGAACAGCGGTAATAGCGACGCATGCGTCATAAGATCCAGTAAGGATATATTGAGAATCAGGTGAAAACCTCACTGACCTACAATCAACTTCATGAGGGTGAAAAGATGAAATAATTTTTCTTGTATTAACATCGTACAACAAACATTGGCCATTTTCATCCGCTGAAAAATAAATGAAAATGCATGACTTTGTGAAAATCTTATGTTTGAAACACCATAAATGAAAAGAAAAGTGGAAGTTTAATGTAAGAAAAATATTTCATAAGTGACTTGACAATCCAGGTTAGTTAGTGCAGTGATGTTCAAGTGTTGAGAGACGTTTGACTACGAAGATCACAACTGCTAAAAATTTCGAAACATCAGTCAATACATCCAACAACAATCCTTCTAAGGACTGCACCTAGCTCAACTATGAACGTCTATAAACATGTAACATTGACAAACTGCTGAAAACATTCCATAAGTGAAAACCTGACTTTCATGAATTTTATTGAGATACATTGAAGACAATTTATTGACAACTCACCTGAAGCGAGGATACAATCTTGACTATGATTGAAACAAACTGATGTTACACAACTACTCGCAGATATAAGATCCACAGATTTCGCCATTCTCAAATCCCACAATCTTACAGTCTTGTCTGCAGAGCCGGAGCATAGTAAATGAACATGGTCATTCGAGTAAACGGTCATAATGTTCCCAGCATGACCTTGTAGAGATGAAAATGTTTGTCCAGTATAACAATCTGTTAGATGTATGAAGCAATCACCTGTTGTGATAAAAGAAGATAAAATATAAAATTTGAAGAACGTGGTAAAAATTTCGTTCATTTATATACACACATACCTGCTCCACCTGACGCGAGGATTGGAGCCCCACCTGGAATGAATACTAAATCTCGAACAGTGCCATGATGCATTGTCAGTTCCATCTGATCTTTAAGACGCACTGGACTTACATTTTGATCAAACCTCAGCAATTTGATGGTTTTATCGTTCGAACCAGTTGCAATCATTTCCCCGTTAGCACTAAATGCCACACAGTAAACAGAACCCGAGTGTATTGATGTTTTCTGACATAAAACGTCTAGTTCCGTCTGTTCGCCTTTTCTGAAGATGAAAACGCATATAACTCTGTTATATTTACATCACTGTACATAAAATATGTACACATATGTACCTCTCTGACACTTTTACCCAACGACATATCTTTAATGTTTTAGAGTTTGTTCCTATGGCAACGTATTGACCATTTGGATGAAATGCAACTGCTCTTATGGCTTGGGTATCGCACAGTTTTGCAACTTGATTAAAATTTACGGAAGGCGAAGTCAAATTTTGAAAATTCCTTCGAGTTTCAGTGACATTTAATTCCTCGTAACTTGAAGTGTTTGATGAAGATTTGCGGGCGACTTTTAAATCACGTCGATAAGTCATTTCTTCTTTAGAGAAGTCATTAAGTGGAATCTCTGAACGTCTTGTCGTTCTTTCTTTATTTTCACCATCTTTTTGGGCAAAATTATAATTGCTTTCACTGTCGTTGCCATGATTTTCCCCTACTTCATTTCCCATCCTATTTTTCAGTTCAGAAATCTCAGGTCTTTCTCTAACTCCTAGGTACGTTTCTTCAACGTTCATCCGATCATCCAATTTAATTCTCACAGTAGATTTTCTATCGTCAGGATTCAATAATGACGATGTTCTATGATGTGGCTTTTCCACAACGGATGCTTTTGGCGTTTGCATATCCTAGAAATGACGATCCTTCAAAATAAAAGCAACAAATAAAGAGAAAAAAATTCTATGATCATTTTATCGTCCTACTTTTTCAAAAGTAAATCTAGTTTGATCACGTAGATTGTTTTGTCTTGTTTTCTGTTGTTGTGACTCTCCTGACTGTGAAAGACCATCTTTTAAAAGTTTCTTTTCTGATTGAACAGGTGACGTAGGTAATGGTGACGTAAACGACTGACGTTGTGCTTTTGGTGTGCTACAATAAATTTCACAAAGAAAAAATAAAAAAAAACAATGAAGCAAACATTAACAAGAATTGCTGTTTACCTTGTGTTGAATGTTCCAGAACCATCAGTAAGCTTTACCAATCCTGGGGGTAAGCATTGATTTATTGGTGTTTTAGGAAATGTTGCTGATCCTGGACTGGATGATGAGCTTTTCCTGGTTAATTATTAATTTAAGATGGCAGTTGCATGAATCATTTATTTGTTTTTAGCAATATCTAATGGCTTTTTCGTACCTTACAAACATTGTGTTTCCTTGCTCATTATCTGAGCCATTGACAAGTAGATTTGTCTTTTGATTACTCTCTGTCAGAAGCTTTAAGCTTTCAATACTCTTTGTCACATCTTTCATGTCTGCTGTCTTCGATGACTTATTTGGAAAATCAGAGGTTTTCATATTATCCTTCTTTAGTATATTCGCACTTTCTGCAAGTTGTTCATAAAGTTTCTGGTGTCTTTTCCTGTGTTCCTCCAGTTGTTGCACAACTAAATCTTGCTGTTCAACTAATGTTTTTCTTGTAGACTGGTTAGGTTTATGGAAGTGCTGATGACATTCACGATTCTTTTCATTTTCAGTAAAAACATCCACTTTTTCTTGCAAGCCATTGTCTAATATTTTTGAACTGTTTTTAATAGGCAAATTAAACTCAGCACAAGAGTTTGAAACATTGAAATCTGAAGGTTTGTCAATTGGTAAATCTGAAAATAGTTTTCGATTTCCTTTTTGAGAGAAACTGCTTGCTGGAATTTCTCCATCAATAATTAAACTTCTACTGAGAGAGTGATTTACTGAATCCATTGCAACATTTTTTGGTTTTAAGTTTTCAAACTGCAAGCAGAATTTCAACTCTTCAAATGGAGTAACAAAACTCTCCTTTAATAGACTGTGAAACCATGAATAAAAGTTGGCAATGTTGTTCAATGAATGCTTTTGGAAAAGATTGACTTTAACATCAGAAATATTTGATTTGGATATATTGCCCACTGCTTGTTTTTGACAATGTTCAATACAATTTTCATACAAGGACCCTTCAATGATCAAAATCAAAAGACGGTCTTCTAAAATCAATTCCTCCCCCGAGGAATTGATTTCAGTTACAGGAATAAACAATTTTAAGAGTGACAACATCTCTTCAAACAGTCTCATCCTTGACGAATCAACACTCCAGTTAAGAAATTCTGGTTCAGAATGCAAACTTGGAGCAGAGAGATACCAATACAGTTTATTATATTCTTCTTTATGCATGCAGTACTTTTGTAAATTTTGTATGCTGTACAAAAGGCGCTCGCGGAAATTTTGTTTGTTATTTTTCAAGCTATCTATTTCTTTTTCAAATAATATTTCCAAGTATTCCTGTTTGGCTACAAGAAATTGAAATTTACGATAGTCAAAAGATGGAATATCAGCCAGTGGCTCAGCAAATTCTCTCACAGCATCCCACTCACCATCAAGAACAAGATCGCGAAAAAACTTGACATTTTCCGCGTACAAAGAGCTAGCAGCTCCTGTTTCCTTCTCAAGAGCCCTCGCTGATTTGAAGTACTTCCTTGAGTGAAGAAACTTCAAAATCAATTTAAGTACTTGTTCTTCCTTTACAAAGACTTGTTTAGAAGCCATCAACTTGGAAATTTCAGTTATCTACAACTTTTTTCTACCGATACTTGCCGCCATCTTACTATGTTTGTAACGTCAATTACAAATTTGTCAACAGAAATGGATACGCCAAATGACAAGCTAAGCAAAACGTGACTTTCCGACTAATATAGTAATGCCAAATTAGGAGCTCATTAACATAAATCAAATAATCAATAATTTTGTATTATAATTTATGTACAAATTGTGTCTTATATTTTTGATCATCCTCCACGAAAATTCTGACATGCATAGGAAAATAAAAAAATAGGTACAAAGTAATTCCTATAGGTACATAGCTTCGTCATAGCTCTTACGTCTGACTATCTCCGAGGATAACGAAAGACACCGGACACTTTTTCAGTGTAGCGTGCAACTGCATGCAGCATAGTTAGGTAGTTGCGCATGCGCAGCGGCTAACCACAAAAATCATTGCAGGGACGTCTTATTACAATTTTCTTTAAATTTGAATTCTTCTTTATTGTTTAAGATTTTGAGCTGCAATCAAGAGGTACTATTAAATCTAGAGAAATATGCAAAAAGAGAGAAAATTCAGCATTTTTAAAAAATCCTAAATGTAAATTTATGCGGTATACATTATCCATAAGCGGAAATTTTGCCCATATTTGGTAATCTTTAAATAAATTAGCGTGGTATGCAATATAAAATACTAAAAGTTGTCAAGAATAATTACTACTTCCAAGCATATTTCCGTAAACAATATGGCGAACGTCGCTCCTGATAATAGAAAGGAAAAGGAAAATAACAATGGAGATAATAAAGTAATTGTACTTTCCAGCGACGAAGAAGAAGATTGTCAAAGTAACAAGGATATTGATTTTGTGTTTAAGCGATTTATTTTAGCATGCCGGCCTCATGTAGATGCGCAGTGTATTGGAAATGCGCGATCATTATTTCAGGCGGTTCGAGCCAATTCAAGAGGAACTGTGCCAAGCGATATTCTCCAAGTGCTGGAACGCGACATAACGAAAAATATCACAAAAGAAAATGCAACATTACAGATGGCAACATTTTGCAACGCGTTAGAAAAGATGAAATCATCTAACGAAATACCTATTTCAGACAGCAATCTGAAAAATGAAATTGCCCATGGAGGAAAAATTATTTGTGACGTCAGAAGAGAGGGTGACGAAGCAATAGAAGGTGGGAGTATACCCCTTCAAGTTATAACTATATCTGATGATATTTCCTCGAGAAGAATAAAAACTAACAATGATAAAGTTGGTGAATGTTCTACTGCGTCAACTTCTTCAAATCAAGTTGCGACCAGTAATGAGAAGAGAAAAATATCCATTAAAGATTTGACGGAAAAACAGAGAATGAAATTGATTCGTCGTCAAAAACAACATTTGAGGGATTGTAGCAAGAAAATTAAGATTTTTGAGCAATCAGAACTTACATTAGATGAAATGAATGATGATGACAGCTCATACATTCAACTTCAGCGTTTGAAAACAAAATTTTCACGGATATGGAACCGCTTGTGTAAACTACAAGGACGGGCAACACACACAGGTCGTGTCACAGAAAAGCCTGTACGAGCAAGTGCAACTGGATGTAAACTGATTGATAAAGCAATTGCTAAATTCTTGAAAGATAAACCAAGTACATTTCCTGATTTTTTTGACATTCGAGATATTGTGATGAAAGTGAACAAGAAGTATGACCTTCGTATGAAACCTCAAGCTCTCAATAGCATGATAAAAGACTTGTTTACAGACATAGGAGGTAAGCTACAGAAACGTAGAGAGAAAGATCTAGCTTTAATTTTGGGAGCCATCTTTTGGATGAATTTGATCCCGATAACGATCCAGCGCTAGTGGATGAGGATCTAAGTCAAAAACTTGAGGAAAATAAAAAGTTATCTCGCCACAACATGAAAAAGTTTTTCAAAATATGTCCACCTCGAGCGATATGCAAGTGATGAAAAAAACAAAACAGAAAGTCAATTGATGGAGTCTAGTGCTGAATCAGAAGACACATCTGATGATGAATCAGCATTACACTCCACTCGACTCAACTCTCGGGAAGTACGTGGTAAATCAAATTCAAATATTAAGGATGTTTGTTTTGAAGATGAAAGTTCTTCTGAGGGTGAGCACGAGACAAACGAGAACTCAATATTATTTGATGATTCACAGGATTCATATGCTTGTAAATCAGCTTTTGATGAAACAGAGGATGAAAGCCACAGCACTTTGTTTACAAATACGAAAGATGTAATTTCAAAGACCATCAATGAAATCAGTGAAGATGTTTGGTTAACAGATGAAAGTAAGTCACAATATGGATGTAAAGATAATATGGAACATGATAAGGAAGATCTTAAAAAAGGACAAATGAAAAAACAATCGTTTACCAACTTAATATGTAAAAATGAAGTTGATGTGGAAAATAAAAATGAAAAAAATGATGAAATCCATCAACAAACTGTAACATCAGAACAAAAGTACACCAATAACATAAATTTAGACTTGGTTGGAAAGGAAGCTGCTCAATTACCACCCGTTCATTTAAATACCGACAATACTGTTGATGGTAATATACAAACTGGTAAATTGACCATTCCATCATCTAGTAAGGTATGTCTTATTATAACTGATGACGAAGACACAACAAATGAAAGTGTATCTAATGTTGCGTCTTTACAACAAACCAACTCTGGAAGTCTTCTTGAAATATTCAGGAAAAAGTGTGCTGGTATTTTAAATGATGGTGAAAAAATTGAGAACAATAAATGTTTGTCTCCAAAAGTGATCACTATAAACGAAGAGGAGAAAGACTTGAAGGACCGCAAACACTCATCAGAATATTATACGCTTCCTTCGCATCATCAGATTCCCATTACTAGCGAGAAAAAAGATTTACCTATAACGCCAAACAGAAATTCTAAGAAGAATCAGTGTATAAATGACGAACATTCTTCAGAATATAAATTGCAGTCAAGTAAAACTGAGCAAGAGAATCTTTCGCTGTCAGACATAAAGCATTTGGACAAACATTCGAATGAGCACTGTCCGGCGAAAAGAAAAGCAACGACAGAAATATCTATTCCTCTTACGAAGTCTTCGGTGATAACGTTAGAAAATATCGCATTTGAGTTGAAGAACAAGAAATTAAAGCTAAATGATGATTCCAAGAGTGTAATAAAAAATGAAACTGTTTCTACTTCGATATCTGGAACTACTACTTCTAAATCTGAAACCTTAAACTCTCCGATCAATTTCCTAAACAGCAACGATGATTGCCCGCGGGTGTCTGTCGGCAAGGCGAAAATTGATTTAAAAAAAAGACAAATGTTTCGTTTAAAAACTCTAAACGCGTTCAACGTGTCAAGAAAAACAAACATTACAGATCAAGATGTTGTAAATAGTCAATTAGCTGAAGGTAATTTAACGGTTAAACCCTCAGATAAAAGTGAAATCATCGTAATTGATGACGAATGAACAATTACGTCATAGCCTAGACTGATGACTTGTATAATATATTGAATTAGAATCAACGAATAGTGGTTAGTTTAATATTTATGTAAAATCACAACTTTCATTACATTTTATCGGGGCTTTGTAAGTACACATACGTATGGTAAAAATATTAAAATATTAATACCGTGTTTGATTTAGCCGATGCATGATGAGTTAGGAGGTTGCGAAGTTTGAAGGCAAAAAAAAACATGTCAATTGCAGAGAAAATGAGGAATTCGAAGCAATCATAAGTAAAAGCAGGGGCAGCGCCCGTGGGGTAAATTTTCTCTCCGATTATATTGCTTCCACCACCCCCAAATCATTTTAGTATTGTGATGTATAATTAGTTTATAGCTACTTTTATGCAATTTTTGATAAAATTATGAAATTATATTAGAATTACGCTTTCCAGAGGTTGCTGCTTCTTAGCATTCGATCTCCGAAGGAAAACAGGGTGCAAAATTTGTAAATGTCATTTTGTGAACTTCTTAAAGGTCGCCTAGAATTTTCACAAGTCTTACGGTACCCATTGAAAGCTGCGCAAGGTCTTATAGCAAGTTAGTACTGATAAACATCATCTCAGAACGACATTGAAAAATTCAAAACTTCAACAATTATCAGCATTCGTGGGAAACAAGCAACAAGCAAGGATTTACAACTAGTTGTTCACAGGTTTATTAAAAAGTTTGCAAATAGCCGCATTGTTTCAAAGTGACAGAGAAAACTTTACGATTAAGAGTGTACTTCGTTTTGTCGTGGAATACGTTGTGTTAAATCGCGTAAATAGAAATCTGATATAACAATAAAAATCAGATAAAAATCTGAAAATAACCGTTATTCTTGAAGCGAATTTAAATTGATAGAGGTGAACAACTCAACCTGTCACGTTAAAAAGGAGCATCGACTCTAGGTACGCACTGCGTACCTATTTCCTATAACAAAGGCGGCCTGGGAAAACACATCAAATATCATGGAATGCACATTAGTCATCATTAATTCACATACGTGTAGTGTAAAGGAAGGCAGCAATTCTGTATTTTAATTGCAAAATTATCATTATGACTTGAAATACCGTGTTTACTTGAAATACTTGAAATTATCATCATGACTTGAAATACCGTGAAAAATAAAACAGCTACATTAGTAGATAAGACAGTAGATGACTGTAGATGATCACCAATAATTAAAATTTATGACCAAGAGTAAAATGTGAACTGTTCTAAATTACGAAGTGCCATTAAGTAATTGGCTTCAGCGGTATTCCTTTCGACCCAAAAGAATGCGATTTCTTTCTCTTACAATAAACGACAATAATGACAATGACAACAAACACAACGAGAACAGCAACCACAACACCAATAATCAGACCAGTGTTATCGCCGTCATGTGAAGGACCTAAATGAATATTGTAAGAAAGTTGAGGGTATCACTTTAAGGTATTGACTTGTCAATGATACAGTATTAATACCTGGGGAATGACTTGTAGACGATACAGTATTAATACCTGGGGAATGACTTGTCATTGATACAGTATTAATACCTGTGGAATGACTTGTAGACGATACAGTATTAATACCTGGGGAATGACTTGTCATTGATACAGTATTAATACCTGTGGAATGACTTGTCATTGATACAGTATTAATACCTGGGGAATGACTTGTCATTGATACAGTATTAATACCTGGGGAATGACTTGTCATTGATACAGTATTAATACCTGGGGAATGACTTGTCAATGATACAGTATTAATACCTGGGGAATGACTTGTAGACGATACAGTATTAATACCTGTGGAACCATCAGTGTGTGTTGGCTCTGTTGGTGAAGATGTTGATGAATAGGTTGATGGTAATACATTTTTTGATATAGGACAACCGTAGAACTCACAACGAAAGCTCAGAACGCGTGAAGTAACATATTTTATTAGTCTAACATATCGTGTCTTCACTGGATATTTGAGATTGTTACGAACAACATCATCGACATTTGTGTTTGCACCAAAACCCTTCAAAAAAGATGAATGTGACGGTTTATGAAAAGCACAAAAAAATACACATGAAAAACAACAGATTGTAAATAAAACTGACCTTGTAAAAAACAGTATCTTCTTTGTACTCCATCCAGTCGTCACCATTTATGCTATAATTAAAATTATAGCCAAGTAACCAATTACCACCATCGTACGATGAACCTTGAGTTGCAATTCCTGTCAACTGAACAATCAAACCAAAATCAACTTGAAGATAAGCATCTTCAATACGATAAACTCTTGGAGTCCATCCGGGACCGTTATGATGAAGACGAGCATTAGTAAATGGATGAATATTATCTTTGTTTGCTGAAGAAAGTGCACTATTTGGAATTCTACCATTTTCCATTCCTAGTGGAGTACCACACGTTTCATTGAGCAAACTTAGTGACGTTTTGTTGACGGAAAAGCTACCTAATTTACCATCGATAATAGCGTTAGTAACCGTATCGAATGGACTATTGAAGGCTATACCGGCAACATAGTTCACTTCAAATAAACAAATCACACTTCCTTCTCTGAACTCTAATGCTTTGACGGTACGAAACGAAGTGTCATTCCTAAATAAATTTCGCATTTCATTTTCAATTCTATGCGCGAGGATCTTAAACTGTTCGCTGTCTTTATCATTCAACGCGTTGTTCCAGACCAAACTGGTAATTATGACAGATATAGTCATTTTGTCAGTGTCAACAACATCGACGATAGTTTCACATTGTTTTCCAGCAAGATGAAGACCACAAGTGCAGTTAAAACCATTTTCCACGTTGGTACATTTAGCACCATTAAAGCAAGGTGATGATGCACAGTAACCAACACATTGTTCACGTGACTTAGCTCCTCTCTCCAACGTAGTCAGGTTTGCCCTACCACAACTCGTGCACGACTCTTGTCTGTACATTCGTAAGTCTTGATATGATCCTATGGGACATTTTTCACAAACACGTAAAGTATGATTAAGAAAATAACCCATTTCACATTTTTCAACACAATCGAACATCGATGTGCTCGCACGAACAACAGTAACGTATCCATAAGAGCACGAGCTACAGTTGAAGCTACCAATGGCATCTGTATAGAAATCAACTGGGCATGGGAAACATTCACTTCCTACATAATTAGTATGATTTTGGAAATAACCAATAGGGCACTTTTCACATGCTTTAGAAGACTTGTTCAGATATTCACCCAAACGACATGGAGAGATACAAGTTTTGGAACCGGCTGTTAATGTAAATGTATTTCCATTACATTGTTTGCAATTACTTTGACCGGGAACATCTTGGTAGGTATTGTTTGGACACTTTCTACATGTTTCTGTTGTAAGATTAAAGTACTCTCCGACGATACATTGGTAAATGCAGCGAGATTGATTGTTAGAGCCTTCATTTGATGTAATCTGATGTTTTGGACACAACGTACATGAGAAAAATGTGCGGTTACTTTCCTCATTGTACGTGTTCAAGGGACATGATTTACATGTCTGTGACACAATGTCTAAATATTCTCCAGCGTTACAAGGACCAAGACATGCTGATATTGAAGAAGATCCAATAGATAATGTAATGCTGTTGGGAGGACAAGTTTTACAAAACCTATTATTTCCATCTTTAACAACATCCTGGTAGGTGTTGTTTGCACATAACACACATTTCCTTTGAGTAATATTAAAATATTGCCCTAGGGTACATTTTTCAACACAGCCCGTTATATTAACGGTTGCAACCTGCAACGTTGTGTTTCCTGAAGGACACTTGTAACATTTTCTGAATCTATTGCCTTCGTATGGTAAGTAATATCCCAAAGCACAATCATTGCACCTAAGATGTTGAGCATATTGGCCTTTTTGACATTTTTGCATGCAACTTGTTACATCATGTGCTCCAACAAATGCTGTTGTGTTGTCTTCAGGACATTTGTGACAAACTGGATTTAATGCAGTCAAAGAGTTTTGGTAATAACCGTAATCACACCACTCACACAAACCAGAAGCGTTGTTAAAATATTTTCCCAATTCACATTTATGAACACAATTGTTATTGGATGATTCTGGGTATATTTGACTGCCATTTATACATATGGTCTCATTAGGGAGGCGTCTTTTGCCTTTGGGACAAATCTCACAAAATGATAAGTAGAAATCTTTATCAATCTTCCCAAAAGAATGTTGAGGGCATTGAATGCACTTTCTGCTAGCAAGAGATGCATGATTTTTTGGACAAATTGTGTTTGCCAAATTACCAATATTTCTGAAAGACATGGCTGTTGTATTTCCAATGACAAGATAGTTGACAACAAAGTGCTTTAATTTCTTAGAAAAGTTTTTTGAGAAATCATCAAACAGCAAATGAAAAAGCTCACTTGTTAATGTGCCATTTTCATTGTTGTTCACATTATCACGGACTTCCATCCTTATTTGAGAGTTGCTTGAGTTATTGGACACAGATGAACATGTTACAACAACAGGATTTACTGAGCAATTTTCAGTGTTTGCTTTGAAACATTCCCCAAAATAATTCATATCTGAATGATTTTTAACAAGAAAATTCCTGACATCTTTGGTAATCATGGTGGTATTGACCACATTACAATGAATGTTCATGTAAACAAACGTGTTGACTGTGAGAACTTGGGTAGCAGGAATGACCATCTTGCACGAAATTAATTTTGGATTGAATATATTGGATAGCAAACGACGTTTGGTTGACATCCAATTGGAAAACATCTGCTTAGCGTCCAAATTACATTTGTACTCAATAGTTTTATGAGAATAGTAACGCCGTTCAGAAGTTTCATGACCAGCATCACATGTAGTGGTACAAACTTTATCCAGCGGATCTGAATTTATGTAAAATATCCCACTGTTGTCATAAGGTGGAAAGCTACATACCGTATTTCCATTAACCACCGGAGGGCAGCTGCATTTTTTAGGATTATTTAATAACATTTGAAACGATGCATTAAGCTTATTATTTTGATTCAAACTTTTGTCTACATGTATTAATAACGCATTGCTCGAGGAGTAAAAACTCACCCCACTGATTACATGTCCAACAGGAACAGTATACTTCAAAGTATCTTCCCTCCTACCGCCATCATGAATATTTGTATCTCCATCGGATATAAACAAATCATGCAGAAGAAAGACAATCCGCCAACCATGGGGAGCCTTTATTATTCTTGTACAATCCTGGCCTTCGTTGTTGACAATTGAACCCATTTTCGCTGTTATAAGCTCTTCGTCATCGCATATTTTAAACAAGGATCGTTGGGAATTTTGACAAGCGACACAAATGAATAAAACGAATGCAGCCAAAGCAAACGTTTTTAGCCTTTTAAGAAGTGCTGTCATGATTTAATATTAGACAGAAAACAAAGCTAAAATTTTATCTCGAAATAAGTTTAGTCCGCTACAAAAAATTTAAATAATGTAACACTCCCAATAATATTCACACGTCATACAAAATTAATAAAAAAAAAACACATAAATGACCATAAAATACCAATAAGAAAAAAAATATGCCAAAATTATCGAGGAAGACAGCAGTAATAGTTTTGCGGAGTTAAGTCAAAACTCAAATATTTTAAATACACACGAAAGTGAAAAACAAAATACGTAAAATGAAAACACTGACGTTTCAGAGCAGAAAAAAATTCTTGACGCCCAAGGCGCTTAATCGAGTGATCAAAATCTTTTCGAAGATAACTAAGATAACAAACAGAAAGTGCTATCCTACATGCTAAATATTTTCAAAAAACTGCAATGCATGGCACCGTGGCATTATTGGGTGGCTGCAAAAACGCTAGCTATGATTTATTATTTGCCATCTATCAAATATTCAAAGGTTGATTCTTTGAACAAGAGCAGTAAATTTGCATATCTTTCATCAGCCAATCTTTCAATATCTAACGACAAACTTTCAACGTTTGTAAAGTCGGCTTTTCTGAAGCTAAACAAGTCTTTGATAAAACCCATCAGCTCATTCTATAACAAAAAATACGTGTACATGCTTCATAATAATACGTTATTTCGTAACTGTCGACAGAACGATTCCTTAAAATACCTTAAAAATGAAACATGCCTCTCTTAGTTTTTCGTCTGACCCTAAAAACCCCAAGCGAGAGCTGGTGTAACGATCTCTGAAAGACGGTAAAAGTGCATAAGGAATCCAGCAGGCTCTTCTAAAATCTGTATTTTTGCCTTTAGCACTCCCCAAACTGCAGTTTCTAAAGCCTGAAAATGAAATACATGGGATGAGAACACAATTTGATTAAATTTTTTCCTTACAAAACTTACTGTTCGTTGTACGTACGCAGGAAGCCAAGAATTTTGAACTGCAACTTGCACTGAATAAGGTGGATTTTCTAAGTCTGTAAATGCATCCATTAGTATAAAATCCAAAACTACATCATAAAACGTTTGGTATGGTACCTAAAGGAAAAATGAAAAACACTTAACTAGAAACCATTACATGAGAGTTTTGGAGAATGCATTGAGACAGGAGATGTTGCAATTGTCTATAATTAACCTACATGTCTTTCTTTCAATTCATTTTCCATAATGTTAAAGTTTTGAGAATTTTTGCAAAATTCCAACAAGGCTTTCCATCTTTTCTCACATTCAACATGGTCCTACACACAAACAAAGATAATGTTGGAATTAAAATCTCGAGTCAAAAACTTATGCATGGATTTCTTCACATACTCTGTTAGCAGTTGTTATCAAAAACTTAAGCAGATATGTCAAATGTTTTTCAAGTTTGAGTCTAACATTTTCTTTTGAAAACACCACCTAGAAACAGCATGATAGATTCATAGCAATTCGGATTGGTTCACTATAGAAATTGAAGAGAAAATTCTTTACCTTAGAAGCTTTTCGAATACAATGCACCTTTGCCAAATATTCAATTTCACTGGCACAACCCACAATTTTAGTTCTGAAAAGAACTTTCTTTTAAATTTATAAAGTCAAATCTAAATGTTCAAAGCACTAAGCAATATTGAAGAATCACCTATTTTTTCGACATCTTACTCCATGTCTAAAATATTCTTCTAATCCCATCAAATAAAATTCCTTATCCCTGAAATATAAGAGATCTAATAATAATATTTAAGATGATAAGGTAAAACAGATAAATTGCCATATATTTTATACCTGTGAGCACCAGCAACACTAAGAGCTTTTTTTCTAACAAAATCATCAACAGCACCTTCATTTACCTCATCCTATTGTTCATCAAAGGAAAATAATTGGAATTTGGAAGTTCCGAAGTCAGCCAAAATATAGTGATACTCCTAAAATTTTATATACTTACATCAATACCACTTGCTGCAGATTGAAATGAGTCTGAATCTGATTCTTCTTTTGCAATAGAATCTTTGTAAGAATTTCGACTCTGTTGTGCCTTTAGTGATTTTCTTTAAATATATTTCAAATGCACTATTTTCAAATGAAATATTTATTGTTTCTCCATAGAATATAATATGGAAATACCTTAATTGATGAATTTTCAATTCAACTGCACTCAAGGTAACATCGATTCTATTCAACTTTGAATCATGCCACAAAAATTCATTATCATCATCTCTATTTCCTGTCACTTTTCTATTTTCCCATTCAAAACTGTACAAAATACGTTCAAACTTAACAAGTGTGGTATTCAAATCTTCTAGGTGCCTGCCAAACTCTGTAAGCCGTAATGAATAATATTGTGGAAAAGATAATTGTTTAAATTTCCAAGGAGGGAACTTTTACAAATTATTCGAGCTCCATACCTTTGTCGTCATCAAAATTATCGATTCTCTTTCGATAGTTTTCACTTATTAGGAATACAGCTCCGGCTCCCAAGGTAAGCAACATGGAATTGGTAATATTGTAAATTCTGAAGAAATGTGAGTCTATCAAACGGTCCATTTTAGACGTACAGCATGTATAACACAGGTAAAACGATAAAGTTTTAATATGTATAAGTCCATTACAACATTTGCTATCGTGAACTTCCGCTGAAGATTTTTTAGTAAAACTATAAGTTCAAACACAAAAGGTTCACTACGAATAATGTCATGCACAAAGATTCATACAAAAATACACAAATATTCATTCAAAATTTTAATCAATATACATTTACATTCAACCATAGATACAAATGAAAACTACAGTACAGAATCTGTATGTGGTAGTTAATTAAAGGCAGATAAAAATAATTAAATAAAAAAGCAATTCTATTTATTTTGTCACACAGTTCAAGCCCCTGTTCTTAAATAAAATACACCATGTTCACTACAAACTATTGAGTTATCATAGATATCTGAATTCAAAACTTTGCAAAGTGCAAGAATTCTAAGATTTTCAAAGTTTATAGGAAACATACTATCTGGTATGGTTGGCAATTTTAGAAATCAAGCAGTTTGCAAAGAGTGTTTTATTCGTTTATATTTCCATGAATTTCATCTAAACCATATTAATTTTTGCTTTGTTTAACAACTAAATACAAACTAAGAAATATTATATCTACACATTTCCCATTTTATACAATTTAGCCCAAAAGATAACATGTTCGTCAAACCTGGTTTATGTCTAACTAGACATGAACGCAAATGCTCACTGTTTTAACAACAACAATCGTGGCCAGCACACAGCCACAGGCTTGATTTCCACAAATTTCGACAACTAACAATCAATATACAAATATTCTTTCTGAAATCCTCAACTATAAAAATCAATATTTTTCGAGACATATTTTCAAAATTTACACCTGCGTCTACCAGGTATTCTTTGCCCACCCTTCTAACATATAACATACAACAAGACTTCTAATAATGCTTCCTCTTTGAGTGAAACTCACATTAATTATTACTGTCGCTAGAGTGTTACGAAATAATTGATAAAACATCCATGTTCAATGCTTTATATATGATACAAACGTTGATTTACACGAGGTCAAATGAATCTTACAATTTTCTTCTGATATATTCTTTTTAATTTGTTTCTACAGTCTTTCAATTTAATAAAATACTAGAAAAGGCTCTTGCCATAACGAGAAAACTTTAAAGCTTTCAGCAAAACAAATTCTTTAAGCGAAATGATGACTTTTGCCTCGTGAAAATAAACTTTCTCTAAAAACTAAATTTATGGAAAACATGTTTCTAACACGTCAACACAAACCGGAGGAGACGGGTTAGGACCACGTGACACGACCTTGACGGGATATTTTATTGATTCAAGTACCTCTGCATCCGGGAACATGGGTATGCCATGTTTACGAACAGTTAAACCGTCAGGAAAACGTCTACCATATAACTCTTTCCCTTTCAATTCCTCCTGACGTTTAAGGTGTTCTTTGTATAGACGTTTATGTAGTTTTATAGACTCTTCGTCATCAACATATCTTAAACCGTTATCTTCATTTTGAAAGCGTAAAGCTAACTGATGGTCTTCTTCGATCTAAAAATTGCAAACAAAAAACAAAAGATGAATTTATAATTCGTTCAAATGTACTATACACAACCAAAAGTACATATTATACAACGTAAAAAGGACAAGATCGACGTAACCTGTCTCATTTTCAGCAAATCCTTCTCCTTTCTTTGCTCAAAAATCATTCTTTCCTTCTCAATCTTTGCAGCATGTTCATCGTTCTCAATATTCTGCAACTCCAAAGCAATGGCGGCATCACTTTTTTGATCGTCCAACAAGTCGGGGACCAAAGGCGTTGCAGATGATACAACTGCCTCGAGAGCGTCTTTATCATTTTGTAAAGTACGTGCAATCATTTCGTCATTTTTTATTTGTTTGTACCTGTGTACAAAAGCAAGGAAAAATTCCAAATAATTACGGCAACAACACACTTATACATAAGAGAGTTGAGAAGTTATACCTAGTGGTGACTTCTGGATCTGACCAATAACCACTGCACGATGAAGAGGTATCACGCAAAGCCTGATGAGTGGATTGCTTCTTTATTTTTGGCCATGACTCTTTGTCAACTTCGTTAGATCGCTCGTTCACGCTGTCAGACCATCCAGACAACTAAATAAATAATTTATACATGCAATATTAACACCATAAATTGACTTTCCAAACCTACAAACTTCGTTAAGAAATCAATTCTAAACATGCAATTCAAATAACAATTGACCACAATGTACAGAGACAATAAAGACAAAACCTCGTCAGTTTTTTTCGGAGCCCAAGCACTTGAAGTAAAAGACGCGAAATCGCCATTGAACCAAACTGAAGAACTGTCACTTGAACTTGGCCACGCGTCAGGGGAATGTTGTCTAGGTGAACCAAGAGGTGAATGTGATCTTGGAGAATGACTGCCATAAGAATCACCACTACTAGCGGCGCTGCTCACACTATTTAAGTTCTGGCGCGAGTTACTTTCCTTGTCAGATGGAAGTGAACCATCAAATAAACTACTACTTTGATTGCTGTCGGTCTTCTTCGCCGAGTCCGTATCCTACAAAGACGTTAAAACATCTTTTATTTTTTTACTTAACTAACTAAATTAAACACAACAAAACTGACCTCAATCTCATCATCGTCTGGAACGTAAGGTGATCGCGCTCTATATAATCTTTCATCAGCAATATGTGGATGAAACGATGGATTATGTACGAAATCAATTCTACCGTCAATCAACGTTCCACCTCTGGGAGATATGGAGTTCGCCTGATACGGAGGATAACCATATCGTTCAATATCTGAAATCATACGTGTACCAACAGCTCCATAACGACCAACATCATTTGGATAAAACTGACTTGAATGGAGAGGGTAAGCATTCGGTTGTTGAACATACTGTGCACAACGAAATCGCTGATTCATAGCATAGTTCATCAATTCACTTTTACGACGCTGTGCTGTTGCAGCTGCTACGTAGTCTGAATGACCATTCATTATCCCATTAACACCATTTAATCTACTTATACCATTAACACTGTTTAATATCATATCCTTTTCAACAGTCAGTGGCGACGTACGAGTTGGACCTGCATGAAACGATAACAATTTGAATGAATATCAATCCAATTAAGTCAAAGACGCAACAAGCGGTAAACAAACGTAAATTAAAGAAGAAAAATGGAAGTGAAAATAGCGTGCTGCTAAATTGAAATCCCCTATTTTTGTGATTCTATTTGTTCACACAAAAATCTAAGATCACCTGCTCGAACAACACTTTCCATATGACCATTAACAACACCATTCACGTGACCATTCACGTGGCCGTTTATGTGACCATTCACGTGACCATTGGGTCTGTTCATCCAGGGATAGCTGAAACTCTGTTCAGAGTTGTGTGGCTGTGTGAGACAGTCTGTAACCATAGGAGGATTACGATAACCATTTTCTTGACCACTATACATAGATGGAGGTTGACAATGCATGCTAAGATTGCGCAACTGCTGCACCATTACGTCATGAGTGCTGGGATTGCTGTGCCCGCGATGTACTAGCTGACCAAAACTAGATGTTGCTACAGGGTATTCTTGACCTGAAAGATGCAAAACAAATGAAGTTGAGGCAGAAAATCAGATTGAAATCAGTAAATTTCCTCCATACCATTATTTTGCATACACAACGGAGATGTTCTTATCGAATTATTACGAGCTATTTGACTATTTTCAGGCAACTCATCAAGATTTGTTGATGAATATGTCATTTGATCAGGTATTCCACCACGTGCGTTAACCATTGTATTGGGCCTGGCTGCCTTTGCTTTACGACGATATCTGAATAAATATAATGAAAAATTTGTAAAAATTTCCACGTCCAACATCTACAGTAGAATAAAAATCATTCTAAAACGATGGCCTTACTTGTCAAGTTCATCCTCAGAATGAGCAAATGTGCAGTTCAGACCTCTTGGACAAGAGCCCCTCTGGGCAAAATCGCGACACATGCTAGTTTTAAACTTGCTGTGTACCGGTTGCTCCATGGCTGGCTTCGCCCTGCTGCCATAAGCCTATAAAAATGGTATATAAACAAGTGATATAAAAAGATGCTCATCAAAAAGTGCACAATGAAAAAAATAACCTTTGTAAATTCAACAAGGCCATGTACTACTGCTGCCACTGCCTTTAATGCATCTTCAAGCTCTTTCCAAGAGGGCACTGACGCATCTGAAATGTGTAAAAACTAGCTTGTGAAGGGGGGTGGCGTTTCTAACCATAAAGAAATTCTTATACTACAATATACTTGGCGATCCATCAATTTGTGAAATGTGTAAAAACTAGCTTGTGAAGGGGTGGCGTTTCTAACCATAAAGAAATTCTTATACTACAATATACCTGGCGATCCATCAATTTGTGATAATAATTCAAAATGTTCCCGAAGCCGACCAAGGTGCGCTGGATCACTAGATCTTTGCAAGGCAAAAGTCAACTCGTGAATACTTGACGCAAAAGATTCCGGTGTCTGAAGCTGCATAATTAATACATACAAACATGAAAAACTATAATATTAAAAATTAAATCATTGTTACATAATTATCAATATTATCACCTTGTCTATAATTGACTGCATGTGAGATTTGTGTGCTTGATCACCGTACAACAAGGCTGACCATTGCTCGGGGGAGATACGTAGGCCAGCCTCAAGAGCTATTTGAACAATCTGTGAATCATGTTCACGTCTTAGAGCATCATATGTTCGAAACTAAAATATACAAGAATCTTTCATTAATTACCAATATATCATAGCGTAGTGAAGATTTCAGACGAGAGTAACATCATTCAAACCTGTTCTTTTAACTGCATTAATGATGACTCATCATCTCGTTTTGTGACCTGAAAATTGTTTGAAATAAAGTGAATGATTATCCTTGAAATCAAAGTTTTACAGGGAGGATCAATGCTCATTTGACATGAGGGTATTCCAAGATTTTCCAGGGTGGGGCATTGTTATCAAAGATAAAATTGCAGGGCCTTGGGCTATTGTGGATTTTTAGGCTTACAGATGAACAAACCTTCAGTAAAGTGTAATAAATGCAATGTTATATCGTTTTAGCTAAAATGAAACAATTGCACATCACTTTTCAAATTTGCAAAATCAGCGGTTTTAACGAAAAACACTGTCATAAATCATATGAATTTGTTCAGTTTAAAAATATTAATTTAGCAATTAGCGCTATATAATAATTAATGTAATATCGATTTGATTATGTATCGATTGAGAAACACTATTGTGAAAAAAATTGCACATCGTTTTTTCTGAACTAATTCGCACACTGGTGCACACCACCCTGCTGCCCCTAGAAAATCTACCCTTGAGTTTTTGTTTCATCCCCACAATACCTTAAAACAAGAAGCTCTGTACAATAACTGTACAACGTGACCAATACTTGTTTTTGATGCATGTGGAAACATTTGCTCTAGCCGTTGAACAGCAAACAGTACAATGACTTTCCTCGACAAAGCTTCACCACATTCCAACGCCAATAAGATGTATTTCAATGCATCTTCCTGCATTGCTGGACCAAGAAACTGGCAGCCTCTATTTCTTACAGCAGTCCAAAGATTCTGAGATAACTGTGCTGAATTTTGGTGGAGAAGTATGAACTCTAATACTGTCCTCTCACCCAAGCTTCTTATAGCTCTCATCATTCTTGCACATCCTTCCTCCTCGGCCAGTTGACAATTGACCAAAGTCACAAGTTTACGATGCATTGGTCGAGATAATGCACCATTCGTCAGGACACTGCTTGATGCTTCAGACAAAGAACCATTCTTTGAAACTAATGGACTTAAAAACAATGCAAGTTCTTCAACATATTTCTTGGAAGAAAGATAATGTTCCTTATGTTCTTTGATTCTAGGAACTTCGGGACAAATTGGTGGTGGTATAGTAAAGCCAAGAAGTTGCAACAAAGCATAATTAATTGGCAACAGATTGATTTCCAAGTTGATTGCTGACTGATCAAATGGACAAACAGTTCGATGTAAACTTGAGAGACATGATTTACACACGGTATGGCCACAGCCCAAGCTGATTGGCTGACGTTGTGTGTCGGTGAAGTCACGTGAACAAACGGGACAAGTTAGAAACTCCGTCCATTGTGGTGCTGAGATTGGCATATTTTCTCTTGTTGGACAAAATTCTAACACATGCCACCAACTCTTACAACTAAAAAAATTAAAAAGTGTCATCATTTTCAGGTTATTTAAAACAGCCCAAGACACATACATACATATACATAAATATGTAAATGAACTAGTTATAGTTTATTGGCAATTTCTACTGTTCACAATATACTACTGTCTATGCTTCTACAAACCAATTTAACTACAGATTACTTGATGGTTGAACACTATACAAGCTGCTTAAAAACCTACAAAAAAACCCCCAACCAAGTAAAAAAGCCTAAACATCAAAACAATAAGCAGTCAAAGTCCAAGTTAGATACTCCAAAGTCATCACTTTTCTAATACAAATGCAAAACATGCAACAAAAAATATGTTTTCAAAGCTGTCTCATTTAGGCAGTTAAACAAGCCAGTTCACATTTACTGTGTAATAACTTAATGCCAACTGCACATTGCACATACGCGACAATGAAAAAAGTTCAGAATTTTTGAGAATTAGTGAACATTTTTTATTGCAAAAAATTAAAATGTAAAAAACAAAAAGCATAAATAACAAATAACAGTGGTGACTCAGATATCAGAACTCAACTTCTCCTTTAATACATGCGATGTTATTAAATGTTATATCAGACAAAACTTGAAGTTTTAACATCGCCTTTAAAAATATATGTCTAGAAAGGTCTATGATGAATGGTTTTAAAAGATGGAGAGAGTGGAAGGGGGATGCGTCAGCAAATTGTAAAATTGTAATTATTTTTCTTGCAAAAAATATTAAAATGCAAAACAAACTGTCTTTGTATAATCTTTCAGAATTTTTACAAGAGTGCTTAGATTTCAATAATGCACCTGTAGAATTCATCACAAAATTGTCCTGCCACTCAACGATTTGAAAAGCAACGCACGCAATGGTAAAGAAATTGAGGAGATTGTCAATGATAATAAAAAGAAAACGATATCACAGGGCATAAAAAGCAATGATAATCTCATAGAGATATTACGCCCTGAACAAGTCACAACAAAACAAATACGTTTTGTTTTCCTCAAAGGAATATTTGACAGATATAACGACCGAGAAGTATTTCTTAATCCATACTTGCAAACAAAATGCTTTAAGAATATATCATGAACAAAAGGAAACGGCCATAACACGAAATGTTCAATGAAAAAGCCAATACGTATAAAAATATAGGAAATGACTATGAACATGTTTCTGCACATTTTGTAAACGTCTGAGGTCGATTTTACACGGCCTCCACTTTAACATGTTTTTTGATTATTCACTAGTTTGCTTTTAATGCCCAACAGGTCCATAAATACATAGAGCGAGCAATGTATACATTTGCATCATCTCTATAAATTGATGAGACGAAAGCGATAAATTATTTGTACAGCAGAAATGGACATTTTGGATTAAAAATAACAACTTTAATTTTCGCTGATTCGTTATCTTTGCTTTGCAATATTACCATTCCTTATTATTCCAAATACCTTACCTTCTTTACACCACGGATATTATTTTCTCACGAGAAAAAAACAACTTTACGTCTCGTGCAGACAAAGGCAAATATTGAACAATACAGTTTCTGCTATTTGAATTTCATATAACAAAACGCGATCGTTCATTCGATTCGTCGAAGAATATCCACAGTATTGGGTGTAGTCCACCAAGTATTGCAGTATATAAAACTTTGAGGATCAGATCATCGGCATATACAACAGCTGCAGTCTAAATTGAAGCAATGACTTGTACAGAATTCATAAACCACTTGCTCTTCTTCTCATCAAATTGTATCACGCCATTGACCGGATAAAGACATGACGATGTTATAGAATGCATATCATTATAATAATACGCATGCGTAAGTCAACCTGAGCGTTAAATACTCTACAGCCATTGGTCAAAACAGTCATGTGACCGTCTCGGGAATATTAATAAAACACAAGCTTGCATATCAAAGTTGACGAAGCGATAGACAACAGACTCATCTCCAAAGATTTTGATGACAGGAAAACAAATTTCAAGGCGTTTTTATGGCGAAACAGTTTTAAAAACAGGTGGTAACATTGTAAATAGCAGGTTGCCCAAAATAATTCAGAAGAATTGCAATAGCGGTGTAAAGCTCTTCAACATCTTTAAGTGAGGGAATGTGCCCGGGCACGCCAGCATTGTGTCTGAACATGAAAACAACAACTTATGGATATAACACAATAACAGTCAATTATTTTTTATTTAGGCAGTTAGTTTCGTACAGTACAACCCCAAATTAATCTAATTCAATCGGAGAAACAAATGATCGTTTTTTGAAGACAAATTTTGCGAGTAAAAGATGAAAAACAAGATAAAAAAAGACTTTTTGTGCCGTGACAAGATTTGATGAGATCTGCAATTTGTTGTCACTCACGAGTTCTCTATCAAAACTCTGGGAATCGGAAAACCAATTAGCTCACTCACTGTGCACAGTGTACACCCTGTTTAATAAAGTTATTCTCAAAAAATTTAAAATGCTTGTTTTTTAGTGAACTAAACACTCTCTGGTTAACCATCAAACAATGAAGCGTGAAAGCTTCATAAAGTTCGTTGATAGGGTTAAAAGATATCATAAATATATTCCTTTTAACAGGTCACCTGTGAAACCTTGAAACAACAAAATTTTAATATGTATATGTAGTCACGTGAACACGTTATTTTGAGGTTGTTACAAAGAAAATGAAAAACAACATAATCTTCACAAGTTTTGATGTGTTCAATCCAGTGCGAGCGAAGGAAGTTTTAGTAGACAAAGAAATCTATTCGTAAGTAGATCTTTGTTAAATTTTAGTCAATTAACAAGGGTCATAAGACTGCAAACAAAGAGTTTTACCTCAGGATCAATATCAAAATATGTCAACTCTTAGCTTTAATTATTTCATTCAATATTACTTCAGTAAAGCAAGACGTATAAAACCTATTACGACATTTTATTTCAAGTCTAAAAGTTTCCACGACCAGAATATCCCCTAAATCCGCCTCTAAATCCACCTCTGAATCCACCTCTGAATCCTCCACGTCCATCAAAACCTCTGAAAGCACCTCCTACATGAAAATGTAGTAAAAATCTTTAAAACCACTCCAAATTTCACTTAATGATAATTTTATCAAATACCTCTAGGCGCTCTGAAGTGACGAGGACCCTGATAACCCCGTCTACCCCCTCTAGCACCACTAAATCCTCCACGTATCCCTCCTCTACCTCGGGGTCTACAAAAATGATTTTGGATAAAATTGTGAAACTGTAAAAACAAAGTTTGTCAAAATTAGGTAATATCAACTTACAGTCCACTAGGACCCATACCACCAGCCATAAGAGGCGAATGTTGTGTCACGTGGCCAGCATTAGCTTTCGAGAGATTCTTGAACATTGAGATTATCCGTCCATCTTCGTGATTTGGGTAGGTGATCATCTCAGGACTCTGAGAAACACGACATAACAACACATCGATGGCTTTACGTAAAGCCACGAGCGAGGCAGCCTGTTCATGACACATTCTCAACTTAATCCTAAAGTAAATGGAGTAAATGGTTTGAACCCGGGAGTATCGTTACATGTTTGTAAATGTAGATCCTCCAGGTTGGTAGAGTCCTGAGAAGGACTGTTTTTGTTGTTGTTGACTGACGTTTTGACAACCTTAGCGGTAGTCATCTTCAGCGTCAAAGAGGAGTAAACGTCAGGTTAGCCGTATTTGTTATCTGGTTCTTATGTCATTGTATTGTGTATGTGGGTGTCAATTGTGTAATAGTTGATTCGTCTGTGACAGTCGTTAATCCGTGCTCGTATCAGTCGTCTGCTGGTGGATTTGACAATCTGAATAGCCTCTTGTGTGTTAAACGGGGACTTAATTCTAAGTCCTGCTGGAACGAGACCAAATCCTTGCAGCGGTGGTTGAACCAGAGTTGTTGGCGTATGCGTCTGACGTTGCTTGCAAAACGTATGTAGTCGATAGCAAGTTGTTCGCTCTGTCGTCCAAATGATCGTAATAAAGTAAATGGTTTGAACCCGGAGTATCGTTACATGTTTGTAAATGTAGATCGTCCAGGTTGGTATAGTCCTGAGAAGGACTGTTTTCGTTGTTGTTGACTGACGTTTCGACAACCTTAGCGGTAGTCATCTTCAGAGTCAAACGAAGGTAATGTGAAGTTTTATTAAGTTGGTGTTTTGAGCGCTTTAATCGTTTCAGTTTAGATAAGTGTTCAAAAAACAATATCCAATGCATGTACAACGCTGAATTACGTGTAAGGTTACATATTAAGGAAAAAATGGGAAATGGTCACTGATAACTAGCAAAATAATCCTATAAACGTTTAAAATGTCACGTTGTACTTCAAGAAAATTCAAGATGTCATTACCAACTGACAATTCACAAAAACATATTTTTCAAAATACAACACAAACCAATCATCTATCTTGACGATTTCTTTCCCAGACTCAACTTCACTGTGGGTGAATATCAAAATCTGTACAGGATACACCATTGTCATTTGCTTACAAGAAACTGCTCGAGTTCTGATCTAAAAATCGACAGCTTTTTAAGAATTTCCAGAAAACTGGAGTAAACAATTTAACTTTTTTCTTAGAATACTTCCTCTTATCAAGCATTTTCGCGCATTTTTTAATAAAAACGAGAATATTTAAAAATGAAAGGATAACTAGGGATCTAAGTACACAGCAGTGCAAAGTTTCAAAAAAGTACTGCCTTTTGATTCGTAGTTTGAATGAACCATATTAAGTGTTTCATTTGAAAAAGCGTTTTTTGTAAAAAGCTGAAAAACACAAACAACATGCCAACAATATATTGCGTAGTCTGCTGGACCAACTTATGCAGTTCATACCAATCAACCGGTCAAATTTACCAACTGCCCGGTGATGACCAACTGGATCTACTGGCAGAGATTTTGGAGTTAATAGCCCACTTATGCAAAAATTTTCAGATAAGTGTTCTGAATATGCGCTTCCCGCTCGACAAATTGTTTGCGTTCATGGTTAAAGCGAAGACAGCATGGATTTACTAGCACCGATTTTGGAGTAAATAGCAGGCATAGTCACAATTCATCAAAGAAATCGTCGACTCATGCGCAGCCACTCGGCAACTTCACAACAAAAACAATGCATTACACATGGTATTACATGACAATAGTATAATGACATACGTACCTTTTCGCCAAAAACAAACAGAGGAGAAGGAAAAGTTTGCTCGCGGTTTGAGCAATTTACAGATGATTTATGAATGAGAGCAGCTTTGCCTTCGGTTGTAACAACTTTTCGCTTTTCTTTATGTATACAAATATTTGGATAAAGACCAAAACACAAGAGAGCAATAACCTTGGTTCAATGCAATGAGAAAAACAACTTGAGACTTCACACGAGGCAAGGACAAGCGAACGATGTAACTTACTATGTCTAGTTGAGAATCGGGACCATTAAAATTGAATGGTTGTGGGTGCATGCAGTCTGAAGTGGAATAAGAAATGAATAAATTACAATTATGGTTAAATTAAAAAAAGACTTAAAAACGTGAAATTTACTCAACAACGTAAAAGACAGAAAATCGATCAGATTGTTTAAAGGTTTAGGATTCGTGAACTTCATCTGTAGTTTCGACGTTGAAACAAGTGAAGAACTTACCTTCTGGGAAACCAGCGTTACATAGAATATTCTTAAGTTGAAGCTTCGAAGAAAAAATAAATTTTTGTTTAGCAGAAAAAAGAAGAGCCCTGACAACAACTTTGTTTGTAATTCATAAAACACCTGTGCCTCCGATGTCATCCTTAGAGTGGACATATTCAACTGATGACTTTCACAGAACTGTATTTCTGCACTTTCGTCCATTGATCGGGCATCTTCCCAAGCTTGATACGCACTCAACATTGCCACGTGATCACTATGACGTCGACCAGAGAACTGCTTATGGACCCATCCAAGACGTTTGCGGTCAGAGGGCGTTTCAAATGGTTCTGGGAAGCACGTGCTTGCGGCAATCGTTGCACATGCATCACCACAACTGTCGACAAGATGAGATTAAAATTTTAATACAATAGACTTTATATCAAACTATATATTGCACTTACTTAAATAGACAACCCAACACAACCATTTTTCCAAGTCGAGGTTCAAGTGGAAGTTTTGCAAGCAAATAACCAAGAGGCGTAAGTTGATAACTTTTGTCCAAAGCGTCCATTTCTAAACAAAATGCTTCACATAGCTACAATGATTTGATAATGAAAAATGTCTTTCTTACATTACATGTTTGTAGATGTAGATCATCCAGGTTAGTAGAACAATCTAATTTTTTTCATAGAATGTTTCCTCTTGTCGAGCATTTTTGCACATTCTTTTCACAAGAACGAGAAGATTTAAAAATGAAGGATAACTAGGGATCCAAATATACAGTGGTTTTGCACATTCTTTTCACAAGAACGAGAAGATTTAAAAATGAAGGATAACTAGGGATCCAAATATACAGTGGTTTTTGCACATTCTTTTCACAAGAACGAGAAGATTTAAAATGAAGGATAACTAGGGATCCAAATATACAGTGGTTTTGCACATTCTTTTCACAAGAACGAGAAGATTTAAAAATGGAGGATAACTAGGGATCCAAATATACAGTGGCTTTTGCACATTCTTTTCACAAGAACGAGAAGATTTAAAAATGGAGGATAACTAGGGATCCAAATATACAGTGGTTTTGCACTTTTCACAAGAACGAGAAGATTTAAAAATGGAGGATAACTAGGGATCCAAATATACAGTGGCTTTTGCACATTCTTTTCACAAGAACGAGAAGATTTAAAAATGAAAGGATAACTAGGGATCCAAATATACAGTGGCGAAAAGTTTAAAAAAACAATAGTGCGTTTGAACGAACCATATTAAATGTTTGATTTGAAAAAGAATTTATTGTAAAAACCTGAAAAACACAAACAAAATGGCAATAATAAAATTGTCAAAAAAAATTGATTCTGAAGATGATTACTGCTAAGGATGTCGAAACGTTGGTCAGCATCAACAACAACAGTCCTTCTCAGGACTATACCAACCTGGACGATCTTCATCCACAAACATGTAACGATACTCCGGGTTCAAACCATTTATTTAAAAATGTTGTACGTAGAAGAAAATATGATGATATGAAATAATGCTACAACACCTCTCAATAAGGAAATTGATTCAACCACGGCGTCAAGCGGTGGTGGTTCAATTGCTTTATTTAAGAAATCGCGAATGTCTCCCAACTTTAATAATTTTATGGTAAGAGCAAGTTCGTGAAGTGGAGTGCGCAAGATCTCAGGTGTAGCATGTTCAGCAAGTCTACATGAGTCAAACATATAAAAATTATACATACATATTTACGCGTTACGTTTAATATGATTATAATGTCAAGAGTGAGAATTGTGAATTTCCACGAACCTTTCCGCTCTAGCTCGACTAACCAAATGAAAAGCAAACCCAGGTCTTACACGACCAGCTCTACCCTTCCTTTGTTCCATGTTTGTTCTTGAGGCCCAGACTGTAGCGTAGTTGGTCATGTTGTTGTGAGATGTAAAAACTTTCATTTTAGCTCTAAAACAAAAATTGATTTCGATAACTCTCTGCACGATATCTTCACGATATCGTTACAATGCCTTCACGATAACTACAAGACTAAAAATTGATGTTGTTAAACTTACTTTACAGAATCAATAACAAACACAACATCATCAATGGTGACGCTCGTCTCAGCAATATTCGTGGACAATATTATCTACAAGTAGAGCGAAAGAAAACGCGTCTAAGTATTGAAAATTTTTCAATCTATCATCATGTTGCAAATCTTTCCATAAAGCAATTTTCTTACCTTTCTGACTCCTTGTGGTACGGGTTCAAAAACACGACGTTGATCTTCGCGAGGTATTTGAGAATGCAACGGTAAAAGACGGTAATTTCGATCACCTTCATAAAATAAGATTGTCAAATGATCAGCACACGTGAAAAGTAAATGAAGAAATATATTATTATAAAGAGAAATGCCGCGACAGTGATCTTACCGAAAATAGGATGCTGAGATAAAAATTTATGAATGGCAAAAATCAAGTTCCAACCAGGTAGAAAGATGAGTATTGCACCAGGAATATCAAGATCAGCAATATAATTTAATAATGCCTTTATAAAATTGAACAACAGTCAATGTTTAAGGGATATATGCAATTCGGCTTCAAAAAAAAAGCTAGCTATTAAAGTGCTTGTGATTGAGAAGAATACCTCAATCAATTCAAAAGACATTTCTTTCTCATTGAGCTGTGATAACGCGTTCTTTGTTTGAAATGAGTAATCGTCACTGCAGACATTATTGCAATTTTCCTAAATTTATATTTAATAAAGATTACGGGGCGTACGTAGATAGTCGTATAAAAGTATTATTTAACATTTTTTACCTCTTCTTCAACTTCCGTGTCATCTTTTTCGCGTTTCTTTTTTTTCTCCGAGAGTGGAGGAACGAAACCAAGCATCTCAATCACGTCTTCAAGATAATAATCTGCAAGTGCAGAAATTATATTTCATTATTCTTAAAAAAGATCCCTCGACAAGTTATTAAGTTAAGTAGATCATTCTTACATCTGATCCATTTAAAAGTATTCATTTTATGCAATCCTCCTTATGTAAGTCAATTCTCAGGTGCCCAGGGCAAACACCCCCAGGAAAATATAGCAATTTAAAACATGCCCGGTGAAACAACTTGGAGGTCATCAAGACCTCTATGTATTGCCTACCTTGTACTGGGAATGCTCTTCCTTCAACCTCAATAACTGGACACATATTAAAGTATTGAAAAAACATTTGTGTATCGATGGTTGCCGACATAAGAGCAACTCGAAGATTGGGATATCTTTCAATCATGTCACGAAGAATTACCAATGCAAAGTCGGTCTACAGAAAATAATCCACAGTCGTAATATACATCGCAAGACTAACGACATAAAATACCATGAAAGCTAGAATTCATAAAGTAGAAATATTTTTACTGAAATGTTGCTGCAACATACATTAAGATAAAGTGAAGAACGTACAGTAAAAGAGCATACATAGACTGGTCAGCGTTCAATCACAAGATGTTCTTGAGCACCGATACGCAACGCTTAAATAGTCATAAAATTAAGAAACGAAGTACATTAATAATAATAAACACGCACGTTTATATCTCTTTCGTGAATTTCATCAATGATAACATGTGATACACCACACAATCCACTTTCCAGTTTTCGTAGAAACACACCTATAGTACATTCAAAGAAATCTTCCTTTTTGGCTTCAACGGGTACCTAATGCTGATCGCAAGTGAAGTTCCAACAAAAGTAGATACTTTATGTTATCCTTTACGTACCAACGGTACAAAACATAATGGAAGCATGACTTCGAGGTAGCATGGAATCAAATCGTACAGAATAACCAGTACTAGATCCAAGATTTTCAGCTCTTTCAGCGGCTACTCTTTCAGCAACACTCATTGCACTTATTCGACGAGGCTATAACACAATAATGAAACACCGAATCGTGAATACGTAAAAGATCCCATAATCACCGTTCTCAATAAAGATACAACTCGCAAGAAAGGAGTAAAGTAATCATTTTCATAAACAAAACATATCGACGCAATTGAACAGATCTTTCGATGTTTATGAACAGAAAAACTGGGCTTTTTTGACACAAATTAGAAGAAGCATATCTCCATGAAGATCGACAACTCCCCTCCTTTATCCGCATAGAACACATAGAGATACAGGGGGGAGGGAGATTTACCTGCGTGACTATAATGTTGCATTCGGTTCCACGTCCTTGAAGAATAAAATCATCGAGAATAAACTGTGGTACCTACAAACAAAAAGACAAAAAGAAAACATATTTCTTATTATGTCAAGGACAATCAAAAAGTTAATAAATTTCATTTAACAACAAAAGTTTAATTCGTTAACTATACCTGTGTAGTTTTACCGCAACCTGTTGCACCACGAACGATAACAACCTGGTTCTCTCTTATTGCTTGCAACAGTGCATCTTTGTAACCTGCAACAGGCAACTGCTGACGTTCGTGTAACATTTGTTGCAAGGAGGAATCATTGTTCATTCTCTCAGTGAGTTCTTTGTGAAAATCTTCACTCGTCGGTAACGGTTCCTAAGTAAAACAGCGCGTTAAGCCTGCTTTCCACTAGCCACGTATCGTAACGTATCGCAGCAAAACGTACAAGGCGCATGCGTGCTTATGAATTTGATGGCCAATAGGCGCAAGCACGCATGCGCCATGTTACGTTTTGCTACGATACGTTACGATACGTGGCCAGCGGAATACAGGCTTTACGTGAACATTACACCAATGTGAAATATACCTTGATTTAACAAAGCTTTAAATCATAAATTAAATAGATTACGTTGGATAACTTTAAAAACAAGATAGTGAAGAATAAAAATATGGATTTAAACCTGATATTCTTCAGCTCCTTCAATTATTGTGCTTTGATTGATCCATGGATTCCAGTTCATACTTGGTGGTGACCATTCAACAGCCCCTGCATTCACACTTTCTTCATTCTCCTCAAACTTATCAGTTTCACGTTTAAGTACAATATTCACTGATTCCCCATCACTTGGCTAAAGTTTTTGGCAAACAAGGTTTAGTTACTACGTAAACAAATTTTGCTGTATGCAGGTAGAAACTCTCGGGAGAATCTTCCTGCATCATCTACCATATTATTGACGATTTGCAACAGTTTATTTACCTTTTCATTGACGACTACAACGAGCAATGTTCCATTAAACAGGTAAGATTGGAAAAACAAATTGTGTCCACAGTATGAAGCTCTACATTAACAGAGTAAACTATCAAAACACTGCATTGAAAATAATTTATATTCCCATTACATGTTATACATACAAGTTCTGTGACGAACTTATATATTTTGAATACATCTTGTACACAATTTGTAATATAGCATTATGCTTTATTGCAAGTTGTGTCCTTATTATTGACAATTATATTAGAAGAGTTATCACTCTTTAGTCAACATACTTTTCATTGCAGTGTTTTAACAGAATCTCTTTGGAATATTACAAATGCAGAGTTGTATAATGAATTTTTCTGAATGTATGAAGATTTCCTTTATGGCAATGAAGTAACTGCCTTAAAATCACATAGTAGAAAATAAACTTGTTTACTATGGACACAATTTGAATGACCAATGAGTTCAAGATAAGTGTTTTTCAATGGAAACAAGGCTTGTTTTCAGCAGATATACCACAATAAATAATGAGCAAATTGCAGTCATAAAAGCAAATATTTATAGGCCCGAAAATTTAGTTTCATGCAACCTACCCATAAGTACAAATCACTTTTTCTAATATCTAAAAAATCCATATATTTTCCAAACCATAAAACAACTTACGAAAAGAAAAGTTGTTTAACTAAAGAACTACAAAGTACACATACAAATTTGATACTATGTGTAAAATAAAGATGTACCTCTGGTACAGGCTCAATACCAAGATCATTAAGTAAGGTTTTGACTTGCATTGTTAACTCAGGGCTAAGAACAACATCAATTGGTTCTAACTACAAAAGAAGATACTCTCTAATTATGAACTTTCATAGAAATACAACAAGTATTTGCAATCACTTCACCTCATCAGATTTTAGTTTCTTTGCCCCTTGTTGACCTGGTGTGGCAGCTTCAATTGCTCCAAGATGAAACAGTTGTCTCACTAAACTAAGGGCAACTTTTTGCGCTGCTTGTTTTTTTGTTGATGCAAGTTCTTTTGATTTTATATCTAAATCAAATCAATGTTGGAGATAAAAGATTAAAATTCTTTGTTGCAAGTCGTTATTTTAACAAAAAGCACTCACTTCTTCTGTGTGATCGCACAAATACTGAAAGTTCACAGGAGAAATGCCTATAATGATGAAAACACGTACAACATATTAAATTATATTTAAAAATGCTACTACTTATGCAAACAAAACCTGTTATGATCAGGACCACCGGTGGTGTATTTAAAATCAGCTGGACATTTGTTTTGTTGTAAATATTGATGTAAGCGTGACTTTGCATTGGCTACAGTCCAATTTCCATGTAAATGTGCATTGAGATCGACATCTTCTGCCTATATACAAAAAATGTTTTCATTCCATAAAGAAATGGTAAACATAATGTATAATTGATCAACTAACCTCTTCAAACTGTCGCTTATTGTACATGCTGTAATGATAATTTCTGTTTCCAACTTGTACGTTTGAGCTTGGTTGTTGTGTACCTGGAAAAAAATTGTTTGGCTTTAGAAGAAAGAAAGAAAACACAAAACAGGCATGTCTTTATAATTAAAAGTAAAACCACAAAAAAATACCGTAAAATAAACTTGGTGTCCCACTTGTGGACATTTGAGGATGAAGAGGTTTTTGCGAGTTTTGCATAGGAGGAGACATAAATGGTTGCTGAGAAGATGATGATTTTTGTTGAGGAGGCAATGATGGATTTGTCATTGCATGAGCTGTGTTTCCAACTGGAGAATTCATTTCATCTTCAAATACACTATCCGGCAACGATTCTGACGGTACCAAGCCAGCACCAATCAAAAACCCACAAAAATCTTTTGCTGCAGCACTTTCTGCATCCTTCTTGTTTTGAGCAAATCCTTTCGATGTGTAGTCAAAACCAGGGACCGTAAGCTTTTAAAAGAGGAACACTAGAGTCAGGACTTAAATGCTGAAAATATTTCTCTGAAATAATAGTCAGACCATTTGTCTGGAAATTGAATACATTATAACTGGAAAATGAAATATTTGAGGAAGGTGGTTTGCACAAAAAATATAAATCCTCTGACCTGAGATTTGAATCGTCCATCTGCAGTGTTTGAGGTGATGTAAGTAGGCTTAATTTTACGCTTTCCACAAAAAGCATAGAGAAAATTTTTAGCTTCGGCCATTTTTACTTATTTAGGAAAATTTTCTTAGCAAAATTCCTTAGTTTGCAATTCCTTCAATTTCTTAAAATTACTTTTCCAGTGTGAAATTGGTGTTTATTCTGTCTGATCACATTAAAAATATGTTTCGTGAAAAAAATCGAGATTGAACCTTTGTCATTTTCATCATTCATGGCAAAATGTGGGCAAAATCTCACAAAAACGAAAGGAAAATGTTTGGGAAAAAGAAAAAGTTCCGTGGTGTCTGAGCCCACGGTATTTTTGTGTTGCATTCAGCAGATTGCTATAATTGCGTAACATTGCGTAAGAAAATAACACAAACAAATACAATACATTCTTTTCATTTTTCTGCTGTGTTCTTGACCTTTCTTTTGAAACAATACAAAAAAAAACTTCCTTCCTATGTCGTCGCGTGATTATGGCTGCTAGGTTAAAAGCTACGAAATCAAAACTCAGCGAAAGAAATCCTCAGCTAAAATGTCCTAATGAGTAAGTTTAAAGTTAAACACGATATGGATGTCACAGTCAGGTTGCAGCCTCTAGCATTTCAACAGTATTTCCTGGTTTTAATATCCAATATTACGTAATAAGTCCAATTTCATGGCAGTCACTCTCAATTAAAGTCATTTTTGTTTAAATTAATCCATAGATGTGGATTCTATGGTAATCCATCATGGCAAGGATACTGTTCTTTATGCTACAAAGCTTTTCTTGCAAACGAGGCAGCCCATTCATCACATGAGAAAAATAGTTCCTATTCACGTAAGGTGAACTCGAATTTCGAAACAGGTGAGGTAAAAATAGTTGAAAATGTCACTTTTATTAACTTCTCATTTATTGTATGGTGAAACTTATCAATTTATTTCAATCTGGAAGACTAAGCATGTTAAAGTTTCCTAACCAAAAACTGAAAATCTATTATGGACTTTAAACGTTCATTTTCTGTAAAATTAGTTTATGCTGATGATCAGGTGCTTTTTTATAAACAACAATGAATTTATTTCATGTCTGAAAACATCAATTTCCAAGTGATGTAGCTCTTTTATAGACATTCTCCCGAGCACCTTTATTTTTTCATTATCAGACCAAGCATCAGCAAATGAAGAGACAACATTGCCATTTTCCAAATTTGAAGAGAAGAAAAAGCTTCAGCTGACCTCTAAGAAGTATGTTTTTCAATTTCTTTCATTTGCTCATTACATTAGTGTTTATAAAACTTAGGATATTTCAATAATTTTTCACATTTCAGACAAAGTGTTCGAAAGTTATTCACCAAGACAAAAGGTGACCTTCCTGTAGAATTACCTATTGAGTCTGTTTCCACATCAATGAGAGGTGATTCTATGGATGCTCCAGGTTGGTGTCCTACAGTTTTCATTTAGCATTCACCTCAATATCTACAATGACAGAAATACCACTATAACTTAATTTTAGCTGTTTCCAATGATGTATTCCGCCATACATCTGACTTCAACTCATTTTTGAAAACGTTACGTAAACCAGCTGCTCAAGATATCGTCAGTAAATGTAAATTGTAAGTTCACAGTAATTTTTTGAAAGTGAAGAAAGCTTTATACCAGAGTTATTGCATTCTTTTTAGTGTGACTGAAAAGATAATGAACAATGATTCTTGGTCAGTTGAACGGCAAAGTGAATTTCTTCAAAACTTCTACATTGTCAGTGAGATATTTTTGTATTTAGTAGTCTTTAATGGCTTCTATTATGTGGAAAAACTTTATTTCTGTATTTAGCACATGGAGGAACGCTTGCAAAGTCATAGTGCATTTCGAGGAACTACTCCAGCCCAGTTTCAAACGGCATTGGATGGTGTAGAGAAATATGTCATGACAAAGATATATAAAATGTGATTAGTTTTTAATGAACAAGTGACTAAAATATTCTCTCTGAAAGTTTCAGAAATTTCATTGCAATATTAATATTGTTTAGAGTTTTCTGTCCTCCTTCAACAGATGATGAGTTAAAGGATCTTGAACTTCAGAAAAAGATTCGTAGTTTAAAATGGGTTACACAGCAGCATTTGGACGCAGCAGTTAATTTACAGAACAAGAAAGTTGTAGAGTTTTTGGAGGATGCACAAAACGGTACATTTATTGATATGCGTATTCAAGGAATTTTCTTCAAATTCACGAAACTTTCATTAAATGTTTGATATAGATATAGCGGAAGTGAACATGAAGAGAGCTCCTCAGGACAAGTTGTCTTGTATAGTTCGTTGTAGTAAACGGGTCTTTCGTATCCTTGTTTTACCCCCCCCCCTTTCATATCTTGTTTTACGTTAATATCCATGAAGTGAATTTTGAATGAAAAAGAAAATTATTTCACTTGACCAAACTTAGATATGATACGTCTTTCATCGCCCGAAGGCAATCCTGGCAGTGCAGACGATTTTTTACCATGTCTTATTTACTTACTATTGAAATGCACGCCCACTTTGCTACACTCCAATATACAGTAAGAACTAAAGTATTTTTCTATGAATCTGATGAACTAGTTGTGCATGTCTTGCCTTCTTCTTCATGTTTCAGGTACATAACGAGATTCTGCAACGCGAACAAGCTAATTAGCGGCGAAGCTGGTTACTATTTTACGAATCTTGTACGTGTGATTAAATAATTGATAGATATAAGAATCTGTGGTAAAGTAATGTAAAGACAGATACTGAATTGGTAGCGTAAGTCATAGTTCATTGTGTTACACTCTTTTCACATATAGTGTTGTGCTGTGAAGTTTATTGAAATGATTGATGCTAAATCCTTATCACTGACCGAAGAAGAATTTAATCGGTGAGGTTATTTTGGCTCTTCTTTCCTTGGGAATGTGTTAACAAAAGTAAGTAGATTCAAAAAGTTTAATCGATTTAATTCTCGTGTTTACAGGTATATGAATGGTGAGAAGATTGGCAACGCATTAGACGATCAACAAATGGCCAACAAACCAGTGTGTGAAGGACTTCAACTCATGCAGGTTTTTAAATAATTAATATAAATAATTAATAATCAATATAAATTGCTATTTTTTTTGTTCAATACAAGCAAATGTTATAATAACTTTTGTACCACTGTACCTCCTCTTCAGTTCATATTATAGTAAATTTGTTAACTAGAATATGAACTGAACTGAAAAGAGAAGGTTTTGAGAAGGCAGAATTTCTTCTGAAATTTGAAAAAGCATAAGACTGGGCCTACGTATTAAATGCTTTAAATATTTACACAGATATGTCCACCAAAATACGGTAGAATTTAGTTTCAAATTCTATCATACTGAAAAAGGAGTCTTCTATTTCCTCCAGAAAAACTTAGAAGATTTAGCGGAATTACGAGAAAGACAGCTGAAATGGAGACAGAAAGCCACACAGTTGCAAAATGACGTTCACACGTTTAGAATAAACGTGGAAAAAGAGGTTTGTATCGTTGGTATTGTAACTGTTTTGGTATTTTTGTACACTACCTACTAGAAGTAAAAATACTATGTCATATAGGTTGCGGGCATTCTGGATGGAACTATTAGCGGTCAGTTGAAATATTGCCAGCAATACAGAAATATAAATCCGTGAAATTATATCATGGATAATATCGATGATGGTGAAGAGTGGTTCGAAGCGAAAAATTCACATGGATAATTGTGTTAGCTATGAATTGTGATATATATGACTATATTTAATTATTTCAATAGTTAATAAACCATCTAACGACCATACAAAATAATATTTATAAGTAACTACAGTATTAAACAGTCGTTCCCATTAAAGTAAATACCCACCAGAACTACCTTATCTACATCCAAAAATGAACAAATAATATTTTTTAATAATATGAGATACTAAATGAATCTTTCGAATACGTGATGTTCAGATTCCAGAACACTGATTATTTTTATGCAAGATCTTACTTTAGTTACAAAAAAATTGCTAAAATTATTAAATGTACGTTGTTTTGAATAACTGGTGTTCTGATTCCAGCACACGGTACATATTATACATTCAAGAATTTACTTTAATTACACAAAAAAAATACTAAAATTATTGTGTGTTTGCGTGAAATTTTGTGTATAGATATTCCAAAACAGGTGGCAGAAGTCTGTTTTGGAATACACCAACTTTTTGCATAAACTCTTTTCTAACTAGATTAGAAAGCGAGGGAACTCTCTAATTTAGTTAGAATGTTGGATATGCTCAATAATGTGCATTTTTGTGTTAGCGAATTTATTTGTAATTCGTTAATGACATTTATTTCATCATAAAAAAATATTTTACTGATCGTCTGCAAACACTGAGTAGTCAAAGTCAAAGATTTTATCTATTCTGAAAAGTGCTTTCCTTGAATGGTAATACCTAGTCTAGAAACAAGTAAAAATAATTTATTAAACTTACCCGAAGAAACCGTAACTTGACAGTGATAGGATACGTCCTTCTAAAGAGACAAACAACAAAATTGTTAAACATGAGTGATGGAAACACACTTACAGTTCCGAGTTCCTCTTTTTCTTGACTTTCTTGTCCTCTGCACCTGAAAAATACTTAACAAAATATTAGTGGTGTATGCCGAACTGGAGAAACACAAAAAAAAACAAGCAAACAAACACATACCGCACTCATAATCGGCATCTGTTCCCATGTGCAACTGTAAGAATAATTGTTAAAATTCAATCATGGCAAGCTGTTGGAACTCAGATGTTTTGTAAAACCAGTGTTTGCAGAAGAACCGTTAAAATTTCTTTTGAAACTCGTACTTTACGATGATTTGCTTAAAACGGCAAAATTTCCTTCGATTTTACATGAAATTACTGTCAGGTTTTTAAATTCAACATGACTATTCATGTTACCAGACCATTTTAAGTGCTTTGCATGTAGACACTGCATGTTATAACATCCCTCAATGTTATAACAGTGCAATCAACGTTTACACGAAGCGACTAAATATGTATTGTTGACAGCTTGTTTGTCTCTCACAGAAAATCACTTCAAATAGACGTTGAATTTGATGATTTTGCAATACTCTGCCAGCGTACTGCAATTTCTTTTTGTAACTATGATAGAGTCTATTGTAAATTAGATTTCATTTCGATGTCAAATTCAAAATCAGAAGATAAGGAGCACCTCCATATTAACATGTTGTTAACTGACTTGTCCTAACTTCTATAACATTACTCTATGGTTTAGAAGTGCAAGTCAGTTAACAAGCAAACATATCCCATTAATTTCAAATCTTCCAGTCATTTCTAACATCGACAGTGCAATCTTCTAGAAATAGACAATAGCTGTTTATTGTTGGTCGGTCAAAATGGATATCGTGGATGAATAAGGGTGTTTTGTTCGGAAGGATGATCAACTTTTCACATTTGCAGCATCTTGAGGAAAACTTTGTTGTCTGGAAATATAGAATAAGGGAATTATGGGTTTATGAACGACTAAGTAAGTCCCTTTATTATAGAATGTACCCTTTGTATTTTTTACATATATTTCTTAATTGTTACCTTTAATATGGTACTTCCATAAATTGTTTTTGTTTCGCTTGTGTGGTACCACCAACTTCACTGCTGTCATCTTTCTTTTTTATCTTCTGTGACTCTTTCCTGTCCATAATGGTATTCAACCGATGGGTGTATTTGAAAGCATGATTTTGATGTCTGTAGAGCAGCTTCCTAAGTTATACAAGAAAAATGTGTTCTCCGTTAGCATGCAATAACTTCTATATACACACACGCTGTTATAAAGCACAGTAAAATACATTCACAAAGTGAAATAATCAATTGCGAAAATGACGAGAAAGTGTCAAACAAAGACAAAAAGCGGCATAAATCGAGCGGTGAACAATAAAAAATCCGTTTTCTATGTCTTTTCAAGTCTCACGAGAATAAATAAACACTTAAGATATCTTCTTTATGCTTATTTTACTTGTGTAAACGAGAGATTATCAAATACGTTCGTCAAATTGAAGAATCGTAGTTTTCAAACCGAAAACATTTTGTCTATAAGTTCATTATTTTTGTCAAGCGATCATTTTTCATCCGTAGACAGTCTATCATATGACTTCTCGACAAGTCTAGAAGAAGTACCTGGTTTTATTTCATCGTAAGTTAAGTTTAACTCCCACGTATATAAGATCCCACGCAAGACCTGAAGGATTCGTCAATTAACATTATCCACTTTCTTTTCGACGTAACACATAACTTCACTACCCTTTAACCACATCCAGAGTCGTGTAGTGAGTTCTTCTAGTCAATACCGCCAAAATACATTTCGTCAGTATCATTCCCCTTAACGTCACTACCAAAAACTTTCCTAAACTCTTCATCCCAGTGAAAATATTTCTTTCTACAATAAGACAACTTCATCGGGCAAGCATCAATCAGATAATAAGATTTTATTAGCAAGTTGTTGAAGAAATATTTTATCGTTATCTCATCTACATAATCAAAGTATAATATTCCTTCAAAAACACAAATAAAGAACAATACGCCACTTTCCTTAAGTGTCTCAAATTAATAAAAGAGTAGAATTATTGGTTCGTTCTTAAAAGTTGATTGGTGGTTCTGTGGTAGCAGAGGTATTTATATTTTATGGAAATGCCTGATTGATACGGTACGGTTTTTACTTGTTATAGTCCATTGTTTTTGTGATGATTGACGTCGTTAGTCACTGTATCGTATATTCAGAAGCATCACCTATGAAATTCAAGCCAAGATCACCTTTTGCCGACCTTATACAGACGTGTTTATATTCAGCAGCAGGGGTAAAATTCTGTGCCTAACTAACCGTCTAACAAAATAGATTGCAGTTTTCTCAGGCAAAACTCCTAACATCTATTTCAGCATTGAATTTTACACAGAGCTAAAATGTAAAAGATTATCTTTAAAGTGTTGTGTGGGAAAGCGATTTTATTGGTAATGTTTAGTTGTTATACAAAATTATACCGAGCTCTTTTGTTCAGCAAATTATAGGCCACACCTTTTTGTCGGAAAGTCTCAACCCTCAATATTAAGACCTATTGTCTTGTAAAGGAAGCTGTGAATAAGTTAGGTCAGTTATGTCTTTCCGGGCTCGTGGGAAGATTTTTATTTCTCGCATTTCATTGGTCAATGTAACAAGTATCGTAAAGCTGATTGGTGGAAAATGCGACAAAACCTTCTGTTTTCCTCACCTAAGAGGAAAGCCCAAGCTCCTGCATGCAAAGCTGTTTAGACATCTCACATACGAGAAACTTAAAATTGCTTATGCTTCAAGCTATCGTGACAGAGAATAAAAGATTAGTGTTTCGTCTGGAAAGGAGAATAAAGCGTATTTGTTCAATTGATAAATTATAATGGCAATTGTGATAAACCATCAGTACATGGACGAACCTAAATGTTGTCCTTGTGCACCACCTTCTAGTCCTTTGAACGAAGTGAGGAAAAAGTTTTGCTTTGATAATGTCAGGCAAATGCCGTTGTCAGCTCGTGATGGCAAGGACATTGATATAAGAGAGTTTCTTGTCGCCTCACTTGCAAGAATGAATATGGGAAGTTCGTCGTTAAAACGAAAACAGAGAAATGAATTGTGCGAGTATCCGACGTTCGAAGCCTTCAACTCAAATGCATCGAATGGCAAAAAGCTAAGGTTTTCATCAGCTTTTGATAAGGAACATATCCTGCCTATTTTTGATTTAGTAGAAGGAAGAAAAAAGGTATCTTTCGTTTCAATTGAATCGTAGATATTCAAGACGCCGCATATCAAAGGCAATTGAACGATCAGAGTCATGGGATCTTTAACTCGCTACTTTGACTCTCGCCAATATTCTCCTACTGTTATTCCGTTGCGTTAGTCTAACAGATCTAATGCAACTAATTGTGCAGTTTGCACTGGTTGGAACTCGTGATTATGCACACAAATACTGAGAAAATTTGAATCCTGTGTGGCTGTGAGTGACGGAGAACCTTGCATATGTCACGGTGATTTTTGTTGGCTTATGACTTGTCAATTTCAACTTTTTGTCACGCAACAATCAGAAGAAAAATTATCATTTCATTTAAGTAATGAAATGAATTTTCAATATATCTATTGAAATGTCAAAAAATATATAATTGTTATTGTTATAAAGTACCATGTACAGCTGGGCTGGAGAAGTTACGTTATGTAAATATGTGCATTTATAAAATATCTGGAGTATATTTAAACGGTTTCAAGTATCGTTTGGAATAATTTGTACATGTAGTGTTAACATTATTTCCAATGGTAAAAGATTGCTCAATAACATTTGATTAGAAGTGAGTTCTATACGTTTACAACTTTCCAGGCAATTGTATATTTATAAACTTCGAATGTTTGACATTTTATTTGGATTTTATCAATTAAAGTTTATTTTTATCGTTGAAAAAGTATTAGAGTTCCTTAAAAGTTCATATTTCATTGAAAATATATAGTCATGCAATATCTCATGCTGAAACACAAAATATTTCTTCTCAGTGGGTGTGTTTTAGGAAAACCATAATATCCACGTCACTGAGGAGACGGTCGTGATCTATTATCGTCATAGTGACGTAGAAAGAAACTTTATGTGCTAATTGTCTCTAAACTTCATTCTTATGATGTTTACTATGGTGATTTTAAAGCTCTTTCTTGCTACAAGATACCGGTTACTAATCTATCAATTGTCCATTTTTATAGAACTTCTTTGTGAGAAAAATTAATCGTTTGCGTTAAAAAGAGTTAAGGTCAACAAGCTTGCAGTAAACGAAGATCAGCGAGACTTGAATGACGTCAAGTGTCCGTTCAATGACGTAGTCAACAAAAGGATTTTCGTTGAAATGTAATCTCTAAGTCACCATTCCAGAGTGTCTTTCTTTGACATCGTAAGTCTAGGACTGTTTTTCGAGAAAAATTGCGAAAACCACTGTCTATGTTTCTTGATTTCGTTATCTTCTTTGACAAGTAGAGGTTTGGAAATATAGGTCTTATGGTTCCATATCATCACATCACGCTCAAGCTAAAAACATGAACGACAACATGTTCAGAGAATTACCTTTTATAAATGAAGAAGTGTGTACAGTTTGTAGCTCTCACCTGAATCGCTTCAGCATACAATACAAGTTTGCCAAAAAACGTTAGGCTTGACGTGTAACAAGTTTGGGTGAGTTTTTGTAAGAGTGGTTCAACTGGGGTGACCTCTTGTATTATTACAACATCTCCTAATATCGATATCAATTTCATGTAGACAATACCTGGTCCAATCTAATGACGATAAGTAAGACGAAATATTATTAGAATTTTCCAACTAACTTAGAAGTGGAAACTTTTAATAATCACGTTAAATCTATACCTGCTTTGCAGATATATGTACATCTAAGAATGGCAAATGATTGCCCAAAACCATAACTTTTTGAACCAACGTGAGCTCAGAACAATGTGTCTCTTCTTCTTCGAGTGGTCGCCAGGACGCAACCCATTCATGTTCGAAAAAATTCTTAGAATATTTGAATATTTTATTCAGGTTCCTCCCCGCTGAAACAAACGGTGTGTGTAAGAAGTTAAAATGATTGAGATCAGCTCCATTTTCTGGTATATCCTAATGAAATAAAATGGATACGAGGCTTTTCAGTCCCAATGTCAAAATATCTTGTCGTCTAACGATTTTTATTTGAATTGAAATTTATGCGCAGCAGGGCACATTTCTTTTAAACATTCTTTAATTTCTAAGGTAATTATGATACCACGCACCGCGTATAGTCGTAAAAGCAAAATATTTGTGACATCCATGCGATGAAAACTTCCGCGTTCGTTCTGCTTACCTCGATATGACAATTAACATAATGAATAGTTTGACCACAGTATTTCCATTTCTCTAAACATTCTAACTCCTCTGGCCTCCATTCTGGTTCTACATCTTCTGCATGAAACCAAACGTAAATCCTTCCGTTTATCTCAATTGAATTCCATGATTTTATTTTAGCAAACTGTGGTACAGTGTCACTGTAGGGAATATCTACACACGTGCCAGTATAACCTTCGAAGCACCAACCATGAAAAGGACACTGAATACAATTTCCTTTAACTACACCACCAATGGAAATATTTGCACCCAAATGAGGACAATATGCATCCAACACATGCGCAGAACCATCTTCACCACGAAAAAGGACCAAATGCTCGCCTAGGACCAGTACATTTTTCACTTCTTTAACGGGCAAGTCAATCGATAGTGTGAGGAAAAACCAACCATTTGGATAAACTGGAGGAAGGTCACCTATTTTTCGTCGTCTTCGAATGTCATTTGCTTTTTCCCGTTTATTTTCGTGGACAGTATCCACAAGGTCGCATTCATATATTAATGGTGAAGTTAACCAGCTCCATAAATATTTTAACGCAAGCACAAAGAGGATAAAAATGGCGAAAAGCTTGTAGCTTAAGTGTACTACAGGTAGAGTGTACACATGTGTACCTGTAAATCCCCTCAAATATGACTGGAGTTTCACTGACTTGTCACCAAAGAACAGAGAAGCACTTGCCGTGACAATCAAAATGACTGTAACTAGCGCTTTTTGAAAACGAATCATATGTTTTGCGTACGGTTTATCCCAGCGAGCAACAAGTTTCAAAGGAAACCTTGATCTTCTTGATGATGACGTAATCAGTAAAAGGTCGTTTACTTCGTCCAGCAGAAAATAGTTCTTTGTAGATTTGTGTAGTAATTACGACAACGTTCTGAATATTAGCATAAATGCTACTGAATAAAGATAAAAAATTGTCGCGTTGTGGGGACTTTTCTTCACATGTCATAAAGACAATGAATTTATCGATATTTTTTACAAGAAACGTTGCTTGTTCATACTATTGAGAATACACAAAACACATAAATAAAACTACCATCGAGCGCTGCTTGCTTGCTTGTAAAAATGGCAAAAATATGGAAAAGGTTATAATTATTAAATCGCGATGTTACTCTTACATACCATATGGTACCAATTAGCAACGCGGCGCTTGTTCGAAGATACAATTATTACAAAAAAGCCGGAAATGCTTCGAGAAAAATGAAGGCCTTTCATGGAAAATTTTACTATGGGATAAGAGTATTATAGGACCGATTGAAATAGTGAGCAAAATAAAATATTCTACTGATTATATATTACTTCTCATTGCTTGCAGGTTGCCTACTAAGTGAGCATTATGCACACTAGATGAAATTCACTGATTGAAATTTTTCCCGTTGCTACGCTTCTTCCTCTCCTCCTCTCCCTCCCCTACAAACACACAAACCCTTACCTGTATCTTCACGTTTGAAGAGGATAAATGAAGTGTTTGTGAGGTGTTCACTGTCCACCAATGGAAGCTTTCCAACCTTCACATGTAGTTTCTCCAATTCTCGACCATCGTTCTCGACAAAATTACGATAATGCCATCGGACGATGCTCGCACAAACGTCGGACGCTAGTCGATTTAATTCATAAAACATGGCGTCAAAGAAAGCTAGCAAGCAAAGTGTGTTCTCAAAGGTATTGTTTTTTAGCTGGCTTATTATTTATTTGTGTACGTTAGTAACATACAATGTAAATTAAGTAAGCAAAATGCAGTGTTTTATTTTATCAATGCACGTAAAAATTCTTTAGTGGGCAGTTGGAGACGAGAAACCAGTGAAGATAGACAAATGGGATGGAAGTGCTGTAAAAAATTCACTGGATGACGCTGTTAGGAAGGTAACCATTAACAATAAATAATGCTATTAGTCACTTGAAAACTTTTTAATCAATCTTCATTTCAAAATTTTTCTTTCAATGTCTTAATTTATTTTTCATAGGTTCTTACAAAACAATTGAAGTTTGAAGAAAATTTTCAAATTATTGATACGAGACTTGCAATTTGTACAGTGGCTTGTCTTTTTGCTCTTACTGCCTTAGTCTATGACTACTTGAATCCATTTCCCAAGTCACGTCCCACATTGATCATATGTGTCCTTTCGTATCTTTTTTTTATATGTTAAAAAAGAACAGTTTTAACTTTTTACTTAAGAAATAAAAGATATTTACAGTGTTTGCACAGGCTTGTGCAAACCGAGTAAATATCTGTATTTGGTAGAACTCAAGAGCTGAAAAACACAAAAAACATCTTTTATTTCTTAATATAGAATTTCTTTCTGATTGATTTGATTGGTTGAGCTCCGATTTGTTTTGCACAGGTTAATGCAAACACGCTCTAGACCATTCAGCGCACGCATTTCATTGTGTTTATTTTATAATTTCCTTTGATGAACAAGAGGATAATATTTGATTTCTTTCTTAGCTTTGTAACTATAAGATACTTTTTCTTGATGTGCGTTCTTACACTGTTCACAACATTTAAGGAAAAAAATTATGTTGTGTTTGCAAAAGAAAAGGATAAAGCTGGCATGGTTAGACACACGATCAATTTAATCTTGGCTATTGTAATGCATAGATATGCTATTTTAAGAACGAGTTGATTTTTTCATTCATCAGGGACCAGATCACTCATGGAGTGCAAAGTCAACATTAAAAAAATATGATGACATGTATGAACTTGTACTTAGTTATAAAGATGGTGAAACAAAGATGGAATGTGAAAAAACAATGAAAAAGTATGACATGTATTTGCATTTGAATATATAATTATATTTATTTGATAAAATATACTTCTGGTGCTTTATTTTAGGAGTGTTTCTTCGTGGTTTGATGAAAAAGGAGTGCTGCTTTTTGACATTTTTTTGCATGATGTTCAAGAAATGTATAAAAACATTAAAAAAGAGAAAGTACAATAAAATTTTTCATCGAATTTCCGAGAGTATCTTCTTTTTGCTGCTTGAACGTTTTTGAATGAAAATGCAGCAAGAGTATGAATTATGTATGAAGGTTCAATTGACGATTGGCGAAGAACAGAAAAACTCACGATCCTCACGAGCGGAATGCTGAAAATTGGTGCAAACAAACGGGAAAATATTTTGTCATTTACACAAGTGATAAAATTGCAGTAAATTGTCATTTATTCAAAATTCAATACAAACTTAGAAAACTGAACATTCTTGATCAATTCGCCATTTTTCTTTGTAATGTTATGGTAACGATACAAGATGTGAAATCTACAGGTTAAATCCAACAATGTTTTTCCTCAATAGTTTTGCTGTGACTTGCATCTTTATAAGCAACGCTAAAAAGTTGATTATTTTTATACGTTTGAAAAAATTCCCCACTTTAACTAGAATACATTGTCTAAGACAAAAATGTTGAAATGCAGAAATATTATTGCTCTTTAACACTTTAATTATGCCATGTAAATCGAGTTTATTTTGTGATTACAAGGTTACAAATAAACTATTTCAAGATAAACGAATAACAGGTTAATATTCAAACGCAAGTCAAGCCCATGTTTAAAGGGGCCATATTGCCAAGGATTTATGATAGTTAACCTAATCAAAATAAATTTAACAACACATACATAATATGTCTTGACTGGATGAAAATGCTTATAGTAATGTCAATATTGAATGTTGTGCTTGAGAAAAACCACATTCAAGCAAAGAAATATTGAAAATAAAATCCCAATAGATTAGTATATAGTTCACTTTATTAATCCACTTTCTACATTCTATTTTTCTGACATCCCACGAACTTCTCCTTGTTTTCTTTGTTCTTCAAGCTCAGCTTTTGTTTTATCTTCTAATTTACGTATATCTTCTATGGTCATTCCAAACCATTTATCCAACCAACAAAACAACTGTCGATGAAAATTTGTAAGCAGACGCTTTACCGACTTACATATGAGATCTTCAACCTTAGACTGAAGTAAGAACCATTTGAACTTGATGCGATACAGCTTATAACATGTCATAACAGGTATTTCCTGATCTTTGATTTCCTCTTGCCATTTGCTACCCAAAGGACCACGACCAGTCTTTTCAGAATGAAATTTAGAAGGATCTTCATCGGGCTTGTAATCCCTCTGCTCAACTGGCTTGGCTATATCTATGTTGACAATATCTCTTTTCTTTAAGAGATCAGGAGGTAGATTATGTACATTCTCGATATCTTTATTCCCTGGTTTATGCCATGTGTCTATTATTATATGAAAACTATCACCCATGTATTCATTGGTGTACCATGTCCTACAAAAGGGATACGCGTTCCATGCCTTTTCATGGATTTCCAATGAGCCTTTAGGTGCGAGAGCCCTAACATAACCGGGAACCTTTGATGACAAATGAATAATCTTGTACGTGTATTGACATTTTCCAAACACCTCGTGTTCGAGAGGCTCATTTTTCACAACTTCAACACCGTCCCCACCTCCGGTTTCATTCTTGCTTGCTTCAGCGACAGCATATAACTGACCGATTTTGTACTCTTCAACAGATATTGGCAAAGGAATACGATATTCCTTTATCATACTTGTTGATGGCAGTTCTGCGCTCATTTTGATTATTTCTTTGGCTTTTAAACAGTAGAATGGCAATAGCGGATTTACCGAAAAGACTCGAATCGTAAACCACTAAACAACAAAATGCTTTACTTCAAAGGATTGGTCACATGGTTTGTGAACACTTATATACAAGATGGATATTAAAGTACATTAATCCCATATTCATCCCGATGTTAATATAGGAGCTTTTCCACGATAAACTTTTACCCGCTCTTACCTAAAGAATATGATTTGGTGACGTCACCCGTACCTGTATTTTATAAATATATCGTGTTTCTTGCATTTTGAAATAGAGTTTTGAAATAAAAACGCTTTAATCTATGTAATATCCTTGTAAAGTATTGTACCATGTGTTAGATTTTGTTCATCACTACTCTATCCTTATCTAAAGGAAATAGGCTTTGTTTTCTTTCAACTTCCTGTTCTATGGAATGAAGAAGATCAGGTCCACTGCAGCAGTTGAGGGGTCAATGTTATGTTAATAAAGTTTTTCATATCGTTTCAATGATGACGACTACCTCGAATCCAATGGCTAAATTATGCATATTGACATTAACCACGTTTGATAATGCTGTGTTGTGGCTTTGTTTGAAACGTAACGGTATAATCAACCAATAGGAATGAAATACGATTCATAATGTTGGTTTCCAAAATAAATCAGCATGCTTATTCAGCATTGAACAAGATTACACATATTCTTGTTCAGTGAGGAGTTTGTGAAAATTTTTATAGCACATTGCAATACTCTAGAGTGTTTTAGAATATTAACGTTGTTTTACAAGAATGTCAAATAAAACAATTGTTCTTGCTTACAGTGGTGGACTAGATACCTCGTGTATTTTAGTTTGGCTGAAAGAACAAGGTTATGATGTTATTGCATACCTGGTAAGCGCTTTTAGTTGTGTACTAATTAATTATCAATTGCTTTTTGATAGTGTTTCTTGGCCGTATAAATATGATTTTTTTGGATTTTAACGTTATTTTCTTTTAATGGATGGCGAAAGTTTGGAAATACGTAAAACATAGAGATTGTTAAGGGATTTTCATTTATGATTTATTAAATACATAGTCCTCCATTTACCAAAACTGTATCAATTTTTAAAATTTATTGACACGTAATACAGAAGCTGTGTCAATTAAGACATAATTAACACATTTTATGAGACATTAATATTTATGCATTTATAATTGTGCATGACAGATGTTTCTTTACATAGTTCTAGTTTACTTTGCCATACTACTTTTTACATATTCAACTAAATAATTTTTAATTATGATAATTTGTATGATCATTAACCATTAAGTATCACAATAACTGTTTCGTTTGCAAAACTTTTTTACAAAGTTTGAATGAAGTTCCAGGTTTTTATTACACAAGGAGTTCTTTGTCTCAAGACAATTGTATTATTCATTTTAATTAGGCAAACATTGGGCAAGATGAAGATTTTGAAGCAGCTAGAGAGAAGGCTACTAATTTGGGAGCCAAGAAGGTTGAGATTTTTCTGATTTTTTAAATTATATCCATAAGTGTACCCATATGCTGACTGTGTATTCTTTGCCTGTGTATAGATTGTCATTGAAGACCTGCGAGAGAACTTTGTCACTGAGTTTATTTTTCCTATGATTCAAGCTGACTGTATTTATGAAGATCGTTATCTGCTTGGAACATGTATGTGCGCAAAAAAATATATTATCTGTGAACAATTTTAAGAAGCGGTTTGCAGATATAATTTAAAATTAAGCTCTAAATACATTGTTGTGCTGAAACATTCCCTAGCCATTGCTCGTCCTTGTATTGCTCGTGGCCAAGTTAAAGTTGCTTTAGATGAAGGTGCTGAATATTTATCTCATGGAGCCACAGGGAAGGTAAGTTCATTGAAAAAATATTTTGTTTCTTTATGGTTATAACATGACTTTTAAGATCAATATCCTCAACATTTTCAGGGAAACGATCAAATTCGGTTTGAGCTCTCGTATTATTCTCTTTTTCCAAAGGCGAAAGTAAGTCTTGTTCTATGATCGAGGATATAACATGTCTTATATTTATTTTTGTTCATGGTAAAGATTTTTATTGTCTTTTGTGAGGTGATTGCACCCTGGAGAATGGATGTTTTCATTGAAAAGTTCAAGGGAAGAACAGACTTATTTAACTATGCAAAGGTAATTATTTTCATGCCATTGTTTTGATAAATCATGTTCCTTCATTCCTGAATGATTTTTATGTTTTGAATTTTAAGGAAAATGGCATACCTTTGCCTGTTACACCCAAGAACCCATGGAGCACAGATGAGAATCTTATGCACATTAGGTAGTTTTTGCAAAAACAGATGCATTATTAGTAATAAAGCTGCTAAAGTTTCCATCTCAGTGTTCTACAATTTTTTTGTTCTATAGCTATGAATCTGGAATTTTAGAAAATCCTAAGGTATTCAAACTTTAACTGATATGTATTTTAAAAAATTACACTGATCTTTCTAAACTCAAAAGTTGAGCACTAAGATTTCATTCATGGCTAAAAGTGATTATAATTTGTTGAAAGATTGTCTCCTTCTTATTTAGACGGAGGCACCTCGAGATATTTGTAAAAGAACAACTCATCCTGAAGATGCACCAGATAAGGTAAAGCAAAAATGAAATGAAATTCTTATTGTCAGTTTTCATCTCATCCTAATGCTTAAAATTTTACTCTTGATTCTTTCTAGCCGGAAAGATTTGAAATTGAATTCAAGAAAGGTGAGAGAAATAAGTCTTGAAAATCATTGACACATTGTCACTGTCATTTTTTCCTCGTCATCAGGTATTCCTGTTCGCGTGTTGAGCCACAACGACAAGAAATGCACAAATAAACCACTGGAAATCTATCAACATTTAAATGAAATTGGGTAAGACATCAATAAAACATCATAGATAAGGTGTTTTTATAAGTAACGTATTGTAACGCAGTTACCGCGAAACACAAATCTTCTCAAATTTAGATCGCGTCATGGTGTAGGGAGAATTGATATTGTTGAAAATCGATTTGTGGGAATGAAGTCTCGAGGTAGGTGTTTTATTTCATCCTTGTCTACTCATCATGTACTCTTAAAGAATGCCGAAAATTTGAGTTCATCTTTTGCAGTGATTTTGCAAGGAACTTTACATACAACGGAAATATGTTTAACATATTTAACATACAACCTTTCATTAATTCTTAGGCATATACGAAACGCCTGCTGGAACCATACTGCGAGAGGCACATCTGGATATTGAAAACATCACAATGGATAAGGTTATAATTTGACTTGGCATGTTGTATTTTTGACTATAATTTCTTCCTGGTTTCTCATTCTCATCGTCAATGTCATTTTTTCATTGAAAAGGAAGTAAGAAAATTAAAGCAATTCCTTGCCAACCAATTTTCTTACTACATCTACAACGGATTTTGGTTCAGCCCCGAAGGCAACTTTGTTCGTGATTGTTTGGCAAAAAGTCAGGAAAATGTTGAGGGAATTGTACAAATGCAAGTCTACAAAGGCCATGTAAGTAAGAGTTGTGCAACACAGTGTAGTTTAATTTGTTTTAGGATGAGCAATTTGAAGCGAACGAGTATTTTTAAAGGAGGTTCGTATTCAAAATAACATGACCAAACATTTTAGGTATATATTCTTGGTCGAGAATCAAAAACTTCTCTGTACAATGAAGATTTAGTCAGGTAAACATGTAGAGTATTCTTTCCAATTGACGAAATATCAAAATCTCTACGTTTTTGTTTTTCTTTTCTTTTCAGCATGGATGTTTTAAGCGACTACAATCCTGAAGATGCAGCAGGATTCATAAGAATCAATGCTCTTCGGTAATAATGATCTCACTGATTTCTCGTTACTTTTTAGTCGCTTGTATAACATTTGCGTATAATTGGTTTGTTTAGACTTAGAGAAAATACAAGACTGCGAAAAATCACGGAGAAAATGAAATGATTATGTGATTTGCATTGAGCTAATGTCTATTTTGTTATTGATGTGATAGTTTGATTATTGCCTGGAATAAAGTGCAGTTATTTTATTCAATTAGAAATGATGTTGTTTTCTTTTCATTTTATGAACGATGTTTACTTCATGTTGCTTGCAAAACTCCTTTTACATTTTTTTAACACAAACCAGAGTAAAAAGTGAATGAAGAATAATTTGTATAGATGTAAAACGATTGTAAATGTAAACGGTTTTTGCGGGTTTTAAGTCCACAACAGCGAAATGTGTTTTTCTATTTTAAGCGTAAGGCATCTGTTGTTGGATGCCAAAAGTTGATTTGAAATCTTATAGAAGAACTGATGTTTCTACTTTTTAAATTTTAAGGGAGGCCACGAGAAGAAATTGCTTTTACGTAAGGAGCCAGATTATACCAAGAAAAATTCTTATTCAAATAGCATCATATCACCCGACTCTGTCTTTTGAATATTTTTTGTTTTATGTCCGAAATTTTACAAACAAGGTTTTTTGTTTCGAGAAAACTGGAAATTGAACGATCGATCAAGAAACAATACTGTCTCTGTCTTGATCAACAGAATGAGTAAAACCTAGCATTTGGAACTGTAAAACTATATTTGTATAATAAGAAAGTCTTTGTAAATTGTCATGTCACTCCTTGACGCTGAGTTGAAAATTTGTTTAGCGCAGGCTCAACATCTGTTTTTTGTACGAATTTAAAATGCAAAATTTACCAGTTTCTGTTTACTCTTTGAATTCGTGATTAAATTGGTTTTATTCTCTCTTGGCGTCGTTTGAATTTAGTTTGTACTTTTTAATACATCATGGCATCAATGACTGAGCATGTCGTTCCATTCAAAACCTCTTTTGATTGGGGTAATGGAGCATATTTGTTTCTCGCTACTTGTCAATGCTCGTTCGCTTTATTCAATCGATTCATCGCATCTTGAAAGTTTGTGAATTTCTTTTCAAATAGGAGGTACGTATGACGAAGGATTCGATCCGAATGAATTTTTGTTGCCTCAAGATGATTTGAAAATTACAGACGAAGAGGTAAGTTTTGTATTTCTTAGCTTGAAGATAGCTCAGCTTGCGACCTTTAAAAACGTTCAAAATGGTAACGTGTGAGCATCTCGTGCTGTACAATATAACCTCTAAACTTTTTGATGTTTTACTAATATTATTTACTGTAAAAACTAGAAACGTAAAATATATACAGTAATACGTTATTTTGTATTTTCCTTATCAAATAGTAAATTTAAGTTGACTGGTACTCCGTATGAAAACTTTCTCATTTTATGTTTTGTAATGCCAATATTATTTCCTGTTTTAAATTTATTTGATTGTCAGTTGTTTTTCAAAGGATGTATATTTTAAAACATGGAGATAAAGTGAAAATGTATTTAATGGAAATAACTGTTGAAAACCTATAAAAATGTCGACCCAAACTCTTACAAATTTTCGTGTTCTCATTGTTATACACAAGTTTCAATGAAGTCATTACGATGTCCACGTCAGCGCTTAGCGTGAAAGTCATCAAATATAGTATTGTTAAAATATGTTTTAAATTTTTTAATGTTTCATGGAAACTTAAGATGAAGGACATTGACCTGCAGAATTTAGTTTCAAAACTCGAAGGAGATGATTTTTTGAGCAGTTTGCCTGACTTGGATGATAACAACTTCCTAGGTTTGTAGTGTAAATTTACTCATTGAATTTATTAGCTGTCTCATTTTAACATGACAGGTGTTGAGTCACAAGATGTTAAAATGTTGTTGATGGGCCAAACAACATGCATAAAGTTGAAAATTGTAATAACCTATCTATAATTATCATTAAAAATTTGTATGTTAGTATATTCATATTTGTTTAAATTTGAATTTTTGTTATCGCATTATAACATTACGTTCATTAACTTTTCTGAAAATTTTAAAGTGACAAACATTAATTTTTTATTAGCTTCACTCAAAGATGAACCGTTGTCCCCTGATTCAGCCATCTCTGGTATCAACTCAATTGCAAGCTCCCCAAACTCACAGGTAAATAAAAAAATTTCTTGAATTATAGCATGGTTTACTACTAACCATATTTGTTCTTCCTTATGCATACATTATTGCCATTAATTATTAATCTATAATTTCAAAGGTACATGGAAATTTGTCTCCAGTGCACAGTACCGAATCACTTACTGATCAAGATCAAATGATCTTAACCAATGTAACAATAGACTATGATGATGAGTGTATTATACAAGAAGTTGATCATGGTACGAGTTTCCAAGGAAAAACTGTTGTAACATCACAACCATCAATGTTACAAGTCGAGCAACAACAAACTGTAACACAATTTCAGAGGCCATATGTTGCAAAACAACCAATGCAGATAAATGAAACTAGTGCTGCCATTATTACGCCTATGAAATCTGAAGAGATATTGACCATGGCGTGTGAGAAACCTGATACTGTTTTGAAGAAAACAGTTAAAAATGAACTCGTGAAGAATTGTCAGACACAGTGTATGGTAGTACAAAGTAATAATTCTAAATCAGATCAGAAATCTGCTTCAATGTCTAATGCACAGTCGATGAAACTGCCATTACCTCGAAACACAAAGAACAATCCAATATTTATTCAACCAATAAATGAAAATTTAACTTTTCATACTGTGCTTCCTGTGGCAGCAACTAAACCTCAAATACAAACTATAAATCTTGTTTCCTGTGCGCAAGGAGCAACAATGAAACCAGGTATGTTTAATGTGTGGGGTAGCATTTGTTGTTTAATGTGTGGGGTAGCATTTGTTGTTTAATGTGTGGGGTAGCATTTGTTGTTTAATGTGTGGGTAGTATTGATGTTTGAAGGGGAGGGTAGCATTGTCATCTAATGGTGTGGGTAGTATTGTTATCTAATGGTATGGGTAGTATTGTTATCTAATGGTATGGGTAGTATTGTTATCTAATGGTATGGGTAGTATTGTTATCTAATGGTATGGGTAGTATTGTTATCTAATGGTATGGGTAGTATTGTTATCTAATGGTATGGGTAGTATTGTTATCTAATGGTATGGGTAGTATTGTTATCTAATGGTATGGGTAGTATTGCTGTCTAATGGTATGGGTAGTATTGTCATCTAATGTGGGTAGTATTGTTATCTAATGGTATGGGTAGTATTGTTGTCAATGGTATGGGTAGTATTGTTATCTAATGGTATGGGTAGTATTGTTGTCTAATGGTATGGGTAGTATTGCTATCTAATGGTATGGGTAGTATTGTTATCTAATGGTATGGGTAGTATTGTTATCTAATGGTATGGGTAGTATTGTTATCTAATGGGTAGTATTGTTATCTAATGGTATGGGTAGTATTGTTATCTAATGGTATGGGTAGTATTGTTATCTAATGGTATGGGTAGTATTGTTATCTAATGGTATCGGTAGTATTGTTATCTAATGGTATGGGTAGTATTGTTATCTAATGGTATGGTAGTATTGTTATCTAATGGTATGGGTAGTATTGTTATCTAATGGTATGGGTAGTATTGTTATCTAATGGTATGGGTAGTATTGTTATCTAATTTTAGGCATAGTATTGATTCTTGAAAGGGCAGGTAGCGTCTAAGGGTTAGGGATGATTGTTGGATAGGGATGGGTGGAGTAGCATTATTGTTAAATTGCTGGGGTAATATTGCTTTTTATAGGATGGGGTGGCTTTGATGTTGGAAGGGTGGGTATCATTAGTGTTAATTTTGTGGAATATGCAAGAAAAGCATGCTGATGTGCAGTGTGCGAATTAACGGAGTGCAATGTGCAATTTGCACATCGTTTTAGCTAAAATGAAAACAATTGCACATCACTTTTTCAAACGATGTGCAAAAATCAGCAGTTTTAACGAAAAACACTGTCGTAAATCATATGAATTTGTTCAAGTTTAAAAATATTAATTTCGCAATTAGCGCTATATAATAATTAACGTAATGTCGATTTGATTATGCCTCTGAAGAAACACTTTTGTCAAAAAATTGCACATCGTTTTTTACGAACTAATTCGCACACTGCTAATTTGAAATCATGATAAAAGTACATTCATAACATTTTCAGTGTTGGTACAAGCTGTAGCAGGTAGTAATCACATGACAGGAATTCCTGTCACACAGGGTTTGCAAACTACTATTCCACAGACGACCATAGGACTAAATGTGAGTTTTGCTTCATGAAATGTGCTTTGTTATCAATGTTTGTGAAATTAAATTATTTCTTCTTGTTTATATTAGCCAGGAGTTGTTAGTAATATGGCATCCACTATCATGACTGGCAATATCAAGCAAACAAGAAGTGTTGCTTCTGATGTTAATGTATGTAGAAAGTTTTAACTGTTGCAAGACATCTGTTTAACGAACGCGTTTTATAGACTCAAACGCAACTTTTTAGCATAAAATATAATCATTTTTTGTGATAAGACAATTGTCATTTTTTTGAGGACGCTTGCTTATTAACTATTTACTTAAAACGTCCCTGTTTCTTTTGACATTTAAATGGAGCCGAAAAAAAAACCTGAAGGAAAAGATTGCTTAGTTTACAAGAAAAATAGTTTTACAAGATAAATTCAAACCAGCTGTAGATTAATATTTGTTTCATTGAATGCGATAGATGAAAGTTTTAAGGAGGCAACAGAGAATGATCAAAAACAGAGAATCCGCTTGTCTTTCAAGAAAAAAGAAAAAAGAGGTAAACTTTACGTTTTTTTTACGGTCTGTGTGTACTCTTCAAGAAATCGAAAAGAAAATAAAATGCGCTCATTTTTTACGTACATAGTATGTACAAAGTTTGGAGGGTAAGCTAAAGGAGACTTTGGCTCTCAATGCTCAAATCTCACATGAAAATATAATTCTCAAGAAAAGATTGGAAGACTTAGAGAAGGAGGTACACGACGTCAATATTTTCACTTCAAACATATTGTTAGACGTGATCGTTAAAATATCGTTTACAGAATAACACGTTAAAGAGTTTGACGGCATACAATATCAACACGGGAAAAATCGCCAAGTCTACTTGTGTTCTGGTTCTATTGATGTTTGTAGCTGTAAACCTCAACAGTTTCGGGTGAGTTTGATGATGAACTTTTTGTGGTTGCGAAATTTTATCATGAGAAATATTTACTTCATGAGGAAAAGTGTTACATATGAATATAATATAACAAACAATTAACTAGGCTAGGGTTAGGGTAGGAATAGGGTAGGGTTAGGGATAGGTAGGGTTAGGGTAGGATTAGGGATAGGGTAGGGTTGGGGTAGGGTAGGGTTAGATGCCATAAATTTACTAAATTGTGTTCATTCTTTTTCACTTCAGTGAATTCAAAAATTCGATCAAAGATAGTCCTGGTCTCATAGAAAGCTCTATAAAACTTCATCATGGTCGAGCTTTATTAGAATATACGGACAAATACGACATAAAGTTGACTGAAGCATCGACGAAGAAAGACGACACACGTGAAATGAGCCATAAAAAAGAGAAAAGTGTTGAAAAGTTGGAAATCGAAAATAAAAAAAAGAAAATGATTCAGCGTTTAAAAGAAAGATACAATGAAAAAGAAAGGGGTGTTGGCGCTTCGATATCAAGGAACTTAACCACCCAAGAACCCTCTATTTGTAAATCAAACCCACCTGTTAACAAAACTGAAAACAATAGGTATTTTATTGTTTTATTATTTATATATTTTCTATACACACACTAGAGAATGTAACATTTTTACATGGAATGTCTAGTTATTAGAACTTATTACATGAAATGATGAGAATATCAGAACGTGTTGGAAAAAAGAATCGTGATGAATACATACGTTCACCAATCTCTGAACTTGTTACTAAGATGAGAAATAACTCAACGAGCAAGACGAATCTGAGGTAGATAATGAAAAGTATTTTGATTTACCATGTTACAGGGAGTACATCTAAACATAGTATTCTTTTATCACAAGGTCTTTTATTCTCAAGAATTCTCCATCAAAAGAATTACAAGTTTTGCCAAGATATACTGGGTAAGAATCAACTCACGGAACTGTTCATGAATTCATTTTTTCAATGCAAATCATCACATTACGATGTGATGAACGATTGTTTACATAAAATATATTAACGTGACTTGGTAACATGTTTCTCCGTTTCAGTTCATTCCGTTCATTTCAACAAGCGTTTAACCGACGCGCGGACACATCTTACATCGTTTCATTTAGAAAGGTACTTACTTACACGTGAGCTGTATATTGAAAAGACAAGAAATAACAGACTAAAGTCTACACACCTCCACTCTAAAATTGCACAGAGCTACCTTTTTAGAAATCACAGACTAAAGTCTACACACCTCCACTTTAAAATTGCGCAGAGCTACCTTTTTAGAAATCACAGACTAAAGTCTACACACCTCCACTTTAAAATTGCACAGAGCTACCTTTTAGAAATCACAGACTAAAGTCTACACACCTCCACTTTAAAATTGCACAGAGCTACCTTTTAGAAATCACAGACTAAAGTCTACACACCTCCACTCTAAAATTGCACAGAGCTACCTTTTTAGAAATCACAGACTAAAGTCTACACACCTCCACTTTAAAATTGCACAGAGCTACCTTTTAGAAATCACAGACTAAAGTCTACACACCTCCACTCTAAAATTGCACAGAGCTACCTATTTAGAAATCACAGACTAAAGTCTACACACCTCCACTCTAAAATTGCACAGAGCTACCTTTTAGAAATCACAGACTAAAGTCTACACACCTCCACTTTAAAATTGCACAGAGCTACCTTTTTAGAAATCACAGACTAAAGTCTACACACCTCCACTCTAAAATCACATAGAGCTACCTTTTTAGAAATCACAGACTAAAGTCTACACACCTCCACTCTAAAATTGCATAGAGCTACCTTTTAGAAATCACAGACTAAAGTCTACACACCTCCACTCTAAAATATAGAGCTACCTTTTAGAAATCACAGACTAAAGTCTACACACCTCCACTCTAAAATCATAGAGCTACCTTTTAGAAATCACAGACTAAAGTCTACACACCTCCACTCTAAAATTGCATAGAGCTACCTTTTAGAAATCACAGACTAAAGTCTACACCTCCACTCTAAAATCATAGAGCTACCTTTTAGAAATCACAGACTAAAGTCTACACACCTCCACTCTAAAATCGCATAGAGCTACCTTTTTAGAAATCACAGACTAAAGTCTACACACCTCCACTCTAAAATCGCATAGAGCTACCTTTTTAGAAATCACAGACTAAAGTCTACACACCTCCACTCTAAAATTGCACAGAGCTACCTTTTAGAAATCACAGACTAAAGTCTACACACCTCCACTCTAAAATCATAGAGCTACCTTTTAGAAATCACAGACTAAAGTCTACACACCTCCACTCTAAAATCATAGAGCTACCTTTTAGAAATCACAGACTAAAGTCTACACACCTCCACTTTAAAATTGCACAGAGCTACCTTTTAGAAATCACAGACTAAAGTCTACACACCTCCACTCTAAAATTGCACAGAGCTACCTCTTTAGAAATCACAGACTACAGACACAGAGCTACCTTTTAGAAATCACAGACTAAAGTCTACACACCTCCACTCTAAAATTGCACAGAGCTACCTCTTTAGAAATCACAGACTAAAGTCTACACACCTCCACTCTAAATTGCACAGCTACCTTTTTAGAAATCACAGACTAAAGTCTACACACCTCCACTCTAAAATCGCATAGAGCTACCTTTTTACAACATTTTGCATTTACAGTCATTTTCCATTTGCTAAGATGCCTTTTTATTCTTGTGTTTGTGTGTACAGGATCAGCTAATGTTTCCAGCTAGTCAAATGAACTCTACACATCCACCAAAATTATCCTTAATACTACCTGCATCAAATGGAGGTAAATTTTTACGTACTTGCAGCAATAGCGTAGAGCCATCTGATTTGATTTCAATTGTGATCCAAACTAGAAAACCATTCGCGTGATTTAAAAATGTTTTTGTGTTATATTACAGATGCTAAATGGCGAGGGAGGAGAAGTTATATACCCATGATGAAAATGGATTGTCAACTTGTTGATAGTAAAAAAATATTTCTTAAAAGATCAAGCATTCCATTCAATCTTATGGATATGTCATACTTATACACACCTTTTGTAAATAATGAAAACCCGTAATAGAAATATCGATTAAAACTCTGACATAGTGAATTGAGAATGTAGAAAATAAATCATGTTCATTTCATATGAACATGTTTCGCAATATTTTCTCTATCTCTGTTAGGAAATGTCGAATAAAATGAGTGAAACTTAAATGAGGTATTGACTTTAATATTTTCTCCATAAATAATTGTTGCAGCCTGGGCAATTAAGTAACAACAAGAAGTAAGTACAAATGCTATGAACTAGGCAGTTTCTCAATAGGAGTAAAAAATTTAAAGTCCGTTGGAAATAGCTCGGCAACTTTTGGATACATAAGTCGATAGGCTTGTCGAATTGTTACATCAGCAACACCAGCAATATCACCAATTTCTAAAAAAGATTTATAATGTAGAAATTTGTGACATGTAGGACATTGTGATCCTCAACTCTTCGACTCACCTTTTTGCGACTTCTTTCCATCGGAAGCTTGAGATGCAAGATAGATTGAAGCAGCAGCAACTGAGATTGGACTTCGACTGAAAAAAAAACTAATTAAGAAAAAGACATGTGACACACAGATAAAAACATTTATAAACTGACCCAGCCACTAAATCAAGCTCCATAGCTTTCTTTGCAATATGTGTAGCTGCCTTTTGAACTGCCATTGATAATCCCAAATTGGAACAAAACCGAGACTGAAAAAAATAACAAAACAGTTGCAAACTGTGAATACAACCTATACACAGCCATATTAGGACCAAATATTCAATTGTACCATAAAATCCCCTGATGTGATGAGATCAACACTTGTTTCAAGAGACCTCAGGGTGAGTTTGAAGCAACGTCCAATTTCTTTCCTAGATACTTTACTGACAGCGCAAATTTCTATACAAATATATTCAATACATACCAAATGTCTAACATATTATTCAAACAAATGTATTCTTCCAACAGAGGCATTTTCACCTTTAAATGTTCTAGGAACACCTTCTTGTCTGCAAGCAATACAAAGACAAGCTGAAGCAATTGCATCGTTACTTCGGCCTTTCAAACTTTTTTGCTCATGTACTTGCTTGAAGAGTGTGTTTGCCCGGTCCTAGTCAGAAAAAATAATTTAAAATCTTGGCTAATGATCAATGTCTACCATTGCTTATATTTGAACACATTTTACAAATAACACCACAATTACCACAATATTCTTTGGTAAATTTATTCGATCAGCCATGGTTGAAATTTCTCTGAATGCTTGTAGTAAGCTTCTGTCAGAACCAGATGCCTAGTAGGATTTTCATAGAATTATGACATTCTTTATACCAGTAGTTGATTTCATTTACAGCTGAATACCCACTAGCGACAAAACTATACTTACACCCCCACGGTTGTGCATTTTTGAATAACCATCCATATCATATTTACCAGGCCCTCCGCGTTCTATCATAGTAGAAAGATCTGTACCACCAAGTAATGGGTTCTATATAACATGTATTTACATATAGAGTATAAATTAACCTGTTGATCATGAGTTTTAGTACGTAAAAAGTTTAAAATTTACTTATTTTAAAGAGATGACAAAAAGAGCTGCTCACCTGTGCAGCGCCAACACGGGACGGGTCAGATACTGACTTTTCGTTGTTGAACGTCCGCCATTCTGAACCAACATCAACGACACTTCATAAGATGAAAGAAAATTTCACGAAGATTGACATTGGCTTTTAAAGCCAATTGAAATTTTAATGTATGACGTATTCTTTAAAATTTATTTAAAGTTTCTATTCAAATGAATTCATGAAAGATTTTCGGGAGAAAGAAAACACACCGGTCGCCAACAACTAAACCACATTCAGGGCAAACCATATCACCAGCTCTGTAATCTTCAACCAAAATGGCATCAGGATGGCTTGGACACATTAGAATACCCCTATTATTTCTTCTATATAAGAAGAATAAAATTTCACGATATTTCAAGCAAGTATCACACAAGAAAAATTATTTCATACCTCGACGACATCATCAAACATTTCCGTGGAAAGATTGTAATCAATGATTTGACGTCATATTTATAGCCTCGCTTCATGAATGAACCGGACCCGGATGATAAGTAATTTATAAAAATTGCAACACTTAGTTCTTGGGGAAATCCCGCGAAGGATAAAATACATATCATATACGATATTTATAATAACGTGTATATATATTTAGGCATTTAAATCAAGGATAAAATACATAACATATACGATCGTTATAATAACGCATATGTATATTTAGACGTTTAATTAATAGTTCATTAAATATTTACAACATTGTTCGTATGACATAAATGATAGACCAGCCGAACTTGCACCCTTGAAGAACGAAAAAACAAACATATATTTAAGACACAACATATATATGCAAACATTTGACTAGCACTCACCTTAATTATGTTAACTTTTAATCCTTTGTAAAACCCCCGCATTCCTTCCTTCTTCAATATATTCCAGATGCAATTTAACATACTTGGTGATTTCATGTTGTCATTAGGACCGGGAATGGCTACTTCTTTGATTGCAAAACCTTCCACCTGCGATGGAGCAATTTCATTTATTCTTATGACAAAGACGATTTTTTTGTTGCTCACCTCCCTTACTTTACCTGCAATCGCTTTTTAACAACATCCAATGGATGAATAATGATTTTACTAAGAATACCAGACATAGCACCACAAAATAAACTCTCGCTCACTGAGATATTGCCATCCACCTTAGTATCAATAAACCCAAAGAAATTATTTGATGACATCACATGTGCGTATGCATAGTATTTTGTTAAATTAAACAAACCAAGGATTTCATATGGTTATTCCAGATCATTTGTAATCCAGTGTAAAAAGCAAAATGCATTCCAGTTTGAGGAAAGATTTCAAGCATAGTTGGTAACAAACCTAAAAATGCAAGCGTTCCCATTTCATAAAAATCATGAAGATGATGGTGGCTTTGCTTGAAACAGAAGTTAAACAAAAGCAACCTTTATAAAATGTTCTTATTCCATTTTCATTGAACATTTCTCTTACAGCATGTAATAAACTTACATAAACCTAAAAATAGATCATCGCAGACAAAGACATTGTAATAGTAAGCCATGAAACACATTGCCTACTTTAGGTTCTCCTTGAGCGACTAATCTTGTCCTTAAGACATCTATAGGTTGAACAACTACTGACGAACAGCAACCAGACAAACCTCCGCAGATGAAATGGGTAACTAAAAGCAAAAGATTGTTCAAAATAGTTACATTTATCTACAAATCAACGATGAATTATCAGAAGTCTAGAAACCTACTTGGTTTTTGGTCCAAATACTTTTCGGGTGAAATGATTTGATAAGCTAACTTAGTGAGCACCTCAAATGACATAAACTATAAATAATGTTGAGAAATGAAGAAGAGTTTGCGAAGTGTTAAGAAATTTTAAAAAGGATGAAATACTTGTACACATCCATATGAAACAGACAAGAGTTGTGCAGGAATGTGACCTTTCCTACAAAGACAAAACTACATATCAATGTTGTCCTTTTGAAACAAAGATTATTTTTGTACATCCTTGTTATTTTAGTCATCTCAGTCTTAGGCTCAAGCAGCCTGATTGGATAGAGCTTTACACAGACAAGAGGAGAACAACAAGTCAGTATGGACAACTGAAAAAACACTGATAGTAAAATGAGAATAGACCTTAAACATACCATAATGCAAGAAGACCCTCTTCTGATGCAATTCTACTCAAAGATTGGAGTAAGCCTCGGTACTTTCTACGATATTGCTCAGATCTTATCTGTAAAATATATCACTTTATAACATGCTCACAACAATGAATGTTTTCGATATCTTATATCTTCTACCTGTTTTAGTGGATCAACTTGCAATTGCAACCGTATTTTGACCACATCAAGTGGCTGAAGGAGGAGTCGAGTGGTAATACCAGACACAGCACCAGCCAAAGCATACTGAGTTGGACTTAATTCTTTCAGTTGATCATCATATCCAACCATCTATTTGCAATGGCATCTAATTCATGAAAGAACCACTGAATTTCAAGAACTATACGGTTTTTTCTTTGACAGCTCACATAGACGTAGAGAGCTCACTGATATCAATTCGGATGATTGTGTAAATTAAATAGTTCAGTCACTGGTTCAGTGATTTATTCAAAAATGATTTTATACAAAACATGTTTTAAAAATATGAAAATATGATGTTTTAAATTTTAATTTCAAGCAGATTTTGCTCAAACTTTTAAAATTGTAGTAACTTGGTAATTAAAGGGTAAAAGTTCAGTTAGTTTTGCCCCTGTGCTACGGGTTCTATCAAACACATTTTGAGGGATGTTTATCAGTTTTCATGGTCCATCATCAATTCAGCGGTTATAATCGTAGGCGCTGATATGTAACAGAATTCAAATTTGAAAAGGAATAATTTATTTAGTTCATATACAAGAAGTTGCACAGCAACAAGCAGTCGTCTACAGGTCTTGTTGAAATAAATAAACTCACTTATGAAACGAATTTGGGGTGAACAAATGAAAGAAATGTCAGGAATATCGACGGTTAGAGCGTTTCGTCCAAAAAGAACACTGCCATCTTTGCCAAAAAACTCAAAAGAGTCCAAGACATCGGATAGCGTTTTCCTGTCACCAAAAACAACTGGAAAAAATTATACAAATTCGCCGTTAAGTAGAGCTGTTAGTGGAAAGAAGGCATCTCGTTTACCCATCCGAAGAACGCAATCAATGAGTGATATTTTGATACAAAACACTTTGCAATTAATGGCAGATTTAAAAATCAACAAGCTGATGTCGATGCAGCTATTAGCCAAAGTACAAATAATGATAAAAATATCAGCAAACAGGATGTCTCATATACACCTACGAAATCTAATGCAACGAAATTCCTGACAAATATACCTGCAAGGGGTACCGATGAAGGAAAAGAAAGAAAAAATGAGTTTAAGTTAACAAGAAATCACACGTCAATAGAAAGTGTAAACTATTCATCAACGTCCGAATACAGCGAGACAATAAATAAGATAGAAAACGTGACGGACGTAGGACTGGATGAAGAACAATCCTGTATTACTGTTGCTGTGCGTGTTAGACCATTTAATTTGAGGTAAACTTGTTTTTAAATGTTTTAAATTTCCAATCCTATTTTCCTCGTAAATATTGTTGTATTTTTTGTCATTTTGATATGACCGTTAATTTAAGATGAATGATTCATGAAAACATTTAAATTCCACGTGTAGTTTTTAGGGCTCTTTCTTTCATCACAAGTACCTTTATTGTATACTAAAGAAAATCACAGCATGATGTCTAAATTGTGTTCATTGTCTGACAATTTCAAATATTTCTGGTAAAAAGCAACAGTACTGTTGCAATTATTATTTATTCTGTCAAAATATACCCATGTATGCATTTACACACACCCAATTTACAATGACAGAATGAAATATTGTTTGATTACCCAGTCTTAGGTTTGATTGATTTTTTTTAATATAATTATTGCTCTTCAAATTTGTCAAATTTGAGTGATTATGTTTTAGGGAGATACAGTCCAGCAATACTCAACTATGTTTGTGTGTAAAGGAAAACACTATGTTGACATGCGGTCCTGGATTAAAACACAGCTTTACTTATGATCATTGTTTCTGGTCACATGACACAAATTGTGAAAACTTTGCGACTCAGGAGTTTGTGTACAAAAAAATTGGCAAACCTTTGCTGGAGAATGCTTTTCATGGATATAACACTTGTCTTTTTGCCTATGGGCAAGTATGTATTTCAGCATAAACTGCCTTTTGCTGTTTTGGAAGGTCTTTTGATAAATATTAAAACATATATGTTCTTCAAAATTCTTATCTGATTAAAACTTATTTACTCTTTTATTTTAGACGGGATCAGGAAAGTCATATAGGTAGAAATGCACAATTTCATTTATTTTTCATACAAACATTTGGTGATGAATCCATCATTGTTTAATTTCTATATTCGCCATAGCATGATGGGGTTAAATCACAAGGAGCAAGCTGGCATTGTTCCAAGATTTTGTGAAGATCTGTTTGAAAGACTCAAGTCTCTCCCACAGGTACAGCATAATTTATTATATTGTTGCATATGGAATGTCAGAGATTTTTGGAGATGATCCGTAGTTTCTTGTTCAGAGAGGAAATTGACTAAAATCTATGGTTGTGTATTTGCAGGTGATTTTTTCGGTAGAAATAAGCTATTTTGAGATATACAATGAAAAAATTCACGACTTGTTAGATTATCCCAAAGGAAAAGATGAAAAAAGAACACAAGTGAGTTTCGTAAACTAGTGTTTTGTGTTTGCCCAATAAATTTGCTGATGTATCAAATGCCATTATAATTGTGTATATTATCATTTTTAAGTTACGTGTTAGAGAACATCCAGATTTAGGACCTTATGTTCAAGATTTGTCAACGTAAGTTGTACTTAGTCCTTTTTAACGTAATGGTTCCCAATCTTACCAATCAGAAGCAAATTGTATTTATACAAATTAAGTGAAAATGTTCACAGACAGTTTTTTTTATTTTAGTTACATAGTGAGCAGCTATGCTGACGTTAAGGTTGGAAATGTTTCAAACACATTATATAAACCAAGTATAATTTCTATGGTGTTTTAATGAATGATTTCATTGATGCGTGTGTGTGTGCGTGCGTGTGTAGATTTCTGTCATGTTTTCATGATCGAAGTGAATGACGTTGTGGAAGAACGTGTTTTATGTTTTAATAAAAATCTACAAATGATTTCATGCATTCATTTTCCGTAAACCAAATAAAACACACGACACCGTGTCTAGTTGTTGTTATGTTTTACAATGTTGACGTGGTTAAGAGAATTTTTTTATGATTTTTTTTAGTCGTGGTTAGCAGTTGGCAATAAAAGTCGTGCTACGGCCGCAACGGGTATGAACGAAAAAAGCAGTCGTTCACATTCAGTATTTACAATTGTCCTTACACAGACCAAGGTTCGTCAAGACTATCAAAAATCTTGTGTTGTACGAGAGAGAGAGAGAAATCTGTGGAGTTAGAGGTTCTCAATGGAAGATGATAAACTAAAAAATGCTTTGCTTCTAGACTGAGGTGCTGGATGGCACGGAGACACAGATGTCGAAAACAAGTAAAATCAACTTAATCGATCTTGCTGGCAGTGAAAGAGCAAGTACAGCTTTAAATGATGAAATTATCAACTCTAAACAAACATATGATCTTCGGCTTAAGGTGCATTTCTCAACTGTCTGTATTTGCTTTCTATTGATAAAGTCATCGTCATATTTTTGTGTGCATTCACAGGAAGGAGGTAGTATCAATAGATCTCTTCATACTTTGGGTAAAGTTATTTCAGTGCTGTCAAGTCAAGAAAAAAGCGTAAAAAAGAAGAAAGTCCACATTCCCTATAGAGATTCTATTCTTACATGGTAAATGGTGTTGTGTGTTGTGGTTTAATGAAATCATCTTTTAAAATAAAGCTTAGTTTGATCTGCTTTACATACATCATGCGTACTTTTTATAGTTAGTGACGAATGACGATTTGTGATATATTGTAGGTTGTTAAAGGATAGTCTTGGTGGTAATTCTAAGACTGCTATGATTGCTACAGTTAGTCCTTCAATAACTCATTATGAAGAAACACTTAGCACATTGAGATATGCAAGTCAAACGAGAAATATCGTTAACAGAGCACGTGTGAACGAGGACCCTAATGCAAAGTTGATACGAGGTTTGCTCAACTCTGTTTATAAAATAAGCGCAATGAAACGCGTGCAGTGATTGGTCTAGAGCTGTGTTTGCGCTCAGCTCTGTTTATTAAATAAGCACAATGAAACGCGTGCAGTGATTGGTCTAGAGCTGTGTTTGCATTAGCCTGTGCAAACACAGTAAACATCTTTTCTTTCTTACATACTCATACCATTGTTGAGCAAATTAACTCGTTCAATGACGATCGAGATTCAAAGTTAAACGTATTTTTATATTGAATTTTTGGGATTCTACTTTTGGTTAAAATTACATCATTGACCATTAACAGAGAGGTATTTTCAGTTGCCACTTGTTATGTAGCTAACTCTTTCTTAAAGTAAATGGTTTGAACCCGGGAGTATCGTTACATGTTTGTAAATGTAGATCGTCCAGTTTGTTGTTGTTGACTGACGTTTCGACAACCTTAGCGGTAGCCATCTTCAGAGTCAAAATGACTCAAAAATGACTCAGAGTCAAAATTTTCACTCTGAAGATGACTACCGCTAAGGTTGTCGAAAGTCAGTCAACAACAACAAAAACAGTCCTTCTCAGGACTATACCAACCTGGACGATCTACATTTACAAACATGAAACTCTGTCTTCTTCTTTAGAACTTTTGGCAGAGATCGAGCGTCTCAAGGAGTCATCTATTTCCTCTGAACAGGAAGTAGACAATAGTTTAAATGATGAGATCATGATGTTACGAGAAAAACTTCGGGAGACAACTGCTCTTCTTGCTGAATCCACGAAAAATTGGCAGGAGAAGTTAGAGTTATCGGAAAAACGAAAAGTTGAAGAGGCAGAAAAATTAAAGGCACTCATAACTCGGAGTTTTCTTTCAATATTTTGAAAAACAATGATGTTTATGTTTCGTGTGTTATTTCTAGCAAGCGGGAATTTCTTTTAAAGTGGACAACAAACTTCCTAATCTCGTGAATTTAAACGAAGATCCTCAACTTTCTGAAATGCTACTCTATATGTTAAAGGAAGGTGGGTTTTTTTAAATACCCCAGTCAAGTTTATATAGGGGAAAGGTGGGGTTTTCACATGTACATCATACACTAGAATGGATTATGAAATAGAGGATAGGCGGGTTTTTTTTTGAGGAAATAATTTAATTTTGTTATGGAAAGATAACTATGATTATATATCCAGGAGAAACAAGTGTTGGTCGCCGTCAAAGTGATTTGGGTGTTACTGATCACGATATTCAATTAAATGGCGTTTTAGTCGCCGAGAATCATTGGTAAGAATAAGTAGAAGTATTTGATAGACATGTCGGATCAATTTGAGAAAATGAGTTGTATTTTTAGCACGATTCGTAATGAAGGGAAAGTGTATACATAACTGCTATTGGTGAGAGATTCGTTTAAATCTATTATTTTTATAATGCAGTCAAACGTTCACCGATATATTTTTTATTGAAGAAGCTTTCGGATGTCTGTCTACAGCCTTCGAAGGGTTATTAAAGTGGTTTAATAAAAAAAAATTATATCAGTGAACGTTTGACTGCATTATGTATAATCATGATAACGGATCACGAATTTTTTCTCTTGTTTTTGTTTTTATATTTATTATAAATTTATGTAAGGCATTTCGCCTTTCTTTCGTAGATGACGCTCCAACATACGTTAATGGTTGCCAGCTGTTTAAAGAGACTGTTCTTCATCATGTAAATACATCTTTTAATAAAATGTCTTCATTGTGGACATTGTCCCAGTAAACTGCTATAATGGCGAGAATCTCTCGTCCATACGCAGTATAAAAGAGATTTGACTCGTCTCCAATCCCTGTGGGCCTTGTAGCTCAACAGGTAGAGCGGCGTACTAGTATCCCGAAGGTGCGAGTTCAAATCTCGTCCAAGTCACATGTTTTTCATGTGCATATTAAAAAAACCGTGTTAGGATTAATGTATTATATATATACTAATCTTTTATCTAATATATTATATAAAACAATGTCTTCATAATGCGCACATTCATTCTTTAATTGTTGATCTTATTTTTATCTTCAGGGAGATCGTTTAGTCATCGGTGGCGATCATTATTTTCGGTAAAATATTATATCCACTTCCTTTTAACACAACGTATGGTGTAGAAAAAGATAGTTCGTCGGTTTGAAAACGATTAATTTTATTCACAGCGTATTACATATCCATTTGCATGCAATAATTTTGAACCATTTAATTTTTATGGAAGGTTCAACCATCCAATGGAAGTGCAGAAGCGAAAACAAGAAAACATCAGCGAAAAAGGAGAAAACATGAACATAAAGGATTTTGAGTTTGCCAGAAATGAACTGGCTGAAGCTCAAAATGCCAGGTGTGCAGAGGGGAAAATTAGTCTGAGGAAATTGATCATTGCGTGTTACATGTTTAAGACAAATATCTCGTGTGTACATTTATAAAGTATTATTATCGTAGACTACAAGCTGAGTTGGAAGAAGCGAGAATCAAAGCGAAAGAAGAGATAATGGTTGAGATACAAGTAGCAAAGGTTTGACGTGAATATTAGTTTTACACATTGATACTGACTGCGGATTTCTTGACATAAATTATCTCATTACTATGTTTTAAGGAGACGGCCCAACATGAACTGAATGAACAAAAGGAATGCTATGAAAAACGTTTGAATGAATTGCAAAACAGCTTGGTACTCTAATTTATATCTTCAGTGTATGAAATACCGCATAACTTTTAGGGCTATCAATGTTTTATTTCTTTTCTTCCTTTCCTCTTTCCTTTCTTCCTTCCTTCCTTCCTTCCTTCCTTCTTCCTTCCTTCTTCCTTTCTTCCTTCCTTCTTTCTTTCTTTTTTTCTTTCTTTGAGTATCCATGAAACTTCTTATTTGTTTTTAGAACGAAGTTGGCGCTGAGAAAACGGAGATTGAGAAATCGCACCAGAGTGCTGAAGATAAAATAAATAAATTACAAGCTCATAAAATGGTGAATTAATCTACTAGTAAAGATTCATTATCTCTCACTAAAATTCCTTAATAAAATTTGTCATGTAATGTTGAATTTGTTTAGCTTCTTGAACAAGAGATATTGAAGAACAGAAAGAAATTGCAAATGGAAGCTCTAGCCGCTAAACAAGTATTTATCTGACTTTGATATTTGTCATGAAAGTTGTGAAAACGATCTTCAGAATCTTTTACAGGAAAAATGAGAATCTATTGAATACCAAATATCGAGAAATGTATTGGATTTCCTCTGAAAACAAAATACTTTTAAAAATTGTTTTAAAGATGGCATTTGCCATGTTGAATGTCAAAAATAACCGAAGAGTTCTCTTCAGAACTTTTGGGTTGATGTTTTGATTGTAAAACGTTTTTTTAGAACCCTTGGGTTGTTTTGCCCATTCATCATGGCAAATGCTATCTTTGAAACAATTTTTATATTTTTCACCGCGACGAAGTCTCTATTTTAAAATACGTTTAACTGTCATAGGTGCTATGGTTAAGCGTTTGATTTAAACCTTTTACAGTTCTACTTGTATGTAACGATTGTGTTTCCTTTTCATTTCCTTTGTAGGCTCTCGAAGAGACCAAAATGAATCAGGTTCGTATCATTTCGGAATTAGAAAAAGAAAAGAGGAAGATTCGCGAAGATGTGGAAAAACTGAAGAATGCTAAGGTAAATTATCTAAATGTTTGTCAACGTTTCTTTTAAATTTTATCAAAATAAAACTCACTTTTTAATGTGTGTGTGTGTGTGTATAGACAGCACGAGAAGAACGAAAAATGAGTATTGTATCAAAAGGTAGCTATAAATTTGGAGACGTACCATTAAATTGTATTTTTTATCGTTGTTTTCATATTTTCCATCCTACAGATGAAAGAGGAAACAGCGAATTATTGAGGATTTCAGTTATGTTGAGAGAGGCAAACAAAATCAGCGAAAGTCTAAAGAAAAATTTGGTTCGTATAACTACCTGGATTCTTTTGAATATGTAATAGCGCGGGGTCGACATTGTGAGCATTAGGGAATTACTAACAAAGTAAGGTAGCAAATGCCAAAATAAAGTTGTTTAATGTGATCACGTGTGTGTAGCGTGTGTTGCTCATATTAAATCACGTGTGTGTGGCGTGTGTTGCTCATGTTAAATCACGTGTGTAGCGTGTGTTGCTCATGTTAAATCACGTGTGTGTAGCGTGTGTTGCTCATGTTAAATCCCTATGGTGTAAATCAAGTTTATAGAATATATTTACATCATTTAGATATTCAGTCGTGATGATATCTTGTTCAACGATAATTTATGAAAAATTAATATAGTAAATGGATAGAATATATTTACATCATTTAGACATTCAGTCGTGATGATATCTTCTTCAACGATAATTTATGAAAAATTAATATGGTAAATGGATAGAATATATTTACATTATTTAGACATTCAGTCGTGATGATATCTTGTTCAACGATAAGGTATGCTGTTCATATTCTCGAATTAGGTAAAACAAGCATTTTATTTGCAGGATCCAGTGTTGAATGGCTGTTAAATAGTGTGTTAGACAAATTTCAATATTTCAAATAATGTCTTTACTATGCGCAGATGGAAGTAAAGATTCGTCTAAATAACACAAAACTTGGCATTACAACTGTTTGGTCTCTCCAGAAGTTTGAAGCGAAACTGATACAAATGAGAGAAACATACCAGGTTGTATTGCAGTCAGTTGCAGTAGAAAGATTACAACTGATTCGTAACTTATTTGAATGTAGCAATGTGAGTCAGACAGCGTCAGTGGTGATGAAGATCCGTTCAACGATCCTTCAGATCAATGGGAAAAAGATTTTAGATTGGAATCGCCTTCAAAAAACATGTATTTATTTTTTTTCTTTATTATTAGTGAAAGTACGGCGTTGTTGTAAGATTTTAGGTTTTGTTTTGTGGGTTATTTGTTTATGGCTTATCTTCATGGTTTTTGATAGACGAATGAGCAGACGTGAAACCCTGGATTTAGTTTCGAAACTGAAAAGTTCTCTAGCATCTCCTCTTTCGTCAAAGGTGTAACCCTTGTTTTTTATTGATTTTCTTTTTCTTCAACTTCGCATGAAGGTAACATAATGATTTTTCTTTAGGGAAGTCAATCTGTACTTTGTGGTGTCTCACCTCGAGCAAGATTGTTGGTGAATAATGCTGTTAACAGGCAACAAGGTCAGCAAAAAACATAGCACGTAGCAAATATATGGACAGTTCAAATTGGATATTTTTTCGAAAGATGCATACTTTGTATTTTTTATTTAGTTCGAGTTTCATGATCACACATTATTTTTCAATCCTAGTCAATAATTTCAGCCCATTTTCATTTAGCCACTGCATTATCGATTGTCCTTTTATGTTATAGAAAAAGCTAAACGTTTGTTGGCAAAATTTAATAAAACGGAGTCGGTATCAAATGAAGAAACACAAGAAACGTCAAGTGACGAGAATTTTCTCTTTGGTGTGTAACTTTTATAATTTACGAATGGAGTTTACGAAATTTATGGATCTCTTATTTACGCTGTGCTATTTTCTTTTAAGGCCAACGAAATATTTCATCTGTTCCTGCAATATGCAGAGTTATGATGTCTAATTTAATTTCAAAAATAGAAGGTACTGCTTTGCACATCTAGTTTAAAAGATTTGTTTTTGCTCCACAATACTCGCGTTTGTTTAATGTAGATTCAGCCAATGATGCACCTATTCACGAACGAATCATCATAAGTATACAAGAAATCTGTTCATCTACATCTACTCTACGCGAGGCATACAAAAGCGACCATAGCGAGAAGGGTAAGTGCAGATTGTTCTCTTGTTTTATTGTTATTTTGCTACAGTGCCTTTCTATACAAAACCGCTGGCCTGTATTTCTTTGCAGTACCTATCAGAGAATCTGAAGCTGTGCGAAGTCATGCAATAAAGATTGTGACGTCTCTTGATCGTCTTTTGGAACAGTCGCGTTCATGGAAAATCCAGCTAGATGTCGGTGGCTCAGAAAAGTTAGGGGATATGTCTTCAAGATTGTTAGATTCAGTTAGAAGAGTTGCTGCTCATTTATCAAAGTTTCTGATGGTGAGTAGTGAGTTGTTGTCTTGAAACTTTACTTTTCATGAGTAATCAGTCTTTTTTATTTGGAATACAAATTTTTGCTTGCATGTCATCGTGCACTTTAGGGCTGCGATGGTGATATGGTCTCTTTGTTAGAAGAATCAGAAGAAAAGATTAAAGCTAGCCTTGCTGTACTAGTCAAACAGGTGTCAAAGCTTGTTGTTATTTCTCCCGATCGGTTGGTGGAGGATAACCTGTTTGAAGAATTTGAGGTATTTTTAATAGCTATATAAACAGTGTATGCCTTGTTCACTGTGTTTTTACTTTAAATCATGACAAATGCTTTTGAATTGTTCTAGCTGCAAGCATTCTGTGCAGGCTCCTTCGTTGAAGGTCAGAATCTTGCTCTTCGTGATACATTACAAGATTGTAATAAAGCGGTGAAGGATTCCCTTACCAATATGCAAAAACTTATTCTTACAAGCGTGAATGAGGTAGAATTCTAACTTTATACTCTCTGAAAATAATAATTTTGTTGACTATAAAATTCATGTTATATATAGGTTGAAAAGGAAATCCGAGATGACGCAACTAGATTGTTGAAATCTCTTTTCAATTTCATCCGAAATATTCAGGATATACAGGTAAGGCTATAATTTGTCATGTCATTATTCATTTCAATACGATATAGTATAAAATTATATATGAGTAGGAAGTTTAGATGACGGAATTAAGTGAGAATGGCGGTATATTAAAGAATGTGAAGGGGGATTGAGTTGCCTTGGGTGTTAAGAGAGGGTTTGAGTTTGGATATAAGAAGGCTTTCATGAATCATAAGGTCATAATTGTCGGAGGAGGAAGAGAGAATTGAGAAATCATTAAAATCGGCAGAGTGAGATGTATTTCTTATATGAGAAAGAACTGCAGATGCTGGTGGACATTCTCTCTTCCTCCTCCGACAATTATGACCTTATGATTCATGAAAGCCTTCTTATATCCAAACTTAAACCCTCTCTTAACACCCAAGGCAACTCAATCCCCCTTCACCTTCTTTAATATACCGCCATTCTCACTTAATTCCGTCATCTAAACTTCCTACTCCCCTCACATGTAATTTAACACCCCGTAATATATGCTTGTATTTAAAACCTCGTGTATATATATGAGTAATTGTTCATCTAACTTAGAAAACCTTATCCTTGGTCAATGAATCGTCGTCCGTCCGCAGTATTTCTGGAAGGCGAGTTTGTAGTTGTCATGAGGTCGTCGACGGTCTTAGGTCAGTTACTGACGACAGTCAACGACTTACAACTACTGTTTGTGGACTGAAAATAGACAAACCAAAATTACTTAATGCGGTTATAGAATGCTCAACTAAGCTTAAAGCATCAGTTAGGGATATTATAGAACACATGCAGAACATAGTGGAACATGATACTACGACATGTGATTATCGTGAGCGATCTCCGACGCCTTTACGTAACGAATCATCAAATGAGGAGGGAATAAACGTAGCGAGCAAAAGATCTATGGACATATCGCAGCTATTTTCATTGCAAGAAAAATTACACGTTAAAGCGAAAAATGTTCGATTAACGTCACGTGATCTTACACAGACTTTGACAAAATATTCTTTCTTAAATGATGAAAGCACCATGGAAAGTCGACGTGCTTATACTCCTGCTGGTAGCTCTGTTTGTAGTAGAGTTGGCAAAGGTCTCAGTGATAGAACTAATTCTCTTGTTTCTCAAAAACGATTAGCTCGGAATGAACTAATACAACCGCAAACCTTTCTATGCAGTCCAAGAGAAGGAGAAAATACCTTATTTCGGTCGAAAGAGTCGCCATTGTAGCACACAAAGAATTTTTACCATAATGTTAGAATTTTTCATGTATAGAATATTATATAAAATAATAATTAGCATTTTTTACAACTCATTTCTCCTTTCACTTTCCATCCCCACCTCACCCTCTGTGTGAACTGTTATCGTTGAATGGAACCTTGTTAGCGTTCAAGTTTGTATCAAACTACTCTCAGTGGTTACCATTTATTTAGAAATCTATTGTTTTTCAATAAGAGAATACATAAAAATTGATGGACATTGTACTCCATTATTGGTTGTAATCAGAAGATCCATTTGCGTGGGATTTATCTACTTACACATAAAGACATGGAGTTACTGATTTATCATTATGTTAAAAGAAAATACACAAAAAATTGTTATAAGGTCAATAACAGTTATCTGTACTCAATCTGTAACTAGTTTATTTGTTTGTGATAAAGACAGAGAACTATTCTTTTTTTGTTCAACTAGCTATCTTCATTTCAAAGAAAGGTGCAGGGGAAAATCACAAAGTACCATTTTCTCAGCTAGGATTAAATCTGGAATATATTATTTCATATTTCAGTCAATTTTATTGGTTACATTTTCAGAGCTCGAAATAATGCAACCAATAAACTGCTAGAACCTCGTCGAATGAAATGCCAATTAGCCAATGAAATGAAGCGAAATTATCTCAGCTTATACCATGACTTATACACGTCAATCATTTTCACCCAACTACAGCTAGATGCTCCCACAAGAGTCCGAATGTGAAAGGTAGGTTTGTGAAACTTTTGTTTAATTCTTTAAAAACGAACTTCAAATATCGATAAATTCGATGACAAAAGCCATGTTTGATGAATAGTTACGTATTGTTGTATTTGTAAATCTTCGCGTCGATTATTTTTGTGCAATTCGGCGTTTAAATGTGTATCTTTGGCGGTGTATTTATTTCGCAAGAGGACACGACAAGTTTGTATGTTTAAATGTCTTTTTAAATTTTATATTAATGTGTATCCTGCTGCTTGTACTTGGAATGTTTCGAAGTGAAAGTTTGTTGAATATCTTTACTTTCAACATGTATTTGTGAATCGATATATTTTCAGCAACAAAATTGCGCGACTGACATCTTTCTCGTTTCAACGGCAAAAATATGATGAAATTCTAGGTGAAAAGTTACAGTGTGGGAAAATGAGGGCCCAGCAGGGTATTTCTTTTTTGGGGGGCTTATTTTTGTTCGTAAAAAATGGTCTTTTGAACAAAAATTTTGAAGATATTTGAAAAAATATGAAAATGTTGGTTCATGTTGGACGTTGGACTTTCAATTAAGTTGGCGCCTTTTTTTTAACCGCGTGAAAATAAGAACACTGGGCACAAATTATGCCAGCCCGACTGAATAAAAACCCAAATAATTTGTCATTAAAACCTCCTAAAAAATCTTTGAGTAGAGTGGAGTTCAGGCAATAACTTTCACTTAAGAATAAATAAATTCAAAGGTGAAAACCTTGAAAAAATGTTAACTGTTGATGGCTACAGGCTCTTTAATTGAACAAGTTCAAATGATGGCCATTTCAGACAGCAATGAAGATTTTTTTGAGTACAATTTGCAAAACTTATCATTGAAAAGTTATTGACTGTTTCTAGAGCATTTTGCCAATTGACGTGCTTAAATTCTCTAAGTAAAGATGAGAAAACCGGACCTTTGCAAACCGGCAATACTGATAGTTCTGATGATATTGTCGATCTCAATGGTAAAGTGGCACGCATTGTATGTTAATCAATGGCATTTATACACTGCAATCACATGCAATCATATTTTTGACACATTGAATTCACATGGTGCACTAATTCAATATGGCGGAAGATGTGAGTATGAAAGTTTTATTACAAAATGTTATTCTATTGTTTGCAAGTTTCCATCGGTAGTGCAAGAATTTTCTTTTTTATTTGCCATTTGAAGTTTTTTACGTTTGACGAAAGCGAAAAATAATTTGTCATTTGTCAACAACCAGAAAAGCTAAAAAGTTCACGTGGTTTGGCAGTGCAATGAGCAACTTTAACTTTAATTGTGTCTAAGATTTCATTAGAAAGTGTGCGTTCATTGATTTATTCTTTAAGGATACCTCTAACAGTGATTTAATTGATGACGATGCTCTCAAGAAATATTTACGCGGTTCAAAGCTGAAAATTAAGGTGAAATTCTCTTATTTTATTGAATTGTTCTTTCAAGGTATACGAAAATTTAATTGAAATTGAATCATTACTTTGAGCTTGTGTTTTTATTTGGTGTATAGCATGTAAAAAATAAAAAGCTAAGAAGAAGTCTGTCAAAAAATGATACAAATTGTGGAGAAGCTGCCCTTCAGGCTTTCAGATCAGAGTTACTTCTTCTTGAAGAACCTGGGTAAGTCAAATGGTTGATTGGTCTTACTATATCGTCAATTTTCTTATATTGTTTGGTTTTTGGTTAGATACTTGGAGGCAGAAGGATGTGAGAAGACTTATCATTTCAAGCAATCTGATATTGTCAAAACAGTGGATATTTCAACTGCCAATAAGGTATGAGAATTTTGAGATTAATTAATTAAATTGATATATTGTAGTTCATCATTTTTAAGTGTGTTATTCTATAAATGAATTACTTCTTATTATGTTGTAGCATTTTGAGCTTAATTTAGAAACCTTTGCACCATATAATATCAACTACACTAGAGACGGAAGGTATTAAATTACTTCATCTTTGATTAGCTTTCGTGCGAGAAAAAATAGTTAGCTATGTTTATTCCCAATCAGATATCTGTTACTTGGAGGACAAAAAGGCCATCTTACTGCTTTTGACTGGAAGAATAAGAAACTTAAGTGTGAATTTCATGTTCAAGAAACTGTTCGTGATGTCAGGTGATGTATTAATAACATCAAAACTTCAAGGATTACCAACCATGATTCAAACAAAAATTTTACCTTTAAAGATGGCTTCATGTGGAAACAATGTTTGCGGTTGCACAAAAGAAGAATGTATTTATTTATGATAATACTGGACTGGAGTTGCATTGTCTTAAAGACCATGAATATGTGAATCGATTGGATTTCCTACCTTATCACTTTCTTTTAACTACAATTGTATGTAAGAGTCATTTTTATTTTTAAGGAAATATTCACTTATTCCCGTGCAATGTTGTATATTTTTTAGGATCAAAAAGGCTTTCTCAAATATCAAGATGTATCAACAGGGAAACTGGTATCCAAAATTCGCACTAAACTAGGACCTTGTGATTGCATGGCCCAAAATTTTTACAATGCTATTGTTCATCTTGGACATTGTAGAGGTATTTTATTGCATCGTTCTGAATACATCTTGCGATGTTTAAGAATTCTTATTTGCATTTATATGCTTTACAAAATACATAATAGGAACTGTTACCTTTTGGAGTCCCAATATGAAAGAACCACTTGTGAAGATGCTATGTCATCGTGGGCCTGTTAAAGCAATAGCTATTGATCAAGGAGGATGGTATTTTAGATAATTTACATTTTCTTTAAGTAATGAAATTTTCCTTAGAGCTATTTCTGTCTTAGGTACCTAGCTACATCAGGTCTTGATGCACAGATAAAAGTTTGGGACATAAGAACATATAAGCAACTACAGGCTTACCGCACTGTGAGACCAGCATCTACCTTGGCAATCAGTCAACGTGGTCTTTTGGCTACTGGGTGTGGACCTCATGTACAGGTTGGCTTTCATCCAAACAAAGTTCTGCATGTTTTAAAATTTGAGGCATCTAAAGAAATATTTAATTTATAACATTTAGATATGGAAGGATGCATTTCGTGTGAAACAAAAAACACCTTACATGACTTCTCTTTTTGGTGGGGAAACAGTCAGGGATGTAGAGTTTTGCCCTTTTGAAGACGTTTTAGGTGTTGGACATAGTAGAGGTTTCACAAGTCTTCTTATTCCAGGTAAACTGGTGTTGAAATACTTGTTTTGTACTGAGTGATGTGACATTTTTACTCATCAAACTTTCAAGGGGCTGGTGAACCAAACTTTGATGCATTGGAATCAAACCCATATCATAACAAGAAGCAACGACAAGAGTTTGAAGTCAAAGCATTGCTTGATAAGGTTTTCTAAAAAGTTCATTTCTTTCCTCTCTTTATTTCACCTGTTTGCAGCTTCACTGTTTCATTTTAGATCCAACCCGATCTCATCAGCTTGAATCCAAGTAAAATCAATGAAATGGATGTTGATAAGAACATCATAATGGATGATACTAATGAAAATAAACCTGTATGCAGTAATCATTGTCACAACTTCTTTCTTTTATTGGTTCATGACAACTCTTTACACATCTTATTGCTAAAACTTGACACCTTTCATTTGTAAAATATAGGAAGATTCTTTTGTCCCAAAACATAAAACTAAAGGCCGCAGTTCATCAGCCAAACAGTTCAAACGAAAGAAACGAGTGTTATCAGAGGATAAAAGGGTTTAGTTCACATTATTTAGGTTGCTGGTTAGTTTCGCTTTATTAATACATTTGGTTTGTTTTTAGGACAAAGTGAAAGAACTAATACGAGAAAAAAAAGCAAAGAAAAATGAAACATACAAAGAAACCAAAGATAAGCATATAAATAAAAAGAACCACGTATTGGATAGATTTAGGAAGACAACGACAACCTGACTTCATTTATCTTCTAATTGTAATTGCAAGGACAGTAAAAGGTGGAGAATTGTTCATAGCTCAAGTGGTTTTTATTCCAAAATGCACTTATCACTCAACACAAGGCAATACTTTGCAAATTGAACTCTAAAACAGCTAAAGACAGAACAAGTGTGGGGTTTAAATATTAATTTTATTCCATAGATTTAAACATTAATTTTAACCCTTCTTCTTGGCAACGCCAACTGTTCTACCTTTGCGACCAGTTGTCTTGGTGTGTTGACCTCGGACTCGGAGACTAAATATCAACAAATATTAACTTTCAATTTGACATTTTGACAGCTTCAATGAATAAATAGTCATACCCCCAGTAGTGACGAAGACCTCGATGAGCACGGATCTTTTTTAACCTTTCCAAATCCTCACGAAGTTTATTATCCAGGTTATTGGAAACTGCCTGAGATGATGAAATAAATTTGACAGTTAAATGTTATAGTTATCAAAGGAAAATGGTTCACAAAAAATTAATTAAAGAATGTGTCAACCATGATGTACTGCATGTCAATCACAGCATGATGGCCATCTTCTGGGTCGACAAAATGGCAGATTTTGTCATTGTAGTCTATGCAGCTAAGACAAAGATGATATTTATTGTAAAATTGAGTTTTTATTCAATGTTTTTTTTTGCAATTTTTTTTCATATAAATTATTGCCTTATTTTTTTCATGAACTCAGTGTGCAGCCAGCTTAAAAGTAATGATGTAAACATAAAGCCTGCAATGCATCTTGGTTTAACACACATTCTTTAAATTGGGGGATGTTATCAAGTTTCTTGCTTACACTATAAAATAAAAACTCAGCTTTTCACACCTGACTATATTTGCCATCTTTAATATCCTTCTTTCTGTTCAGGAACCAATCAGGGATCTTGTACTGTCGAGGATTCTGTAGGATTGTTGAAATTCGTTCAACCTCATCCTCAGTCAATTCACCAGCACGTTTGTTTAAGTCAACATCAGCTTTGCGGCAAACGAGGGTGGCATAACGACGTCCAACACCCTATACAATAATTATCAATTGGAGATCCATGTTTAACATAGTGAGTTCACTGCTTGCATTAAACATTTCCATAACCATTTTTACCTTAATCGCAGTGAAGGCAAACAAACATTTTTCTTTACCATCTATGTTAGTATTCAACAAACGCAAAATATGCTGGAACTTCTCGGGGACGACGAGAGCCTGAAACAAGCAGAGTGAAACCGTGTAAATAATAGTCATTGTTTGTAAGACTGTTTCCATTTTCCGCTTTGTTGTACAGTAATAAAATACGTTGCTTTGACAGAAGAATATACTTTTTCAAATGCTATGTGACAGAATTAAAAGTATATGCTATGATTCTTGTTAAATTTAAGGATTACTCATTATAAAGAAGCATATTGGTGACCCTTACCATGATGGCGGAATGAAGAAAGAATGACCATGAGGAATTGTGGGCCTTAAAACTGATATGCGGGCGGAGTTGCAGGTGTTTTAGGTCAGCAAAAATATACAAGTAAATAGTACATTATTGGACCATCTTTTATCGTTCTTTTTGCCTGTTTTTCTTCTTTCAACAAGGACATTAAACGAGAACTTTGTTTTCCTACTTTTAAAACATTGGCCTAAACAGATTTACAGAAGATAGTTTTAAATTAGTTTATTCATTTACGAATTACGGGGATTGAATATCGGTAGGCCCATCGATATCACACATGACAACGTGTAAACAACAAGCTGTTTGTTCGAAGCAGAAATGTCTATTTTTATTGAATTAGTTTGCAGTGGAAATACGGATAGAATAAGAGAATATTTTGAAGAGTCAGTGGATCAAGTGGCAAGTCTTGAAATATTTTTAAATAAGCGAGATGAAAGAGGGAAGACACCGTTAGATTATGCTGCAATGTTGGGCAGAGAGGAGACTTTGAAATATTTGATAGAGAATGGAGCGAATCCTAATTCCCACTCAACAAGAGGTTTTCCAAAGAAAATTTTTTCATAATTTTGTAAAATGTTTCTTTGAAGAGTACCGCATGTGTGATATGGGGTCAAGCAATGATAGCAATTTTCCTTATTGTGGGATCTCTGGACTACACACAGCACTTGTGGCACTACTACACAAGGTGGTTTTAAATAAATTTTTATTGTTTAGGTTATACAGCATTACATCATGCTGCGTCATGGGGCCACCTCAACTGTGTTAAGATTCTTGCAAATTGTGGAACTGATCTATTGATGAGGAATGCTAATGGTGAGTTTGCACGTGATGTGGCTGCAAGATATGAAAAGAAGGACTGTGTAGAATTTTTGAAACGGGCTGGTAAGTTAGAAATATCTAGTTTACATTGCCTAGTTCACATTGAGTATGTCAGTATCTTTCTGTCGGTAGCTTTTTTACATTGTCATTTTTATCTTTTCCATGTCTTTAGAGGCAATTGCATCTTTGCGAAAGGCAATAAAAAATATTAAAGGCTTATTGACTGATCCTGAGAAGAATCTTGGACGTTTAAATAAAGAAGATAAAGTGTGTGCCATTTTAAAACTGTTATTACAAATTTATACCATCACTTTGAAAATTTTAATTTTGATTATTTTTTTTTTGTAAAAAATGCATAATTAGGTGACAGGCAACAAATTTTGTGATGAAAAGAATATATGGCTAATGACACACAAAGATACTGCTTCTGTGGAACTCATATTGAGGAAAAAAGATGAACTATATGAATCATTAAGGAAAGTATTCATAAAGCTTCAATATTTAGATGAATTTACGTAAAATATGCATTGTCATAAGTAAGATCAATGAGTGTAGTATATAATTCGAAATCGCGCATAAGACCGAAATTTAACATAAATGGCGTGCATGTTAATATGTTAATAGTATATCAAAATATAGAGATCAGTTGATGAGATGCCTCTTTTTCATGTCGTCTATGGTTACGTCGTTTTCATCAGATTTTTCCTGAATTTTTGTGTTGTCATTGACAGTCTATGAACGTTTTTTCCCATTTTTATCTCGTGATTATCGACTTCAATGGATGGTTACGTTAGCGATGGTCCTGTATCATTAGCAATTGGAGTCAATAAAAGAAATAATTCTAATAGACCAATTCTTCATCATATTTCTGACCGTCATCCGAAACACGTTTTAGAAGCTCTAGATGGACTTCGACAAAATAAAGAGCTTTGTGACGTTGTGTTGAAAGTTGGTTCTCGTGTTTTATATGCTCATAGAGTAATTTTAGCTTCTTGCAGTCCATATTTTAAAGCAATGTTCACCGGAAAATTGGTAGAAAGCCGACAAGTAGAGATACCAATAAGAGACATCGATGAAAATGCAATGGAATTGTTGGTAAACTTTGCGTACACAGGTTCAATTTCCGTCAAAGAATCAAATGTACAAACTCTTCTACCAGTAGCGTGTTTACTTCAGCTTACTGAAATACAGGAGATTTGTTGTGAATTTTTAAAAAAGCAACTAGATCCCAGCAATTGTTTAGGTATCAGAGCTTTTGCCGATACCCATTCCTGTAGAGAACTTTTATGTTTTGCCGACACTTTTACGCAGCACAACTTTCAAGAAGTTGCAGAAAGTGAGGAATTTCTATTGCTGCCATATGGTCAGCTACTTGATATTCTTTCAAGCGACGAACTTAATGTCTCATCTGAAGAGCTTGTTTTCAAAGCAGTTATAGCATGGGTTAAGCATAATGTATCAGAACGTCGACATCATTTGTCTTCAGTCCTTCAACATGTTCGACTTCCACTGCTTGGACCAAAGTTCTTGGTAGGAGTTGTAAGTACAGACATGTTGATCAAGAGTGATGAAGCATGTAGAGATCTCGTAGATGAAGCTAAAAATTATCTCCTTCTACCTGAACAAAGACTGCTAATGCAAGGCCCACGAACCCGACCAAGAAGGCCAACAAAATGCACCGAGGTTCTATTTGCTGTAGGTGGATGGTGCAGTGGTGATGCAATCAACAGTGTTGAACGATATGACCCTCAAAATGGGGAATGGCGTCTTGTTTCACCAATGACTAAACGACGTTGTGGTGTTGGAGTTGCTGTATTGGATAACTTATTATATGCTGTTGGTGGTCATGACGGTAGTAGTTATCTAAATAGTGTTGAACGTTATGATCCAAAAACTAACCAATGGAGTTCAGAGGTTGCTCCCACAAGCACATGTCGGACTAGTGTCGGTGTTGCTGTCCTAAATGGGTAAGTTCTTACATTTATAACTAGGGAACTTACTAAAAGAACCATTATGTCTTATTGGTTTCTGTATAGGCACATGTTTGCAGTTGGTGGTCAAGATGGAGTATCATGCCTTAATATTGTTGAGAGGTATGATCCTAAGGACAATCGTTGGTCAAAAGTTGCTCCAATGAGTACAAGACGTCTTGGGGTAGCTGTTGCTGTCCTAAATGGTTATCTTTATGCAGTAGGTGGCTCAGATGGTACATCTCCATTAAATACTGTTGAGCGATATGACCCTATTGCAAACCAATGGAAAGCAATGCCAAGCATGAGCACGCGTAGAAAACATCTTGGTGTGTCTGCATTTCAAAATAAATTATTTGCGGGTAAGGGAAGTATTTGTAAACTACAAAGTTTGGCATAGCTTTAGAAACTTCAAAATATTACATTGTTTCATGAAATCCTTTATTTAACAATTATTTTCAGTTGGTGGTCGTGATGATTCAACAGAGCTCAGCAGTGCGGAATGTTTTGATCCTGATATAGGTCATTGGTGCCCTGTTGTTGCCATGAATTCAAGAAGAAGTGGTGTTGGTTTGGCTGTAGTAAATGGGCAATTGTTAGCTGTTGGAGGTTTTGATGGTACTACATATCTTAAGACTATTGAAGTATTAGACTGTAATAGTCAATGGAAAATGTATGGTGGTATGAACTACAGACGACTTGGTGGAGGTGTAGGAGTTGTCAAGGTACCACTGTGTGATACTATCGGTTTTTGATTCACGCTTGGTTAAAATTCTAAAGCTATGCTTTGGAGTTGAAGTTCTTTTTCAGGAACATACTTAGCATGTGCTTTAAAGTTTGTTCTATATTGGTGATGAGAGGTGTATGTTGCCTGAGAACATAGGTCTAGTTATGGTCCGTGTGTATTATGTGTATGGAAGAACAAATTCTTGGGGGTTCACTTACTGAGTAATCAATAGTGTGTTTTCTACCTTTGCTAAATTTTCTCCTTGAACTACAAGTCTTTTTTTAATATCTTGCAATCCTTAACACTTTTTTCTTGCCATTCCAATATAACTCTCAATCTCATCAGTTTCCTTTGGACAAAGCGATGTTAACACTTCAGGTCCTTCTTTTGTGATTAAAATATCATCTTCAATTCGAATTCCAATTCCTTTGTACCTTAAATAATTCAAATCATCATAGCACAAGCAAGTATTTATGTACTACCTAGGTAAACAATACCTTACCTTGTTGGTACATCCATGTCATTTCTTACGTACACTCCAGGTTCAATTGTTATCACCATACCTTCATCAAGTGGGAGGTTTTTACTCATTGAACATACATCATGAACATCCATTCCAAGATAATGTCCAATATTATGTGGACACAGTTGTCGAACTAGCTATAAATAAAATCAACATGAGAAAGTGACAAAAAAACACGTGGCATTATTTGTGTTTCAACTTACTTGATGTTTATGATGTTGCGGTAAGTCCTTGGGAATAAGTTTTATGGCTGGGAAATTATTTGAAAGTTTGGTCAATTTTAAGGGATATTTGTAACATAACTTTTCGATTTAATTTGTTGTTACCTTCAAATTTGTGTATCATCATTCCAATCATGGTTTGATATAGTTTATCTATTGATGTACCAACTTTACATAACTTCAAGAAAAGTGAATGACACCCTTCAGAGGGCTAAAATATCATATACTCAAATACCAGAGGTATTTACCTTAATACAATTTTTTTGTATGTTTAATAAGATATCATACAATTCTTTCTGTGGTTTGGTATAACTTCCGTCCACTGGCCACACTCTAGTTACATCACTGCTATATCCATTCAATTCACAACCACTGTCAACCAATAGAAGATCTCCATTCCTTTGGAAAAACAATCAGTATAAACATATTTCTTCACCTGGTAAGCTAACTAAGAAAGCAGTATCACCTTAATAATTGATCATTATTGACATAATGTAGAGTATTGGCCATTTGTCCACCTGCCACTACTGGAGGAAAGGACAATCGATTTGCACCAAGTTTCTTACATTCATATTCCATCACATTTTGTAGCTGTGATTCCTGTACGTCAGGCTTTGTATGCGACATGGTCTAAAGAATGGAAGTCATAATTCTTGCTATAATTTTGGTAAAGTAGTCTTCAATTAATGCCTCTCTTAATTTGCTCCGTTTCCACCTTCATGAAACCATGAGCAGTGATGTTGGCACATTTCTTCATTATTGATATTTCAGCTGGTGACTTCACTACACGTAAGGATTCCACAATGTGTCCAACAGCATGTAATTCTGTAAGTATAAAAATAAAATCATATTCCTATGTCTTTAAGCTTCTCTTCAGAGAAACAATTATTGACATCATACTCTTTAAATGAAATTCTGAAGAGTTCAAAAGAACATCCATTATGTCTTTATTAATGTGGAGATGAGATGGTTGCATGTGATCGTACCAGATGTGACAATCTTTATCACTAAACCTAAATAAAAAACTACTCTATCTTCATAATGAAACAAATAGCTCAAACATATTGTCAATAACATAATATTACCTCTTAAGAATCACTTGTGAAATTTCATCAATTGGATAAGCCTTTAATATAAAGATGTTTGGTCAATGCCAAGATGTTGAATATTTAAGTTATCAAAACGTTCAAATACTTCTTGAAATCCAAAATGCTCTGTTGCTCCTTCCAATCCATTACGTGGTCCATCCCATATTTCTCTTAAAGATATATCGATGAGGTCCTTTTGTTTACTGACCCATGACACACAACAAATTTTGCACAATATGGATATGTGTCTACAAGAAATTTACCTGGTTTTATCTCTTGGTCTTGTAAAAAATATTGTCCTGTAATCGTCACCAGAAACATTATTCATTCCTATTTCTGTTAAAAAGTTCACCAGTATGATTACATTATATTATTAAAGAAACAAACATAGTAACAATTTTTTCTTTTTTTTCTTTTACCAATAATCAACACACTATCGGGCTCTTGATATCCTGTCAAGTACAAAAAATTTGAATTCTGTCTAAAGTGATACCTGCAAAATATTTAAAATACTCATAAGCAATATTCTGTGGTTTGCAATGCTGATAACCTCTAAATTGCATGTTAAATATACACTTACGGTACATCTGGTCCCATGAAATATGTGGGGTTTGATGAAAAAATGAGAAGATGTTTGTCATGAGATTTACCAAAATGGGTGTTCTTCATTACTCTATTGAACATAAAATTTGAATTTTTGACATGCATTTATTATACAATATATCTGTACACGTACTTTACTAAGTTTTTTCTCCTTTCTTTGTATTCATTAAGTGTGATTCCTGGAGTTACTGTAAAGTTTCAAAAATATATTGTTCTTGTAATAGTATAAAACAAAACAAACCCAACATCATATTCGATTTATTATTTTGAGATAAAAGTGAGGAGACAATAATTTATTGACATTTCAAACAAATTACAAACTCATCATTAGACTAAGTAGTGGATTAAGACACATATGTAGTCTTATCATGAATTTGTAATGATTTCAAAATATCGCCACATAATGTGTCATAGTCTTCCTTACTTTCATTTGGTTGCATTAAATGTGGGTGAGTAAGAGCAGTTGGTTGTCCCAATAGTTGTTGATGTTGGATAGGAAATGTGCGGAATGGCAAAATTTTCACTAAAGATTGGTAAACTCCTACAAGAAATATTTCAGTAAAGCTTCATTACATTTATAAATTATAATCAACTTCGCACATGTCACATGTGTTTTATTATTAACTTTTAAAAACAGCCACGATTAGTTCACCAAGCTTATCATTTCTAGATTACATGCATCATACCTATTTTCCAAGTATTTTTAATTTTCAACACACTTATAGCCATGAGTCAAATATAAAAATAAAATATAACAAATGACAGGATGCTATATCAAGTTCATGTAATTATAAGCCGCTGAGTGCAGGCGATATTTAAACACCCACGAGACTGACGAGAGTTTCAATACGTCGGAAAGATAAACATGCAGTTTTGTCATTATTTCAAAAGGTCGTCATAAATAATGGCAATTAAATTTCTGCATCGCCATGTTTGTGCAATTGAAATCAATTTTACCATAAAATTGACGCAGTTTTTACCATAAGATGTTTGTGTTATTTTACGTCTTACTTTCGTTTGTTCAGTTGCCGAGACAAGTGTGTGTTGCTGGGGAATATAGTTTAGGTGATTTTATAAAACGCTATGAAACGTTGAATTATGTTTTTACGGAAAAATTATACAGAAGGGACACAGAAAGACTTGACAGAACTCGTTTTTTGGAATTCAATGCTTACGGGCGAAAATTCAAGCTGGCACTTGTGTCTGACATTCAAACTATTGCTCCTGATGCAGAAATACTCGATGGGCAAGGAAAAAGAATAAATTTTAACAAACGTTCACTTGTTTTTGGACAAATTGTAAGCGAACCAGATTCTATTGTTCACGGATTTCTCCGTGACGATGGTGTATTTATTGGCAAAATTCACTCTAAAAACGACGTTTACGTTATTGAAAGTGGAAATCGCTATTTTAAAAATCCGACCACTTTTCATTCTGTGATATACAAGGAAGAAGACCTTAATTTTGATGTGAAGTTTCCCGAGCCCAAAATTGCATCATCTGTTAATGGATTAAATAAAGATTCTTCAGAATTTGCAGAGAAATTCAAAAGAAGCAGAAGAGCAACAGGAGACATTAAGTACAATAAATGTCGATTATCATTGGAAGCTGATTATACTTTCCTAAACTTTGCCAAAGGATCTATTTTAGCTGTAGGCGAAATGCTTCGTCATGTACAGGCTTTGAACATTATCTATGGACAAGCCTTTAATACAAGTACCACATACTTGCCCTATAGCTTACTGTTTCATGTTGGTCGTCTTCAAGTGTACAATGAAAGCCAAACCCCAGTTGGTTTAAGAAGGGAAAATATCGACAGTTCGACATTCTTGTCAATTATGACCGAGAAAGATTACTCAAAGTTTTGTGAAGCAGTGTACTTTACACATCGTAATTTTGCTGGTGGTATTTTGGGTCTGGCTTGGATAGGGTACCCACAAGGTAGAGCTGGAGGTATTTGTGATCCACGGCGAGGTTTGAACAGTTACAATACAGCAGTTGTGACATTTACACTTCAAGGAAAAACCAGTCCACCAAAAATTTCAGAAATAACTTTTGCACATGAAATTGGTCATGCATTTGGTGCTCAGGTATGTGACCATAAAATTTTGCCGAATTTAGCAAGTAAAGAATATGGTTTTAAACTTCCTCCTGTCATTGAATGTATTATATATGTTATTGTCTCCTTTAGCCCATTATCTCATATTTCCTTGTTTGCATCTCATTCCCGTTGTTCTTAGCAAAACCAACCATTTGCTGAATCTTTCTTGAAGGCATCTTTGCATTGTGCATTTAATGCTGACTGAGCACTTTCAGTAATTATTATTAAAAAGTTACATTGCATTGAAACTAACGTTTTTTGATCAATTATTTTGCAGCATGATAATGATGAATGTTCACCTGGAGGGGAGGATGGAAATTATATCATGTATTCTAAAGCCACAAGCGGAGATAGAAAAAGGAACGATCGCTTCTCACCTTGCAGCATTTCACAAATAATGGAAAATGTTAATGCCAAAAGAGGCAAAGTTATTGATAAATCTACGCGAATACCAAGACTTTGTTTAGAAAATGATCAGAGAATGATTGAGAGAGGCGACCTTTGTCAAAATGGTGTTATTGACAAGGGAGAGGAGTGTGACTGTGGTCATAAAAGTCAATGTGAACAGCTTGAACCAAACAGTTGCTGTAACTGGCAGACTTGCAAACTAAATCCTGGAAAACAATGCAGTCCCAGCCAAGGTAGACAACATAGCTTAATCCTATGAATATGATACAACAAAAAAGCAACCTCTTATTCTTCTCTCTTAGGACCTTGTTGCAATGTAACTTGTCAAACTGCGAGCAAAGAACAAATTTGTGAGTATGGAAGTGACTGTTTAGAGGACTCAAAATGTCTTAGTTCAGAAGAACGAAAAGCCAGCAATGTTCAAGGATACGATTGTCCACCACAATCTCATCGTCAAGATGATACGAAATGTCAGGGCGGTGCCATGTTGTGTTACAAAGGCATGTGTAGCAAATCAATATGTGTAAACCATGGTTTGAAACCTTGTGAATGTAAAAAGAGGGAAGAGGAATGCCATGCTTGTTGTATTAAGGACGATATTTGTCAATCTGCGTATAAAATAGACGAGGTAATTAATCAAGTTGTTTCTAAAAGGATAGTTTTGAAAATATAATTATACAGATAATTTTGTGTGGATCTTTGTTTCTTTAGATGAAGCGTTCTACTCCATACAACTACAGCATTGGCTATCCTTGTGGAAACAATACAGGCTATTGTGATTTCTTCCAATATTGTCAAAAGGTCGACTTGGAAGGGCCTTTACTTCAACTGTATAATTTATATTTTACCGCTGAAGGTAAGTTTGTTGGTTTTTAGTGAAAAGTTTTCAATGGTGTTCAGTTTAGAGGATACAAATGGCTTGACTTCAATGACTTATTAGTATCATTGTGAGAAATTTCAGAAGTCTTTGACTCAATTATTCACTTCGAGATAATGAATGCAGTGAATTTACCATGAAGATCGTGCGTCCCATGATACAAGAAACAATCAATGAAAGAGTTGCGTGATTAAAGATTGTTTCTGTGAAAGTTTTAGTTTATTTTATGAGAAGAGGTCGAAGAACTCGTGCAAAAAAAAAGACGAATTTCAAAAGCAAAAAATGTCGTTTTCGGTTCATGCCTCCAGATACCGTGGGACTCGAGTCATTCATTTATTCCTTATTAGCCTTCAATAATAATCTTTGCATATTGGCATAGCTTGTCTTTTCTTTATATTGCTTGAATAGAAGCTAAATCTAAAATGAAACGTTCACTTTTTGGTTGATTTATAAATTCGTTAGAAATCTGCTTAACTTCTCTGTAAAATAGTTAATCAAAGTTATGTATTTGAAGACAAACTTAATATCTACTGATGATTTTAATGACAGTGTTTATTACTTGACTTTTAAGGAATTGCAGAACTAACTAGAAAATACTGGTGGGCGATTATGCTTGGAGTCCTTGGTCTTATTGCTATCATAGTTGTACTTGTTATATATGGTGCTCGTTACACGGAAACTGACAATCCAGATGGTCCTCCTGCCAAACCTCTTCCAAATTATTGCATCTGTTCATCTGATGTGAACAGAGAGGATGATTACAGAGAAGATGATCCATTATAAGATAAGAGCATTATTTTTTATCTTTATATGAAGTCCATACGGAGTAATCTTTTAATCAACAATTTTTTGTAAATCTTTTTTTTTAAAGCGAAGTGCGTCAAACTGAAAATATTGACTGATAGCTATGCAATACGATGGTTTTTGGATGGTTTCATCCTTGCCTTTCCTATCTAGACTGTATTTTTTATCATTTTTACGACTTTCGTAATTCAGCCATCTGGCAAATGCCAACATAATCTCTTCATATATTGACTGAGGAACACACTAAGTGAGTTCTAGGGCGATCAATTTTAGCGATAATATAAAGCACTCTCGACGTAGGTTTTTTTTCAGTTTGTATTTGTTTGTATTTTAGAATATTATTTATGATCAGATTGCTTTCGTTGTCCTTACAATTAATCAAATAATATTTTGTGCACAAAATTATTTTATCATAAGGTAATGGTGTTTGAAGTTTGTCCTGCAGAAAATATCACTATTTAAGTCGTAATCTGCTTCTACGGGTAATATAATATAGCAAAAGTTTTCAGTGTTATACAACTAAAAACTCCAGTAAATATTATCGAGTTTCAGTTAATTTATATTTTTAATCCGCTTAGAACGTTTTTAAAACACCTATGCTGTGACCAAATCATTTAAAATTGGCGTTTCAGGTTTGCTGAACCTATCAATTATACTAATATAAATGATAAAATTATTTAATGTTTACTTTGGCTTAGATTATTATGTAGCTACATTACTTCATTATACCATTATTGCAACCTTGTATTGTACAGTGTTCAATTTATTCATTAAGGCGACAATGACATGAAAATAATCTGTCTCGTTTGATATTTATTTCATTATAACTCATGCTATCATTTGCCATCTGTTTGTCGTCTGCTTTGGAATGAAGAAGATCGAAAATAAATGAAAACAGGTTTCTTAGATTGTTAACAGAATGTTTCAATTTATTAAGTTTTTAGTGCTCAGTTTGTCGTTTGTTTTTGCTTATTGCCGCGAGAGTAAGGTTAATATGGATTTTGAAAGGCTCTATTACGACCCGATTAAAAGGTGTGAAAAATATGAAAGTGGACATAATAGATCGTCGAAGAATTGCTGGTCTTTGAACTTTAAAGCATTTGGGAAAATCTTTCGTCTTCATTCAACGAAGCGTGGATTTATTAATGGACGTGTTATCAATAATAAGAACAAATTCGATCGAAATATGGAGACTAATGGAGTTAGCGATCTATTACTTAAAGTAAATGGTTGGGTATCGAACAATGGATATTTTTATGGAATTCTATCTAGCACGGAGGAAACGTATCGTATAGAACCTGTCAAAAAAATTTTCATACCATCAAATTTTCATTCTACAATCTATGCTATCCAAAATGAAAATTTAAAAGAATCGTATGATTTGATGAAGAGAAACGGGATACGCAGCAAACGTAATAGTCATACTCGTAAAAAAATTGATAAAAAGATTTGTCGAGTATCTCTTGAGGCTGATTACACTTTCCTAAAAATGGCTGGCAGTATTTTTCATTCTGTCTCCCTCATGAAGCAACATATACAATGGGTTAATGAAATATTTCAAGAATCCTTCGCAAGTGGAGGTAAACAAAAGAGTAGAAAATTACCTTCACTTACTCATAACAAAAGTGCTTATATCCAGTTTCAAGTTGCAAACATTCGTGTATACAACGAGTTGGATAGCCATCGGATATTAGGACCCAGGGAATTAGATGCTCCGACATTTGTCCACTTGATGAAGGAAAGAAGAGTTTATTCTAAATATTGCTTGGCTTTGTTTTTCACTGCTCGAAGTTTTATTGATGGTGTTTTGAGTTTGTCTAAACTGGGGGGAGTTTGTACTGACTGGAATGTCGGCGTTGTCACATTTATGCGTGAAGGCAGCGTCATGTCGTCTTATATCACTAAAATGGCTGTTGCTAATGTTATTGGCCAAGCATTTGGAGCAAAGGTACTCTATGTTTCATGACTATTTGTATATAAAACGAAGTGCTGTTTTATGTTTCGAACCTGCATGAAACTCTCATTTTCTTTCTTCAGCTCATTTTATGTTGGCGATCAGCCGATTATAACGTTTTTATTTTTTTAGTCCGGTAGTGGAGAAACTGAAGGCAATGGAAACACAGACTTCATAATGACAGAGTTCCTTGGTAGTTTAGAGAAACCTCCAAAGTATCTGTTCTCTCCATTCAGTTTTAAGGAGATTTTGTCTCGCATCGACTCATCAAAGAACGTTGATTGTTTTGAAACCAACAAAGAAACTAGCTCATGTGGAAATGGTGTCGTCGAGAAAGGAGAACAATGCGACTGTGGTGATTTGATCATGTGTAAAATATTGGAGCCTGGTAACTGTTGTGACGTCACAACATGTCGTCTGAGATCTCAAGCTATATGTAGTTCGTCAAATGGTATATATAATCGAATTATTTTACTGTTTCCACAAGTCGAGTTTTTTTAAAATGAACTTTCAATGTTAGGTCTTTGTTGCGATGGTAAAACGTGTGAATTCAAAAAAATTGATGAGAAATGTTTAGAAAAGACAGAATGTTCCAAAGCAGCCACATGCAGAGGTAATAGTTCAAAATGTCCTCCACCTGTCCCTGAAAGTAACTACCTTGAGTGTGATGGAAATTCTAGTTTATGCGTAAATGGATCGTGCAGTGGAAAATCAGTTTGTTTAAAGTTTGGATTAAAGTCTTGTTTTTGTGAGAAGAATCACAAAGATGAATGTAAAATATGTTGTATAAATAATGGTCATTGTTTACCTGTGGATAATATACCAAAGGTTTGCTCCTTTATCAACATCTTTCGTTGACATAACTTTGTAACTTCGAGCCTTTATCGTCCATCAATTGTTTTCAGGTTATGTCGAAGTCAGCGTACCGTAGCGCAGGCTCATTTTGTAGGAATAGAACTGGATATTGCGATGTGTTTCACGATTGTCACCTATTGAATCCAGATGTTCCATTTTCACATCGCTACGATCCATACTCGAGAAAGAAAGGTAAAAAAAATATTTAATATAATTCAGGAAATAAGGGATTTTTCTCTTATAAATTCAAACAAATTTCGTTCGCATGTACCTTTTTGTTTTCATCTTCGTGTTTTTAAAGGAATCAAAGAAATAACTCAATCATTTTGGTGGGTTATATTCATTGGTATCGTTGCCGTGATTTCATGCACGACGTTGACAGTTAAACATCTTGCATTGTACACAAGAAGTGATAACTTGGAGTTAGAGGTTAAACAACCATCAAAACGATTGCCATCGATTAATCTGTCGCGTTCAAAAGAAGAAGAGAAGGAAGTTATACTTTCTGATACTGTTTAATTGGCTTTCCTCAAGATGATGTACTGCCATGGTTTAATTGGCTTTCCTCAAGATGATGTTGAAGAGGCGTTATTTTATTTGTAGACGGACTGATATATCACTGTACTACAGGTTTCCGATGATTTAATTTCATCACCATATGTTGAGGAAGTGTTCAATAATGGTTGTTGGATTGGATTATAAGAGAGATTTTCCATTGAAGATCTGAGATTTCTTTACTTTTATCTTGCATCTGAACAACTGAAACTTTAGAAATTGTAATGTGTACATACAACTTACTGAATTATTCATTTTAAGATTGTAGGCAGTAAGATGATTAAAGATGAACTGTTCATTCATTTTTTGTTCAAGTACAGTCGAATTCAAAAATTTCAACCATCATTATTCATGTGCAATATAAATTACACATAATTACGTATGGAGAGCAGCTTGCGAAAAGTTTCGTTGTCGTGCTCATCATCCACATTAAATTTGCATAAAATTATATTTCATACGAAGGCGGGTTACATAAACAAATATATCAATAAACGTTGTAAGGAGCCGAGGGAAACACATTTAAATTGTGGGGATTTTGTTATCATTTAGTCTATATCGGTGAGTCTTGAATACAACTTATGGAGATGCAAGAAGATACTGCAGTCGAAAAACCAAGCAGACCTAACTCTTTAAAATCATCAATGAAACGTCGAGTGGAAAGATTTAGTCTTCGAAAGTTATCGTCGTCATCAGATTTGCCAGAGGAACGAACTGATTTTTTGAAGCCAAGAGGTTCTGTTGTTAAAAGCAGATCCCTTGGCCCTTCATGGTAAGATTTTCTACACATGTTAAATATATATACTAATGTATTTTTGTCGTTTTATTTTTCCTCATATACTATGCATGTATATAAATTAAATGAAGCATGCCGAATAATTGAATGCACCGGAGTAATAGCTACACGATGATCATTTATAAGATAAAGTATATTTACACTTGTTTAAACTGTACATTAATTTACATCATTTTTATGGAAGCTAGATATTGATCAATAAATTTCCAATTAAAACTAGCTAAACTAAAATTCCTTCTCGACATTTCATATTAGCATTGACGTTTGTTCAAATCTAACGTTTGCCCTGGTTATACATGTTTAATGCAATAATACAAGAAATGCGATAGTGTATAGTCTTTGTAATTCATATGCTTTTATGTGTTTTTATCGTGTGCTAACAAGCCAAAGCTTTGTTCAAATATTGATTTCATTTTGCCAAAAGGCATGGTCCATTGTGTGTACGAAAGAAGTTCTTTATAAACCATCTACGAGTCTCTAAAATCATCTCCTTAAATTTTTTAATCGACAGTGAATTTAAAAAGCATCATGTGTATAACTATAAAACCCTGTCTGTTATGAGATTTTTTCAAACCGACTTGAAATAGTTGCGAATTTTACAGTTGCTTTGAGAAATACCCAACAACTAAATTATCACTTATATATGTGTGTAAATTGTATAATAATTACGAGCAGAATAAAGCATCCTGTTATTTTAAATCTTGCAATAATTTCTGCTCTTTTTTTAAAACAAACTGTTAAGAGGTGATACGTACAGTAGAAAGCAACGGAAAATTAAGTTTTTGAATAACTCTTTAGAAAGACAATTCAATAAATTGTTAGGCAAAACAACTATTGTCGCTTAGATATACTTCTTTTATTCTAATGGACTTAAAATATAATTTTAAGAAGCTTCTTACAAAAGTAACATTTACTTTCACTAATGTTTACAAGAAAGGTTCCTTTTTGCACTTTGGCTTTAAAAGCTTTTGTTGTTGGATTGGAGACGTCTCGCGTCAAATCCTCTGGGTTTTTTTCCCCGAATTTAAGATTCAGAAATATTTTTCGAGAAACGATTTTGCTTGTGAAGAAATGAAAACAAGCAAACAAGTGTCAACAATATATTATCGTTCCTTGATAGTGTTCCAGGGAGTTGACCAAGTTTAGTGTTCTTGGTGCTAAAGAAAATTACCGTATTGTTTTAATGAAGCATTTTCGATTACTTGATAGAGAGGAAAGAATCTCTTTGTTTTAAAAAAATAAGAAATGCAGATGATAAAAATCGACAAAAGTAAATTGGACACGACGCAAATTTACATTCATTCAAACTTTCATTTCATATGCGTGGGATCGGGTGTGGGATCAATACATTTGATATTCAACTTTCAAAATAGGATAACGCTGATGTTACAACACGTATTTCAATATTTAATGTCAAAGCTGTGGTTAAAGCAGTTAAAGATTACTTTAAAGGTTAAAACAACAAACAAATACATACAATACATACATTCTTAAACATTTATCGCAATTGCTATGCCCATCCCCACATATCCTACGTTTGAAATAGAATATATTGTTGGATTAAAAACCGGAACATTGGTTATAAACATTGCGCGCATCATCTTTCATAATGATACACAAGACGCACATCCATGATCAGCGATGCGCTTATGATAATAATGTAGATGTATTACAGACGCATATTGAAGTATTTAAATATGAAGTCTCGCCGTGGTAAATACCATTTGCCTGAGCTGAAAACGAATGTAACGTTTCTTAATAGGTGAGAGATGTAAACACGCTATGATATAGTGCGTTGAACATTAAAATGCTTTAGATTTTACGCTTGTTTTGTAAATTCAATTTGCTGTGTCATGATAAAGGTGCGCGTAAGTGCGTTCACATTCTAGATCTTTTATGTCGAGTTGTTTTAAATGTTTTTACTGTTTTATACAAATGTTTACATGATGCCCCTTGAAGTAGTGTTCATGGCTGGGTATCTCTTACAAATCAACCATCACCATAGTTTTTATTATTGTCCTATAGTATTTAATTACCCCAATGTTAAATAATCCATTTATAACAATTAACCCGAACTATGCCTTAATACTCATTTATTTACACGTACAATCTACTATATTTTATTCGTCAAGATCTTTGTGTATCGGTCGAAGTTTGAAATAGAATTACAGTCAAAACTTTGTATTAATTATTACACGCTTAACGTAGATTTTTCATGTTACCGCAGTTTGACCTTGTATTATCACTGTGTAGTAAAGGTCTTACCACATTTAAATGTTGCAAAATTTGAAATAAACAGCAATATATTTCAATACATGTATCAAATAACCATTAAAAAATCATGTATTGTTTGAGACGAATTAAATTTTTAGCTTCATTCCCGACCCGTACTACCTAAAATATCGTTAGTAGACCAATCTGTTTAAATAACTAACATTTATTCATGTTTAAAGTGCTGTGAGACAGAATTCTTCTGTAACATGTATCCTACATAAAAAGAAAAGAGACTGACTGTCTCCTTTCTGATCTTTCTTTTCTTTTTACTTATTATGATTAAAATTTTTGTTATGATTAAAATTTATTATGATTATTTTATGATTAAAATTTGCTTTACTTATTTTTAGAAATTTGTTTCGGTTAAATTTCATTGATTTATTTTAATATCCACCTCACCTTATCGCGAAGCAAAATATGCAATATAAGAAGCATTAATTTTTAATGAAGAAATATCGAAAAAACTAAATAACAGCTGTGATCCACAATGGATGCCCCATCTTGAAAAATATACTGTGAAATAGATCTGTGAGTTTTGTTGGTTTAAAGGCAAAAAAATTCCATCGAATTATTGTTTGATTTGTCTGCGCTTAGAATGCAATCGGGCGGTGTATTGTATCGTTGGTAAGTTCATGAGTGCATATAATTTCTTGTTTTTACTAAAGTGATGTCGTTTGATTGAATAAGCATCTTCATTGTAGATTTTTGTTTTATATATGAAGACAACAGAGTCATAACTTCTTCAAGATGCTATATTAAAAGACAACGTATTTATTTATGTAATGACAAGGCCTAGCTGCGTTTCAGATTTTGTGTATTGTGATATTTCGCCTTTTTGGTTTGTACTTGTAAAATTGTAAAAAATGGCGACTCGTTTTGAAATTTTCATAAATTGCTTTTAAAAGTTCAAATGTTCACACAGCTGAAGTGGATCTCTTTGTTTTTATTTTCGTTATAAGAGACTCATTTTATTGTGTTGTGAAATTTTCTTTGTTTTGAATTGCTGCCTTAAATTCGCAATCTATATGGCTAAGTTCTCGCTAACTATAAATAATCATAGTTATTCATTTCATCTAGTTCACCGTCGACAGACCTACCCAAGAAGAATCATGTCATGAATCGAAAATATTATGGCTCAACTGAAATGGTATTCGAAAAATTTCATGAGCTTGAAATACTTTGTATTGCTTATCTTTGCTGATATTTACAGCTTTGCAATCCAAAGGAAGATGAAGATATCAATGACAAACATTTCCGAAGTCTGTTGAGATTTCGTGTTGAAAATGGAGAAACTGATAAATACGGTCATCAGGTATATGTGAATATGAAACCATACGCTGCTTTAAGACGGGTATTGTCATGTTGTATTAATATGTAATATGAACGGTTTTGTTTTGAAGAATTTTGACGGTGTCAAAGGAAGTATGGTTCATTTAGAAAATCCTGAATGGCAAACAAGATGGTACTTCAAATATTTCTTAGGAAGATGTAAGTTCACATAAAATTTCTGGTTTATTCTGATGGATGAAAATATTGAGAATAATTGATCCTGTTGTATTCTGTAGTGCATCAAAATTACGTTGGTGTGGATGCAAATAAAAATCCGTTTATCCTTTCCGTTTGTACAACGGACGAAGATAATTTTGGCGTTTTGCAATACCGAGCTATTTTGTGGAAACGAATGGTAAAATTCTTCCGTATTGGAAAAGTGGAAAGTTAGATGTTGTTGAAATGTTTGTTTTACCATTAGGGAAGCGAAAGAAGATGCATTCCTCACAATTCTGGAAAACTATTGACTCCTAAAGCAATTCTACAGTACGTTGTTATCAGTCTTACCAAATATTCCCAGAAATATCTGTTTTCTCACACTTAGATACGTTGCTACTCCTGTAAATATTTATGATTGTTTTCTGCATTTGAAAACTAGACTAGCCTATGATATGAACATTGAAAAAGGATTAAAAGAAGTTCTTGATCCAGAGATTCAAAAGGTTTTGTTTTCGTAACAAGTGCAAAAATTTCCTGGCATTTTTATGGAGAGAATAGCAACTTCAACGTTCAGTTTTCAATTCTTTTTCTTTAGGAATTGCTTGTCCTCGAAGATCAAGAAGTTAGTTTCAAAATTATCTTATACCACAAAACAAGACTCGTTCGCCAACTCTTTTATGTATTAAGTTTCACATTTCTTGCATATTATAGGGTTCTGTAAACTTTAAATTTGGTGTTCTTTTTGCGAAACAAGGACAAACTACTGACGACGAAATGTTAAGCAACGGTAACGATAAATGTTTAAATTGCTTTACTAAATCTGCACATTTCTTTCTTTCCAATTGAGTAGTTACAACGATGCTTTAATTTCAGAAAAAGAAAGCGTTTCCTTTGCATATTTTTTAAAATTGCTCGGTGAACGGGTTCTTTTAAAAGGATGGACAAAATTCAGAGGAGGATTAGATGTAAAATGTATGTATTTGAGACTATGCACATGCGGATCTCACTTGTAATCTCAGTCAATTTTCGTTCATGACTATTTGTCATCCGTACCGTGATTTTTTTCTTCATACTACAGGTAATATGACTGGAATAGCATCTGTTTATACTCAGTACGAAGGCCACGAAATCATGTTTCATGTTTCAACTCTTTTGCCTTTCTCAGATGATCCTCAACAGGTATAACATGCTGCTAAACTTTTGAATGTTTGACATTCAAGGTTTTGGTTCATCTGTTCTGCTCTGTTCTCTTTGTAAAACAAGATAATAATTGACTGATTATGGATTTATGTCAATCAACAATTGGTCTCAAGTTAATATTGCCTTTCTTAGGTTGAAAGAAAACGACATATAGGCAACGATATTGTCAACATTGTATTTCAAGAATGCGAAAGTCACGAAAAATCAACATTCACTCCATATGGAATTCGTTCACAGTTCACACGTATCTTTTCACCTTTATATTTACTAGGCTCGTCATAAAACATTATTACATATAATGTTACGTTTTTTTGGTTATAATTTACAAACTTTTTAACGAGTTCCTTAATTTTTTTGTATCAGATATTTACGCATTAGTTACATATTCAACAAGCGAAAATTCTTTCAGGTAAAATTAATTTAAATATCGTTGTTCGGAGTTGAAATAAAAATTTTGTGTAAGTTCATTGTTAATTTTCGTTTGGCTTACCCTCTGTTTAAATAATTTACGAAAAAAGATCGATTTTATATTGTGTAGGATTACCGTGTTTTCTGAAATAAACGTGCCTTTATTTGGGCCACCTTTACCGTCTTCACCAGTTTTCACAAATCATGAAGAATTTAGGGACTTTCTTCTTGTAAAAAGTACGTAAAACTCGTCATTTTGTTCACGTTAATGTGTTTAATGTGTTAGTTGAATAACAAGTTTCTTTATATCTGTTTACAGTGATAAATGGTGAGAAGGCAACGCATCTTACACCGATGTTTAGTAAACGACGTCATCGTACTTTGGAAATGTTGTTGACTAACTTAGTCAATAGTCATCTTCCAATTGAGGTAAGACCTACATAGCTATATTTTGTTCATAACATTGCGAAAGAAATTTGCAAAACTTAGTTCAAAACTTGCAGAACTGAATATTGTTTTATGTTGAGCTTTCGAGGACGTTGAGACTGCAGCTCGTTTAAGCTCGCGACCGGTACAGTTTCACAATGTTGCACAAAATTCAAAAGAAAGTGATCGCATAAAATCGATCGCGCGACAGTTTGCACTGAATGGCAATCAGCCTTAATACTTTTAAATACCTTTGACTTTTTAAGAAAGCAAAGTCTCGAAGATTTGCAAACACTTTGTCAGACTCCACGAAAGCCAAGCAGCAAAAAGAGAATGAAAGACATAAAAACTTCATTTTGCTTGGTCAGGTAATAAACAATTTCGAAGTATTTAGTTTTGCAGAATCAATTTTAGGAACATTTTCTTTCCGTTAACATTGCAGAAACTTAAAGACAATTTGATCCCAGCTGAAGATCCTACACGTTTAGTCAACATTCGACAGGGAGGGAATCGTTCAAATGAGGTATTTTATATTCTATGTATGAAAGTATAGTCTACGTTTTTTATTGGCGACATGACCATGTTGTAGCACTTATGTCCATATGTTTTAGTGATAGTGAGGGCCTTCTTTAAATGACAGCAGTTATATTTTGAAACATTGGTTTTTTTAGCCTTGGGGAATGCAGTGCGTTTGTAATTATTTCCCAACCAAAGTCACGTGTGGTGATTCTTGGAGTATGTTAGATTTACCATCGTTGTTTAATGTTTGTGAATTTGAAAACTTTACTGAAATATGTCATTATTATTCTTGTAAAGGCAATGGTTTGATCTTGGGTACAGAAGAGGGTGTGTTTAAATTAGAGGGTAAGATAGTTTACAATTTAAAATTCATTTTCGTTGAATGATCTAAAAATTGCTTGAAGATATATTTTTACGTTACGTCAAGTCGAAGATAAATCTCTTATTTATATTTAGCAAATTTTTAAGGATTTAAAGTACTGCATCTTTCAATAAAACAATTGTATTTTGGATTTTTTTTCCTTAGATGGAAGCATGAAGAGATTATTTGATAAGAGCATGGATATAAAGCAATTATTTGTTGATGAAGATCATGATGTCTTGATTCTTCGTGCTGATAAAGGTTCCTTCTTTCATTGCTTCATTTTAAGCTTTTATACACTTGTAAAGTGATCAACTCCTCTTGCAGGTCGTGATGGAAAAATTTATATATTTTCGCTGTCATATTTTGATGAAAGCAATAATCAGGCCATGACGAAAGTGAATTTTAAACACCATAAACTGGAGAAAGCCAAGGGTATGACAATCTTCGTCACAAAATAACCATAAAAAAATCTTTTGTAATATCTCCCTCCTTTTTAGGACTTTGGCATTCTCTCTTCTAATATGAAAATTGATTTATTACTATCTTTAATATATAATTACTCTGAGCTATGTATGCAATTGCTCATGGGATATTCTACGTCACGATTTTTGACGTCACGATTTTTACCACTGTTCTCTATTCAGGTGCACATCTCCTCGCTGTAAGTGAGAGGTTTTGTACAAGATTATTTTCTGTTGCTGCAAACAAGAAAATCCAACTGTACCAATGGAGAGACATGGAAAATAAACTACCTCGTGTGGTGAACAGTTACGATTTAGTTAAAGAAGTGGTTGTTATAGAGACGCCTTGTTTACTGACGTTAGTGGATTGTGGTGAAAATGGTTTTAACGTCTGTATTGGGTACAGGGACCAGTTTGATTTAATTGATATGGCGTCTGGAAGTATTTCTAAACTGTATGAAATTGAATCCGCTTCAACCAAGGTATGTATGAATTTTTGTTGAAAAAAATGAAGAAATCACAACCAGAATTTGTTCTGTTTAGTCTTAAAATTTAAATTTCAATGAATGGTAGAACGTTGAAGTCAGTTTCTTTTTTAGATTAAATCAAATCTCTTATCAGCCATAGATACATACGAAGACGACATACCATCGCTACTTTTGTCTTACAATCGTGAGTTTTAAATATATTATTATTAGATAGAGTACAGTATATATAGATTTGAACGAAACATGGTTTTCTTAGATATGTCTTGTTTAAAGCTTCTGAATGGCGAAAATGCATCAAATTTCAGTTTACAATGGAATTCTACTCCAAAGAATATTGGTATTTGCTCTTTTAAAAATAAAATATTTTCTCTTTTTTCTTTGCTGTAATTTGGATTAAACAAAACAAGACAATCTTCTTTTGTTTGATATTTTACAGTTTATATATTTCCATATGTTTTGGCCTTCACTCGGAACACCATTGAAATACGTCTGGTCGTTAACGGAACATTAGTTCATACTTTAGTACTACCGAAAGTTAGTTTGATATCAGCAAAGGTAAGTTTGCGTATAAATAAAGTAGCTATTACACAACCGTAGACATCACAAAAAAAAGACAAAAAGAAAATCGCTTACATTGTAAACCATGGACAACAAGACAACAACTGGATATTTAGACTAAAGCTAATTGTGAAAGGTTTTATAAAAAATGTTTTTATTTTCCATGAAGTCAATGGATGTTCAAGTCATGATAACCTCATCAAAATTAAATGGAAGTTAATGATGAAAAAAAGTGAAGCATTTTATGACTGATTCAAATTACGAGTTAAAATGCAGTGTTGTTTTAAACTTTGCACTATCATTGGATCCCTAGTTCAATCTCTTCATTTATGACATATTAGCCTTTTCAATAACAATCTTTGTAAAATCAATTACTAATTTTCATTTCAGGATGACATCTATTTTTCTTCATCTCGATTAACGCAGTTAGAAAATCAGAAAGAAGTTGTGAGTCAACGACGACGACGTGTCGATGTCAGTCAACAAAACTTCCAACAAATGCGCCTCTCCACAACAACAGAACAACAAAGATGTATTTATAAAATGTCACTGAGCTCTCTACAACAACTGAGCGTCGATGGATCGTCTGCTGAACGAATCCCAAACATCAGGACACCTCTCACTCCATATGGTGAAATCACGTTTGAGTTTTCTTACCAAAACTCACCAAATAACGATAATGACTTTAGTTATATGAAAAGAAATAAAATGACTAAGACTAGTGTGTCAACCACGAATCTTAATGCACCCTTTACTTGGGACACGATTGATGAAGACAAACTCGACGATGAGTTTAGAGAACTTATTGAATCAAATCAGGGAGAAAGTAGTCATCTATGATGAAGTATTTGTAAAGTTCTCGAAGAAGATTGTTTGATTATTTTAATTCTTTGCTTTGTTATCAGGTGTTGATGGATCTAACTTGAACATCCAGTGTCTCTCGATTCATTTAATCTACGAAATTTTTTAAAGTTAAGATGTGATGTATTTGCTTGCATGGATTTTATTATAAATATTTATAACGTGTAAATTATATAAGAAAACAAATGTAAACTAAAATTTCACTTTGTAAATATACATAACTTCGACAATATACGATGTGATTTTTTAAATTTTACATGTTAGAAAATTGTTAACATTTTAAATGTGATCACATCACAAGCCATGAGGCATATTGTTCTTTTATACCATTCAGTATAGAACCTCCATGAGATTAACTTGTATATTTAGATTACTTAGTGTTTATTTGCAGCGCACATGCAATAAGATTCATTCTGTACACTTGTAACGCTTGGCTAACAAAGTGCATCGATTCTTTTACCTTCATGTAAATTTTCAATATTCATAAAATAACTGCTCGAATGTGAAATAAAACGAACGAACTCTTTCCAAACATCAGTAAAGCTAAGTCTTTTCATACTCTAGAATCGAACAAGAAGGTGGAAGTTAGCGATAGAAGAATGTCTCAAGACAACTTAAGAGAGAAGAAAGTCGGTACGTAGGATTTCTTATATTTGATATATTATAATGAGTGATGTTCTGATGTGCAAATAAGACATTGCTAAAATTACTTTACTCGTCACAAGCATACACACACATACTTTATTTTGAAGAAGAAGGACAAGCCACATAGAAAATTTGTTAACTTTAATAATAACAATCATGCTGATACATAAAAATTTTTTGAATATTTCAACCTTCAACACTCTGCAAAATTTTCCTAATTATCTTTAAACATGATTGAATACAAAATGCTTTGTTTCCACACATGAAATTAAACTGTTACACTTGCAATGGAGATAGAGCAACATATTAACAATCAATGCAATTTACGAGCTTGTATTTTGATACACCGTCGTTGTTCGTAAAAATTATCTCTGAAGGATTATTGTTTTAGAATTTGCTATTATCTACATACTTGATGTGGTGACAAAAAGGTTTAAACTTGCATTTTGAAAATTTAAGAGTTGAAATTATTATAATCTAATTATTTTATATCGCATAAACTACATTTCAACATAAAAACAATAAAATGGAAACATGACACATATGACCGAATGTGACCCCCAGAAAATATATTATCTCGTGAAAAAATACATATTTTTGTTGCAATCTTAAACAAATTCGAATTTTGGTTTCGATTTTTACTTACAGCACAGATGGAGATAGATGATAAAGGAGAAAGGGCCGAGCTTGTCGGTTAGTAGTTACATACTTTAAAATTATTAAACTGAAAGGTTATAAATATTTTACACCAAGATAGTGCACAAACACGCTTTCTCGTCGTTGTGATGAAGAAAACATTTCTTCTCTATCCGAGACTATTTTTTGAAAATGTCTGGTTTTGCGCAAAAAAACTGCAACAGCTCAACATATGAAACCGGACAAAGCCTAGTATAACAAGTCTGTCATTGCAAAGTTGCTAACAGACAATAGTATCTTTGTATATTATCCTGTGTCGTATAATATCTCTTGAAGCTGCTTTGCCAAAGTGATTTTATGTTGTGAACTTATGATATCCATATAGAGCAGTTTATTTTGTGATCTAAACAAAGGAATTAAAACTATGTTGTAGCATTTGAATATTAGGATTAAGAATTTGGGATGATCTTAAGTTACTTGTGTGCAAAGAGCTTAACTGCAGTGTTGAATATGAAATACGCCCAAACCGCATAAATTAATAATGAATAAGATAAACATCGTCCTGTGAATAATATCAGCATTAAAAGCTTAAATATGGCAGCAGACGACACAGGTGAATATTTCTACATAATTTTTACAAATTGCTTTAAGTTTTTAGGGTATAAAGTTTGTTGATTTATATAAAATGTTTATGAAGTATTTGTAAACTCATCTATTCATCTTTCCTTTTATTTTTGCTACCTGTTGTGCCGTATCCATTTTCATATGATCTCACTATTTATATTGCACAAGGAATATGTAATATTTTTCTGTTTAACGTTGGAGAACCGTATCTTTTTTAATCAACTATGAAGTGTAAAATCCTTTCTACGAATTAAGTTTATAATGAGCTAAGATTTACACATTATTCTCTACAATATTCAATTTTTTGTCACAATTGCTACGTTGTATGACTATACTCGAAATAAATATCGTAGATATTGAAGTCGAGCTTTTCTACGTGACCAGTTTTAAATTGTTTTCATACGATGCCTCATGATGTGTATAATGTGTCCCGAGGCAAGGATCTCTTGAATAGAATGAAACACAATATAATAGAAAAGATTAAAATTGAAAGCGATTTGGTCGAATCTCTTTTACAGCAAAAGCTAAAGTAAAAGAAGAATTAACAACAAGGTCCAAATAGGATGAATTTTATTGTGTTTAGTTCAGCTGGAAAACAGCGAAAGACATAGTTTATAATGTCATTTGATACGCTCCACCGACGGCTTTTGTTGGTATGACCCTCTCCTAATCTTGTCTATTGTAAAACTGTTCATATTATATCCATTATAGTCGTGTTTGGACCTTTATAAGTATAAAATTCAACTCCCTCAGACAAATATCATATCAAACTAGTTTAAATGACAGATAATCTCACAGTAAACGAAGAAAAGGAGAATATAATAACTTCTCCTGGTCAGTATTTATTTTAATGTATAGCCTGTCTTTCTCTCAGCGTTTCAAACTGAACGGTTCAATTTCAAACGCTGAGAGAGAATTTGAAGAGAATCGTTTATCACTTGGGCGAATTTCTTAGTTGTCGATTTTATACCATAGATGGGAAAGCTCGTCATTACGATCCAAACTTCAAAGGTCCTATCAAGAATAGGTACACTGGTTGTCGTGAGTTTACGTGTTTACACAAAGCAAATTTGTTCATCATTTATACTGTCGTTTTCTTGCATAAACAGATCATGCACAGATATACCTTGCTGTTTGTTGTTTACATTATATCTTGTTGGAATGGTCATCGTTGGAATCATTGGTAAGTCAGTCTTAACGACAACCGTAAACGACTACATATTATATTCATGATAGTTATTTTTTGGTCTTAGCATTTAAAGAAGGTGATTTAGACAGACTGATATACCCAACAGACTCTAATGGTATGAATCGTTGACTTTCCATTTTGCAACATCCTATTATTCGTAGCGAAAGACAATACGTGACGTTTTGTTTGTACATTACAGGAAAAACCTGTGGTGTTGATTTTGTGTGAGTATATTTCCAACCGGTAGTTTATCTTCAATAAAAGAGGACTTTACAATCCATCTTTGTTATAGGGACAAGAAGTACTTGTTCTTCTTTGATCTGACGAAGTGTATCAAGAAGACGTCATTAAAAGATCTCACTAGTCTTTCATGCCCAACTCCACAGGTTTCAAATAACAAATTTCATCCAAAGATTCTACGTGAAGACTATACTTTCTTTTTTTGCCACTGTTTTTTAGGTTTGTGTTGAAAAATGTCCGAACTACACAGCCGTGTACAACAGTGACGTGGATTATGATAAAGTTATTTGTGTTGAAGGAGTAACAAGACCTCAGGTAATTTAGAAAGCTGCGTTTCTTCTCTCATACTACGTAAGTATTCACATGTGTCGCTCTTTAGAACAAACGTGAATTCGACCTGCTGGTTAAAGAAAATAAATGTGCAGATTTCTACATCGATAGCTCACCAGGTTTGTTTAAAAGTGCATACAATTTTAGTGTAACTTATTGTCGTGTTGTTATCCACTGTAATTTATGGAATTCAACACTTTGAGTAGCTCATACGCTCAATCTAAAGTTAATGTATAATGGACACCGCGACACGATGATTTTTGCAATTTTTTTATTCTTTGTTATTTTTCTATGTTTCAGTTCTATACCGTTGTCTGCCTACTGCTGTTGGCCTAGACAATCTAAATTCAACTGAGATCAAGAAAAACATTGAAAATGGAATTTCGTTAGTATTATTTTTTTCTGTATTGACTGAAATCTTCAAGAGTACACAAAAACTTCTATCTAATCTTTCTTGCAGAGGACTTGGAGACTTAATGAACGCCAAAGGCATTGCAGTTAAGGTACTTAATACGAACTTCTCCACATTTAGCTGTGTAGTTATCACTAAACTATCACCCAAGATTGCAGTAAATTAACAAACTCTGTCTGTTTTGACTCTATATTTCAGATTTTTGAAGATCTAAAAATGGTTTGGTATTGGATTCTTGGGTAATATACGAAACTTCATTACAAACTTTATAGCATCCTTTCTAAACATTGCAAATCTCCATTGATGCTTTTTTCCATTTAATCAACTTTTATCATCTGGGAGTCGGGGGCGTACTCCTATGATTTTGTGTTGTTATATGTTATACAATTGATTCATTTAGAGCTTTGGTTATCGCCATGTTTATATCTTTACTTTGGATAATCATAACCAGGTTCTTCCATCTGCTTATATTCCTCAAATTCTTCAATTTAATGTCCATTGGTAAAGTTTTAACTTAAAATCTTCATAATATTTAAGATGGATAGCTTGGCCTATGGTTTGGCTTTCGATATTAGCTGCATTTGCCCTCATGATTGTTGGTAAGTTTCGACTTCACTTCGTGACTGCTTTAAATCACGTTTAAAACCTGAAATAACAATCTTAATTTTCATCACATAGGGATTTATTTCTGTTATCATAAATACAAAGATCTTGAAGATCGCGGTGTTGATAAAAGTATCGAATGGAAATTCACCACAAACTTAGACAACTTTACAAACTCCAAGAAATTTTGGCTAGCATCTGGTACGTTTGTGATTATACGTAATAGCGAATGAAATTTTCTTTAATATAGACGACGAGTTTTTTCAGAATAGACATGTTTAAATATCTCATGTCGAAATGACATTAGCAATGTCATTTCGACATGACATTGTGTCTGTATACGTAAAGTAAAATCATTCAATCAAGTCATAAATACCGTTCTGTTTTTCTAGGGATAATTCTCACTGTTGTCTTTGTGGTTTTGTTTCTGATCATGTTGGTCTTGAGAAAGCGCATAAATATAAGCATTGCTTTAATAAAAGAGGCCAGCAAGTTAGTCATTTACTGTTTGATGATCTTAATCCTATTTCGCGTGTCTTGCATGTGATGTGCTCATGTGGGCTATGAAATTTTTTTTCATTTTTGTAGAGCTGTAGGCTCTATCAAGGCAGCGTTATTCTTTCCAATATTTCCATGGATTTTGCAACTTGGTGTGTTTGCTTGGTTTATCGCTGTTGCGTTGTATCCTTCTTTTTGTTACAGTATGAAAAATATCAACATCGTTTTGTTTTTTCGTCATTGCATTTGTTCTCTTTCCTTTTGTCCAATATTTTTGCCTTGACGAATTAATCTTTGAAGATTTTTAGTAAGCAACGGTACGCAGAAATTCCATGTTATTGACAAAAACGGAACAATTCAAAACTTTACGGACTGTAATCCAAAGGTTCAAATCATAATCATTCAACTTGCTGTTAGTTATGTAACCAATGTAGTTTTATTTTATAGATACGATTTTGTACATTTTTTAGACTTTCACGGGCAATATGTCACAGTGTGTTCTAGCTGGATATGAAACAAACGAGTATGTGACGATTTTGCTATTTTTATGTTTCATAAAAAAGTTTATTTTTTACGTAACAAAGATTCTTATTTCTAATTTCTAATATTTTTATTTTATCATAGACATTTGTATCGAATGGCAATCTTTCATTTCTTTGGATGGTTGTGGATGATGAACTTTGTTATAGCATTGGGTGAATGCGTCTTGGCTGGAGCTTTTGCATCGTGGTACTTTGCCTTTCATAAACCTGACGTATGTGTCGTGATCACAAGTAAAAAGAATTACCACAAGTGCTTTTGTTTAATGATGTTATTTATCGTTATTTAAGGATGTTCCAGCGTTGCCTATTATCTCAGCTCTAGGAAGAACTATACGGTTTGATTGTTTCTAATAAGAAGACATCTATGTACTTTAACTTTATTCTTTCTGTGTATATTTATATCCCCAGATATCACACGGGTTCCCTGGCTTTTGGTGCTGCTATTATAGCTATTGTCCAGTTTATCAGAGCAGTTTTGGAATATATTCATCACAAGCTTAAAGGTATTGATGTGAAGAAATTGTTATTTCCAGAGATTTTTTCAACAGTAAAATTCTTCTTCTCTTTTATTTAGAGTCCAACCAGGACAATGGATTTGTCAAGTTTTTTATGAGGTTCTTTTGTACCTAATTTTTGCACAGTTTGTTTTAAATCTAGCATTATCTTGTAGAGAAACACTTTAGTTGACTTGTTTTTTTTTTGTCGTTAAGGTGTTTGAAATGCTGCTTTTGGTGTTTGGAAAAATGTTTGAGATATTTAAATAAGAACGTGTACATTGGCATCGCAATTTATGGAAAGAATTTCTGTAAAGCCGCCAAAGACGCTTTTTTCTTGTTGTTAAGAAATGCTTTGAGGTTAGGAAGAGTATTGTTGGGGAAAGATACATCTCTGCTAACGAAGAAACTCTTGATATGATGATAACAGGAATTTTTCAATTGCAGAGTTGCGGCGATTAATGGCGTTACAGCTTTTTTATTGTTCATGGGAAGATTGTTCGTCGTTGGAGTTATTGGTTGGTGAAAATAATCCATTTTACAGCAAAACATGTTTGTCGGTTTTGACCAATCTCGACTTCAATTACAGGTGTGGCAAGTTTCTATTGGTTTGACAAATTTGTCAATGATGTTGAAGATGTCCAACTTTCTTATTCTGTTGTTCCTATTGTGGTAAGTTCAATGTTTATTTTTCTTCCCTATACTTCATTTTATATATACTATTTGATTGTAGGTTTGTGTGATTGGTGCTTGGGTTGTGGCTGCGCTATTTTTCTCTGTCTATGAAATGGCTATCGATACCATCTTCTTCTGTTTTCGTAAGTAATAGTTTTAAAAAGTAAAATTTTTTCATCATATTAGAACGTAGTTTTATACATATCTTCCTACATTTTTTAACAGTTGAAGATTGTGAACGGAACGATGGTTCTGCTGAAAAACCTTATTACATGAGCGATAATCTTCGTGATATACTTGGAAAGTAAATTCCCTTCTTTGACACTTTAAAAAATATTACCCAGTTACTAGCTACATGCACATGAGAAAAGTTAGAAGATGATTAGGTGGTATGTTCCGTATGTGTTTTATCTATCTACAGCGCCTTTACTAGATTCATTTATTTTTAATGGAAATTGTACTTCTTTGACGTCGAAATGTAATCGTTAATGGTGTGTTGCAATGTTTCAAATCACGTAAACTTAAATATCGTTTTTATAAACATAAATTAAAATAGATTGATTGTTATAGTGTTATGAAAATTGATGATAGCAAAAATATCCATGTAGTTTGCCAAAACAGAAACATAACCAGCTTTCTTCTTCGTTTTTCTTGCTAACAAATGGTAGGTAAGAAAAGATCATTTCCTATCTAAAACGTATAATAAGCGACATTGACAAATACATAAAACGTAGTACGACTTAAAACTTCACCAAAACCATTCAAATAATCTGAGACAATTCTCAACTCTTCTAAACATTTCTTCTCTATCTGAGACTCTTTTTTGAAAATGTTTGGTTTTGCGTAAATAAACTGCAACAGCTCAACATATGAAACCGGACAAAGCCTAGTATAACAAGTCTGTCATTGCAAAGTTGCTAACAGACAATAGTATCTTTGTATATTATCATGTGTCGTATGATAACTCTTGAAACTGCTTTGCCAAAGTGATTTTATGTTGTGAACTTATGATATCCATATAGAGCAGTTTATTTTGTGATCTAAATAAAGGAATTAAAACTTTGTTGTAGCATTTGAATATTAGGATTAAGAATTTGGGATGATCGTAAGTTACTCGTATGCAAAGAGCTTAACTGCAGTGTTGAAAATAAAATACGCCCAAACCGCATAAATTAGAAAATTAAACGAGACTTACCTGAAGTCGAAGTTTGATTGAAATTCTGAGTTACTGTTCAGGAACTAGGAAGTCATGTGAGATAGAGCCCGCGATATCAAGATCAGTTTTTAAAAAATTTGCGAACGTCCACATACATATTGGGAGGCAATTAGTATTTAACATCATTTGAAAAGAAGTAAGTTAGTAGTTGGGTGGGTGACTTCCTAGTTCCTGAACAGTAACTCATATAATTTCAATCAAACTTCGACTTCAGGTAAGTCTCGTTTAATTTTCTAATTCTATTTCGTCACTGTTCTACGTCACTAGGAAGTCATGTGAGATTTTAAAGCAATGTGGACATGAGCAATAACTAATAACAAAATAATATAATTGAAATTTCACATTTCATGTCTCACAAATGGCAGAAAGTAGATCATTGCCAAAGTTCTTCGCCTCAATTGGTTTATTATAAAATGTTTGAAAAGTTTGTTCATTACGCCATGTAGCTGCATTCATAATAGTGTCCATAGAAATATTCAATGCGTTCGCCGCAGAAGTTGATGCAGTTCTAGTACTGTGTGCACTGTAAACCTCAGTATTTATACCAGCATCCTTTAACACATATTTTAACCATCGAGAAATGGTCGCTGAAGTGACCGAATGATAAGGTTTTTGATAGCTCAATAGGAGTTGTCTTGCACCATTTCGTATGGGTGCAGTGGCATTTAGATAATGGGACAAGTAATTGAATACACATAACCCAGGCTCTGGTGGATAAGCCCGAAATTGTAAAGGAGCAGCATGCTTACCAGGTTTAGATGTTTTGAGCAGTTGGTGCACATGAAAAACTATTCGATCTTCTTTCTTCTCCATATGAGAAATATCCAATGCACGAAGTGTTTGGCATCGCTGACCAGATAAAAAAGCTAAAAGCATTACTGTTTTTAGTGTTAATGATTTCAAACTGAGAGCTTTCGGAGGGTGGAGATTTCGAAGATGTTTGAATACCACTGAAACGTCCCAGACCATGGCATATCTAGGAAGAGCTGGTCTTGCAACAAATACACCTTTAACAAACCTAGCAACGAGTGGATGTCTACCAAACGAGATGTCACAGGATGTGCTATTAGCATCTGCATTAAAGCTGGCCACCAACTTTGTGTTGGCCAGTTAGGGACTAAGACTAGTCCTGTGCTTTTCTCTTGTACTATTTTTTGTAACACTTGCGAAATTATGCTAAAAGGCGGGAACGCATAAAATGTATACTTGGCCCACGATATCGTAAAGGCGTTGACAGCTATAGCATAAGGGTCAGGTTGTATGAAACATAGGGTTTCACTTGATTATTCAACCTTGACGCAAACAAATCAAGTTACCTCTAGTTTTGAATGGCACACGTAAACAGTCTTGTTCAACTGCCATTCTGTTTCTCTGCGTGATATTCGAGATTCTCGATCCGCAGTGACATTTTGTAATCCTGGAATGTGCGCTGCTGTCAACCAAATATCATACGAAATGCAGCAGGTCCAGACATTGCATGTCAACTTGTGAATAGACCTTGAGTGGCATGTTCCCATTTGATTAATGCAAGCTACAGCGGTAGTATTATCAATGAATACCTTAACATGCTGACCTTTTAGTTCTGAAGAAAACGACTCAAGGGCAAACAATACCGCAAGAATTTCCAAACAATTTATATGATTTGAAGCCTCCAAGGGCGTCCAGTTACCCCTAGCACATACACCATTTAGGGAGCAGCCCCACACTGTCAACAACGCATCTGTTGTTAGGCATATGCTAGGTCCATTGTGAGTAATTTGCCTGTAAGTCGTGCATATTGATGACTGCCACCATTGTAAATCATGTATGGCCTCTGAAGACAGGGTCATTGTCTTGTCAAAATTACCCCGGTTTAACTTGAGGGCATCGCTTTTATCCATTTCCAGCCAGCGATAATGCAACTGACCGTACATTACACCCGGGAGACTCGAAGTGAGAGTGCCCAAAACCAGAGAAACATCCTATATTTTTGGGTGAGAAGCTTGTAGCAGCTCATAACACATGCGTTTTATCTTCTCAGCTCGTTCCGTCGTCACAGATATTTGCATAAGAACTGAGTTGAGTCGAAACCCAAAAAAGTAATTACTTGTGAGGGAACTAAAACTGACTTATCCGGATGTATGTAAAGCCCCACTTCACTAAATTAGCAGATGGTATCTCGAATATTCCGAACATATGAAGCATATGTGTCGGATGTCAGCCAAGTATCATCAATAAATGCAACCGAAATATGTCCTTTATGACGCAAATTTGAAAAACAGGTTTGAGGAGTTTCGTAAATTTTCGTGGACAGATGGCCAGGCCGTTAGGAAAACAGGCAAATTTATATAATTGCCCTCTCCACCAAAATTTGAGGAATTTTTGATATGCTGGGTGAATAGGTACGGAATAGTAAGCATCTTTGAGATCGATGGAGGCCATGAAACAATTTGGTTTCATAAGCCTAATAGCTGACCAAACACACTCCATTTTAAAATGGTGATATCTGACATGCCTGTTTAAGCATTTCAGATTAAGAATCATGCGAAAAGAACCGTCTTTTTTTGGGCAAGTGAAAATTGGAGATACAAATTCCCCTGATTCAGGGTGAGAAATCTGCAAAATGCCTTTTTTGCGTAATTTGTTAATTTCTAAATCAATATTGTTCATTTCAACCTCGGGTAGCTGTATTTGCTTGGGTAAAACTCTTGGGTAAAACTTTAAGATTTCCTTATCAGGGGGTGAGTGTTTCCCATGCACTTAAATAATTTGATATGCTGCCAGCCTGATAGGTCTCCAAGCTTTTATTCAAATACGCTATTAGCGTGGGTACAAAAGAAGAATACTGGTTTACCTGTAAAGTCTTAAAATTTCTTGAAAATTCGATGTTTTCTACTTACGATCGTTCATTGTGTCCGATCGTTTCTTCCCGAATTTGTTCCTCTTCGACCGATAGGGGTGTTGCCCTGATGACGGGATAAAAAAGGGCGCCATTGTCGTTTCCCTTGTTTCGAATGTTGCTGCCAAGTGGTATTAGAAGAGCTTGTTGTCGCGTTGCCAATCTTGTTGGATGTGCGAATGTGATTAATTTGGGTTTGCACTTCATCTCCAAACAAATATTTCGTAATGGGAACATGCAATGCGCATAAAGTACTAAATTCTCGACGGAGATTGGGACGTATAGCGTCACGTCGTCGTTGAGACAATTCAAAACTTACATGTTCCAGGATCGCTATGACATCAGCGTTCATACGAACAAGATTATCAATATTCAGTTTGCTGCTGTTATTGCGGGCAACCAACAGATCATTGGTGGTTTGTGCTGCTATATGACCGACATTCGTCAGGGCCGATTGAATTGCACTCAATTGTAAATCACGCCCTCTAGCTGTGCGGTCTAATTTTCCCCAAATTTCGGGGTTTACCTTAGTTACAATAAGGCGATCGCAGTTCTTAGGCCTAAAATATTTAGCCTTTTTTTCCTTCAATTGCTCGTCGTTCAGCTTATTCAGCCAACGCTGGTTGATAATTGAGGCGAGCTTCTCGTTGACGATTGGTGAAGTTTTCTCAGTTTCGTCTAGAGTCTGCGAAATCTCTTCCAGCAACGGGTCCACTGCTAGTTGTTCTGCTTCAGGATTGCGCTTGGTCGAAGGTTCTTCGTTTTGTGCCAACAAGACTTCACAATCTGCGTCATGCCTGATTCAGGGATTAAAGCACTTGCTTTCCTCTTACGAGTAGATTCTACTGTAGAGGATACTGACGTTTGCTGCATTAACCTGAGTGATTCACTCATTGCAGTCATTGCTTCACTCATCCTACAAAGGGCGGTTGCCACATTCAAATTCTATGATGTGACTTGCTCTTCTTCGCTTTCTTCCATCATGTCATCTTGTTCATCGTGTTCAGCAAAACCCAGGAGTGCTGCTTCATCTCCGACATCATCACTTGTCGTATACTCTTCACTTGTAGAAGCCATAATTCAAGAATATAGTGTGGAAATATAATTGTAATATAGTGTGGAAAGGAACTTTCTGTAACTGATCGCTGTGAAATCTACGCTCGAACTTATCTTGATATCGCTTGCTCTATCTCACATGACGTCCTAGTGACGTAAACAGTGACGAAGTAGAATTCATAATGAGTAAGATAAACATCGTACTGTAAATAATATCAGCATTAAAATGAAGGCTCAAAAGCACGAACGCTTAAATATGGCAGCGGACGAAACAGGTGAATATTTCTTCATAATTTTTTACAAATTGCTTTAAGTTTTTAGGGCATAAAGTTTGTTGATTTATGTAAATTGTTTATGAAGTATTAGTAAACTCATCTATTCATCTTTCCTTTTATTTTTGCTACCTGTTGTGCCGCATCTATTTTCACATGATCTTACTATTTTATATTGCGCACGGAATATGTAATATTTTATGAAGTGTAAAATCCTTTATACGAATTAAGAATAATCCTTTATACGAATACATTATTCTCTACAATATTCAATTTTTTGTCACAATTGCTACGTTGTATGACTATACTCGAAATAAATATCGTAAATATTGAAGTCGAGCTTTTCTACGTGACCAGTTTTAAATTGTTTTCATACGATGCCTCATGTTGTGTATAATGTGTCCCGAGGCAAGGATCTCTTGAATAGAATGAAACACAATATAATAGAAAAGATTGAAAATGAAAGCGATTTGGTCGAATCTCTTTTACAGCAAAAGCTAAAGTAAAAAAGAATTAACAACAAGGTCCAAATAGGATGAATTTTATTGTGTTTAGTTCAGCTGGAAAACAGCGAACGACATAGTTTGTAATGTCATTTTATACGCTCCGCCGACGGCTTTTGTGCATATTATATCCATTATAGCCGTGTTTGGACCTTCATAAGTATAAAATTCTACTCCAGTTAGACAAATATCATATCAAACTAGTTTAAATGACAGATAATCTTACAGTAAACGAAGAAAGGGAGAATATAGCATGTCTTTCTCTCAGCGTTTCAAACTGAACGGTTCAATTTCAAACGCTGAGAGAGAGTTTGAAGGGAATCGTTTATCCCTTGTGCGAATTTCTTAGTTGTTGATTTTTATACCATAGATGGGAAAGCTCGTCATTACGATCCAAACTTCAAAGGTCCTATCAAGAATAGGTACACTGGTTGTCGCGAGTTTAAGTGTTTACACAAAGCAAGTTTGTTCATCATTTATACTGTCGTTTTCTTGCATAAACAGATCATGCACAGATATACCTTGCTGTTTGTTGTTTACATTATATCTTGTTGGAATGGTCATCGTTGGAATCATGGGTAAGTCAATCTTAACGACAACCTTAAACGACTACATGTTATATTCATGATAGTTATTTTTTGGTCTTAGCATTTAAAGAAGGTGATTTAGACAGACTGATATACCCAACAGACTCTAATGGTATGAATCGTTGACTTTCCATTTTGACTTTCCTATTATTCGTAGCAAAAGACAATACGTGACGTTATGTTTGTACATTACAGGAAAAACCTGTGGTGTTGATTTTGTGTGAGTATATTTCCAACCGGTTGTTTATTTTCAATAAAAGAGGACTTTACAATCATCTTTGTTATAGGGACAAGAAGTACTTGTTCTTCTTTGATCTGACGAAGTGTATCAAGAAGACGTCATTAAAAGATCTCACTAGTCTTTCATGCCCAACTCCACAGGTTTAAATGACAAATTTCATCCAAAGATTCTACGTGAAGACTGTACTTTCTTTTTTTGCCACTGTTTTTTAGGTTTGTGTTAAAAAATGTCCGGACTACACAGCCGTGTACAACAGTGACGTGGATTATGATAAAGTTATTTGTGTTGAAGGAGTGACAAGGCCTCAGGTAATATAGAAAGCTGCGTTTCTTCTCTCATACTACATAAGTATTCACATGTGTCGCTCTTTAGAACAAACGTGAATTCGACCTGCTGGTTAAAGAAAATAAATGTGCAGATTTCTACATCGATAGCTCACCAGGTTTGTTTAAAAGTGCATACAATTTTAGTGTAACTTATTGTCGTGTTGTTATCCACTATAATTTTATGCAAATTTATGCAATTTATAGAACTGAACACTTTGAGTAGCTCATACGCTCACACTAAAGCTAATGTATAATGGCTATCGCGACACGATGATTTTTGCAATTTTTTTATTTTTTGTTATTTTTCTATGTTTCAGTTCTATACCGTTGTCTGCCTACTGCTCTTGGCCTAGACAATCTAAATTCAACTGAGATTAAGAAAAACGTTGAAAATGGAATTTCGTTAGTATTATTTTTTTCTGTATTGACTGAAATCTTCAAGAGTACACAAAAACTTCTATCTAATCTTTCTTGCAGAGGACTTGGAGACTTAATGAACGCCAAAAGCATTGCAGTCAAGGTACTTAATACGAACTTCTCCACATTTAGCTGTGTAGTGATCCCTAAATTATCACCCAAGATTGCAGTAAATTAACAAACTCTGTATTTCAGATTTTTGAAGATCTAAAAATGGTTTGGTATTGGATTCTTGGGTAATATACGAAACTTCATTATAAACTTTATAGCATCCTTTCTATATATTGCAAATCTCCATTGATGCTTTTTTCCATTTAATCAACTTTTACCATCTGGGAGTCGGGGGCGTACTCCGTTGATTTTGTGTTGTTATATGTTATACAATTGATCCATTTAGAGCTTTGGTTGTCGCCATGTTTATATCTTTACTTTGGATAATCATAACCAGGTTCCATCTGCTTATATTCCTCAAATTCTTCAATTTAATGTCCATTGGTAAAGTTTTAACTTAAAATCTTCATAATATTTAAGATGGATAGCTTGGCATATGGTTTGGCTTTCGATATTAGCTGCATTTGCCCTCATGATTGTCGGTAAGTTTCGACTTCACTTCGTGCACAGTGACTGCTTTAAGTCACGTTTAAAACCTGAAAAAACAATCTTCATTTTCATCATATAGGGATTTATTTCTGTTACCAAAAATACAAAGATCTTGAAGTTCGCGGTGTTGATCAAAGTATTGAATGGAAATTCACCACAAACTTAGACAACTTTACAAACTCCAAGAAATTTTGGCTAGCATCTGGTACGTTTGTGATTATACGTAATAGCGAATGAAATCTCATTCGCCATCTCATGTCGAAACATATCTATTCTGAAAAAACTCGTTGTCTATATTAAATGCACATTAGCAATAGTGCTTCTACGAAATTATGGAAATTTTCTTTCTTAAAAGAATATTCTTTAACCTAACCAAATATTTACCACTTTTGCCAAAATAGAAGATTTCAAAACTATTCCACCATGCATGGCAGCTATGAAAGAAGATATTCTTATTATAAAGACAGTGTCAATATCTTGCCAGTGTTTGCCTATGTGTCAGTATACGTAAAGTAAAATCATTCAATCAAGTCATAAATACCGTTCTGTTTTTCTAGGGATAATTCTCACTGTTGTCTTTGTGGTTCTGTTGCTGATCATGTTTGTCTTGAGAAAGCGCATAAATATAAGCATTGCATTAATAAAAGAGGCCAGCAAGTTAGTCATTTACTGTTTGATGATCTTAATCCTATTTCGCGTGTCTTGCATGTGATGTGCTCATGTGGGCTATGAAATTTTTTTTCATTTTTGTAGAGCTGTAGGCTCTATCAAGGCAGCGTTATTCTTTCCAATATTTCCATGGATTTTGCAACTTGGTGTGTTTGCTTGGTTTATCGCTGTTTCATTGTATCCTTCTTTTTGTTGCAATAAGAAAAATATCAACATCGTTTTGTTTTTTTGTCATTGCATTTGTTCTCTTTCCCTTTGTCCAATATTTTTGCCTTGACGAATTAATCTTTGAAGATTTTTGGTAAGCAACGGTACGCAGAAATTCCATGTTATTGACAAAAACGGAACAATTCAAAACTTTACGGACTGTAATCCAAAGGTTCAAATCATAATCATTCAACTTGCTTTTAGTTATGTAACCAATGTAGTTTTATTTTATAGATACGATTTTGTACATTTTTTAGACTTTCACGGGCAATATGTCACAGTGTGTTCTGGCTGGATATGAAACAAACGAGTTTGTGACGATTTTATTATTTTTTATGTTTCATAAAAAAGTTTATTTTTTACGTAACAAAGATTCTTATTTCTAATTTTTAATATTTTTATTTTATCATAGACATTTGTATCGAATGGCAATCTTTCATTTCTTTGGATGGTTGTGGTTGATGAACTTTGTTATAGCATTGGGTGAATGCGTCTTGGCTGGAGCTTTTGCATCGTGGTACTTTGCCTTTCATAAACCTGACGTATGTGCTGTGATCACAAATAAAAAGAATTACCACAAATGCCTTTGTTTGATGATGTTATTTATCGTTATTTAAGGATGTTCCAGCGTTGCCTATTATCTCAGCTCTAGGAAGAACTTTAAGGTTTGATTGTATCTAATGTGAAGACATCTATGTACTTTAACTTTATTCTTTCTGTGTATATTTATATCCCCAGATATCACACGGGTTCCCTGGCTTTTGGTGCTGCTATTATAGCTATTGTCCAGTTTATCAGAGCAGTTTTGGAATATATTCATCACCAGCTTAAAGGTATTGATGTGAAGAAATTGTTATGTCCATAGATTTTTTATCAACAGTAAAATTTCTTCTCTTTTATTTAGAGTCCAACCAGGACAATGGATTTGTCAAGTTTTTTATGAGGTTCTTTTGTACCTCATTTTTGCACAGTTTGTTTTAAATCTAGCATTATCTTGTAGATGAACACTTTAGTTGACTTGTTTTTTTTTGTCGTTAAGGTGTTTGAAATGCTGCTTTTGGTGTTTGGATAAATGTTTGAGATATTTAAATAAACACTTTAGTTGACTTGTTTTTTTTGTCGTTAAGGTGTTCGAAATGCTGCTTTTGGTGTATGGAAAAATGTTTGAGATATTTAAATAAGAACGTGTACATTGGCATTGCAATTTATGGAAAGAATTTCTGTAAAGCCGCCAAAGACGCTTTTTTCTTGTTGTTAAGAAATGCTTTGAGGTTAGGAAGAGTATTGTTGGGGAAAGATACATACATCTCTGCTAACGAAGAAACTCTTGATATGATGATAACAGGAATTTTTCAATTGCAGAGTTGCGGCGATTAATGGCGTTACAGCTTTTTTATTGTTCATGGGAAGATTGTTCGTCGTTGGAGTTATTGGTTGGTGAAAATAATGCATTTTACAGCAAAACATGTTTGTCGGTTTTGACCAATCTCGACTTCAATTACAGGTGTGGCAAGTTTCTATTGGTTTGACAAATTTGTCAATGATGTTGAAGATGTCCAACTTTCTTATTCTGTTGTTCCTATTGTGGTAAGTTCAATGTTTATTTTTCTTCCCTATACTTCATTTTATATATACTATTTGATTGTAGGTTTGTGTGATTGGTGCTTGGGTTGTGGCTGCGCTATTTTTCTCTGTCTATGAAATGGCTATCGATACCATCTTCTTCTGTTTTCGTAAGTAATAATTTTAAAAAGTAAAACTTTTTCATCATATTAGAACGTAGTTTTATACATATCTTCCTACATTTTTAACAGTTGAAGATTGTGAACGAAACGATGGTTCTGCTAAAAAACCTTATTACATGAGCGATAATCTTCGTGATATACTTGGAAAGTAAATGCCCTTTTTTGACATTTTAAGAAATACTTCCCAGTTACTAGCTACATGCACATGAGAAAAGTTAGAAGATGATTAGGTGGTATGTACTGTATGTGTTTTATCTATCTACAACGCCTTTACTAGATTCATTTATTTTCAATGGAAATTTTATTTCTTTGACGTCGAAATGTAATCGTTAATGGTGTGTTGCAATGTTTCAAATCACGTAAACTTAAATATCGTTTGTGTAAACATAAATTAAAATAGATTGATTGTTATAGTGTTATGAAAATTGATGATAGCAAAAATATCCATGTAGTTTGCCAAAACAGAAACATAACCAGCTTTCTTCTTCGTTTTTCTTGCTAACAAATGGCAGATAAGAAAAGATCATTTCCTATCTAAAACGTATAATAAGCGACATCGACGAATACATAAAACGTAGTACGACTTAAAACTTCACCAAAACCATTCAAATAATCTGAGACAATTCTCAACTCGTAAAATCCTGGTTGATGGAAAACAGCTCTGTTGTACAAAACTCCCAAGTCACCAAGCTGATATACACCAAACAAATGGTTGACGTCTTTTGGTGGATGGAAATATGCCCTACAACCAATGTTCAAAGACGATCTTCCTACTGGAACTATGTAGGGTTTAAGGTGCAAGAAGTCTGTGTTTACTGGTAAATAGCGTGGGATACTTATGGATGTATATTGTACTTTTGTGTATCGTGCTGGACACTGGTTGGCTTGGTAGAAACATTGCATTGTGCAATATCTAGAATAAATTTTGGAATGAATGATAGATGGAAAATTTGAGGAGTATTTATCAATTATTTTACCCGTCAGTAGTAGGAAAATAACCATGTGGACATGTAAGATTTAAGCAATGGTACTTTCCTAACGTATTGAAACAAGCTCGAGTACCACACGCGTGTTTTCCACTAAAGCATTCGTTGATATCTAAATAATTTGCAAATGATAAATATGTGAATGGTTTTAATTATTGGCGATTGCAAATGTTATCAAGAAAATTACCGATGCATGAAGCCTCGTTCCAGTGCAGTTTGTATCCTTCAGGACATTCACAGATTCCCGTTGAAACATTACATTGGTATTGACAGCTTCTATGATCACGTGTCACACATGCTCTTGTGCCTAAAAAACATATGATTTACATGTGTTCAACAGTCAACCCAGAGACGAAGAAAATGAGGAAGACAATGGGTGCACACACGCAAATTTTTGATTTGGGGGCCTGACCTCTTCGGCTAAATGTCCGAAATGTTAATATCGTCTTCTATAAAAATGATGACCTCTCTCTCATTTCGAAAACTTTTCTACATGTAAGTTAAGCTAAGGAATGTGAAACTAAATGACGAGAACTGTATTCTTACGGATACATTTTCTTTCATCTGCTGCAAGTCTGCTTCCTCTCGGACATAAACATTTATATCCACCTTCTGTATTTTTACACATATGTTGACATTTGTTAGAACCGTCAAGACACTCGTCGATATCTACATGTACAAAACATATTGTATGTTATCATGAGGCGGGCAAAAAAACTGTGCGAGTAAAACACAAGATAAACCTTTCCTAATCAATACCTTTGCAATATCCATTGTCGCTGCGGTAGTAACCTTTGGAACATTTATCAACGCAACGGTAACTTCCAACAACGTTAAAACATTCCTTGTTGCCACAAATAAACGACGACTCGAAACACTCATCAATATCTAAAAATCGATAATTCAACTTTTCTTTGAAAAGAATTAACAAAGTATAAAAGCTTTGTCAAAAAAAAAACACAGTGAAATCTTTCCCTCTCTACTTTTGTCAACTCTTGTGAAGTTTGATCTAATGGTACATTTCTTCAACATGTTACCTATGCATTGAGAATTGTTATATCGTCTAAATCCTCGCGAGCAAATTTCTTGGCAACTATAGCTTCCTTTAATGTTGTAGCATTCGTCTTTTCCGCACAATGACGGATATTTCAAACATTCATTGATATCTGTATTAAATGGAAAACAAACATGGCGATGAGTTAATTTATGCAGAGAACATTTTTTATGATAATTTGGTCATGGAGGTACCTTCGCAATCACCGTCACTGTTACGATTATATCCTCGCGAACACTTCCTTAGACAACGATAACTTCTTTCAATATTGAAACAATCATTTTCTCCACAGATTGATGGGTTTATTAAACATTCATTGATATCTAAATTGATGTAAATTTAATATGGTTAAATCGAATCAATCTTTGCAAAGCTAACGAGACAGGCATACCTTTACAAATATCATAGGCATCACGTGCAAAACCACGTGGACACTCATCTAAGCAGCGATAACTTCCTTTCGTATTTCTACATTCTTTTATCCCACAGATAAAGGGATTATTGGTGCATTCGTTGATATCTACAAAGTACCATACTCGTATAAAGTTATTGATGTATTGAATTCAGCGTGATGAATATTTCCTTACCAATACAATGTCCTTTGATAGTCATATTAAAACCTGTTTTGCACTTATTTATGCAAATGAATCCAAAAGGCAAGTCAACACATTGTTGTTGAGGATCGCAGTCATGAATTCTTTGTGAGCACTCGTTCACTTCTGGTTTTATGGAAAGAAAAAAGACAGTCAATGATAGAAAGGGACAAAAGAGAAAGGTCAATGATAGAAAGGGGATAAGCGAAGACAGTCGTTGATTGAAAGGGGATGAAAAAGTTGGCCAATGATGGAAAGGAGACAAAAGAAGAATGTGTGTAAAGGGGGTTAATGAAAAAAACTAAAGATATTCGTTGTTTTATCGACATACTAGGTATAACATTCACTTCATGCTGTTGGTTTATCTCATCCCAATAATCACTAATGGCTTCTACTCTTAATGTTTGGCCTTCAACACTGCGAACTTTAACACTCCAGTTTCCTTCCTTTGGATTTCGCATGAGAACAGAGAGTACCGATGGTAGGTTCAGTAAAACATCCACATTCTTATCGGTTAAGCGTACTATTTCACCCGTGTTATCCTTTATTTCCACCTCTATATTCTCGCCACTGACTGTAATTACCACCACGTCAATATATTGATCAATTTGAATAAAGTACGTCCGTTCTCCGCTCGATAATTTATCCACGGAAAATATATTTTTGCGGTTTGGATTAATGGATAGCTTAACATAATCCCAAATCTTTGCAATATCAGATTTGTTTATGTTAACAATTTGTCCTGAAGACAGGATTGCGATTCTTTCATAAGTATTTCTTCTCTTAAAATTTTTTTCCAAACCACAGTTTCCTGTCAAAATGAAGTTCACACGAATTTTCTTTCTTGTAATCAACTGCACAACCTCCCCAAGCATTTGGTGATCTTTTGCCTCCGCGTCCGTAAATACATAAATGACAGATCCTGGGAGACTAAGTTCTAGAGCTTTTTTGATCGCTGTGACGCTCATTTCCGGGCAATCATGTCCGCCATGAACTGTAATGTCATTTAAAAACTTTAAAAATTTTTCTGGATCTTTGGTTTGAAATGCTGGTCCTACGTCTGTGAAAGGAAAACTAAGATATAAAAAGTTTACTAACTGCATAAACAAGTGATTGTACGCTAATTGAACATATATTAAATTCTAGAAATTTAAATAATGTGAAAAATGTAAATAACGCAGTAGTAATTAACAACACGAAGAAAATGTTGGTTGCAGTTATTATTTTGTGGGTTTGTTGATCATGTTATTTGTGCGCATGTGTAAGATATAGACAGAGGTTTGGTGTGCAAATGTCTTTTCATGCTGGATTGTAATTCCATTTAATAGTCCACCGATCGGTAAAGTCATTAACTCCCTACATGAGTTTCAATTAACCAGCACCTGTTACCAATGACCCTTAATGACAATCTGATGGTTTCGTTCTATTACTCTATGAACCTCGAATGAATTTAAATAATTCTTTAATACGCGTGCTTTTTATTGATGCATGAGTATTTTCTATTGAAATGGTTCACTTGTACAAACGTCAATCGCAAAGTAAGTGATCACACTCTCGAAATATTCTTTCATATTGTATGCATGTATAAAGAGAGTTCGGATGCATTTTCTTCAGCATTAAAATACGTTTTCTATTGATAATATGGAGGCCAGTAGACAATAAAATGTTCATGTTTTTAGCATCATGTTGCTTAACATTGTGAAATGGTTTAATCTTACTAAAATCAAAGTGATTCTAATCGGATAGATATTGTTTAATCCATACGAACCTGGGTCACTAAACGGTACCAGGATGTAATTATTTACCAGAGGTTTACCATTATCAATGGTATTATTAAATATCTTTGTTGCGCCTTCTCTTACTTTAACCAAATCGTCATACATACTTCCCGTCCGATCAAACACAAACGCTAGAGAAATTAGACCTTTTTTGTGGTAGCTTTGTTGATCAAAACTTATATTCTTCAACTGCTGATGTGCATATTCACTGCATTGTATACCATACAGACTTAGTGCAATTAGCAGCTTTACGACAGATATTCTCGACTTTAGTTTCATTGTGCGGCGATAAGTGTTTCGTCTTACGATTAGTGCGGTACGTGAGAGATGAACAGCTCACAGCATGCCTTCGTTGTCTGTTTGCTTTCTTGATGCAGTCTTTGACTTGGCTATCAGATTTCTCTTGTCATTATAAAGAAATGGTCTTATTGTTGTTTATATTGCTTAGACATTTCCGCACGTTAAGAAACATGGAAACTCTGTCATAAATTATGCTACTTTGACGAGTTCAAAGCTTTCATAATCAAGCTAATAACGTAAAATAGATTAGTTGTGTTTGTTTCTTACTGAATGCGATAAAATTATATAAATAAAATTTGTTCGTAAAACTATAACCATGTTATTCATAATTGGTCAGTTTTGGTTAAAAATATAAAATAACTTAAAGCTGAAACACACTAGGCAGTCGCTTCAGTCGCGCGTGCCTTGTGTGTTTCATCCTTTATATTTGCATATTGTGCGTGTGCCGAGCCGATTGATAAACAGGAGGACTGGACTCTACAAACAAAATCAATATGGCAGATGCGGAAGATAACGAAAAACATTGAAGAATAAAATTTGCATGTGATTAATTGTTTTGATCAAATTTCATTACGTGTCTCGTCTTCAATGGTTTCTAACCATTTCTAACAAGATTTTGAGCTTTGGGCATGATTTATAGCTTACATCGAGCGCTATGTTTTGTTTAAAGTTCGCATTTTTGGTACCTGTTGTTTTCGTAATATTTTGGAACTCGAGTTCAGTGTCATGAAGGTTAGTTGCTTTATTTGCGATCCCTATCTTATTGTGGTTTAGTTTAAATTTGCATTTAGGCATATCACTGAAAATTTTATTTCTTCGATTGTTGTCGTCAACGTTATTTGAATCGATATTTGAATCGTGTGTTTTAAACGTTCGCCTTAGCAACAAATATCGCTGTATAAAAATGTGATTATATCAGCTATTTTTGTAAAATTTTTCAATGCGTGCAACAGAACAAGTCGAGCCGTATTAGCCTTTATATAAAACTTCAAAATAACGTATAATTGTCTCACTTTTTCTCTTTCTTATGAAACATTTTATTTTACAGTATGGGAGAAAAGTTTTTAATAAATTTCAGGTCATCTACATTTAAACTAGCAGTTGATTTCATCGCATTTTGCTTATTTATAGGCGATGCTCTAAGCGCAAAGAAATCGACCATACCTACATCAACTTCTGCTATAAACTTCACTTCACCTCAACATACAAAAGAAGATGATGAAATCGATGTTAAAAATGTCACAAAGTCATCACATTATGTTCCTAGTAAGAACTTTCTTCTGTCTCCACTACACAGAAATATGTAAAACGTCAGTTTGGCAGCATGCTGAAACGCCTTCTGTATGTGGTAAGTTGACATAATTATATAAAATACTGAGCGTTTGCTTAGTGCCAAAATAATGAAAAAATAAAATCATAATGGCTGACATAATGCCTTTATATTTAGACATTAGTGTTGTCAGTTGTGATTGGGTTCTACTTTCTTGTGAAGTTTTGCTATACAGGTCGGAGAAAGCCAAGAAAGTAGGTTAATTGTGTTGTAAAGTTGATAGTGCTTGTGTTCAATAAAGGGACTATATCTCTTGATAGGTATGGTGTTGTTAAAACGCCTGGTGATATGGAAATGAGGCCATTGGAAAGTGATGATGATGATGATGATATAACAATGTTTAACCGTAAAGACTAAAAAACTGTGTTGTATACTTGATGGTAAAATTCTTACAACTTCATGAATACCAACAAAAATCTGTTGGATTTGTACAGAGTGAGCTAAGGTCAAAATTATTTCTTACGTAATGAAGGTTTATCATTTAGGACATTGGAATTATTCATTTGAATCCAATCAGTCATTGGGAGCTAAATCTTTTAAAGTTCCTCCCTTAATTAAATCATACATATTTAATATTACTTATTCAAACAGTTTTATAAAATATTGCTGTCAACCAAGGTATTGCATTAAAGATTTACATAACTTTTTTCATCTTATGTAATACTCGTACATTTAACAACATGATTTTTGATGATGTTTATTTTATATCATTACTTGAATCCCAGTCAATATCAAACTTGCTGTCCTTTAAGGTAAACACACTGAGTTTGCTATCTCTAAATTGTTCTGATTCATCCCAAGGAGAGGTGCCTTCATATCTGTTGAAATAACTGATCTGTTTTTCTGTTCTCCTTTTGGCTTGTATACGTTTATAACGTTTTACAAGGAGAAACATTGCAATAGCTATGATGATACTGCTCACAACGCAGCCTCCTGCTATTAAACCTACAAATAATTTGTTTTGTTTTCTTGTCATAATATTATTTCGCTTAGTGGTCATCTGAGATGGTTTAATTTTTGTCGTCGTCACGTAAGGTTGGGTTATGCAACTTTGTTGTAAGTTTTTACTTGTTGTGATAGTGGATTTCGTGGCTGTTATACGACTGTTTGAATGAATTGCAGAATTTACTTTGGTTACTGAAGTTGTCTTGCTTAAATAATTGCTGGCCTTGTGACCCGTCAGATTATGCAACATTGACGCGAAAACATTTGAAGAGGGAGAAATTACTTGAGTTTGATGAGAACGGTTTATTGTTGAAAGATATGAAGTTATCGTGGAAGATATGATTGGAAGACTATTATTGCAAAATGTTGTTATTTCACTGCTCGTTATTAACATCTTGTTTTGAGCGGTCGTTGTTTGTCGTGTGACATCATTCGTGTAAGAAGAAGTGTTATGAAAATGTTTTGGAAATGTGGTTGTGTTCTGACGATTTCCTAGGATATTTCTTTTGTTTCGTTTAAGAATTTCATGGGTGATTTTGTCTTTGTCTAATCTACTTATGTTTTTATTTCTTTGAATCCAATAAACACTTAGAAATATGACTCTGCTCACACGTGTTTTCGTTTTTGCTCTCCTTTTTCCCACTCCTAATGAGGAAAGATGTGAATTTATAAATTCTGTACTTTTGACGAAATAAACGTTATGATAACCCAAAAAAGTTCTCCAACCTTTCGCGCTAATAATCCATTGACGATGAACATCTTGATTTTGCATTGCATGATAAAGACTGTGGTAGATGATATGGCAAATCGTTCTTTTGGTAGCCGCATAATTTCTCGTGGAATTCAAACGACATAAAACGCATTCGAAGTTTTTGCTTTCAGATATAACATCTCGTTTTAGTCTAAATATCTTCCTTTTAAGGATTACTGTGTCCTTGGCGTCATAGTTGAGTGTAAAACGACAAAACGAGTTGATTCCTCCGCCATCAAATGTGATATTTAGGTTCAGATCATGTCCGCTTGATAGCCATTGGAAAATAAGAAAAATTATTAACCAAGGAATTGTTGCATTCATATCACTTCTGAAATTGTGTTGTCCATTGATTACAACATTTGCTACATTTGCAGTATAACCATTTCGTTCGTACGAAACAGGTTTTCGTAGCTTACTAAGCGTTATTATTCATATTTCATAATCATGTGTCAGATCATGTTACAATGTAATAGAAAAAGTCAATAGATCAGCAACTTTTAATTTTAGCATACATTTTTTTTATATCTTATTTAAATACACTTTACTCTTTTTGATGACTTTTTCAATTTCTTCAATTTTTTCCAGCTAAGTTTGTAGCTACGATACTGCCTGTAATTTATTCACAGATAAGTTTTTATTGCAAAATGAATACGACATGTCAATATAGTCTTGTGAGCTTTTCTCCCTTGATTATATCATTAAATGACATTATTCCAAATGATATTGTACATAGTTTCTGATATAAACTATTGCAGACTTCAGTCACATCAACAAAATGAGCTTTTTTACTTCATTTCCGACTAAAGTTACTGGTTAATATATAGTTATTATTTGTAAATACTATCGAAATGTTTTTACTTCTCCAAATGAATTAAACTTGGTAATTTTATTGTTTTACGACGATTAACTGTTTTTTTGTGTTGAAACTTTTTTCATTATACAGAAATGACCGATGACGCATGCGCGACTTCTAGGAACTGATAATATCGCTCCACAACGTCCCATAACGCTTCTACAACTATAACCATTAACACTCACCCGGTGACAGAACTGTCAATCTGTGTGGTCAAAGTCTTGAAGATGTCGACAAAAAAACCTAGAACGGCTAGAAATGGACGGTTTGGATTTGAAGATTTATGTGAAACAATGCCCGACATTTTGGAATTTGGTATTGGTGCACCTTCGTTTAATTTAATGGCAAAATTGAAGCCATATTTAGTTGAAGCTACCAAACAACGTATGGTAAGCAGATGATTAAATCCTTATAGCTTGATGCCTTGATTTATAACTCACTCCATTTTTGTCAAATTTTCTGTCCCAAGGAAAGTGAAGAATCTGGTTACATGTTTCAATATGGAGCATTAAGAGGTGATCACAAATATGTTCCTGCTCTTGCTGGCTTTTTATCTCATCATTACAAGGATGAGGTTGACAGGTGTGTATTTTCAACTTTTGTGCATGCAACATCTTATTTACAGGTTGATATATGTTTGTTGTTCTTTTTAATCTTTTCTTCATTAGTGACAATCTTATGTGCACAGCTGGTGCAACTAATGGTCTCATGTTATTGACATGTTGTTTATTTAAATGGGGTGATTACGTCTTTGTTGAGGATCCGACATATTTCCTTGCAATTAAGATTTTTCGTGAAGATCTGGGCCTTAACATCATTCCTGGTAACTATAAATTGGGATTCAATTTCTTTTACTTAGAAGTTTATGTTACAGAGACATTGTGATGACAAAACTTATTCTTACAGTTCCAACTGATTGTTATGGTGTAAATGTGGAAGCATTGGAAAAGTTGATTCAGCAATATCAAAATAAATTCAACAAAATTGATAAAAACATCCTTATACAGCTTTATTCTACACCATTCCAGTTTTCAATAATCCAACATCAATTACGTTGCCATCAGGTAATACTGTTGTGTTATAAGTATCAAAAATTCATGTTCGTCATACAAATACCTCTTCCAACATTTATTAAGATTGGCACTCTTCAACCCATTGTTATTACTCTAATTGAAAAGGCGATTACAATAAAAATGTTTTGGAATTAATATAGTATCTTCTTTTTTGGCAGAACGATGCGACAGTCTCATCAAAGTTTTGAGGAAATACAATGTACTTGCAGTTTGTGATGATGTTTATAACATAATCAATTTTAATTCAGAAGCTCCACCAAAGAGACTATTTAGTTATGACAGAAAGTATGTATTCTAGGTTATTGCATGGCTTGTTTAACATTACCACGAAGTTGCCTGTGTGTTTTATAAAAGGAATTAAATTTCTAGTACTCATGTTTTCATTTGTAGATCAGACAATGATTACAAAGGACATGTTGTCTCAAATGGATCGTTTAGCAAGATATTGTGTCCAGGAATGATAGATGGATAGAAGCTCCAGAGACTGTCCTTGAGAGATTAATGTTCAGGTGCGCACACCTTAAGTTGTGAAAACAAGTAAATTCATTTGACGAAGCCATTGCTGTTTTTATGCTTTCGTATTTCTTCATAGTTTCTCGAATTTTTTAGTTACTTGATTAGTAGCGGTGGTGGAGTTAATCAGTATACATCTGCCATCATAGGTACAGCATTAGAGATGGGTATTATAACCACTTATATAGAGGAAGCTTTGGAAACATATAAAGTATGTATTGTTAACATTGCCTTGATTATAAATTAATCAAGTTGAATGAGCGTCAATGTTGTTATCCATGTTTGTAGAGAAAAATGGAAGTAATGTGTAATGCTCTTGACACTTGTGATGCAAGATCTTACATGAAGTTTGAAAAGCCTGTGGTATTCATTAATGAAATATGGGAGTTGTTAATCAATGTGGAAGGTATTAAGGATGTTATTTTTTCTTTAGGGTGGCTACTATGTATGGGTTGAACTTCAGCTACCATCAGGTTATGATGCCAAAGGTAAAATTCTGAGTTTTTCTTTACTTTTTATCATCAACTTTTAGCAAATACAAGCTAGGTAAGTTTTTTCTAGACTTTAGTGAATACTGTTCAAAGAATTATAAAGTTGGCGTACGAGCTGGACCATGGTAAGATATTCATGGCATTATTTTATTGATAATTTTATAAGTTTTTCATTACAAGCATTTCCTTACAGTTTTTCTGCAAGTGGAAATTTCAAGAACTTCATTCGACTCACTTTTTCATATGTTGAAGAAGAAGAAATTGACGAAGGTATTCGCAAAATATCAACCGCTTTGAAAACAATAAACGAAAAAACCCCAACAAAATGACCAAAGTTGGCAAGTTTAAATGTAAAGCAATGCAAAACTAAATAAGAATTCCAATCATTGATATGCAATCAAAACATTGTTTTGTAAACCATCAATTGTATCATATTTCATAAGATCATTGCCATATGACATTAATACTTTGAAATTTTGAAATGGTACATTTATTATGCACAAACAAAGAAATAGTTTTCCATTGTTATAATTATGTTTAAAGCGCCTCTTGAACCAGTTTTTTTGGTCTCATCTGTTGTGCCTAACAAGTGAAAAATAATTATGTTTTGATAAAAACAGCAATGGAGACAGATGCACACATTACACTACCTTTTCAACCAATTCAACCAACTTTCCTTCCTGACCAAGAATCTTCAATATTTCAACAATTAATGGTAAATAGTTATGTTTTCTTCGAATGTTCTCTACCTAGAACATAATTGGCAGCATATTAATCTATTAACTCACAATTGTGGTCATTCTTATTTATATAAAGCTTGTTTCAGTACCTAGTTAGCTACCATATGATTGTCTCAACTTAGTTGTATAGTTATGTTAACATTTACTTAACTGCAAATTACATAATGGACAATTTAATGTAAAAAAGTTACATACTTTATAACGTAGCATCTTATCATCTTCAGCAGCAACAAGACCTTGGTATTTCACAATGTTTGCCTCAATTGTCTGAAGATTTGCTGCATTTTCAGTCTCCATTGCATCTGATCCCTAAGGCCATTGCACCAACAAAATATTATGTATGTAACATCAGGGTGAAAAGCAAATAACACACAGCTTTGCCATTTCTATTTACCTGATCAAGAAGTGTTCGCTTTTGAATGTTTAGAGATTCAATTTCTTTTAAATAGTTTTGTTTTCTGTCCGACACAACTGCCATTAAATTGAAGTGGATTTCTTCTGATGAATACCTATATATCCATGTGAAAATCATTTAACAGTTAAAGAATATCTTAGCTTATTTCTCAACAATCTGAACAAATGCCATACTTTTGTATTCTCCTCTCTATGACAGGTTTTACATCATTGAGCCATGTTTCATCCGTGCATGGCCCCAAATCAATAGGTCCTTCACGAAGACCATCTAACTCATAAAGTCTTTTGTTCATTGGGACATAGGCAATAAAGTGGAACACATCTTCATCTTTTTTTGCTGGGCCATCAATCTCAAACACCTGTTGTCTGACAATTGAAGGTTTGATATGTTAAACACAGACATGCATTTATAACAAAAAATATGCAGAGCAAACTTCACCTTGCAAAGCTGTTGTGAACTTGTCTTATTGAATTGCTGTTAGTCAATGTTAGACCTTTTAGCTATGAAAGATGAGGAACAAAGAGTGAGTTGTTTAAAATATCTGCATGTCTGTGCCATGTGTTCAGCATATACATCTTCATGGTTGTCCACATATGAGCAACTTACATTTGCATCAAATGATGCAGAGAAATCTTTGAATTCTGTGAGAGTTGGCCCCAGATTGACATCATCATGATTAGTGTTCAGGATTATACTTAAAATGGCCTGAGTTGCACAAGCATTGTTGATAACCTAGCATTTAAACATAAAGATGTAATACGTATAAAAAAATAACTATAGCGAGCACTCTTTCTTCTTGAATCGTTATGATTTTTCTACCTGCTTTGCAAAGAATATTTTGTCAAGTCTACTATCTTGCACTATAGGTCCTGATGGTTCATCACCCGCCTTCCATTTAAAGAGAAATATTAAACCATGAACAGGTCTGTTTAAAATAAATGTAACTTGTTATTTTGTGTGTTACTTCAACAACGGAATAGCGAGAATACTGCTTTGGTACTGCGAAAATAATGCTTTCATTTGAAAGATACACCTTAGGCTTTCAAAGGAACTTTCATCCAAGGAATATAATTCTTCAACTTGCAAACCTGTACAACCTAGAAAAAACAAAAGATGACACACTGACACTTGGTAGCCTTTGTTTGGCCTTCAATTAACGTAGAACGAATACTAGCTCATAATATTTTGCACAAATTGGTGTGAATGACAGAGTTTCATCGAAAGAAAAAATATGACAGTTAGGGCAAACACTCACCAAATCCTCGGATCAGTTCTGTAAAAACACCGGGGTCACTTTCTATCAAACACCAATCCCCGTTGTCGGCCATGTTGAACTTCTTCACCAAAGCATCTATCTCTTGTTGTAACCCCCCTGGTTCAAATTGATCATTTTACAAAAACACCATTAATTATGCTATCAAAATTATGAATTTTGAATTCATTGCTAAAAGAAAATTGTTTCTTATTGCAATTATTTCAAATTATTTTGTGTTGAAACTATTAAGGTAACTTAAATATTTTAAAAAATCCAAGAATATCAAAAATAATACGGGAGGGAGGGAGGTTGATGATCATTTTCAATACTTCCCGTCATTCATTGCAACTTCGTTCTCAGACCTTTCAAGCTTTATGATCACTCGCACGTGTAAAAACTTGGAAAATGGCGTCGTTTGGTAATGCAATTCCTCCTCCGTCAAAGCCAGCTGACGCTAATGCTGCGTTTGCAGATGCCTTAAAAAGAGCAAAAGAGGTAGGGACGTTGTTTAAGTTAGCGTCTTATTTTATACTTACGGGGCTTTGAGTAAACTATGACCATTTTAGATCGCTGCAAGAATGGGCACTGGTCCAGCTGCTGCCACTGGTGCTGGAGAAGCAGGTATCAAATATTTGACATAACTTTGATAAATTGTTTTTGAAACTATTATTCTCGCACATACTCTCATTCTGAAATTATTGTTTTAGCTAAAAGACCCTTAGAGGCGTCCTCAGGTGAGCTATGTCATCTGGCTTGTTCAATAAAATTATAGCAAACGAAATATGAATATTTAATTTCAAATACGTCTTTGGGGAATTTTATACCTGGTGTTTAACATGTTTTTGTTGATGTTTCAAGGTGAAAATTGCTAGGAATTATCAATGTACCAGTTTGTTTGTAAAATTTGTATTGAACTTTATTTTCTAAGAGTTTCTATGCCGAAGTTTTTAATACGTATAAATTGTCGTATCGTCCATTTGTTTGAAATGTTTATTTACAAAGCAATAATTTTCGGAAATGATGAAGAACAAGTTTATTTTTCAATAATATGATTTAATGAGCACAATTTAATGTTGTTGTCATCCTTTTCTCACAGGTGGAGAACCTGAAGCCAAAAAACCTATGATTCAAGGTAAAATGTTTGTAATATTTTATATTTTATCTAATATTTTTTTTGTGATGATTTCTTGTACTTTTTCAGGATCCAATGATATAGTTATTGATGCAAAAGCCATTGCAATGCAAGTTGCTGCTAATATTGCACAAAGGTTGGTAATTGTTTAAAAACATTTTTCAATAAATTGTCAATCATCACATGTATTTTATTCATAATTCCAGAGCTGGCTTACAGTCTGCGCCTGTTGAGTTGAAAGTTCCAAATAAATATGTTGGACTAAGTATGTTTTCCTTTTTTTGTTTGTGTGGTTTAGATTCTCATTTAACATTTTATATATAAAGTAGATCTTTATATAATGAAACCAAGTTGATTTTTCCATTAGTTATTGGAAAGGGAGGCGAACAGATAAACAAGTTACAGTCAGAAACTGGGGCGAGAGTTCAAGTTGCACCAGGTCAAAAATACATGTTCCATGTTTGACTTTTTACATTAAATATATTCAAAGTGTCAACCCTTGTTTAGACCCACCTCCTGGACCCACACCTCCCCCAGATCGTGCCGTCACAATATCTGGTAACACAGAGGCTGTAGAGTAAGTGTGTGTTTGTAAATATCATTTCATTAATATTGTTTCTACTGTAATACGTATTTTAACTGAATTTGATTTTTGTTGTTGTAGAAAAGCAAAAAATCTTATATTAAAGATATGTGAGGATGGAAAGGTTCCCGAGTCACTTGTAAGCTTGATTATGTTGTATGTATTTGGTTAGAGTTTTTATTCTTAGGTAAAAATTATTCCAGATGTCTGTGCCAATGGTTGCTCCCGGTGAAACAATGATGGAGGTTATGATTCCGGCTTCAAAAGTTGGATTAATAATTGGAAAAGGCGGAGAGACCATAAAGAACATACAGGTTGGAGAATTATATGAGAAAATATGTTCAAAGTATGAGTTACCTTTCCTTTTTTGGCATTATAGTGGAATCATTGTCAATCATTTATACTGATGTGCTTAATGTTGCATTTGAATGTTGTAGGAACGTGCTCAATGTAAAATGGTTATGGTTCAAGATGGACCGTGGTTGAGTGCACCTGAGAAACCACTTCGTATCACAGGAGAGCAATCGAGATGTCAGGTTTAGATTATTTGATGTATTTTTCATGTTATTTTTTGTCAAATATTGGAAAATTAATTTATGTTGCACCATTTACTTTATAATAAAGTAAATACATGAAGTACAATGGGTGTGTGTATCTTTTTTCCAGAGGGGCAAAGATTTGGTCATGGATTTATTAACAGAGAAGGAACTTGAACAGATCCAACAGAAAGGATCAGATTTCATGGGTAGACCAACTAACGAATATGGTACACCAATTGGTGGTGGCCATAATTCAGGCAGTCAAAATCAAGTAAATATGTCTTGTTATGAAAATTAACTGTCTATCTTTTTATTGAGAAATTTTAAATATCACAAATATTTTATTAAATTTGAATTAATAGATTCCAGTTCCAAAAGAAAGTGTTGGATTCATCATTGGTAAAAATGGAGACACAATCAAAAGATTGCAAGCTGAGACAGGAGCTAGAATACAGTTCAAACCTGGTAATGCATAAACATGTTATTTTCATTACATCCTAAGTTATCGGTATTTTTGTGGGGTTTTCTCATAAATTGTTTTTGTCCAGATGATATCAATTCACCAACAAGAATGGCAACAATCCAAGGTCCTCCTGAGCAAGTGCAAAGAGCATCACAAATGATCAGAGAGATTGTTGAACAGGTGTGATCATCCTTTTACACAATAAATAAATTTTTGTTTTGTATGATGTATTTTTTTCTTTATTGGAAAATTTATATCAGCCTTTTCAGCTCCGTCAATGCTGTAAAATGTTGGGTATTTTCCTAAATTATGAATAGGGAATGGTCCCGCAAGTATTTACACACAACCATTAAATACCTGCCAAAATATTCCCAAACATTTTTACAATACATCAACATGAGGAAACTTCATGAAACAAGTCAATTCTTCATTTTTAGTCACGGACATCACGTGGTTCACGTGGTGGACCTCCAATCCCTAGTGGACCCGGTGTTAAGAAAGTTGACATGCCTGTCCCTGCTGCAAAATGTGGTCTTGTTATTGGAAGAGGTGTAATTTTTATGGATTATGTTAACACAATAGCTAAACGTTTTTTTAAGTATTGGTTCAAGCAATAATTTGGAAATTCCTACAGCTTTTTTTCTTTTGTTTTTAGGAGGTGAAACAATACGACAAATCAATCAATGTACAGGAGCACATGTTGAATTGAATCGTAATGTTCCTGAAAATGGACCTACTCGACTTTTTACTTTACGAGGTAAAATCATGAAAATATGATAAAAAAATCTATAGTTTGTACATAGGATTGCATTTATATTAGAATAAGGTGTTGAGCAGTAAATATGTTCTTTTTCTTTAGGCACAGACGAACAAATCCAACAAGCGCAAAACATGATTCGTGACAAAGTCAATGATGGTGTAAGTTTTTGTATATTGTGTCATTCTTGGGGAGAAAATATTGTGTCATTCTTTGGGAGAAAATGTTTTGTTGTTCCTGGGGAGAAAATTTTGTGTCATTCCTGGGGAGAAAATGAATTTATCTTACTTGATATAATCTTTGAAAGAATTCAACGAGAACTTTATATTTATCACACATTTGTTTGTTTTCTCACCACAGCCAGGTGGCTCTTATGGACAGCAAAATTATGGACAGCAAAAGTAGGTGAACATATGACTTGAAATAACATTGAAGTCTGAAGATATATTTGACTCTGTAGATTATAGAAATGAATAAAAAGAATTGATAAGTTGAGAACATTTCTTTAGTGAATTTCATCACGGAGGCTATCAACAACAAAATCAACAACAACAAAATCAACAACAAGGATGGATGGGTTACCCAAACTATCAACAATATGCTCAACAACAAAATCCTTACGGACAACAACAACAACCAAATAACTATGGACAACAGCAACAACAAGGAGTAAGAAAAATACTTACTTATGTTTTCCATCTCTTCATATGTCTGTTATTTCTTCATCATGCGAGAGATTTGTAAAGAATGAAAGTTTCTCCAATGCACATGGCACTTCATCATCTTTTTAAATGTGGAATGTTACCGAACATTGTGGGCGAAATGATTGCTTTCATTGTCAAAATATTTCCAACAAAAAATGGAGAATATATCCCTCGAGTTGGTTGTGTTTCAGTAGCAACCCGACCTGACCACTCCAAACACACAATGGCGTTTGTATTTTATACGTAAAAATCACTTAATTTGTATAAAAACAAGATGCATATTAAATTTTTGTTTATATAGGGAGGACCTGGTGATCAACAAGGTCAAAATCCTGTGTCATCTGGAGCACAGACGTCAAACAGTGGTCAGGGCGGACAACCAGATTACAGTGCTGCATGGGCAATGTATTATCAACAGATGTATCAACAACAAGCCGCTGGACAAAATACAGCCGGTAACGCGGCTCAAGGTATCGTTGGGATAATCATTGTCGTTTAGAAAATATATACACGTTTGGGAACGGATTTAATCAAGAAAATTATATTTCTTATGCTAGCATTTGCACTCGATGTTAAATGAAGTTCGTTAACTAGGTGGACAACCAGATTACACAGCTCAATGGATGGAATATTATAGACAACAAGGTTATTACTATCCATATGGTCAAACCGGACAGCAACAAGGTCAACAACAGGGTCAACAATCAGGACAACAACAACAATCTGCACCTATTCAAGGACAACAGCCAGGACCTCCACAAGGTCATTCACAACAACGATAATACAATGCGTAAGTAACCTGCACAGCGTCAGTGTAGAAAAAGCCTGGGTGGGTAAGCGATGGGGGTTGGGGAGAGGTGGCGTTTGGTCGGTCAATTTCGGAGTGGATTGTGGGTAAAAAAAAATGATGGCATAGTTTTGAATTATTTTTCTTTAACTTCATCATCATAATTTTCACCATCATCGTATTTCTTCTCTCGTTTCATTTAATTTATTTACGCGCGTCTTTATTTCGTTGTTATCTATTCATTTATCCATCCATCCATATATAACTTCCAGTTCTAGGCCAAAAACATTCTTTGGTCAACTGAGTTATCAGTAAGTTATATATTTACCTACTATCATCAATTTTATGTTTGAGCATTTGCATTCACGTCGTTGTATTATGAAAACCATGAATGAATGAGAATGATCCTATGATTTTATGCATTGTGTTAAAGTTTTAAAGGTCTATGTTTTTTTTCTCTATTGTATAGAAAATATTTCAAGATAATTTTACATTTAGTAATTATTGTGTTCGACTTAAGTAAATGTTTTAAATGAATTTTCTTGCAAAATGCTTTAGGAATGAGTTGCGAGAGTATATACATGTATTTTGCATGTGTTATTTTGTCGTGCTAATGATGATTTTCAGGTTATCCAAACACAGCATCAACTTTGAGCCACATCAGTTAGTAAGTTTTAAAAATGATTTCGCCAGCCACAATTATATGCTATTTGATCACGTACATATATATTGTTATTGCATCTGTTGTGATATTTTTGTTGTTGAAATTTATCAAATTTCTATTATATATTTCGTATGACGTTTTTTGTTTCGAATTCGAAGTATTCTTATTTTATGTTGATGATTTTAAGATTCATAGCACTATGTTTCTATTATAAGACAGGCAATAATTTCACCTTTCTCTATGTTGGCAACTCATCTGTTCTCTTTTTCATGCCATTCTTTATTTTATTCATTGTATCTTCCATGTGGTTACGTATTTCTGTAATGTCATAATCATTCTCATTAGTAAAGCTATTTTGCCATCATGCTACTAACTACTTGCTAAATGTCAAAGACTAGGTGAAAATTGGTCATATAAGGTTTTATGAAGGTGTTAAAACCGACCGCTAATGGTTGACCACTGCGTTGCTGGAATTAACTATGGTCCTTTGTGATCCGTGAAGGGCTCTCTAAACATGATATGGGCACAAACTATTTGCAAAGGTTAGACTAAACTGTGTCCAACCATGTGAAATATTCAGCAGTTGTATTATATGCGTGTTTCTTTCATTTTTTTCACAACGTTTCAGTGCCAAGATTGCGAGAGGGGAGGGTAATTCAGCTATCGGCTGTAGATGAAGAAAAGTCTTGTGTGGATTTGTTGTATACATTTAACATTTTTGTTTTTTTAGCTGAAAATATTGCACATTTTCTCTTTACTTACTTGTTTTTCTTCCTTTTCTAGATTTCACAAATTAAACCTCTCATTTAGTGTATTGTTTTATGGCGAGCATTGATGGTGTACACTGAATGAATGTATTTAAAAACAGTTGATTGTTTTCGCATTATAAATCGCTAGATCTTTTATTACCATATGTCTCTTAGTTTAAATTATGTACCTAAAATTTCCTAATTTAAATTAAAATTTGAATTTGTTATAATATAGCTGTTGTTACCTCATTATTTCACTATCAACTTATAAATTATGTTTTCATTTCAATAATATAAAAATCTATCATTTTTCCTTTCCACATCGCCATCAATCATATAAAGGTCAAAACATGTAATGTTTGTTTATATTTTTATGCGAGGGCGTACATACAATAACAGTCACTGGTCAAGTCGTCATTGCTGACAAAAAATCTTTGTTTACATGCCTAAATTCTGACATTTGGACTATGAGTTTTGATGATTAAAAGGTGATATGGGGAAATTTGGCAACGTTAGTTTCACTGTTGGCGTTCGTAGATTTTTCTATGCTGTTACTCCGAACGAGTCGTCTTTCGAAAATTTGGAAGACGTTCCTGATTATCTGAATGAGGTACAGTAGTATGATGTTTTAACTGGATAACATTAGAGTACTGTCATATATAATATTACGGTGTAATATTATTGTCAATATTATGAACAAGTAGTTTAGTTAAAAACAAATAATACAGTAAAGAAATACTTCAGTAATACGGTAAGGGAAACACTTCAAGATGTGATGACTAACTGTCTGCATTATTTAAAGGCTGTTCCATACTTTGCTGGTGCAATCTTGCTAGAGTTCGTTATTTGCTGGTTAAAAGGAATTTCAACATTTCGCTTAAATGATGGGCTCAGTTCAATTATGGCTGGATTATTTCTCCAGTTGTCCAAGTGTGTATTAAATATTACCTTAGGTCTAACATGTCATTCATGGAAATACAAGTGTATTTACTATTGCTTTAGGTTTTTATTCATATCTTTTGAATTGGTGGCCTATTCCTGGATATATACAAACTATAGACTGGTTGATTTACCTTGGAATTCACCATGGACGTGGTTTATAGCATTTCTTGCAGTTGATTTCTTATATTATTGGTTTCATCGTGCTTCTCATGGTTTGTGCCCTGTTTATCTATTTCAATGAAAACACTTCACCAAGAAAGAATTTCGCATTATAATTTAGAAGTAAACTTTATTTGGGCATCACATCAAGTTCACCATAGTGCAGAAGATTATAATTTGACAACAGCTCTCAGACAGTCAGTGGTCCAAAGATACTTCAGAGGAGTATGGACAACTTTTGTGTAATTGTTTGTGATAAACTACTTTTTCAACTGTATCTTCTCATTTACAGTTTGTAAACCTTCCTTCTGCTTTGTTTGTTCCACCTTCTGCATACTTTGTTCATGTCCAATTCAACTTGTTGTATCAATTTTGGATTCATACTGAGGTGCACTTCCATTTTATACTTTAAACATCATTTATGATCCTTTCATCCTATTCAAGTGTCTTTTTGCTTCATATAGTTAATTAAATCTCTTGGTCCACTTGAATACATTCTCAATACTCCCAGTCATCATAGAGTTCATCATGGTAAATTGAACTGTAGTCCGTATTTATCTTTGATAAACAACATCATTTGTTTATAAATAATGGTCCCTCTGTTTTATTTAGGAAGAAATCCATACTGCATTGATAAAAATTATGGTAATCTTTGAATTTTTTCTTATCTCGTTGGTTGAAATTTATGGCACATTTTTTTTCTTTCCAGGTGGCACTCTTATCATATTTGATCGCTTATTTGGTAAACATCTCTCTGATTATTTGATTTTTAATAAAATTGCACATCTTTGCTGTATTTTCTTCATGTTTTATGAAGGAACATTTCAAGGTGAAACAGAGGAGAAGGTTGTTTATGGATTGATTAAGCCAGTTAACACTTGGAATCCAGTTTGGATTCAGGTAGAATTATTTAAAAAACAAGAAAATCATCATCCCTTAATTTTTCATGCAAATGGTGTGTAGGTCTGTCATTACGTTCATATTGCAAAGACTATGTGGAAAATGGAAGGATTTATGAACAAAGTATGTATATTAATATCCATGATTTTATGTTCCATTGACGTTACTATGACATGTTAAATTTTTAGGTTTATATTTTGATCAAAGGTCCAGGATGGCTTCCAGGCGCACCTCGACTTGGTAAACCGGAAGATATTCCTCAAGTAAAAACAATCTCTTTTTCTTTTTGTCTGTAACAACATTGAGTAGAATTTGACAATATTTTTGTTTTTTTTTTAAGATTGAAAACCCTATCGAGAAATACAATAAAGGTCTTTCAATATGTGGAAATTTCTACATCGTTATACACACTATCTTATTCATTTTAATCTTTGACGAATTGACCCGGCAAAAATTGGTGCGTTTTAGTTTTTCTGATCTGAACCAGGGACAGTTCATTAATTTTAGATCAATATTATTCTCAGAATTTAAGTCAAGCTAATGCGACAAGTGTTGTTTTATATCTTTTTGCTACTGGCGTTTGTTTTGGCCTACTGATGGATAACAAGTTTGTGGTTTTAAAATACTTATATTTATTTTTTTTTATTCAAAAGGCTTGACGATCAATTTTATCGGCTAGTTGTTTTTTGAAACTTTCTTCTTAGATGGTACGCTTCGCGTATTGAATTCATCAGATGTGTTTTCACTGTCGCGTTTCTTTTTGTTCATCATCAGAGTTTACCACAAAATCGTATTAAAGGTATGATGAACACAGGTATATTTGAGGTTTTTCTCAACTTTCTGAAGTCGTTAATCTGAGTTACAATATACGTATGGTCAAATTTTGCACTGCGTCATAATAATAAATTTTCATGTTTCTTTTTTCATAGTTTCGCAGCCTTTGTTGGAAGTAACGCAAATGATTTATGCTGCGTCGGCAATAATTTGGCTTCTTCTTTTCCTTGCTTCTGATAAGATCGTCGAAAAACAAAACTAGAAGTCGTTGTGACGTATGGGAGACGTTGAAATTTGGAATTACGTTAGTCTGAAATGGTTGAACTCGCGGAGATTCTTCGAAAAAATTGATATTCAAGATTTTACTAAGACGAGTTGTTTTTCTCGTTATTAATATTTATTCTTAGTGCTGAGTCATTTCCGAAAATGTTGTCAACATTTCCATTAACTATCACAGTAATGGTAGTAATTTAAATTATAGAAATTGACAATTTATAATGCTAAATTGAAACAGCAAAATTACGTCATTGTGAATGCTTTTAACCACTCATGAGAACAAAGAAACTGGATACTAAATATCATCTGTCAAGATAAGACATGGCAACTGGTTTGTCAATCTCACTTGAATTCAGGTTTGGAAAATATTAGTTTGCTTAGAAATTTAATTTAGCCTTTTCATCAAATCAATTTTTTCACAGTGGTGGGGCAGAGCTTTTGTTTGGGAAAGTGAAAAAACATGATGTTGTGCTAGAAGAAGCAAAACAACCATGTAAGATTTTTCATTGTGAAGCATAAAGGCTTTTGTCTTATAAATAAATTTTCTTCAGGCTGAACTTATGTTGTATCTGTTACAAGGGTCAATAAAGAAACTCTTGTTTTGGATAAAGGATAACTTGTTACAAGAAAGACCTGAACTATTTCTTCAGGGTGAAACAGTGTGAGTTCCAAAATGAAAGTGCTTGAAGTAAATGCAAGATTTCTTATCAGTTTTTAATCATTTTAATTATTTTCAGTCGTCCAGGAATTTTAGTTTTGATCAATGATGCCGATTGGGAATTGATGGTGAGAATAGTTGAATTGTATTTTATAGATTTGAGATCAAATCTTATTGAAGATGACTGTTACAGGGTGAAGCTGATTACATGCTACAAGAAAATGATCGAGTAGTCTTCATATCAACTCTTCATGGTGGTTAAAATATCAACTACTGTTAATCTAACAGAAGTTGATCAATGTGATGAACTGATATGTTTATAGTGAATTTGTGAAGCAGCTTAAATGTGATCAACCCCTGAAAAGTGCAGCACTGCTTTTGTTCACATTAAAAAATTCTTCACAGCAAAATATAAGGCTCAAAAATCTCAATATAATTGTAAAATGTAAATAAAAGTAAAAATCATATGTTTCTGTGGTTTTCTACAAACACCACTAATTCTAAGTCTGAGCCAACACGCCATCTGTCAGCTGTAGTAGTGTGTTCTTAATTTATTGATGCGTGCGCATCAAGAACGTTCTCTTTGAACGAACAATAACAAAATGGTGAGTTAGTCGCATAATGTGCCTAGAATCCATGATAATCCTATATCTTTGGCGATAAATTAGAGCTTGCTTTTTCTACTAATTTTAAGTTTAGCCTTTTATGTATTTTTATCACGAATATCTCCTTTATATACTCTTCGAGAAAGCTCCTAAAACATCTTTACATTACAATATGTCAGCCAATACATAACAACTTCGCTTTGGTTTGTTAAGACGAAAGTGAAGACTCGTGAATTGCGAGGAAAGAAGAAGGAGGATCTTATTAAGCAACTTGATGAATTGCGCAATGAGTTATCTTCACTAAGAGTCGCCAAAGTCACTGGTGGTGCTGCATCGAAGCTTTCAAAAATGTATGTAATATGTAAGGTTATTAAACTTAGGTGGCCTGTTTCTTTCCATCTCTCTAAAGAGGCAAATTGTATTGTAGTGGCTTGGTTATTGCTCTGCTGTTTGTTGTATGGCAGGAACTCTTTTGAGAAGTAGCTATGACAATGAATGAATGATAGATTATAAATATAAAAAGGAAACTGAATGTATATAAATACTTGCTTTTTTTCTGCATCAATGCGTGTAATGTAGTAGAGATATTGTAATAAATAAATATTTTAAACATTTCATTGCAGCAAACTTGTGAGAAAATCCATAGCACGTGTCTTGACTGTGATCTCTCAGACACAAAGAGAGAACTTGAGAAAGTTCTACAAGACCAAAAAGTACAAGCCTCTTGATCTGCGACCAAAGAAGACCCGAGCCATGAGGAAAGCTCTTAGCAAAAGAGAAGCTTCATTGGTAACTTTAAAACAGAGAAAGAAACTGACTCATTTTGCATTACGAAAATATGCTGTGAAGGAATAAAATACAATTTCCAATACTTTTTTTGTTTGTTTTTATTACAATTTATGAAAATGCTTGAGGATAGTCTGTAAGGAATAACTGCCACTCTTGACTCCTGCATTGTTGAAAAGGGCTAGGACTCTTGTCGCTGATTTTTGGCCATTTATGTAGAAAACTGTATCATTTAGTGATATGTTGTATTGTAAAGTACAGCATAGTACACTGAGCAACAAAGATGTACTGCGTTATATAGTAAGTACATTGGGTAATTACAATGGATAATGAAGTATAACGTGGTACAGTGACGGCAAACGGTCAAGTTCAAAATGAGAGTACAAGACTAGTAGTCACTAACTGCGAAATTTTAAATGGAAAGTTTGAGTTAAAGAACGGGTTCAAATAATTTTATTGAATGAATTTCACTGTACTTAAATGGGGCGATAAAAAGGCAAAAAAGCACGCATATAAAACAAAACGAAAGAACGAAAAATTGTGGCTAACGAATTACATTTGTATTTACTTATTGCTTTTGACGGACGACGTTTGCAAAATAGTTTGCACTATTTAGCAATTGTGAGAACGGTATGTATGTTTTACTTGCAGAACGTATGTAATGAAAGTAATAGTATTACCAAAGATTATTATAAAAGTTTATTTACAAAAAATTACTGTTTTAACGTGGTGGTTCATGTATTTTAGGCATGAGGACCCTTATAAACTTGGTGCCTAGGGTAAAGAATGTATGTATGTATTTTTATTATTTAGTCACTGTATGATTATAAATATATATTTATGTTTGTTTTAGCTGATGCAGTAATTGAAAAGAAGAGAGTTCTACCATATAATGTAATTGCTAAATTCATCATAATTTTTATAGTAAATATCATTCTTTATAGGAGTAATTTGTTTATGATAATGCATGTTATCAATATTATGGAAACTATAATGCAGTTTAAATTACACAGCCATAATTATTTTAGATGGTATTAGAAAATGTTAGAAACATCACCAGTGGTGTCATGAATGTTTGCTAATGTCAATCCAATTACTTAATACAAAGGACAACTTATCAGATAACACTTTTGAGGTAAGGTTCTAAATCCTTTCAAAAAATAATCCAAAGTAAATTTAGCTCATGGTAGAACTCCTAGTCTATTGACTTAGTGGTGTGCAAAAATGCTTCTAACTCTGAAGGTTTTGACCTTCAGTCCCGAGTCTTGCTAAGGTGTATAGCACAGCACTATATTAACCAACAGTCTCTGATAGCGAAATACTATAGATGCATTGAAGACAGTATGGATATGGTCTTAAATTTGTCCAACTGATCTAATTTGGTCTGCTTGCTTTTTTTTGAGTTTACATGTACACAATGTGTGACTTAAACTTGTCTCATGCACTGTTGCTTTTCGGTCAGATTGGTTTTAGAAAAATGAAGTTTTGAAGGGAACCATGAGGAAAATGTGAATATTTTGGTTGTATTCAGTTTCTTATAGGAAGATTTTTAAAGAAACTATTATTATTTAGGACGGTTTTGTCAAGTCTATGAACACATTCAACACAAATAACACAAAATTTATAAAATTGTAAAAAAATTGTTTTACAAACACTAAACGCATTGTAATTACAACATTTTTGAAGAATTGAAAAATTCTCAAAGAAAATAGTTTAACAACGTTTCATTGTTCAGCAAGAGTGGTCTTTCTTTTTACATTTATATGAATGATGGGTAAAATATAACGAATTGATATTTCATTATAAATAAATTAGTTAAATTACTTTTTACCAAACAGTAGTATTACAGAACAAAGTTCGTCGTTAAGGTACAACATTTCACCAGTAAATGTTGGCTATGACGTCTCTTTGATGACGTCACACTCGGTTTTGATTAAAGGCGGCGGTGACATAGACGACGATATCGGATACTGTTCGGTTGGCCGAATTATTACCGAATGTGGCCGAATGTTCATTTGATTACAACATGGCGAATGCATCATAGCATAGGGATGATAACGATACAGATCTAAAGGCATACCCCTGCTGGCGTAATAAGCCATTGTAGGATAATGATAGTAACTATATAGTTTATGTGCTAAAGCTGTTTGCGCATTTAAATCAGTTGGGACTGTATGATAGGCTGGGCGACTTATTGTTTGTAGCGAACTATTACTACTGCTGACCGGTGGACTTAGGCGCACCACATCTACGGGTTCTTCCTTTATTGATGGTCGACTTTCATCGTCGGTTTTATCTTGTATCGGAGAATGATCCCTAGGTGGAGAAATCTTCCCGGATAGTTTTATAACGGATGGCCTCCGTCCACTATGTACAGTTGTTGTGTTTTCATCTGACGATAACTTCGACTCTGTTGTTTTACTTGTCTCCACACGAGATTCAACCTTGTTTTGTTTCGACCTCTTGTTACGATGATCAAACGGTAGATTAACGAACTTGTACACCAAACGCTGTCCACTTACCTATAACAAATAAGGGCAATGTAAATTTAGACATCACAGAAACATTGTGCACATTTTGATGGTCAGTACGAAACTTTTCACGCCTTTCCTGCTTCACGAAAAACATTTATTCACAGCCATCAAATGAAACTTTTAAATTAAGAAGAGTGCAGTGGTCAAGGTCAATATCACTAAATATCGGGGAGACGTCATACAGACATAGGAAATGTTTACTAAATGACTGTGTCTATCAAGCACTTTCGGAAATATGTGCCCTTAGTAACACGTAAACCAAGGCAATAAAATTAAAAGAAACATTACACTCCCATATTTTAATCATTTCCTAACGCTTTGATCGAGGTCACCATCTTATTAATAAATATTTCATTGTTGAATGTTGCGTGCGAAACGCCATAACTGTAAGCAATATCGTTGCCTATTGAATGTTTGCGCTTTGAATTAGATACAATAGACATTGGCCAAGTTGAAAACGCTGCCTTTGTTGTTAACAAGTGTTCTATCAATTAATTGTAAGGATATTATTCCATATTGAAAACGGTACAAAACAAGGGCCAATACTCAAGTGTACAAGTTGAAGATGCCCCCGATTTTTATTGTAAAAATATCTCGCTATGCTAAATTTCCGACAGATAACGGACCCCCTACGACCCCTGAAATGTGCTTTGAAAAAGGGCTTAGCTAATGATGTGTGTGCTTACTCAAGAGCCCGTTTAAAGGTAGTACTTTGATACAGATATGAACTTGCCCTTGGCTGGAAACGCTACGTTGAGAAAGATACATGTTGCTTCTATTTTTAATCATTGTTCAAGCATGTCAACGAGTAATTTATAATATCGTAGATATATACATGTCGCTTGCTGCAATTTTTTACAGAAAATAATCTGAGAATTTTATTTCAACATGGAATTCAAGTGCTATTTATTCATCTCACATTTTTCATATATCAGCTTTCAAAGTGCACATATTGCGTAACGTAGGAGAGATTGCAAGGATAGCACGGAAATGTTATCAAATATATTGTCATGGACAAAAGAACTATAGAGTTTTCAGTAATATTTTATTTTCTTCTGTTTCTTGGCAGACAAATCGCAGAGCGTTAAACAGGGTGGATATATAACCTACTGCCAATGTAAGCAAAAAGCAATATACATCAGACATGCGCGTATGTCGTTCGTAACGATTCACGGTAACCGTATGAGAAGCGTTTCTATAGCATAAGTTTGATTTAAAGCCATCGTTTACCATTACAACATAAGCATACAGAAACAGCTAAATAACACTGAAAAAATTTAATATTGTCATTGACCAATTATAATCAAAATAAAACTATAAAAGAACTGCATAATGAAATAATGAACTACATCTCTCTCATTCTTCTCGATGTTTCAAAGAATTTAAGAAGTTAATACATACAACTTTCGTCGTTAACTGCCTACTTTGGATCACTGGTCAGTAATGCAGCTACAAATCTTCTCGGTTCTTACAACAACCAAAATGATCTGATATGCATTTCATAACTTAGATTCCTGCTGTCTCTATCAGTTATATAGACCTGTGTCAACAAGCAACTATCATGGCGCTATCGTAATTTCAATACTTTCCTCATTCATTTGATATCAAAAGAACATCTCTGTTCGTCAACGATACGTACCACATGGATACTTTACTGACATGCATCGTCTAATCTCTATAATTATATTAAGATAAAACCCACCTTTTTAATGATGTTTTTTTGGTAATAATACCGTAGAGCTCTGCTTAATTTCTCATAGTTCATTCTGGGTCTATGTTTTCTGCTTCCCCAGCGCTTTGCGATTTCCTCCGTATCTTTAAGCTTAAACTCGTACTCTTCCTCCTTTGTCCAGCTGATCAAAGACGAACAGGCTTCGTCGGTCAGTAATTCTAACAAAAACTCCCAAAGATGTGTTGAGTTTTTGTGCGTTGATCTCTTATTCATGACGATTCGATTCGTAGTTGATTCTATAGTGAAAACAGATCAAATTTGCTCGATAAATTGTCGTTCATGCAAGCGCGGATGTAGATCGTGTGTGCCAAAAATATGTCATTGAAATCTTTCAAAACGTCAATTGTTAAGGTTTCTTTTTACTTGATGATTACGTATCGGAAGTGAACTTAGGTCTTAAACTGAAGATGTACGTAATAGGCTGCGAAGGTCACCTTGACCGGCTGAACATGTTGTTATTATGGACACCCGAAGGCAAGTTCCACGGAGCTTTGATGGGCCTTTGAAGCCTTCCATGCCGGTTTGTTTACTAAGAGAGTACTTTGTTGCTATGTTGTGTGCTTTTTGTGTGGATTTGACGGTTGTCACTTACGTAGCTATTTTCAATTAAAAGGTGTTTGCCACCAACACCAACGGCTGAAATATACATTAGTCTAATAATCTACTCTCTGTATGAAAGAGAATGAAATATATTGAATCATTAATGGTAATATTTTTCCAGTTGATTCTAATTTTCTTTAAATTGCATACGCTCTGTTTAAAACTAACGAAGCGTTTACTTGTACATATTCTTTTATTGTGATCATTTAAATGTCCAGAAGTTTGTATGAAAATTCTGGCAAAAACTCTATTTTTATTTTTCAGTTATAAGATGAATCAATGCATTAAAAGTTCGCGTCCAATCTACATTAGCCGTATTTTCCAAAATTACCATTATCCTACAAGATAGACGAACATAAATCTTCGCATGATCATTAAGCAACTAATTTCATTTCCAAATCTTCGAAAGGTTTTATTGTTTATGAGACTTTTCTTATGATCGTCCTAACTCCAGGCTATGTAGGAACATCTTAGGTTGAGGAAGTGACTAATATCGTTTATAGGAAGTATGTTAAAGGTCGCGTGTTAAGTAGTTCCTAAATAAACTCAGGCTTTTTAAGTGGCGCATTCTTTTACCACGCACAATTCCCCGAGGAAGCTTCCAGATCGCGCTATGTTTCCGGATAAGAAAGATAAAAATAGCAACGAAGTGAATAACAGGGAGCTTTGTCTACCACGGATTATACTTCCCATTGAATATACTGAACATATCTTTCTCCAAGCAACCTTCCAATGGAAAATATTACTTATTAGGAAATTGACCAAGCTTAAAAGCCGATATAAAAAATTGTTGATATACCTCGCAGACAAAATTTGGCTGTTTTTCTCAAAATCTATCGCATTTTTCAAATGACAGCGATAACTTTCGTCTGTATACGCAAGAAACAATTATGTAATTTGTCTAAACTTCAATTAAAAAAAAAACAATCTTGAAGAACAAAGTTGAAAGGAAGTTACGTGGATGTTTTTGATAAATAAAGTTGTTCTTACATCGATATAAACGTGGGTTTTAATTGCTAAATCAAGCTACTAGCAAAATGTTTTGAGAGTGATTGGCAACTATGGCAAATTTTCTTTCATAATATTAAAATTATGCAATTACATGTATATCGAAATTTTAATCTCCTCGCCTGCATACACGTCATATTTTTTATCGAAGTACATAATTCAACCCACCTTCTGACGCAAATCGCCGTACCTCTTAGTTCCTATTTCGACAATAATGTTTCTGTAAACTGCTGCACATTCACAATGTATCATTTCTTTGTTCACAATATAGTCACAATGTTACTTATCATTGACGCAATAGAAAAGTCCCTTATCTTAACTAGTTGATTTAACCTAGAGAGCAATACATTCGATATTCGGTTATTTGCGTGACGCAGCAAGAAAAACGGAAAGGCCCTAAACCAGATGGTGGTGTATTATCATCAAACACTTCACATGCAGTGACAACTTGATAACAGGACAAAAACGTAATTATTTTCTTAATAAATCGACCGAACGCGCGAGTTACATATTCTTGTATTTTCATTGCTGTTACCTAAAGCTTAACTGTTGATAGATACTGGAATATTTCATTTCTTATGCGAGAGTAATTATTGACAACGTGGTTCTTAATTTTGCATAACAATGCTCAATCAGCTCTTCGTTTACACCAATTTACACAATTCACATGAAAGCTTTCTTGCTTATAAACACAATCTTACTCCTGTCTGATGTTTAATCTCGGTTTAGCATTTCATTTAACTGTTTTAAAACATTAATATAGCATTCTTAGGATAGAACGAGCAAAGTCATCCCTCCCACGTTCGCATTTTTTTGCACAGAAATGCTCAATACATCCTAGGAATTTTTTAATGTACAATTCTCATGTTAATCTGACATAACAACAGCGCGGAAGTGACATTGTTTGACCAGCTAATTTTATTTATCAATGTCTACGTGCGGAATGCCTGTAAAACTGCGCGTTTCCTTACACATTTTTTCGTTTCACGCAGTGTTTAAATCGTGTTTCGGCAATTGCTATAATGTCACCTATATTAAATGACATAACCATGAATCATAGGAGATCGTGCGCTACGCATTCAATCTTATTAGCTATGTACGCGTGAGGGAAAACTAACTGGAGCGATTTTACTGAGTAAGAAATTGTTTTCCTTAGGATGCTTATTCGGCATAACCTCTAACTTATCTATCAACGCGTTTCTATATGTTTGAATTTTAGACTATGATTACACCCAGTGGCAACTACAGTGGCAACTACAGTGGCAGTAAGGAATGTAATTTATGCGTTCTAATGACTTCATTAGCGAAGGCGACTTCTCTATATAGAATATTACATAGACAAATATTAAGCTGATGATGGTCTTCATCTTGCTGTAATGGAACAATCATCTCTATAAATGCTCATAATGCTATCAAATCCTGCTTTGTTGCAAGCGATCGCTCATTTTAAACAATAAATAGCTGGCATGGTCTTTCCGGAATAAATAAATTTAAATTTGATCTTTGGGGTGCAAAGGCTACAAACTGCTTTTGATAAATGGACAATGCTTCTTCTTGACCCTTCTCGCACATTTACATCGTTTTAATGAAGAATCTTCTAACATGTACAATAAGAATAATATGCTTTCAGAAAATTTGTCTAGGGTACATCTGAAAACTTCTAATAGCATCGGATTATATAAAAATGCTATTGTTCCTTTTATGGGAAGTCTTCTTGTGTGTTCTTTGAATTTATCTTGTCAAAATATTGAACACTTACAATCAAAATATTGAGAGAAAAAGAAGGCTAAGTACAGGAAAAAAGCTTTGCCACCCTATATAGACTTCTTTAAGAACGTCTTTGTAGGATCAATAAACATCATGAGAATTAACCGAAAATTGGGGAGTTCAACTGTTACAAGAGTCAGTATAATCATCATATGTAATCAAATTGAAGTTAACTTTATTTTAAAATTTCCGTATTTTAGTCGTTGCAGGTGTAAGTAAAAAAAAATCTCAACTTTAAAGCAGAAATATCGAAAGATCGATGATGTATAGGAATAGCAATGATACAGTACGCTACACGCTAACTTGTTTACAGCGTTGAAAAATGTGTAAGATTATGTTAGCAGATAAAAATATATGTCATAGATACTTTCTATTTATACCCCGGCTTACTCTTGATAAGTTATCTACAGTTGGCAACATGATTTTTTTGATAGCATATAAGCGAATCGTGGTATAGCAGACTTTAGAATCGAAAGTAAAGCGATGAACTCATGAATTGTTTTATTAATGGTTCTTACTAATACACAGATATTTTATAAGCATACATGTATGTTAACAAAAAAAAATAACGGAAGCAACAACTTAAGGTGTACATTTCAACCAAATCTAAAAGTTGTAGTTTAGTTTGTAAAATTTTAAACCAACATATTTCTCTTTTAATCAGTCGAAGCATGAAAGTCACACGAAAATATCGTCTCTTAGCAAAACGACGAAACTAAACATCAAAGAAAAAATTGGATTTTAGGATTGTCTGGGTAAAATCCTTATGAATACTTAGGTTCAATATAGTGACGGCTTTTCGATCATTTATGGATGTTTCACCGATCTTTGTCGTGTTTAACCCTTACTATCACGAACTGACATATTATATAATGTTATATTATAAACATACCTGTATCACTCATCTTGTCAAGTATTTTCAAAGTCAGCTTTATTTCTCCTTGTTTGCGCGGCACTTGCGTCTAGCAGGAGTGACCTGGGTTAATGCCTCTGAATTGTTGACGTCAGTCGATTTTATTTATGCACAAAGGAACTGTAAACAATGGATATCTTTAATTATATATTGAAAACTCATGAAAGACATTTTGAATTGAAATTTTGGCTACATTGTATTTCTATTATTGTATTTCTATTTGTTTGTTCGTGTGGTCACGGTGAACTGATGTTTGGTGGAAAATTCTTTTAATATTTTAGCCCACACGTTGTATGTTTTTTTTTTGAATGGAAATTAAACGTTTGCCAATTAAACGTTTTAAGGATATGGCGACTTTGCTGTTTAAAATGTTTTTGAGCTTCATCAATATTTTGTACAAAATTTTTTAAACGACAACAGGCCATCTTCTTCAGATATTGTGCAATGGATTGAGCACTTACTTTAACAACTGTTTCTATAAGTAGAAGTACAATTGTATTTTAAAAGAGTATAAAATATTTTACAATAACTATGCTCTCCGCCAATCATTGTTGTAAATGTTTTATTTTCAATGTCTTGGTGTAAAACATTGATCTTTTTCACAAATATCAAAATTATATGCCGTTAATTAGTCAATAATCTGCAACAAACTATGATGTAAGTGACAGTTTATTTAATTTTCACGATTTTCCTTATCAAGAAAACGAACAGCTTCAATGGCAGTGGTAAATTTAAAGCTAGTATATTTTAATGCTTTTCACAGAGTTGAACACTGGTATTGTGCTAATTATAACCTCTGAGGTTCTTTTTGATGCTTCCGAAATAATGAAAATAACATTCACAGCGGAATTTTTGGCTATATTTTTCAACCCTTTCCGGGGCATTTCGTAGCATATTTTTACTGTCTTATGTGGTTACAACTTTTCAATTGCAAATGTACTGCAACTGTTTGGAAAAGAATTTCTTCTTCACACGTACATTCTTAAGAAGAACGGTGAAAGTTAGACATAGTAGATATAATTTTAAGAGGATCACATTCGTAGTTGGTTTATACAGAATAGGAAATTATCTTAACCCACCCACTAATTGTCTCAAATACAACATCATAAATCTTCTTCCTTTTCTTGAAAAATTATGGTATTATTATGAAATGGCGTTTATCACATGAATTTAACTGTGTATCTTAACGATTTATCCAGCAAATTGCATGATCTTTGTTCATTGCATTTTTATGCTGGATTGCGTATAAGTCTGGCTGTTGATGGTATCGTTATGTTGCAGTGTATCCACAAGCGGTAAAAACATATCACTGAGATAAGATAAAGAGACACAAAAATATGTTATAAATTGTATCGTCTTCAGTTAAATTGGACAATCATATCACATAAGTTTAAAGTTAGTGAAGCAGGACCTCGTAGGAAGAACTATACCAATGACGTCAATAAATTCTTTAAAATTAACTAATCTTTGATCAACGCCACCTTTATAGTCTGTAATGACACCACCTTGTACCATCTTGACGTTTATGACTTATGGACATTTAAAATAAAGAAGTTCTTGAGACAGTATTCCGAAATGCGAGCAACAAAAGCCACAACATGAGTTTATCGTGACTTTATTGAGTCATTGTCTCAACATTCAGGGGGTCAACAAGTTCAATATCCACATATTTCGTTACCACAGTTACATGGCACTTGTAGAGTATTCCAGGCTTAGTTCGCATAACACAGCTTCATCAAAGCATAAAAAAAACAATCTGGTCTCTTATGTTTGCTCATAGACACTTATTTGTTGTCATAGTGGTAGATCGTGTTAAGCTGCCAACCAATACGAAGACCAACAGCAGTATGGGATTGAAATACTCAGATATTGACCCGATTTACAATGTTTTTATCCTATTAAGTAGAGGCTGTAGAGCCGTCTCCTCTTAAATTCCACGCTATCAAACCTATATTTGCCAATACACTAGGGTGAAATGGAAACGAATGTAGTAACAAGTTTAGAAACAATTCAAATATTTTCTAATCAATCTCCGTGTGTTATGGACTTTTAAGAAATGGAAACGAGTGTAGTAACAAGTTTGGAAACAATTCAAATATTTTCTAATCAATCTCCATGTGTTATCAACTTTTAAGAAATGGAAACGAATGTAGTAACAAGTTTGGAAACAATTCAAATATTTTCTAATCAACCTACGTGTGTTATGGACTTTTAAAAATAAGAGGAAGCTTTCTGGGGGTTTTTGGAGAGGGACATAAGTAGAGCAATGACTTATGGACAGGCTAACGATGGGGAGGTGACGAAGTGACACGACACGCAATGTCTTCAAATGTCTTATGTAGAAATATTTACTGTCGGTGAAAATACCTAAAGTCTTTACAATCAATGTGAGGTGGAAACCAAGGAAAATGAACGCAAAAACATTACATTTGTCAAAAACGTATATTTAATAATTAGTGCATGCAAGCTGTTGTCCACGTGACTATTTAAAGCAACAATAGACGAGGATTTAACTGAAGTTGGCGCAAGATTTTAATTTCCTGTCACGATTGCCCTTAAGTCGACATTTTTAATACGAAATTATAATGATAATGTAAGTTATGTCTAAGTTATTGCCTACTTGGCGACTTTCCATGGTAATGAATATAAAAATATATTTTAGGATATGATATGAATGATAAACAAGTCAATGTTTTTATATTAAATAATGACACGAATTTCAGTAAGAGGAAGTGATTTGAGGTCGCTCAGCGGTAAACACGTTTGTAATGAGACGTGGAATAATGAAGAGATAAGCAAAACGATTGGATTAGTCATTAGGGAAGTTACGTTACGTCTGCGGTTAGCCTCAAATCACTGGATAGACAATTTTGCTAAGCCTCGCATTGCGCGAAATTTGTGCCAAATAATGAAATAATTTGCATATATTGCGCGCATCTCTTTGAAATCATGATAGTAAATTGGAAAATGGCTGTAGGGACCATAGTACCACGAAATGTGTTAAAGTTTTAACTCTTATTAACTTTCATTTCCAATTCTTTTATCAAGCCATACACTTTACAATATTCATTACAGCCTTGAGGCAGTTTTCTTTACCAGTGGACAGATGTTCATTAATTTATTAACTTACATTGTTGAACAGCGTAAGAGAGATGTATTCCTTACAAAAAAAGTTGAATTTTTATTTTTCAGAGACAAAAAAAAAGGAAACAAAAGCTTAAAACGAATAACTCTGCGCAATATATATAAATACGTGCCTTTCTTTGCTCGTTTATCTGGGTTATATATCTCATAGCCGTCGCTTTGTCGTCGCGTGTTCGTTAATGATTTCAAACTGTATGAAAGTGGGCGTCCGTCTCAGTTCTTTGGGCAAAATAACAAGAACAGAAAGAGGTGAGACGGCCTTTGGGAGGGGATCAGAAACTTTGTGTACAACACACAACGTTACATTTCCCAACCGTGTAATGTTTATACTAAAAATATAGATTTTTTGCGTTGTTTTAAAACAACCGCGTGGTAAAACCGTCTTGTTAAATCTTAAAGACATCTAGTGAAATTTAATCACTTTTCCTTTCTCACACATGTTAAATATGGGGTCCTTCGACACAGTGATGAAAATTCGTCCAATGACCGCTCAGTTTTAAAGGCATTGTTAAAGCTTTTTTACTCGTATTTTAGTGAAAGTATTTTGAACGTGCGTGTAATTAAACTTGCGTGTACTTTTAGCCAAAGTTTTTAATCTGAATGTATGACGAAGCGCACATGAGAATTCAAAAGCTTTTTTCTCTCTTGTGGTGGCAATGCCAGATTGCCACGCACATATTACAAAATAAAACAAGTATAAAATAACTTACCTTTTTGTCAATAGTGGTTCATGCACTTTAGCCTTGAGTCACAGTTCTTATTTGTGATTAATTCTTAATGATTCGACGAGCGGTGATATGTCCTCAATAATATAAAGGCGACTTTGATAATACTTCCTGTTTCATACGTGGCTAATCTTTACACTAAAAAGTACGTAGTTTCCGATCTCGAAATATATTAAACTTTCAACGGCAAATTTATGTCTTAACAATTTTTGTTACCAACTGTTGAGTCTCTTCGATAAATGCTAGCAATCAGTACAACGCACATATGTTAAAACATATTCTTGCGTGACGGAATCCTATGATTTCGCACAAATAAACATTGTTGTTTCCGGTTTAGACAGCCGTTCCTGCTTCCTGTATTTCATTTTTTGCCACTCCATGGTGATAGAATGACTCAACAGTTTTGGAAAAATCGACCGCTAACAATGTTCTCAATAAATGCGTCAAAAACATCGTGCAGCACATCTCTTTTTCATTCAAGATAAAACAATGTAATGATCATTTGCGTTTATGCAAGCACACGGCTTCGTCAAAAATTTCTGGGGCTTCGTTTGCATATACCAGTCAAAGTTTTGCAGGTTCCATTGTAGTGTAGCATTTCCAAATTTACATGAGATGGCAAACATTTTAAATTGCAAACCGTTGTGAACGGTTACTTGTCAACGCTTTCTCTTTCCGGAAAATGCGGAATTTTTGTAGTCGGCAGACAATATGCAAGCACGTCCGGGTTTGGCAGCAGGCATGAATGAACGTTTGACTCTGCTGGGGCGAATTACGTTTGCGAGTGTCTATTTGACAAACCTTATTTATATTGTAATAACTTTTCCTAACTTAACATGGCTTCTGTTAGACTATGACAATGCCTTGGCCTATCAAAGGTTATTGTAAAGACTATAAAATCTAGGATTCGTGATTATTCAATTCCACATAGTTTGCGACGAAGACAGAGCATGTCTAGCCCATAATACAGTCGACGAACGTGTTACGTAGTTTATTTCACGAGAAGAACTTTTGCAAACAAAAATACAAATTTCGAAAGCAAAAAATACCGTTATCTGTCTAAACACTCCGGTGGGAGAGGATGGCCTCCTGTAACGAAATACGCGTACTCCGGAAAGCTATGTCAATAGCAAGCTTTAGTCCTTCAGACACCTGAGACGCACAAAGGGCTACTCAGGGTACGGGAGAGAGTGCTGCACGCAACTACCTCTGGGTCCTAGGCCATTGCAAATTTAATGACAACCAGCTTCCACTGTTATTTGACGTCTATTACTTTAAGTATTTCCCTTAGGAGTAAAGGCTCAAGAGTTGTGGTGTGATTAAAATCACTATCACATATGCTCTGGTGATTTCTCTCATTATTCGTGATCCAAAATTGAGGTTTGCAGTGTGTTATCTCCAGATTAACAAGAATTTTTATATATTTACATACAACAATTATTGACAATCATATACAAGAGTATGTCAGACTTTCGTTCATTAACAATTTTAAGAATTTGCCCACCATGAAAGCAACCCAAGACCAGGTTCTGTAATGGTAGCCTAAAACAATAAATATTTTCTAAGTATTTCATCATTCACTTCTCAATGTGCAACAACTAGAGACATAGTGGATATTAGGAAATTCTCTTACTGTGATGTTGTACGGGCATTTTTCCTCTTGATTTCCTGCCTGTTCTTGAATTATCATTTCTGGTCCAGTTGGTGTTAAATCAGTAAAACATTCATCAATCACACGAAAACGTATTTCTTCGTTAATATCCATAAAGAGATCATGTGTTCCTTCCTCAGTCTCATACTCCCACACCCAAAGCTGTTCTTCCGCATCACTGATATTATTTATTAAGGTTATACCTGGATTGAGATGCCCATGAAGTTACTTTTTCACAAGTTATAACATGATGACAAAAATGAATTGGTGTGCATATAAAGGATACAATTTTGAAGGCTGTTGTAAATATTCAAAGGGTATTATAATATCATCAAAAAACTCCATTGAAACTAAATAGTAACAAGATTCAAAAGAAAGTATTTTTATTAAGAAAATTCAATAGAAATGATTGCATTGATAATTGAAATGGCAGCTTCTCACCTGTTACACCTTCATGACTGCAAGCTTTTATTCGTCCAATCAAAATCTCGTCAATAAAAGGACGAAATACAACATATCTAAATTTGACTAGAAAATAATCACTGAGTGGTATTAAAAGTATAAATTATCAATTCAAATCATCATAAGATTCATCTTACCTGGAGTGCATGATGCACCATCTCCAGGCAAAACAAATGAATCTCCAATATCTATGATGTCATGCAGAGCAATGCAAAGACCAACATTGTAAACAACCTTTGCCAAATATAATCGATAACCTTAACATATGTAGTGTGTATGAATGCAATAAATTATTCTTCTTACTTTATTTGCTAGTTTCTTGTTTAATTCGTTTGTAACTGCCTCAATTAAATTAAGCCCAAATTTTGTCGGTGGCATTCGCACAGTGTCTTTCATTTCAGCTAAGAGAAACATAGTGATCAATAAGTAATGATTACAGTGATTTTAAAGGAAAATCACTGATTCACTCCACATATTTTGCCTTCGCATGTGGCGTCATTCGTTTTATCTTACATGAAGTAATCCATACTTTTGAGTATGGCGAATTTTATATATCACCAATATCAGCAAAGTCTTGGTGTTTTGTACTTTCTCTGAGGTTATTTCTCTCAAATCTTGTCGTTATTCTTGGAGAAATGGATCAATGGAATCAACGTAAGTACCAAGCTTAAATTTTATGTGATGCAGAAGACATAAACATTTAAATATAAACTAATGTCAATTTCCGTTTTTTGTTTACAAATAAATGACCCTTCTGTTGTAAGTCTTTAGTACGTAGAGTGTAATGGTAAATTTTTCACTATGTTTCTTGTTAGGTATGAATTTTCCTCCCCACTATTCACCAAACTTCAGCTACCAACAGCAGGTACATTGTAATATTTTGTAAATGACTGTAAATATAAGAATGTAATCACAGCATTTAGAAAATGGCTCATCGTTCACATGATCAGTTAGTCGATGAAATGAAGAAGAGTGTAATGTTCTTAATCATATACTTTGGTTAGAAGTTTTGTGTTTGAATGGGTCAAAGTGTTTTAAAGGAGTTTATAATAAATGGAATTATTTTATAGAACATTTACCGAACAAACAATCCTCAACAAAACTCTCAATCATTCCACAATGCTGCTCATTTTCTGGCGTATCAACAACAAATGACATCATCACCCAGAATGAATCACATGGATTTCAATACTAGGGCAACATCCCATCAACCTTTGGCGTCAGCCATAACCCCTGCCGAAATGGAAAATTTAAAAAAAAAGAGAAATTTTGAAGAGCAGCAAAAGAGGTTAATGGCTTTGAAAACAACCAAAAAACAGTCAAACACAGCTTTGAACAGTGCAAATCAGTTGAATGATCTGTTTGGAAAAAAGGAAAATGTAGGAATGGCGTCATTATTGGGATCACTTGGGGATGTTCCAAAGCCTAAAGGAAACTCTCTGTATAATGGTAATAACTTTGTTTGATTTTATAGAGACAATAAAACATAGAAAAATTCTTTGTTTTACTTTAGAAAATGTTATTTGTTGCACACATTTACATCATGTAATTTTTTAGTTCAGCCAACCATTCCTCAAACTTTAACAAGATTTCCAGCTACCCAGAACAAAAGTATAATGTCAAGCAACGTTATGCCTCATGTTGTCAATCCTCAAAGAGCGACACATTTTAACAGTCATAATGAATTTCAAGAATTTGATTCAAGTGCTTCTCCAACTGATGATTTTGGTGACTTTCAACAGAGTTCGGTAGAAGCAACAACAACTGTTCTGTCAAGCTTTGTAGGGCCGATGGTATTGAATGATAAGAACCAATTGGCTCATAATAATATCAAAACAAAGCCAGCCAATGGTCAAGGACTTTCACATGCACTTGGTCCTAATCTGAATGATGAATCCTTGTCTACAGCTAACGTTGTAACTATTGAGCCACAAGAAAAACACATCAATTCGAAAGGTTTGTTAATCTACATTTTACAGGTACTTTTAATCAACTATAATTGTTGTACAAACATCGACTGTGACTAAAATAATCTATTTCTTAGCTCCTCCTGCATTAAGTATTGAAGATTTGATGGAAAAATCGTTATCATTAGACAATCGAAACTCAATTCCCATGAAAGGATTTGAAAAACCGAAAGTTTCTAAAGTTATAAAAGGTCAACCTAGTCATTTTACAGAGTCTGCAAAAGCCAGTAAATTTGAAGATTTGGACTCTCTATCAGAAATGTTTACAATTCCTCAGGCTCCTTTGACCAATTTATCAGCTGAAGCTCACATACCCGACAGTACAAGTGACGAATGGTCTGATTTCAGTGGTGTGATAGAAAAATCTGACAAAAATGAAACCTCATATCAACTTTTGGGAAACAAGAATTCGGAAAGAATCCTTTCCAATGCACAGGTTGAAAATCATTCATTCGGACAAGTGATGCAACCTTCAAACATGCCAACATCATTTCTCAGTAAAATGGAAGAAAACATTGCAACGACTTCACAGCCGGATGTTGAGGGTGATATGGGATCATATTCTCAACAACTGTTTGCCCCTAGTGTACAATGGCAGTCAATGTCTACAGCTGGTGAATCAATCCCACCATTGTTGACATCTGTAAAGAAAAGTGACATAGATGACTTTCATTCAGACAGTGGAAACAGTGAAACTGTTATACAAGAAGAAGGTTTGTGATTATTTTAATATGTATTATGTTTGAATTCCACTCTCAATTGTTCTAAAATAGATTTTGGTATTTTCTTTTATTGGGTTAGAAAAATCTGTTGATCCTGAGCGTGTTTTATATGGTTGTTCCCTTCCTGAATGGAGTAAAGATTCAAGAATGTTACCTGCTGTTTACAAACAAGTCCACAAGATGTGTTCATCGTCCATAAACAACGTCATTAGTACTAGCCAATTGTATCCCATTTTATTGTCATCTGGTCTACCACGTGACAAACTTAGCCATATTTGGTCGGTTTGTAATAAAGCGTCACCTGGAGAATTATTTGAAATCGAACTTTATCTTATTCTTGGTATGATTGCATTAGCGCAGGTATCGTATGCGATCTTGTTAACTTCAATTTTATAGCTAACTTTAACTTTCATGTTAGCTAGGTAAATCAAACGTGTTTCTGACGTTTTTTTTTAATTATCTTTTCGACAGTTGACCTAGCTTCAGACATTTTACTAAGTTTAGTGGATGTAGTAATTATCTATTTAAGTTACCATTACATTGCATAAAATGTTTCTAATGCTAGATTTACTAAGTATAGTGGATGTCGTAATTATCTATTTTAAGTTACCATTCCATTGTATAAAATGTTTCTAATGCTAGATTTACTAAGTATAGTGGATGTCGTAATTATCTATTTTAAGTTACCATTCCATTGTATAAAATGTTTCTAATGCTAGATTTACTAAGTATAGTGGATGTCGTAATTATCTATTTAAGTTACCATTCCATTGTATAAAATGTTTCTAATGCTAGATTTACTAAGTATAGTGGATGTCGTAATTATCTATTTAAGTTACCATTACATTGCATAAAATGTTTCTAATGCTAGATTTACTAAGTATAGTGGATGTCGTATTTATCTATTTAAGTTACCATTCCATTGCATAAAATGTTTCTAATGCTAGATTTACTAAGTATAGTGGATGTCGTATTTATCTATTTAAGTTACCATTCCATTGTATAAAATGTTTCTAATGCTAGATTTACTAAGTATAGTGGATGTCGTAATTATCTATTTAAGTTACCATTACATTGCATAAAATGTTTCTAATGCTAGATTTACTAAGTATAGTGGATGTCGTATTTATCTATTTAAGTTACCATTCCATTGCATAAAATGTTTCTAATGCTAGATTTACTAAGTATAGTGGATGTCGTATTTATCTATTTAAGTTACCATTCCATTGTATAAAATGTTTCTAATGCTAGATTTACTAAGTATAGTGGATGTCGTAATTATCTATTTAAGTTACCATTACATTGTATAAAATGTTTCTAATGCTAGAAAACAAGACCGTTTTGCAATGACCGTTGTGTAGCAAGTTTATGTGAACGATAGAAAGTCATCTTTTTTAAATGATGTTGTATAATATGATATATGTATTATTTTCATTCAATCACAAATCATCATGTGACATGTGCTGTCGTTTTCCAGGTTGGATTGCAGATAAATAAAATAACGTTAGAAAAACTATCATCTTGTGCTACTGCCCCGATTCCTTCTTTTCCTGAGAGAATTTTTCAGGTAATTTTTTTCTACTGACTGCTTTATTGAGAGCTTTTAGTTCACCGAGTGAACACGTGACACAGAGTGAACACGTGACTTTTTGAAGGAAACCCGCCAAAACGACAAAGAACATTTAGTAATACATTCCTGTAAAACAATTGAAAATTTTTTTTTACACAAGTAGATAATGGAATATCGTACTTCTGTAAAGGCTCGCATTAATTGATGGCCATTTCATGATAATGTCAAGAAAGCTTTATAATTATTTTTTTATAAAAGTGCATAGATTTTACAAAACTTTCATATTTGTACTATTGAAGGATGACTCTGTGGATGTGCCCTCAAATTCAACAAATTTTGCTGATCTTGAAACTCCAGAAATTAAAAAAAAAGATGAAGCGAACGATTTGTACGATACTTTAACAGCAAAAACAACTATGGTTGACGCTGTAAAACATCCAGATTGGTCGAGGTGGAAGTCTTCAAAAGCCTCACAGATTGATGACAAATTTTCTGATTTATTCAAATCACACGACGCGGCTACAATGCATAAAAATTTACCAGAAAGTAGTGGCGATGAATTTTTTGGTGATTTTCAGTCCACTGCTATTCAAGGGGCTGTACAACCATTCACAAACTCTCGTTCAAACAACGAAGAGATCAAAAAAACGAGTGGATTTTCAATGTTGGGTACGTATGTTCAGATATAATCTATGAAAGAGACGTGTGTGCATGCTTATTTGTTATTATGAGTAGTCTACATCGTTATTCATTGTACATTTATGTGTTATTAAGGCTTAAAACAATATCCTGAGTTTGATGATTTGCGGAGAGTTTCTCTCGATATGAATAACGATAATAAATGTTATTTGCTTTAGCTTGTGTACGCAAGTTTATTCCAAAATAAGGTCTGATATTTTGGTTTAGTTTTATGATATATATGCGCGGACATTGACGGATGAGATTGGATCTTGATTGATTTTTAAGTATACTAATTTTTAAGCGAACATTTCTGCATATAAAGTAAATGGTTTGAACCCGGGAGTATCGTTACATGTTTGTAAATGTAGATCGTCCAGGTTGGTATAGTCCTGAGAAGGACTGTTTTTGTTGTTGTTGACTGACGTTTCGACAACCTTAGCGGTAGTCATCTACTGAGTCAAATGAACTGAAGACTCTGAAGATGACTACCGCTAAGGTTTGACTCTGAAGATGACTACCGCTAGGGTTTGACTCTGAAGATGACTACCGCTAGGGTTTGACTCTGAAGATGACTACCGCTAAGGTTGTCGAAATGTCAGTCAACAACAACAAAAAAGAGTCCTTCTCAGGACCATACCAACCTGGACGATCTACATTTACAAACATGTAACGATACTCCCGGGTTCAAACCATTTACTTTATTTCTGCATATGTTGAAATCAGTGTAATGGTGCAGGATAAAAATTTGAGAAATTCTGAACTGTGCTATTTTCGAATTTTTAATGCAGGTATTCAACCTATTGTATCGAGTGATGATGATTTTGGTGAAATGACCGGTGCTTCTGAATCGGTTTTTCAAACAACAGCACAGCAGTTGAACGGTAAAAGTTTGAATCGTACAACACCCGTGATGTCTGCTCCACTACCAATGAAACATAGATATAATCTCAACGAAGATGAAGAGGTAACTACATCTATAATGAAGGATTTAAACATACATGCTGTCATTTGTATAATATGTTGAAATGCACGCACTGGGAAACTCTCTGGAAAGATTTGCCAGCATCGATCAAATCCTGAACCTCTCTGCTCGTTGCCTGAACGAATACAAATCTGAAGATATAAATTTGAAAAATTTTCTCAAATAATTGATCAATTCTAGAGTGTTTTCACTAGCTACCATGAGATACGTGCAGTCACATAATAATCAACATAAATTTTATCTTCTGTTGAATATTGGATTATTTAAGTAAGCCTGCATGGATGCAACATGGGCGTTTTGACGTCTTATGAAAAGTTGAAATGACATCATTATAAATGTTGCCTTTCATATAGAACGTTGACTCTCACGAAAAGGCGTGGTTGAAATGTCTCTTGAGCTGTTTTGATGTGATCAAAAAATCCTACGAAACTCTTGCAAATATATATGATGATAGTTTACTAAAGGAAATCTTCTCTTCAAAACAAGGAGTTCAACATTTTACAGGTTAAAAGTGTTTTCATTCTTCAACATGGACTTGATAAAAATTCCATGTATATCTTCTGTATGAAATCATTAACAAGCTACCACAGCTGTTTAACCAATATGTAAATATTTTCTCTAAAACATCCGCTAAAAAGCGTCGTTTTACCCACTTTGCCCTACATAATCTCCTCTCTTGTACTGCTCGACCTACACAAATTTTACTCTTATTTACGTTTAGCAATTATTGAAATATATTGTGTTTCGCAAAGAGTAAAAGCTACCGTACTCAAGTCAGGTACAATGTTTTCATGGAATGTTCTCTCAATGTTTCACTTGATATTTCAGCATAAGATTTGACAGTCTTTTTTGGTAATATTTTTTTGCGTTCCAGCTTCGAACAACTTACAACTAAAGCAAACTTTGCAAGATATTGAAAATATATGGAAAACTTACAAAAGTCGTGAACTTTTTGCACAGTTATTGGTGAGTGTTCTGTGATCGTTTGTAAAGTAGAATTAAAACGATGAACTCAAGAAGTGTGTTTATAAGTTTTCAACTCTTCTCACTTTACTAGCCGATCGAAAGCTTCAATTTTTCTGGATGTCACATGACCAAGAATGATGACGCGAGCCTGTCATGTGGTATTTGCTTGTTAAATGTGAATAAGGCGTGTGTTATTTCAACGAAGAAAACTCATCATCTCGAGAAACTGAGTTATGGCAGTAAAAATTACCATACAACCTGTGCAAACTTTTGGTGCAATAAAGTGGACTCAGTGTTGCCTTCTTTGCAACCTAAAGATAGCTTAATATAAGCATGTTTGGGAGAAAGGAATTCCTTAAAACACCCCCGTTGTTGTTTATTCAAAATCATTCAAAGTTCATACCTGTTATGTAAATTTCATATAATTATAATTATCATTCTTAGTTCTTTAAAGGTGTTGATTGTTCTTAACCTCAGGTAACACGGAATTTTTTTTATAGCACGCATAAAACAAACAGGTTTGCTGCTACCAGCTCCGCCACTGTTTTCATGGACAAAGATGTTGCTAACTGCTCCTTTTTATAAGAACAACCCCTCCGCCCACTTTACGAATATATAAGCATCCGGGGAGTGTGGCGTAAGAATGCCGTAATTGGTCATCAGGCTCCAGTCCCTCGTTGCTCGACTTGCGAAAAATGGCTGTTTGAGAAGCGTTATTGTTGAATGTCGTTTATTTTGTGGTTTAAATGCAAGAAAGAAAACGCTTTTATGAGGAGCTTCGTTTTTTTTGAATACTTATGTTCTCCGCAGTATTGAATCCTTTTTGAAAGCAATTCATTTTGCTTTCGTGGAGAATCGTGTTTAGCGGTAGAAGAACATACTAAGTGAAGTTTTATCCCAAGATATTGTAAAGTCAAAGAGTAGAGTTCAATTCTTCCCTATACTACGAGTCTACATTAGAATATCAAAAGTCAAAATATGGGGACTGGTAAGCTTTCACTTATTTCAAAAAAGTGGTTTCTACTCCATTCGCTAAAACTGTTTAATTCTTAATTTCTTATGATAAATGGACAATCGTTATCTCAAACAAGGAAATGAGTTCAGTTATTGTTAAGTTTGTACTGTACTGAAAATATATTTGTGATTTTTATTTTTATTGTAAAAAGTCGTTTTGAATATTTCCGTTACAATATAAATGTGTTAAAAGCTAGCAGGCCGTAATCCAATATAGAATAGGAAATTAAAGCATTTCTATAAAATTTCCTTTGGTATTTTATTTATAAACACAAATGGCATCTTTTGATGTTGGTATATTCCATACATTTGATCATAAATTAAGTCATGGTTAAAACACAGTAGTTGTCCTATTGCTATAATATTGTTGTGTATGGAATATTGAGGGTTTACTTATAAATATTTATAGTTGTAGAACCTATGGATGATGATGAATTAGATGATGCTGAAAGGCAACGGCGTACAATCGTAGCCAAATATGATAGAGTAATTACATTTTTTCTATGGCTTTCATTGTGTGCAAGTTTGCAGATATTTTTGTTTACTTATATTTTTATATAGGGCTATAAACCAAATGAGCTTGAAGAATGGGAAGATGCCAGTTACATTGTTTATCAAGTCACTGATAGATATGGCTTTATGCAGTAGGTTTTAACAAGTAGAAGTATTGATCACACGGATAACTTTTCATACAATTTTTTTTTAAATTATTTTAGTAAGGAGCCTCTCAGTGATGATAGAGATGCCAAAGTTTGTGCAAGGATAATTTTTAAACAAATATATTTTTTTCAGTAAAATCCAGTTGATATTTTTTCTTGGTTGTAGTTGTTGATACAAGAACGTGAGCGAGAGTTGAAATGGAAAAAAATGATCGAGAAATGGACTAAATATGCCGGCAATGATAAGGTAAAATTTACTTTTGAAGCAGTGTTATATATTTCTTGATTGTGTTGTTAAATTGAATGATTTTTTATACTTTATCTAAGCTTCGTAAAAGAATTTACAAAGGCATTCCTGATTCAATGAGGGGAATTGTATGGAAAGCATTGTTGAACATTGATAGAATAAACAACAGGACAAGGCTTTATGAGGTACACATTTCAACTTCCACATTTTAGCGCAAAGTATCCATGCGACATTTTGTATTGTTAGGTGTAAAATAATTAGTATGAGATGGAAACCTTAGACTATACTAACTTGCACCATAGTTTTTATAAACTATAATCTGAATCATTTGTGTTTGTAGGAATTTCGTGCTCAAGCAAGACTTTATTCACCAGATATCAGACAAATTGATTTGGATGTTAACAGAACTTATCGGGATCATATTATGTTCAGAGATAGATATGGAACTAAGTATGATCACATTTCTCTCCGCAAACTATTATGCATACATTGATTTATACATTATGCCTTTGAGCAAGTGCTGATATTTTCTTCAAGCATTCATAAACAAACAACTAAAGGATTTTTTTGTATTCAGACAGCAAGATTTGTTTCACGTTTTGGCTGCCTATTCCATGTATAACCAGGTTTAGCATCAAACTTCAGTTAATTTCAATAAATATTTGTATTTTGATGTGATAATTTGTTATAGGAAGTTGGTTATTGTCAGGGAATGAGTGGAATTGCTGCTTTGCTTTTGATGTATTTAAATGAGGAGGTTAAATATTTAATATTACAACTCTAACTATGTGAGGTTTATGAAAACAGGAAAAACAGGGTTTTTATTTTTATTTAAATGAAGAGGTTAAATATTTGACATTACAACTCTAACTATGTGTGGTTTATGAAAACAGGGGTTTTTATTTTTTATTTTAATGAAGAGGGTAAATAGTTGACATTACAACTCTAACTATGCAAGGTGTATGAAAACAGGGTTTTATTTTTTATTTAAATGAAGAGGTTAAATATTTGACATTACAACTCTAACTATGCAAGGTGTATGAAAACAGGGGTTTTTATTTTTTTTGAAGAGGTTAAATATTTGACATTACAACTCTAACTATGTGTGGTTTATGAAAACAGGGGTTTTTATTTTTTATTTAAGTGAAGAGGTTAAATATTTGACATTACAACTCTAACTATGCAAGGTGTATGAAAACAGGGTTTTTATTTTTTATTTAAATGAAGAGGTTAAATATTTGACATTACAACTCTAACTATGTGTGGTTTATGAAAACAGGGGTTTTTATTTTTTATTTAAATGAAGAGGTTAAATATTTGACTTTACAACTCTAACTATGTGTGGTTTATGAAAACAGGGGTTTTTATTTTTTATTTAAATGAAGAGGTTAAATATTCGACATTACAACTCTAACTGTGCAAGGTTTATGAAAACAGGGGTTTTTTATTTTTTATTTAAGTGAAGAGGTTAAATATTTGACATTACAACTCTGACTATGTGTGGTTTATGAAAACAGAGGGTTTTTATTTTTACAATGCGTGTGATTACAGGGTTTTATTTTCATTTTTAGGATGCCTTTTGGGCATTGTCTGTTCTTATAACCAGCAGTGAGAAGCATTCAATGCATGGTAAATTATAATTTCTATATTTGAAATTAAAATGATAAAACTATATTTTGCTCAGCGTATTTGTGCTTCATTTTTCATAGGTTTTTTTATCCCTGGTTTTCCAAAACTGAAACGTTTTCAAGAGCATCATGAAACTATTTTGAAGAAATTCACCCCCAAACTTTTCAAGCACTTGGTTTGTATTTTATGTCTTGGCAAAATTTGATTCCTCGTTTACAATTTTTTCTTCATTTGCACCAGGAAGAAGAAGGAGTGTTCACAAGTCTCTATACTCTCAAGTGGTTTATGCAATGTTTTCTTGATAGGGTAAGAAACAACTTGTGTTATTAAAGTCTGTTGTCATTCATGCCTGAATGGAGACTGGGAACTAGTTGTTGGTTTCTTTACGTTTTCCTAGTATAAACCCAAGTGAATATAAACAACTGTCAAATTATCCAAACAAGTTTTTTCTTGCTCAAACACTTGGTATAAATGGAAATTAATTATGTTAGGACGGATGTATACATGTGTCAATTTATCATAAAGAGGGTGTTTATAACATACATCTTTGGTAACGAAAACGTTTACATTATAAGTGACTTAGTAACTCTGTTAGCTAAATATGTCATTAACACAGTTAAAGACAAATCTTGTACTTTTGAGCATTAACTGTAAAAAACTTAGTTTTTAGTACTGACTGTATGCCATGATGATTTTGTCTTTGCCGTTGTACTTGTAAACATCTTTACTTATACATACGACGCAATTCACCTTGATTGTCTATTTTAAATTGACTTAATTTTTGTCAATTGAAGACATTAAATATTAGTTGTTGTATGTTGGTGTGTTGCTGTAGGTTTTTTTTCTTTGTTTTAGACACCTTTTCTTAAATATTAGTTGTTGTATGTTGGTGTGTTACTGTAGTTTTTTTTGTCTTTGTTTTAGACACCTTTTCTTACATGTTGGTGTGTTACTGTCGTTGTTTTTGGTCTTTGATTTAGACACCTTTTCTTAAATATTAGTTGTTGTATGTTGGTGTGTTACTGTAGTTGTTTTTGTCTTTGTTTTAGACACCTTTTCTTAAATGTTAGTTGTTGTATGTTGGTGTGTTACTGTAGCTGTTTTTTGTCTTTGTTTTAGACACCTTTTCTTAAATATTAGTTGTTGTATGTTGGTGTGTTACTGTAGTTGTTTTTTGTCTTTGTTTTAGACACCTTTTCTTAAATGTTAGTTGTTGTATGTTGGTGTGTTACTGTAGCTTTTTGTCTTTGTTTTAGACACCTTTTCTTAAATATTAGTTGTTGTATGTTGGTGTGTTACTGTAGTTGTTTTGGTCTTTGTTTTAGACACGTTTTCTTAAATGTTAGTTGTTGTATGTTGGTGTGTTACTGTAGTTTTTTTGTCTTTGTTTTAGACACCTTTTCTTAAATATTAGTTGTTGCATGTTGGTGTGTTACTGTAGTTGTTTTTTGTCTTTGTTTTAGACACCTTTTCTTAAATATTAGTTGTTGTATGTTGGTGTGTTACTGTAGTTGTTTGGTCTTTGTTTTAGACACCTTTTCTTAAATGTTAGTTGTTGTATGTTGGTGTGTTACTGTAGTTGTTTTTGTCTTTGTTTTAGACACCTTTTCTTAAATATTAGTTGTTGTATGTTGGTGTGTTACTGTAGTTGTTTTTGGTCTTTGTTTTAGACACCTTTTCTTAAATGTTAGTTGTTGTATGTTGGTGTGTTACTGTAGTTGTTTTTGTCTTTGTTTTAGACACCTTTTCTTAAATGTTAGTTGTTGTATGTTGGTGTGTTACTGTAGTTGTTTTTGGTCTTTGTTTTAGACACCTTTTCTTAAATGCTAGTTGTTCTATGTTGGTGTGTTACTGCAGTTGTTTTTTTTCTTTGTTTTAGACACCTTTTCTTAAATATTAGTTGTTCTATGTTGGTGTGTTACTGTAGTTGTTTTTTTCTTTGTTTTAGACACCTTTTCCTTTGACATTACGGCTATGGGACGTCTTTCTTTTGGAAGGAGATAAAATTCTTACGGCTATGTCCTATAACTTAATGAAAATACACAAGAGTAAGGATAAATTTTTCTGTAAATTGTACCTAGAATTCTGCATTATTTTTCTACGTCTATTTGCTAATGAACTGTGATTATATGTAAAGATTTTGCCGTGTTTGACTAAGGTACTAGCCTTGCTTTCCTAACAAGAAATATTGTTTATTTTTCCAGAAAAGTTCGTGAAACAGCCTATGGAGGATATTGTTGAATTTTTACAAGAGAAAATGTGTGACTATCCTTACAATCTTGATAATATGATGGACCTTTTACAGGAAGCACGTTTTGAGCTTAGGAAGGCTGGGTTGGAGTCTCCCCCTGCTCCAAGTCCTTTGGAATTCCCCAAACTCTCCCCAGGCTCTTCCCTAAAACGCGGTGTTTTTGAAACTGCATCTGCACGAGCGCGTAAAAATAAAGAAAAAAATAAAATTATTGCAGTTCCCGCTGGAAAGCAAGTTCTCCCCCCGTTTCCGTATTCGGAAAATGACGGGATGAAGTCGGACACACGATCTATATCAATGTCAAGCTCTGGACGTCGTTCCCAAACCTCTGCCTCCAACATTAGCGCTCGGCGCTCGGAAAATTTTAGCACGTCTTTGAATAGTGAAGTTAGTCATGTTGAAAATTTGCGAGATACTTCGTCTAACACTGAAACATCATCGGATGTTGAGAAACTATACTCTGGAAGTGCCGTCCGACATTCAGAAAATACTGGAACATTTACTAACAGTATAGCGGGGCGATCGGAAAATTTCGAGTACTCCATGGAAAGCATCGGAAGACGATCGGGAAGATTCGATCGCACCTCGGAAAGTATGGGAAGGCGATCAGGAAATTATGAGTACACTTCTGAAAGTGTGGGAAGGCGACCTGACAATCTTCAGTTAACCACGGAAAGTGCAAGCAGACATTCGACAAAACGCATGGACAGTCCACAGCTGCGTTCACAATATAACGAAGAACGTTACAGTAGTCCTTATACTCCAACAAGAAGTGATGAAGTACGTCATATATCTCACAAGCATGAAGATCTATCTCCTGAATATCCTACAACACCTAGTGGTGATCCATTCAACTCATTTCCGCGTTCTCCACCACGCTCGACGAGTAGTCTGAGCACAGCTGAAATTGCAAAATTCAATCAGGATCTGAAAAATTCTTATGCGCGATCACAGCAACATTATATACGTAAATCTGGTAGAAGAACAAAAGAAGGCCAGTCTGTTCCTTTGAACGATGGTAATCGTATTGAAGATGGTGAAACATATGGTGTTAGTGTATCTTCAGAACCATCCAGAAATGTTCCATTACTCATTAATTTACCTGGAAGTGTTGACATTGAACGGCATTATAATAACGACAGTTCTTTCTCCGATATCCGTACCTCTAACGGTACTTCAACACTTGGCCATGCACCTGTGTGGCATCATGATGGACCAGAGGGGTCGAAGCAATACACTCTGACCCAGTCCCCTAACAGACAAATGACTTTTGTTTGAATGATAAATCTTCTTTCTTTCTCAGTAATATTTTAACATTTTTAATCATTTACTTCATGGGAGAGTTATTACTTTTAGATAAATCTACATTTTCCATTTAAATTATCCTGTTCTCGCGAAGTAAAGTAAAAATGGAATTGCAGTAGAGTTAATATTAGCAATGCGTTGTAACATATTTTTTTGAGATTTTATCAGCTGTACACGATGATCTACAATTGAAATTGATGTCAGTATATTTAGTTTAGGATTTTGTCAATTATACTATAGTATCTAGGAAATTGTTTTTTGTGTATTTTTTATGCGCGTTAACTTGATAGCCAAACAAATTTTAATCAATTAATGATACTTGATTCTATTTCTTTTTTCATTAACAGGTGCAAGTCATGTCATCAATGGATTTTCAACAATGATCTTAGTTTGCTTGTTGTTATGTCCTATCCCAGTCAGGTGTTTACAAAGAACAAGACAAGCCTGTCGAGCAGTTCACATCATTTTTTCCCTCTCGCCAGAAGTAATCCATTTCTATGTCGCCGACGTCATAACGTAAAATATTACGACGTCATAACGTAAAATATTACGACGTTATAACGTAAAATATTTCCGTTCATTCTTGACAAATGATTAGGTGGTTGCGTTAAGATTTGTCATCTAATTTCTTCTCAACTTTCAACTTTTTTTCAGCATTTCTTAATTCTTACGTTCTCCCTATGTCACCATCCCTTCGGACAGTTGATATCTTTTGTTGATTGTTTACATTATGGATTAGCACAGGATAATTACATTAATGTTAAATCGTCTTTCCCCTTATCTAGAAGTATCGGGTCGTTGGATTTTGCTTTCTCCATTGCAGAAAACTAAACGTGAAAGAATGCTGCTGTCAACAAATGTCAAATTATTATTTTGATGTACAAATTAATCATGGTCTGTCATGGTGAACGTGCTTTTTACAACAGGCTTTCATGCATTCATTGTTCGACTGTGTTGTCATTCAAAATAAATTATTCCGTGTACTAAGGAATCGCTATGGCCTATTCACGTGTTGTTAGTTGTACTATGTAATTCTAAAACTTTAAATACTTCTGAGTGGACTAGAAGTTAATTTGAAAATAAAAAAAAACTATTTCCTTTACATACAAATTTCACTGTGATTATTTACATATGTCAGATTCATATATTTTTTTGTTGTTCTTTTAGGAAAATGCTGCACCTATCTTCAGCTGAAATGGAAGTTGGATCTATCGTTTACTGAACACGGGGTGTATATCAGCCTCGTACTCATCACTTCTTTGATTATAATACTGTTCATATGGTCGAGGTATAAACGCTGGTCGAGGTATCATTGTTCTCTTATCCCAGCAACATTTCTGCGAGCACGAAGGAGCGCAAGAGTTAGGGCAGGCACCTGGACATGATGACTGCGTCATACTCGGAGGTAACTGTCTTGCAGTGTATGCATTGTTAGCACCACAACATTGTGATGAACAAGCTGGAGCACACGCTTGACTGCATGGTGACACACATTGTCCTGTTAACTGTTGTCCATACGCATCTTGCATTCCGTATTGAGGCGATCCTCCATAATGATCTTGCATAAAATATTGACTTTGTTGCCCATATTGACCTGTATTCAGTAAAGATGAAGTTGACACGAGTTGCAAAGAATCAAAAACTTTTTATTTTTGTTCATTCAAACTTAAGATTTATAACATACCTTGGCCATTCATTGAAACTATTGGCGCTCGCATAAATTGTCCAAATCCTTGTGAGTTGATGTTTTCTCCATTTTTTTTGTTAAATTTACCTGCAGTAGGCTCTCCAGCGCCATATTGATTGTAACCCGCAACTCTATTAGGAGCGTACTGCTGCCAATTTTGTTGACCATATCCTTGTTGATAATATTGTGATCCATATTGACCTGCTTGGTTATACAGGGACTGGGCTTGAGGATAACCTTGGATGTAAGGATTTAGTTTACCATTCCCCCCGTACTGCAGCCTGTTTTGACGAGTTCTTTGGTCATTTCGAGCAGCCTCTGCAGCCTGTGCTGGGGCTAATTTACCCCATGAATCGCTTTGAGGATGACCGTCTTATAAAAGAAAGTTGACGTTAAATAACCTTTAACTGTACATAAATTGCTATTCTGACCTGACCTTTCACCTTCATCGTGGCAAAGTGATCGCTATTTCTCTTTATTTTAATGAAGTTAAATTGCGGTTGCTGCCCCCGGCTTTGTTAAACTTTTCATAAACGATATTATTGTTTGGTTTAGCTTTTTTTATACTTACCTACATATTTTCGAGGAACGGCAAGTACTGTTGACAATAAAACAGATAGTAGCACGATGTATTCTTTCATTCTACAAAATGGTCCATGATTTTACTATTTTTAGGTAAATGGAAGTTTAAATGTCATGCAAAGCCTTTGGTATGGTGCGATGTCGTAGAGCTGAGCTTTTTGGACCTTAGTATGAAGGTAAGCTTTCTCAATAAATGACTATAAGTGTTATATTCTTTGAAATTCAAATCTTTTCATTTATAATATGAAAAGTGTTTTATTGAAATTTAATTTTTTTTACCTTGATGTATCCAAAGTTATGTATTTGGCTGTATGTTTTCTTTTGGGCTACTGTAAAATGACGAATTAGAAAGATTTTTTGTCGTGAGTTAGTGACTTGTGATGCGTTTTAGCCACATGTTCTTATCTAATGTATGAAATATTTCATTGTTAGATCTTCGAATAACTTACAAATGGCATAAAATTCGTACAAAGTTACTTACCGTAGTTTGTGTCTCGTTTTCAATGTTCGATTCCTTTTCCATGATTGTGTGTTGCGTTGTACTAAGTTGAAATTGAATTTATTTTCTGGAAGCTTTTAAAAACGATTGCAATATCTTAATCATGAACGCGTCATGTTTTGTAAGAGATGTTTTACAAAACGACGATCGAGGTTGAGTTAGCAAAGCACAAGCATTTTAAAATCATGATTGTTCTTAACATTGCTCGAGGAAAATTGTTTGTTTTTCTCTCCTTGTAACGAGGAAAACGACGAATATCCTTGAAATCAATAAACGATTGGCTACAGGTCAATTTCAACCCTTGAACTGGTGAGTAAAATCTTTTCGTAGAAAAACTTTAAAAAAATACTTATAAAAGACGGTTTCTGTTCAAAGAAAGGGATTATTTAATCTATATGTCTCTAACGTCTAGAGAAAAAATATAAAGCGTTAAAATGATAGACTCTGCGAAATTTAATTTTGTCTCTTTTTTTTTGCTACACTGATGAATGAACGTAATTGGCTATCAAAGGATGCTAAGTAGTTGACTAAAAGAAATTCCTTAAATACCTTCATATCTGAAATGTTTAGTGCCAACAAAGTTTATTTTTTTAGATTCGGATAAACCCCTTTTTTGTTGTTATTCTGTATTGTAAAAATCTTATAATTTGAATTAACTGAACTAAAATATAAGTTCATCAATGCTGAAATTTCGATGTATTGTCCATTTTGCATAAGATTATGGTAAATAAGCATTTTTCGACAAAAAACAATTTGGTATGAGACACTTTGTCCGATATTTATGCAATATTTGCCGGCTTGCTTTTGTCACTCCCACGCGAGAACTAACGTCATAAGACACGGACATTTAAATTGTGTTTGAATAAGCTTTCAACACCTAGCAAACGATAATAAAGTGTGTTGTTTTTATTGAAAAGTTTTCATGCTTGAAGCAACACATGTTGCTCATCAGTTTTAATTACTGCGATTAATGCCCTGTCCCCGTTGATTTTTATCATTCCCTCTACATTCTAGTACTTCCGAAACAACGACAGGAATTTTTACTTCGATGAGAATTCGTTTTAGTCGTGTAAAGTGTCTAATTGTAATAAATTCTTTGCTTCGATCTATTAGTGACGCAATAAAAGCAGTTCTTGATTGGTTAACACCAACCTGAAGCGTGCGCACGCATCAGCTAAAGGTAAGAGGTTCAGCATCAACCAAACCTATCGTGTGGACAACAAGTTGACCCTGAGGGACTGGAAAGTTGGTAACTTTTGCATGAAATGCCCGCTTCGTCCCTCTCACTCGACGAAGGTGAAGTAAGGGAAATAATACACGATTTACTCAGTCACATTTTGGAGAAGAATGGTTTTAATATCGAGAACTTTATACCGAATTCCTCTCCAGATATTAAACTTGTCCATGTTCGTCAAACTGTTGATGCTCTTATCGAAGACTCGAGTGAACTTTTCTACAATTTAGGAGAGCAATTACATTTGAACTCTGACAACATTCACGCAATATTTTTTGGAATATCTGATGAGATTTTCGTGACAGGCATAAATTGGGGAAGAATTGTTGCGTTTTTGGCTTTTGGTGGTACCGTTGCCGTGCATTGTGCGAGCGATACAGAACTTTGTGATATTTTAAATGAAATTCCAACATGGATGACCGATTATGTGGAAGGCAATCTACGACAGTGGATTGATGCTCATGGAGGATGGGTATGTACTGCAAATTCGTATGAATGTGTATTTTGAAACTGTGTGCTTTTACTTCCCTTCTCAAGAAAAGTGTGTTGCAATTTCATTTTCATCAAATGTATTTAATTTTTCTTTGCAACATTCTTTAAGTACCATGCGTTCTGCTTATGTTGTAAATGCTTTTGTTTAAAACCAATGTGCTCGTTTAATTAAGCATTTAATAAAAGGCAATAATCCTGCCGTATATTTAATCACACGTAGCGGAAATTTAATTTTCGATATTGTTGTTGCAGTTCTTCTGGCTTATATAATGAAATTTTGACTGCGATGATTGCCCTGTAGACAGTAGACAGGCATGTACAGAGTAAGGATTCGTGTATTTATCTGTCAGAGAGTTATAAATAAAGCATGACGCTAGACATGTTTTTTCGTCTTGTTATTCAAAAATATCGTGATGACTTACTGGTGGAAATACTCCACTTCAATTTTTATGTTTAATTTCTTATGTTCTTTGTTATTATGTGTTGTTGTTGCAGTGTAGAATTTTTGTAAAGTGGGAAGTTATTCACTGTCTTGTTAACATGTATAATTTGTATTTCAGAAAGGATTTGTGACTTTTTTCAAATTATCTGGAGCTAATGGTCAACTTGATTTGAAAAACTGGAGTCTTTTTGCTCTTTTTGGCTTTAGTATTGGAGCATTACTTGTCTTTGCCACCAAAAATATTCCACAATATTGAATAAAGTGCATTCTAAAAGCTTGAAAGTGTAAGGTATTTTTGCTGGATATGTGTGGGGTCTGTTTGTTGATACTTTTACATTAACAAGTATTTTGCTTTCTTATCATTTTAATGAAGTCAGCCACTGAAAGTACCTGCTTATGGCATAGTGTAACCTACCCATTCACTGAAAAGAATTTGCATTCTATTTTTGACAATTTGAATTGTTTCATTTTAGTTCTATTCAAGCAATTTGATGAAAATATTGTTAGTTAGTTTTTTCGCAGACATGATTGCCACAAGCTACATTATAACCTGCTATTTAGAAGTGCAATGGTCATATTTGCTTTGCCTATCTTTGTATATTTACTAAATAGAAATTAAAATACAGTTGAGTCTTGAGAGTATGTTATAAGTGGCCCTAACAAGCAGCTACTTTGATTAATACTCTTACGATAAGAATTCATTATATTAAGATAAAGTACAGGCTTTTTGAAGATTATATTTAAAAGAATTTATATGTATTGTCAGTATACAAACCTATTTACAATGTATGCTACTAAGCTAGATACTGTTATCGCAAGAACTTTTTGCAAATGAAGTACATTTTGATAAAAATTATTATGTTGATTGAAATTATTATGTTGATCTGTCTGTTTATTATATAAACAAGGAAGATTTAAATTCATGCATTTCCATGCATGGTTTTTGATTTCTTCTCTCTATCTTCAATATCTTTAAACAATAAAGGTGGGGAAGGATTTTGTAACTTTATTTTTCTTTGGTGTTTTATTGGTATTATTGTAGGAGCTACCCATGGTTGAGGGTTACAGTAGGATGGCATAGGATAAGTTGTCCAATCATAATAACCAGTTACTTTATTCCCTAGATATCCAAAGTGGTAACTTTTGGATTTTTGATGGGATTTGGAATTTTGAAGCCATTTCTTGTAGGCTTCTTCACTTTCCTCTTTACGTTTTATGTTATTTTGTTGATGAGCTTTTTCATTCAGTCTTTTATTTTTTCTTTGTTCTTTTCTGATATCTTCCTTATCTTTCAACCATTTTTCGAAACTTTCTTTTGCCTTTTCTTGAATTCTGGCTTGCTCATCTTGTTTCTCTAGAAAATTTTTTCTTTCTAACATTAGTGCAATTTCATTCTTTATTTTTTCTTCGTGTTTTTTCGATTTTAACCATTCTTTTCTCTTCGCCATATCTTGCATTTCTTTTTCTGTTTTTATCTGAATCTCCTTTTGGTCAAGTTCTTTTTGAAGAGATTTCTTTTGTCTTTCTGTTTGCATTTTTTTCCTGTCCTGTACAACTTTAAGTAGTAACCATTTTTCCCAAGGACTTAAATTCTGTTCTTCTTTTGTCTGACTGCTTTCAGTTTCAGGTTCACTATGGCAGGTACTGTCTTTTGATCTGTTTGAGTGGAAGCCAGATAGAACACTAGTTCTTCTGCTAAAAGAGCCAGTACTTTTTTCAGTTGATATGTTATTCTTTACATTTGGCTGAGATTCAACGTCTAAACTATAACGTTTGTGATCATTTTCATGCAAACTTAGCTGTTGGTCGTCACTAGATTCACTTGATATGTCTTCATTTCTTTTGTCATTAATAAAATCATGTTCATCGATGATATTTCGTTTGCTGTAAAAAGGAGAAAGTAGAGAACGCGTTGAGTCGCCTAACTGAAGTGAGTCTATTGAGAAGTCAGCGATTTGCGTGGTCTCTTGTATTTCAGGAGAGCTGTGCAATGCCGCCATACTGTTTTGGTTACTCGGCTTGTAGTCACGCGCCTGCGCCTTATTCTAGGAAACTTTTGAAACCTTTTAAGATTCCTAGATGAAGTATAGCAAAATCTCTTTCCAGTCTCCAATTTCGGCAGATGACTAAGGAGGATTTTTGATAATCTCTCATAAAATTGAAAAAAATTGTATCAGAACTTCAAAGATCTCCTTGCATTTTACTGTAAGTAAAATATGGTAATACAAATTTGTTAATTTTCGCTAATTGTTGTTAAATACACCATCGGAATGAGCAGATTTTACACGAAGGAAAACACCACAATTACTACGCACACAGTGATAAACATTGTTATAAGATTAACCTTCACCATTTTGTTTCGTTTAAACTCTTGTAATGAACATTAAGGGCATGAAAATTCTTTATGTATCGTTTATTTACCATGATATCATTGCTCAAACACGAAACATTTTGCAAGGTTGAAACTTTAGGTATTTTGTTGTTGTGGATTTAGATTTTAGTTTTTTTAATTATTTTTACAGAAATATACTAATCTACAGTGCAATTGTTTGCCTAAATGGCATAACAGAATAATCTTCAGGTAAAAGAAATTTGGTGTGTTATTAGTAATCATGTTTGAACTGAATAAAACAGTGAGCTTTCCTTTCTCCTTAGTGTACGTAGGATTGACATAAACCCAACTTAATTTTGTTATAGAATACTTTAGAAACCAGTAATGTAATGTTCATTTTATGTACAAAACCAAATGTAAGGACATACAAGGCCTGTACAAAACAGAATTTACTAAAATTTACTGTTTGTCAAGTCAAAATTCAATATAATATCCTTGTGTATTATTTCCCACATTTTTGACTATATTCAATAATTCTTCAAAAATTAAGACTGTCATATAGTAGTTTAGAGCAGCACAAAACTATTGATATTTTATATAAAAGTAAACATTTCAACTAATACTGCATGTCATGATTGTTATAAATAATTTAGTGGTTGTCTTTTGCTGACATAAACATTTCAGTTGTGGCTTCGTTTGAAAACTTTTCTATAACCTTTTTGGTCATATTCAAATATTTTGTTTCAGCATTTCTTCCAAACTATGAGTTTAATTGGAACATTGAAGTCAAAGAGACCTGGATTTTATTTGGATAATTTTCTGCATGATTCAAACAATTTTTCAAGCATGATATTCAATCAATCATCATTTTCCAGAAGGTCGGAAAAAGAGGTTTGTTTGTTATGTGTTTTTAATGATTTTTAATGCAATTTTATTAGTAGGAGAAAGCTGTAAACCTTTTTTATGTTGCTGTTGTTTTAGCCTTTGCCATCACATTCATCAAGCCAACCTGGCTCACATTTAAACAATTTTTATTCATCACCATCAGGTGAGGTTTTAATTTTTTTTGTGTAGTGTTTTATTTACATAAGATCTTTTCATCGAAATTTACTAAACAATCATGTTAAAATGTACTGTTTTGGGAAATTGTTTAATGAAGTTTCTGAATTATTGCATGGAATAATGGATCGTTTTGAATCATCAAATTGAACTAGAACTGAAAGCAATTTCATTAATTTATTGCATCATATTTTTTTGTAATTAGTACTTCTCATAATGTAATAAGATGAATAATAATGAGGCAATCATGAGGCAGTCATGAGGCAACCATGAGGCAATCATGAGGCACACATGACAAGGTTGTACCATTTTAGCCAGTCAACAATCTGTATACTGTTTTAGAAACTAACAATGATAATTAATATCAGGTGCAATTTTGTATTTTTAAAATCAAAATTGCTTTGATGTGTTTTGTACAACTGTGTTGCCACAATTGACATTTCTTTCAATTGCCAATTAATTTATTTACAATCTATTTATAATTTTTCAGTTTCCGCCCCTGGATCACAAGCAAATTATTTTGGATCTGGTTTGGGAAGTCCAGGTAGTTTAAAGTCCGATCTAGAGGAGATAATTTGGCATAAAGTTATGATTTTATTGACTGTTTGTTGCCACTAACTTTGGAAAAAATAGAATAGAGCTGAACATTTTGACGGTAATTGTTTTCTTTTGTCAGGTGGCTTGAATACAGCATCAACAGTACCTGGTGCTCCTGGAAATAGTAGAGGTCTTTCCGGATCACCACAAGTTAGATATGCTTTTGTCTAAAGCAATATTTAAATAGCAAGTCATTTTTTTTTCATCTGTATTTTGATTTAATTATAGTTCAGTCGAAGTATCTCACATCCTGGTTATCACAGTAGTCAACACTATAGTCCATTATCTTCTAATGCAAGCTCTGGATTTCAACATTTAAATAGTTCTACTTCAACATTATCGTCTACACAACCTGGCAGGTATGATCATTGTCTTGCATAAATGCATGGTTCTCACTTTTGAATTAAAAAAAAAACAAACTTGTATTTTTCCTTTGATTATATTGTTTTTCTATTTCATTGTAGAGGTATTTTATCCATGGGTCAACGAAGTTCAGGTGTTACTTTGCCGCCAGCTGGTAACTCTCACATGACTCCTCAAGCAGCTTTTAATTCTCTTGGTTCTAAATCAACCAGTCGAGCACCTGGCTTGCCCGTGTTAACCATTGGAAGGTAAGGAGAAAGATGTTAATTTAAGAGATTTAATCTAGCTGTTATCTAGTTTTCTTTCATTATGAATGTGAGTTTCTTAGAACCATCTGGCTTGTTAAAAAATTACAAAAATTATTGTTATAAGCAATTATTTGACACCTACAAGCAAAGCTAGTGTGCACAGAAAATTCTTTGCACTAGTAATAAATATTTGCCAATTTTGCATGTTACCCGACAAATCACCACCTTAGCAAGCCCTGTAGTTTTATTAAATATCTTGAGAAAAGCTTTCATTATTAAAAAATTCTGTCCATTTTAGCATTTTGCAGTTCAGTTTTCTACAATTTTCTTTATGTAACAGGAATTCACCCGGAAGTATTGCCCAACAACAGCAACAACAGCAACAGAGATCATTTCTTGGAAGGTACAATGAAGTGTTTCATGAAAAGTATATTGTTCAATATTTACAGATAATTTTTTATAATTTTAATGCTTCAAATGTGTTATGTTACAGCTCTGCACACAATAGTTTGGTTAGTTCAACTACATTATCAAGTGCTTTTGGTGTTCCAAGGTCCAATCAAGTAAGTTTAATATGAACATAATGTGAATAGAGGACATGTTTGTAAAATTTTACTTTTACTCCAGAATGCCTTTGGTTTATCCTCGTCATCAATGGTCAATGTATTTTCATCAACTGGTTAGGAAAAAAATATTTATCATTCTTTAACTTTTTTTTAATGATAGCAATGCCATACGTTATTTATGCTTATCATCTTCATTCTCATTTACATACATACATTTCTAGAACATTCTTAATAAACTGAATCTTTTTATACATTGGTGGTTTCCTCCTTATTTACTTTTCATCTCTTGTACATTATTCCGAGGCAAATTAGAGAATATACATAATATTGATCCTGACACGGTTTTTTATATGCACATGAAAAACATGTGACTTGGACGAGATTTGAACTTGCACCTGCTGGATACTAGTCCGCCACTTTACCTGTTGAGCTACCAAGCCCATGGGGAAGGAGTGAGTTAAGAACTCGTTCAACTCACATGTTTTTCATGTGCATATAAAAAACCGTGTTAGGATTAATATTACGTATATTCTCTTGTACATGAATATGTTACCATTTATGTATAAATCTACAAACAGACAAACAAACAAACAACATTTGTATACCGGCCACTATTAATCCCCGCCAGGGGGGTTGACCGGTCCATGAATTTTTCTACGCCAAACGTCTCAATCTCTCGCCATATCTCTCGTTATACCCATCGCCTTCATATCACTGTTCACAGCATCCATCCATCTCTTTCTTGGTCTACCTCGTTTGCGGACTCCATCAACATTCATATGCAACGTTCTACGAATTTCAGCACTTTCTTCCCTCCTTTCCACATGCCCAAACCACCTCAAACGCTGGCGCCTTACCCAATTCTCGATACACTCAACACCAACTCTTTCTCTAATCTCTTCACTTCGAATCCTATCCATCAACGTGCATAATAATGTGAAAACCTTTATTGTTATTACGTATTTATAAATATACGTAATATTAATCCTAACACGGTTTTTTATATGCACATGAAAAACATGTGAGTTGAACGAGTTCTGAAAACTTTTATGAAAACTTTTATGTATAAATCTGTGGTTTGATTTTGTTTTAATAGGTCTTACTGGTAATTCCGACACAATATCATCTGTTTCTGCAATAAACAGTGGTCTTGACCTGTCAGATTTTCCCGTTTTGGCAAATCGAGGAATGTCACATGTGGTTTCATCTGTATCTTCCCCATCATCAACTTCTTCTTCTAGTTCATATGTTGGAAGGCCAAGCTATGGTATAAAGTGAAAAAAATGTTATTTATTTACATATGTCCGTGTTTTTTATAAATATTTACTTGGAAGCTCGGAAAAGTTGGTATTTGATGAAATGAAAACTTTTGTGTCTAACTCATTAGCATGGTCATTTGTCTATTTATTCAAAAATCTTTCTTGACTGAATGTAAAAAAAAATTCAAAATTGTACTCCGACTAACATATACCCAATGTTTTATCTTAAGGTTTGGTATCGAAACGGGGAGAGCCTACGACAGAATTTACAATGTTAAACGAGGATTTCCCTGCTTTACCTGGCAGCAAATTGAAATCAGGTAAGTCGTATTTTGAAGACCTGCATTCACTAAGGGAAAAGACCATGGTTTAATTCGCAATATATTTTTTTTTTATCAAGAAGGTGCAACGGAGTCGTCTTTAAATCAAGAAAATAAAGCGGTAAACAAAAAGAAATGGGATGTTTAGTTGTTGTTGCTTAGTGCTGACTAATTTTAATTTATTTTTTCACATTATTTTAGGCTGTCCAGCGATTTGGTGAGCATATTCTTAAAATCTTCTTGTGCAAATTGATAGCAAGAAGCCGATTATATTCGTTCGTGTTTTTAATTTTTGCAGGAAATCAAAATTCTTATGAGCAGGCTGTAAAAGATGAATTTCGGTAACTGCGCACTTTCAAGCAAACTCTTGCGTGGTTTGGTTTGTTTTCAAAATGATTAATTTACTTTTTTCAGGACCACTAGTCAAGCTCAAAATACTCAGTTAGTCAAAGGAAAAATTCAAACCTCACCTTCAGGTATTTGACGTTAAGCTCAAAGTTTTTTCCGTGATGGAGAAAGCGATGTAATGTTGAAATTAGTAATGAAGTGACTTCAAGCAATATAATGCATGTAAAAGCTGATTAGAAGAAGGTATAGTGTATGTACACGGTGTAACTGAGCCTGAGGAGACATGTATGTATGTATGTATTTTTGCTGATGTTACTAAAAAACACTACTGTTCAAGAAATATTTTTAATGTTTTAATTTTTTTGTTTAATGTTGTGATGATCTTTGTCTTTTTTGGTTTTAGGCACTATTTCCAACATACCAAAGCATATGGTTACGGATCAATTTGGAATGATTGGTTTATTAACATTCATAAGGGCGGCAGAAACGGAACCAAATCTTGTTACTTTGGCTTTAGGAAGGTTTGTTTTTAATCTTTCCATTTATTAAAATTTAAAATATTAAAAAAAAATTCCCGTTTGTAGCGATCTGACGACCCTTGGACTTAACTTGAATTCACCAGAGTAAGTAAAAAATGTTCTCTACAATTCAGTAAAACTCCGTTAACAATCAAAACGCCACGATACGCGGCAAGTTTGTCTGATTTTTCCTGATACAATCCAATTGAATTCATGTTTTCGTCTTCAAAGGAGCCTTTATCAAACATTTGGTTCTCCTTTTTCCGATTCACCTTGTCGACCCCATGAAATAGGTATGCACACTTTTCATAATCTATTACATACGATATAAAGAAACGATTCTACACTGCGAACAAACTGAATAAATACTTCTTCTTTAGATTTTAATGTTCCACCTGAGTACCGAATCAATTCCTTCATACGTGAAAAGCTATCTTCATTCAAACTTGGTCGTTATGGCGAAGATGTTCTGTTTTATTTGTATTACACGAATGAAGGAGATGTCCTACAGCTTGCAGCTGCCGCTGAATTGTAAGATTTTTATATGAACGCATCATACGTGTTTAGTACTTCTTCACAATCATTGAAGGATTTCTCAAGTCTGTATAGTAATCTCCAGTTTTGATTTCATTCAAAGTAATACTTGTGTTATTTGTTTCGATCCGCAAAAATCCCCTGTCGATCAACGATAATCCCCTTTTATTGCCATATTTAAATAAGTTCCTTTGATTTCAGATACTCACGTGACTGGCGTTACCACAAGGATGAAAGAGTTTGGCTTACTCGTGTTCCTGGTGTCGAACCACTTCAGAAGACGGATGTTTATGAAAGAGGTACATATTATATATTTGATTACGTAAACTGGCGAAAGATTGCGAAGGAGTTTCATTTGGAATATAAAAAACTCGAAGAAAAACCTTCACTACAAACTATTGCTGCACAATGATTTAAGTACGAACATGTCCTTAAAGGTTCATCAAGGATAACTAAGGACATGTGAGAGTATGAACTGCTTAATTTTGAGACGGAAATCTTCATCACGTGATCAGGATAACTTTTGAACTAAAACAATCCCAACAAAAACAGACAAATATTATCCTTTCTTTTGCTTCATCTTTGGATCATGGCTAAATAAGGCCCATTTTCGTTGTAACGTTCTTCACTCTCTCTTTTTTCTTCATGTTTTTTCTTTTATTTTGCATGTTATAGTTCATAAACATTGGTCATAAGATTTTTCTATTGCATCATTGTAAAAATTCTTGTACAGCGTAAAATTTCTAATCAAATAATAAAACTCGCTTTAAGCTTGTGAGCATGTCATATTTTTGGCTTCACGTTGTTAATTTGTTTACAAGGCAATTCTTCATATTTTTTTATAATTCGATTATCAAGCTCATATTCTAAGTTAAAGATAAAAGTTAATGAGTTTTGATGGGTTTATTATAACTTTTCATGTACCCGCTACACGAAAAGATAGAAAGGGACCTGACGTTACATATGTGCTCAACAACAATATATTTATATCTTCTTCCCACGAGTTATTTTACACCTGTACACGTATTAATTATAAATAAATCTCTTCGTCATCTTCTATATTTGTTAATGGCCCTTTTTACATGAAAGAAAAATCGTACTCATGTTTTTCCATTGAAACGTTTTTGATTTGATTCGTCATTGCCTGCTTTATCAATTTAAATATTGTGTGAAATTTATAAATGGTATTAATTAAATTGCACTTTAAAACTTTGTTTGTATATTTTTTATGTACTGCCCACAATCTTGTTAGTAGTAAATCATTCTCTATTATTCCGATTATGATTATGTTCAACATGCTTTACTTATGACTATATTGATATTCAAAGCCGAGTGAAAATAACTCAAAAAGTCTTTTGAGCAACTTCCGCTTGTTTTTCATCTTCATGTCGCGTTTTGCTTGTCTTTGCCATGTACGAAACAGGTACTTATATTGAATTTCAACTCCACGATTAAACAAAGCCGAATATTTAAAATCGGCACAACGAAGATATCCGATTGTTTTCCGGTTTTTCACGAGTCATCATAGCCGACATTGCGAAGTAAGCACTCTAGTTTCGTACAAGTTTTCACCTAAAAAAACTTATTTCTTTTCGGGCATGTGCTAATGATGGTATCTGGAAAAGATTTTGGAAAATTTTGACGTTGTGTGGAAGTAGCCTTTTTGTTCAATTTATGTTCGTAACAACAAATGTTATGACATGAACTGAATTTGTGTTTAGTTGACTGGATAAATGACGCATGACCGAGGAATTGCTAGTATTCCATTGATGTATACGAAAGCTTTCTCAGCTTATGTTTCGAGTACTTGACCGCCTCCAACGTTTCAAGACAAGACTTGACAAAGTGTTTTGATAGACGACGAAAGCTCTTCGTGTATGAATTTCATGTTTCAAGTGCATATGGACGATAAAATTGGATTCTTGTACAAGATAAACAAATTCTGATTATGATGTTAATCAAGGCCTTCTGACGATTCGGTCTACTACATAAATTCTCTGTGTACTCATATTGTTCATCACAGATTAAAAATTTCAATAAGCTTAGTGCTCCTGATTGTTCGTTGTTGAAAACAACGTTACGTGCTCGTATAAATTGTTATCACCCGTGACTGGGCTTTTTCACAAAGAATCTCATCGACGTTTTATTATCAAATACTTCGTACAAACAATAAGATCTCAGTATCGCGAGGAAACGACATAAAGGATACAACGTTTGTGCAAATAGTGGTATTAAAACCTATATGTTTTTAGTGTTAAACCGTACATTATGTTCGTCGTTTGCATAAATCTCTGACATTGGAAAGATTGAAGAGAACGGTCGTGTTTACGTAAGTCAAACATGGCATTCAGAAAAGGTTCAAAGTCGATTACTGTGGAGAAGGAAGGCTATCTATATGTGTTTAAGAAAAAATTTTCTGGTCTAAAGCCGAAGGAAAAGGTTTGTTATGTATGTAATGTTTTGCTCGATAACATTCACTGGACAAACTCGATGCAAAATATAAAGTAAGACGCATTTGTCTTTCTTATCTATTTACTCACATACTTGCTTAAAAACCTTTTACCGGTTGCTTTTTCATCTTTCACGTTGTTCCATTTACGTAAACGAAATGTTTTCAAACGTTATCATTCGACTTCAATAGATTGAGCTACTGTCAACGCTTTAAATGATGTTTTTTAAATCAACGTTTTCAGATATAGTTGTAATCTGATCGAACTTAGGTGCAGCTGAGATTATAAATTATTTTTTTTTAAATCGTTTACTGTATTTTGTTTCTGCTCAGTTTTTTTGTTTTGTGATTACGACATTTCCACGTATGACTTTAGAAGTTTAGTAGTCGATTTTTGTGAGGAATCGTTTCCTAAAATCCTGTTGTGACAATTCGTTTTCCATTGTTTATTTTAATGAAATAATTATTTAAATGTCACATTAAACAGAGCAAAATGGGAAATAACGTTTGCTGCTAAATTACCCTTTGAGATTTTCACATTGAATAATCTTTAGAGCTTTATTTTTCACCTTTATAACCTTTGCCGATATACATGTGTGTGTATTAGTAAAGTCCCGATAAATGGCCAGTATTTATTATTATTGTTAATTAAACATAATAAAATATTCCATTTAAGGCCTGGCAACAAAAATATATCGTATTACGAAAGGGTTTTAAGGATGCACCCTGCTTGGAGTGGTATGAAAGTCTGGAATCCTTCATATCGCACAAAAATTCATCAAAACTTAAGTTGGATACAATCGAGTACATTGGGCCTGTCGATATGAGTGAGGATTTTACATATGCATTCATTTTGTTTGGAGAAAAGCAAAACAAGTTGCAATTGGCTGCAAAAAGTGATGGTGAACGTGCAGAGTGGATCAATGCACTAAATCATTGCCTTCGAAATGGTCATCAAACAAAATCATCATTTATCTCATATCCTAAACCTAAGGAGGGCAAAAAGAATGGTACATTGTATATGTATTTTCTTTGTTGCTTAAGTCAAAAATTATCTATAATGTTGCATTTGTCTTTATATTTAGGCTATTCTGTTAAACTCGAAGACTTTGATTGCGAATTAAACAAGGATATACTACAAAACAGCAATCGAGATTATGTCATGATTGTTTATCCAAATAAAATCTCGCTATTCAAAGTTGATGGTAGAGGTGAAGAAAAACATGTGTTGAGTTGGAGTTTGGAAAATATCAGGAGTTATGACAGCAAAATTATTGACCAGAATTTAACACATAAGTTGCTGTCCATTGACACTGGAAGGTATCTGTATAGTTTTCATTTTAGATGTTGAGTAATGAAGAATATATGTGTGTTGATAGTTAGCTGTCAGAAGATCATAAATAACAATGAAGGAACAATTAAAAACAATGGCTATAATATTATATGCTTTACTAAATTTTGAATTACTATCTTTGTGTTTTTAGAAGCAGCACCACAGGAGAAGGAAGATTCAATTTTGTCACACCTCATGGTGATCAGATCAAGAGCCTCATCAGTTTAAATGCAAAACGAACTTTCACACAAAAGATGAATTCGTTTGAAAGTTCTACCATGGAGGGATTGTACAGTTCAAGTCCAGAAACCCCAGTCAGATCCATGTCATTTTCTCCTCGGAAATATAAAGGCGCTCCCGGTGTTAGAAGACAGACCATTGCTAGAGATAGGTCAATACCTTTCCACAAATATGATTCCCCCGAAAACAATGAAGGCTATGGGCACTATATCCAAAATCAAAACGGTTATATTGACATCTTCACAGATCAAAAAGAAGTTGAAGAAAATCGTAAGAGAAATAATTCACATTCCAGTGTGAGCATATTTAAAATGGAAGAAGAAGAGAAAGCATCGTACGTGGATATTTCAACACAATTTCAACATAAACACTATGTTGATGTTTTACCAGAAGAATCAGAGACACAAAATGAGTACGTTGATGTATTAGCAGCAAATGATGATAATTCTCATCCGTCATACGTTGAAGTTATTGGAGAAGAAGTAAAAGTATACAAAACGGACGTAGAAAGTCGTGAGAATTCATCTTATGTTGAAGTTTTAGGTGATGATGTACATTTAGTGGAACAGCAGGATAATGATGTACAACAGGAGACTTACAAGTCGCTTGAAAAAAGTTTTAAAACAGGTGAAAACTTCGTGGTGGTTCGTGAGCAACATTACCAGTCGCAGACTATCACATCACACGTGATCAGTGAACAAAATTCACGTGAAGAGGAGAAACTTGAAAGTCTTACAAATGTTAGTTCTCCTGTACAAAGATACCCTCTTAGTGTCACATCTCAAACAAGTGCGGAATTCAGTAGCTTAAGTAGTGAAAATGACGTCTTTCAAAATGAAATTAACATCGTTTCAGAAGTATTTCACGAGGAGGAAGAGTTCGTATCTGACGTGTCAGCAAAAATTACCGAAGATATGGCGACAGATTTCAAAAATACTTTGACACAAAACGAACCTCCGTTACGTCCAAAGAAAAGCTTTTCACACGCGGCTACCTTTCCTTCAATTTCTGAAGGATTATCTCCAGAGAGTGGTGTCAACTTGAGCGCTGATGTCAAATTGGAGAACGAAAAGTCAGAGGAGAAACGCCCCTTAAAAGTTGGAAGTTGGCATAGTGACAATGGAGGTGACGCTAGTCATTCCGAGAATTCAAGTTCAACCTCTGAAAGTGAGGATGATATGTTGAATTGGTCAATGAAGGAACGAAACGAAGATTCTATAATAGAGACAAGAGAACGAAGTCACACTATTGGTGAACTTACTAGTCTTCGAGGCAACGGTAGCATCATGGAATCTACTTTACTGAAGGCTTTTGAAATGTCTTTGACTAATCCACAACACATCAACACTTCTCCTAAAAAACATCCTCCACTGACGAGAGAACCGCAAGATCAGTTGATTTTTGAACTTGAAAATCCCACTCAAGCATCGAGTCCATCGTCGATTTCTAAGAAAGGCAACATTGGAAGCACAATGAAATATATTTGTTCAAACTGTGGATGGTATAAACTTTCAAAGAAACGCACTTCTCTGAGGCCAAATTTTCGAAATAAACAATGTCCGCGATGTCATAAATTAATTACGAAACAAGAGTCAAAAAGTCCCAAATCAAAAGACAAAAGTTCTGGAGGAATCTTGGATAAAATCAGAGGCAAACGGCGAAGTTCTGATGAGAAAATTGACAAACGCGATCCATCATTTATGAAACCAGAAAGACCAGTTCCCGTTGAACCACTGTTCGTTAAACGTGTTCGCGATTCCAGCTTTAGTGTAGCACGTCATAGTCCATCTTTAGATCAAAAACGTAGTGAACGAGGTATTGCTCCCTCCCCTTTAACTGCCTTTAGTGCAGTCTCACTTGATGCTGGCGAATCACGTGTTAGTGTGAGTGCAGACGATGGTGTGAATATGGGAAAAAATCCTCATGCTACATCAGTCAGTGATAGTACTTTTAATAACAGTTTAAGTTCTACGTCACGAACGATCTCCCCTTCGCCATCATCTAGTTATAATAATACAGCAAATGTTGTATCTCGGACTAGATCATCTCCGCCTTTGGTTGTTGGCGCTAATCAAGATTCAAGTCAAGATATGCTTGAGGTTGAAAAAATACCTCGAAAAAATTCCGGTCCCCCCCTGCCGACATTACCCGAGATTGAGGTGAGATTTGAAACTTTTTATTTTTACGAAACTTTTTTAGTTTAATGACGGATGATTTTTACCTGAATAAAAGTCATCAACCATATTTTTCCTTTCTCAGGATCAAAATGATCCGAAATACTCAGTTGAGTCGAGTCCTGGAACTCCTCCTCCTGTAATACCACCACGACCAAGCAAGCCACCGCTACCTCCTCGCCATGGCAGTGCTCCTGTGATCACCCCCCTGGTTGAACGTAAACTTCGTAGATCTCAAACAGATCCAGTGGTTCAAACATCTTCTTTGTCACCAAAGGTGTGTATCTATGGAAACAGATAATTATTCTTCTTGAACAGTTAACTATTCTATGAAATATTTTTTTCAAATTGCGAGGAAATTATTTTATTTGCACTATATTCGTCACTTTGAATAACAACTATGTGGCTTATAAGCACTTCTGAAAATAACTATTATGACGCAAATATAAGATTACAAACTAAATGATGACTATATGCATATCTTTATTATTTACATCGTTATTCGCAAACACGCTTATGAAGAAAATAGATGGTTTTTTTTTATTTAAACTTCTATAGCAATTTAATCATGAATTTCTGAAGTTTGATATCTTACAATGCAAGTTAAAGTATGCAGTACAAAAGAGTGAGTTACTTAAGGCTCTTTTCCATTCGTCGCAAAACGTACTCGCAAGCTCGCTGCGAGTGCCTGCGAGTTACTCGCAGCGAGCTTACCATGACTTGCAGCATAGTTAAATTAATTGAACAAATTTTTTTGATCGCGCGAACAGATTCGCAAGCTCGCAGCGAGAGCATTTTGCGATGAGTGGAAAAGAGCCTTTAATCAACCCAGTGTGTATATAAGCAAATACATTACTGCCAATAGCCTGATCGCATCTATATATGTGATAGGATCTTTGTTAGTTATAGATAGCGTTTGGTTATAGTTCTTATTGTTTGTCAATCTTTTCTTTCCATTTTTATCGCGTCTTCAAGTGATTGATGATTGTCAATTTTAGCTAAAAACAAAAAATCCGGTATCTCGAACACTCACGGATCCTGGCAACAATGAAAGTGGCTTAAATGAAAGCATTCGTAATGCTTTATCACTTGGTGATCTTCTTGATGATAATGGGGAATCTCTTAGAATGAAAGTTGTTGCAGTATCCTTAGATGATCATTTAAATGCCGATTTGACCCCACCTCCCCTACCACCTCGAAGAGGCTCTGGTCAAGCAAATCATCCGCCTCCATTGCCTCGTAAAGGTATGAAAAAAATTTTAAAGAAAGAAAGTAAGCCTTTTCCAATTTCCATGATGCATGTTGGTATTTTGATTTTGTCATGTTGTTTTGTATAAAATAAAAACATTTAAAGATTTTTCTGTGTTTTGAAGCCTCAAACGAGAGTGACAAACTTCTTAACAGCGCTAACTTTTCAAGACTAGAAGCTCACCGCTTTTCGAACGAGGTGTGTTTTGTATCCTGATTATGGATAGCTGTGTGTTATACTAGTTTACACTAAACCCTCAAGGAGATTGTGATTATTTTAAAAATGTCGCTAAAGTAACCAAGCATAAATATTAACGAACGTTTCACTGTTTTGATTTAATTTATAAATTTTTTATAAAGTGTATATGACATTGAGTTACGGATCTACGTTGCCAACACCGAATTTAATAATCAATTTTTTATCGCACTTTTAACATAGTACTTAAAAATATTGCTCAAGATTATATCATTTGTTATTTAGATAAAAATGTCCTATGGTTGTAAATTGATTAAACGTAAAAAAAATCTTAAATTTGGTCGGCAGAAATCTTCCCATTAATCTTGTGGTAATGTACTTAAGTTGCATATGTTTTAATATTTGTCAACATTACATACGTAATTCAGCTTCTAGCTGCCTGTTAAAAATTTAATAAACAATAATAATAATGATATCAATAAATTCCTAAAATCGTTTAAATTACCTTGCCACTCGGCGTCCGTTGTCATCATGCCGAATAAATACTTAAAACTTTTCCTTAGAACGATAAAAATTCGTTACTTTAATCTATATTTATTATGCAAACAAAATTGTTATTTTGACATAAATTGATTATGAAACAAAGACTTAGTGTGGTTAAGAACTTAAATATTTCTTTGACAAATACGCTCTTCAGAGCAATAAATTAAATACTACGCAAAATAAATGGCATTTTTATTTTTTTTCAAGAATCGTCCCCAACTTCCTGAAAGAGTAAACCCGATCGAGTCGAATTCAAAATTACCATTATCAGCTAAACGAAGTATTGAAGCTAAAAGAGATTTCCAGGCGAGAAAACCAATGTTTCACAATGAAGTTAACGAATGATTACAAAAGATGAAAATTTACATTGAGGAAAATCATATGAATGTTTTGCATTTGTCAGCTTGGATCACAGAATTTATCTTAATGACATCATTAATTTGTATTTTTTTTTCATTCTTGAACTGACATAATTTAGTATTTCAAGATGTCAAAGACTTAATGCTTCTTCCTTTCATTAGGAGATGTTTAATTTTCTTATTAAGATACAATATTTTAAGACAGGAAAGCATACACTATTCTCATTTATTTGTCTCGTGTTTTATCTTTATAAATTGCCGCGTTCTACATTAGCGAATTTCTCGCGTCATAGCAACGAAAATTGACACAGTAGTCTGTTCACCTTTACATATTTCTGGTTGGCAGTCTCCTCCATTATATGTTATCCTTTTGTACTACCTGGTAATGTCTACCACCATATTGTACCCTGTTGTACTGCCTGTTAATGTCTACCACCATAATGTACTCTGTTGTACTGCCTGTTAATGTCTACCACCATAATGTACTCTGTTGTACTGCCTGTTAATGTCTACCGCCATAATGTAGTTTGTTGTCTGAAACATTAATATAAACACGATCACTTGTCATACTTGTCATATGTGATATCTGCTTTTTTGTCATTTTGAAGTGTGACGAAAGCTGGAAGTTTCGACTGTTTCCTTTTTGGCATCGTTCAAGCTCTTATATTTTACATCTTACGTATATCGCACACAAGTCACGAAATCTTTTTGTTTAAAACTACTTACAACAAGATATGACCTAAGTGCACTGTAGCAATCTGTGTTTGTGATATCTAGTGTCGAAATGCAACGAAAACACTTGATTAGTGTTTCCTTGTTTTCGTTTTGCTATTTTGAGAGTATATTCAATGTATGACGTCAGTTTCAGTGAACATCCCATGTTCATTTCTTGTCAACATAAAAGAATTTCACCCGCGCAATTTTTTGTATACCCTTTTTATATTGAAACAATGTTTGAGTTCAGGAATACCTCTTCAATGTGTAAGTGGTTGCTTGGTGACAAGTACATTATATACTAATGTCTTGTCCCCCTTTTTCTTCATTTACTGTTTGATTGTTGCGAAGAATTGATCAGTTCCTGAAGACCATCGTCCAGTTATGGGTTTTTTTAAAGCTTTCCGTCACCAACATGAAGCTACAAGATATGAAAACGTCTACACAAATGACAATTTTGACATGGTCAACGCTGCTCTCATCTATGTTTTCTCTGCTTTGGCGTTATCGTTTATCATTTTGCTGCCAGGTTTTATGAAGAAGGAGGTACGTACTTACCTATATTATAAAGATTGTATGATTTCTATATTTTTTTTGCTTTTTTTTTGTACGTCTTGTTTTTTTGTTCGTTGTTATAGAATTATTTTATACTTTAAATAATTCCAATTCCTCGAACATACGACATATGTCTTGTCTACAATTTAACTGTTACTGGAAAGGGGGAATGTTAACACAATTGCAAAATTTTCTATTTTATTAAGTGTTTTAACAAGTTACGTGCTAATAAATCACCACCTTAACTTTAATTAGTTTTAATGGAGAGCGATTTGCCCACAACATTTTTCTTACTACAGTTAGCCGAGAATTGCTATTAAAATTTTGTTCATAACTATATAAATTAGATTGTCCGTGCATTGTAACTAGATGTGTCAACTTTTTAACGTATAAAAGCTTAACAAACAGCGCAAGTAAAAGATTTATTCAAGTACTTTAAAACAAACTGCCTTTTTGACGTGGTAGATGCTCTCAGTTAATAAAGAGTTTATATCGTTTATTCATGAAAGAGTTAATATAGCTTTGTTTTTATTGCGTGAAGACTTTCATAACTTCGCATTATAGCGACGTTTAGAAAATAATTTTATTCCATATTTCCGTTTTTGAATGCGCGTTTAGTTCATTAACTTTCTCTAGAAAGTTCCCCCTTATGCAGTAATTTGGGTGTATAGATTTCTACTGAATAACGGGAAAAATTTTAATAAAATCATTGATATGCATTTATGGCTCATATTTTTGAATTTCAGTGAAACATTTTAATGTTCTTCTTAAAGAAGGAACACAATGATTTCCTAGGATATAGTTTTTCGTATGCACGTATTCTGCAGGAAATAAAAAATGGCAAAGTGTCAAAGTGTCTTTGTATAACAATCGCAAACCTGTTAAAATATTTATTGCATGTTTTGAACTTAACTCAATTTGAAAGTCATACAGAATACAAATTTCTAGTTGCATATATCACCGCATCAGCAGAAGCAGTTTGCTTTAATTTGTTGATTTTTTAAACATTTAGCGTGTATCAGTTGCCATACGAATGTTTTCAAGTTTATTCATTGGAGCGACAATTTTGTGTGAGTGTTTTTATCATTGCATTGTACCTATACATCTCTAGAATATTCCAGTTGGTGATAATGATTGTTTAATAATATGATAATGATTAATTTCACGATGATGATTGTCCTCTTTTACTTCTAGTTTCGAATTATGGAATGCATTGGAATACAGCTTCAGTTAAAACAACTGCACAGTACAAAGCGTTTATGAATAAAGATCTCACAGCAAAAGTGGTGGTGAATATCGGATTAAGGGGCTTTGATGTATCTTTGAAAGGTGTGGTTTTTCTTTATAATTCTTTGACGATTCTTTCATATAGCATCCTGACTCTTTTTCCTGGAACATGTAGGAATGACTTCTGGCGTTGGCGATAATAATAAGATTGACGACATTGATTACGTGGAGAAATTTCGTTGGCACAAGCCCTGGTCTCAAGGCAGAATAGGTTATAATATATGTTATCGTAATATAAAATATTTTTCTTATCGTGCACATTTTGTAGTACGAGCTGAACTCTTAGAGGATGAAAGGAAGTTGATCGTCTATCTCTTGAGCATAAATGTTCAATATTGAAAATCTTAGCCTTCTCTTCACTAATTTTTACACAAAGTAGATGATTTTAACTGTTTTGGCGTCGCGAGAGCAAGACTAGTCATCCCTAGCCGTCGGGATATAGACTGTGAAATTTGTACACATTAATTGTTTTTATCAATATTTTTCAACATATAAATGTCAAATCACTTTTTTCATGACTTACACTAAACACACAAACATTATTTTTAAATGTATAGCAAGCCAAATGAGCAAGAATTATTACTCAGCTCGTATGCAAGGAGTTCCTTTTCCAATATTGAACGTTGCCGAGTATTTCTCAATAGATGGCGAGTGTTATCGTTGGGGACGAACATATCAACTGGCTGGATTTTACACTCACGCCCTGCTATGGTAAGGGATAGTTATGTACAGTGGGTTATTGTAAGGGATAGTTTTGCACAGTGAGTTATTGTGGTGATATGTTTGATTCTGTGCGAAAGGAAAAATGTTAAGCGGTTTTATGGTTTTCGATTTTTTGTGACTCACAAAAATAGCGTAATTAACTCTGATGATGTAATTTATTATACGTACAAAGACTAATTATAGTCAAATGGTCCAACCACGTCAATAAATATGTGTAGATTGGATACAGAGGGTTCACATACATGTGGTCTATTTACACGAAATGTTTTGAACTAAGGAACCCTTCCATTTTTTTAACGAATTGTATTTATATTCGTATAGGTTGAGTTTCATACTATGGGTAATCACAAATATATTGTTTGTGAATGTCGTACGATATGGTGCTTATTTTCTTTCATTAACTGGTATAAACCTACTTTTGGTAAATCTTCTTTATTTCTTGCTTCACATGGGTCCAGAGCTTCGAATACCCTTTCCTGATGATGTATTAACGTTCAATTATGGCTGGTGTTTCTGGTTGTGCTTTGTAACTGGTAAATTCTTCAATCTTTATATACAAAATCATTTTAAAGCAAAAATATTCCTGTTATTTTTCTCATCCGTGTTGCTGTTTTTTTTCTCAGGAATTTTATGTCTCGTTCTTGCTTTGATAATCTTTGCATTGGATTATTATAAGCCTGGAGTGGTTATTTCATTTTTCAATATCGAAAAACACATATCAATTTTCGAAGACAATCATTCTCATGTGTCTACGAATGGCAAACGAAATGATACGTCGTCTTTTATCGAGATAGTAATACCTAAGGACTTGTTGGAAACTAACCATGAAGAGGTAAGAATTAAACGTTGTTTCCTAAAATCATTTTGACTTTATTTGAATTGTGCCTTTTTTATGTTTTAATTCTATGGTGTTTAACTTTGAGTTATCGTCTGTTGGCTTTTTAGGAGCCTGATGGCTGCTTACAGAGTGGATCTGATCGCGGTAGTTGCTCTTCCACCTCGAAATGTGCAAATATAAACTCGAATAAGTCAATTGCTGACTTTCACAAATCGTCTTCTGAAATGGTCACTTTGAAAGAATATCGAAACTGGCGATCTAAAGACAATTATTCTTTTCAACCTGATATGTAAGATTAAACAAAAATGGCCATAATCTTTAACGTTGAAGGGGAACTCTTTAATAGTTCAGTATAGGATGATTATGAGAACCAATTACACTGCGTCTTAGTCGTTGTGTTTTGTACATTACCTAGAACAATATATAATTTTGTCTTTGATATGTGTATTAATATTTATATGAAATATTTATAATAAATAATAAATGAATAAAATTAGCAGAACTTTTATTTAAAAGTTGTGACAGCAATGTTTGATGTTGTATGATGGTATTTTTGTATGGTATTGTGCTCTGTGGGGTGGTATACCTTTGTATGGTATGGTTCTGTATGGTTAAGGTTCTGTAACTATTTTGTGAATAAGAAGAAAATCCCCCTGCTTGACTCCAATAGAATTCCAATAATTTTTCGAAGTTAAGGAGGGTATGCAAGCAAAACAAAGTCTGTGGAACATTTATTGTAGTATGTTATCCATAAAGTGATAGACTTGATACAATATTGAAAAGTAAGAAAGTAATGTAAGTAGTAAGAGCAGTAAAATGTTAATGTGTAATTTAATTCAAAATGTGTGGGGTGGGGGTGGGGTTATGAAATATGTTGTCTTAATTTGGGGAGAGGCATCAAATAATCTCGTTTAAATTTGCTTAACAGGAAAATTTCTTCCGGCCCCCTACGCCCTCTACGCCCCCTACCCGGAATAAATGATGACCTCAATCCCATATCAATTGTTGTTACTTATTTATTTTTTTTATGTTATCTCTGTAACATCAGAAGTATCATAAATAATATACGGCTGCCTAGCTAAAAGGATTGTTTATAGTTTTGAGGATATTGATCTCAGGGAACGTGGCACCATGGAACGTGAAGAGAGGGGGATTCCATAAAAGTTTAACAATATTACATGAGTAAGTTTAAATTGTTATCTGAATCGTGAACCGATATTATGTATATTAAGTATAAACTATGCAATCAAGGCTCAAATCATAAATTTTTATCCCTGTAAAGTTTTTTGTTCGCCAAGTTTTTTCATCGATTGCAGCAAAAAATCATTTTGATTTACTACAAACTTTCTTCTTTTATGTCTAAATACGTCACACGTGACCATTATTGACCAATTATATTTGTTGATTAAATATATTGCTTCCCGCGCCATATTTAGACTTCAGAAAGACGAAAGTCTTTATCGTACTAGTATTTTGTAAAGTTTGTATTCTTAGCCGAATTAATAAGATTTACAGCATTACCCGGGCTTAAACTGCTTATTAGACGACTATTTAATTGAAGCTATTGGAAAAAGTCTTTCACGAACTCAAGATGAAGTTGACGACCGTCGAAGAGTAAGCCATCTCTTGTTTTCATGAATGTTTTTGTCATTTTATATTCCAATAGTAACTTCTTGTTGATCATTTTTCTAAATTTTGGTGATTCACTAAAATTATTGCTGGATATGTGTATTATACTGCATGAAATTTCTTTGTGTCATGTTCATACGTTTCTTACAAAATTGTGGTTTTTGTTAAAATGTGAAAATGTTTGTTGATAAAACGTTTTATTTCGTAGAAATTATAAAACTTTCAAAGAGAGATTCAAATTTTTTATTCGACCGAACTTATGTCAAATGCTTTCTGTAGGATCAACATTATTGTCAATGAAATTAAAGAATTATTGAAGAATGAGGTCAAGACTAGAGTTTTTGTAAACAAGGTTAGATGAAAACACTTTGTCCTTAGAAGTAGGGATAAGGTGCTTAGTAGTTTCGTTAAATATGGTTTGGAGGAGAGTTTTGGGGATTAGAAATATGGTTGTTAGCCTTAGACCTTGAGTTAAACCGTGATAGAAGTTGTTGAGTGCATTTTTTATGGAGAAAGTGCATTTTGTATAGAATTGCATGAACTTGCCAAGTTGCTTTTGTTTGGAGTTGAAATAGTATGTTCTTTAATAAGAATTCTATCCATTTGTTCATTAGAAAATTAAAAAAAAACAAGGGTTCATTTGCATTTGTAGTGGCTATTGTTAACAGTAGATTTTGATTGAGTTGTATTTAAATATGCTGACCCTGACAACCAAACTGATCTCCACTGGGGGCATATGTAAAACACATGCTTTCAGCAATGTTAGTGATTAAATGTCCTGCAAACCGAAAGAGATTTAGTCGAAGGTGAAGGGTGCACAACTAATCAGTCTTTCGTTTTAAATACATGAGCAAAAAGATTTCAGCAACTTGCTCTACTCAAATGCACTTTTCTTTTCATAATATTCTGTATTGTGTAAAAGAGAAATGATTTTTAAGAATTTATTTTCAAATAAGAAATGAAAAGTACAACAATATAATGACTTACATTAATTTTTATAATTCAGCTCTATTTATTTAAGTATTTTAACTCCTTTTACTATATTAGAGTTTCCTCTAAAATACTGCCAATTGCCATCAAAGTTAAAGATAAAATATCAAGAATAGGCCTACATTAAGCCTCAAAAGTTTTCAAAATGATGTGAAAAGGTCGGTCCATGGTTGAGATTTAGTTTTACACATGTTTTTTCAACATTGTTAGTCATTGCAGGTGGACCGCAACTAAATACTCCAATATTTCTTACCTAAATGAAAGAAACAATAACACTTACACATCGTCCTTAAAATAATTTATTTAATGGATTGCTTACTTCGGGATGTAGTGCAGCAATGTTTTTCAATGTTGAATTGAAATCAGGTCTTCCAAAGTGAGTTATTGCACGAAGACCAGTAAAAAGTGATCGGCCAGAAATCTTTTGAAAATGACGTTCGCATGTATACTAAATAAAGGAAATTCATTGACGTGTTGTTGTTGAAAGGTGTTTTTTGTTGGTGTTTGAAGATGAAGATTTTTTATTATAACCCACCAACATCATTGTTCTCATGTCAAATTTTTCGTAAAATTGTGTAATGAAGATGTGCACAGTGACAACTCCCGTTGTATCTTTCTCTTCTACTTCACGGATGATTTCTGTTAACCATTCAAAATGTTTCTGGGTACGGGTCACCCACAGGAAGTATACCTAACAAGAAAGGAGCAAATGAGTCATTTGTTTGTCGTCAGAGAGATTGCCTTGGAAGTAGGTTTGACAATCGTTCACTATGCAAAAGTTCTACAAAATGGAGGTTGTTTAAAGCAAAGCGAGGTGAATAGAATTGCTGAGTTTGTAGTGATTGCTAAGTTTTCTATAGTGCTCACAGTATAACTCAATGCATCCTTGATGTATAATGACGTCATACTTGATGTCTCGTGACGTCATACTTGATGTCTCATGACGTCAGTGTATCTTGTTCACACATACCTGTTTGCAGGCAAATGTTGATTTGATATTTCCATTATGAGCAATATCCTTCAAAATGGAGGCAAAAGGTGTGACACCAATACCACCACCAACCAATACAGATACTTCAAAACGATACCAATCTTGATGACCTTCACCAAATGGACCATCCAAGTACAACTGTAAACATGCATGAACAACACACGTGGTTACCGGTTGATATATTTCGCAATATAAATGGTTTATTTGTTCTTGGTCTTACCTTTGGAAATACTTGATTATTATTTATCTTGTAAGTCATACGTAGATTAGTTGTCCACGGTCCCACTGCCCGAATATGCAGGCTAAGGTTTTCCTCGTGAGGGGCTGACGTCAGTGTAAATGGATGATACTCACTTCCGCCGAGATCCAGACACGCAATACGCACCCATTGACCTGACTTGTAGTTGAAGTTAACTGGGCGTTTGAACACAAGATTGGTGACATCTAAAAGCAGAATACTGTCAGGAGTACTGTTGTGCATTTCAAGCAATCATCCTTCTTTGCTTGGTTTTTACGATCTTTTTCTTCATTGGATATTGGAAATAACATCAATTTTATATATTTTATGGCAACCTTACTCGTATTTCATGCTCTAAGTGACGGTCTTGTTGTCAGAAGTACTTGTGTGTATGCATGTGTGTGCGCATGTGCATGTTCGTGTTTAAAGCAAGAATGTAGACGATATAGAAATGAACCTGATGGCAGGAGCTCAGCTTTCACAACAGGTATCTCGACTTTCTTCCGTGACATGCTAATGAGTTTGTCGAGAGTAAACAATACCGCGGGACCAATAAGATAGAGGTGAAATTCAGGTGCCTGGAGTAAGTGAGCACTACCATGAATTATTGTCAACGCATACAGTACGGAGTAAAGTTGATGTGTCCACCAGAAAAACTTGAAGACGTTTCTTCGTGAATATTGGGTAGCAAACACGTAGATTATGACAATTATAATGCATAAAAGCACACCAGAGATGCCTAAATATTTGATGAAGTCATTTTTAGTACGTGAAATCTCATTTTACACGTTGGTCCAAGAAATTCATATTTTTTACCTGTTACTGTCTGCCAACAATAATACGTAAAGTCTGGCAAAACATGCGACCTTAAGAATGGAGATATTATATATCAATAACCGACTTGGTAGCACCCATGTATGTACTTATGTCACCCCCTGTATATAATGACGTCACGTTATAACCTACCGATGGTAGTCGTTTCGAAATAGACACGACAATGTTGTGGCAGACTGCGTGGCGAAATGATAAAAGTTCATTCCATGACCAATAACATGAAGTACTAGGTGAGATAAAAATGTACTTTGAACAAGCATTGTTTTTCACATCATTGGCATTTTTCTCATAATAATCTGTGGTTTTATAAGGTCTCATATAGTATTTACATTGTCTCCTTAGAAGACACACTAAATAAACACTAAATGTTTCGTACCTGTGAAGAATAAGGCCAGACAAGCCACGTATTTATGAAAGGCTACAGCGGAATCGAAAGGAATCCAGTTCATGGCTGGTGTCTCACGCAGGAAAGTTATGGTATTTCTACACATGGTGAGAAGCAGTGTAGAGAATGTGACGGACATTGCTGCAGCGGCTCCACGGCTAAGGCTTACACCGTAACCCGCAACTTGTCGTAAGCTTAACGACTTTTTTGATGTTGAGTATTCTAAATCAAAATGAAAAAGTGACATGAACTTTAACTTCATATGCTCTTGTCTTTCTATATGTACTTTAGTATACTGCCGTTCATTCTTGCATACTCTACTCTAGTATCTTTATCACAGACGAACGAATGCTCTTACTTAAATCCAGTGTACTCATACCAATAGTTAATCATAAATCTTGGACTATACGTATTATAGGTTTCAAAAGAATGTTGGATTGGATTTAGTTTTTCATTTTATCTTCATAGAAATATCTGTACTGGTCGGTTAAAATTCAATGTTTTGTCTTAAAAAGTTATTTTCTTACCGTAAGCTTTGCGAGCAAAAGCTCCAATCACAATGAGAGTGTAAAATGTCACTATAAATATGTGTGCTTTATGATTCTCAATGAAACGCGTGACTTTCACATACAATGAACTATCTTCAATGTTATTTTTTTGTGTAAAGAGTGATTGTGTTGAGTGAGATAATGTACTTCGAAGTCCTTCATGACACGACCGTCCATCATTTCTGTCAAGAAAAGAAATAACGTATATTATCCCACTACGTACATAAATAACATATATTATTCCACTACGTACATAGATAACATATATTATTCCACTACGTACATAAATAACATTAATATTCCACTACGTACATAAATAACATATATTATCCCACTACGTACATAGATAACATATATTATTCCACTACGTACATAAATAACGTATATTATTCCAAAACGTACATCTATTTTTATAAAACAACATGTTTGGAGCTTCATAGTTACACAAATACATACCTATTGTTTTGTTGCACATCTCCACATCTCATTTTGCTTGCAACTGTCTTTTTTTGAAACTCGTTTGGGGTGATTCCTTTACCGCGTTTCGGGGATTTTCTCAGTAGAGAAATAGCATCAGTTGCTCCTGGTAAAATAATTTGTTACAACAATAAATAGTTTCACGATTTTTGTGCTGGAATTATGTTGTGAAAGTGAGATGATAAAATGTTCTTGTTCTCAATTATAAAGTACGTTCATATGTTTTTTTACCCATGAAAACGTTATTTGCGGCTGAGAGAAGGCCTTCTGTCTTGTCCAAATTCATCATGATAGCACCAAAGTCTTCAAAACAAAGAAACTCTTTCGTTTCTTCTCCTTCCACTTCAAACATGGAGTTGACCAGCTTATTCAAATTGCTCGGTTCAATGCTCGCTCCAACGAGATCCACAAACGACCTAAGAATGACAGGAGTCCTTTTATAACTGTAATAAGTCTCATGTAACTATGGTGGATCTCATGTAGTAGTGTTGGATCTCATTTACCTATGGTGGATCTCATGTATTTATGGTGGATCTCATGTAACTATGGTGGATCTCATGTAGTGGTGGATCTCATTTAACTTTGGTGGATCTCATGTATTTATGGTGGATCTCATGTAACTATGGTGGATCTCATGTAGTTGTAGTCGATCTCATTTAACTATGGTGGATCAGAATTCATGTGTATTCATTGTTAGGAAGAATTAATTTGTACTCATGAACAACTAACTTCATCATTTTCTTGAATGCTTCCCTGTCTAGTTTTCCTTCGCCTGTGACGTCATTCATGTCAAAGAACAGTTTCAACTTGTCCTCTGGGTTACCTTATTATCAATCAAGAATTGTTAAAGCATGTGTCTATCACGCAAATTGAACATTGTTTAAAGCTTCTTTATTGTGAACGTTGCACAAAATGTGTTGTTCTATTGCGATGTGTTGTTTTTATGTTTTTATTTTTATTCTAGCAGCAGGTCGAAATTTCTCACCTTTCGCAAATATTAACATTATGTCAAGAAACTCTCTGAATGAGATGGAACCATTGCTGTCTTTGTCTGCTAGCTGAAACATTTGTTCAACAAACGGAGAGTTTGTGTGTATGCCCAGAGCATCTGCGAACTCTGTTTGTGATAACTCACAACTCAAAATGTCTTTGATCTCATTTGCGCTCAATTTGAACTTTTGCAGTCTTCACCACAGTCTAAGTCGAATGCCTAAAATAAAGTAGTGGAGTCTTCCATGGAATACGTTGTTAAGGTTTTATTGAGAGTTAGACACTTGAATAACTTACTCTTGCAAATGCTGCTTTAAAGAATTGCTCTAGTTGCCGCTGTCTTTCCTCACGCGTTACTGCAGTCTCAAACAGTTCCTTTCCCTTCATGTAATTTTCGATGACGTCAGGTCAGGTGACTCTTGCGTCATAAATGATTTGAAATGTGTAATAAACTCCTCTCGTTCACTGTTGTCAGTAAATGCAAGAACCTGGAAAGGATACACAATATATTTGAGGATGAAAAATTTTGCTATTTTTTTTCTTTTTTCCTCGTGTGTTAACCAACAAAACACCAACATACCACATCATATTCCCTTTGCATTCGTAAAGACATTATTTCTTCTTCTTTATCGCTTTGACGAATTATCTTAATGTTTGACACATGCTTAAGAGAGATGATACGTAAAATTTGATGCCTGTTCGTCGTCATGGTTATCAGAGGTCCCGGACCTATTCTCACGTTGACTTCGCGAGAAACTGAGCTGTTTTCCCATTCGATAGCTAGAACAAACGCACGATTTGTCCTCTTACATTTATTTAATTGTATTTGTGGGTTACAACCATCCCCTGGGAGTAAGAGAACAATGGAATGCTCGCCATGTTGGATGAAATTTGCATTGTAAATAAGGAAGATCCTTTATGAAAATCATCCAACATGGCGACTATGACGTAACTTGCAACCCAAGAACTATTTTAAAGTGCATGTATATGATGGTATATTATAGTATATTATGGTATATTATGGTGTATTATGGTATATTATAGTATATTATGGTATATTATTGAGTTAAAACGTAATAAATTATTATATTAATATCAATGCAACACATCAAAGTTTTATATAATGATCGAGCTACCTGAAAAAATGCGCAAATCATTTCTCATGACGCTTTCTTTTTTTGTCCTTCTCCGTAACTTACTGAGATCTTTTTTTCGTCGTTTATTTCGAACCTTTGCTAGACCTTTTAGCCCAGCAATGGCGACTAAAAAATAACAGCATTTACATTATTCATGGCATTTTGAAGTAAATTACTAAGTTTTTCACTTTGTTGTTTTTTTTAGATTACATACCAAATGGAAGTAACCCAAGAATAGTAAACGTCACAACAAAAGGTATTTCGCTCCCGGAAAAGTAATCATATTTCTTCAATGGTTCGCATTGCTCTTGATAGATTGGTCTATTCTTCACTGGACATGAGGCTTTAGAGAAATTTTGAATTTTTACATATTTTGACTGTAAAATTTTTAAAATCAATGTCAATAAAACGTACCATTAATTACAGAAAACACGTCATCTTGAAGTTGCTGACTTTTAATTTTTGTTACTGCCATGATTATGTGCTTGAATGTAATATTCTTTATTTCGTCTACCTCTGCCTCCGTAAACAGTCTAATAACATGCATTAACAATGGACTCCAAGAAACGTTTGATAAACACACTAGCACAGTTAGTATTTAGGTTAAAAGTCCTTGGAAATTACCTGTTTTGCTTGTAATTCTCGTACCAAAACCTGTCACCGTCTCTCAATCTTAGAAATTGTTCCATGATGATTTTTGTGAACAGTTCTCCTGGTCCTAATTTTCCCGACTCTAAAATTCCACCTAGCCAGATATCGATGTTATCCACATTGCTATTGTGTAGCACCTCAAGCTTGCCAAGTGTCTGTTTCGATGGAAGATAATAGTTTTCCAAGCATTGTTTTATCTTTTTTTAAAAAAAATGAAAGATGTTCTTTACCTTGTCAGACACAACCTCTGTATCGTTATTGATGTCTCTAAAGCTTTTTACTCGCTTTAAGTTGAAACTTTTCCTTGCAGTGTTGTAGTCTGGAAGTCCGTGATCTCGTCCGCGCTGGAGTGTTAATGCTATTAAGTCACGACGAGAGTGCTCTAACGGACCATATGCGAACTCTAATGGATAGAGAAGGTTTTTTATTTATTTATACTTCAATACCTAACTGTACCTGTATGTTAACGGCAAATGTTTCATTTGTCATGTTTATTCTCACTGTGTAAATCATCCACGAAAATACTATCTTCCCCTTGCGCTATTTGGTTAATCATTCCATAAACTATAGCCTCGACATGATCTTTTGTTTTTCGGTCCTTCGCTTTTATTGTTTCCTAAATGAAGTATTGTTGGTCTTAAAGAATCATGACGTTTCCTTAACTAATCATGATTATAGTTTTAATTACCTCACTGTTCCAGTATCTATTGCAAATTCTCAATCTCGTCTCTACGTTGTCAGGAAAATTGCAATCATCAGGGTATCTGAATGAAGGGAAAAGCTGTATAATAAAGACAATTGCAATCATCAGGGTATCTGAATGAAGGGAAAAGTTGTATAATAAAGACAATTGCAATCGTCAGGGTATCTAAATGAAGGGAAAAGTTGTATAATAAAGACAATTGCAATCATCAGGGTATCTGAATGAAGGGAAAAGTTGTATAATAAAGACAATTGCAATCGTCAGGGTATCTGAATGAAGGGAAAAATTGTATAATAAAGATAATTGCAATCATCAGGGTATCTGAATGAAGGGAAAAGTTATATAATTGAGATTCCCTCAGTCATATTAATTTGAGTTTTTAATTTTTTTATGACTCACTTTTTTACAACATGTGACGGTACCATTGTCTCTGCAAAGCGCATGGCTGTTGCTTGGAACATGTTACTAACACCTGGATGTATGGAGGATCTGTAACCTAAATGCAAATTTTTTTATGGTTACTGACAAAACTCCTTCTTTTCTTGTCGTATATAATGTTACCTTGGTACGGATACTTTGTCTTCAGCAATTGTTTTGAATATGTTGGCGAGAGAAATGATGGAAGCCATTCGTAAAAGATTATATGCTGGAAAAAAAGCTCATTTAGTTCTTCTTTAATGCCGTTGCTCAATCAGAATTTACGAAAAGGTTTCATGAAGATTCAATGTTTAGATAATAAATAGTGTGGCCACATGAAAGTCGACAAGAAATTAATTTTATCATCTTGAAATTATCAAACTTTAGGCATGATATAGCATCAAAAGCCTACGTATTTTTCGTTTTTCCTTTTGTGAAACACCGAGTTCTCATCATGAAGTATATTCTAATTTGATTTATAGTTTTTTATGAAACTTTTAATAAATTATTTCATACTTGATACGTAGCAATAACCCATTTTCTTGCTTCATTGAATATTTTGTCATCGTTCCAGTTTGGATGCTCGCGTTTTATACGTTCTGCCATTTTATTGTGATAACGAAACCATAGAATTCCGATGGAAAGTAAGAACGGGTTTTCGTTGCCTCTATGATTGCCAACCTCTAAATTTTTTTGTTCTAGTATTAGCTTTTGTAAATGACTTGTATTGTGTGATTATGAGTTAAGTTATCGTACTACATGCAAACTAAAATATTACAATTAAAATAAACAAAATTTCAGTATATGAGGGAAAGGAAACACAAAAATATCATTTATCATTGAATTTAAAACATTAGAACACTTCAGTCTCATTGCGTCATTTGTTATGTATAAATAATTAAAAAATCGCCGATAACAAAACGATATTTTAACGTTGACCAGAAACAATGAGATTATTTTGATAACGTTTCTCTTGCTTAATTTAATTCATTAGTAAAATAAAATGCTTTTGACGGAGAAATCTTACTTAGTATACGTTTAGCATCCTTAAGATCATGACTTGATGGTATAGCTGGGTTACTCATTGGTAGACCTATAGAATTTTCCTCGGGCCAGTCTCCCTCTTTACTAATCGATAATTTTCCATCCTTAAATGTACGCAAGGCATCAGCCCATGCTTTAGATGTACCGTATATTGTACCACCATCGAGCCACGGTGTTGCGTCGTTTCGCTTTGCACATATACAATAAACAAAATGTTTCGTTTAGAGGGAATAAATTCGAGCAAGAAATTACAATTTTTTTAACTTTTCTCTCGATAATTGTTCTTGTGTACATACCTGTTGTCTTGGTTCGTTTGGTGACCAACCACTCTCTCCGTGATGATAATTTGAACGTACAAAAGGAATGTATCGGAAATTATAATCACTTTTATTTTCTTTAGGAACCTGGATATTCATGTACTCTGAGGGACATCCTGGACGGCTGGTATCCACGATTTCGTGTGCGACTTGCTGAGCTGAGCGGGATTATAAAGGTATGTCAATTTTATCTAATCTTTGGTTACTACTTAATGTCTTTTTATAGTCTATCGTGTCCAATATATACTTCAATGTCCCTTGCATACTTTAGTGTCCCCTTTATCCTCTAAGTAATTCAGTATAATAATACATAAGTATCTCACCAAAAAATACCAACAAAACAGAAGCACGTCGAAATGATTGAATATTTTTGTTTCCATTTTGCGATCGAAGTGCGCTGCTGATAAGTAGAGGATTGGGACGAGTAAATCCCGATGGTTGATTTATGCCATCTTTATATGCGGGTGGCTCTTGTCTTGTCAATGGAGATCCTAGATGATATAATTGTTTAGATTCGTATTTTTATCTTCAAAAACATGTTTGTTTTTTGTGTGTGTTTATACCGACGCTTCCCCAGTTTGGATTTGCTAGATTGTTATACCAGCCGTCATATCTTTGATTTTCTTCCGCATTCATACATACTAAAAATATAAAACTTTACACTCAGTCTTTCTGCCATTTGTGTGTCAAATTTATTTAATAATATATACATTTACATGACGGCAATGAACGATATTAAAAGTTCTAGTCGTGCTCCGTTCGTTGTTTAACGAATTACGAGAAATAAACCAGAAATTTCTGGGAAAATTTAGGATTGTTACAGATTTGTCTGTTGTTTATGTTAAACAAGCTTTAGATTTAAGTTTTTTGATCAGTTTGAAACTTTATAGTTTTTCAACTTTTCCATGAAAACTATCGAATAAAACGACTATAACTTGAGTCTGTCATTTCGATGAACCAACGTAGCTAATTATTTGATATTTTTAACAAATCTTACCTCTCGCAAATATAAAGAAATTGAAGAACAACTTTATGAATAATCTGTATTTGAACGACATCAGCTTCTCACGTTTAGTAAAGTCTGTCAGAATGTTGTTCACACACTTCTGTTGAGATTTTTAGTCCAAGTCTTTTAAAAGTTTTAAATTGAAACACGATTTTTGTCTTACACAATTGTGCAAATGACTGCGTGCAAGATTTTTAAGAAGTCTTTTAAAAGTTTGTGTTTTTAAAAGATCTTTATTTACCGTCGTTATAGCGTGAATTTTTGAATTAGAATTATTTCTTCGCTTCGCAACCAATCATATGTGATGAATTGTAAATGTTTCCTGTGTGTTCAAGCTGCAGAACAAATTGTTTGTAAAATTCAACAATAAAACATTAAGTCGATCAAACTAATTACGACTGACAAAGTAAAAGTGGCAAAATCTAACGATGTTTTGCCGTGAATCGTACCGCTTTACCCGTGATGAAAAGGAGTGGTGGTTCTTATGAATTTTCTTTGTTATACTTTACAACGGATATTCTTTACGACGTTAACTTACAAACACCTTTATTGTTTTCATTATCGTAACATTGCTTTATTGCATAAAATTATTGCTTGTCAAGAAAAAGTTTAATAATACCTAGTTTTCAACAAACTGTTGACTTTACTTTTGACATTTTCTATATATCAAGAAGCTCTAACATCTAAACGTAATTTACTAAACACAATCATGCACTTCTACAGAAATTTCTAGTGTAAGGAATAAATGTTTGTGCGACATCACTGCAACAAAGATTTCTTGTCGTAAGACACCTTTACTCTTCACCAAATCTGCCAAAAAATAAAAAAAAACTTTGAGTTTTCTTTCGTCTTTAGCAACCGGCATAAAGCTGTAAGAAGTAAATATAACTGACTATATGGTAAAGTATGTGATAAAGTCTTTATGATTATCCAAAGTATTTTATACTCGAATGTGATAGTTTATATAATAGCTCATATGATACTCTATATGATGGTCTATATGATGGTCTATATGATTGTTTATATGATTGTAGATGTAGATCGTCCAGGTTGGTATAGTCCTGAGAAAGACTGTTTTTGTTGTTGTTGACTGACGTTTCGACAACCTTAGCGGTAGTCATCTTCAGAGTCAAATGAGGAGTAAACTAAAATCTAAAAACTAGATCAACTAAAAACATTGCACTTCACACTAATCCACAATGACAATACACAGTTGACACCCACATATTTCCTGTACGCACAATCTAATGACGTAAGAACCAGACAACAAATACAGCTAACCTGACGTTTACTCCTCATTTGACTCTGAAGATGACTACCGCTAAGGTTGTCGAAACGTCAGTCAACAACGACAAAAACAGTCCTTCTCAGGACTATACCAACCTGGATGATCTACATCTACAAACATGTAACGATACTCCCGGGTTCAAACCATTTACTTTATTACGATAGTTTATATGATAGTCTATATGATAGTTACATGATAATTTATATGATTGTTTATATGATGGTCAATATGATAGTTTATATAAGAGTCTATATAATTGTCAATATGTCACTTTTTATGATCGAACTGATCCATTGTAACAGTCCAGGTTCCACTTACTTTCTCTCCACATATTGCGGATTTGTGACTTTAATAGTCACCCCCCGTCTAGGAACATTAGCGTACGCGCTCTCATCGTCATTATCATTATTATCGGGAGAAGAGGCCTGTCGCGGTTTCCTTGGCAACCTCAGAGATCCATGATGACGACGTGTGAGGCCCAGGCCTGCTCTTGTTCGCGGTTGAAACTTTGTAATGGTCTATTAATTAATGCGGAAAAAAATTTGGTGAAAATGAAAATGATTGTTGTTGGTGTGGTTAGTTTTACCTCTACGTTTTCGTGCTCTTCATCATTTTGATCTTCGTTCGAAGTTGATCCTACTGATATCATTTCTTGTGCATCGCCGTTTGTCGTGTTTTTTTCGATTTCTTCGTCTGCATCGCCTTTCGTCTTCACAATAACAGTGTCTTCGAAAGACGCAAGAATATCGATGTTGAAAAACGCAGCCGTTGCCAATGGATTTATAAGGTCGATTACATAGATAACTATTGCCAAAATAATGCAAGCAATACCTGTAAAGAAATATATAATCAATGTCGTAGTTGTCTCGTCACTTCATTCATAATTATAAAAGAAGCAACGTACCCGTTAACAAAGAAAGATAAAAACACCAGCCATAGGATGGCTTTAATATTGCATGTGCATTCAAAGGAATCATCAAGTCCGTACCCCAGCGTAATGTTGCATAAATGATGTTACCAATAACCATAAGAGAACCAGTGAGACCCAAGAATGCACTTGCATAAGATATCACGACAAAAAATAAGATTATAGTGATTAAATAGGTTGCAAATGCCGTCCTGAAATGAATCCAAAAATCAACAATCAGACTATTTCGCACGTTTTTCCACGCTAACAACACAAAATGCTTAATTAAATAAACCATTGTTATTGTGATAAGCTACTTCTCTACCATAAACATATGTGCGTATAAAATCCTGCCATGCGATAAGATCGACCCCATCTGATATTTTCACCATCAATGGTAAAATACTCAGCAATCCATAGGATAGCAAAAGGTAAACCTTTAAATTGTGCTTCTCTCAAGTCACGGTTAATCCTTGCAGCTGAATTAAGAATTAGGGATCAGTATTTCAGATTTATGTTACTGCATCATGATCATACAGATTTGAGTCATACCAAATGGACCGAAGCCAATACGTCCTTGAGCCCACGGTGAATTCCAATAAAATCTTTCGTTATAATTGACTTTTTCAGTGACATTATTTTCAAGCTTAAATTCTTCTGGTTTACCTAAGCATGATGACATTAGATGTGTAAGTAAAATGTATTTAATGTCAATGAATATTGCAATAACTGGTAAACATCGTGTAAGTCTTCACCAACCTTTCATTGTGATATTCACACCACGTAAACCAATCTTCAAGGCAATATGGGCGTGTACCTCCTTCGCAGAGAATGCTTTATAATGAACATGTGTATCTACTTCTGCCTTTTCCCATTCCATGCCAAAGTTCGAAACTATTTAGAAAAAGAGAAATTGATAGTCATGTTGAAATTTCTATTTGATTTGATGTTGTCTATCTTAAAAGCTCTATGTTTCTTAGATTTGTTTTCAAATCTCAAATATTCGAAAGTTTTTTTGTTTATTTTGCTCGTGATTTAATGTATATAATAATTTTTCATCCATCAACTGGTTGGGATTTTATTTCCTTGTACGAATTCCTTGTACAAGTTGGGATTTTATTTCCTTGTAAGATCGGTATTTTTCTCTTTATCTGCTATGAAAAATTGCTTACTCAAATAATTGTCGTCAATAAACACCTATTGTAGTGTAGAAAGCTATTACGTGTTTTGCGTGCATGCAATTTTTAATTATTTTTGTTGCTATTTGTGGGGGTCGGCATATTTTTGCACCATTTGCTATTATATGGAATGCACATCAAAGTAATTACCGAGCGACTTTCCAGATAATTTTCGCCCCCCAATGCTTACAAAATCATGCATTGTTTTTATTGTCATAATAACATGCACGATATATAGAACATTTACTTACGAATAATGACTGATCCAATAAACAAACTCACAACGATACGGATAGCCACGTAAAGACGCTGTTAAAATATGTTTGAAAGACAAAGAATGTTTTAGTTCAATTTTCACGCACGTATACATGTAATTGTAAGAGATTGTTTTACCTGCGTGTTTTACATTTTTACGAGTTTGTTAAAATATTTTTAGGTTTGTGTGTTTTTGACGTTGAATATGTTGTATTATATGACAAACTAAAACACTAAAATTTACTCATTTACACTGCTACAAATTATTATCCTCGGTTTCAGTAAATGTACAGTCTTTGTGTCCCGTGTAAATGCTTTTTACTATATAATACACGTTAACTAGTAAAAGTAGTTCTTCTCTTCATAACAAGGAAATAATGTTCTGCTTCCCGTGGAAATCCTGCTTATGTCAACTAGTTTATAACTTGTGTATGTTTCCTTTGGAGTTTCGCTTTAGTGGCTGGGAATTATTTGGTTACAGGCCTACCTCCTTATGTCTAAACCCAGGTAAAACGAGAAGGAATGCAAACGCCAACATAGCAAAGGCAAGAATCAATCCTGCCTCAAGGACATCGACAGTCACAGCCGTTTTGTTCTCACCATATGTTGTCTGAAACGGCTTATCACGAAATCCGTCGTACCAACCCATAATCGTTTACTAAAGAAAATAACGCGCATAAATTTGCAGTTCGCTCACGCTAGTCTGCTATTACATCTTTTGAGCTAAAGAAAGATAGTTTAACTAACATTGCTTGCCCAGATGTTTATAGGCAATGGTACTTTACTAAGATGGTCTAAACAAAGCAATATATTTGAAATAAATAAGTGCATCGTGCGATAAATTGAAACAATCGTCATTAAAGTACTCAGATGGTCATTATATTTTACTACGTTTTGTAATAAAAAGATTAAAATACCTTCCTTGCACCTGTTTCGTCTATGTAGGTTGAAACTTGATGTAGCTTGTGTCGTTTTTGAAATGAAAGTGTACTCGCGGAAGTGTTTGAGCGTTGAAAGCACAGGTTGAAAGCGAGGCTTTATTATGTAAATGCCAGGAAGTGGGTGATTTGATATTGACCTCTTTTCGTCTACTTCTGATATCTCGTATATATCAATAAACACAAGGATGTCGTTTAATTGCTCTGTGGTTCGCTTACGGATGCGAACTTCGAATATAGTTATAAAAAGTATACTATTTTGCGCTTATTCCAGGTAATAATAGCGTGGGTTGCATGCATCATGGTGCATGCCTTGTCACGTTTTTTTGATCATCACATTTGATTGGTTGTGGCGAGATATTTGATACATTCCTACGAGAGGCAAAGGACTCTAACACTGCTACTCTTACTCTTCCTGTTATTTGTATTTTTCAGAGCAAAGAGTAAACCTTACGTATCGGTTTTCAATTATTGCTTGGAGTCGAAAGTTAGTGAGCTACCAAAATGACTCCAAGTTTATTTCGAAAGGTGTTCGCATTCTCGATGGTGTTACTGGTTTACTGTGGCAATGGTTCTACGGTTTCAAGTAAGTGTATTTCCTCAAATGATATTTGTTATAGTATGAAATTATCATACCATCTCCGAAATATAGATGGCTTATATGAAGTAAACATTGGCGTAAATTCTATTACCATGAACTGCTTCAAGAGCAACGGATTATTTCAGTGCTAGAATTATCTTTGAATAACCGGAAGCAATACGTCTGTAAAATGCCTGCTCTACAATACATTTAACTCGTATTGTCACGCATGCTTTCGATTTTCAAAATCATAAATCATGAAAGTGAAAATTGTGTCATTTTTATGTTATGATTTGTCCATCATGTCTCTTCGACTCAAACGATTTTGTTCATATTTTCATGCGCGTCCTTAAAATTAATCAATTGCACAAAGCTTGTTAATAATTAATACGTTTAATTGGATTATGTTCTATATTTTGCCAGCCAACGAAAGTGTTTGCTTTAGTTGCAATATTTCACCCATTTATTTAACTTGCTGACGCGGGCACAGGGGGAGGTGGGGTGGGGGAAGGATTGAAGTCGTAGCTCCCTCAGGCTCAATTTCGTAACGCTTTGCATGGAATTTGGTTTCTTATAACTTTTTTTAACTCAAATCTTGAGTTTACAAGATGATGTTTTTTGGAATGTGTTTTTTCTTTTATTTTTTGAAATTGTCTGCTGGGAGAGGATTTTGGTATCCTATCTCTGTGTGTTTACACATTAACATGTTCATCGTCATAGCAAACTTTTTAATTATTGTTTATCATTCTCACTTGGAAACATGTTTATTTTAAGTTATGCCTACGTTTTAAAATATTTAAACACAATAACATGTCTTTGTTAGTTTTCCACATATTTGCGATTTCAAGTCTGTCAAGGAGAACGTTTGTTCAACATGACTTTACGCCCTCTTGAGAAATTAGCAATGTGAAAATATTGATGCGGATGACAAACCAACTTCGTTTTGAATTTCGGTTTGTCTTACACTTTGTCAGGTCGTAAAATTCTCGTTAAAAGATATTAGTTACGTACCAAGAATTTCCTTTCCAGTGAATGTGTAAACAAGCATCTTAGTGGGAGTGCTTTGTGTCATTCAGGTTGGAACAAGATTTTGTAAAATTTCGGCGAATTCCCAAAATTCCTCTTGGAATACCCGTGTCTGCTGTTTTTGACTTTTCAAATTCCTTTTCATTTTCACATTTTATCTTTGCTACGACAAAGACTTGCAATTGCGTCTTTTTGTCCACTCAAAAATATTGAATGCGAAAAGTGTAACATTTAAAAAACGATTTTTTGCCTCGAAGCGAAACTTTGCGGCGGCTTGAGTACGGAAGTAAAATTTTTATGTATGTATGTATGTAGGATTACTTTTACAGGATTAGTTTTATTGACATTATGTTTGATAACATGGACGATTTTTAACTTGTATACGTATGATGTATGATAAATAAGTACTTTTGAAATGTGTTTATTGTCAATACCAACTGACGATGGAATGTGAAAGTTTTGCGTGTTCAAATATATGTGTGAATGTTTTACTTTCGAAGCCTACACGTTTTTCATTATGTAAAAATGTCAGGCATTTCAAGTGACGACAATTTTCTTTAAAGAAAACATGTTTCGACATGCTTATGCCATCTTCAGTCCAAGGAATAATGATGATATCTATTTACAGTTGTATTGTTTAAGTGAGAGTGTATCGAATTACTACATGATGGAATTATTTAAAAGTTGAATATTGTGCTGATGTGATGTATTTTTTTATTGAGGTTCTGTTTGAGTTTTTTTACACCATATGGATAGTTTTTTATATCATAAAGATATGAAAGTATCTTTATGACGTAAATGAGTCTTTCTACTTCAATGCATGTGATATTCTTACGTAAAACATATCTATTTAGTATTACGCATTACGTCATGCGGTAATTTCTCAGTAAATTTATTAAACGATTCCGCTTATTTAATGTCTCTCGTTTTTTGTGTGAATGAATGTGCAACGAGCAATTTGTGTCGTGTTTCACCAGAATTTATTTAGGATTTTATCATTTCGTCGTTGCACTTCGGCAAAAATTGATGAGTAATGTCAAAATCGAAACAATATCTGCTCTCTCAAGCAAAACATTACTCTGATTACTTTTGCATGTTCGATTGTTTAGTTACATACATCTTTTAATTTCATCCACTTGAGCCGGTAGCCACTAACACAGTCCTGTCATTTAGGTGTTACCTTGGTTGGGTAACAGTGCAAGAAATTGATAGTTATTTTTCGTCATTACCAGCACATACTTGCCTCTATAGTAATGTACAAAACTCACCATTTAGGTGTTACCTTGTTTGGGTAACAGTGCAAGAAATTGATAGTTATTTTTCGTCATTACCAGCACATGCTTGCCTCTATAGTAATGTACAAAACTCACCATTTAGGTGTTACCTTGTTTGGGTAACAGTGCAAGAAATTGACAGTTATTGTTTGTCATTACCAGCACATGCTTGCCTCTATAGTAATGTACAAAACTCACCATTTAGGTGTTACCTTGGTTGGGTAACAGTGCTAGAAATTGATAGTTATTGTTCATCATTACTAGCATATGCTTGCCTCTATAGTAATGTACAAAACTCACTTGAGGATTTGTGATTCTTAGTTAATCTAACAACCTTGATGTCATCATCTCTCATCCAAACTGGTACTCTCTCAACATTTTCTAACCTTGACCCACGATCTGTTTCTTCTACCACAACTCCATCGGGAACATCATCCATAGATTCAATGCTTACGTCAATTTCAACAAGATCATCAAATTTAATGTCATCTTCAATTTCAACGACATTAAAAGTTTCAACGTCATCTTCAATTTCAACGTCATTAAAAGTTTCAACGTCATCTTCAATTTCAACGTCATCTTCAATTTCAACGTCATCTTCTTATTCGATGACACCAGCAATGTCAACGACACCCAGTTCAGGTCTGAGTTTTTGGTTGGGCGTTGTCAACAGTTGACTTAGCAACAGCATTTCTTGGAACTTCCAACATCACGTTTAGTCACCATCATCACCATCATCACCACCACCATCATCATCATTATCATCATCATCATTATCATCATCATTATCATCATCTTCATCACCATCATAATCACCGTCATCACCATCATAATCACCGTCATCATCATCATCACCATCATCATCACCATCATCATCATCATCATCATCATCATCATAATCATCATCATGACCATCATCATCATCATCATCATCATCATCATCATCATGACCATCATCATCATTACCATCATCATCATCATCATCATCATCATCATCATCATAAATTTCTTATGTTCACTGAGATTCTTTATGAGAAATATCTATAATAAAGTTGCCAATTGTTATATTAAGTATTTTCAATATTTCCATTTTTTCACCATTTTAGGTCAGACAGTGTCGTCCTTTAGAGATTCTTTTCCCAGGATATCTCAACGATCTCATGATAAAGAAGAGATTGAATATGAAGGTTATGATGGATGGTACAACAATATGGCACATCCTGAGTGGGGAGCTATTGGTATATTTATTTTTCTAATTCTTTTTACTAACCATTGGTATTTTGATCAATATTACCGTGAGCCTCTCCTACAAGTTATGCTTGTATTTTTTCAAGACATGCCGCTGACTCGACGAGTGCCGTCTCACTATAAAGATGGTGTGTACGAACCCTCGGGCTCTGAACGACCAAATCCGTTGTCGCTAAGTCAAGGTTTGATGAACGGAAGTTTTGGTACACCATCTTCACAAAGAAAAAGTGCTTTGTTGGTTTTTTTTGGTAAGTTTCAACTTCGCTGTTGTCATCATTAATCTCTGATGTAATTTTTGTATTTTTACTTCCTTGAATGAATATTTCAGGACAACAAGTTGTGGAGGAGATTTTAGATGCGCAAAGACCTGGATGTCCTCCAGAATATTTTAATATCGAAATTCCTGACGACTACACACTCTATAACAACCTTGGTCTGACTAAGAAGATTATCCCGTTTCTACGTTCACGATATCACATGACCACTGGTTATTCACCAAATAACCCGAGACAACAGGTGATGACGTGTTTTAGCTTGTAACCAAGGGAAACCATGGTTTTTAGACCTTTAGAAAGCTTGGTGCTAATTTTACTTTAGATTGGCGATTAGTTTTCTGTATTTGGCATGATTGAGTTGTTCAGATTAATGGCAATGCTAATACTAATTTCATGCTAATAGACTAGAATGTATTTTCACAAATAGCATTTCAAAAGTGATGGATTTAATGTTTTTTTTACATCTTTATTCCATAAAGTATTGCATCAAATAAACACAATGTATATATGACTGAATCTTTTGTTTACTTAATTTGTCACGTGATCGTGTTTTAGTTGAACGAAATCACTCCATGGTTAGATGGTGGTTTGATGTACGGTGTTGCCAAGGCTTGGGCAGACGCTTTAAGATCATTTCAAGATGGAAAACTTGCTCATAGCAAATACGGTACACAATGGCCACATGAAAACGAAATTGGTTTACCCATGGCGAACCCACCTCCTCCAGCCAATCATAAGTTGAAAGACGCCAAACGATTTTTCAGTTAGTATGCTTATATATTGTCCATTGTTTAGTAAGAGTCATTGGTTGTAAAGATTTTCAATTTTCATGTTATATTATACCAGAGTTGGGCAATCCAAGAGGCAACGAAAATCCATTTCTCTTGACGTTTGGCATCTTGTGGTATCGATTTCATAATATCATGGCAGAAAGAATAAAGAACAATACAGATATAACTAATGATGAAAGATTGTTTAATGAAGCGAGGAAATGGGTGATAGCTGTACATCAGGTATGTTGGTTGTAATAAAGGTACAAATTTAGGTATATGAGACATTCAGGGTAGAAGGTGAGTTGTATGAGTCATACAGGGTAGAAAGTGAGTTGTATGAAACATACAAGGTAGAAGGTGAGTTGTATGAGACATACAGGGTAGAAGGTGAGTTGTATGAGACATACAGGGTAGAAGGTGAGTTGTATGAGACATACAGGGTAGAAGGTGAGTTGTATGAGGCATTCAGGGTAGAAGGTGAGTTATATCAAACATAAATTAATGTATTTATTTATTCTTTAGAAAATCGTGTTTTATGATTGGTTGCCCAGGTTTCTTGGTCAAGATCCAAAGCAATTTAGAGAGAAGGATACTTACAGTGGGTATTATATTGTGATGAGTGTTGATATAACATTAATTCATTGTTTATGATAAAACATTTGACGTCTTATTTTTCCATTTTCATTTTTATAGGATACAAACCATCTGTTCATCCAGGTGTTGCACATATATTTCAGTCAGCTGCTATGAGATTTGGTCACACAATGGTCACGCCTGGTGTTTTAAGAAGGTAGAAATTTTAAGAGGAATTGTTTCAATCCACAAGATTGGTTTACTATGTATGATAGCTATTCTCATTTTTCTTTTCTTATTCACCGTGTATTTGTGTTACATCAAAGAAATATAAATAAATTGTGTTCTGTTGTAAATTAAAACTTCATTGATGGGTAGTTTTGGATAAGTTAAGGTATTTTAGAATACAGTCACGTGTCAGGATGATTTGGGATAATAATGTTGAACATAAATTAAAATTCTTGTTTATAAACATCGTTTGTGCAGATTTTACCACAGTAAATCTCAAACTGCCCTAATTTATCTGACTTCAGAACAGGAAGATTGCGTTGAGATAGACTGTCAATGTTTTAATGTAAAATCTTATTATCTTGGCGCGGCAAAACTCGCGCTTTTTCGTTATGTATTTTGAAATTTAAGTGTAAATATTTTTCATTTTGCTTTTTCAAATTTGTACAAATCAAATATCATGATCAATTGTCATTTTATAAATACATTTAAGGTGATTTAATATTGATAAAATGGGATATCTATGAAGAAGATGTGCACGAAAATAAACATATTCTCACATTTATTATAGATTAAAGGATTGCACAATACCCAAAACTACATCAGATTCTAGCGACACGGGAGACACTGCTTTTAACAAAACTGGAATTAGAACATGTAACTCTTATTGGAATCCACAAGTAAAATATACATGATTATAGTTGAATTTAAGATTGAAATTTAAAATGATGTTGGGGACTGGGAACTATGGTATCGTGATAAAATAATATCATTCTATTTTAGGTACCGATCATGGAAAAAAATGGAGATGATTACATTGATATCGAGGGATTTTTACGGGGAATGGCTTCACAAAATGCCGAAAGAGAGGATAATATTATTACGGAAGATTTGAGAGGTAAAGTACACAACAATATCACGGCTCTGAAGGGACGCTGTATTGGAATGTTTTTTTCATTCGCTTTTTTTCTTTTAAGGTTTTGTATTTGGTGGCCTTGATTTCTCTCGTCGGGATTTAATGGCTGTAAATATTCAACGGGGTCGAGATCATGGACTTCCTGATTATAACACAGCGCGTGAAGCCTATGGATTACCTAAGAAAAACTCGTTTCTTGAAATCAAAGCGAATAATTCACATATTAGCGATGCGGTAGGTAAAATATGTTTGATGTGGATTTTATTATTGTTCATTACTCGTTTACGGATAGCGATATTTTACTCTATAAAGTATATAATGTGCATATTTAAAGAAATAATATAAACATGAAATTTGTTGGCATAATTTATCATTTATTTACAATAATTATAACCAGACATTGCAAACACTATTCTTGTTTGCCTTTTTAATTTTTCTTAAATAAATCATCAATTAACACAATCGAGGTTTTTGCAGGTGTTTGATAACTTAGAAAAGTTAACTGAAGGAAAAATGGAAAATATCGATGTATGGGTTGGAGGTTTGCTGGAAACAACGACAGAAGGACCTGGTGAATTGTTCTCGACAATCATCGAAGATCAGTTTAGGCGTATCAGAGATGGTGATAGATTCTGGTTTGAAAATGAATACAACAAGTAAGACAGCGATCTGATAGAACCACATCATGCCTTCTCACTCCAACACAATCATCATCAGCTTTAAAGATATCTTGGTTTCATTAACTTCCCTTAGAATGCACGCAACTATTAATTAACTGCCCTTAGAATGCACGCAACTATTAATTAACTGCCCTTAGAATGCACGCAACTATTAATTAACTGCCCTTAGAATGCACGCAACTATTAATTAACTGCCCTTAGAATGCACGCAACTATTAATTAACTGCCCTTAGAATGCACGCAACTATTAATTAACTGCCCTTAGAATGCACGCAACTATTAATTAACTGCCCTTAGAATGCACGTAACTATTAATTAACTGCCCTTAGAATGCACGCAACTATTAATTAACTGCCCTTAGAATGCACGCAACTATTAATTAACTGCCCTTAGAATGCACGTAACTATTAATTAACTGCCCTTAGAATGCACGTAACTATTAATTAACTGCCCTTAGAATGCACGTAACTATTAATTAACTGCCCTTAGAATGCACGTAACTATTAATTAACTGCCCTTAGAATGCACGTAACTATTAATTAACTTCCCTTAGAATGCACGCAACTATTAATTAACAGCCCTTAGAATGCACGTAACTATTAATTAACAGCCCTTAGAATGCACGTAACTATTAATTAACTGCCCTTAGAATGCACGTAACTATTAATTAACTGCCCTTAGAATGCACGTAACTATTAATTAACTGCCCTTAGAATGCACGTAACTATTAATTAACTGCCCTTAGAATGCACGCAACCATAACTTTTAAATACCTTCTTTTATAGTCTTTTTACGAAAGAGGAAATTGCACAAATAAATAACATCACGTTGTTTGATGTAATTTTGATGTCGACGAGCCTAACTGCTGATGAAATACAAGAAGATCCATTCTTTAGTATGTGTATTTAAGATATTTGAACTTTTCTTCTTTTAATGGTAATTAGAATGATTTTATTAGTAATGTGTAATTTAAATGATTGCAGCGAGCGAGTCAAAATGTCCTGCACATACCATTGGACCAGATGATGTTGAAGATTGCACTCCACCAAAGACATTTGATTACTTTGAGGATAGTGAAGTGTCATATCTATTAACATTCGTGTTTATTGGATTGTTTGTTATTGGTTAGTAATTATCTACGCTTATTCAATCATGATTAACATAATTTATTTTTAATTTAATTTTTGTATTAATGTCACATTTTATACCAATGACCGTTTTACGTCTTGTTTTTTTACTTTGCTCAAAAGCGTTGTTTACTTTAGATGACATAAATTTAAAGCAAGTCGTAAATTATTTAATGACTGTCGTAGGCGTTGCAGTTGTTATGTTTTGTTTGGCAAGAAGTCGTCAGGCGATGCTTGCAGAGACGCGAAGATTGCATCGTACAAAAACGCAACGGAGCAGCAAATCTGCGGACAACGAATTTATTGGTGAGTATTTTCTAGTTTTCTCGTAAATAGTGTTAGCGGTATCTTGTACGAAGAAAGAATGTTTACCTTAGATCACTTTTTATTGTAGCGGCCGAATGGAGGCGAAATCTCCCAGAGAGAACTGTAAAAGTGAAACTTGGTCCTGCAAAGACAATTCGTGTCTCATCAGATCGTGGACAGTTGCTCCGCACTATAGATCTCAAGGGAATGGAGTGGATTATTGTGTTTTTACAGAGTGATCGCGAACGAACATTACTCTCTGTTAGGATGGACCGAGAATATGATATGGTAAGTGTAATGATAGGAGGTGTGATGATATGATAGGAGGTGTGTTGATATGATAGGAGGTGTGTTGATATGATAGGAGGTGTGTTGATATGATAGGAGGTGTGATGATATGATAGGGGAGGTGTGATGATATGAGTGGATTGTGTAATGATAGCAATGGATGTTGTTATGATAAAGAAAGTAATGATAAGGTACGAGGGTCATCAGTGCTGCAGTAAATACAGATAAGTATATGATAAGGAGGGTCGTGATATGATAGGAGGGGTGACGATGTAATAGTGTGATAAGATGATAAGTAGGAATAAATGGAGATTATTTCATAACAGGAAAAGCTTACGTGAGGCTAAAAAGATGACAATGTAACTAACTTTCTTTGAAGATATTAAAGTTTGACTCTGAGCCTCAAAGAAAGGAGTTTTTGGAAACTTTTGAAACTTTCCTGAATAAACACGATATCAAATGTAACAGAAATGAAATGAGAACTCAGATGTTGATATCGTCTGCACACACAAAAGAAGATCGTCAAAAAAGACTTGAAAAATTCTTCCGCGTAGCATTTGCCCACGTAAGTACAAAAAAGGATACAGTTAAATTGATGTTAACAATTTCAAAAAAAATCATGAAATAAAAGCACTATGAATTCATTTGAATAAAATGAATTCCTTCGTCATTAGTCAATGATGACTTAGACAATAGATTTGTTGATCGTTTATCAACAACCTCTCAATGTTGACCATTGTTTTATCTTTTAGGCTTTTGATATTGAATATCACGATCAAGGATTTGATGAAAGAATGGGAGAGGCCAAGGAGGTTTTGTCGTGTGAACTTTCTCGAGCAGAGTTTGCCGAAGCACTTTCTTTAAAAGCTAATTCACTGTTTGTTGAGCAAATGTTTGATCTCGTTGATAAAGACCGCAATGGCTATTTATCCTTCCGAGAGTTTCTTGACGTCATTGTTATTTTTGCTAAAGGTATGTCGAATATTCTTTGATAATGGTAGTATTTTTAAATAAGTGCAGCATTCATCTTTCATTTTTCTTTCATAGGAACTCCTGATGAGAAACTACGATTGTTCTTCGATATGTACGATGTATCGGGTAACCAGGCTTTAGGACGTGACGAGTTCAAAGGAATGATTAAGTATGTAATTTATTGTTGTAAATTTATTTGTCAGAGTGGTTGTGTACCATCTAGCGCTTGTTGATTTCATTTTCTCTTTTTCCTCGTTTGTGGTTTCAACTGATTATTTCACATTTACAAATATTACCTTTAAAATAAAAATTGAAAAACTTTAATTTTCCTAATCTTTAATCCTTAGATTTTTGTTAAATATTTTTTATAAATTCATTTCCTATAATCTTTTGTTGAAATGTCGTGTTGAGCTTCATTTTCGAGTCATCATGCCCTAAATTATAACATTTTCTTATCCGTCAGGTCTTTCATGGAACTTGTTAATGCTGATGTTGAGTCAGACCAACTTGATACCCTCACTGATTCCATGTATGCTCAAGCTGGTTTTGGTGATAAGGAAGAATTAACGTTTGACGATTTTCGGGCTGTTATGGCTGAGTACAAGGATAGTTTAGAAGACGCTCGACTCGATTTCACAGGTATGCAGGAGTTAAGCAATATTTTCTTAAATAATTCACGAAGATTTTAATTTTCCTCTCACGTTTTTCATTTGTGTAGGAACTGGAGTTGATGTACCAGCACCTGGCAAAGAAAAGAAAAGAGAAAACGCTCCAACTCGTGCAAGGAAAACCGTCATTAAACATTTGAAGTAATTACAATAGCAAATTTATATCGATTGTTGTACGAAAGTGACCAATTGTCAAATTGAAGAGAACGCTGTCTTTAATCCTGTTTTAGACTGTTTTATTTCAAATTTGCGGCGATCGTTATGATTGTGTTTTTCATTTTTAAGGGGAAGCGAGGATCGAACTCCTACAAGAAACCCAACAAGAATAAAAGTTACAACGAAACGAACAAAAGAGTCAAATCATGTCTTGTGGACATGGATTGCAAAAAATGTTTCAAATCACATGTCGGCTATTTTGATTGTTGTCTTGTATACTTTGGTGTTGTTTGCTATCTTCGCAGAGAGAGCTTACTGTATGTATCATTGTTTTTTTTCTTGTTTCTTTTACTATTTCATCTATACTTTGATTTGAGTATTTCTTATCTTATACATAGATTATTCTGTTGAACGAGAGCATGGTGGTTTACGGCGTATTGCTGGTTACGGCGTTACAGTGACCCGCGGTGCTGCAAGTGCAATGATGTTTACCTACTCTACCCTTCTTGTTACCATGTGTCGTAATCTTATCACTTTTCTCCGAGAAACATTTGTTGGTCATTATATTCCGTTTGATTCTAACGTGTTGTTTCATAAATACATCGCTCTTTGGGCTTTAATTTTTACTGGTGTGTAAAAATCATGGTTTCCTGTCCTTTATATGTTGTAATAATCATCACTCGTTTGATATTTTTACACTTTTTAGTTGCTCATTGTGTTGGACATGCAATAAACTTTTATCATGTTGCTACTCAGCCGCCATTTGATCTCACTTGTTTGTTCAGAAACTATTTTCGCAGGTATTTTTACTCAGAATAAATGAGAATTGAGCGTCTCTATTTACACCTTTGTCAGTCTGTTTTTCGATTGATAAACAATCATGTGCTAAAGAACTTTTTTCTCTCTTATAAAGAACACACGAACTTGCTTCTTTCCATTATTGGTGCTGGGAGACAATCACAGGTATTTTGTTATTTTGTTTTCAACTTTAACGACTTAGTTGTTACTAGATTTTCCTTGTCAGTAAGTACTTACTGGACGTTTAGCATTTTAGCATTTTTTTATTGAGATGTAAATAAAATGATGATATAATCATTTTATATTTCCAGGTTTAACAGGCGTGCTCTTACTACTTGTCGTTGCTGTTATGTATATTTTTGCTACTCAATATTCACGACGTCATGTATTTAACTCATTTTGGCTAACTCATCAATTGTATGTTATCCTATATCTTCTTATGGTGCTTCACGGCAGCGGTAATCTTGTACAGCGGCCTTTCTTTCACTACTTTTTCCTCGGACCTGGAATATTATTTGCTCTTGATAAGCTCGTCAGTATGTCACGTAAGAAAGCCAACATCGCTGTCATTAAAGCAGAACTTTTACCGTCAGGTAGAACTAGGGATCTTCTTCAATGATATTGACATTTGATAAATTTTTTTGGGAGATTTTTATTAACGGAGTAAATTTCTTTCAGACATCACGCATTTGGAGTTCAAACGGCCACCAAATTTCGAATATATAGCTGGTCAATGGTGTCGTATTGCTTGTGTGAGCTTGGGAGGTGGAGAATATCATCCATTTACACTTACCTCTGCACCACATGAAGATAATCTTAGTCTTCACATTAGAGCGGTTGGCCCCTGGACTATTAACCTTCGTCAGACTTACGATCCTGTAAATTTACAATCGAAACCTTATCCACAGGTATGTTTTTGTCTTCATGCATCGTAATACAGGATAAAACTGAAGTAAGTATTATTCAGCCAAAAATTCGTAGTTTTTTTCTTCGCAATGTATGACAGCTCAATTGTCTGATTTTTGTGCCAGGTGATAACAAAGTTTTGCACGAATGAAAAATTAATGTCGTTTTAGTATTTATCTTAACCGACATGTTCACTAATTGTGTTTAACTCACATTGTTCTTGTATTTTTATTTTAGCTATACCTAGATGGTCCGTTTGGTGAAGGTCATCAAGATTGGTATCGTTATGAAGTATCTGTATTGGTTGGTGGTGGTATTGGTGTCACACCTTTTGCCTCCATTTTGAAAGATATTGCCCACAAGGGAACGGTTAAATCAGCATTTGCCTGCAAAAAGGTTTATTTTATTTGGGTGACACGTACCCAGAAACATTTCGAATGGCTTACAGATATCATCCGTGAGGTGGAAGAGAACGATAAAAATGATCTCGTTAGCGTTCATATTTTTGTGACACAATTTTATCACAAATTTGATTTAAGAACCACAATGTTGGTACGTACGAAGATAATAATTTATACTTAATCATTTTTTCTGTTCAATTTTTGATGTATTATTGTTATAACGAAGTTAACATATAATCATTTTTAGTATATTTGTGAACGACATTTCCAAAAGATTTCTGGGAAATCCTTATTCACTGGACTACGATCCATCACTCATTTTGGACGACCTGATTTTCCTTCTTTCCTTGAGTCTCTATCTACAATTCACTCAAAGGTTAATAAACACGTTCCTATGTTTCCTGTCCGTTCAATCTTTTTATTTATCATATATTTGTTATTCAATATCAATAATATCGATAATAAACGTTATTTGTCTTGTTACTTAGGCGTCGAAAATTGGTGTCTTCAGTTGTGGCCCTCCAACAATGACACGAAGCGTTGAAAGCGCATGCGCTGATCTCAACAAGACCGAAGGAGCTGCGTTCATTCATCACTTTGAAAACTTTTAAAAAAAACATATAAACCTTAATAAATGGGTTTTTGTGGTGATATTTTCCCGACTTTTTGCTTTCTATTTTCCAAATAATTTAGGCATTTTCCTATTACTTTTGTAAGTTAAATATCTTTTTGTAGTAGACTTAAAAAACGTAGTGTGACTTATCCAGTTTTGTACTTTTGGCAAAACTGCGAATTTTATATATAGTTAAAAGAATTGTTAAAAACCATAAAAGCATCATGCGAGTGCGTTATAAATAATAGTTCTAGACCTATATAATGTTTGTATTAAAGTATATACATTAAAATTTCCAAACTTTTCTCGATAATTTTTTAGATTTTCTCAGACGTCCGGGAATTTTTTCATTGACCTCCATTTTTGTTTGATTTCCACGAAAATGGACCCTCAGTAACAAATTTAATGTTCTTAAATTAAAATTTATTTCCTGTGTTTTCATTTGGCCACATTTGACCAACGGCAAGCTTACCCGCCAAAATGGTTAAATTTCCTCTCTCTGTATTCTGATTGGTTGACTCCTCTTCTATTTTGCATTGATTTCTATATCAAAATTCGAATTTCAACAACTAAGTGTATCTCTTTCAAACATTATTATAGTTGATCATCTGGCTTAAATATCTCCTTTATCGAAGCTTTGGGTAGCGCGAAAACGGCTTATTGTTGTGTTGGATTTTCTTCAACGGAAATCAGAATTGATTTAACAATTCGATTGAAATGTCTTTGGGAATACGTTCACGTTTAAATTTCGATGTGAGTGACTGTGTTCACACATTATTTTCTCCGCCAGAAAGAGGCCAAAATTTATTCAATACAATAGTAGAGGAAAATCGGGAAAGCTTTAATGTAACAGACACTTCGTTTGATGTTGACGTTGGCCAAGAATGGAGCTCAGAATTGTTGACACCAACATCCAGTGACTCAAGTCTGAGTTTTCTTGAATCACCTCCTTCACCTCGAAGATTTCCTTCAAATCAGCAATCATCCCGTCGCAGCCCCACAAGCTCCCCGCCTTCCCTACGCGGTTTGAGACTTTTTGATACTCCACACACTCCCAAAACGTTACTGGAAAGATCAAAGAACCACGATCATCAACCACCATCAAGTCCAGATTTGCGTCAATCAAGATCGAGAAGATTTGGACTTAGGACACGTAGACATTTAGGAGAGAGGAAGAACTTTTCAGAACCACGGAATCTTGGTTCTCACGGGCGAATAGAGACAAACATAAATCCTTTCACACCAAACCACAATGAAAGTTCAATTCAGAAACACAAGCGTTGTCGCATGAACTTCAATGAGTAAGTTTATCAATTGTTGCTATTAAATGAAAGATGTCTCGTTTACAGTTTGGTGTAATCTGTCATGTTTTGTAGCTACTATAATGTAAGTTTCTTTAAGGTATTCCATTAATGATTTTCTCTTTTTCAGTGAAGATCTTTTTGATGACATCGATATTGATGCTGAAATCTTAGGAAATCCAACAAAGGTATACATGTCACCTGGATTCCACCATATTCTATTGAGCTGTTTGGGAAAATTTTCTACTTTCCTTTATTTACAGAAACTTCACTTGCGAAACAACAACATTTCAAGATATAATGCAGAATTTGTTGAACTAAAACAAATTGGTTCTGGAGAATTTGGTTCTGTCTTTAAATGCCTCAATCGATTAGGTATGTTAGAATTTTTGTCAGTATAAATACATGCCTAAGATTCAGAAATATCTGAGAAAATAGTAATTTTGGAAATTGTACAGGCATGTTTGTTTTAATGATAATTCATGTCACGATTCACTCATGTCAACTTTCTCTCAATCAATAAACTTGGATGTTATATTTGTCCTATTTTGTAGATGGATGTATATATGCTCTTAAAAGATCAAAGAAGCCAGTTGCTGGATCTGTTGATGAGTATGTTTTTGTTGAGTATGGAAATCATATGTCTATGCCTTCTACACTGAAATTCACTTTGAACTCTTAGACAAAATGCCATTCGCGAGGTTTATGCTCATGCTGTATTGGGACGACATCCTCATGTTGTGGGCTATTACTCAGCATGGGCTGAAGATGATCACATGTTAATACAGAATGAATATTGTAATGGTTAGAAATTGAACTTTTATGACTTCACATGTTGTAAATTGTTTATAGGTAAAAGCTATAGAACTGTGTATATTAATTTCTACATTGTATGAATAGGTGGAAGTCTTGCTGATGTTATAGAAAATAATGAGTCTCAGATGAAGTCAATGTCTGAAGTAGAACTGAAACTAATGTTGTTTCAAGTCTCTCAGGTATTAAATAAATTTTCATAAATTTATTATGTGAATTATATTGAATTCATTTAATGTGACTCAGTTGAAGTACATCTCCATTGATAGGGTTTGAAGTATATCCATTCACTGCATCTAGCTCATCTTGATATTAAACCAGGTCTGCTATGGTTGATATTGAATACTTCATAAAATACAAAATGATGATGTTTGTATGATGTTTTAGGCAACATATTTCTGACTTCTGGTGCAGAAAATGATGAGGATTGTCAAGATGATAAAATGCATAGTAATAAACGTGAAGAAGTCAAAGTTCTAACATATAAAATTGGTAATTAGATGCTCTAGAACTGTGACATTCTGTGTTGTCAACTTTAAAATGTATAGTGAATCAAAGATTATTTATTTAATAATATTTTTAGGTGATTTAGGTCATGTGACATCTATAAATGAACCAAAAGTTGAAGAAGGAGACTGTCGATATTTGCCAGCAGAAATACTTCGAGAGGTTACTTTCACTTTAGAATTTATTTTAATTTTTTCATGAAACAGATTTGTGGATGATGTATGAGCAGAGTCCTTGTATTGTTTAGGATTACAGCAATCTTCCCAAAGCTGATATATTTTCGTTGGCTTTAACAGCACTACGAGCGGTATGGTAGATGTCTCTTTTTGGAATGTTTTTGTTTAGGCTTAATAAAATGTGTTCATTTTCAAGGGTGGAATCAGCGAACTTCCTAAAAATGGTCAAAAATGGCATATGATAAGGTAAAATTGATATTGTGCAATCTTGAAATGTTGCAGTGATTTTAAGTCATCAAATACACATTTTAGACAAGGAAAGTTACCTTCACTTACACAATGTAGTAATGAATTCAATAACCTCCTATTGGTAAGTGACCATTGCACTCTCACTGCCACTATATTTATGGACAAGTACAGTTAGATAATAAGAAATTTATGTAATATTTTCTGTAGATAATGTCTGCTCCAAACCCACAATGTCGCCCATCATCTTCAGAATTGACTAAACATCACGTGCTCTGCCCATTGGCAGATAAATCTAAGGTAAATTTGTGCCATTTTTGTTACTAATGGAAATATGTTGTAGGGGGATTATACTCTTTGCATAGGAAGGGAGGAATAGACTTGCAGATAGTTAAATGATGTCCATTTGATGTAGGATCAACTAAGGAAAGAACTCAATGCAGAGAAGTTTAAGAATGAAGTTTTAAAAAGGTATATTGCGTCATGTTCACATCCCTGAAAATTGAAGGTGAGTGGGATTCAGTCTGAATTGATATTATTTTGATTTGTAGGGAATTGGAAGAAACACGAGCAGCAAATAAGGTCACCGAAGTAAAAAGTCGTACATCAAATGGACGACTAGTTGGACAGAGAGTGAATAGAAGTATGAGTTTGTCTGTTATTATGTGAAAGGTGTCATTACTGAGGATTTTAATGAATTGTAGACAAATACAGTCTGACTTTGTACATAGCTTCCACTCTTGTTTCATTTTACTAAACTTTTTGCACTTGCAATCATTGTTCATTTGCAATGATTGTTGAAGATATAATTGCACCCATTTGTCCCATTTTAAAGTTCTATGTTGATTTTTTGTTCAAAGCTTTATATTTTTTTTTTATCAAATTGTGAATTTTTTAATATTTTTAATAAAATGTGTAAAATTACTTATTTTTTAGTCAGGTTGTATTGTATTTCTGATCAAAAACATGACTCTCTCAAATAACAGGTTTTCAAACATAGTTGCAGTATGTTACAGAAGGTGATAATAGTTTACAGTAGATAACCATGGCTCTTGCTTGCTAACCATCGACCACCATCCACCAAAAGATGATTAAGGTCACACTGGTAATTTGAAACATTGGTAATCTTCTTGAAACATTTGTAATCCTCGTTTCAGGCTCCCGTCGGACTAAATCAAGATGGCTGCCGGCGATAAATAGTTTAAATACTTTTGTTGTCTTTCGTCATAGTTGTCTTTCGAAATGTCAGAAGTATTACAATTCAGTTATCCTCCTCTGATAAATGGCATCAAGTGATAGATTCCTTTTGCGTCTTATCAGCAATAGAGGCGAAAGTACAGATTGGCCGGTTCACTGTCAAATTACATTCAGAGAGATTTTGGTGTTGTAAACATTATAGTTTTACTTAATTTATTGCCATAGTAATTTTGCTATACCTACATGCTGATGAAAATGTTTATTTGGTGAAACAGTGTCCAATTTTGGACAAAAACATGTTTCATTTTGTTAAATGTTTTTCAGGAAATAATTTCTAATGTTTTGCCTGGTGTTACAACAACTGCTTTTGAATGTTAGTATTGAACCACAATGGTTGTTGAAGGTGATTGTGAGTCAGGATTAATTATAGTGTATTTATTTTTACGTCAGACGAAGATGAAGATGGTGATAGGATTACAGTACGAAGTGACGAAGAGCTTAAAGCCATGATTGATGTAAGAATACTTAAACTTTCTACATTGATCATCTACAATTCATGCTACACACCTGACTTAAAGACTTAAGTATCATCAATGTTTATCAATTGTTTAGTATCACATGCTAAATACTGATTCATTAATAAAACCTGTCCAAATTTACCCCAAAGGTAAGACACTAAACTATCGAGGATAAATGTTTCACAATCCAGCCAACAAATTCAATTTCATTGTTAAGCTTGTAGAACACCAAGAAAAAGAAATCTACATGGCTTGAAAGTATGTTTATTGATGAAGCTTGTCTCAAGAATGTGAAATATTTGTAGTTATACAATATTGACACATGTTCATGTACATTATTTACATAAACAGGTCAACACAAAAGCACTTCCAGTTGCCATCACTGAATTAAAGCCAAAGAGCTCAAAAAATATGTATGAGTAAGTCAAATAAAAGAGTTAAATGTAGATCTGTTTATATATTGTTGTATATTATAAAATATATTTGTTTTTTTCATTATGTATCAGTAAAATATCAGCTCCTCCTGGCAGCCTGAGAACTATTCTAGCTAGTGGACAGGTATACTATATTTCTTTACTACATCACTAGATTTAGTATGCAATTAAAGATCTCCTACATTATGATACATATGATACTTTTCTTGTTGAGATCTTGGAAAGTTGATGCCATGATTTTAGCATAAACTTGTCAAGATACAGACAAGATTCTTGGTGTGAATGTTTTTTATTATCTTGGCATGAACTTCCAAGATCTTGGCATGTCCTTGTTTGGATCATGCCAAGCACATGACAAGATTTTTTCATGACCAGTCCAAAATCTTTCCAATGATTATTTTTGCCGATTGTTCATTTTATACTAATTTCTTATTTACTTAACAATGTGATTTTGATATGCAATATCTTTCATATTTCTATCACAAATGATCCTTCAAATCCCTAACTACTCCTTAGTTTTTTTACAGGTCTCCCATGAAGAACTTCAGTATATAGAGATATTGGGCCATGGTATTGGTGGCACAGTTTATAAGTGAGTTAATTGAATATTCCTTATCTTTTAGCTTGCATAACATTTATATCTTTGTGATCATTTTATATTTCAGATGTTATCATACAGCATCTGAAAAAATCATGGCTGTTAAAGTTAGTTTGAATCAATGTTTGTGGAATGTTGTTAGGCAACTTTCTATTTTTGTTATGTTTAGAGTAATCAATAAGAGATAGATACATAAATGAGATGGATGTATAAAAAAGTAAAGTTAAAGTACATCATATAAAAACACTTTGTCCAGATAACAACAATGAACCAATATATTCAAAGTTTCATCTTTCAATGCAACTTTGCTCTATGATGGGGACCACTAACATTTTGTTTTTAAGTCAGTTTTCTATCCAAGGTGAACTAGGATTTCATAACATGAAGTTTGAAAGTGGGATTCAATTTAGATTATACAAATGACTGTGTTTATTAATTGTGGTCGACTCCATCTGCTGTTGACGTTTTTGTGCATTTCACAGATTATTATTTTCTATCTAGGTTATACAATTAGATTTAACACCTGAAGTTCAGAAACAAATCTTGTTGGAGTTAAATATTCTTTTCAAGGTTTCACATTTATTTTATAATTAAAATTTTACTCATGATAAAGATTTTTTTTCAACTAATTGTGCCATTTTTTGATGACTTCTTCATTGCAACAGTGTGAGTCGCCCTACATTATTGGCTTCTTTGGTGCATTTTTTCTTGAAAACTTGTAAGTTTATATAAAGTAATTACCATCATATAAGTTGGCATTCTTGGTTTCTGTTATAGTTGTTCTGCCGATGTTATTTATACATCTTTAACATTGTGAATAAATATTTTACTTATTCTTCAGGATATCAATTTGCACAGAATTTATGGATGGTGGTTCTTTAGAAATATACGGAGCAATTCCTGAACCAGTGTTGGGTCGAATATCAGTCACTGTATGAATACTTTCTTTTTCATTTTGTCCGGGGATTTCCTTTTTAACATATGTCACGTTTATGAAATGTTTAGGTGGTTAAAGGTCTAGTTTATTTATGGCAGTTAAAGATCATGCATAGAGGTATGTAAGTATTGGTTAACTTCTTCATATATACAATTTCAATTTTTTAATTTTGAATTTTCCTCTCGACAATCTTTAATGAAACTGGCCCTTATTTTAAATTCATCATTTGAAGACGTCAAACCGTCCAATATATTGGTAAACACCAGAGGTCAGATAAAGCTGTGTGATTTTGGTGTCAGTACACAGGTATAACATTTATCATCATGTATATTGCAAAGTTTACACTGTACATAGTTATGTCATTATATAGTAAACACCCAGCTCACAAAGTTAATCATGTGTATAAATTTAGACCAATATGCTCAATTCAAAAGTTTGAATTGGTTTTGTTCAAATTTGTTCTCTTGACTATGGTCATGCTTAATATTAAGTACGATGATTTTCAAACAGCATTTCTTTACAATAACCTTTTTTACAACGATTGTTCAATTTCAGCTTGTTAACTCCATTGCAACTACGTACGTTGGAACAAATGCTTATATGGCGGTAAGAAATCTTAGTTAACATATTATTGTTCATTACACAAAAGTTCGTAATGATTTGTACTATTTATATATGGTTGGAGTTGTCAGTATGACTGATATTATCACTAAGAGTTACAGAGAGGGTACATCTCTATATACATGACGACGAGCACCTAGCCATGCACTAGGCTTATAACACCCTGGCTTATAGGCTTATAGCACAGTGACTCTAGTGTACTATTAACTATCAACTTAATGACTTGTTTATTGTGAGCGTTATTGTCTGTATGAGTCAATCACGTGACAAGATTACTGGTTAATAACTATGTTATTTTCCACCTGCGATGTCAACGTTTTTGTTTGACTACACGATCTTATCGGTTGATTTTATGTATCCATAAATATTCTTGTATATCCATAAGTAATCTTGTGTACCCATAACATGGAAATCTTCACTATTGTTCCCGATTACATTCCATTATTTAGCCTGAGCGTGTACTGGGTGGAGAATATAGTGTACGTTCAGATGTTTGGAGTCTTGGTATTTCGGTCTTGGAAATGGCCCTTGGAAGATTTCCATACTGCCGGGTATTATGCTTTCCATTTTTTTTTGTTTTTTTTTATTCATTTAAAGATTTCTCTACCACCCGATCCTGTGCCTTTTTCTGTGATTTTAATGTTTTATTTATGAATTTAACAGGAGAACTCCGATTCAAAGGTGTTTCTTGTAAGTTCATATAATTTTACTGCGAGCGGAAAGAATTCGTTTAGTTGGTTTTCGTTTAGTCGTTTCGGTAATTTATGATTAAACATTTTTCTTGTATAGCCTATCGAACTGATGCAATGTATAGTAAACGAGGTTTGTCATGTTTAAGATGTGACATAATAATTTTTTACAGAAAACGTTTTAAATGTTCGTTTATTTTTAGAGCCCTCCAAGTTTACCTGTGGAAAAATTCTCTCCTGATTTTGTTTCATTTGTTGGGACTTGGTGAGTTAACGAACAAGCAAATAACTGACCGCTGACCTTTTTCACAGTTGTTGACTGACGATAACTGACCGCTGACCTTTTTCACAGTTGTTGACTGATGATAACTGACCGCTGACCTTTTTCACAGTTGTTGACTGACGAGAACTGACGTCATTTTGCATTTTTTGCATTATGTTGAATATCTTTTTTCAATTGAACGAAACTTTCAAGGTTAACCAGAGAGATACCTTTCTCTATGAAAACTAATTTACTATCTCTCTGGTTACTTTGTTCAATCTCTTCGTATACTGCATGCTGTATCCCTTTGTCAATGTTTTATAAACGAATTGTAAAAAAGTTCGATATACTAAGATAGTGCATTTTTTGTATAGTATGCAGAAATCGATCAAGTCAAGGCCAACCCCCCAAGAATTAATGGTACGAAACTGTTTTAAATTTACTTTATGTTAAGTTTGTGTTTGGGGCTATCATTTGGATAACACTGTTGATAGTGATAAACCATGTCAATTGGTGTTAAACACAAGACTCAACAGTATTTCTTTATTTTATATATCGTCGTCCTCGAATTACCTTGCCTTGTCGTTTATACTTAGGAATATTTTTTTTAGACTTTATCCCACCGAAACTAGGGTGAAATTTTATAATGTGAACAGAACAGCGTGTTTACCTTGGTGAATGACATGCTATTATTGTAGTTATTAGTTGTAGTTATGAGTCCTTCTTAAAAGGACGATGTCATTCTTTCTTGTCTTCATTATGAACTGAAGACGATTTTTGGATTTCATCAAAGCAGACGTGGCACCTCATGAGTAATCTGCCGAAATACGTCTTTATCTTTATTTTGGATTTTTAACAGTTTTCTGAATTGTTATTCCCCATGACAAATACGTTGTTCAGAGTATTATTTAAGTTTGTTGCCAAAAGCAAGTCTTTGTTTTACAACAGTATGGGGTTGTTAAACTTTTCATATATTTTTTAAGGATCATCCTTTTATTGTATTGAACAACGATGAAAACGTGGAGATTGTTTCCATGTGGGTATGTAGAAAGTTAGAAGAAATCAGAGGTCGTTCTGTAAATGTGGATAGTCCAAATCAATGTGAACCTATGGTACATTAATGTACATTAGTCTAAGTCAATGTGAACCAGTGGTACATTCATGTACATTTGTCCAAATCAATGTGAACATATAGTACATTGATGTACATTTGTCCAAATCAATGTGAACCTATAGTACATTAATGTAGATGTATTGTATATTTTGCAAAGTTAAAAAGTTGCTTTGCGCCTAAGAATAATTTTTGGGCTATTTCTTTTATAAAATACCGCGAAATTATTTATGATGCGAATTTAAAACGAATGTTGTAATTTTACTCTATTATGTATTGATGATTGATTTGCAAATTCTGTTTGATTGGTTTTGATTGAGCTTAGATCAGATCAGATTATTAATACAAATACAAACTCAGCAAAAGATTAATCAGCGCATGCGTTGTTCTATTATAATGAAGTATTGAACAAACTGCGTATTTAGTGGTTTAGAAAGTTTTTAAACTCACTCCCCCATCACCAGTGACGTCTTTGTCCCGTGATGATTTAATTGGGAATATTTCATATGATCTTCTTCAATTACCATCAAGTTTATTTGCTTTACATTTATGGTACATCAGGGTACAACTATGAGTATTAATATTGTTTTCAAATGATAACATTATTTAATATTCATACTAAGTGCTCCATTAATCCTACTTTAACCCTCGCGAACACAGTATAAGTCATAATTTGTTGTGAGTCAGGAAGTTCGTAATATTAAATTTTAAATTGACTACGAATTTCACAGTGCAATTGATAAAAAAATATTTTTTTTCGTCACAACATACTCTTTAAACATTTTGACATTTTTTAAATATTGATATAAAAATGGCTGAAGATGTTTCTGTTGTACATACGCGTTCTAAAAGTGCTCCTGTAACCCAATCCGAGGAAAAACGAAAGATTCGTTTAGGGCTTGAAACACGCTTTTATAATGCTGAGACGAAGCTTGTTGTCTTGGACTTTCTTTCAACGGCACCCAGCGACCATTTGACAGCAAGAAATAAAAGAAGTAAATCAGACAGTCGATCAAAATCATTAAATGTTCAGGCGAGAAGATCATCTCTTAGTAAGAGCAGTAGTGACGTTTCACATCTTGAATCATACAGACGTCGATACGTGAAATTGGCCGAAAATGGACGTTCTTTACGAAAGCAGTACTCTGTGAAATTACAAAAAGAAATTGACGATTATCTCAATTCGCGTGAAAAGTCCATAGATGATCATAGTGGAGTGAACGAGACCGAAGAAAAGAAAAATCTTAACCAACCGTCAAAACCAAGGCGAAAAATATCACAAGAACTTAAAAATGGTATCAAAGAGTTTGATCTAAGTACTTTACGTCATGTTGAGATTCAAGCTCTCAAGGTGAAGGCGAAATCTCAACTAAATGATGATGTGTAAGTAAATGTATTAAAATACTACAAGTGCATTTCCCTGGTGTATTTGCTTAAAGTATTGCTATTTCTTTTTAAAGGCAAAAAAAACAAAATAGACCAAATAATTTGGATCTTACTATGATAGAAGAACGCAAACTTTCTACTGTCCTGTCTCCAGAAAGTCAAGTTGCAGCTAAATTGGAACTAATATCAAAAGAAATAGTAGATCAGTACCCAGATTTTTTCGAAGAAACAATGTCAATGGTAAGCCTCCAAGATTTAACATATGAGAAATTTGCCTCAGTTGCACGGAAAGTTATTGAAAAGCATCCTGGCGGTTGGACAAAAATTGCTTTAGTGTGCTACTTTGCACGAGAACTTGCTTTAGATGATGAATCTCCATATGAACAGTTAGAAAATTTAGTCAATTTGAGTTCCAGATTCATTTTAGAGACAAGCGCAGACTGGATTGCAAACCAAGGAGGTTGGGTAAGTGTTTTTAATGTTTGTTATATTCATTGTGTTTTGCTTGAGTGTAATGTATGTTTATACATGTGAGTTGATCATTTTAATTTACAGGTAGCTTTGGAGGACTCACAGGAAGTTCTGAGTATTGAAGAAGTACGTCAAAAACTTAAGGAAAATTCAGATGTCACAGATGGCCCAACATATGGACAAACCATGTTAAAATGGCAAAATTTGTTTAAATATGGTGTTGCTGCACTAGCAGTTGGTGTGACTGTGGCATATAGTGTCATTAAGTTTGACTGATTTATGAATTTTTACTGAGCTTAAGAAGACTTTGAGGAAGTATGTTTAAGATCAAAGTTATTTGTCGGTCATAATATAATGTGTACAAATGTCCCCAATTGTTCAGGACTTTAGCAATTTTGTTATGTTATTTCTAGAGCTAGTTTGGCTAGATTTATAAATGTATAATCAAGATCGTGACTGCAATGTTTACACACTCACAATTAACCTTTAAAGTAAACTAACACTGATTGACAATGTGCTGCTTTATTTTCACTTTAAATAAAATGTGTGTGTGTTAACATGGCGTATGTTCTGGTGTAGACACCTTTGTTAATGTTAACAAGTTAAAATTGCCTTGGAAAGCAATGCCAACGCTTCTTTATAATTTATGTATTAAAAAAATTATTAAAAGTTTATTTATCAGTGATAGTTGGAAATTGCAATATCAGAGGTCACGGTGTTCGAGTTTAAACTCCTACTACACGAAGAATTCTTTATCACGCGTGTGTTCACGAACAGGATATTGCAACATTGACAAGTATATTATGACAAGGTTACTATGTAATCGATCACAGGAACACCAACATCCTTTCTTCTTAGAAATTGCTGAATCTACACTTCTCAGCTTCTTGAAATTTATTACTGGGCTAGTTACGACAGTTTCTCTCTCAATCCATCAAGGCTGTCGAAATGGCTGGACGTCAAATTTCTCGTGCTGAAGCAACCCGGCAGTTCGATATGCTGTTTGATGAATTTTTGAAAGAAGATTTCAATAATGTCAGCATTAAAGCTTGCGCAGACACGGGCGAAAGAAATCTATTAGAAGTTGGCTTTTCAGGTTATACACTTAATTATTTATAATCTTTCTGGACAAGTTTGTTCCTTTTATTGATTTATGAAAAAGATTAAACAAATCAAAAAAAAGTGTATCGAAATGGAGCCACCTCGGCCAAGCAACCATTTTTGTTTAGTCGAGGAATTCATGGTTCTATTTATTTTCTGTGCGTAACGTATAAGATATTTATTCAATGAAAAGGTATTCCTTACACTTGTGATTATTTATTTAGTATTGAATTCAGAAATACCGATTATTGATACACTTGAAGAATATGCCATTTTACATAAAAGTTTTAAAGATGTTGAATGTGACAGTGCTGGCACAGGTTAATAATTATTTATAATCTTTCTGGACAAGTTTGTTCCTTTTATTGAGTTATGAAAAAGATTAAACAAATCAAAAAAAGTATATCGAAATGGAGCCACCTCGGCCAAAGCAACCATTTTTGTTTAGTCGAGGAATTCATGGTTCTATTTATTTTCTGTGCGTAACGTATAAGATATTTATTCAATGAAAAGGTATTCCTTACACTTGTGATTATTTATTTAGTATTGTATTGCTTTATTCATTTTTTAAATACCGATTGAGAATTCTGATACACTTGAATGAGAATATGCCATTTTACGTAAAATCTTATTTGTTTTTAAAGATGTTGAATGTGACAGTGCTGGCAGTTCAGGTTATTATACACTTAATTATTTATAATCTTTCTGGACCATTTTGTTCCGTTTATTAATTTATGAAAAAGATTAAATCAAAAAAAAGTACATCGAAATGGAGCCACCTCGGCCAAGCAACCATTTTTGTTTAGTCGAGGAATTCATGGTTCTATTTATTCTCTTTGCGTTACATATAAGATATTTATTCGATGAAAAGGTATTCCTTACACTTGTGATTATTTATTTAGTATTGTATTGCTTTATTCATTTTTTAAATACCGTTTGAGAATTCTGATACACTTGAATGAGAATATGCCATTTTACGTAAAATCTTATTTGTTTTTAAAGATGTTGAATGTGACAGTGCTGGAAATGATCAAGAGACAACTATTAAAGAAACTGCTCTTCTTTTGAGGAAAGCTGGAGATGAGCTAAATAAGCAGCATTTCAAGGTAAGTTTAATTTTTATCTATCTTCTAGGATTTATTTTAGTATTTTGATTTACAAAATGAATTTTTATTAGCATTGCTCATAATTATGATGTTTATATTGTAGCAAGCAGATATAAAGCTGACCGATTTTATTACAAATATGCCTGATTTGGACTATGAAACCTTTCAAGATGCTGTGGAAATTTGACCACCAATGACAGAAATAAAGCAGACTTTGTGTTTGTAATGTGTCTTTGCAAAAATGTCTCTGAAAATGTTGGTCCCTTGAGGTATAAAGTTAGAATTTGTTCCAAAGATACATTGGAAACAACTACATTGACAAGATTGCCAATGCTGGTGGTGTGGTATGTAGTTTTTTATTTGTTGATTTCATTCATTTTTTAGAAATATATTAAAATGAAATCTTATAATTAATATGCATAGTCTATTTGCCAATTTCATTTTTTTCAGAATGATTTTGTTGAGCAGTAAAATCCTGTTGTCTTCCCTGTGAGAACAGCACAAATGGCAGATTGTATCGCTATTCATAAATATTTGTAAATTTCACCTCATGTACTTTCTTTAAATATGCAAACAATTTAATCCACTACTCATTCATGAATGATCTGTTTGATTAAATATGTCTATTATTTTGTTAAATAGTAATTTTTCTACTTTGTTAGCACTTGTCACAATTGTTGTGGAAAAAATAATGAATGAAATATCAAGTAAATTTTTTAACAAAACAAATGTGTTATGATTAAATTAATATATGTAGTAATTAGTATTTACATCTTTTCTGTTGCCATAACAACTAAAAGACAGATTTTGATTGGATCACTTCGAGGCGCGTTGATTGAAATCAAGATGGCTTCCCGTCCTTCAGGCATGAACACCGGGTAGGTCGTTTATTTTCTAATCACTTCCTCGTTTTATCCTGCATTTTATCGCACATTTTTTCAGGTAGCGTGACAATTTAATAAGCTTCTTCAAATATTTCAGTTTTTAACAAATTCATTTTTGTTAAATTTGTCTTCTTAGGCAAACTTCGACTATAATTTTCTCTTTCCATTTTTTAAGAAAGTTATTTAAATGTATTATAAACTGCTTGTACTTCATTTCACTGGTTTTACCTTTAAAAATGTTTCAAAAATTTTCTACCTTTCAAAACCTGTTCTCTATATTTGACCACATTGAAATAGTTTGTGTAGCAAATTGTCATTTCTTTGTTTTAATTGTTGATCTTAAAAACAGGAAAATTAATGTTTATTTTAAAATATTTCGATATCGAAAATACAGGTCTAAGTAATAAGACGCCAACGTAACATAAGTTTTTACAATGGAACTCGAGTTTTTTTATGTTATGAATTATCGTTGCTTTGACAAAAATAGGATTATTTATTTAAATCTCTATCGGTGATTAATTTTTGCCTATTAACTGAACATTTAACAATTTGCCTCCCTGCCCATAATAACTTTTTATTATTTATTCATTACTTTCCCACAAGAAGTTCTTGTTATTTCACTGTCTCATAATCGATAGCTATCTAGTTTCTTTTCGCTGGCGAACTTTTACGGCGTTTTCTGTTCTGTCGCCTTGACATAAAGAATTCACATTTTTAAACTTTGAACAGTCGAGAAAATTTAAATGCTTGAAATGTAAAGTGTATTTTACTTTGTAATAATAATCTTATCGACCGCGTTTGGATTTAATGAATTATATATATATTCATGAACTTAGAAAATTGCTTAACATATTATGATATTTATTAATTTAAGACGACCTATGTATTTCTTAAACATAGACTTCTCGATTTACATAAACCTTGTGTTTTAAGAACATAAAAAAATATTTAAATAAGTAGTATGTGTTTGTGAGACAACATTCTTTGTGGTGTTAGCCTTTAATGATTTGTCTAATTTGTTCTGAGTGTATCGGCGAAATTATCCATTATTGATGAGTTTGCTTACTGAACTTGTACGGCAGATGAAAAATTTATGCAGAGATTTCCAAACGGAAAGAACATCGTTTTAGTTGTAATTTTTTAACAATACTGCAGCAGTTTTTCACTGGGAAAGTTATGTACTTGTAAAATGTCAGAAAATGAGGTTACCAATCAATTTGTAACACGAAGGTAAATTATCTGAAAAACATGTATAAATCTTCTTGTAATTTATAAAATATTGTTTAATGGACCTCGAATTTTGATTTGAATTATCTTGACTTTTGTGTCTATTTTGTGTCTGGTTGTTTTGAGGCAATAGTTTCCGGCAAAGAATAATTTCGATATGAACATCAACTGTTTCAATGTTGCTGAAAGTTGCATTACCAAGAGTGAACTTATTCACATCTATTGATTTTTTCTCTTTAGTTTTTCAAGTAAAATGATGAACGGTGCCATCGCTGGAACGATTGGCGTCACTTCCACATTTCCATTAGATCTCGCCAAAACAAGACTACAGAACCAAAATACAAAAATCTACGAGAATATGTAAGTTGTTTTTTTGTTGTATAGATGGCTATTCCTGCTTGCTTCGAGGTAATTAGCTACAGCTGTTTCAAGAGCTTTTCTTTCAATGGAAATGTCTCAGAGAAGTCAAATAGAATGTGAATATATGATTTATGTAGCTAGTAATAATTCATTTTCTCAATAACTTAACCTTCATCTAGAATCGACTGTTTGGTAAAGGTCTACCGCAATGAAGGTTTTAAAGGTTGCTACAGAGGTAAGGCAAGCGATCTCTGCTATTGTGCTTTTATGATATTTCTACGTCAGAGTTCATGACGTCATTTTGTTTCGTCACTTTCGTTCATTCATCGCAGGCTTATCTGTTAATGTTCTACTTGTTAATCCGGAAAAAGCGATAAAGTTAGCGGTTAACGATCAAGCTCGACAAGTTATGGGAGGAAAAAGGTAAAATTCATCATATAAAGTAATTTTTCAGATTTTGTAAAAATAGAATAGAAATGTCTCAAAAGCCAAACTCAATACTTGCGTCCACAAAAATTGGTCAATGGTCTAACTTTATTTATTATTTTATTTGGTTACAAGTGCGTAGTATGTTAAAAAATTGTTTCACTTTTGTTGTACATATCCGTTTTTTGAATATAGAAATCCAGTTTAGAAAAACATCGTTATTTTCAGCAAAAACTTACATGCCTTATATTTGGAAAAGTTATTTTGAGCTGTTATTTTTACCTCTGTTCTGTTCGAGACTTGGCCTAGATTATTCATTTGCATCCTCTCTGCATTGATAAATTATGAAAAATATTTTTAGATTATAATTTTATCTTTTCTTGTACTTTAATTAGAAGAACATTACCTCTTCACTTTGAGATGTTAGCTGGAGCAATAGCTGGACTTTGTCAGGTAAACTTACTATACTTTAATATCATAAATATTCCCTTTTTCATTAGCTTAGGCAATCATTGAATGAATGCAAATCAAGAATATGATGTTATTGCATCAATTATCGATAAGTTCTTTTCATTATGGCTTTCATCATGACGTCAATATTCCCAGGTTGTAGTGACCACGCCAATGGAAATGTTAAAGATTCAAATGCAGATATCTGGAAAGACAGGTACCACATATTGCAAATATTTTGGTCGTATTGAATAATCGTCAACTATTTTCACTCGGTTCATGGGAGATTGTTTTACCGATCAAGAAATGTTATTTTCTCAATTACTATCACCTCACGCAAAATGTATATTAAGTGAAATATGACACCAGTAGTACGCATGCTCCAAAATGACACCAGAACGCATACTGCAATTTGCGGGTTTAATGATTAGCGCCTTTTTTCGCGTGCGTTTTATGTATTTTCATTTACGAACGGCGTCGCTTTTCACAAAAGCGGAATACTTTTACTATTCAGCAAACAATCCTGTTGCCTCAAAATCAATCACGCCAATAATGACAGCAAAGCTTCACACTGGAGCAAATGAACAGCAATGTCACGTGATAACAAAACGTACATCTGCATTGGCTATAACTAAACATTTACTAAAGACGAAAGGAGTTGTGGGTATTTATCGTGGACTTGGTGCCACTTTGTTAAGGTATCCGTTATTCATTACTTTAGAGTAAATATTTAGTCAATGAAATAATTGTGTTTCTTTGTGCACATTTAAAAAATTATCGTAGGTAATATCTTTGCCAGGATATGATACTAAATTTTTAAATTATAAAAGAAACACCACACACATAAGCTTAAGATTTCTACAAATATTTTAGAGATATACCATTCTCGTGTTTACATTTCACCTTATACTCGCATCTCAATTTCTTGGTAAGTTCTACTTGGCATTTATTCAAGTTTTTTACTCGCATCACGTGATTTGAACATAAGTTACGTAACGTGCAGGGGATGGGACCTAATGGTGAGAAATCGAGCACGATCCACTCCTGCGCCTGCGGTCTTTTCTCAGCTATGGTCAGTGCTTTTTTCGTGACACCTTGTGACGTTGTAAAAACAAGACTTCAAGCTCTTCCTGGTGGGCATGAGCCCCGCTATAATGGCATCAAAGACTGTATTTTAAAGATCTACCACATCGAAGGACCTACCTCTTTTTTCAAAGGGGCCGTACCTCGTATTATGGTCATTGCTCCTTTATTTGGCATCGCTCAGGCGGTGTACAATTTTGAAGTGTCACAAAAGTTATTGGGTCTCCAAAAATCATAGAATGATATCGTTAGAAGCTTTGGAAATCACCATCAATTTTGAATAATGAAATATCGTTGACGGAAATTTTCCTATTTTCACATTTTAAATACGTTGTCGATAGGAAGATCCAATCTCAAGTCACTTTTTAAATCAACTGTCTTTTCAATACGTAAAATGAAGATGAAAAAGAAACAGCGCTTCGCGCATCATTAATAAATGTAATCCTTAAAGAAACAAGAATGATAAAATGGATACCAACATCTTTTTGCAAACTATTCATGGAATTACAACGATGTCAACCATAATATATATAGTCGCTCTGGCATGCCAATTTTGAGAAATGATTTTTTGAAGTCTTTAGTCACACTACATTGAAAATATGTTTCGTTGCGAGAAGTTGTCTTCTAAGCTGCTCGCACAAACAGAAAACGTTGTCAAAACAAATAAAACAAAATCCAAGACGCAGCATTTTACCATGTAGTAAAAAGTCAAAAGAAGTCTTATCTTTTAATTCAAGCTTAGCATTTTGCCCTTTTAATCTATTTTGAAAGAGTAGTTGGTTGTAATCATTACGTGTGGGCTATATAAAGTTAAATGACGTAGTTACAGTTCTCTACAGTTTACAGTCGGACCTACCGCAGTTTTTTTTTTGTTGTCTTTATGAATTTGTTAATGGGGAATTATTGAATACTTTTAAAAATAATTATAACATATGTTTTACGAATGATAACAGTATTTTTGTGTTTGGGAGAGTGGGGGAAAACTGTTTCTATCGTGAATTAAAATTATGATTAAAAATAATATTGTAAATATCGATTTATGAAATTATATGCGAATTAAGATCATTTTAACGACAAATTTGTTTTTAATTTTTCCGTTTTCTTTTGTTACGTTGAAATTTCCGCGCGATATCAATTATAACTGAAGTCAAAACACAGACATTTTCTTAAATTGATTCTAAAATTTAGTTGGATGAAACAAATTTATGGCTAATGACAGTAATTTTTCGGCAGTTTTCAAAGAAGTTTGCAAAAATAGTGATGACCAGCTAAACGACGAGAAATCTTGAAATTCAAAAAAATGCAGAGTTCTTATTTAGTCCATGAACTTTCGCGAAGGGTTTTTTCCAAAAAGGCTCTCCCGTATCTCAGGCAACATCTGTAAGAAAAATGTATGTTAACAATGCAAATTGCTATGTAATTTTTCCATGTTCAACGACTGCAAGAACAATACACTTCTAAAAAAATCAATAATGAAATCATACAACAAAACCAGTCTTGCAGTCTGGCTACATCACTGGTAATACTACTGTTTTACAGAAAAACAATCATGTCCTAAATGTTTTTTGTGTTAAATATATAACATAAAATAACTTACTTGTCCACTTAGCAAGTTTAATCTACTTTCCAATGTATTTTGAACATGTATAGTTGAATGTTGACAGATAAAATCCACTCCACCAGAACTGTCAAAGTATTTCAACAACCATTAATAACTATAAGAATAAATATATGACTAGGTAGAAGTTTTAAAAATATAATAACCTGCTGGAATTTAAAACTGATTTTCATCAATGTTAAGTTTAACATCTTTCTTTGTTGCTTCTTTGAAATTGGATACAGCTTTATCTTTCACCTTCTGTAAAAAAGCTCCACAATTCAATTATTGAACCACAGGAAAGTAGAAGCAATCATTGATAAAAAAAGAACATACTTTAACAGTGTCTAGGTCTTCTTTTCTACAACGAATTGTTACATCTGTTTCAAGAAGTTGAAATAAGCCCTGAAACAAATAAACAAGAACGTCACGGAGGGAAGGGAATTTTAGTAGAAATAACAAACAATATTAGTTATATTACGTACTTGAGTTATCAACCCTAGTAAGATAGTGGAATATTTTTCTGAATTTTTAGTTACATCATTTAACTTTTCACAGGCCTCTTCCAAAATTTGCTATGAAAGCATAAATTATCATTAATAAATATATTTTACTTCATAATGTTCATCGTATGATTATACTCAAGCAACCTTAATGTGATCGTCTTTGGCTTTCAAGATTTTAAGTCAGATTGGTTTAACTGATTTGATCTTTGACTAAATTAAGAAAGAAAAGCAACAAATAATATTATTATATGATAAGATTCATAGGTTAGCACAAAGTAATCTTACATTTTCTTTTGTAATGTAACTTGTTTTTCTTTTTTCTTATAATAAGTTTTAATCTTCAACTTCTCTTGCTCAAGTAATCTACCTTTCTCAATATTGAATTCCTCTTCAGCCTGAGAATATCATTATTAAAAATTATAAAATAAACACAATGAAATGCATGCGCTGATTGGTCTAGAGCAGTGTTTGCATTGGCCTGTGCAAAACATATCTGAGTTCAACCAATCGAATCAATCAAAGCCATCAATCAGTCAAAGAGAATTTGCAAATCAATCATGAATACATTTTAGAGGAAAAATTAAAATGTTGGTCTTTTTCCCATTATTGTTATTTCATAAAAGAAATAAAAGATGTTTTTCGTGTTTTCACTGGCTTATGCAAACCTTGGAGATGTTTGTGAGAACTCTCGAGCATGTGCAACCTCGACCTTCGGTCTCGGGCTTGCACTGATCTGCTCTCGAGTTCTCTCAAAGGACTCCTTGGTTTGCATAAGCCTGTGTAAACGCAGAAAACATCTTTTATTTCTTAATTATTATTTTGAGATAGATTCAATATTCATGGACATGATAGTACTATTGCGATCCATCAACATCCCATGATACCACTAAGACAAAACCAACTTGTTAATAAATAAAAAGTTCAAATAATATTGGTTTATAATAAGTTTATTCGTGCACTTTTTCCATCAACATAATCGTACTTTCGCTTCTATTTCTTCGGCTTTTTCTTTTGCTTCCTGTTCAATGAACGCCATCATATGCTGAATCTATCATCGAAAATCAAGAAAACTTTTAATGTGACGTAATTGTCAAACAGTAAAAGTTTGTATCGAATAAACGATAAGATTTTTCATAATTTTTAATAGAAGTCGTTTGGCTCAGTGATATTTACCTTTTTCTGTACTTCATTATCGTACGTTGCCATGATATTATTTAAATTATAGTGTCTACTGAAAGTTTCAAAGCAGAACCCACAAATTCCCTTAGCGAGTTCACAAATTGCAAATACCTAAAATATTGTGTAATAGATCATTCACGTGATTTGAATGTATTCACTTCAGTAATTCACTTCCGGTCGTTTCCTTTACCGGTGTTTCCAGTAGTGAAATATACAATTTATACTCAGCTAGTGAATTTATAAGCATTTGGATTACAAGGTCAGAACGAGTTTTACCGTACAAAACAAAACAAAAGTAAAATAATTAGCCACAATTTAGTGCGCTGCACAGGAAGATGACTTTGCATGTATGAGTTTTTTTTTGAATTTGATCAATTGCTATCCAATAAAAACGGAAACCAAACACTCAGTGAAGTTGGGGGTCCGGCGCACCTTTATCTCATGTCATACAACATTTATTTGCCAAGATTATGTTTGAGAGCAATGCCTTTACAAAGATAAAAGAAGCACAGACATGTGTTTATGATGTTGGGAGGAACTGCGGCTAATTTTCTTTCATATTAAAGAATTCATCATATATATGCGTTTTCGAATTTCCTGTGATATGAACCACAAGTTTAACTAATTTTCCGACGTTTTAAAAACATCACATTAAGGTGAAGTCATGACTGTCGTATATGCATATCTTTATTTGTAGCTGGACGTCAAGTGGCGCGAAATTAATGCCATTCACGTAAAATTTTGGCAAATGTTTGCGAGCAATAAAAATTCCAATTTTATGCAAAGTTGATGTTAATTTTTTACACGAAAAAGATTTTCAATTATTTTTCTAAAGTTAAAAAGTACATTAGCGCTTTCTATGTATGCTTTGAAAACACATTGGACAAAAAGCATCGGAAATACTTTGGGTTTTTGCAGCTAAATTATAGTTGTATCAATATTAGAATTACGAGTAACATTCTGCAATATTACCATAGAACATGAGTCAGAAAGATCATTTACGATTTTCTCACAGTATTCAACCGCAAAATTAATTTATTTTTTCTATTTAAATTACGATAGCCGTATGAGATGATCATCTCTCATCACGTCTCAAGTCATGACTCAACTCCTCTTCCCTGTTGCTTGGATTATTTCGTGGGGTCACGTGGGGTCAGGTTGTAGTAATAAAACCAACTTATTACTGCTGTTCACCTCAGACGCTGTTAAACCTTACCTATATTGACATCACATAACCTTTTGGTTAATGTGTTTGAAACCTGTTTACGATTTGTTGACGTTGACACATTCTAAAATATTTTTTACATCGACAGAAGTCTTCTATTTTACGAAATTATTGACTTTGCGATTGTTTCGTGTGTATATTTCAAACTAACGAGCGCTTCTTCAACGATATTTGTTCATTCTTCACGTCAAAGGAAGTTGATGAATCAAAACCATCGCTCAAAGTGAAAATACGGTTAATGACAGTATTCAACATGACAGTCAGTGACGAAACGCTGTGTTTGGTAAAAGGCAGAGTTATGGAAGACAATGTTGGTTGTAAAGTCATTATAGCTCCAAGTCTAGTCGGTGTTTATGTTAACGATAATAAAGATGTGCTAATGCAGTCTACGGCGATATCACATCATTGGAAATTTCAACATCGAGGCTTGCTTGCTTTGGTGTACCATCCTGCTTTGGACCGCTTAAAATTGATGGTTGTTGATGAGAAATCAGGACGTATGCAATGGATGGAAACAATGGGTGATTACACTAACTACGTTGGTATTCACGATGTTTTTCATATTCTTAACAGTTCAAAAAATTTTTGCCAAAAAATTGGGCTTTATTACGAAGAGGAGAAGGTTGCTAGGATGATTGCAGAGACTTTACAAATACTGAATGCGTTAAGGCGACGAGAAGCAAGGAGAAGTGGTAAAATCATCGCTCGCTCAAAATCTTTCAACAGCACAGAACGGGCGCATATTAAAGTGAAGCTGCAAAGATCATTTTCAAATTCCATGGGTAACATTAAAACGCATCATACGACTCTGAACATATTTGAGCGGGAGGCAAAGAAATACACTGGCAAATCAACAACACGCAGACCGAGTTTAAGAAAGATGTTTAATGGTCTCAGATCTTCGTTTAGGGTGCGCATCAGGAGACAGGACAGCATCGATGCAGATATTAGCAATAGCAAGCGAAAGAGAATGTCTAGTTGCTCAACAACAGACGATAAAGGCTCAAGTCTGGAATGTAGTCCATCGAACATTGCTACAATCAAAGATGCATCAATGCAAATTTTCGATGAGACTTTTGGTGATTCTTTAAATAACTGGAAACTGACCGAAGATGAACTTCAAGAATTGTACAGACGGAGCTTTTTTAAAGAACGAAATGAACAATCAACTGATTTATGCATAACAGAATTGTGATAATTGATGCATTGTTAAAGCTGTTTGCTGGCATTGTGTATGGGGTGGCAAACACAATGTTTTTCTCATAAAAGGAAATCTACTCGAAGTACCGATAATGCCGGGAAGAAGATATACAGCAGATTATAACGCCAAATAAACATGTGCAACCAAATCCTAAATAATGAAATAAAAAGTGAGGTCGAGGGAAATATATTCCATTCCTAATTGCAATTTCACATGTTGGGTCTGGAATTTGATAACTAAAAAAATCACTTATGTAAAAATCTTAAGTTGTAATCATTGATTCATTCGTGTGAGAAAAATTTTATTTAAGTGCACTCTATAACGATTCAAACCGATTCGTTAGCACTATAATCATGCCTTTTTCTATCTCCTTCATGTATATAACTTTTGTATCTACACGTGGAGATTATGAAGAGATTTTGTTAAAGACTTTATTCTAGATGTATTCCATTTTTTTGGAGCTTATCTTGTTTCCGATAGGATTTACAGTGCTGTTGTAACAACCTAAGGAATGTTCAATACTTGCTGATTTGTATTGTATGTTAGCTCACGAACATGTAAATTATCTTTTAAGTTAAAGCAAAAAACAAACACTGTTCTAAATATATTTTCAGTTATCTTTGTCAAATGAAGACAATAATAATAGTGTTGTTATTGAACAACGTTCATTGTTTTATCAAAAAATTTTCCCACTCCACAATCTTTAAAGCTTTCATCACAGAAAGATAACAATTGATCCGGAAAAGAAGAAGCAATAAATAGCGTACGCAACTGTTTTTGACATGGCAAAGAATATGTAGTTCAAACATTTCGGCGAAGAGGATAATTACACTGCACTTTCACTGATAGCCATCTTTTGAAAACGTCTGGTTTGTCGGAAACAGACTAAGCCAATGCTAAGAAAACAAACAAATTAGGAGTTAATGAGAATACTAATTTACACACAACACCATATTAACACAAATTCCTTCTTTCCAATTGGTCACGATTGCTTGATGAAGAGAGCGCACGATTTGTTGGTTGTTTAGATGAAAATGTTAGGTAACCTTCCATTTCCTTTTATAAATAATTTAAAATTACGCTCAGGGCTACGATAGATTTCAGCATAAACAAAATTTTTAAAAACATAATAATGAAGTATAGAAATCAAACTGTGTTTGAATGTTTTTCTGTGTACAAATATGGGAGTTTTGCTGACACAATGGCACTGCTGGAATGACCAAAAATTTCGTTGTACGCTCATGTGTCAACATATTCTCTCACTAAATATGGTAACACGCGACTTTTTAAGCAGATTATGCAAGTTACTAAAAAATAAAAATTGTTTTGCAAAATTGAGCGTTTCACACGTACATAAATGTAATCAACGATTTCTAAAATTTTTTGTCATAATTGTCAAAACTTTACTCGATTATTGTAAGATCTTACTCTTTCCAACAAAAAAAGAAACTAAACCACGGAAATTGTTGTATTAAAGAATTATCCGGAATATTCTATAACGATGTCTTCCTGATCATTTACGAAAATATGTTGCTCTTCATGATTATTTTTTGCAGCACTTGAAAATGTTGTCTGTACTATTAAGGCCTGTTTATTTGCAGCCTAGTTACCCGGTCGGGCGAGTAACCGGGCAGAGCCGAGTTCTTGTCTGTTCTAGCCGGGTAACTCGGCTCCATATAAACAGGCCCTAAGTTACGGGAATAAATTCTTATCTTCAAGATCTCCGGATACACGAACATTTATATATAAGCTTTCATCAAATGGTGCTAAGAAAAGCCAACCTTATAATATATGCAGAATGGAGGTAATACTTTGTGTTAGTCCGATAATGCGATTTCTAAAAAGATTTTCATTTTCAACATGGCCACATGGTGTGCTTGTGGAAGGTGAAGGTTTTTAAAATCTTTTTGAGACAACTTTATGCATCTTGTGTAAATATCTGGAGTTTATGAACTTAATTTTGGTGGCATTTGAGAAATCCTCTCGTCACTTTATTCGAGATAATACCGTCCTTTCAGTCTTTCTTGGTGGTTCGTGGCTCTAATTTTCGTCATATTTCAAGATAAAAATGTAAGTTCTTTTGTTGGACATTGGTCATAATTTTCTTCCTTTGCTATTCAATTACTTTACAATTCTACTAATGAAGATGATTATAGTTCACAGTTTTTCTCATTAGTCATTCAAATGATTAAAATAATCCAACTTATTTGGGCATTATAATTTCAACATTGTACATTTTAACTATGCTCATTGTAATTACATGCACTCTTTAATTTTGGTGACTTTTGTATAATTTTTACAGTTATCTTGCTGAGTAAAAGCCAATTCATTACTTGTGATGATACTGATGGTAACCCCAGTGGCTAGTGTTGGTGATGTTACTGATGGTAACCCTAGTGGCTAGTATTGGTGATGATACTGATGGTAACCCTAGTGGCTGGTCTTGGTGATGATCTGATGGTAACCCCAGTGGCTAGTGTTGGTGATGTCTTGGTGATGATCTGATGGTAACCCCAGTGGCTAGTGTTGGTGATGATCTGATGGTAACCCCAGTGGCTAGTGTTGGTGATGTTACTGATGGTAACCCTAGTGGCTAGTGTTGGTGATGATACTGATGGTAACCCCAGTGGCTAGTGTTGGTGATGATCTGATGGTAACCCCAGTGGCTAGTGTTGGTGATGTTACTGATGGTAACCCTAGTGGCTAGTGTTGGTGATGATACTGATGGTAACCCCAGTGGCTAGTGTTGGTGATGATCTGATGGTAACCCTAGTGGCTAGTGTTGGTGATGATCTGATGATAAGAACTTGTAGATGACCAATCAACTTCAGTATGAAGAATTCGAGTCTTAGAATCAATCAAGTAATGATAATGAAGATGATGATGATGGAATCAATAATGTTTCATTTACATGTATTATGGAACAGAAAGTTCCATGGAAACATGTATTGTTGAAAAATCATTTTAACATCGTCAAGTGTAGGCCTTCTTTATTGGCAAACCAGTAAGTGAGAAACCATTTACTGATACAATTGTTATAAAGACACAACCTCTTCGATATTTTAGGGTTTAACAATTGCCACAATTGAAATTCTAAAACTCATTGTGTATCGGACAAACCTATAGAGGGTATAAATAATTAAGTAAGTCATTTATATGAAAATTATGGATACAAAAGCAGATAATTGGGGTTTTTTCAAACTGGAACTGGTTTAAATGGACCCCTTTGCATGATTGCATAGTAAAATTGTATGAACCAGCCTAATGGGGCACTTGATTGTCTCAGCAAAGATATATTTATCATGCTATATTACATTTTGTGGGGATCTGTTTGCACAAACTGTCAATGGAAAATTTGCAATGCTGTCATGTTAATTCTTCATTAAAACAGTCAACTGTTGAAATCTTGATTCCTTACTTGTGAAAGTTAAGCTATATTTACATGACTTAGATATGAATTCCACTCCATGGCACCATATTATAAAGATATTGATCAGGCCAATCAATCTTTCCTACTGACCTCCCCACCATCAAGCTTAGCTTAAGTTGAATTATCATTGGATGTTTGGCTAAGCTAAATAATTGTTGAACTTCTCGTCGTGCATAAATCCTTTCAATATCCTTGCTCTGGCTACAAACTTCTTGCCCTAGTTCAAAAAGGTAAAGCTCTCGTGACTGCACACGCCTACACTACAATCCAAATTTTTCCTTCAACATTTTTCTCTTAAGATACTTTATTGGCCCAGCATATTCTACACCAATCACTTGGTACGGTAAGCGCAGCTTGGTGCAGTCTTTATGTAGATTTCCAGGGAAAGGGCTTGGATAAAAATGGCTTTGATAAAGAACGGCTTGAAATTTTTTGCAACTGTGACAACGCTTTATGACTCGTTTCTCAAGGAACCCAGTAATTTTCACGTATCTTCAAAATTGTTAAACGAACTCCCCCATGAAGGGTGACATAATGAGGATGCTGAACAATCTTTTCTGTGAACACATTGCTTTTGGGCAGGTAAATATGGTGATTTCCTTGAATTCGTTCATAACATTTCGCGACACCAGTTTTTTCTGACAAAAGATGCATCCTCTCCTAATTTTGACAAAATTTTACATTGTCTAGATTTGTAACTTTGACATGTTTTATCCACCAATATCTCCGATTGTTAATTTCTTCTGTTGTCAATGGACCACTCTTCCTCTGTTCTTGTTTTCTACTGTTCTAGATGAATCACGAGATCCATCTACAAATTCTCAAAGCTTTCAAGAGATCGTATTTATTCAGAAATTAATTGTTTTATAGATTTTGTTTCTCCAGACTCTCTTTAGTTGCTGTGGTTGTAATGTCGTCTGGCCAATATTCTTTCGTTGTCAACCATGCTGGACCCTTCAACCACAGATCATTTTCTTCACTCACTTTACCACCTCTGCTCGCGAGGTCTGCGAGATTATCTTATCCAGGAGGGTTCTTCAATGGATGTAGTTCTTTGCCTGTATCTTCTTTACTTGATTTCCAATGAATTGTTTTAAATCCTGACTTACACCATTCTGTACCCAATGAAGAGCTACTGTGCTATGCATCCATCCAAAAACATTCCAAGTTGGAAACACGTCCAGCGCTTCCTTGAAGTTATAAAAAAAGATTTGCTGCCATATGTGCAGATACAAGTTCTAAGCGTGGTATTTTCAGGTCCTTCTTAGCAAGATGAGATTTGGCAGCGACCAGGCCCTTTCTCGTGCCACTCTCTTGATGGGCAATTGCCAGCACTATTGCTCCCACTCCATGACTCCTAGCATCAGCAAAGGCATGCAGCTTGATATCGTTGATAATTTCCTGGAAACTGCGATACTTCGTGGAATTGTGATGGATCGTGGAAGATCTTTTTGCCAGGATGACCTCGTCCCTTTAAGTTGTTGTGGTGATTCGTCGTCCCTTAATAACTTGGCATCACAGCAGTCCCGAAAGAGGAGCTTTGCTTGCAACGTGACAGGAGACACCAAACCGAGTGGGTCGTAGATCTTAGTTGTCTTTGCTAACATCTCACGCTTCGTGTTGTGAGACATGTCCGTTAGGTATCTGAACTTTAATGAGGTCTTTCTTTTCGTCCCATGATAACCCAAGAACTGCTGCTTCGGATGTCTTCGCTCCGAATTGTTGCTTTGCATATGTAACGATTAAACGTCACAATAAATTCTATTTCATAACTTTTGTTTTATTTTCATGGCTCTACTCAAAGCTTTGTGTTGGGCATTAATTTTCATTATCTAAATTTGATTTCTGCTTGGCACTTCTCTCGCTACATTTTATAATCTAGCTGCATTACATTCTGAGGTTCTTTGGTATCCAACTCTTGGTTTTGACAAGATCTTAATTTTGAATTAATCCCCCTCCCCAAAGTTTAAATAAACGGAGTGTTTTTCTTTATCGTCATCATCATTCATGCTTATGGCACTTGTGCAACTTTGAAATTAATTTTGCATATTTTAGATTGTCAAGCATTAAAAGTTCCTTTTTTGCTTCTCGTGTTACTTCTGTTTGAATTTGATATTCCTCTTTTACGTCAGTCATTTTTATTTGATAAATTCCCACATATTTTGTGGTTGTGCAAAGCATCATCTCAATAGATTGGATTTCCTACTTAATAGGTTGTTGTTTAAAAGTGTTGAGGAGGCGTAAGAGCTTTCATTCCCCGTTACAATTATTTTGTATTGAGAATTTTTTTATTTTAACCATGAATTTTTTTGCATGATATTGTCAAGCCAAGAGTTTCAGCTGTAAGCTTTAATATACGGACATAGAACGGGGCTGTTACATCTATATATTGATTATTAATAGAGGTTCTTGTGTCACGTTGTCAACAACGTAACTTTTCGTAAATTTTGAAGAATTTTGTGTTATCTTGAACAATCTTTCATTTGTCTTGTAGTGGAGGAAGAATACTATGTTGGCACATTATGATTCATGTGATACATCATTGTCGTGGATTAAGCAATAGTTCTCTTTGATCACAATCCTAGTCATCTATGGTTGTCGTCATTTTTCATCATTGTTGTCGTGGATTTTAGTTAATCTTTGGTTAATCTTTCGAGGAATATGTTAATCTACGAATGAAGGCCAACGAAGACGTTTCAGGTTTGTAGTGTTTTAGTTAAAATCCTGGTGATCAGTAACAACAGGAAGATGATTGAACATTGGCAGAGTTGTTTAAAGAAGTTGTTCTTTTGAATCCTGTTAGTGTTTTTTGTTGTTTATGGCGGTATAGCTATTTGTCCGATACCGCCAGAGTCTGATAGTCGGTTTTCACAAGTTTTTCGTTCTTTCATCACCACGTTACACGTTCCTCAGTTCAAGGAAATAAGCATTGGTTTCTTTGAACTTTGGTTGCGTGTATTAGTTCTTAGAATTGAAACAAGGTATGTTTTTATTGCAATATTAATAAATTTCTATGAATTTAACTGAAAGGAATCAAAATCTATATGCATGAATTATAGTGCAACGTTTGCAACTAAACTACGGTTTGCATCTTGAAAAACAATTTTCAACTTAGCATGAAGATGGTCTAAATTATTCGTGTTGTGTTGGGCTTGCTCTTCTCTCTTTCATTTCTTTATATGCATGGAACGTGGCTGATAGCGCGGCGATACCTTTAGTTCAAGTAGTAAACGGTGCAATGATGGTACCTAGGTGATCGAGTGTTGGACACACAAGGATTGGTTGGTATGCTATTTGGTAGTGTATATGTTTAAGAGCCCAGGGAGGCTAATGTGCATCCACATTCGTAGCTTGTTTGATCTCTGATTAACAAATCAGTTGACGTAATATTATTTAAAAACATGAAAACGTCATACTTTTTACCCTTATCGCCATTGGCATTCAACAAATCTCTTGACAACAGATTACAATCAGAGCTACAATCGATCAGAGCAAAAACAACGATCATAAAGCTACATAATTGCAATACAAGAGGTAAAGATAGGTTACAAATTTCACTTTTTCGTACAGCCTCTGGCCAACGCAGCTTTCTATTTAGAGCAGTAAAAATTTGGAACGCTTTGCGGCACGCCCTAAAAGGCATTGATTCTGTGATTAGTTTTAAGTTTGCATATAACAGGTTTTTAACTAGTTGTAGCCTTTACATGTTTGTAAATGTAGAGGTTGGTATAGTCCTGAGAAGGACTGTTTTTGTTGTTGTTGACTGACATTTCGACAACCTTAGCGGTAGTCATCTTCAGAGTCAAATGAGGAGTAAACATCAGGTGTTTAGTGTAATTTAGGTGTGATGTTTTTACACATCACACATCACAACTAGAAACATTTCACGTCACACTAATTCACAATGACAATACACATTTCCTGTACACACAATGCAATGACGTAAGAACCAGATAAAAAATACGGCTAACCTGACATTTACTCCTCATTTGACTCTGAAGATGACTACCGTTAAGGTTGTCGAAACGTCAGTCAACAACAACAAAAACAGTCCTTCTCAAGACTATACCAACCTGGACGATCTACATTTACAAACATGTAACGATACTCCTGGGTTCAAACCATTTACTTTAGTAGTAACCTTTGATAATTTTGTAGCTAAATTATTACATTTTTGCACATTTTTTTGTACATATAATTATGCCCTTCGATTATGTTTTTAATTCTGAAAAGCCCTTTGGGAGAATTAATAAAGTATAAAATATAATAATAATAATAATATTAAATAGATGATGATAAATAATAAAAAATATAAATAATAATAATCCAGTTTTTACATCTCTTTGGACATTCTTTAGTATGACTTCTTAAATGTTCTTGAATAACCAATATAGTAAAGTTTTTAGCTTATTTCATGTTCCAACTGCATTTCAAGTTCCTATCTACTCCTAGTTAGCCATTGTTAACCCCCTACTACCACCCCCTTATACATATTACATTATTCACATTTATAAATTTACAAAAATAATGAAAACTATTCATTAAACAATCAACTTTTACGTACTTTACTGTTCAAGATGTGATGAATCATATAATATCTCACAATCTATTTTGCATATTTTGTTTGCATTTAATGAAATCAAAAACACTGACACCCCAGTATTGGGGCAAATTTGTTTAGAAACTTTTCCTTTTTCCATTGAAAACAGGCAGTTGAAATGATTAAAAAAATACTCCATAAAATAATGTAATATTCCACCATGTGATACAACTAAAACATTTTGTATCCTTTTTGATTGATCTGCACGATCTTCACGTGACTTATGTGGCATTTCACATTTATTATTGATGTCAGATGAATATTCTACCTTCTGCCATAATAAAGGATCTTCATTGTGACTAAAATTTTCTTCATGGTTATTGAGCTCGTGATTCAAAATAGTTTGATTTCCACTCCTTCTTGACACCTTCTCATGCCTAAAAAGATCTTCGACTAAAGTTGTAAAAAACTTCACAACTCTTTTCTGTACTTGCTCTTCAGTCTCTGCACCACAAGGTAATTTTCCTGACATCAAAACTCTCTTGAGTTCTTTCCTTGAACCCCCTTCTGCATTCCCATAACTCTAAATGAAATAAACATACTTCTTGCAATTTACCTAGACAAAGCAGAGTTCACATTTACTCTTCACTAACCCTTTCCCGTAACAAAATTTCATTACTGATTTTCAATTCTTTCATATGCAAATTCTTCAGGCATATTTTTTCTGCAGTCTGCAATAAAACAATTCTAATACAGCTAATAAATGTTGCATGACATTTACGTTCAATCAAGTTAGGTCAACCTTGTAAGCTCTTGTTAAATCACTGCTGTATATCTTAATGAAATTTTCATCTTTCAATCTATCAGAAACACGCTCCACTTGCTCTATGCCATGCTTATTCATCACAGTGTCTTTATGACCTAAATTTTTGAAGATAGGTGCGTAAGATGCCAACATTTCTAAGGAAAAACTAAGTAAGTCACAATTGTTCCAAATTTCCAATACCTTGAATAATTTTGTTACGATTTTCATCTGTTTCTCCACTAAAAATAATATTTATTGATTTACTGTTAAACAGTATGTTCAAGTCATATAGATTACTCTTTCCTTTCAAAAAATAATAAACTTACTGTCTAACTAACGTCAGTCGAAAGCTCCACTTTAGTTCGCACTCCTGGATCTGTAATGCTCCAGCCATTTTGTTAAATTATGGATTTTCTTGCGGCACCCACCGTCGTCACTGCCGCAGCAATTTTTATTTTATTACTCTTACAGCTTGGGACGGGGGAGTATAGAATAACTTTAACAAAATGTAACGCCTCATTGGTAATTTATAAATACAAATGCAAATGGTTGTAAAAAACGCACAATTACTGTGTTTTCATTTATGAATTAAAAGTTACAGATTTTACTGTTGTGTCGTTGATGTTCATCAACATATATTAAACAAGAACATAGCCAACGGCGAATATATTTAATTGAATTATATAATTGTCGTTATCATGAAACGTGCTCCGCATATTTGTTATTCCAAAGAATTCTAAAGAGCGATTAAACTCGTCAAGTATCTTTTTACTGGCTAATAAAGATGCATATTGAAAGTAATCAGACGCCTTGGCACATTCCAATGTATGAGAGGTACTGCAAATTTATGCCAACTAAACATAGACTTATTCCATATTTGAGAAAGAGTTGCACTTCTACAGTTGAAAATACAATGATTTATTGAAAACAAAACACAAGAGAAAGCGTTATATAACTACAAAATTTATTAGTTCTATAATGAAAATTAAAATATGTGTAAAAGAGCGATACCTGCATGAAAGGTCGAGTTAAACTAAATTGTATGGATTCTCCATGCAATGCTACCAATGTTGGAATATTATATTGCAGTCAACTATAGTCTGGTCAAAAGCGTTTGATGAAAATTTTTACAACTTATCAGCTACAATCATAAACTACTAAATGAAATATTTCTTTCTCTTTCATCAGGTTGCTCTGTAGAAAGAGAATGGCCCTCAATTTCTCAAGTCGTAACATGGTGTTCATACCAAATTTTGTGTGTATTACTTTTTCTTCGACGATCGTCTGGACCTATCACTTCTCCCTGAAGTAGAGCCACTTCTAGAATCTAACGATGAAGGGCTTGTAGGCCCATCGAAGGAATCTGCTTGTGTTGAGCTTATATTTGTTACATGTGTAAACAGACACGGTGTTGAGATCTCGTTTTTCGTTAGTTTACGAAATTTCTTCACTCTTTCTTTGCGAGAACTGATTTCAAGTTTGCTTGGTGGTGTGACAATGTTAGAGGACTTCAGTTCCTCAATCGAGTCAATGATTTCTTTCAAAAATAACGACGCCGCTCCTTCATCGTCGAACTGTAATCCAGCCATTTTTGCACCATTATTATTTTGTAGATTTAATGTATGAAAAGTGTTATCAAGGGCACTATATTGTGAATTATCACTAAGATCTTCTTTCCACGATGCAAAGCCACTTTCAAGTTCCACTAAGCATAGTTTCACTCCTTTAGGATTTCTTTCTCCGCTTTCTCCAGTGTTAAAAATAACGGCGGCAACACCAGTTTTGAAATGCTTCCATGTTTCGTCTTTCAGTAAATACAATTTAGCTGGAAATGGGCAAACAGTGACACGATTCGAAAGGCATGAAAGCGATAATTTGATTTTAAACAACTCCTGACCACTTAAACGACCGTCTTCATTCATAATTTGTACAGCTTTTTCCTTTCTTGTTCATAAAACCGACGAATATAAATCCAGATTTACGCGAAGTCGACCTTATTCAGTTCGTGACGGTAAATATTTTAAACCTAAACTAGGCCATACCGTCAGTTCCCCTGAATGTTCGCCTGTATCTCAAATTACACAAACCGAATTTAAAAGAAAGAAATGCAACGTTGAATTGATGCACTCCTAGATAAATTGCTCAAACGAAAAGAAAAGTCGCGAATGTTCTACTATAAGATAAAAAAATGACGATGCTGTTGAAACTTGTTATTACACACCGGTTATACGTCACAACACAACAATACAATGTATTTATGATTTTCTAACGTCATAATTAACCAATGAGAACATTTAAGACTGGATGTGACAACCGACGACATACAATAGAGAATCTATTCTATGCCGACGATGTGGGAGTTTTATATAGAAACAAAGATCAAAACATAGCAACCTGGCACTCGTTCACAGAAATTTTACACATAATGACCTCAGTTTTGTTAAATATCATAGGAACCTATAAGTGTATAAAAAACACATTGTGTTGCTGGTGTGTATTCCAACAGTTTTTATCACCCTGAACTGATGAGCAATACGTCTCACAGGCTCATGGTTAATTAAGAAGAAACTTGCACAATTATGTCTTGTAAAAAAGGTGAAAATAATTTGAAGTTTGGTCTGTGGGAAAATAGCTGTGCACAATAATTCATTAATTTTCTTAACCAGACGTAAATGGTTAGGCTTTTGATCCTGCTTGATTGAGCCCTTTACCCTTTATACCAAATCCTGCTCTAGGCAATTTTACTTTACATTTGGTAGCTTTGAAATTTCTGTTGATGACTGTTAATAGCTGAATAATAGCCTTGCCTGATGGTGGTTTTGTGTTGACCCCCACCCCCCTCGTAAATTATCGAAGTTAGGTAAAGTAAATTGGATCATTTAAAATAATTTCTATCATGGATTAAAAGAATCAACAGACTTGTGAGAATGTACTTGACTGTTGTGAACAAATGGGATCTTTCTGTGCTTTGTGGGTAAAAAACGTTTGCTGTTGTACTTTCTGTGCATACCCCTTTGTTCTTATATAATGAAATGCTATTAAAGTCAACATGCCAAAGAAGAATTTGTATTTTTCATAAATCATATTTCTCAACCCAGTCTGCTTGTTTTATGCAATCAAAACATGTGATGGTTTTAAGTTTTCTTTGTCTCCAGTGTGGATCATTGCCAGTGATCGTGGAAGGACTAATAGGACAGTTTTGCACATGCTCATTGGTAGAACTTGGACCATTTCTATATATATCACCTATGAGGAAAAATTAGTTGACTATGAAGCAGGAAAACATTGAATGATAAAGAAGAGGTTGCTGAGCCTTTTTAAGGTATGCATAGTATGATTATTTACTATCCATTTTATGCGGACATCCTTAATTATGCAAACCCAACCTATTCAATCAAATCCAATCTTTTGTAATGATTGTATTTGTTTTGAATCTTTTCTGGATAAAATAATTTCTCTCCCTGGTTATGAGCATGGAAATCTTATACTGAAGAATGTCTACCTTTGATAATTTTACTTATAATGTCAATGTTTACAAGAAAGGTAGTGCAGTCTTTTGGGTCAAAGCCGACAACGAAACTGAGTTTTTTTTCAATTCTTTCAACCGTTCTCTTGAGATTTACCAAACAATGTTGCTCGCCCACGTCGGCTGGTGCCAACAATAACAATGACAAAATATTCTTTTATATCATATCACCAACATGGCTAAAAAGCAAGTCGAGAATACACAAACTTCAATGTTGAAAAAGCATTTGACTGTAGAACTGAATCATCAAACTGGGTGAGGTAATCTGTAGTCCAAGTTGTAGTATTTAATCTCCCAGAATATCGTGGACGACATAAGTTGTTGGACGAAAACGACAGACTTGGTGATGCTGTGACGAAACTGTATGACAGAATACTTTTTGACAACAATAGAACTGCACATGCGCAATCGTTATTTCACAATAACGTGCAGTCACCTATATGCAACAACAGTGGCGTGAAATGTTTCTCACATTTAGAGATAGAAGATTTTAGTTTTTCCAAACTTTTCTTTGAAGAAGAATGGTCGATTATAGCAAGTGGGATCGGATTGAGGTATGTCTTATAATTTAACCTCATTTTTTTCAATGTGAATATCGTTGTCGTGAACATAACAAAGCTGCATTGAACGTCGTCTGATGTTTGTGAGGATACAAAACCGTTATCCTGAATGTAGTCAATAATATTTGTCTGTCATAATATTTGTATTTATGTTCTATGAAAGTTTTCTTCCCAACGATTTAGGTTAGTGACGATGAGGATGAAACTCATCCTAATATTGATACGCCAAGCTTGTTTCGATGGAGGCATCAAGCACGGGTTGAGAAAATGGAAGAGTTGAAAAATGAAAGGGAAAGTGTTAATAAAGAAGTCAAAGTGTAAGTCTTTAAGAGTTGGGACAGCCTTTCTGTGCTGTTAGACTACTCAATGACTTTTAAACTGGCTAGTTTTAAGAACAAAATGATTGAAGTCCAGGAAAAGCTGAAAGAAGCTGAAAAGAACAACAAACAAGAGGATATTTTTAAATATAAGAAAGATCTTGAACAGATTAAACAACAGGTTGTACTCCAAGAAAATTGTTTTATTTGCAAAAGTACATTCTGTAGCAATCTATTTTTTATGTTGTCTTAGGAAGATCATTTCCGGAAAAAAGAATTGGAAATTGCAAAGAAGGAAAAATTACAACCTTGGAATGTTGATACTTTAAGCAAAGATGGATTTAGTAAAACTGTAAGTCTTTATTTCTTGTTTCATTGTGTGCACATCTTCATATGATTAATTTATCACAAATATTTGCATTTACTTGAATGATACTTTTTTAAATCTGTTTATAATCTTATTGATTTAATCCTTAGATAATTAACAAACCAAAAGTTGAAAAGGAAGAAGAATTATCAGAAGATGAAAAATGGAAAAGATCCGTAAGAACAATCAACATTAAAAATGCTTTGTTTTAAATTGTTGTTTTTATTATGTTAAACTTCCTCTCTCAATTTTCTATCTTAAGCAACAATTTATGGACAAATACGAGAAAGAAATAAAGAAACTGGGAATGCTTCATGAATATCATGACTCAAAAGAATATTTGCTACAAAACCTTAACCTGGTTTGCGAAGATACAGCAAATTATTTGACATTGTGGTGTGTTAATTTGGAGGTTGAGGAGGTATATACATAAGTGTCACTTGATATTTTTGTTAACATATTTCTCACATATTTTCTTGCCGTCAGATGTTTGTTGTCTTTGACATAAGTTACACACAATACATTTTTGTAGAAACATGACCTTATGAAACGTGTCGCACACCAAACAATTGTAATGCAGTATTTGCTAGAATTGATGAAAACATTAGAAGCAAACCCACCCCAGACAGTTAGTGTCTTCTTTTCAAGGTAAAGATTAGATTTATATTGATAGTGGTGAGAACATTGTGTAGGTAATAATAGATGGTGATATTCTACAGAATGTGTTGAATTTTCTTGTTTGTAGAATGGCAAAAGCAAAGACAGACTTCACCGATTACATTCAGGCATTTGAGGATGAGCTTGCTTCATTTATAAAAAGAGTGAAAGATAGGGCTAAAGCAAGAATTGAGAAAGCCAAAGCTGAAGTTGAAGAGGTTAATGCAGATTTTTTCTTGGTAATCAACAGTTCATGCCTTATTGTGTATGTATATCATGCAGGAAGAACGTTTAGAGCGTGAGCAAAGACTTGGTCCAGGTGGCCTTGATCCTGTGGAAGTATTTGAATCATTACCTAAGGTATAAAATTTCTGTTTGTGTTACTATTCAAAAGCATATATTGTCCATAGGAACTCTTGGTAAAAAATCAAAGTCTGTATAAATAATGGGCTTAAATTGAAGTTTTATGATTGGTATGTTATATATGTAAAGCATAAGATTTTCAAATTGAAAGGAGTTACAAGAATGTTTTGAAAAGAAAGATATACCAATGCTGCAAAACGTGATGAAAGAATTACCAGATGAGGTAGCAAGGTATCATTTAAAAAGATGCATAGATTCTGGTCTTTGGGTTCCCGGAGGTTCTTCCGATTCTGCCGAGGAAAATTCCAAACCAACTTCAGATGAAACAGAAGAGATAGCATGAGGAATAACTCATCAGGATGATGTCACACATTAGCATGTTTAAACAACCTAAGTATCTGAGGGTATAATAACCTGAAAGTGTAATGTGATAGTAGTTGCCATATAAATCAATGGAACAGCATAATTGCATGTGACAAAATTCCAGTTAGAATAGAACATTTTAATGTAAAAAATAATCAATACATGAAAGTTGAAAGAGAAACAAATTGCAACTAAAGAAAACAATCCCTTTTAGCTTTTTGTGACATTAAATGTTTAACTAAAGTTTGGGCAGGTTTTGTTATAATTTTATTTTATACCTTTAATAATTTGTTTAATAACATTAAAATAGTAAATATAGCACACTAAATTCATAATTCTCCCCTAGATTTCACAATAATAGGTAAAGTGGCTTTGCCACAAATCAAGTACTTTATCACAAAGTTTGCATCAATTTATTTTCTTGCTGCCTCATAATTAGTCTCAAACCATTCACATGTCTCCTGCAATGCTGAAAAAGAAAAGTCAAAGTTTGACTAGAAGCTCAAATAAGAACAAGCACAAAACTGTAAATGTTATACAATCTGAACTATTGCACCTTGCTTAAAGTCTGTAAATTTAAAGTCAGGTCGATATTTCCTGAGTTTTGCATTGCTTGCTGTTTTTTTGAATTGACCATCTGACTTGCTTGTATCATACTTAATTTTTCCGTCAAGATTCATCTTGAAATAGACACCAACTCAGTATTTTAATAAATATTATTAATGTGATACTTTCCTAGACCTTCAACTTATAACTAAAGGATACAGTCAATTCTCCTTTGAAATTCATAGCTTCCACGATCATTTCAACAGCATCCTTTATTGATACCTCATCTTCTTCACCAACTGACAAAATGATTGGCGATACTTCATTATAATCTCTTAACACCCAAATCATCAATCTTGCTAGATCCTTAATAAATTGCAAATATCTCCAGTGAAATGGCAATGCTATAATAAAATGCAGTCATTGTGAATCTACCAATGAGTATATGAATTGCCTTCGTGGCTTGCCTGTGCCCCAAACCACGAATGGCTTTCCTTCTTCTAAAAAATTTATATAAAACACATTTGCTGTTAAACTCAACTTCTCATCCATCATTTATACAAGCATCACAAACTTTTAGCATTGTAGATCTTGTTAATAAGGCCAGGAATGACATGACCATCTTCCACATTAAAGTTGTCATGTGGACCAAACACATTGGTGGGTATTACACTTGTAAAGTTGCAACCATGTTGTGCATTGTAAGCCCTATAATTACAGCATAAATATGAATTATGGTAGTTATACTTCCACTGATCATATAGTAGATGAAGTTTACTTATTTTGTATGTCAATCAATCTTTTTGCATATGAATAGCCAAAATTCGAATCATGAGGTGGACCATCATGTACCATTGTTTCATTGATAGGATAAGTTGTTTTATCTGGGAATATACAAGTAGAAAGACAGGATACACATTTTGAAACCTATAAAATAACAAAACTTTAAATTGAATTGTTTACCATGTATCAATAAAAATTTTCATCTCACCTTATACTCAAATGAGCATTGTAAAATGTTGTCATTTATAAGTATATTTTTTCGCTACAAAAAATAAAGAAATTGCAGTTTATTACTGATTAATTGCAACATTGTTTTTCAAATACACATGTGGAATTGTACAAAACCTACCAGGAAGTCTAGATTATACTTTAGGTTTCTAAAAAGGCCACCAACCATTGCAGCAAGGTGAATAATATGTGTTGGTTTGTATTTTTCAAAAATTGCTTTTGTTTCCTCTGTGTTGCTAAATATTCATAGCATTAAATGACATGTGACAACATAACAAATGTAAATATCTTTCATAGTACTTAGTTTACTTTAACAGATTGTTATTCACATTTTAAATTAGGATATGCTATTCTGTCTTTTTAATTTTTATATATTTAACCAAATGCAAAAATATGAAATGATTAAATGAAACAGTTATCATACCTCAAGTCACCATCTTTGGATGATAAAAAAATCCAGCGCTCCTTTTCTTTTTTCTCTTCTTTCTCAGAAATAATTTTGATTGCTTGACCGACTAAACCTGTGCCACCAGTGACCATAATCACTTTTTCCTCCGCCATCTCCACTATCTAATAGTAGTTGAATTGGCAGTGTCACAATTATAATTGAACAAAATGCTCGAAAAACTGAAAGTGACACGAACAGAAACGAACATACCTTTTTGTGCCAGTTATTTTATTAATTTTTTCAACGAAAATTCAGAAAGCTTTATAAGAATGAAATATTGTCCATGCCACGTAGAAACATTAATTTTTAATCAATGCTGCATGTCTTCATGAAATGCAGGAGGGAGAGATATGATTAATTTTAATACGGGGGAGGGAGGGAGGACTATGCTTGTATCAATGACATCATGATCAGTGGACATGACGTACATACTACCCAAAAATCAAAATAGCAAAATATGGCGACATCAAGCTCTTCGTCAGGTAAGCAATAGTTGTGTTTAATGGAGTTAGAGTTTTTAACTATTAAATTAGAAATGAAATTTAAGACGTTTTTTTTAATACTTATTATGAATCGTCCGAATAGGAAGATATTGTGATATATTAACCTGGAAATGACAGTGACAATGTGATTTTACATCCTGGTGAATTGAAGAACGTAGTTAATAATTCTTTTATAAATTACACAACATTCATCCCATTCAGCCAAGATAAATTTAAGTATTATTGAAACATATTGTCAACTACGGACAATGTGGTCGAACATATTAGTTGGATACCAATTGAGCTTGAGTAGTTTTCTGGTGGTTTCAATTTGGGCATGTTTCATTTTCATTTGCTCAAGTGTTATGAGACTTTTCATGCCCAAATTGAAACCACCAGAAAACTACTCAAACTCAATATTATCAACTGTTATTAAAGAATATCTTCTGTTAATTATGAAATTCATTTGTTCTCTTTAAAACGTTTACACACATTTTTATTTATTAGATGGTTATAGATCAAGAGTATTGACTGGTGACCTACCAGAAGGTTTTTTGCAAATTGACAGTTCACAAACAACCACACCTTACTCCCATGGAACAACACAATCTGCTGTCTATCAGAGTCCTTATCCTATGCAAGTTGTAACACGACTTAAGATTACTGTTGCACAGGTATGATAATAAAAACGTTAATCTCTTTTGAAGGTTATTTAAAATAACTCTCTTTATGTACTTTTGATTATAGGCCAAGCTTGCAAAGAATTATGGTCTTACAAGAATGGATCCGTATTGTAGGGTTCGTGTTGGCCATCAAGTTTTTGAGACTCATACTGCATCAAATGGCTCAATCAATCCTCGATGGAATAAAACAATTGCTTGGTAAGGGATAAAACCATTTTTCACCAATGCAAACACTTAAAAATTGTTTTGCAATTACATTTGCTAATATAAACATTTTTTTCAGCTATAGAAAAGAAAGTTCTAATTCACTAAAATTTCCTAATATTGTTCACCCCATATATCAATCAGTGAGGGACATTGTAAACAATTTAGGATTATAATTTTACATGTTAGAATTATAATTTTACAATTAAATAACTATTTTGTATAGTCCTTTCCAACGCAGTTCAGTCAATACGATCTATGTGGAAATTTTTGATGAGGTAAAATTTGTTTTTGTTATTTTTTTACCATAATATCTCATTGAAAGAATTGTTATATATGTTCATTACTGTCTCTTTTTATTCTTCAGCATGCCTTTTCCCCAGACACTCAGATAGCATGGGGCTTAATAAAGATTAGTGATGATTTGCCTGTTGGTGAAAGTTGTGATGAATGGTATCCTCTAAATGGTAAACAAGGTGACGAGAAAGAAGGAATGATCAACATTATTCTTTCCATTACTGTAAGTTTGTTCTATATGTTATCACTTTCATTGCCTCTTTAAAATGTTTTGATAAATCTGTCAAAATCATTTAGGAATCTAATGAGCCTGTACCTGCAGCTCCTATGATGATATTTCCCCAAGCATACACCTATGCTCCTGTTTACTATCCACCCGTGCCCTATGCAGTGCCCCAACAACGTTTGCCACCAACAGGTGCACCTTGTGTGCAGGTCAAACCAGAGGATGTAAAAAACATAAAAGATATGTTTCCTGATGTGGATGAAGAAGTCGTAAGGTCTGTATTAATGGCAAGTGGAGGCAATGTTGATGCTGCCTTGAATCACTTGTTGAGCATGAATGAAAAATAAAGTTTGAAAATAATTTATGTTTGCACTTTGAATTAATATTCTCGAGTCTTAGCTGAACAAACATATTTAAAATAGACCTTTTCATTATGTAGTGCTCTAAAATTTAGCTTGCTCTGCTTGTTTGAAGTAGCAAAGTGTGATTTGTTGCACTTTAATTCTAATTTAAATTTTGTTATACCAATATTTTGGTACGTTATTGATAGTTTAAAAGTAATAAATAGTTTATTGAATGGAAGTTGTTTTCTTTCATGTTCATTGTATAGTAACGAATAGTAACATGTAGTCTTTAGTTGATTGAATATCAATTTTCACAATATGCGTGTTTCATAATCCCACTTAATGTGTCATGGCAACCTTAAGTGCTTAATAAGTAGGTTGTTTTCTTGGCCCATTTTAATTGCATACTGTCTGACTAATTTCTATCAGATGTATTTCATTTTGCATCATTTTTACCTTACAAAAGATTTTTGTTTACAGAATATATGATAGTTTTGACAACATTTTTCAATTCGTTAGAGATGTTTGTTCGCTCAACTCGTAAGTAAATTGTGTTATTTTTATTTTATAGTTAAAACTAATCTTTGTCGACATAATCATTGAAATTCTTTCACTATGCTGTCGTTTTTTCGATCACAATATTGCAGGCTAAAACTTTATTGATAATATGCTGATACAGCCACGTATTTCATCATTCTTTAATTATTGCATTTCTTAATACGTTTTTACTGTTTTAGCATAATGCTTCAGCAGTTTGATTGAATATTCTTGTTCACACTTCAGCTTCACTTCAAAAAACTGTTCTGTTAAAAATTTTTTTTTTCAATGTATTTGTAATTTTCTGTACATATCAAACATAGTGGCTTGTCCTTGATGACCTCAGGTGCAACTGTAAATGTTATGATCCCAGCCAATTTGCTGCTGTTGTTTTTCTTTCGTTGTCTTAGAACGTTCTATAACTATTCCTGCTTGACTTTTTTCTCGTGTTGTATATACAAATATTGACCATGTTTACACTGACAAACACAAAATATTTATAGTCTTACCATTAAGGGAATAAAATAAAGAATCCTTTTTACTGGACCTCTGCAGGTGGCCACATCTGCAAGTGTGTGTTTGAATCGCAAAATTAATTTATGTCTCTCCTATGGCAGGATACAGATGTTCCCTTTCTTTCAAATGAAACGAGTAAACAAGGCGGATTTAAGTTGGATTTTTGAACCACTAACATAGATAGATGATTTTGCAAGGGGCATATGCAAAAGATTTAGATGATGAATGATTGTGCATTATTACAGACTGTCAACTTTTGTAAACTTAAAGTTACTTAAATGAAGAGTATAGTTACATATTTGTTATACGAATGTTTAATTTCTTGATCGTTTATACCACCTGTTTTTTATCATCCCATAAAAAGCTATTTCTGTCGCAAATCGTTGTGTTGTCTAACTTGCCAAACAACAATGTATAGATATATTGTTATGTATATTAGATATATAATGAAAAAAAACATCCTTTATTTGCACATTCATTATACTTTTGGTGTGTTTATCCACAATTCATCATCTAAATAATTTTTATCCGTGCAAGCCAAGAATGCAAAACGTCACTCAGATAAACGTATTACTAAATTTCCATTATTATCTTTACACATGGTTGGCTTAACAATTTTGTTTGAAAAAGAGAATCTTTCGTCCTTGATAAACATTTTCAGTCATTTCTTGTTTTTGTACAGTAAACGCAGCCGATATTTATCAGATCTAATTGTCTTGTGAATGACTTCCGAACTTCAATTCATCAGCGTGGTCAGCTTTAACTTTATTATTTGCTTATTTTATTATTCAGCCGAGAATCTTGGGTTGTAGCTATTGAAAATGCTTTATCGCTTGTGGCAAACGTTCATAATTGCTGAAGTCAAGAATTTTTGTGACTGAAGAGAGAAACTTCCATTGAAAATGACTCATTAACGAATAAGGTAGGATTTATATAATTTGCAAAACTGAAGAATGAAGATTATGGTCCAATTGCTTCGATGGATGTTCTAATGTCGGAATAATATAGCATTGTTTATCAGTGGGAGAGTTTCTTAAAAGATTTCATTTCATGCATATTATTTATAATGTAACTTTGCTATCGCTTCATATTATTCATCTCAGAAATCTTTATGATCCTATTCCATGTGTTAGTGTGGTTTCCCTAAAAACGTGATAAACATTAAGAATTTCTGAAAGAAGTTTTTGCTGTTTGCAGCTGCCAAATGTCATGTGGTGTTGCCTATTATCCCACACGTATAAATATAAAACTGAACAAAATATCCTTAGTATAGTTTTGTCTGGCACGGCCGTCGCGTTTGAATTGTGGAAAGTTATTAAATCACGAACAAGAATAAAAGTTTGTATACATCTAATATTTAATTATGGCTTTAAACTATTATTAAATCGAGTAGATATTTATATACGCACGTATTATGAACATTTCAACCCAGAACTTTCGAAATCTTCTGGATAAATATATTTGTTTGCTTTATACAGTTTCTGGAAGGCACCTTTTCTCGTTGAGCTTTTAGTTTCTTCATAGATTTTTGCCTGATTTTATGCTCGCGAGCAAAGTATTTATTTGAAATCGTCACGTTTGTATATTAAAGCCATTACATACGACTTTAATAATTTTTGAATATGTGTAAAACATGCAGTGGATCGTCTTGACCTTGAGCTGTTTTGATGACGAGAATGCCCGATCTCGGAACTACGTAAATGTATTGCTGTAATCTTTTCCATTGAAAGACGTACTTGGGCTTATTGCACGCTATTTGTGAGGAAGTGTGTCACGTTCTTTAAGAATATTATCAATAAATGTGAAGATTCATGAAAACAATGAATACACATATGTTAAACAATACATAGAAAGAAAGTTCTATCATCACGCGAACATCGTATGGTAAGACAACAAGGCTGTGGTCATCCCTTGGCCTTCAGTGAATTACTTTGACATAATTTTCATTATCGTCGAGGTTTGAAAAACATTTCCGCATAGCCTCATTTTCCCTATTGTCAGTTTTTGATCGATGTAAACTCTAGGGTGTTAACATCACTTGTTTAGAGCTGTTTTAAAGTCAAAGAATATATACACTAGTTATAAAAAAGAACTTCTTGTTTTTGAAGCATTCTGCCAACAGGTGGAACAGGTTGAATGTATTTATTTGCCATTTTAAATGAAGAAGTTTGCTATGTCATGTTTCATTTGTTATTGGAGGTAATTATCAAGCACAATACCAGTATCAAATGTACAAACATGCAGGTCAATAGCAGTTCATTTGTAACTAGTTACAAAAATAATATATGCTTTGGTGTTGACATTTTCATCGTATTGATTGATTACGTCTTGCTGTTGTTAATCTTATCTTCTTTACAGTCTGTATTATATTAATCGCTTAGTTGCAGAAATTTACTGCTTCATAAATTTCCATTACCAGCATGACGCTGACAGTAATAGGCTTGTTTTTCTATACGAAAAAATCTTTTGAAGGCAACTTCTTTGTATAAAGACCTTTACGTTTAAAGATGAAAGTGGCGGGGGGTAGCAGAAGAATTTCAAACATCTCCAAGGCATACAAAACGTATTACGAACTTGTTTGGGAAAACTGGAAATAATTTTTTTCAAAACATCTTGTTGTTTTTCTAGACAAAGTTTGTCCACCTTTTATCGATAAAACGCCTATTTCAAAGAAAGACGCTGAATTCAGTTGAAAGCTTTCTAAAAAAATTCAACCAAATGCAACTTTCTCATTATTGAAACCAACGAAACCAGAACTGCAATTGTTTCGTTTCATTTAATGAAATGCTTGCTGCTTGCTCCCTTGGTTTTACTACATAAATTAAATTAATATACACAAATAGAAAAGTGTTGGATTATACTTCACTGCTCTTTATTGTATTTTATTTTAGTTGATTTATGTTTATGATGTCGAACACAACCAATGCTACAATTGGACAATTTAAAATCCCAAAGACTCATCTCTACACTGTGTTGACTTTATATGGCTTCATCTCGTTTACGTCTGTCATTGGAAATTCTATGGTTTTAATCTCTTTCTTCAAGTCCTCGAAAATCCGAAATTCGCGGACGAATCATCTTATTGTGAGCCTCTCTTGTGCTGATCTAATCGCAGGCGCCATAACCGTACCTCTGTATGCAAATCTGATGATGAACAGTTTTGAAGGCTACAATGAAAGTGTCCAGTTTTTCATTTACCAAGTTATCGACGTTTTTTCAGTTACGGCGTCTATTTGGCATTTAGCTGTAATATCATTAGATAGGTATGTTCGTTACTTATGCTATGTCACTGTGCTTTGACGAGTGCCATTTTCTCTTGTTTATATCTTCAATATCTCTTCAACCGTAACCAACGAAAACACTAACAGCCAACAAATATGATAATGAACAATGGCTTCTGGTTGTCATTCTGAAACGTGGTTCAATTTGTACATATTTTTTTATCTCCATACATAATACATACGATACTTCATATGCGCAATTATCGAAGTCTGGTACCTAGTTTCCTACTGTTACATTTTTTTCTAATTTTCAATTCTCTGTTTTAGATATTTTGCGATCGTGTGGCCAGTTTTACACCATAATGCAAAGTCTGGGACGTACATTTCATCATTATTTGTGATATGGATTGTTTCCATTCTTTCTGGTGGCCTCACTGTGGAGTTCTTCAAGTATAAACTAAAATACATAATCTACAAAGCGTCAACCTTGTTTGCACTTCCCCTCCTTGTCATAGTTGTCAGTTATTTATCCATTTTACATGCGACTATCCGGCGTCCATATTCTAGCTCTCGCGGGAACTTTGAAAGGGAACTGAAAGTTTCGTTTACTGTTTTTCTTTTAATTGCTCTGTTTCTTGTAAGTTGGGCTCCATTTTTCACCATTGCCATTTTGTCCAGTTCATGTGAATGCATCACTTTAACCATGGCAGTTTACTTTAAAGCAATACACTTTGCTTCAACCTGTGTTAATCCTGTAGTGTACGCCGCCAGAATGCCTGATTTCAAAACAGCTTTTATTAAGATTATTCCAAAACAGATCGTTGAGTTTCTCTGTTTCTTCCGAGATAGAACAATAGTTGACATGGTAACCAATAGTACACGCACGCGTACTTCAAGTACGTTATCATCTACGGTCCAAACGGGCGAGAGTGGTAAACGAAGAGCGACACTTCTTGAAAATAGAGGTGCCTTTGAACAGTTGCCAGTGAAAATAAACAAAAAGGAGTCTCCCCTAGCTCACAGTATAACCTCAAATAAATGTGTGAGCTTACTGTCAGATAGTCCTACCTCAACGGCTGGCTCCCATGTGTAAATTACATGGATGTCGTACAACAAATCGCTCAATATAAGTTCTTTCATTTTCATACATCTCTATACGCTGGAGAGATTCCAATCTTTGCTCTTCGTTGGCTTTGTGGATTATTGCTTTTGTAAACTTTATGCTTGCATTTGTTTAGAGCTTATTAGAGAGTGAATTTAGGTCGAGGAGATTATGTTAATAAAGTCCAGTGAAATGTAAATGAACTCCAGTGAATTAGAATTGAACTGAAGAAATGTAAATATATGCTATTGTATACATTGTACGAAGTAGAAATAATAACTTACATATTTATGAGTGAAGACAAAAAAATCGAAAAGAGTTTGTTTGAGTTCGATAATACTGGGGCCCTGTGGTGGGGGCACGAGGCGGGGCAGTCAGGGAAGGAGTTGTGCCATTCATGCTTGTATGACATGAAGTAACCGCTGATGTGAGTAGCGGCCATGTTGAATATATCCAGTGAATATATGAGTGAATAGATCTTCTACACGTGAACACCGAACACATCAGTATGAGTTGAGTTTTTACAAAAAATTGTACCTGAAAATGAGACAAATCTTTAATAGTAAGGTATGTTAGTGTTACGCTTTGTTTTTCTTTGATGTAAAGTTATTATGTTTAAAATATGATTGTTGTCATCATACTCGTTCTTCTACGCACTTTATATCATTTGTCTTGATTTTATCGATTTCCAAAGAGGTCGTTCTTCTACAGAAGCGACAAAACACTAAGACTATGACACAGAGGTTTTATGGTTCTAGTGTAGTAAAAGCTAAGCAAAACTGACTTGTACTAAATAAATGAAGACTGACACAAAATACCATGTTTACAGTTAATAAACTTTGAAAGGGCTTTCGTAAGAGTAACCAATGTTTGAATGCCCACTAAAGGCGCACAGAATTTTTTCATGGTGTGGAAAATAAATTACATTTTATTTCTGCAAAGTTCATTGTAGTTTGTGTGAAGCAGAAATTTATTTTTGCACATAAAATGCATAAGTGCAACCTATACAGATTATTACAGAATTGAATGAAAGAATTTTTGATGAACAAATTAAAGGTAAAAAGCGCAGTGAATATTTCAAAAAGCACAAAATGATTAAAAGGGAACTTCACTGGCACAAACTCAATACCATCCACTCCTGAGTTGCAATTTTTTTTCCTGGTGAAATAAAAAATTTAGCCTGCAATCAGGAGCAGCATGATGTGGGTGTGTTGTCAACTCTCTACTCTGTTTTCCTCCTGCTAGGAAGAATTGTCAAGGTGTGGATAGATACAGGAAGCTGGGCCTTCACAGAGAACAAATACATACAAGTTGATGAGGTTACACTGGGTAAAAAAATTTTAAACAAAATTAGAACATCACAGTCCCATTTGATTTTTGCTTGTTCAGAAAGAGAAATTGAAATCTTATTATTTATCATCTTGATTTATCATAAATTTGTTGTTATATTTACATCAATTAGTTGAGAAAAAAGCATTCTTTGGCGAACATTCTTGATAAATATTTATAAATCGTACTGACAGTAAATTAAATTGAAAATTTCTACATCTTTTCAACAACATTGGACTTGAGTTTGGTAGATGATGATTGGCATTCATCTGTTTTAAAACATGTATATAAAACAGCTTTTGGTACCATGCTAGAATTCTACATATTATACTTCACTTGTATTTTCAATTCTTGCTAAACTTTCCATTGCTTCATTTGAAGAAGAATCTGTTGTTGCAGCCGTATTGTCTAGTGAAATATAATGTAATATATGTCTTCTGGGAGAAATTTTAAATTAAGAATCAGCTCAATTTAACTTACTTTGTCTTGATGATTTGGAAATGCTCATTTTTCTTTTGATGCTTGATCCGTATGCTTTAACTCCTGAACATCGATGTAGTATGGATGAATAAAAATTTCTAAAGTTTATATCGACTGCACCGTAGATGATAGGATTGAGGCACGAGTTTAACCAAGAAAAGAAATAAGAATACTTCATTAAAATATCAATGTAAGGATGTGAACCACCGGAACCATAATCAATCCAGATAAATAACGCTTTTTCGGGTAGATAGCAGATCGCAAAACTTGCTACAACGATTATTAATACACGCACGATTTTCTTAACGTGATGTTTTTCCTTAGGTCCAAAACATCGAGTTGTTGACCTTCGTAGTTCGTATAAGATACTGAGATACGCCACAAGGATGAGAATTAACGGAAGAAGGTAGGAAAATGTAAAAAGAAATGTCGTATAAGCTTGTCTTTGCTGTTTACTTGACCAGTGTTCTGCGCACGGATATTTATTTTGTATTTGTGAACCAGAAACGAAATCCCGTAGTTTATACACGACCAACTCGGGCGATGCAACCGCAAAAGATATGATCCATACCAGAGCCAACAATATGAACACTTTGTTTCGCATAAGTTTCGGTCTTAACGGATAACATATTGAATAACAACGTTCATACGTCAGCACCAAAAGTGTTAATACGGACGCGCACACCCCTGCTACCAGTAATGTTGGTATAACTTTGCACAGGAATTCGGAAAAGGGCCAATCACCAGATTCGTTGTAAACTACTGCAAATGGTATTTGTAGCGCTACGCCAAAGTCAGCAATTGCTAAGTTTAGTAAGTAGTAACCATAGTAGTATGTTTCTATACTGCGTAGTTTACGATTTTTCATAATTACCATGACAACCATAATGTTACCAACTATAGTTAGTAAAAACACGATACTGTATAACGTGAAACGAATCACCTTCGACGCAAGAGGTTCTGTAACAAGCATTGATTAACTGTTTTTTGAACTTTTTAAGATGTTGTTGATTTGGCAGAAATTCTTTAGTTCCAACGCGTCCTTAAACTGATGTTTTCTGTTCTGCGAGTAACATGTAGGATGGCTTTACGAATTTAGCTTTGTTCTTGCTGTCGACTTTTCTGACTTTCAATTTGATTGTCGTCTGATATTTTATCGTTATATAGCTCTCCCTGAAGATTTAGACAGATTCAATCACATTTTTTTCAATCACAAATACATGCCTATAGGGTTACGGAGTAACATCTGCCCTGAAGTCAACTTAACTTTGAGCAAATGCATGTGTGTAGGCGTTTGAGATTAAAATCATGACTAAAACACATGAGATTTCTCAGACTCTAAAAGTTCCATTCCTATTCATGTTTCTTTTCAATCCATATAATGCATTAAATTGTATGAACTTAAGATATCTTTGTGATAATTTTTACTGTCTACATATAGTAAATCTTTTGTTCAGCTACGTAAGCTCTATGTAGGATATATTTGTTGCACTTTCCATTAAAAGGCAATGTTTTTCTTTCTTTTTTTGACATATATGTAGTTATATGTTTTATGTTTTTTTAATTAAGGAAAATTTGTGATTTGTATCTTTAATAACGTAAAAAGTTGAAATTGTCGTCGTAACACTTCACTCGTAAGTTTAACTTTCTTTTCGTTTGAAAACAGAAATTGTTTCATTCTTTGTCTTTTTCAATATATTTTCTGAACAAAATGTTGATGTTTAGTTGCGTTTTCTAAATTTTCCTATCATCATCGAGTGCTTAATTAATTAAAATTTTTTTTTCAAATTATTTTACTCAGCTTGATATTTTTATTACAAGTGTGGAAAATCGTAAAAATGTAAATGAATAAAATGAATGCCGATATTTGTTGTCGTCGCATGATCTCTCAGCAAACTTATAGGTTATGATCATTTCCAAAGAAACAATTTGAAAACAATGAATAGAATGTAAAAATCTTTTCATTTCTTTGTATTATATATCACAAAGTTTGTAGACTATACAAATAAATTTATTTTTGCTTACAGTGTTTGTTTTAAAAGAACGCTGTGTGGTAAATAGCGTAAAAAATTTACGTTTTTAAATTGAATTTTTCTGCAATATAATCCTCCCGTAAATGCATAATATAGCTAACCACTTATTGGACAAAATAACACATTTCTTTTGGCAGTTTGATTTCGCTCAATTCAATTAAAAACCACGTACTTTCTTTTTTATAAGCTAAAGACATTTCGAAAATATTGACTTACTATTCGTCCAGCAGCGATAAGTTTTCATAAAATTGTTTTCCTGATAGTCAGTATGGATTTTTGGCTCTCTCATAAGTCTTTTTTTACTGTATTGTATTTATAACACACTTGGAAATAATCCCCAGGAATAAGTTTTTTTCGTAAAACGTTAGTATTTTTCTTCACTATTGTTTTTTATAAGGGGCCAGTTAAGGTTATCATGAGGTGAACAAAGTTTTTGCTTAATTTCTATTGCATTCAACAATCACACTTTACAACGAACAATGCTATATTAAAATGTTTTATAAATCCGCAATTTCAATTTCTGAACATAATCAAAAGCCAATATTTAATTCAGTCTTATTAATCGTTAGCTTTGTATCGTCCGCCAAAAAATTATTTATTATATTTCAACAATGAAGACATATAGTGATGCAATCATAACATCGATTTTGCTCTGATAATTTCTGTAATTTTCAAATGTCCGTAATCTTTTCTGTGTGTATGGATCATGATCACATTGTTAATCTCTGGTTGTTTATGTCTGTTTAGAAAGGTTAATCAACTAGCTATATGTTAGTTGTGTAGTGTTTATAAAAGCCTGGGACATAGTCATGTACTTTATGTTAGAGTTATATCGTATTGTGAAGATGACATACGTAGCCATCTTATAATGCATTCAGACGTTATTGTTATACGTTTTCACAGTTTATAGGAGAAAGTTTGTGACGTCATAATGAATTCAAATTACCACCAGTGAATAAGACACATTACAAAAATTATTAAAAACAATGTCAATCATATATTGTTAATTCACACAAGCGATTCGTGTCACATTCATTATAGAATTGATTTGTGCTGACTTACAATGTTGTATATTGGCGAATTTAATGAATATATATCACGCTTTTATGTTTGTTTTGATCAGCTGCTCCTACTGACACAAAAACTAAACATGTACACAAACTATAGCTATGAGTATACCTTTAACTCCGTAAAGCTTAAGTATTTGGCCTGTTCTTAGTGTTTTTGGTATTTGTATAAACTATACACACATACCCTACAAAGTAAAGTGATACCCCTAGTGATACCCCTTGTGTCCCTAGTAAACATTTACGTATACACGTAAGTTGCATTATAAGTTACAGTTATATTGATGCACCTTGATTTGTGTCGTTATTTTGTGTCATTGCTACTGGATTGCCTCCAAGTCCAATTTAATTAAATAATAGTTTATGCGTCATTGTTTTAGTTACGTCTGTCGAAATATACTTGATTTTTTTTTTTAAATCATATTAAAAAAGATTTGTAACCAATTTTTTTGCAAACGCACACAATTGACTTGCCTAAAATTATTGTAAATTGTCTAATATTTTTATGTTTATTTGATCACAGCTTTGCAGGGAAAACCGGTTTGAAAGATTTATAAAAGATTTTTATCTTGTATACATTATTTCCTCTAGTTAAGTATTTTAACGAAATCTTGTTCTTAATTGTTATTTATGTGTGTCTGTGTGTTGTCGCTCTTATTATTCACGACGATAATATAATTGTCTTATATTTTATCTCATTCTACATCCGTCGTAAATGATATATACGCGCTAAATTATCAATTCATGCACTATTCGCTCTCATACACATGTTTAACCGTGGTGTAATTGCATGACAACGTGCATGGAGAAGTCTTTCTCGTTTATTCTAGTCAATATATTATATTATAGTTTTAGGAAGTATGTTTACTGTTATATATGTCTTTTTGAGTGTTTTGTGTGCATATTTTCAAGTATTTTACGTAAGTTTTATGCGAGGTTGAATATTTTGCCGTGGCTTTTGTATGATAGAGTATTTTATCTTTATATTCTATAAATCCAATGTTGTAGGTTACACCTGCTCGTTGTACGCAAATTATTTATTTTCACATATTGCCTTAAAATCACCGAAACGTTGAGTAACACGTGGCTTTTCAGTATATTGGAATCCCAACGTTCTATACACAGTCCGTCCATATCGTTTTTCTTAGCTACTTCCATAATCCGTATTACATATATTTACAATATATTATTGAAAACTACTGTTAAAACCTCTAAACAATAGGCTTTGGTAAGAGCTAAACTCATATAATTATCCACATGTAACTTACCTTGATAGCTATTTGTCTACACGTTTACTTTGTTGTATGAGATCCTCTCGGTCCATGTGGCAGTATTCACTATGTATGTTTTTGATAACTTTATGTCGTCTTTATCCCACACACGCTTATCCTATAATAAATGTGTCAATCACAGCTGTCATAGAGCAATGCAATATGTTGTATGATTTTTATAAGTTATATATCTGCAGGATGTTAGTTAACTTCAAACGCAATTCATATCTTCATATGAAGTTTTATTCATCTCTGATGGAGATATACTGTGTTTTAATGAATTTTATTTCGAAAACACTTAACTACTGATATGTTGATTATAAGTTAACAATGTTCTATTTGATTTCGTCCAATCTTAATGCGACGTCACAGTAAATTTCATTTGTTTCTTGAGACATCTGAAATGCATTTTGACGCTGCTCTGATGCTTCGTATGACGTAGGCTTAGATCGACATAATTAAATTTCACTGGCGAGAAATCGCTCATTATGTGTGGCAATTTTTTTTTACGAATGTTGGTGTTTTATGCAGCGTCCTTGTTCGCTTCACTGAAGAAAGTTCCATGTATCTCGGTTGTACACGAAGTTTTAAGGATATTATTGCTTTACACTTAAAAACCAACTCTGGTAATCTCAGAACAGCTGAAAACGAGCAATCTCCAAGTAAACGCTTTATTGTAATCGTGACGCTGTTAATCTTAGATGAAAATTTGCATCGTACGCAGTGCGTGAAAACATCACTTAACTGTCACTGATTTTGTAATTGAAATTTGCAATTTTTCGTGCTAGCTCGTCGTTTTTAATAATAATTATTATTATTATTATTATTTGTGGTTGTTTTTTTTACACTTTCGTTTGATGAATTGTGAAAAAAAGTGAAAATGACATGATGTTTCATTAATGAAATATATCTCAGATTCATGTCTCAATTAACATACTAAATTTTACATCCATTTCAATTTTCATATCATACACTTACTTTATCTTTGTAATTTGTATATATCTATATTTATATAGTCGTTTATTTTTTTATATAATTTATTTATAAATTATTTTCTTTTGTGTTGCTTAATCACGTGATTACTATACCCCAAATGGAACATTTTGTTTCATTTGCACATTTTAATCCTTCACAGGTTTGTGTTAGATGTGTGGGTTTTGTTTTAGAGGGAAATGAAATGTTCTTACTCAATCCAACTGCCATCAGATACTGTAAATCTACGTGTGTTTCAGTGTTTATTTAATTTGAGATGATTCATTTACAAGAACGTTATTTTCACCAATACAATAACCTCAGTTTCAATTACGGCCAGTATTGATTTCATCCGAACGCAGGCTAGACGTTAGTATCGTGTGAAAAAGGGCAGGTGTCTTTAAGATGAACAATCTTCATATGATAAACTTTAATGTTGTCATCGTTTTATAATCGCGCTCTTGCGATAGAGAAGATTTATTCAGTTTTAATCAATGGAATCGTAAGAAATTGAGATTACTCTATGATACGTGAATTTCATTTACCATATTCTTTACTATAAGTTTTAAGAAATCGACCGTATGCTGTAAGGTCCTACAGTTTTTGTTCGACAAATTTTTCATTTTCCAGCTGACGCTAATGTTTTAAATCGTTGTATGTACTTTTTTTTACGTATAGTATTGCATTACAATCATACTGATTGTTGTCGTGGTGTGCCGTCATTATTGTGAAATTTTTTACGGCAGTAATCTAAAGACCGTCATTAATGTGTAATCTAAAGACCGTCATTAATGTGAATTTTTTACGGCGTAATCTAAAGACCGTCATTAATGTGAAATTTTTTACGGCAGTAATCTAAAGACCGTCATTAATGTGAAATTTTTCTAAAGACCTTCATTATTGTGAAATTTTTTACGGCGGTAATCTAAAGATATAAGCATTGTTTTGAAAAGAAAATTGTTACTTGCACTTAAACGTACTTTAGTCGTGCTTTATTTTACCTTGGTTTGAATTTTTTCTTAGTTTCACGACCATGCCAATGACACAGATCTAGCAGATCAATTTAGTCGACTGTTTCCTGCGAACAGACTGCGCATGCGTTTATAAATGCGCAATCGTTGTTTAGGGGTTGATCACATGAGCCCGGATAACCGGGACTTAGCAAGGCGTGAAAGGATTTCGAGGCATTAAAAAGAGTCAAAACTTCAAGCGAAAAAATTACAACTGTTGTTGAGCGTCACAAGTCATTCCTGTTGTAACTCTAAAATTTGGCCTCATTAGTTGTGTTCATTTTAAGTTCTTTGCGTATTTATAAAGTCAGAATATTGTGAAAATGTTCAAGAAGATTAATCTGATGATAAGGATTTAATCTTTTCCTTTGCCAAAATGATTTATCGCTTCGCTGAATCTCGTCTATCCGAGCTCTTGTAATCAGCCCCTAAGTTATATGTTTTGAAGATCTTACTTGAATGAATGAATGTGACATTTCTACTCGGGCATTTATACAAAACCATGTATAGATAGACTTACATAATTCGTGAATAGTTTGTTTATTTCAAATTGAATTTGCACGAACGTTATGGTCAAACAATTTTTCTACAAATGGAATTATTCAACTTCTGCATAATCATAGTGAGTTGGCTGAAGTATAAACATAAAACCGTACTTTTTTTCGCATTATTTGATAGAATAATTTGTCGTCTTATATATTACAAGTTATTTATGATTTGTTGATTTAGAGCGTCACTGTATTTTGTTATAGTAAATGTGATTGAAAATTATTCCTATGCATATGTTATTTACATGCACATATATATCTCTTATCATGACGTACGTTTTCATAATGCATATCGATTTAGATAGACATAATAGTTTATATTCAACACAAAATGCTAGTTTTTTTTATTCTAATTTCCAAGGAAGTTCTTTATCGTGTAGCCGTTATTAATTTATATCGCGAATTGTTTCAAGCATAGTGCATGAAAATCGTAGCTTATAAGGTTTCGATATTTGTTACACTATCGGTAAACCACAATCCTGTCAAGAATAAAATCCAGCAATCCACTAAAGATTTGTGATCTAATTCATATAGTCCACTCTTTGTATGTTTGAGTAGCTTTTCCATCTCAATGTTTCGATGTTGACTTCATGCAACGTCTCTCGCACTTTTTCTTCGATGCAAAGTTGTTTCCGTTGGACAAACAACCACCGTATGTAAATTCGATACATCTCCCCTTCTTGCTGTTGTAATAGAAACGTTTTTGATTCGCCATACATGGTCCAGGATGCTTTGAATGCTCGCAAATATTTTTCGCCTTTTTGTCTATAAGCAGAAATGCGTTATAACTGACCGTTTCATTTTAAAAGTGTCTAAGAACTCATAGATTATGGCACGTTTTGTGAATTTTTATTTTGGATGGTCATTCGCTAAAGTCATGTTCACTCCCAGTCTTGTTGGGACTATACGCAGTGCATTTTACAAATTTCCCACAATGCCTTGCGGCATGGTGTAAACCCACCAACTCGACCTTTTCATTCGAACATAAAGGTAGAATCGTCGTGAAACTACTCAATTAAACGTTCGTCTTTATTAATTTCCCATTATATGTTTATACTGCGTAATGAAGTAGAACAATTTGCGCAAAATTATATTATTTATTTATCTTCGGAAACATTGAAATGACGTTATACGTCCTATACAGCTTTTAAATCAACTTTTCTTTGATTGGGTATACATTATATTTTTTAAATTTATATTTAAGAAATGTTTCTATAGAGAGCCAAAAAGGAAATCGATGTTAAATGTTTTTGATCTTTTCTCTCCTTAACAGTTTTATGACTAAGGTATTTCAAGATTACTGATTTGTTTATTATATAACGGAAGGGAAGGGAGAGGGAGGAGAGAGGAAGGGGAGAAGAAGAGGGAGGGAGGGGAGGAGGAGAGAGGGGGGAAAGGAGAGAAAGGAAGAAAGGAGGGGAGGGAGGGGGAAGGGAGGGAGAGGGAAGGAAAGAAGGGGAGGGGAAGAGGGATATCAACAGGAAAAAGTTGTTCACCACAAAATTTTACACATTTTCTCACCTTGATTAACTTTATCAGTTAAAATACGAAAATATTGCAGTGATATAAAATTGTGTTACTATCCCATTTTCTGCAGTCAGTTTTTCACTTAAAACATCGATTTCCTTTTAAGCTCTTTACAATCGTCATCATGAGCTATGAATGTGCTTCATGATAATCCGCAAGGACTCATTTTGTGGTGAACAAAGTTTCTTTTCACAAAGTTTCAATATTCTTGCCTTGAATACAGTCGCATGTTTGACAGCCTTGTTGATCTTTAATGTAACCATGAGGACAGACTTCACATTTCAGTTTAGGACATTCGTTATTTCTAGATGTTTCTGTCGTCGCTTCAGATGCTCTCTCTATCGATGAGTTACATAAATTTAATGATTTTTCTAGTAGCTTTATTCTGAAGCATTTTGTCGTGTTGGTACTTTTGCAAATAATGGAAAAATTATGTAGGAAGATATATCTTATGCTAGAGTGTGTTTGCATTAGTTTTTTTTCAAATCTTTTCCTTACCTTCATCAAGAGGAATACACAAGCCAATTCCTATGTTAACGACTGGGTTATATTGTGGTGCTTGACAATACAATCCTTCAGGGCAGTTTTTACTATGCACATCACAAAACTGTGGAAACTCCTGCTCGCTTTGACACATATGGTCGTGTTCACATTTCCAAATACCGTGTTTACACACACTAAAAGAAATTAGTGAAACATTTTTACGCTTGTTTAGAATGCTTTGTCGTCCATTCTTTGGCATTATGACGCTTGCAGGCGTGTTTGGTTGTGGTTGGACATGTGGAACTGTTAGGACGTCGGACTCACCATTTTTCGCAACTGTTCTTGCGTGTAATAGTTTCTCCAAATTTGTAAGATTTACCATTTTCGTGACAACCTAAGATTCAAAGGTGGTTTGTGAACAGTCCTGGAGTATTTTGATGCGTTTATGAATTCATCTTACTTTTACAAGGTCCTTTAATGTATCCAATTCTCTCTTGTCGTCTGCATTCATCTTTTCGTAGAAAGCATTTGTTCCAGTAATGCTGACCATTTGTCTCTCCGCAAACTGGTGCATATCTATTTTTGCAGTTTTTGGGACATGCGCATTGTGGTTTTCCTCCTTTGACCAAACATCTCTGATTGAAGCCACATATCTTCAACTCACACTGTTCTGTAATGTATTTAGTTGAAATGTCAAAACTATACTATATCATTTATCTTACAAAAGCTACTTGAAAGTTTTAATCTAATCGTGAGAACCCTTTTGAAGAAAGGTAACCCTGTATGGATGGCATTTATGGACAAACGTCCTGACTTATAGCTTGTTCTCTTTTTCTCATTATGAAAATATGGTTGCCATTTTTGACCATAATTCAAGCCTGAAATCAATTGGATTGTGAAGTGAATTACCTCGTTCACATATTCCTGAGAAAATATCATTTTCTCCCACGACTCTGACAGATTTGGGTCTTCTTTTTATACATTTCAGTCCTTCACTGCATTTGCCATGTTGTTGAAAGATTCCGCCACAAGCTTCTCCTTTTTTGCCACATACGTCACAACATTTACATTTGTCTTTGACGACGCCGTCTGAGATAATGAAGGATTCTGTTTTTTACTCGTTCAAGTGTTATTGTTATCAAAATCCTATCTTTGTGTTTTTGCCTTAATACACTTATCCCTCGAAAGAATTTTTGCTTTTTTATCGACAAGTTCAAGTACATTTTTCTTGTGATCATTCTCAATATCACATCTGTTTTTCCTAACGCGGTCGTACCGTGAGTCAGTAAGTAGATAAAATGTTACCCCTTACAGTTCATAGTTTGCTCAATTATTTTTAAAATAGTTAACATTTTTCCCCATACTCACACACTGTGTTGTCTGCATGGAATCAATTAGCTACCTACATTTGTGTTTGATTTTTCTAACTCTCTAGCACTGCTTCATGTGTTTTGTGTGTTTCACGTGTCATTAAAATTCTTTGCTTTCTATCATAACATTTTAAACAAAAAAAACAACTCCTTTTTACATTGTAACGTACCTTTACATTTTGAAACCTGAAGATTGCAGGCTTTTTTGTTGCACGGTTGACATGATTCCGTTGTTGTTAAAAAGATTGTTAGGAATACCAAAACAGCTCTCAATATTTTGCTTGCCATTACTGAAAACACAAAGCAAAAAGAAATATCTTAAGTCTTTCTGCATGAACGTTTTTCTTGTACAACATCACATATTCGGAGTAAATGAGATTTTAAACTTAAGATCTTTTTGCGTTTTTTTTTCTTCTAAAATCGTGTATGCATTTTAAAGGCGACGCTCGATCGTTCATTATGTGTCCGTCATGTGTATTGCCATTTATCTATGGAAATCTTTTGTTTTTCTTAGATTCTGATAATCATCGAGGAATTAATTTTTACTTTGCTCGAGAGTAAGTCATCTTTATGCCTATTATTATATAATTTCTACATAGCTGTGATATAGTTTATAGCAATAATGGATTACCACGAAGGCATCATGATTCAACATGCAAATATATGATCATGTTATATTGCGCTGTTTGAGTTACTGTCTAAGAAAACACGCGATAAACATCTAACTATTTGAAGAATTGTGGTCTTGTGTATTTTAAGTTAATGCATTTTGTGCGATAATATGACTTTTGTAAAGGACACAGATGCTTTGTTCGGCCCAAAATATTTTTACTGCCTGGTTTTTGTACTCATGTATTATGACTTTAATCTGAAATGTTTTATTTTAAAAAAGGAACGTCCAGCATATCTTGTTTTCCTGAATAAAAGAAATGAGGAATTTGACGAGTCCATTTAAGCAATTAATAAGATTTCTTTCTTCGTCACCTTGAAATTTTCAATACACTCTACAGACAGGATGCGATATCACGCAGTCATAGACCCTGGGAGACTCCTTTTTTTAATCTTCTCGAAGCGTCTCTAGCCAAAATACGACAAGCGACTTCGTATGATCGATGAGAATGAAGAAACTTAAAACGTTTATCTTCCACTAGTTATTTGCATAATGCGCGTGTTGCCATGATCACGTGATTTTTATCATAAGTGGATATTGGGGATGTTTTATGTGAATGAATGTATGCGTCATGCAATCTAGTTTAGAGGATTTGTTCAGAGATTATTTCAGATAACACTACTGTGTTATGTTCAACGCTTACTTGTCAAAGATTTGTGTACTGCAACATGTTAAGATTATTATTAATTATCGATGTATCTTCAAGAAATTATTATTTTCATAATGCGACGCCTGCCACCTTGAAAATTGAGATACTATATGTGTGCTTTTTCATTTGTACATATTTCTTTAAATTTAAATGCTAGGAGCCTTGAATTGTCGTTCTCTGAGAGAAAACCTGCTGTAACTAAATGTTTGAAAACAGAATCATGTCTTAAAGTAATTTTACAACAGACCTGACATGTTTGTCATGTTCGTTGGATTTAACGTTATTTTATGTTTTGTAGTACTTAATGTAAAGTCGAATATAAAGTGTTGTATTTCTTCCATCAATTTTTACGGCTTATATAAATGTCTCCAAATTCGGTGTTAATCTGGCTTCGCAAGCTGTAAAAATCGGTTATTTTATAATAATGCGATGAGTAGATGTTTAATGTATTTAAAAATAGTTGTACTTTTATGTGTAATAATGAAGTTTGTTACTTTACGTTTCAAATGAGCTTAATTCTATTTCAAGGAAAATCACATTGATTTTTTCATATTTTTTTTCAAAAATATCGTGAATTTTATTTAATTAACAGGCAGAGCCTCTTTAAGATAACGTCATGCATGCTATCGTATTGATTGACACCTTTCAATGACATGACCATCGTAAGCACGCAATTTTTCGCCTTATTTAATTATGTTTTTACATGCTCTATAACAAAAGCTAACATTCTACCTACTTTGTGCTTTGAATTCCATCGAGTCCTGTTCAGTTTTGCGCATGCGTTTGTGCCGTTAAACTGACTTTAAAGTACGACGCGCGACTAGCGTTTTTAGACGGAAATATTTCATTGAATAAATAAACATTTCATTGGATAATAAAATATCGATTTCCCACGAGTACCGGCGTTCTCAGTACGGTAGAAATGAAAGAACCTCTCTAAATCTTGTTAAGAAATTTAAACACAACATTTAGTTTAGAAGACGACAGTCGAAGAAAGGTATTACAAGCTTCTCGAAGTGTTTATCTTCCCGAGAATGGCTGAGAGGTTAAGTCTCGCTACACTAACTACTTGTTGTGTTTTGGTATTATGGTAATACAATGCAAACATTGCAAGAAGCTGTAAAACTTACAGTAAAAGTTTCTTTGGGTTCAAGATAGCTTTTATATTTTAAAATTAAACAAAATCAAGTGTATTACGAAGACACCTGAGGTGAAGTTGACCGGTCGGAATGATTATAATACGTTCACATTCCGACACATATGCCGACATTCACAATGGTTGCTTCATGGAGATTGTTGACACTAGACTCATGTGTTTTTGCTGTATCATTTGGTATAAATTATTGTCTTTTTAAAACATTAGGAATCTTCTCATACTGCGCACATACGGAATTAATCATGTTACAACACGCTAATAAAAAGGGAATTAAATTATCTAAAATAAGGGAAAATAGGAGAAGTTATAACTTTCTTAGCTTGACAGACAGCAAAAATTAAACAAAATAAGCTTTTTGCAACCCATATACTTATTTTTTTTCATCCCAATACTAACGAATCTCTTTTAGTATCATATCGTTAAGTTTACGCAGTTTATTCAAATTAAGTGCGCGGTCTTTGCGCAAGACATGCTGGCAAACTGTGCCAACGTGATAGATAGATATTTACGTCAAATGTCTGTGTGGCCTATAAAATTATGTTAACAATAGCATGAAATTTAAAAAGATTAAGAGTAAATATGCACTAATTCTTACCAGGTCATAAAACTAGCTCCGAATTAGCACAGGAAACCTTCTTTTGCTGAATGATATGTTTAGTTTTATAAAGATTACCATGTAAGCTTGGTTTAATTGTATAAACAAAAACTTTCTGTTATTTCTTGATGCTCTATATGTCGACGTTACAAAAGATATAATTAAAGAAATTGTCTTATTTATTTACGAATCATTTACCTGAAACGAAAGTCATTGTCACTTACTGTAAAATAAACAATGTGATGATCGCGCTAAATCTTTAAAGTCACTCTAAATTATTTCTACTCAATCGGAGATGTATAAAAGAGTAATTATAGAAAACGATTATCATAATGTAATGAATCTTGTGCGTTTTTTGACACTTAAAATTTTGCTGTTTATTGAAACCTAACCGATTTTCTTTAAATTTATCTTCTTACGTGTGAAGAATTTTCGCAAGGTGTGCTATAGCACTTTGCGTTTTTATACGTCAGTCTTTGTTCTATAAATATATATAGATTTAAAAAAATGCAGTTACCGCTCTAGGTAATGCCAAACAGTAATGTGTATTCTTGCTATCTTATGTCAAACAGTACCAACAGAAAGTTGTGTTTTGCGTTGTTCTTATAAGAGATAGTATGTCTGCGATTTGTTGTAACTTCCTTTCGTTCCGTCAACGCAATTTCCTCACCTTATTCAATCATTCATCGTTTACTTGGCTACCAGGTTATATCACAAGACGCAAACAAAAAATCATTTTAACGTGCTATTTTTGTATAACGCCACGATGATGATAAGCTATTAATGATATCCTAACAAACTGTATTTTCATTTATTAAGCGAGTTCCTACTTACATTAAAAACGATTTAAAACCTCGTCTTTTTCGCTGGGCGCTTTATTGTTAAACTTTTCGCCGATAAAATGTATGTGCAGGAAATAAAGGTTACCTCTCTGTTTCATCATTCGATATTCCTATGTTAAACCCAGTTAATCGTACGCTTAAGTTATTTTTGCATCGTACATATATACGTTATATTCATATACATGCATCGCCGCTCATTTTCGTTATTGTTTTGAAACGCTGCGCACATTATGTTAAAAAGTCCATTGCATAATGAATTTTGTGCGTTACGTTTAGAAAATGCATACAGTAAAGAGGCAATATGGCCACCATGACAGTTATTAAAATGATAAAAGCAAACATTTAACACGCAAGTTGTTTTTAAACGCATTTAGTTTTAACTTGAAAAACTTACCAGTTATTTTGTCCAACTCTTTTTTGCACAAGGATTTATATTAAAATCTTCCTATACTTTCTACTCACACCAACACTCTTTCGAACTGCTTCAAGCTGCGGTTTGATCTCACCGTCTTATAGAGCCTTTGGAGATTTTATCTTTAACGTTGTTTTATCTGATTGGACAATATGATTGGTTTATACAAGGCAGGCCGTCGTCTTGGCCACGGATACATTTAACAAGATTACCAAAAACACTTAAGGGGATATATCCGTTTTATACTCAGTAATTGCATGAATTTCACTGACATTCTTAAATGCTACCAGATTTTAAGTAGTATCATTCAACTTTTGGCTGCAAATATTGACCCCCCTGACTTTTAGCTGCCAGTTTTGATACCCCACCCCCCCGACTTGGCTTTCCGACTTCAATATGTTAGGTTTCTTTTTATCAAGTATAACTGTGTTTTTTTATCTGCTTATTTGGTGAAAGCTTGTCAAGTTTTGGTGTTGTGAGTGATCATAATTTAGATTGGATGTGAATAATTACTAAGCTAAATGCTCTGGAATATTCCTCGTTCACAGCAGCAAAATGTTTGTTCTGTGTTTTTAACCTTATTTACCAACACATTTGGGGCTCTAGCTATTTAATTATTATTTATATTTTCGGCGACTTTAGCATCAATAATTTTTTGTTTGTTTTTTGTTATTTTATTGTGTTTATTTTTACGAAGCAAACTTTATTTTAATTATTAAGTATCGCTTTCATTCTCTGAAGAAGTATTACGACAAGCTTATCCCGAGACATCTAATACATTCATCAAACTGGTTGAAAATTATTAGGTAGCCGCATTATTGAATATTTGTTTAAAAACTACGTTTTCATCCAAGGAACAATTATGATACCAAATGTTCTATGCTGTGATATGCTATGTCCAACTATTTTCTGTGTAAAGGGGAAAAAGTGTTGGTCACATTGGTCTTCAGTTTGAAATATGCGCTTGTTAATCGAAGTCTGTTTCCATATCTTCATGACGACAGTGTTGATGAAAATTTAATCTCTGTATTTTGCGTAACAAACGCAGAGAGACACGCAGTTAATTGAAGACAGGCTTACCAGCGTTGAATAGCGTGAGAAAGTTTAGCGGTGTACTGTTGGGAGTGCGTGAGAAAAAGTCACCAGACTTGGCGACGAATTCATATGATTGACAAAATCTCCCCCCCCCTGCGTTACCCCCTTACTTTTGTTGAAGTACGATTTGTATGATTCTCTTTATCAAGTCTTTTAATTATATAATGATCGGTATTTATCAGCTCAAAGGATAAATATCTCTTCCGTATACTGATGTGGAGTGTTTTCGGTCTTTCCATCTTCAGGAAGAATATACGAACGAAGAATATACGAGTCAGCTCAGCATGACAAGAGCTCACCTCATATTATGCAAGCTATTTATAGATTAATGTTTTTCTTCATTGAGAAAGACCACTTTATTCTAGCTTATAAAATTTTTGCTTGTGAGTAAAAAGTAAAGTAATAAACGGCTACATGCAATTAACAAACTTTACTACGCTTGAAATATTTTTGCTCATTCTAATGGATTGTACATCTGTTATATAGCCGGTGTCTTTTGCTATGTCGACTAAATGTCTATGAAATTTAAAAAAGTGATTGAACGTGTGCTATTTCTATTTTCGTTGAGATAAGATGAAGCTCGAGTGAGTTTGGGTCCTCCAAAGAGGATTGAATAAATCAATCGTGTTTTCATCTTCACAAGTATTTAGTGTGATTAAGTTGACAGAAACAATTTATTCTGGACTGTTCCATGTTCTTCCAGATCTTTCGCAATTTTTCCCAAACTATCCATGTATAATCTCTCTAAATGTGTCGCCATGTTTACACTTCTAGTGATGTCAAAATTGTTTTATGCATGTAAATTGTAGGTTTCCATATTTTAACGTTGTAAAATGAATTGGAAACATGAAGAAAATTCAATATTCGATCTGTGTGCACTCTTGAACTATCTCATATTATGTGTACTTTCCTTTACAGAAGTACACCGTCTATATAACAATCATCACTTGGTCATTTAAAAAAGATACTTTTTGAATATTGGAGTAAGTCTTCTAAATTTATTTCTTTGATAGATTGTTATTATGGACTGAAAGTGTTTTTACGATTATTTTGTTATTTCAAACATGGTTTATCAGTTCACGTCTCTTTTTCAAAAAGTCTAGCGAAATTTTTATTTAAACTTTCATTTTGTTTCTACACAAGTTAAGAACAACCTTCAGTGCATCGATAATTGATACCTATACGTAAAGAATTTATTCTCTTGCTATAAGAGATGATGTATGATGAACCTTAGAAGTATATAAGTTTGCAGTAGTTTAAAGCCAGTTTCATTCACGAGCTAAAATCACGAACTGAATGTATTTTGTTTCTAATGCATTTCACACATTAAAACTAAGATGTAAAATCCTCTGTAAATTGAAGAATAGCAATGTCATAACACTTACCACCACCTAAACACAGGTATTTTTATGTTTTGTTGCTTCTACTTCCTTGCTCTCGAACCTGATACAATGCTCTGCAGACCACTTTGCAAACCTATTTAAATACGTTTGAAAAATATTGTAAACAATGAAAAATTTATTAATGATCGATTTCATGCAACGCAACTCCTAATATGTACGTGTTAAAAAAATTCTTTACATAAGACGCACTGGATCCGGAGATGTGTGGGAATATTTTATTGCCAAGTTTTTTCCATACCATCTTTATTTTTTAGTCGTTGGTAGGCACAGTTTTTTAATACGTGAAACAGGTTTATTTTTTTAACCGTGGGAAAAATATTTCTCTGTACAGCATTTTCACATATTTCCCTCTTGTTGTTTTGATGGGATAGAGAAGAACACGTGAGCTTATTGATGGAAATACATTGATCACTTCTTTGTAGTTTTTTTTTAAAGAGTCTTTAAAGTAATATTTATGCTTAGTGTCTTTATATTGTTCATTGTTTAGTTAAGTTTGTCGCATGCAAATAACTATTTCCAAATCATTGATTGATGTATTTTGATGATATGAAACTTGATCAGAAACTCATCGTTATATACAACATATTTGTGGAAATGCAAAGTTTTGCGTGTCGAAAGTTTTGTATGTCGAAATACGAGCTTGATTGTAAATTCTGATTGGTTCAAATTTATCTCGTCTATTATCTTTCCTTAGCAACTGTTGCAAGTGTGTTGACGTGTGCTTTGAAATATTGAAAGTAACTTTGTGTGCGTGTTTGTGTTGCAGCATTCAAAGTATTCAAAAAATTACCAATCGAATCTTCAGGAAAACATCTGCTGTATGTATTTGTCAAAAAGATTTTTATAAGATAACCTGTTGGTTCTGTGAATCCGGCATGTTTTACCCTCATTCACATCTGTTCAAAAGATTTTTGTGTTGAAAATGTTTTAAATGTGTTCTTACTTGTTTTTCCTTGTTTTAAACACGAAGAATCACTTCGAATGTTTCCTTGGAATAATTGGTTAAAGTAGTTTTGTACTCAGTTTACTTTTCTATCATTAATGCCTTAGCCACCATCACTTACATCGGTAACATTTGAGAAATTTTCCTACAAATAATTTTTCATTTGTTTGTCAACACGGATGAAGCGCGAGATCTTATAAGACCTCCTCATGTCTGTTAAACAAACACAATTTAACACTAAAAAAGGAACAATTTTTTACTTCCTAATCTCATAACTTGCCTTTTTTGATGTTTATTAGGTGATCTTAACCCATTTAACATGAACTAATGACGTACTGAAACCTTTAAACAATGTCTTTGATTCGGAAAAGTAGTGTCTATGTGCATTACATTCACATAGTAACAATTTACAAAATTTCTATGACGATCATTGTTGCTAAAGCAAAATAGCGCATGTGTAAACAAACACAAACATTTCCGACATCCTATCGCTGTTAAATTATTTGACGCAAGCTCGAATATTTTTCCGTTGACGCTGCAACACATAAGCTTATAATTGGATTGAGATTCCTGTATGCTGACTCTTGTGCTAAATGTTCAATTTGCTTTTTTTTTGTGTGTGAAGTATTTCCAGCAGAATGATGTTGTCTCAAATATTAAACAACTCTCACTTAAGTGCTTGAGTAATTAGTTTATTTTCTTGTTATCGTCTTAGCAAGGATTTACAAAATACAATTTTTTTACAGAAAACTACATCCTGCTGATTCACCGATTATTTTGCCTAATTTATTTACGCTAGTTCTATTTTTAGGCATATTTATTGGATGCGCACTATATGCTAGTGATGTGAGACAGCTAACAGTTTTTCTTCTTTAGAAACTGTCGCTAAAGAATTCTGAAAACCGTGTGAAATTCCTGATACGGTTAGAAAAATAATTCCGTTTCTTTAAAAGAACAGCATGCACCTTTGTATTTTTAATTTGGCTTATTCGTTTCCTTTTCTGCAGAACCGTAACACCTGTTGTTACCATGGCAACTAAAGAATTCACCCAGAAGAATATTCCGGTATTGAAATCCAATAAGCGCCTTCTTCTCTTCGTAACTTTTTTCGTTCTCCAAGTTGTTTTATGATTTCTTGCTGTGATTTTTTTGTTCCTTAATTTTTTAAAGTTGTGTCCCACCCCGTCGATATTGTTTTCCTCTTTCGTTGCATTTATTTACTTAAGATATTTTTCAACTTAGGAAGAGCCGGAGGTCTTCTCTTTTATGTACAATAATGAATTCTTTATTCTCACGACTATATGCTCGTTGCCACTTGTGTATTTTGGCGGAGAGAGGTGAAAGTCAACTAACTTTGTTGTTTGTTTTTTTTAAATCATTAAGCTATGATTTTCTTCTTTAGGCTGTTTGGTATTGCTACATTGTGCTTGCTTCTCGTTTATGTCATCCATGTTTCATTTCAAGACACAAAAAGGTAGAAATACATGAGCTGCATTCTCCGTATTTTAGCATTTTGTCAGAAATATGAAGAAAGCTAAAGCTCACATTATTCTAACTTTTAATTTGATCATTGGAAATTACGAATTCATGTTTTTTTAATTGGTGTCATGTGCCTTTTATAAGTTCGGTTGTTGGCTTTGTAATCTGTGTTGCAGTCGTGGAGTTTTGTGTTCTCTTTTCTATCGGTCCTCTGATTTGGTTAGTATAATGTCTTCTGTCTTATGCACGTGTTTTCCTCGTGATATCGTTGTGTTATATTCATAGTACTGTGACGTAATCTGTAATTTTTAAAACTCTTGTGCACATTTTACCTCAGGCACTCAATCTTTAACATCTTTCTTCTTATTATCTACAACGTATTCATTCTACTCACAGGTTTGTATGATTGTATTCCATGTGTACATCAATGTACATCATTGTACATTAATCGATATTGATGGACATTTCTTGCTATTGTTTACTCTGAATATTTAGGAGGTTTGGGCTTGCTTCAGTTTTATGATATTCGCAAGGACGAAAAAGAATTTTGTGCAGTAAGTTTAGCAATTTTATACACAATGGTTGTTATTCATCTCACAGCCTATTTCCACAATCTTGATTAAAATGTTTTTTTTTATTAATAGAATGTGGAATATTTTCTTTTTCTATTATATCCGTCGTGTTGTGTGTCGATATTGACCTGGATGACGTCATTTTTATTTGGTTCGTTTATTGCTCCCTATGTACTGGTTGTTGTGGGGTTAGTACATCTCTCCCTATTTATTGCTCCCTGTGTACTGGTTGTTATGGGGTTAGTACATCTCTCCCTATTTATTGCTCCCTGTGTACTGGTTGTTGTGGGGTTAGTACATCTCTCCCTATTTATTGCTCTCTATCTACTGGCTGTTGTGGGGTTAGTACATCTCTCCCTATTTATTGCTCCCTGTGTACTGGTTGTTGTGGGGTTAGTACATCTCCCTATTTATTGCTCCCTATGTACTGGCTGTTGTGGGGTTAGTACATCTCTCCCTATTTATTGCTCACTATGTACTGGTTGTTGTGGGGTTAGTACATCTCTCCCTATTTATTGCTCTCTATGTACTGGCTGTTGTGGGGTTAGTACATCTCTCCCTATTTATTGCTCACTATGTACTGGCTGTTGTGGGGTTAGTACATCTCTCCTATTTATTGCTCCCTATGTACTGGTTGTTGTGGGGTTAGTACATCTCTCCCTATTTATTGCTCTCTATGTACTGGTTGTTGTGGGGTTAGTACATCTCTCCCTATTTATTGCTCCCTATGTACTGGTTGTTGTGGGGTTAGTACATCTCTCCCTATTTATTGCTCCCTATGTACTGGTTGTTGTGGGGTTAGTACATCTCCCTATTTATTGCTCCCTATGTACTGGTTGTTGTGGGGTTAGTACATCTCTCCCTATTTATTGCTCACTATGTACTGGTTGTTGTGGGGTTAGTACATCTCTCCCTATTTATTGCTCTCTATCTACTGGCTGTTGTGGGGTTAGTACATCTCTCCCTATTTATTGCTCTCTATGTACTGGTTGTTGTGGGGTTAGTACATCTCCTATTTATTGCTCTCTGTGTACTGGCTGTTGTGGGGCTAGTACATCTCTCCCTATTTATTGCTCTCTATGTACTGGTTGTTGTGGGGTTAGTACATCTCTCCTATTTATTGCTCTCTATGTACTGGTTGTTGTGGGGTTAGTACATCTCTCCTATTTATTGCTCCCTATGTACTGGTTGTTGTGGGGTTAGTACATCTCTCCCTATTTATTGCTCTCTATGTACTGGTTGTTGTGGGGTTAGTACATCTCTCCCTATTTATTGCTCTCTGTGTACTGGTTGTTGTGGGGTTAGTACATCTCTCCCTATTTATTGCTCTCTATGTACTGGTTGTTGTGGGGTTAGTACATCTCTCCTATTTATTGCTCTCTGTGTACTGGCTGTTGTGGGGTTAGTACATCTCTCCCTATTTATTGCTCTCTATGTACTGGTTGTTGTGGGGTTAGTACATTTCTCCCTATTTATTGCTCTCTATGTACTGGTTGTTGTGGGGTTAGTACATCTCTCCCTATTTATTGCTCCCTGTGTACTGGTTGTTGTGGGGTTAGTACATCTCTCCTATTTATTGCTCTCTGTGTACTGGTTGTTGTGGGGTTAGTACATCTCTCCTATTTATTGCTCTCTATGTACTGGTTGTTGTGGGGTTAGTACATCTCTCCTATTTATTGCTCTCTGTGTACTGGCTGTTGTGGGGTTAGTACATCTCTCCCTATTTATTGCTCTCTATGTACTGGTTGTTGTGGGGTTAGTACATCTCCCTATTTATTGCTCTCTATGTACTGGTTGTTGTGGGGTTAGTACATCTCTCCCTATTTATTGCTCTCTGTGTACTGGTTGTTGTGGGGTTAGTACATCTCTCCCTATTTATTGCTCTCTGTGTACTGGTTGTTGTGGGGTTAGTACATCTCTCCTATTTATTGCTCTCTATGTACTGGTTGTTGTGGGGTTAGTACATCTCCCTATTTATTGCTCTCTGTGTACTGGCTGTTGTGGGGTTAGTACATCTCTCCTATTTATTGCTCTCTATGTACTGGCTGTTGTGGGGTTAGTACATCTCTCCCTATTTATTGCTCACTATGTACTGGTTGTTGTGGGGTTAGTATATTTCTCCTATTTATTGCTCTCTATGTACTGGTTGTTGTGGGGTTAGTATATCTCTCCCTATTTATTGCTCACTATGTACTGGTTGTTGTGGGGTTAGTATATTTCTCCCTATTTATTGCTCACTATGTACTGGTTGTTGTGGTGTTAGTACATCTCTCCCTATTTATTGCTCACTATGTACTGGTTGTTGTGGGGTTAGTATATTTCTCCCTATTTATTGCTCCCTGTGTACTGGTTGTTGTGGGTTAGTACATCTCTCCCTATTTATTGCTCCCTGTGTACTGGTTGTTGTGGGAATAGTACATCTCTCCCTATTTATTGCTCACTATGTACTGGTTGTTGTGGGGTTAGTACATCTCTCCCTATTTATTGCTCACTATGTACTGGTTGTTGTGGGGTTAGTACATCTCTCCCTATTTATTGCTCTCTATGTACTGGCTGTTGTGGGGTTAGTACATTTCTCCCTATTTATTGCTCCCTATGTTCTGGTTGTGGGGTTAGTACATCTCTCCCTATTTATTGCTCCCTATGTTCTGGTTGTTGTGGGGTTAGTACATCTCTCCCTATTTATTGCTCCCTATGTACTGGTTGTTGTGGGGTTAGTACATCTCTCCCTATTTATTGCTCCCTATGTACTGGTTGTTGTGGGGTTAGTATATTTCTCCCTATTTATTGCTTACTATGTACTGGTTGTTGTGGGGTTAGTACATCTCTCCCATTTATTGCTCCCTATGTACTGGTTGTTGTGGGGTTAGTACATCTCTCCCTATTTATTGCTCCCTGTGTACTGGTTGTTGTGGGGTTAGTACATCTCTCCCTATTTATTGCTCCCTGTGTACTGGTTGTTGTGGGGTTAGTACATCTCTCCTATTTATTGCTCCCTGTGTACTGGTTGTTGTGGGGTTAGTACATCTCTCCCTATTTGTTGCTCTCTGTGTACTGGTTGTTGTGGGGTTAGTACATCTCTCCTTATTTATTGCTCACTATGTACTGGCTGTTGTGGGGTTAGTACATCTCTCCCTATTTATTGCTCCCTGTGTACTGGTTGTTGTGGGGTAAGTACATCTCTCCCTATTTATTGCTCCCTATGTACTGGTTGTTGTGGGGTTAGTACATCTTTCCTTGTTTTTGCAGAATTCATCTTAAATTTGTGTGTTTAGATTTCCAGCTTTTTATACCTTTTTGAATGAGAAAATGAAGAAAAGCTTTTCCCCAAACAATGGTCAGTTTCTCTATTTCTCATTGCAATATGCGTGTTTCTCTCTTTGCATTTATTTTTCTGTTTTGTTTTCATAGATCACGTGCTGGGAGATGCAGAAAAACTGCTGATATTATTGTGTTATATCCTATCATCGAGTGTTGTTTTTTGTTTTGTGAATTTTTTTGATCTTCTCTGTTTATCGTCTTGGGTGAGTTTCTCGTGTCATGCACGTCTTAAATCGTTCAACATCATATTAAGGCTCACCTGTTGCTGTGTTGAACATTTTCTTATTTAGATATCGCCGTTATTTTTCATTTGCGTTTCTTTGTTTTTTACAACATTTTTCGACACAACTGACTTGCGTGATATGGCTGGTAAGGTATTGAACAGAGCTCTTTATTGCGCCAAGATTAACGTTGCCTCGATTATAAGTCAGAGTTTTTTTTGCATTTTATAGACATAAGGAACTCACAATGGCAAATATTTCAAATCTGTACTGGATGTTTGTCACTTGTTAGTGATTTACGAGTTATTTTACATTCAAACTAACAATGTGTAGCATTTTTTTAAAGATATTCTCTTTCGTATTTTTAGATGCTCTGTGCTCTTCTTTCTTACATTCATGGTATAGTTGATAAGGTGAACGCCATTTTCCTATGCATAATTTTCCTCTCAAGTACAGCATTGTTTGCCACCATCAAGTACAGATATGTAAAAGTGGGTAAAAGATTTCAGAAACACTTTATCGTCGAGCTCTTTTCTTACTTTTGTATTAACAAAGCTTTTTCTTTTTTTAGCTGTCTTCTTCAACATGTTTGTTTCTCCTTTTTTTGTATATTCTATGGTTCTCTCAAATTCCCTGGTATTTACAGTATCCTTCCTTCACTTTTTCCCTGCCATACATCATGAGCTCGAGTACTCTCATAATAAATTTTAATTGTAATCATAATCGTAAATCTTTTAAGTTATCTTGAATTGTTATTTATGTCTTAATACTTTAACCAGTTTCTCTCCGGCAAATACAGTACAATTGTCATTTTACTTTCTGGAAGTTTTGATTTTATTGATTGCTATTCTCTCAGTTGCTGTCGTTGCTGCATCTATTGGTATTCTTTATCGATCATTGTTGAAGCCGCTTTTGATATTGCACAGTTTAGGTAACCTTTGTTTTTTGTATTATGTTCATTGAACAGACAGAGAACTAAGATTTAAAATCTTTCTTAGGTTTTGTTGTTGTTGAGAATATTTTATTTAACAGCGAAGTATACCCTCGTTATCTTGTATTATTCACAACAATACTTGCCCTCTACACATATCAAAGGTATTTGATACTAACGTAAAGAAAAACAGCAGTTTTAAACGAGTTTACGTTGTTTGTATTCATGAAAGATTTCTTTCTTCACTCCAGATTGTATAACGTCCATCGTCTAAGCAAGTCTTGTGCTGTACTATGTTCAACGTTTCATTTATACAAGACGTTAAATATCTTCACGATGTCAAACGCTTCTTTTATGGATAATGGTTTTACAAAATTGTTTGTAATCATCGGACAATTTTGCTTTTCACTTATTTTGGTCATTATAACATACGAAAATAGAGAACATCTTGACATTCATTGGGTAAACTTTTACTTTACTTTACTATATGTTAGAATACATTAGATATAAAAATAAACTGTTATCTGTATTTTTTCTTTAGGTGTTTAATTATGTTGGTATTGTTTTTTTCTCCTTACTTCCTTTGTCATACACTTTTTTACCGTTGTTGCATTCAAACATCTTTGAAGGCGATCCGTCTTTCAGCGATATTGCAGGTAATGGAACATAATAATAACGTAAAGAGTAATTGTTACCTGATTTTTGAAGGAAACGAATGTTATTTCTGATTGCACAGGCTTGATTTCCATCCTAACTGGCTGTTGTCTTGCAAAACTGGCATTTTTCAATTCAATTAATGCAAATTTACGAAAAGGAAGCGTTATTTTAATATTTTCCGGTTTTTTTCTTCGCATGCTTCAACCACAGCCAGATTTTCTTCAGGTAATTAATATTTCTATTTACTGATGTACTGAGCAGTTGTTTTCTTGATTTTGATTCTCATTTCTACTTGTGTATGAAAAGGGTTATCGTGCAGGATTCCTGGGAATGACCATTATTTAAGAAATAAAAGATGTTTACTGTGTTTGCACAGGCTTATGCAAACCGAGGAGACCTTTGAGAGAACTCGAGAGCAGATCAGTGCAAGCCCGACACCGAAGGTCTAGGGTTGCACCTGCTCATGAGTTCTCACAAACATCTCCGAGGTTTGCATAAGCCAGTGCAGACGTGAAAAACATCTTTTATTCCTTTTATAAAAGAACATCAATGCGAAACAGACAAATTTAATACAAACGTTATTCTTCTAGCGTATATTCATGATTGATTTGCAAATTCTCTTTGATTGATTGATTGATTGATTGATTTATTGATTCATTGAGTGATTGGTTTGTTGAGCTGAGATCGTTTTGCACAGGTTAATGCAAATACAGCTATAGACCAATCACCACACGCGTTTTATTATGTGTATTTTATAATGTGATGTATATAGAGGGTTATGGTCCAGGGCTCCTGAGAATGACTGTTATCTACTCGTTTAACACATTGTAAAGTGAACTCTTTGCTAAACTTCGTTTTCTAATTTAGTTTGACGGTAAAATTTCTGTATGTAGATTTTCATTAACTACATTCCTAAACTGATCTTTCGGGAGATTTTTTATGATACTTGGCAGATTGTCTTCTCCGAGTAAGTATTATTCCTAAGAAATGTCTTGTTTTTCCGAAAAATTTTGATACATTGGCATATTTTATACTTTGTAGATACATGATTTTACCATGGTGCATGTTCTTTACGATTTTGCTGCTGGCGTTGCTGCTGTTTGGATTGCTTCATCTGAAGAGACTTTCTTCCTTTAATTTAAATATCATTTCAACATTTATTGGTTGTACTGTTGGTTTATGTGCTGCTCGTGTGGTAAGTGAAATTGCAAAAAGAGTGTGTTTGTTGTGATTCTCCAACTGTAGTTACTGTAAATAACTGTTTACTTAGAAAGTCACGTGTCAAGTCACGTGAAAGATTAAGGTATCTTTCATCTTTTGATAACCGTAGATCCTTCCGTATCCCAAATTACCTTCATCTATCCTTTCCGTACCTTACATGATATCTACAGCAATCACGGCAAATCATTTGATATTTTCAATCAAACAACCAACTACAAACTGCAATTCAACAAAGTAATGTTATTTTTATGACGAAAATTCAATGTTGACCAAACCTTACGGTAATACTATCATTATTTTCACGTTTTTAGATACACCATTTTATTGTTTTTCTCCATTTTGTCTGTGATTGTGGAAATAAATTACAAAATATATATGACCACAAGCAAAAGTATGTTTTGTTTTATTGTATTTATTTAGTTAGACGTGAGCCCTTTTTGTCATCTGTACTTGTTCTTTGTCAAGGTAACATTTTCCCCCCTGGTTTTTTGTTTCAATCAATACTTCATCTTATAATGGTCGTAAAACGAAATTCTCGCTCAAATCTGGCGATGCCTTTCGTAAGTAAACTGTTTGACTTTGTGGCAAAGTTTTTAATCGTTGAATTTATTTCCTGTAATGCATAGATAGTCTTACGTTGCTACCGAACTCTAGGAGGAAAAACAAACTCCAATAGTGGACTTACTTCAAAATTTTTCTTTATTAATGATCGTGTTCTTTGGGTTGATGTTTTCACCTGAGACACTGTATGATTTAATGGTATGAATGAAGTTACCGCTTTCTTTTATCAAATTATTCATTGTGATCCTTCATAGTGAGCTCAGTTGTGTAAAGATTTCTTATTTTGATCAGGTTGTGCCTTTATGTGGCCTTCTAATGATGTTGAATTTGAAAGATTTTGGATTATCCATGAAATATAGCGAGCATGCTGCTGTCATCAAACGTGTAGTTTTTGTTGGAGTGCTTGGTCTAATACTATATTACAGGCTCTTTTGTCAGTTGTCATGGGTCAAGTTGAGTTTTTTCACTGTCATTGGTAAGTTTACAAGACGGGCAAGAAAAGAACTTGGAGTGTTATTCAATGTCATTTGGTATAAATATGACGTAGTTAAACACAACCCTAGATCTACATTTCGTGCTAAAGTCTTGGTGATGAGCAGTTGGTTTTTCTAACTGTGATACATTTTTTTTTATTTTAGCGTTGGTTTTTGAAGCATTGATCATCCTCTTAACCCTCCTAGTGTACCTTGTAATCCTTTCTGTCTTCTGGCATGGTGCTCGTACAATGAACGAAGAACTTATCATTGCATTGTTTTCACCTTTATTTATATTATTGTTACTATATGGTAGAACTACCACTTGTAAAGCTTTGGGAATCGTTGGACCATTGTTTGCTTACTTTGTATTTTACTGCTACCCGCGTAAATAAATATTTTGTACATTTATATGACAATTTATGACAATAGTTGTTATTTTACAGTACAGAATGATATAATGTAAATATAATTCAAAAATTATTTATAGTTATCAGCATATAGTTGCAGAATATTTTTTCCTCGAACAAAATGTGAAACGTTGTTACCAAATTGTGAGCATCGTTTTGATTTACGCGCGTACCACGTTCTTGCGTGCTCACGCGACCTTTGAAACACGAGACGACGAATGCAGCGTGTACCTTCGACCGGAAATGAGGAAGTGCTACGTCACTGACACTTGTTGATAATTGTGATGTTCGTTGTCTCGATTCACGCTTTATGTAATTTGTGAAGAAACTAAAGAATAATGGCTCAACCATCACCCGTTTTGCATAAAGGAATTGTAAAGCAGGTTACTTTTTTATTTTTTGATGAATTTGTCTTCAATCTGGATTCTTTCAGTACAAATACACAGTATTTCAAACTTTCACAGTATATCGAAATATTGACTTACTAGTACTGGTTTAATTTGTGAATTTGCTTTGATTTTGATGAAATTTCTTGTGTTTAGGTCTTATCTGGGGACAGTGTAATAATCAGGGAACAACCCAGAGGCGGTCCACCACCAGAAAAAAATTTGGGTTTATCAAACGTAACTGCTCCTAAATTATGTCGGCGACCAACGTTGGCTGTTTCAGCTGAAAGTAGAGACGAAGTATGTTCAAACACACAATTCTTCTATTTGCAACCTTACCGAAATTTTTGATGTAACTAAGTTTGTCATCAGATGTGGTTCAACTTGGTAAAAAATGTCGGAAAAATACGCGAACAAGACGTCTTTCATTAAAATACTGTTTTCTATCAAGAAGTATATATGATGGTCAACGTGTTTTTAATCCTTGTTTCAACCAATGAACGTTTAGAACGTAGAATTTGCTACAATATTTAAATAATAAAAACACGTGAAAATTTTGTGCAAGTTCATGCATCAATTCTGTTTTTACACTATGCATTATATATATTTCGGTGGGGATTGTGGAAACTATTTGAATTCAAGTACAAAGAGCAAACGTTTTTATTTGTTGTATCAGATGAAAAATGATTTAACACTATACTTTCTCACACTTTCAGCCATTTGCCTGGGAAAGCAGAGAGTTTCTAAGAAAACAATTGATTGGAAAAGAAGTGTTTTATTCTGTGGAATATAATGCCCCTGGCTCTAATAAACACTATGGTTGTATATATCTTAAGAATGGTGAGGAAAATAACTGGACAAATCTGTTTTTACAGTATGCATTGAACATAAAGTTTCTCTCAATATTGAAGTAGTTTGATTATGTTGTATGTCAATCATTTGATTTTTTGGGCTATGTATCGTTTAAATCATATATCACTTTAATAGCATTCTAATGAATTCATTCTTATCATGTATGCCATAGATTATGCTCTTGAAATGTTCACACTGTTATATAATCCATTTATATCCACATTTAGCAACGACTTAACTCATTTTAGGGGATCAGTTGGTTAATGTCACAGAACTTAGTGTAATGGAAGGTTTACTTGAGGTCAAAAGAGGAGGCATAAAATTAAACGAGTATGTGTTTTGGTTGACTGATTGTTTTGTTTTTAGAACTTAATTTATTTGAAGCACTTATGCTATTTTGTGCATTAGTGTCAAGTTTTACATTATTTGTAGTGATCAAAGTAAATTGATTGACTTAGAAGAGGCAGCCAAAGCTGCAGAAAAGGGGAAATGGGCAACCAATGCTAGTGAGGTAATATTATTTTGTCATAAGTTTTCAAATTGTTGTAATGTAAGTGTTACTGTCAATTTTTGCAGCATGTCAGGAATATACATTGGAGCATTGAAAATCCTAAACATTTTGTTGATTCAAACAATGGAAAAGACTTTGAAGGTAAATAAAATATTAATTGATAATTAAAAAATGTGTTTGCAATTAACGTACGGAACATTTTTCATGGTCATAACAATATAATAATTATATAATACATTAATTCCTATAATCCTGTGCAGCAATCATTGAACATGTGCGTGATGGATGTACAGTAAGAGCATTTCTTCTCCCCGATTTCTATCATGTCACAGTTATGATGACAGGAATTAAGGTAAAAACAGTTTCTTCAATTTGCAAATGCCATTTTTAAACTCTTTGATTTAAAAACTACATTGCAGACCCCAATGTTCAAGCGTGATGGACCAAATGAAACTCCCGAACCTTTTGCTGTTGAGGTATATGTAATTTTATTTCTTGGATATATTCTTTGGATGCTTCCGCTTGAGGAATATTCACTTGAATGATGTTTACACCAATTATGTAATGTTCATAATCATGCATGTGCTTGCTGATAATATTTGATCATCATTAGTCAACTATGACTGACCTGAAAATTTTATCACATTAAATTATTTTAGGCAAAGTTTTTCACTGAGTCAAGACTATTGCAAAGAGAAGTGAAAATAAGATTAGATGGTTTGTACATTGCCCTTGTTACCAAATGTTTGGATTACTTTTCATTATAGTTCCCTTCTTTCAGGTGTTTCAAATGCAAACTTCTTGGGAACTGTAATACATCCAGTATGTTACTTTTATTTTCATGGATGAAAAGTGGATGGAGAAAGAAATATTTTGTGTGTTTTTTTAGGCTGGTAATATTGCTCAATTGTTACTACGAGAAGGCTTTGCTCGATGTGTAGATTGGAGTATGTCTGTTTTGCCATCAGGTCACGATGTGTATAGAAGTGCTGAAAGGTTTATATTGCTTGAAATATATTGTTAACAATAACTTTTAATGTTGATATATTGTCAATAGTGGTTTTAAAAAGAAATTTTTTTATTTTTTGTGTTTATGTGTTGTTAATATGTGTTGTTAAGTTGCTTTATGGTAACATTGTTTATTGTTGCGTAGATCATCGAAACAAATGAAAAAACGAATGTGGAAAGATTACCAACCAACTACACCAAGCGTCAACATAGATAACAAAGAGTTTACTGGGAAGGTATTTATCATCAACAGTTATATTGTTCATTAGTATACGTAATCTTTTAGTCAAATGTCTTTATTAATGATTGTATAGGTGATAGAAGTTATAAATTCTGACGCTATGGTCGTTAAACGTTCAGATGGAACTAGTAAAAAGATATTTTTGTCAAGTCTAAGACCACCAAGGTAGTTTTATTGACATTTTGGTATTTTTCATAAATATTTCTGTTTCACATAGTTCGTTTTGTTGTTCAGATCTGCAACACGCGAAGATGGCGAACAATCGTCTGGTAACAAGAAATCGCGTCCATTGTATGACGTTCCCTATATGTTTGAGGCTCGAGAGTTTCTTAGAAATAAACTTATTGGAAAAAAGGTTGGTAGAAGTTTATCCTTGATCTTGAGCAAATACCATATGTGATAAAGCTTTGTGTAAAATTGGTTCGCAATTTCTTATCTATATTTTTTACGTACAACCACTCTCTGGTAAGTGTTGAGCCTAAAGGTTAGAGATCTTTTCCAATGCATAGGTAAATGTTTGTGTTGACTACATCAAGCCTGCTAGTGATGGCTATCCCGAAAAGACCTGTGTTACTGTGACCATTGGAACTATCAATGTTGCTGAGGCATTGATTAGCAAAGGTACTTATGTCATTAGAATGTCTTCAATATTGAATAAAACGCAAGGTTATATAGAAAGGCTCAGCTTTGAATATTTTATTGAAGGCTTAGCAACGGCATTACGTCATCGACAAGATGACGATCAGCGATCTTCTCATTATGATGACTTATTGAGTGCTGAAACGAGGGCTATAAAAAATGGAAAAGGTTTACACAGCAAGAAAGAAGCTCCTACACATAGAATATCAGATGTATCTGGTAAGTCTTTCTTGTAAATTTTGGTCGGTTGGGTTCATATTTTTGCATTAACATCTTACACGTATACAATCTACGTGCGTTGAGTTTTCCTTGAATAAATGCAATTTGATGTTTATATCTTGTTTCTATCAGGTGACGTTTCAAAGGCCAAGCAATTTCTGCCCTTTCTACAGAGAGCTGGTCGTATTAATGGTATTGTAGAATTTGTTGCTAGTGGCTCAAGACTGCGTGTGTATCTTCCAAAAGAAACCTGCGTCATTACTTTACTTTTGGCTGGAATTGAGTGTCCTCGAATGCAATCTAACGGAAATCAGGGTATTGTGATCTCAGGACAACCTTACGGAGAAGAAGCTTATATTTATACAAAAGAACACTGCTTACAGAAAGACGTAGGTTCACTTATACTTTCGTATCATTTATTATGATTTATTTTGTGAATTGTTGTGGTGATAATTTCATCAGGTGGAAATTGAAGTGTCCACGTGTGATCGAGCTGGAAATTTCATTGGTTGGCTTTTTATTGAAGATGTAAACCTTTCGTTGTCTTTAGTTAAGGTATATCTTATTATTAAAGTATTGTGTGAAGTAACATGTCGATAATTGTTTATTAGAATTTGTTTGTTGATTTATTTGTGTGGAAAAGAACACACTGTAAGCCAAGGGTTGAATTACGTTAGAGATTTTACATAAAATGTGAAAAAATATTTTCTATTGTTGGAATGCTACATCATTGAACATTGAAAATTTTGTTTTTTATAACAGGAGGGTTTGTCTAGTGTTCACTTCAGTGCCGAGAAATCTCCATTTTACAGTCATCTAGTAATGGCAGAGGAAAACGCTAAATCAGCAAAATTGAAGATCTGGGCGAACTATGAGGAAACAAAACCCGTTGAAGTTGTCGACGATACTTCTGAAAGGCAATGTAATTATGAAAAGGTATTCTGGTTTGGTTATCTTAATTTTTGCCACATATATTTCAATTTCTTCTGTGCGTGCTTATGTTGACTTCACACATCCTTTACGTGCGTATTTGTAGCTTGTTGCGATTTGTTTAGGTTGTGGTGACGGAAGTTGGGACACCTTTGTGCTTTTGGGTACAGCATGCAGACACTGCTAAAGATATAGAGCAAATGATGGAAAGACTGAGGGCAAGTCTTTCCGCTAATCCACCAGTGCCAGGCTCTTATACGGCGCGCCGTGGGGACCTCTGTGCTGCGCTGTTCATCGACAATAATTGGTGAAGTCAAGCGGTTATTTTCTTCATGTCAGAATAACTTTTTGTCATAGTTTCATCCATTTGTTTTGTTAAGGTATCGAGCGAGGATTCTGAAGAATGCTGGACCAAAAGAAATCACAGTACTTTATATTGACTTTGGAAATGTAAGCATTGCTTGTTTGATGGTTTGTGTCCATCATTAAGGTCAAAAAATTTAATAAGAACTGTCGAGGATACATGGTTCTTGTGATTGTTGACTCCAATGAAACAACTATAAACGACAGTCAATGTCAGGGCTTCTTCCTGAACAATCAACTTTTATGTTACAGTTAAAATGTTATGTTGGTACATGTTTGTACATCTTGGTACATGTTGGTACATGTTTGTACATGTTTTAACTTGTTAATTTACCAGATTGAAGTTCTTCCAATATCAAAGATTAGAGCTCTACCTCACGAGTTCTTGAGGTAAGATGACGAACATTTAAACTTGTAGAGTTTTTGCATTCTTACATCATAATAATGTAATTTTTTATCATAGTATGAAACCCCAAGCTGTTGAATATTATGTTGCATTGGTCAGAGAACCAAATGACGTAAGATTTCTATAGCCTAAGGCTCATATATTGTATGCATATTTCATGTAAAACAATGAAAAGTCCTTTATATTAAAGTCATATGTAACGGAGCGGATTTTGTTCTAGGAGGAAATGAAAGGCGATTTGGATGATTTTTTTAGAAATAAAATATTGGTAGGAAATTGCTGGCTTGCTTTGTGTTACATTGTTTCATGTTGGTAGAGCGTTATTGATATTTTCCTCTGTTTAGAACCAGATGTTTTTACTGAATAAAGAATACAAAATCAATAACCAGGTGCAAAATTTTTTTATAATAGATCGCATTTTTCATCATACTATGTTGCTTGCGAATTTTGATATTGTCTGAGTACCGCTAGAGTATTCTCGTTTTATGTATTTCTAAAATTTCAAAGTTTTCCTCAACGGAATTGACCACAGACAATTAACTTCGTGACAAAATTAATAGGAATATGTTACTCTGAGTAACACGGAAAGTAAGGAAGATATTGGTCGTACTTTGATTGCCGAGGGCCTGGCCCTAGTAGAGAAGCGAAACGAGAAACGGTTTCAAAAAATGGTCAAAGATTATCTCAGCGCCCAAGAGAGTGCCAAGAAAAACAGGGTATGCGAGTTTGTATTTTTGATATAATTTACTATTTACTGCGTTTCTTCTTACATAATTGCTCTTGTTTCTTCTTGTGTAAAAGAAACATCCCCTTAGATAAACTTTTTGTTTATGTTCAAAGCTAAACATGTGGCGATACGGTGATATTACTGATGATGATGCTAAGGAATTTGGATATTCTGCAAAGTGAATGATAAATATGAAAATGTTGAATGAAAATTCTTAACTTTTTGGCGGTTGTTGTCTAACTTGTATGTAAAATGCTTTGAAATTATAATTTTATCAATTAAAAGTTGAAATGCGGAGTATATTTTAGTTTGGTATGTCGGCTATGTTTAAAGAGTAATTATAGATTACTGTCAACGGAGAGCTACGAGATAGTGTGGCATGGTGATTTGACAAAATGTCTGTGGATCTCAGTCTTGTTCTAGTTTCATTTTAGTCTTATTTTTTCCTATTCTGATCATTATCTTGTCATCGCCTTTTTCTAGTCTTATCTCAGTGTTATCGTCTCATCTTGCTTCCAGTCTTTCCATAATAGATTGTATTTTCTTGATACAGTTCAATTCTTTAGTTCAACTCCTTGAGTAAAATGTCTATCCTAAAGAATTTATTAATGTTCGTGCAAATCACCTTGAGCCATCATGATTTGGGCATTAGGAATTGTAAAACCCATTTTCAAGATATATATATCATATATTGGAGGGGGGGGCACGTACACCCTATATACCCTTAGTTATAGGTCTGTATACAAATATAATATCAGTTACGTGAAATAAATTTTATTTAAGAAGTTTCTTTTGCTTTGTGGATGGTGGTGCATAGCATTGGATGATAGTAATGACAGACAAATAACAGTTGACAAATGTGGATAACAGTGGCTAGGTTACAGTACATAACTGTAGGTTATGGTATGATGACAGTAGGTTACAGAGGATAACTGTAGGTTACAGTAGATAACTGTAGGTTATGGTATAATGACAGTAGGTTACAGTGGATAACAGTAGGTTACAGTAGATAACTGTAGGTTACAGTGGATAACTGTAGGTTGTAGTATGACAGTAATTTACAGTGTATAACAGTATGTTACAGTCGATGAAATACCATTAAACGAAGAAGGTAACAACTACAGATGTACTATTACAAAACACCTCATTTTGCTTTACCACGTCTAAACCTGCCTCTGAAATTTGTTGATTTTTGACTTCAAAACTGTGCTTGCGGAGTGCATTTGTGCAATTGTATGAAGAATCAACCCTTGAAATATTCTACCTATATTTAAGTAAGATATTTTATGACTTGTGCAGTTTTACAGAAAGATTGTATGAAAAAAATGATAAAGTAGTAATGACGACAGTGGTAAAGAAAAGAACAGTTAAATCTTTCAATAACTGTTAAATCCTGGTTTTCCAAGGTGAGATACTGTTAATGTGACAAATAATTATGATTTTTAGATTTTTTTCTAACCTGTCAATTGCATTTATACTTTCATATTGTCACTGAAGTGAAGTTTATTGAAACATTGTAAAGTTTTTTGAAGAGATAATATGATAATTCAAACCCAACATACGGGGTCCGGTGTGGTTATTGCAAAGTCGAATTTCTCGTTTCAGGCCTCCTCGAAGTTTCCCCCTTCGTCATATTCAAGATGGCTGCCAATGTTAAAACTCTAGTGTAGTTTTTATAGTTGTGTTTTAGTCGATTTTGTTTTGCTGTGCCTTGTATTGTCCTTGTGAAGTGTTCTCACGTACTGTATCGTACTTAATCTTTGTAAAATGGACGTAAAATTACCTCTAACCCCTATCGTGAACGGTCAAACAGAGCCAATAAAACTGTTTGTCGGGCAAGTACCACGCAACTGGGAGATAGATCAATTGCGACCAGTGTTTGAACCTTACGGTGAAATACAAGACATATCTATATTGAAAGATCGAACTACAGGACAACATAAAGGTTGAATGATGCGTGGAAAACTTTGAAAGATAACAAACGGTAGACAAAACACGTAAGGTGTAAGCTAACTTTTTTCCAATGTTATATTGTAGGCTGTGCTTTTGTAACTTTTCGTGATCATCTTGCTGCAAAGAAAGCTCAGGAAGACCTTCATGACAAGAAAACCTTACCAGGCGTGAGTAATCAGAGTGAAGGTGTTAGATATATGTTTGTAAAAAATAACACACGTTGGATACCAAAGTATTTATCCAATCATGTTCCCTGGCATATGTGCCATAATGGAGTTTATAACATTATTTCATGTACTTTGTAAACAGCCATCAAGATATGCTCAGCATTTGCACATAAGTGCCAATAACTTGCATTATTGTTTAAATTTGAGTTTAATTGAGTTGGAAGAGCTGTGTCCATAAATATCTTTTGTTTCTATTATTATCCTGTGGAAAAGTGCTTTGGTACATTATTTTGTGTCTTGTGGCTTGCAGTGTACATTAATATAGTTGACAAGGAGTTATTATTTTTTGTTTATATTTGATAGATGGGTCATACACTGCAAGTGAAGCCTGCTGATAAGGATAAAAAGAAAGGTTGTTTGAAGAAGGTCTTCATCTTTTAATTAATTTAAACTAAAGCTCCTTATTTTATATTCTGTTAAAGATGAGCGAAAGCTGTTTGTTGGTATGATATCCAAGGCAACAACAGAAGATGATTTACGACTAATGTTTGCGCCATTTGGTACAATTGAGAGTGTAACTGTTCTTCGTGATGCCGATAAACGCAGCAAAGGTCAGTTAAATATGGTTTGGTTTGTATCATCTTTTTTTATTTTACCATTGTATATTTTGTATTTAGGATGTGCATTCTTGATGTTTGAAAGTAAGATACAAGCACAGAAAGCAATTGAAATCATGCACAATAGTCGAACAATGGAGGTGAATGTTATTGTCACTTATTTGAGTAAATTTTGTTGAGGGATTACGTATTATACATTTGAGTGATGAATGTTTTGTTAGGGTTTTATATTATCCATTTGCAGGGATGTTCATCTCCTATTGTTGTTAAATTTGCTGATTCGAGAAGATAAGCTTCTAAAAGAGTAAATACTATGGCAGCCATAAATGGTTCATCTGCTTACTTTCAACAGGTAAATATATAGGTATCATCTAAACAATTTGACATCTTAAAATAACATTTCCAGTTATTTTTTAATTTCAGTTTCAACAACTAGGAGCATTGCAAGGGCGTTTCATAGTGGCCTGGTTGGTGTTGGTTTGCGGATTAAATCCAACTGCTGCTGCTGCTAGTAGATATTTTATCTTATGTTTCAAAATATCAAACATGCTATACTTTTATCTTTCACTTTCCACATCATACAGCGATGTGCAAATGTGTTTGAATTTTATAGGTTTAATACCTGGTGCTTTTGGTTCATTGGTTGCCGCTGCCGTTGCAACTCAACAACAACAACAACAACAACAGCAACAACAACAGCAAAGTCAAGTTCCACAGCCCACTACTCCAATGCTAAATTCATCTAGTCTTGGTTCAACTGCTGCAGCCATGAATTTTACACCAACTAGTAACGTGGCCTCTTCCGCCAATGTCAACCCTCTCATGAGTGGGTTAGCAAACTATGGTGCAGGTGAGTGTCTGCCATGTTGGTTGTGCAATATTTCACATTATCATACCCACTTAATGTGGAATACATACTTACTGTTAAAAGTATTTACTACACCATAAGAGAATTGTTTGTAGTTAAGAAGAATTCTTGTTTTCAATTTTTTAGTGAACCCTCTTGGTTTTCCCAACATGCAAAGCATTGGTATTGGCAATATAAATCCAATGGCGTCCCTTACCTCTACTCCTGCATCACTTGGAACTATGGGGGGCATTCACAATTCAATGGCCGGTGTTTCTTCTCCAGATCCTTTAGCTCAAACATACTCTGGTTTAACTCCATATACAGCTGGTTTTAATAGTCCTTATAATTCCTTAATGCTTCAATTGCCACGTCAGCAACAGAAAGAAGGTTAATATGACAATTTCGTGAAAGTTCTATGAATTGATGAATAAATACGAGATTGTTCCAACGAAATGAAATATATTTGATTTTTTTCTTTTATTCTTAGGACCTGAAGGTGCTAATCTTTTCATATATCACCTTCCAAAAGAGTTTCAAGATGCGGATCTTTTTGCAACATTTAGCCCATTTGGTACGGTTATCAGTGCAAAGGTGTTTATTGATAAAGTCTCGGGAATGAGCAAATGTTTTGGTGAGCTGTCGTCGTTCTTACGTATCTTCAAATTTTTCGTTTAAAACTGCTATTCATAATGTTAAACATTAGACTGTATGGTATAGCATGTAAAGCCACTCTGAGGATTTTTATTACATTATTTATCATTTCCAACATCAGATGATTTCTGCTATCCCATGAGTCGATGTTTATTAGTGAAATGACCGTAAATTGACTTATCTCTGTAGGTTTTGTGAGTTACGATAGTCCCAACTCTGCTGCAATGGCTATACAAGCGATGAATGGCTTTCAAATAGGAGATAAGAGACTAAAAGTCCAACAGAAACGACCCAAAGATGCGAACCGTCCTTACTAAAAGAAAATGTTCACAGCATGCTGTCTGGTAAGGCTCACATAAAACCTTTTTAGTTGTTTGTTTAGAAATACGTAGTTTTGATTAATGTGCAATCTTTATGTTCGCTTATATTTTTTGTTTGTCTTTATTTCTGTGTAGATACGTTGTCTGAAGTTTGTGGCTGATGTATTCAACGTCTTAAACTTTCTTTTCTGTTTTCTGTTTCTGTTTCTGTTTTGTTTTATAAAGTTATCTTTAGTGTATTGTAACGGTGTTGGTTTATATGGCGTTACGGGGATTCTACCAGCTGTACGTTTTTTCTGTATTTATTTTATGTTTTGTTTTGTCAATTACACAATTGTACTTTCATGAGATTTTTTGATTTATTATGTGTTTTTATGTGTAAATCTCGTGTGGATTTTTTATGTTCGGAATATAAAACGACAAGCTTATTACACATCTGTTCATTTATAAAAGTTATGGCAAGTCATTCTTTTATATAATTTCAGGTATTTACTCAAATATTATCTATTGACATTTTTTAAACCTTTTCAACAACTTTTAAAGGTCAATTGCTGGTGTACTTGACGGGAACTGGTTATATCCCCAACCATAACTGCTAACGTATGTTGCTGCCTGTGTATTGTCTATCTGCTGTTTTTCATTTCTATTTTATTCTTACGTTTTATGGCCAGTAAAGTTAAAAGAACCATCAATAATATGATTAATGAGCTTGGTATTAGTAATATACGCTCGCTCCACTTTGTTGATCTATTTTTCGTGCCATTTTTCTAAACAAAATGAAGCAGATTAATATACTTCACACCACTCCTACGTAATTTAACATCCAAAAAACCCCTCGTTTTTTCAGATTATTCAAAATTGAAAATTTGCAACGACCATGGTTTAGTGACATCACTCACTTGTTTATAAAGATTTTTCGCACGTTTTGCAGATTTTTGTGATAGGTTTTGTGAGGATAAAAAGAATTGAAGTATGGACGTGTTTATTTTAGAGCTTCCTTTTTCATCTTTGGTTTTTAGATGATCTTTATAAACATAAAGATTACTTCTTTTTGTTAATTGTTGTTGATCTAAATGTTCGTCTGCTTTAGCGTTTAAAATATCTCTCACATTCAAATCATGTACATAATGCTTTGCAATGTTTCTCAGGTTTACTGAAAACGCAAGCTCTTGCGAATTCTCTGATGGATAAAATACAAGTTTTTCGTCGTACTCTTTTCTTCGTTTTCTTTTTTTTGATTGGATGGTCATTGTTTCTACATCATCAAAAAGTATGAAAAGCATAAAAATCGATATTATTATGGTCATTGTTACAACATAAAATAATTTCCCTTACCATACGTAGTAGAATGACGATTTGCTTTCTCCAAAACCACCACAATCATTTTGTTGTCATATGCCGGCGCGGTTTTGCAATGTTGAGGACTGAAGCATGTCAGACCGTAGCAGAAATTATTTTTGAACAATGCCATTTCGCAACTCTCGCTCTCGCAGCATTGCAGTGTACACGTTTCAATGTCTTGAACGTGACCTAGCTCAAAAAATGTTCCTGACTCCAGTTTATGAAGTAATGTTATTTGTCGTTGTATGTTCCTTGCCCTACACGAATGTCTCTTCAGGCGTTCCAATAAATCTACCGACCACAAATCTAGTATCAAGGATAAGCACAATAATATTTATAAAATGTTGTCAAGAATTCAAAAGTTAATTTGGTTAAAGCGCCATGGTCCAACTGTAATTTTTAATTATTATAATCGTACGTAGTAACTGTTGATGAAGCACCTACCTTTGACTTGTTTAACGTAACCTTTTACTGCTTTAATGACAAAGAATTGATAAATAAATAGTGAAAAATAGGCTTTCATATTCTTGCACAAGTTTCCCTTAAGTTCTCCTACCTAAATGTCATTTAATGCCATCTCCCAACAATTCTTAGTTATTTTTGATGCTGACAAAAATGCTGATTGCAGGTTGTGCTTCACTTGAATAAACCCGTACTGACATATTGTATAATTCTTTCATTTTTTCACTGTTATGTTGTTAGTAGTAAAGACTAGATTTTGCATAAATTGTCATCATTTCAATAAAAATTTGTAGATCTTAATAACGCGGCATTTTAGGTGTTGTCTTCATTTTCGCCAAGAAGATTTGTTGTTTCCAATGCAGCCTCAAATGATGCCTTTCGCTTGTTAGCCAAAACTTTCTTGATAATAAAAGCCATTGTTGCTGTACCAACTATTGCAGTGGCAACACCACAACCAACTGCTACAGCTATAACAGGCGATGTTATACGCGATGCCCCTTCCTACATGTATTTAACATTAATCATCAAATAATCATCTGGTGTTATTTTTACACACTTCATGACGTGCACTCTACTGACGAAACACTTTCAGATATTGTCTCAATCTATTTTTTAGTTTTACTCTTAATAACATGAAGTATGGTCAAAAAAATGGCGTTACCTTAGCTTGCTTTCCGATGCCCAGATCGTCAGTGCTTTCTTCACCTATGTTTATCGAAGTAAGATTTTAGATATTTTTGTTATTAAACTTTTCTTTTTAATTCATTATCATTGACAACGAGTTTCACGGTTGACTTTGTCGTCTTACCTGGCTCATAGTAACAATAATATATCTTGAGATTGAATGGGTCTTCATTGGGTCCATATGGATAAGCTCCCCCCGTGCCGTCCGTATTTCCTTGATCATCGTCATCAAACTTGATAAACTCAGACGTAACACGCATACCTCTCACTTTCTGACATTGCACGGAGTCATACGTCAATAAATAAAATGGTTGACTGTTCGGTAATGTAATGGGATTGTCTAGATTTCCCTTTGTATTACAACAGTATTTTATTGTGGTGTTTGTCTTCTCATATATACCATCTGGTAGAACTCCATGATGTGCGTTGTTTAAGTCTATCTGGGACTGTTCATCATCCCAACGAATAAAGCCTTCCTTTAGACCATTTGGACATACACCTTAAGAGATAAAACAGTTATGGAATTTTCACATCAAGACAACTATGGGTTTATATACATAGCATAAGAGACGCTCTGGGTCTTTATGTTAATGCATCCTTGAGCAGTGAATGTATTTGTAGTCATATCACCTTTCTTATAGATGCAATATTTTCCTTCCGGCCAGAACTCGCTCCCCCCTGCAGCGTTATCTTTTATACAAAATCTTTGTTGTATACCATGTTGTGTAAAGTTGCCTGACATGTGAGATATAGCTGATCGCTGATTTGCTGGATTGTCATCCTCGGTGTCATGGTAAGTCCATCCACTTTTCCAAGTTAGATAATTGTCATTTGGGCAGCCAGTCTCCGGTTCTGGTAGCCCGTATGTGCCACTAGGCCATTTTACTGCAAACCAAAATGATGAAGTATATAGACATGAACTGCATGATGATCGTACTGGAGATGTTTTCCTAGTAGCTGTCATGAGCGATTACTGTATGACAGAAAATGTTAAATACAAAAAGTTCATAACGAGATAGACCAACCTTCTGCTTTGATTAGCATGAAACTAGAAAAGGCAAGTAGACCGTATATCAAGACCATTCTCACGATCCTGTCGATATAGACTAAAAAAATAACGATAGCCAACATTAAAAATATATAATTACATATTAATTTTTATTGTTCTTCCTTCCAAATACAAACTTACCTGCAGCAAGTATCGCCTGACTAGATTTTGTCTTTCATGGACATTTGAAATATCTTACAAATCATAAAGTTTAGTGCGATTTTACTTATCTTCCATTTCTACCGTGCTGAGTCTTTAACAATGTAATCCGCTAATCAACAGGTCGTGACAGAAATTGATATCTTATCACGTCATGTCAAAAAGAAGTGCTTGTCGTACAGAGTTGTTTTCTCATTGTACAGCGTTGTTATCTCATTATACAGCGTTGTGTTCTCATTTTACAGCGTTGTTATCTTATTGTAAATCGTTGTTTTCTCATTGTACAGCGTTGTTATCTCATTGTACATCGTTGTTTTCTCATTGTACAGCGTCGTTATCTCATTGTACATCGTTGTTTTTTCATTGTACGGCGTTGTTTTTCATTGTACATCGTTGTTTTCTTTGTAGAAACAGACGTTATTACCAATTCATCTGGTAATAACAGACGTTAATAGTTAATGCTAAATGCTACGATATAACAAACTCTTCAAGGTTTGTTTTCCATACTATCCCTGCATGTCTTCATGTAGTTTCACATGCACCTATTGAAAACCATCGACACGTGCAGTGTCTTTGCCGACTATTTTAAAACATATTTTACGTATTTTTGCCTTTTTTTGGACTTCGTCGCTCTATGTGCTTTCCGGCTTCATTCTTATTCATATTTTGTTTTTGTTGAACACACATGCATGGAACTACTCTTATTATTTTACTTTCTTTACACTGTACTGCATTATTTGTGTTAGATGAATATACAAGGTATAGGTAAATGCATCATACTAAAATATTACGTGTGTGTATCGGATAGACTTATGTTTTCTGAATCATTTTCACTACCCGAGTTATTGGGTCAACTGAAAATATAAGCAATTTAACCATTTCCTATTTGCATTCAGGTGATTTACAAACATTTATGACCAGCTGTGAATTAAGATGATAATGCCTGCATTTTTCAGCCTTTGACGTCTATGGCTGAATACTCCCATTCATAATGGGTAAACTTGCATTTGCAACGTCGCTTAAATGAAGAAAATATGAAGAAAATCGAAGAGCAATTCCCATCATACATCAGGCCATGCACGTCAATGCAAAGGCACGCTCAGAAATCGTTCTTAACATTTGAATGAAATATATAAGAACTACCGATACGTCAACATAAAAGGTAAGTAATTTGTCTGCTAACTGATAACGCTCTTGGTAAACAGCAGGTTTAGCTTCAATCCTTTGAACGATTATCACCGCTTTTGACCTTGCCACCTCTATGTTTTTGTGCTAATTGTATCCATGCTATTTTAATAACACGAAAATTCACATAAAATTATCGTGTTTAAAAAAAGATAGCGAGAGAGGTTGAATTAATGGTTCAAAAATTGCAGTGTATTTTCACCTTGTGCCCTCGTAAACAGCTGTGCTTTTTTTTGTACTATATGTGTACTGACCGCTCATCTATGATTCAACGATTTCTTTCATAAGCAAGAAACGACTACGGCTGCTTCGTCATGTCCAACGATACAGGAGAAATAACTTTAAGTGTGTTTGGGGCGCCAAAAGTTGGTAAATCGGGTGAGTGTGGTTCGTATGCGTTATCAAATATACATTGTGTAATTTTAATTATTCTCTTAAACTGCATGCTCTTTTACTTAAAATGGAATTGGAATTTCTTTTTGAAAGCACTATTCTACAAAACAAAATCTCTTCACTTGTAGTAAAATCCATTCCTAAGGCAATCTGAGAGTATTTTAATCCACTTAAGATAAACCATCAACGAAAGTGGTTGGCCAAATAAACTTGGTGTTTTCGCGGGTTGAATTTCACGGCAAGTGGAAAAGAGATATATCAGACATAAAAACGAGACAATATAGTGTGCATATTAATGTTTACATTGGCGAGTACTTAAAGACAAATGTTTAAAAAAGTATTTTTCCATTGGTATTCGTTTATTGATGTTGATATTCGAGAACTATATATACATATCTAACTATTTATTAAAAACTTAGGTCTTTGGAATCATCTATTCTTTTTAATTTGCCATCTCATTCTCTCAGTACTTGATGAATAAAATGCAGCTGTCACAACTCATATTTTTGTTATTAAATGGCTGACTTGACGTAGTCATTTATCGATGAGATCTGTCTTAATCTTTCATTCATTATGATGTCATTTCATATAATTTTATGTATTCCCTTCTCATTCAATGACATTGTTCATTTACCAAAAGTTGTGTTTGAGATATTTATTGCAATAAGAGCATAATTGTTTTCGTCAAAATCTAACCGACAAAGTCATATTTTAATCGACGAAACCATGTATTTTTTGTCACACATAATGTGTGATAGAGACGTGGAAATGTTTGTTTCGCGTTGTTTTCATGTTCACTTTGTGGTCAGTTTTTTTTTATTGTAAGTTTGAAACTGATGTTAAATATCTCAGGATGTTGGATCAATATACATTACTACTATAAGAAATTATGAGATGCTAACTTCGAATAGCCAACACCTCCAAATCGTGGTGTAAACGTTGCAAAATTGCTTATGCAATTATATAAAGTATAAATATCTTCTTATGTTCCAGCTCTTACTGTTCGTCTTCTAACAAAACGATTCATTGGAGAGTATGATAGCTCAACAGGTACGTATGATAGGAGAAAGAAATTTTACTTTTACGTTTGGAGTTTGACGTTGTTGCAATGATTATAGAAAACATGTGTGCGTATGAGAGCTGTAGTACGGGGCAGATAAATGAATGTGAGAAGTTTATAACAATAAACACATATGTTATAATTACATGGAACTCGACTAGTATCATATTGAACGATATTTCCATGATATTTCACAGCTTCGTAAGGGCGAACCTTGACGGTAGAACAATTGTTTTCTTCATAGGAATTGTTTAGTTGTTTACTCGGTTTTTTTTGTTTACAGGTCGTTTGTGTTTAGTATACTATTATCTCTGTTACCTAGCAATATGTTAAACTTGAGCAAATGTAATTTCAGTGTCAACCTATCGTGGTGAAATAAAACACGATGCGGGTGAAGTTCTAAAGTTCTCTATTCTTGATTATCCCGGTCCAGTAAGTTTACTAAATAATCCTTGAAGTGGAAAAATTTTGGGATCTTGTTACAATGTATTCATTTCTACTTATCCAGCTCAAAGACGTGTCATCATCTATGGTGCATTCCGCTGATTGCTGTGTTGTGGTCTATGCAATTACCGATTCGAATTCCTTCCTTGAGGCTATAAATTATGTTCAAACTGTTTCTGATATGAGAGAAGATGCTGACATGAATCTCTTGTTGCTAGGCAACAAACGCGATTTGGTCTGCAGTCGACAGGTGACGTATGAGGAAGGTAAATCTTTTGCAGAAAGATTTGAGTGCTCTTTTTATGAAGTTTCTGCCGCAGAGGATTATTTGAACGTTCAAACTGTATTTAAAGAACTTTTGCTTCGAATTCGCAAAACTCGCTTGGCTGAGAAACGAAATCAAAAACTCTCAGCCAAAAAGAAGGCTGTAAAGCTGTTTGGTTTTGGTGGTAGAGCACGTAGTGGGACACTGTAGTAGGATAACTGAATCTCTTTTTCATTCTTAGATTTTACGTTTGTAAATATTATATTCATTTGTTTTTTATGACCAGTCTTTTAGAATGGATGACATTCTTTGCATTCGTATTCAAACAAACCCATTTCTTGACAATTTTTGCAACAATTTTAGTAGCAGTTGCCAGTTGTAGTAACAAAAGCAAACTTACCCTCTTAACATGCATCTGACGTACTCAGAGTACACTTATCAACTATCATTTGAGAGCTGATGAAACCGCCTGGAAAGAGTATGCTTTATAATTTTCTTCTCTCTCATGTGATGAAAGTTTAGACTTGCTTTCTATCAGCTGAAACGTCCTCATATGAATAGTGTTGATGTCGTGGTATTCAAGCCAGTTGTTATTGAATCATTTTTGTCGTCAAAGCTGTTGCTTCAATTTTGAAGTTACAGGAAATTGTTAAAATTATGTTTTTTTACCAGTTCAAAAAGTTCAAATATCGTAAAATGTGAAAATCACTGCAGTTCGTTCCACGGGTCCTTCTTTGTATGGTGATGTTCTGTGGTAATAATAGTCCAAGTTTATATAGGTCACCAACAATCATTCCCAGTAATAAATTTAGAAAGAATACATGTATCGTTTTCCTTGTTGCTTGGTGTCGTACTTTTGCTTAGCAACTGGAAAACTTTTAACATTTAATACTGTATTGGTCTGTATATGTACATGTATTTGGCATTTTTTTGAGATATATATTCTTTTACTCAATTTCTTGACTCACACTTTTATTTTCTACTGTAAAACTACGTTATTATGTGTGGAAAAGTGACTTGAAAAGTGAGCCGGCTATCGAAGGTGGGTGTCAAAAATATGATTTGTATGATTACAAACTTAATGTCAAGATTTTTAATAATGACTGTTTTATGTTTTAACAAGTTGTTGATAGCTTCAAGAGAAGTGCATGCTCAAAAAATGTTTGATAAAATGACATCGCAGTTAAAAATTATTCTTTTGGCTTTTTTTTTTCAAAGTCAAAGACGTCGAGACCTGATGTTGAAAAGCTCAATTCGAAAAGGCTCACCAGGTGCTGCTTCTAGAAATGTTCCCCATACAAGGTTAGATAATGAAAATGACTTTGAGCAAGTTTATGAGTACACGTGAACTTGGCAGGGGAAGTTTTGGTCGTGTTTATGAAGCACAATGTCAAACAAATGGATCTAAATGGGCTGTCAAGTCTGTGAACAAAGAGAAGGTAAAAATTTACGACTTCAAAGTTCAAATTTCACCTGTCCGCCTTTGATATCAAATTAAAACAGTAGTTAGTGTATGTATGAATGATATTTCTCAAGTATTTGCTGTGCAAATGTCATTTTTACACTAGCTTTTTCATTTGGCAAGCACAAGGAATTTGAATCAGTCAAACTTTGAAATTTTAGGCAGGCAGCTCTGCTGTAAAGATGTTGGAGAGAGAAGTGAATATAATGAAGATGATTGATCACAAACATATTGTTTGCTTAAATGAAGTCTATGAAACACCAACAGTATGCCTATTGCTGTACATGTTTTTCCTTCTATACTTAGAAATTTTAACATTCAGTTGATAATTTCAGAAAATGTTTTTGATAATGGAATTGTGTGACGAAGGTGAATTATGTAATCTACTTCGTGTGAGGAAGAATCTCAGTGAGAAAGTACGTGTTTTGTGTCTAATAGTTAGATGTGATGGTGTAATTTGTTTAGTGTGATTTAGAAATTTTGTAAAATTAGTGCTAAATTTTGTAACAGGAAACTTTGACAGTGGTAAAACAGCTAGCAGATGCAATGGCATATCTACATGATTTAGGTAAAAACAAAAAATCTTTCAATTCTGCAATACATAAACATTCCATGATATTCCATATATTTTTCAAATAGACATTGTGCATAGGGATTTAAAATTGGAGAATATTTTACTAAGTAAACCTATGAATGATGAGCCAATTAACATTAAGGTGATTGTGAGATGTTCATGAGAAATTAATTTTTTAGAAAAATACTTGAGGATTTTTATGTTGTTTATTATATTTTTTAGATTAGTGATTTTGGTTTATCATATATCAAAGGCAGCGGGGAAACCATGATGCAATGTGTCTGTGGAACCCCAATGTACATGGGTATGGCTTTTATTCAATAATACTGTATCAAGGCTGTCGGAAGAGAGCTACGTGGGGTCATGTTCATATTTGTATGTCATAATCCTTAGAAAATTATGAATTTCAAAAGAAATTGATTTGGAATATCATGTTTTATGTATGTGTATGTCTGCCCCCCCCAAAAAAAAATATGTGTGTGTATGTGCCCCCAAAAAATGTGTGTGTACCCCCAAAAAATATGTGTGTACCCCCAAAAATATGTGTATGTGCCCCCCAATAAATGTGTGTATGTCCCCCTAAATATATATGTGTATGTGCCCCCACAAAATATATATGTGTATTTTCCCCCAATTTATGTATATGTGCCCCCCCAATTACAGATTTTCTAACTGGCCAGCATATTTATTTTAAAACTTCTAAAATCATAGATAACTCTAGACTTTGTATATGTTTTTGATTGTGTAAGAAATTTAAAATTTTTAGCTCCAGAAGTGATTGATGGGCATGAATACAGTCGTCAGTGTGATATTTGGAGTATTGGAGTTATTTTATTTACTCTGTATGTATGTCCTAAATATTGACTAGTTCCAGCACATGCAACAATTACTGCGGATGTGTAATGTGTTGCAAATACATGAATGAAAGAAAAATTTTGCTTTTTATTATACTTATGCCATCAAATGGCTTTCTTGTGCTTTTTACTTGATTCAAGACGCAATTAACTTCTTTTCATATACAGTCTCACTGGTTCCCCTCCATTCCAAGCACCTACTGAAGAGAGATTGTTTCAATTAATTAAAGAAGGACAACTAAACTTTACACATCCTTGTTGGCAAACAATAAATGAATCAGGTTTTACAGTGAATACCGTCATTTTTTATTACCAATTCTCTTCTGTTCGTAACTGTATTATTATGCAGTACGACTTCGGTGTGAAAAAAATTTTACGCCTTTTTACCAGCTAAAAAACTCCTTGAAGGAATGCTAGAGGTTGATCCAGCACATAGATGTACTGCAATGGAAATCAAAGATCATCCTTGGGTGAATGTATGTTTGACGTCATTGCACTCCTTGGGTTTTGCTAAGTGTTGTTTTATCTATTTTTATCCATTTTTTCATGCTTTAGGGCGACAACGAGGCTTCTGTTCGTATAAATGTCATTCAAATGATGAAGGAGTACAATGCAGAACAGAAAAAGGTCTGAGACAATGAAAATGTACAATTTTACAGCAAAATATTTCTTTGTATCCAGATCTTTTGCTATTCAAATTATTGTGGCGAATGTGATCAGTGTTTTGATGATCATTTTGCAAATCTCTTATCAACGTGAAGAGATTTTAAATTTATTCTTTCATAATGTAGAAATGTATTGTAATAATCTTCAATTAATTTATCTGTAAATTCCCATCCAGATAAGCATGAGCAATGATGACAGCGTTAATGAAGATCTCCCAGATTTGTTGGAAAAAACTTCTGGAATGTGTAAAGAGGATGATCTCGTGAGTTTAATGAAATATTTTTGTTGCCCAAGAGGTTTTGTATACACCTTTGAACTTTTTCTTTTTGTAAAGAGGATGATATAGTAAATGTATGAACGCTCAATAACATAAACCGGCATCGATTGAGCTCACTATTTTACGTATTTTCTGTGCAGTTGATAAACAAGACATCCTCCAAAACAAGTATCAAAAAAGATGTTAAAGATCGGAAAAAATCTTCAAGTGTAAGATATCCAATTTTAACTTCAATGATTATAAGTGTAATGACAGTCAAATTACGATTCTTATGCTGAATTATAATGTTTGTATTTCAGTCTCAATCTAACTCGTCAAAAATGGAAAAATCCGATTCAACAATACAACTCAACACTTCCTTTTCGAATTCGAGTAAAAAAATGACACAGTCCGCTCACGCTTCGTTTTCATCAACCAATCAAAACATGCGTACAAACAAGCAACGAAAGGGTTCCGAGAAAGCTAAATGATGTAGCCACTTATTCATACAAGTAATTATGTTAATGCAAATGGTGTGAAAACCTTAAAAATTGACAAGGAACATCTGCAACGGCTTTTCTTTCCATCAAGATAGTTATTTAAGTATTGTATAGATGTTGTAATTTTCCCATTTTAATATGATTGATATTTTTTTAATCATTTTCGTTCATTTGCATTGTTTGAACAGCTGTTTTGTTCTGACACTAGCCTCTGGTACTACCTTATGCTACTGCATACTTCTACATAACACTACATAACACTACATAACACTGCATAATACACTACATAACACTGCATAACACTATATACCTCTACATATACATACCACTACGCCTCTAAATACCACTACATGCCAATACATACCAGTAAATACTACAGTATACAACTACATACCACTACATAACATTGCATATCACTACATAACACAACATCCTTTTCAGTATTAGAAATATACAATAGGACCACTTCGCTATGTAATTTAAAGCTCTATATTTAATATGAATACGATTCACACACAAAAAAATTTCGATGTAGTGGTCTTACTGTTTGAACCTAATAGTGGATACACGCAGTGATTTTTATATCGTCGTTAATTCGTCACCAATGGAGATGAAAAGATGTTAGAAGAATGATGACAGTTGTGACAGATATGGCAAGATGGTTTAGGAGGGAGTTTAAATGAACCGTGAACTACATGCCCGGGACCTACTGAAGTGGTGAAGAGCATGATGACCAAAAAATCTGTAAAGGATAAGATGTATTCAAAAGAAGAAAAAGACGAAATTATTTTGTCACCAGTGCCTTTCCACCAAAAAATTCTATGTTGCTGGCACTGATTGCCGGTCAGTCGTCCCCCCTGTCGTCCCCAGATGTTACTCAAAATGGCGGACATACTTTAGGTGGTATGTTTCGCTGCCGGAAAATGGCATATACAACCACAAATACAACCATCCGACTGGTGCAGCTTAAGAAAGAAATTTCAGGGCTTCCATTTACTACATTTTTCAAAGTTCATGTATGATAACAATATTTCTTCGTGTATTCATATTTTTTAGGAGTTTGCAACATCAAAAGTTCGAAGCAAGGCAATCGATCAACAGGGCTCAGTCACTCAGTACTATGCTTAGTACTTTTTTAAATATCTATCGGAGAAAGTCTGGCTGGGAGAATGGTACTTAGACTAATTCTAGGCTAACTTTGTCAATCCAAGAACACGTGCAGTACTGGTTTTTATAAATCGGGGTATTATTTTTTGGGTACACTTGCAAAATGTATCAATTCAGGAAGAAATTCAGACGCTCAAATGACTTCTTTTACAATAACGTGGAGAGGAAAGGAAACACACAAAAAGATGATGCGGTAGGAATTTTTAAAGTGTTCTTTTTATTGTTTCTGGTTGCACAATTTCATATTAATTTATATTTATTACCACAGTTATATTAACAAAAGTATGTGTACAAATTTATTTATGCCCACAATGTTGTGTAAAGAAAACAATTATTCTGAGCACATTTTCCAATTTCAAGTCTGGATTCTCTACATCCTTTAATCACAATGTCATATATGTTAATAGAATAGCAGTGTGTCACATGAATCTCAATTTTTTGAACAAGAAAATGAATTTGTGGATTTGGTAAGTTTACATATATTGTAAAACTATGTAGATATAAAAGAGCGCTATGTTTATGGGTTTTTTTTTCATTTATATGTAGAATGAACAAAGTGAAGATATTGCTGAAAATTATGACAAGCACCAAGAGTTAACCACCAAAACACAGGTTTTTAATGTACATATTGACATTGTTTCTCATGAAAAGTCATTGGAAATGGTTATATGTAGGACTGCTTTCACTAGAAAAAACTAAAAAATTTAAAGTAGGCATGCATTATTTCAACACTTATTAAAAGTCTGTACACATTTTAAATTAAATAATGGTCTTTATTTGTAGGACTCTGAAGATATTTTTACCAAGTAATCTATCTCTATTATTACAGAGGAATCTAAACAACCATGTCAACATAGTCAAGTAGTTCTCACTTATTCAGTTATACTTTATACTGTTTACCACTAGTCATGTTTTTAATGTGTTATAAATTGACAATATGCTTGTTGATTGCTTATGCATGAAACACTGTCTAGCAAAACTTCATTAACATCTGGTAGAAATGTGCTCAACAAACATAAAAATATATTACAATAGATATTTTTGAAACAGTGAACATTAATAATTACTGTGTACTTTCTCTTTCAGAGTCATTTGTCACCCACTGGCCACTATACTGGGCTATTGTTACAGTTTGACTTTGCATCAAATGTATCACGTCAGCAATCGTTTGTTGTTCATGATTATAATGCAAACAAAAGAACAATTATGGTGATGTCAAATTTTATTTCCATAATTTCAATGTTGGGTATATACCCAACTAAATGATATTACTCAATACTCTTTTTTTGGTGCTATAATCTTCATGTATTTTTTTCTTCAGCATAATTCATTTGTATTTGTTCATCGATATCCCCACCTATTGCTTGATGGCTACGGTCGGATATTGTGCTGCTCATGTGATGCAAATAGAAAGCAATTTGTTGAAGCCCTACCTAGTAATATACAATTAGATCCTCAAAAAGGTATGTAAAATAGATGTTACTGAAATGAAATTATTAAAACAGGCCAAACAACATTTTTGTACTTGTCAGATATACCATATCCCAGTTGCATACACATATTAGCAATGGAAAAATATCTGGTTGTGTATGATAGAAAGTTTGGTATTGAAGCCAAAGATTTTATTGAAAAAAGTAAGTGTTGTGTGAACATTACTCTTTCAGGATATAAGGTGTCTGAACAGCTTCACCAAATTTTGACTTACACTTACATACTATTTGTTTGAAGACCCTTGTCAAAGATGTGAGAACTTATTGCATATTAATCTGACATTGCATGAAGTGAATGTCTCAAATTTGTATTTGGCTTATTTTTTCAATGTAAAGTTCTTCATGTGGTATGGGAGGAAATGTCTTCATCCTTAAATATCAGTTTATTGTACCTTTCAAACCCTTGTGAAGTCATCCTTCTATGTTTTTACAAGACCCTTGTTCGACATTGTTCTTATTACATGTGGACGTTAACCAGCACAGCTTTACAAGCAAAAATATTGTTAAAACTTCAACGAGGGAATTATGTTGTTGACAATAGGAAGACACAGCAGGGAGATTGTGCCTAAGTCACTAGACCCAAGAAGAAGCATGGCACTTTGATCCCTGGAATATTTTGTATTCTTTGTCCCCACGGTATTTACATGATGAACAGCTCCAACGAAAATTTGTTTTACTATTGCAGTAAGTGACATTGCGCCTTCGTTTTTGTTTCCAGGTATATGTTATGGATTCGAAATAATGAGGGATCACGAATCACCAAATATCCCATTTACCATTTTACGAACACGTTTTCCTGATGGTAAGTTACGTATGCGTGTACCTTTTATGGTGCTACAAACAGAGTATTATCAGTGAATCGGACAGATTGCATGACGGTTTGACAGAGTTTTCAGTGCAGTAACATAACCGAATGTGCCTGATGATATGCATATGTATTTTTATTTCTTTAGCGCCAGAGTTGGTCATTTACGATAATGCCTGCAGATTGCACGAGTATTGTTTGAACCGAGATCCAGCATTTTTTAAGAAAACAAAATTTGTTGTTGATAAGTTTCATTGGAAAAATCATTCAGGTAAACTGCCATACTCTTCCTATTTTACGTGAAGCGAACTTATTGATCCAAAAATGGCCGTTTTTATGTTCTCACAAAATTTGTTGATTTATAACTGTCCTTTATGTGTAGGATGCTGCGAAGGATATAACATGAAATTGTACCCCATGCTCAATATGTACAATAGCCAAGCTGCTGAACAGTGCAATTCGTGTATTAAGCCTCCATGGTTTCTTACATGGAATACGATAACTTTTTTCTTTTTACAAAACTTCATATTTGGCACAGGAATATGTTACGCATTGTTAAATACAATCCTGAGAGAGAAATAGCCTACAAACACTATTTTCTCACTCTTAGTCGCGTTATTCATTAGTAACGCGTTATAGTTTCGTTTTTCGAAAAATTTAAACTTGTTTTTATGAATAGTTTTATCTGTACAAAATGTTACTTCATAGTTACCCATATAGTTTCTGCAAAAGTAACAATTATATGTAACGTCGTTACTTGTAAAAAAAATATTTACATCACTTGTTATAAATATTAGAATGTTATTCATATGCACCAGCTTTAAACTTAAATTCTGCTTCATTGCAAATTGCTTCGCTAAATGGCAAAGCTTCGAATTAGTTTTTTAAGGTATGGTCTTTTACTATTTACATGGATATCATCAAGTAATCCAGGACCAACTTCTCCCTATCAAAAAGAACACTATCTTTATATGAACAGAGTAAACAAAGTGATTAAGAATCATGATATCTTTTCTCAACTTTACCCCCTCTGTTATTCTTCTCGCAAATTCTGTCACGAATATGCCACAGTCATAACCATTTGCTTTATTTCTACCACATTCTTCTAAACACTTTAACACTGTTAGCCATGTGATCACTCGTTTAAACTCAAACTAACAAGGTCTCTCTAATAAAATGTTTTTACGACCATGGTTATATATGCCGAAAACTGGCATACTTTATACTTCTACAACATTCTTATAAACACTTTAACACTGTTAGCCATCTCATCACTCGTTTAAACTCAAACTAACAAGGTCTCTCTAATAAAAAGTTTTTACGACCATGGTTATATATGCCGAAAACTGGCATATTTTATATTTCTACCACATTTTTCTAAACACTTTAAATCTGTTAGCATTCTCATCACTAGTTTAAACTCAAACTAACAAGGTCTCTCTAATAAAAGTTTTACGACCATGGTTATATATGCCGAAAACTGGCATATTTTATATTTCTACATTTTTCTAAACACTTTAACACTGTTAGCATTCTCATCACTCGTTTAAACTCAAACTAACAATGTCTCTCTAATAAAAAGTTTTTACGACCATGGTTATATATGCCGAAAACTGGCATACTTTATATTTCTACCACATTCTTATAAACACTTTAACACTGTTAGCATTCTCATCACTTCTTTAAACTTAAACTGACCGTGTCTCTCTAATAAAATGTTTTTACGAGCATGGTTATATATGCCGAAAACTGGCATACTTTATACTTCTACAACATTCTTATAAACACTTTAACACTGTTAGCCATCTCATCACTCGTTTAAACTCAAACTAACAAGGTCTCTCTAATAAAACGTTTTTACGACCATGGTTATATATGCCGAAAACTGGCATATTTTATATTTCTACCACATTTTTCTAAACACTTTAAATCTGTTAGCATTCTCATCACTAGTTTAAACTCAAACTAACAAGGTCTCTCTAATAAAAGTTTTTACGACCATGGTTATATATGCCGAAAACTGGCATATTTTATATTTCTACCACATTTTTCTAAACACTTTAACACTGTTAGCATTCTCATCACTCGTTTAAACTCAAACTAACAATGTCTCTCTAATAAAAAGTTTTTACGACCATGGTTATATATGCCGAAAACTGGCATACTTTATATTTCTACCACATTCTTATAAACACTTTAACACTGTTAGCATTCTCATCACTTCTTTAAACTTAAACTGACCGTGTCTCTCTAATAAAATGTTTTTACGAGCATGGTTATATATGCCGAAAACTGGCATACTTTATACTTCTACAACATTCTTATAAACACTTTAACACTGTTAGCCATCTCATCACTCGTTTAAACTCAAACTAACAAGGTCTCTCTAATAAAACGTTTTTACGACCATGGTTATATATGCCGAAAACTGGCATATTTTATATTTCTACCACATTTTTCTAAACACTTTAAATCTGTTAGCATTCTCATCACTCGTTTAAACTCAAACTAACAAGGCCTCTCTAATGAAAAGTTTTTACGACCATGGTTATATATGCCGAAAACTGGCACACTTTATACTTCTACCACATTCTTATAAACACTTTAACACTGTTAGCCATCTCATCACTCGTTTAAACTCAAACTAACAAGGTCTCTCTAATAAAAAGTTTTTACGACCATGGTTATATATGCCGAAAACTGGCATACTTTATATTTCTACCACATTTTTCTAAACACTTTAACATTGTTAGCCATCTCATCACTCGTTTAAACTCAAACTAACAAGGTCTCTCTAATAAAAAGTTTTTACGACCATGGTTATATATACCGAAAACTGGCATATTTTATATTTCTACCACATTTTTCTAAACAATTCAAATCTGTTAGCATTCTCATCACTCGTTTAAACTCAAACTAACAAGAAATTCCCTGATCACATGAGCCCGGTAACAGGGATTCTGCGAGGCCTAAAATGATTTTAAGTCATTGAAAAGAATTAAAGCTTTGAACGCAAAATTTACAACCTTTTCTTAAGCGTCATAAGTCATTTTAGTCGTAATTTTCAAATCAAGCTAAATTATTTGTCTTCATTTTAAAGGTTTTGTGAATTTCCAAAGTCATAGTACAGAGAAATTGCTTAAATAAGATTTTTGTTGTGAATTATTTAATCTTCTCCATTTGCCAAAATGTTTTAACGCTTTGCTGAATCCCGGCTACCGGGCTTGTGAACAGCCCCTAATTAAATATACAGCAGCCAGTTGTACAGCAAAGTGGCCCTACTGTATATTCCTATACTGTGATTTAACTCACTCTAAGCATTCATTTTTTAAAATCGTAATTGCGCTCTGTGGGTGGTTTTTCCTTTACTGGTACAACTAATCTTTTAAATTTGCCTTCTGAGACTCAACTACAATGTGTTTCTCATCGTTACTACACATCTGAGATAAGCATTATCTTATTTTCATTACATTCTTTACTCTTGTGTCTGCAGTGTTTTTTTATCATAAGTAATTATAATTCCGTGTAGTTGGAGTTTAAAAATTATTCATAATTTGCAATGGTTTATTAAATAACAAAGGTTTTTTATAATATGAAATGACTTATGCAATATTCTATTTAAAAAAATGATACAACTGATGCGATCTACATGATACCATGTAAAGACTGTTCAAAGCAATACATAGGACAAACATCAAAGAAAATCGAAACAAGACTCACAGAACACAAAAACGTCATAAAACGACGAGATCCGAACTCACTACCGGCAGAACATACACACGGAAACAACCACACATTCGACTGGACAAAAACTAAAGTACTCGGGAGCGCATAGACTAAACACTTACGCGAATTTAAAGAAGCTTGTTCCAGTAAAGACAACGACACAATAAATGGACATATCGACATACTCATCATATACTCACAACTAAATTTATATTAAATCTCTCATCCGTTTGTTGAGTATGTGACATGTAAAGGACTAAAGCAAGCATAATTTTCTTCACACGGTCGTCTTACTTCTAAAACGAAGGTAATTTCAGAAAAATTAAGCGATATTTTAGAATTACACTACCGACATAACAAATTAGCTAAAGCAGCATCTCGATAAAGTATGACTTAACATGCATGAGAAATCATATCTAAATTTATATACCAACTTTCTAACTATTGACAATAAGCTGCATGGTAAAGGAAAGCAAAGCCTGTTCAAAGGTATGGGAGTGGAGAAATAGCATACTTGTCTATGGAAAAAATGGGAATCTGTGAAAATTTATGTAGGGAGGATAGCATACCCAATTATTCATCACCTCCCTTCTTTGCTGACGAAACTTTTGACTAATCTCTGTGTGTCTAGCAAAATGTTGATAGTTGTATACAACAAACCGTTTTTTTAAAGTAAGAAAATTTGAAAAGTAAGCAAATGTTAAACACAGGAAGAATAAATTTACACACAGAGGAAGAACGCGACCGAATCTATTTTTGTGACATGTTGATTCATGCAACACAGTGTGATTTTAAAATTATACTTTTCATCATGTTTGTATAACAGTTTTAGAATTTACTTTATTGCATCCTTTACTGTTGTATATACAGTGCTTTTTTGATAAAAATTCATGATTTACAAAGTTTTATTCAATAACAAAGATTTTTTATAATATGAACTGACTTATGAAAGAATATACATGTATGGAATTTTTTATTAATGAAGGAAAAAATCCGTTCACACTTTCGAAAATCGTGTCTTAATCATTGGCATTCAAATTCTGTCTTAGATAGGTGATTCTCTATTCCTGAGTTAAAACTTGTGAAACTTTATAAAATTTAGGAGCAGTCCTTTGGAATTTGACTAATCTCAATGTTATTATGTACTCTGCATGAGGTTCTTATTTATGTATTTTTAATTCTATAACAATTGTTTTTAGTCAGTGATGTATACTCAGTTATATATCTAGAATGTTCTACATAGACGTCATTAATGTGTTTTAATATTGTTTGTTGAAGGAGAACCTGACTCACTCTTCATCTTCGTTCGTTATTCAGATGTTTTTATGTGACAAAACTCACAAGGATAAAAGCTTGATGTGACAATAAGGTATGAATTTTCATCACCATTTTTAATCTGATATGTATGTGGTCGCGTTATTTATATTAAATCTTTCATCCGTTTGTTGAGTATGTGACATGTAAAGAACTAAAGTAAGCATAATTTATTCACACGGTCGTCCTACTTCTAAAACGGAAGTAATTTTAGAAAAATTAAGCGATATTTTAGAACTACATTACTGACATAACAAATTAGCTAAAGCAACATCTTGATAAAGTATGACTGAACATACATGAGAAATCATATCTTAATTCATATACCAACTTTCTAACTATTGACTATAAGTTGCATGGTAAAGGAAAGCAAAGCTTGTTCAAAGGTATGGGAGTGGAGAAATAGCATACTTGTCTATGGAAAAAATGGGAATCTGTGAAAATTTATTTAGGGAGGATAGCATGTCCAATCATGCATCACCTCCCTTCTTTGCTGACACTTTTGACTAATCTCTGCGTGTCTAGCAAAATGTTGATAGTTGTATACAACAAACCGTTTTTTTTAAAGTAAGAAAATTTGAAAAGTAAGCAAATGTTAAACACAGGAAGAATGTATTTACACACAGAGAAAGAACGCGACAGAATCTATTTTTGTGACATGTTGATTCATGCAGCAAAGTGAGCTTTTAAAATTATACTTTTCATCATGTTTGTTCAACAGTTTTAAGGTTTACTTTTATTGCATCCTTTACTGTTGTATCTACAGTGTCTTTATTGATCATCAGTAATCATAATTGCGTGCAGTTGATGTTTGCCATATATTTATAATTTACAAAGTTTTATTCAATAACAACTATTTTTTATAATATGAACTGACTTATGCAAAAACATGCGTGTATGGAATTTTTGATTAATAATGGGAAAATCCAGTTACAGTTTCGAAAATCGTGTCTTAATCAATGACATTCAAATCCTGTTTTAGATAGGTGATTCTCTATTCCTGAGTTAAAACTTGTGAAACTTTATAAGCAAATCAATGTTTATTTCCATTCCAAATGAAAATCGTTTGAATGATTCTATAAGTGACTTTTAAAGCTATATTTAATACCACGACTGGAAAGTAGGTTTCATTTTTTGTTTCAAATTATCCACTATAAAAATTGCGGCTCTTACACGAAGAAAAGGTTTGATAATAAATAATTCTGTGTCAGTGATGCGCTTGACATTCACAAATGCCACGTCATGTGACATTTCATGTCAATAACTGTAAAATAAAATATAATCAAAAAAATATAATTGTAAAATTTCATGGGAATTGTTGACAGTATATAACATTTTCTATCTTTAAGGTCATATGTACATAATCCTAGAATAGGTCATAGAATATGTTTACATTCATATTCTACAAATGTAAAATAAAGATTAGGTTCCAAGGGTCAGAATGAAATCATGATAACGTATATATTTCATCATTAATCATTATTTTTTAATATAATTACACTTTAGTAAACAATACAATGTATAAATGTAAAGTAAAGATTATGTTCAAGTGGTCAAAATGAACGCCAGATAACGTACATATTTCATCATCATTCATTTTGCACGTAATTTATTCTTAGATGAACTTTGTTTTAGTATGTACACTGAGAAACTGAAATCAAGATACTTGTTTTGTTTTCCAACGTGTCTAACTGTTTTAGTTACTTGAATTAAATCGTGTAACAACTTAAAGTTGAGATATTTCACTGACTGTCAGGCCAGGCCCGCCGTGAGGTGATATGCAAGGGGGCATTGTGCCTTGGGCCAGTAAAACAATAGACGCCGGCGTCTCCCCATTCGGACACATGAAAATTGCAAAATTGAAGTTTGTAGAAAAAGTAATGAATGATTTGTGTATTATTTGTACTTTTCTTACGTTATCTCATCATGCAGAAGACATTCATCAATTGTTAAGTTTTTAGAATTTCTCGTATCAAAGAATGGCCCAGACTGGTGTACTCATTTTACGGCCTTACAGGAATGAAATAGGACGGCTGTTTCAAAGTTTGAAGGCATGTTCCCACTACGTGCAACGTGTTCTGTACGTTGATTTCAACTGTATTTCACTTTTTGAACCCGACGGCACTGTCGGGGGAACATTATGTCGACAGGAAATGTATTCAGTGATGGAAATGGTTTATAAATCCAAAGCAAAGGAATTAGAGAAGCTTGACATAAGGTTTTTACTTGAAAGCAGAAGAAGTACTTCGTCAGCATCAGCAACTTGTGAACGCCGAACTTTCAGCCATAATTTGGATGTTGGACTTCTGTATACTTCGTATCAAAATCAGATCAACGTCGAGATGTTATGCAATAGATATGGCTTTAGAAATATAGATTCATTACAGTTCCTTGATGATAACATGTACAGCAACGCTGGATTGACAGACGAACTGCTAGAACAAGACAAAGAAGTGAAGGAGTACGATACTGTTGCCGTTAAAGGCACATTTGACAGGTAATGAAATTTTAGAGGGAATTTAGTCATGAAAGCCTCAAAAAATAATGTTTTTATTTTACATCAGAATCCATAATGGTCACAGGCTACTGCTGAGTACGTCCTGCTTTTTGGCAATGTCAAAAATTGTTGTTGGTGTTAGTAACGACTTTTTATTGGTCAATAAAACCTTACTGGAACTTATCGAACCATTGGATTTACGTATGAAGAATGTTACAGAATTTATTGAAGATATTAAGCCTGGTAATGCCTCCTGTCAATGTTATGAAGAGACTTGAGGTTTCGTAAGCCCTCTTGTCAATTTCGGAAGGATTTGAAGTGTATGCCTACCGCTGTCAATGTTGAGTAGTGGATTGAGGTGTTGGTCAACCCCCTGTCAATGTTTGGGAGGGGGTTGGGGTGTTTGCCTACCCCTGGGTGTTGGTCAACTCCTACTCAATGTTGGGGAAGGAATTGAGGTGTTGGTCAACCCCCTGTCAATATTGGGGAGTGGGTTGGGTGTTTGCCTACCCTTTGGTTTTACGTCAACTAGTCAATGTTGGGGAAGGAATTGAGGTGTTTGTCTACCCCTGTCAATTTTGCGAAGGGAGTTGAGTAGTTAGGAATCCCCTGTCAATGTTGGGAAGTGGGTTGAAGTGTTGGCCTACCTCATTAATTATGGGGAGGGGGGCTGAGGTGTTTGTCATGACTATGAACTTTTCCATCAAGAGTAGGTTTTCAAATGAAAATTTTGATGAAGCGAACCTTAACTTTCTAAAGAGATGATGATTTTATTCTCTGCCTCAAGCCTTTCAAAATGGCTTTTGTAGTCCGACTTAGTGATGCATAGTGTGCTTTCAAATATTCATCCACGAATATTTTTCATTTTGTGCTTAGGTCTTGTTAAAGATATAGTCCCATTATGTGACCCTGCTGGTCCCACAAAAACAGATGCAACTATTGATTGCTTGGTCGTTAGTGATGAATCACGGAATAGTGGGCAAGTAGTGAATATATTACGGAAGGATGCAAATTTGCCTGAAGTGGAATTGTTCTCCATTGATCTTGTCAGTAATGAAGATGTCCAAAGGTATACTTTATAAATGAACCTGAAGTATGATCTCCTGATGACAAAGATGATAATGATGATACTCCACTGCTAATATATTCCTTATATATATTTACGTAAAACTTACGTTTTAAACCTGTATCATCTTTGATATATCATCAACACATTTCACGATTGCGCCTGATATGACTACTCTGTGTCTTGTAGCTCAAATGCTTCAAAACTCAGTTCCACAGCAAGGAGATACAATGATCTTGGTGTGCTCATTCGCCCTCCAAAAAGAAATTCTTCTCATTCAGTGGTGTACGTTATTGGTTTGACTGGTGGAATTGCTAGTGGAAAATCTTCTATAGCTAAACGTCTTGAAAAGCTTGGCGCACAAATATTATCTGCGGATTTAGTTGGTCATTCGGTTTACGAACCAGGAACTGAGGCATTTAACGAAATCATTGATGATTTTGGCGTGGGTATTTTGAATAAGGACGGATTCATTGATCGAAAAAAATTGGGTAGCATTGTGTTCGATGACAGCCTTAAACTTCAAAAGCTCAATGCTATTGTTTGGCCGGCTATTATGAAAATAATTAAGCTTTGGATCGAGGAAATTTCTAAGAAAGGTGATCAGGTCTGCGTAATTGAAGCTGCTTTGCTTTTAGAAGCTGGTTGGGATGAGGTAGTTGATGAGATTTGGGTGTGTATCATTCCTGAGGTGGAAGCCATTAAACGCCTTGGAGATAGAAATGGATTGTCGATTGATGAAGCAAAAAAAAGACTTTCAAATCAGATAACCAATAAGGACCGTGTTTCTCAAGCAAATATTGTATTGAGCACTCAGTGGGCCCCTGAATACACTCAAAAACAAGTTGAGAAAGCTTGGGAAGGCTTACATAAACGAATTAAGGTTTCGCGATAAGATTTACTGTTTGTCGAGCTCAGGAAAAGGTTTAATGATCTCCTTTTCTTCGTTTGCTATTTGTAGCATCTAAATCAACACGAAACCACAATAAATGAACTAGAAGAAAGCTATATTTTAAATCAATTTTTTACACATTTTTTGTCAACCATTTGTGCTTGAATATCTATGCTAAAGTGTCGTTATTTCTGAAGAAGAATTGACGATATGGTGGGTAGGGCAAAGCTTGCAAACGACTTTGCGAACAAAGATTGTTTTTTTGCACTTTGACAAACTTCTCGAAGAGACGGCAACTTAAGCAGAATTTGAGCAAATCTGTTTGTTTTCTCTGGATATGAACATTTGATATAGTCTTTAAGACAACGTATTCCTTGGTTGAGGCTTTCCTCGACGGCATCGTAGTCGCGTAATTTCGAACAAAATTCTATAAAAAAAAACAGTCGTTAAAATATGTCGTTACATTTGTCTTTGCTTTAATTTTCATTCAAGGAAGAAAAACTTTTGGTTTGAATTCTTTTCTTCTTTTGTATTGGAATATCTTACCCTGCGTAAATAGCAGTATGGCACTAATACACGCAAACTCGGCCATATCTAGTTGTAAAGTCTGTAGTTTTCGAGCGTACATTAAAAGCATAGCAACCCATTGACCAATGACAACATGCGACTGATAGTCGACATGCCAAACAACCTCCTTTGCAAATACGACAAAACCTTGATGAGGACTTGATCTTTGGCAAATTCTAAATACCCACAATTCCAAGGCTGCTATTATGAATAAGAAAGAATATTGTCATTATTCAATAAATCTTTCCTCCGTATAGAGGAGGAAACCAACACTAAAAAATAGACATAATGAACGGCACTACTTTCCGAATGGAATTATATTTAAATTACCTTCGCTGAGGAGACTTATTTGATCATCAATATTCAAGGTGTTGAATCTTGAAAGCTGATTTGCCCATTTTATAATCATTCGAAGTTCTTGAACGGCAACTTCCATAAGAATTTCCACCGTATGAAAGTGATAAAGGTCGGGTAAAGTTAGCGAGTTTTCGTTCTGTCTGTGAAAAAATGAAGAAGATAGACATCGACTATGTAGCGTGCGTTTCTATTGTTTTAAAAGAGACCTACTTCATCGAAGGGACGCAATCTGGTCTGGCCTGGATGAATTCCAATATCATTTGAGAAGAACCATATGTTTCTTTGTGCTCTTTTAAAGTTAGCAAGGACTTTATTCTTGGCCGCCCTCCTGGTGCCCGGTCTTCTCGAACAGCTAGGTTAAGAGAGAAAGTGTTTAAATTACAATACCATGTATACTTGAAACCACACTCCAAAGCTCCTTATAGTACGCTTGAACCTCGCTATAGAGGAAAAGTACTAATTTAAATTAGGGAGCCTGGGTACGAGACTGGCTTGCGTGTTGAATGTGTATGTATCTTTCGTCAATGTTTCGGTCAATGTAATTCACTACTTTTTCACTCCTTTGTTAATTTTACCTTCTTTGAGCATTCCGAGCTTAACGCATTTCTTAAAACGACAGTATTGACATCTAATTCGGTTGCTTTTATCGATTACACATTCACTCTCCTCGACACAAATGTACTGAAGTTGTTTTTGAATCGTTCTTTTAAAGAAGCTCTTGCATCCTTCGCAACTTTTAACTCCGTAATGAAAGCCCGATGCTTTGTCACCGCAAACTGCGCATATGCGTGCACTTTTCACCGACACTATTGACTTCATAGCAAAACTTTCTTTGCGGTCTATGTCTGTAAACAAAAAATAAAGTAAATTACTTGGGGTGTCTCAAGCAATGCGATAATATATAATGTTATTTTTTAATAATTTTTTTGCCCAGCTTTCCAAGAGTGACCGTGATTCAGGGTTGTTTACTGTGTGCACAAAATTTTCGTTTTCAATGAATAAACTGATGGAGGAAAAGTCTGCTGTAATATCGTTCTCAGATAATTCTCCATTGACGATTTTATTTTACTATTATAAGGAAATTTTAGTCTCTTCAGTAAAATTTTTTCTACTTTTTTTTCAAAAATTAGACTGAGTCAAAATTAGAAGCTACACGAATGCACAATGACGAGATAAGTTTGGAGGCCGAAGCTAAAATAGCAGCCAAAGGTGCAGGTAATTGCATAAGTTTAGAACTCTGTTATCAATATTGGTCAGAGTTTTAGAAAACACCAATTTTGATATTGCTTATAAATAATATGTACCTATCTATGAACTTTTATGTACATAGTCAATACTCCACTTCAGATTTATTAGTATTTATAGATAGTATTTTTTAGCTCTTGTAGAAAAGATCTATAAAGCACAAAAGGAACGCGATGCCGCAGTATTATCACGACTGCGGTTGGCAAATGAAGAACGTGATGAAGTTTTAGCTAGGATGAAACGACTTGAACAGGAACAACAGGGGTTAGCAGAAACTTAATGCATTTGACAAACTGACATGTTATACACACATAAAATCGTATGAATTTTTAGATTTGATTCTGGTGTTGACTCTATCTTTGATGATGATGAGGATGATTTGGTGAGAGGAAATCTAAAACTGTTATTCCATACTATAATGCACATTATGTATTTACAACAGATATATTTTTAAGATTTGTAAGTGTATTTCAGCTCAACCTAAAGTCGCATTTACTCTCTGTAATGATTCATGTGCTTATGTCTCTAGCATTGTATTAAATATTTATACTTTGCTTCACTTTCAGACAATGAAGGATCTATTTAAGAAACTTGTAGATTCAGAGTCTGGAGCAAGTATCAGCAAGCATGGTGATTTAATACTAGCAAAGTACAAGAAACATGGAAAAGGAAGACAAGTTATGGCAGCTGAAGAAATTCAGGCTTTGATTGATGAACGTGATGATGCACTTTACAAAGTAAGTTTCGTTTGGTCGAAGTCGTTTCTTTAATATGTACGCTCGAGCAACAGTTCTTGTAAGACCAATACCAGTACTTGCTGCAATTTGAAATGAGTATGAATTTCAGCTATAGTTTGGTCAGATAAAGGTTTGGACTTACTTTAATACGGGCGCGTTACAAAATGAAATGAAAGAACGGTGTGATATTTGTATTACAATATCGTATTTTGCTGTAGGTTAGAGCGCTTGAGAAGGAGGTACAATCAAAACAAGAGGAAATGGAAATGATGAAACAACAGTTTCAATTTGCTGAGAAGACCAGAATTAAGTCCGGACAAGTAAGTATATACTCCGCCAAACGTGTTCAGGACCAACCTTTTTTTATCTCAATCATGCATGTAACACATATATAAGTTGTGCGGAAAAGCGTCATTGATTTCATTCAAATCTTAGTTATCATGCTCATAAGTTAAAATTACAAAAAGTTAAATTTTTACCGAGGTGATATATTTTGATATTTGCGACAATGCTACTGCAGTAGGTTTTACGTAACTTTATCACACGTGATCAATTGTTATGGAATATTTTCATGATGTATAAAAATTGATCATAATTGATACAATGTAACCAGGCACAATTGATGGCTGCCCAACAAGAAAAAGATGAATCACAACTGAGAATTAAAGAACTTGAAGAAGAAGTCCAGAACTATCGTGTTCGTTACAGGTCATTGCTGGTCAATTGTTCAATAAATTAAATTTTTGTACTAATCAAATTATGTAGCAATTTCAAGAGAAAGAACACCTTGAGAAGAATTCAGCTTCTTTTATACAGTTTACATAGGTCGCTGTCGCAAGAACAGACATTGAGAGATCAGTTTAATGCGACAATGAATTCTTTTGAAACGAAACTGAACGAACGTGAGAAAGATCTTGTAGTAGCACAAAACAACACAAAAGAGTTGGTCGCACGACTCCAAGCAATCTCCAAAGAAAGAGATGAGCTCAGTCTCCAACTTTCTCAAGCTTTAAGTAATCACAAAAAGGAAAAGGAAAGAACAGAAAAGTGGGTCTTAAAAATCTTTTTATTTTATTTTCTTAAACTTCTTTATGATTCAGTGGGTGGAAAATAATACCAATGCGTCCAAATGAAGATAGAGATAGGTATAGCTTTGTAAAGATATAAAGGAAATATTGTTTTTACTCTAAAGAAGCTTGCCTTGTAGTTGATATCTCGATCTATTTCACCAATTCCTACGAGTAAGAGAGTTTAATAAATGATTTTTTGTCTTTAGGCTGGAAAGACTTGTGTCAGTCCTCCGAAAAAGAATAACTAATTCCGGAAACCAAACACTTTAATTTAACTATTCTAAATGTAAATATTTTTGTACAGAATTATATGTTTGTATCAAATATTTTATTTTTCCGCAAGACTTTAAAATTAAAACATAAAACCAATCTAACATGAAGTAGTGGGAAGAACATCAAGAAACCAACATGGCGGACTATAAACTTTAGACTTTAGGATAATTCTTGGCTTTCTTCGTTTATATAAAGTACTCATTACTCTTTTGACTATTCATAATGCCTACAAGGTAATTAAAATAATTTATGGGATTTAATTTGTATTTTTACTGGAATATTTATTTATAATAATTTGTTTAAAACAGTGATATTGAAGAGCAACGTCGAAGTCGTGATTTTCGGGAGTCTCATGGCTCAAGCTCGTCTTCTAGGCGTGTAAGTTCTTCAGGATTTCCATCAAAAATTGACACTAAAATTTCTTAAAAGCATCTAGATGTTAAGTTTCATAAATTCATTGTTTTAGCCTAAAAGGAAGCATTATGAAGGTCAAGAAAAGAGAAAAAGTCCTGGACGAAATTATGAAAGGTGGAAGAAATGATAATTGCAGTCATTTTTTTTCTGCTTATTTTTACATACGCGTAGTAATTGTGGTAGTATTTTTTTGAAATCTAGAGAACTTGTTGTCAATCTTAGTTTATTTAACACTAGGTCAAAAGAACGAAGATCACGTGACGAGAAAAGAAGTAAAATGGATGACGAGAAAAGAAGTAGAATGGATGACGAGAATGTCAAAGAAAATGTTCTCGATAAAGAAAATCGTAAGCATAACCTTGTTAAGGGTTCTGATGAACAAGAGAAAAAAGATGTTACCACCAAGAAGAAGGAAAAAACAGATTCAATTTTCACAAGAGCAGGTTATTTAACCGTACAAACAAATTATTGCCAAGCTGCAACTTCATTTGTTCATGATATGCATGTATGTATGATTTTTAGGAGGTGCTTATATACCTCCTGCTAAACTAAAAATGTTACAAGAACAGATTGAAGATAAAAGCAGGTAAATTTTTGTACTCATTCCAAACCAACACATATATATATTGTGGTTTTTCTTTGTTGTTTTTCTAATAAGTGCTGAGTATCAAAGAATCAGTTGGGAGGCTTTGAAAAAGAGTATTAATGGTCTCATCAATAAGGTGTGAGGCTGAATATGTAATATCTTAAATTTTCTTTAAGATAAGTGACAATATTACTTGTAATCAGTGTGCGAATTAGTTCAGAAAAAACGATGTGCAATTTCTTTGACAAAAGTGTTTCTTCAGAGGCATAATCAAATCGATATTAAGATAATTATTATATAGCGCTAATTGCTAAATTAATATTTTTAAACGTGAAGAAATTCATATGATTTACGACAGTGTTTTTCGTTAAAACCGCTGGTTTTTGCACATTGTTTGAAAAAGTGATGTGCAATTGTTTTCATTTTAGCTAAAATGATGTGCAAATTGCACATTGCACACCGTTAATTCGCACACTGCTTGTAATACTTTTTAGGTTAACACATCTAATCTTGGAAACATTGTTCGTGAACTGTTCCAAGAAAACATAGTTCGTGGCAGGTAAAGCTTTATAGTTAAGTTGAATTTTTTATATTTTCTGTACTTTTGACTTGATTGTAACTTCATTTGGTTTGTCTAGAGGTTTGCTTGCCCAATCTATTATCAAAGCTCAGTCAAGTTCTCCTACTTTTACTCATGTTTATGCGGCTCTTGTGTCAGTCATAAATACCAAGGTGTGTAAAAAATTTGATAACATTTTTTCTGGTCCAACCTTAATATGACTCAAGTCAATCAATATTGATGTTTATCATAATTTGTGCAGAAAAAAATTAGAAAACATATGTATGTGTGAAAATAACATTATTTACCAGGTTTTTATTGTTTGTGCAGCAGCTATATAACTTTGCATGCATTTTATGTAGCTTCTTATGTATGTGACTTTGTATGTGTCAATGAGGTAATTTAAATAAAAGTCTCTTCACAGTTTCCAAAGATTGGTGAGCTCATTTTGAGAAGATTAATTTTACTTTTCAGAAGATCATATAAACGAAATACCAAGGTACCTTTTAAAAAATAAATAATTAACGTTTTTTATTGTAGATTTACGTACGGTTAGATTTTCATACGGTTAGATTTTCATAAAAACTCAAATTCTCTTTATGAATTAATTTTCCTAGCATGTTTAATATAAGTCAAACATTTCTATGTATGATAGTTATATATATATATTTATTATACAACCTACAAATGTAAACCACTGTGTTCTGGAATGTTTTGATAATTATATTCAGAAAACTACTTTATATAGAAGGATGTTTCTACTTGAATGCTACTTCATGCCAACAATCGAAGTCTGCATTGTGACTAGAATCTAGTCCCTTTGTACATGATTGAGTTATCATATTATAAAAATTACAGCTCAACTTGTCACAAGTAAATGAATAGCCATGATTAATTAATGACAAAACATAGAGCAAAAATTCGTTCTCACTCAATCTCATTTTTCCGAAGATGTCCACTGTGATGAATTGTCAATAAATACCTTCTTTATGTTTTGTTTGAAAATATATATTACCTCTGTTATGATTGAGTTATAGTTTACAAGTGACGTATAAAATACTTAATTTAACCTTTGACCAGTTTGTCTAAGGTGATAAAAAAGTGTATTCTTTCTTGTCTACAGTTGTTCCTATTGTCTGCAAGATACAACTATTTCTGACAACCATGACATCCTATTTACCTTTTAGGCAATTTGCTTATCTGCAACAAGATTTATAGCTCATTTGGTGAACCAACAAGTTGTAAGTTGATGATGATTGTTCAGTTGTGCTCAATCAAAAGTTTTTAATCAAAAGAGTTTTTGTTGCTTTTTAGGCTCATGAAATTTTGGCTTTAGAAATTCTTACTTTGCTTCTTCAATCACCCACAGATGACAGCGTGGAACTGTCTGTAAGTTTCTAGTACAAATACTTTTGTATATTCTCAATAATGTTGCATGCCTAGAGATAGTGGTACCTAGAGTTTTTCTGATAAAGATAATTATTTATAGATTGCATTTCTTAAAGAATGTGGTATGAAACTCACTGATGTTTCTCCTCGTGGTATCAATGGTAAAAAACGATTTTATTAAAAAAATTTTTCATAGTTGTAATTCAAATACATTTCACCGTGTGTCTCAACTTCAGCTGTTTTTGAACGTCTGCGAAGCATTTTACACAACTCAGACATTGAGAAGCGTGTCCAATACATGGTAGAAGTCATGTTTGCCATAAGAAAAGATGGATTTAAGGTATGGTTCTTTTATTGTTTTGTCATGGTCGTTTATAACTTCTCTAAATGCTTAACTGTGAATTAACAGTAATATTTCACTTATGGAAGTGAAGGATTTGTCTTGTGACAGCTATTTGTGCTGTTTGTAGTTATTTTAGATGATGTGAAGGAGGTTTATTCATTCATGACGTCATCAACTTTATTTTATGTTGTGAGTTAAGGATCATCCAGCAGTTATTGAAGAACTTGATGTTGTTGATGAATCTGATCAAATTACTCATTTATTACGACTTGAAGAGGCAGGAAAAACGGAAGACATACTTAGTAAGGAAAAACTTTACATGCGTACCGCACACACATCGGCGATTTAATGTTTTGATTTTCCTTTCTCAGATATATTTAAGTTTGATCCAGACTACTTAGCTAATGAGGAGAAATACAAACAAATCAAGAAAGGTTAGATTTGTCTTTTAAATTTGTTATTTTTGTCAGCTTTTGTTTGCCATGAATGATGTTCTATTTACATGAATGATAATGTTTGATTTGGTTTATTTTCTTTAAGAATTACTTGGTGAAGGTGATGATGATGATGATGATGAATCAGATAATGGTGATTCTGAAAGTGGTGATGAAGACAGTGATGATGTTGAAGGTAATATTGAAGTACAAGTATTAATGAAATATACCATATAATATAAAAATGATGTACAATATTGGTCACAATCAACCTGTGTCAATGTTTAGCAACCTCTGTCCATATCTACCCAGCACTTCTTGTCATTCCTACATATCTTCAACATCAAACACATAAAAACCGGTCTATATGTGTTGTAAACCACCTGGATGGAAAAAATCAAACATGCATATTCCGTTTTTACAGAAGAAAGCGAGAAGATTGATATTCTAGATCAAACAGAAACCAATCTAGTTTCATTACGTCGAACGGTCTATCTTACCATTCAATCAAGGTAACTAATGTGTAGAGTTCGTGTGTGGGTCGTAGTAAGATATTTGATGATACCGCTGACAACATGTGCAATTTGTTGCAGTTTAGATTTTCAAGAGTGCGCTCATAAAATGATGAAAATGAATATACAACCAAGTCAAATGGTACGTCATCTTGACCGTTGAAGTTTGAAATCTTTCCACTTTTTGTGTCATTCGTATTTACTTACGTTACAGGGTGAAGTATGTAATATGATTATTGACTGCTGTGCTCAACAACGATCGTACGAAAAATTCTTTGGTTTACTTGGACAGGTATTATTTCTTCAAAGATGTGTCCAACTTTTATTATTTAATACGCATTACTTTTGTCTTTTTTGTGTAGAGATTTTGTCAACTGAAGAAGGAATATGTGGATGAATTTGTACGGCTTTTCAAAGACCAAGTTAGTTGGGGTTTTTTTGGGGAGGGGGTTCTTGAATGTCTTGATGAAGCAATGGTGACTTTTTTTGTATTTGATGTTAGTACGATACAATACACAGGCTGGAGACCAACAAATTAAGGAATGTTGCCAAGTTTTTCAGTCATCTTCTATACACAGACGCCATACCCTGGACTGTGAGCTCATCATGTTACAATTTATAGTTTTTCTTGAATATATCGTTCACCTGTGATTTGCTATGTTAATTTCAGCGTAAAATCACAGCATGTTTTCTTTAAGGTTTTGGCTGATATAAATTTGAATGAAGAAGACACGACGTCATCGAGGTGCTTTTATGATGATGTCATAGTTTTGGTGACGTCATTTTTAAGTGTTTTCTGTTGTCTATTTAGTCGTATATTCATAAAGATATTGTTCCAAGAGTTAGCTGAATACATGGGTTTGCCAAAGCTCAATGAAAGACTAAAAGATCCGTATGTTAGTTTTGTTGATTATTTTTGTAGATTTATTTTAACATCTTTTTTTTATTTAGAACTTTAGAGATGTACTTTGAGGGCTTGTTCCCGCGAGATAATCCACGAAACACGCGATTTGCCGTCAATTTTTTCACTGCTATAGGTCTTGGTGGGCTTACGTAAGTGCTACGTTTATTTATGAAGGGGATTGTTGGGAATGTTAGTTGATAATCTGACGCATGAAGTGGATTTTTGGGAATGTTAGTTGATAATCCGACGCATGAAGGGGATTTTTTAGAATGTTAGTTGATAATCTGACGCATGAAGGGGGATTGTTGGGAATGTTAGTTGATAATCTGACGCATGAATGGAAGATTGTTGGGAAAGTTAAATGATAATCTGACGCATGAAGGGGGGATTGTTGGGAATGTTAGATGATAATCTGACGCATCGATAAACGTTTTTAATGTATACGCTTATTTATAGAGATGGTCTTCGTGAACATTTAAAAAAAGTTCCTAAAAAAACACAGCTTGTAGATAAGTCGTCGGACTCATCGGATTCTAGTGACAATAGTGAAAGCAGTTCGGATGACTCAAGTACTGATTCAACCAACACTGATGGTACGTGCTTTTGCCGTATTACATGACGTCTCGTCATTTCATGTCCACTATTGTGTAAATTTATCTACAGTTTTTACTCTTTTACTGTTTAGAAAGCTCTTCATCTGATGATCGTAGACGAACAAAAAAGAGGAGAAAGTAAATCAAGGACATGGTATGTTTTGTATCCATATTTGTTAGTTATCCAATCTTCCATGTTTTTTTGTTATCCATATTCACCTATATTTAACCACCGCTACCCATGTAAATTGTCGCATTCAGTTACGCTTCCATACAACCATGTTTTTGTTATCCATATTCACCTATATTTAACCACTGCTACCCATGAAAATTGTCGCATTCAGTTACGCTTCCATACAACCATGTTTTGTTATCCATATTCACCTATATTTAACCACTGCTACCATGTAAATTGTATTCATTGTTCCATTCCCGCATCCATATTCCTTATATCCACCACCTTATTTTCCCATTATCCATTCAGTTACGCTTCCATTCAACCATGTTTTGTTATCCATATTCACCTATATTTAACCACTGCTAGCCATGTAAATTGTCGCATTCAGTTACGCTTCCATACAACCATGTTTTTGTTATCCATATTCACCTATATTTAACCACTGCTACCCATGTAAATTGTTGCATTCAGTTACGCTTCCATACAACCATGTTTTTGTTATCCATATTCACCTATATTTAACCACTGCTAGCCATGTAAATTGTTGCATTCAGTTACGCTTCCATACAACCATGTTTTTGTTATCCATATTCACCTATATTTAACCACTGCTAGCCATGTAAATTGTTGCATTCAGTTACGCTTCCATACAACCATGTTTTTGTTATCCATATTCACCTATATTTAACCACCTTAGCCATGTAAATTGTCCATTCAGTTACGCTTCCATACAACCATGTTTTGTTATCCATATTCACCTATATTTAACCACTGCTAGCCATGTAAATTGTTGCATTCAGTTACGCTTCCATACAACCATGTTTTTGTTATCCATATTCACCTATATTTAACCACTGCTACCCATGTAAATTGTTGCATTCAGTTACGCTTCCATACAACCATGTTTTGTTATCCATATTCACCTATATTTAACCACTGCTACCCATGTAAATTGTTGCATTCAGTTACGCTTCCATACAACCATGTTTTGTTATCCATATTCACCTATATTTAACCACTGCTAGCCATGTAAATTGTTACATTCAGTTACGCTTCCATACAACCATGTTTTGTTATCCATATTCACCTATATTTAACCACTGCTAGCCATGTAAATTGTTACATTCAGTTACGCTTCCATACAACCATGTTTTGTTATCCATATTCACCTATATTTAACCACCGCTACCCATGTAAATTGTTGCATTCAGTTACGCTTCCATACAACCATGTTTTTGTTATCCATATTCACCTATATTTAACCACTGCTACCCATGTAAATTGTTGCATTCAGTTACGCTTCCATACAACCATGTTTTGTTATCCATATTCACCTATATTTAACCACTGCTACCCATGTAAATTGTTGCATTCAGTTACGCTTCCATACAACCATGTTTTTGTTATCCATATTCACCTATATTTAACCACTGCTACCCATGTAAATTGTTGCATTCAGTTACGCTTCCATACAACCATGTTTTTGTGTACACGTCGAAAAATGTCCACGTTGTTTGTTTTCAAAATCGAACAGCTAACAGAAAATTCTCATTCAAAAAGAAACATAGTTGTGCTCTTTCATATTTAAGTTGAGGAATTCCTAACTGCCATCTCCATTTAATCCATTTCTTTGTTATATTATAGTCGCTGTTCGTCTTTGTTCATTCATAATGAATGACAAATTACATTAACACGACATGCTTATTGCATCCAGTGTTGATGGAATGAGATTATTTTTGGAGGAAGATGAAGAAAATTGAAGCTCTGAACGAGTTAGTTGCTGAAACTCTTTTGACGTACTTACCTTTTTAATGTATGGCCGCTGTGCAAAATTGTCCAGCTCAATATAGAAAAAACGGTACGCGGTGCGTGCATTTGCTTGCTTTCCAAAGATTCGTGCCCAAAAGTTGTTGAACATCCAATTACATTTGTATAATGTTTTGAGATATTTACGATTTGGTGACGAGCAAATATATTTTAGACTACACGTCATAGTAATCTTGTTTATGGATATATGGAAATTTATACGTTTATTTGCGCACATTATGTACTTTTACTTTGTGGTTGTGTTTTGAAACTTTTCGCTAAGATCATCGCAGGCTCAAGCGATGATAATGGCGAACGTCGAAAGTATGGATGTCATCGAAAGCATGTTGAAATTCACCCCAGATGTAACAACACATTCTCATATTTTGAGCATTAAAGAAATCAATTCATTGAAACTTGTGCATGAGGATTATGTTGTAAGAACGTGGGGACGGTAGGTAAACTTTTATTTTGTCAAGTGCTTCAAAGTAGACAATCAAACGCCTCTTTTACTCAATACTTATCATAAAAGTAGAAATCTTAATTAGAAATTAGCAGTTAAACGTACGAAATGAAAGAACATGAACATTGTAACTTGTAATTAGAAGTTTGAGTTTGAGCAACATTAAATGATGCTTACACATTGTTGGTTTGTGAGTTTGGACCGATTTGAGCCATGCAGGTAATGAAAAAAATACATTGATCTAATTTTAGTGTTATTGTGCACGATATCCAGAGACAGCTAGCAACATTGATGGATACGTCTGGAGAGAAACTGATTGTCAGCACAGAAAAAATAGAGCCATTTTATTTTGCATTAGGTAGCTATTACCAATTTATTGGAGAAATGGTGAAAAAAGATGAATGCTCACTAATTCTTGTTCCACAAGTTGTCACTTGTATAAATGACTTGGACATAGATAGCTTTAAAAATATGTTGAAAATTCGACGAAACTTCATCAATCAAAACTCTCTGTAAAGATAAAATTATCATTGGTTAAATATTGTGTCATTGGTATTGTGAAAATTTACCAACAACTAACAAAATTTTGTTGTAAATTTTATGATTGAATAATTAAATATTTTATGTACATATATGCTACTGTAATTGATAATTCATATCTTATAAATTTTTTGTATTTAATCATTAGCAAGTCTGTAGCATGTCGAAATATCATTCTTTGATATATTTACACCTTAAGAACAATGTCAACATGATTTCTTATGTAATTATCTTGTCAATTGTAAATATAGCTTGGAAACATAAAAAAAGTTTCCTTTGAAAGATAAATGTTGAGTGTTATAACAAGCCTTTACATGATGGGCAAGGACCAAACTAACAGGTTAATTGGACTAGATGGGAAGATATGAATTCTCTCCATTGGAAAGCTTTAGGGGTGGGTGTATTGTTGGGACAGTTGGGTAAAGATTACCCTGCAACGTGGCTTTTTATTACGTGTTCTCCACGAGATATGCGCGAGCTCCAATATGGCTACTTTAATTGCAATGAAGTATTTCCGTTAATATGATGGTATTTCTGCAATAAAATGTGGGGAAGATTGTCTGAATTTGTGCAAGATAGACTGGATACGTCTGGTGCTGAAGATGAAAAGAATTCAAGTGAAAAAGTATGTATATTACCACATAATGTGATACCGTTTATTGCTCAGTTCTGAATTATCCATTTATTACTATGTGGTTTAAATGCGTTTAGGAAAACTCTAAAGCAGTAATAGAAAACCTTAAAAAAGCTTTGCATGAAGCTGAAAGCCGAAATGAGGATATTAATCGCGAATTCAAGAAACTACTGCGAGATAAGGAGGTTTGGTTGAAATTTATTTAATTAATTGATGTATCGTCATCGACACGTCAAGTTATTGATTTGTCAAATACACAGGGCACAGTACACGATCATTAGAAATCACCCAATTGTTAAAATTTCAATGCATGATAGCTCTGTTTATCCCACGGGTGCATAATTGTGCAGGTTTTGCTGTTAAAAATATCGCAATTTCTCATCATGCGAATAACTGTGTGTTTGTAACAATGATGTGTAAAATGATGTATATTTATGCTTAGCAAAATGACGAGACATTGAAATTATAACAATATGTTGCTTCTAGATGTTTCCCTTTTTATGACCTTTGAACATTGGATATTTCATTATTACTTCTAGTGTACGACACACTGTACTAGGTTGTTTAATTTAAACAGTTTTTTAGAGAAGATATATTTTTTTTCACAAATAAATTGTTTATGTATATAGAGCCAGGATCATTGGTAGGATTTGCGCATTAAACTATCTCACAACATTTTTCGATCCAATTAAATTGTTATAGTCAATGGCAATTGACCTATTTTTCATGCACGACACAATCTTTGAATCATTGAATTTGAATTTACAAGGTGTATAAATTTCTTTGGACTATGTTTTATTTCATGCACAATGTTGTAAATAACAATTGCCAAAATATTTGCTACATGTTTTATATTCTATATGAATTTTAGGCATGCTAATTCATGAAATTATGGTTCATAATAGTTGCCCGTAACATTTCATAGATATTAGAATGCATTTGTTTTTGGTCATTGTAAGTAGCTGGCATAGACTTGCCTTATTATGAAGAATTGATTTTTAAAGATCTCAGTAATAAAATATGCTGTTGTGGATCATTGACATTTTTTTCTTTACTAATATGTTTTTTTCATTTAGTCAACATAATTAATAATATTGCATGTAGATATTTATTTTAATAAAATGAATGTTTTGAACATGCAAAAATCATTGCAGATGTAGATGTAGATTTTTCATGATGTAAAGAGATTTAAGAGGTGGAATGTTGGTGTTAATGTTGTCAAAAACCTCAGTCAACATCAACATAAGTGATTAGAAATTTGTTTTGCCTGCACTTTTCAACTCACTTTACTTAAGCTCAATTCAACGTAAGTAAAGTAAGTTGAAAAGTGTAGGGAAAACAAATTCCAAATCATATTTCTTTTCTTTGTTTGTTGTCTTTAAGAAAAATTACTCTTCAGATTATTAACTTATCGACACTATTTTAGAATGAGTTGAAGAAACTGCAGAGAAATCCAACAGAGTCAGAGAATGAAAGTGATTATTCACATTCGTTGTCAGGTCTACAAGAACAGGTTGAAAACTTAATGGAACAATTAGCAGAGAAAGATAGGGAAATTCAGGTAAAATATATTTTTAATTGTAAAATGATTATACTTAATGGAACAATTAGCAGAGAAAGATAGGGAAATTCAGGTAAAATATATTTTTAATTGCAAAATGATTATACTTAATGGAACAATTAGCAGAGAAAGATAGGGAAATTCAGGTAAAATGTATTTTTAACTGTAAAATGATTATGTGAATAACTACCTTATGTTTTAAATAAATAAGTTTGAAGAAATTTATTTTAATGCGTGTTTAATTAGGAGCTTTCTACTGAAAAAGAAAAAGATGCTCAGTCTAACAGTAGTTCTGTGTCACAGGTGTGTTTGTACATTATATTTTATTATCCACAATGAAGAATACTTTTTTGCTGTCATCTTTTTGTGTATGTTATATCCACAAATACCAATTTTGCCTATCTCAAGACCAAATGCTTAATTTGCCATTTCCGAGTCATTGCACAGTTTTGCAATACATTCTGGTATCCATAGGGAAGCAAAATCAAAGCATTGTTGAAAAGAGCGAAATTGCAAAATGATTGTCTTTTTACACGTGATTTAAAGTTTAATAATTTCTTAACTAACATTATTTATTAGAAAAGGACGTCAAACTACTGTTGTAGAACTGATAAAATTAATCATTTCTACACACGTAATGTTTATTTTAGTTTTAATTAGGTGAAGTTAAATCGGGTTTTTTTTTCGCTAAGCAGGTAAGCGTCAAAGGTGACCAACAATCATTTATTATGCCTTCTGATGCACTTCGTTTTGATGCACTGTCAACAACCAGAGCAATAGCACACGAAAAAAACAAGTAGCTTTCAACCCTAACAGTCATCAAAATGCTCCCCATTTCATTAAAACATTTAAGATTTAAAGAAAATTCCTCGTTTGCTCGCTGTATATTTCGCAAGATTCGATAATGTTTTGTTTGCCTCAAGTGATACCAGAATGCATTGCGAAACTACGCAATGACTTAGAAAAAACGACAACTTACCTGGTCTTTGGCTGCCCTTAAACCCTCAAGTGATACCAGAATGCATTGCGAAACTACGCAATGACTTAGAAAAAACGACAACTTACCTGGTCTTTGGCTGCCCTTAAACGATGGAACTTTTTGTTCGTATTCATTTTATTTAATTTTCTTTAGTTTAATGATGCCGACAAACGAATAGAAGAACTTGAACTTTTGCTAGCGCAAAAAGACAAGAATCTTCAACATTTGCTTCATGAATTGGAAAATGCTGAGCAGCGAAGCAAGCAGACTTGGGAACAGAAACGAATTAACGAAGAGAAGGTTATGGGCGAACTTGCAGCAAAGATTCAACATAATGCATCTTTGGTAACAAAACTTGAAGAGACGCAACATATTGTTGAGGAAAAAGATAAATCTATACAAGAACTTTGTGATAAAATAGAAGCAAAAGAAAGATTGATCAGATCAAGAGATGAGGTATATAAATGGTTTGGTCACCATGTAATAATTGGCATCCTTTTGTATCACTTAACACAATACATGTGTGATGTGTATGTTTAAAATTCTATATTATCATCAAGTGAAACTAAGAACTGAAGTGCATTATTTCACGAAATAAAGAATAGTATTCATTAAACTTGTTATTTTTTTGATTTGTTGGCTGTATTTACAGTTAGTTATCTTTAAAAATCATCGTCATGTCATGTCACGTGATTATTATCTAGGTAATCAGTCAACTTCAAGTGAGTAAAGACATCAGTAGCGGTAGTGATGACGTTGTTTTAGCTCTTCAAGAGCAGGTTAAATCGCAACAAGAGAAGATTACCACCTTTGCTGATGATGTAGATCGTTACAAAAGACAATTGAAAGAGAAAGAAAATGTTCTTGTGACGCGAGAAAAGGTTGATAATTTGCTACGTAGTTTATCTGTTACTTGAATCGTTTTAACACTGACATTTTATAGCTACTGGTTTTTGTATTTTGTGACTTGTGACACTACGTTTGCTTAATCTAACCATTTTTGTTTTTAGTCATTGGAAAATATTCAACATCAGATGCAGGAACAGACTGCGGCGCTTAATCAACTCTCTCTCGAGCGTGATAATCTTCTCAACAAAATAGAAGACTTGGAACTAAAGCACGCCGAAGCGGTGGAAGCCTGGGACGAGAAATTGAGAATGAATAAGGAAAGTCTTGGTGCTGAAATTTCACAATTGGAGATATCGTACAAGCAAAATGAACATATGTTGAGAGAGGAAGTGGATGAAAAGGCCAATATAATTCAGGTTCGAACACTTATCCATCGTTAATTGTTCATTTTCTTTTATGTGACTGGCACTGCTTTTGATAAAATTACTAAACTTCTTCATATTCAAAGGTTTGATATTCAAGTGCTCACGAGCTAGAGGGCCATTTTTATTGTTAACAATTTTTGAATTAATTGAAAGCTTAAAAGAACCATAAAAATGTTTATTCTCGCAATAATTGAATGATTTTTGCACATTGTTTTGCATCATCGCATTTTCGCCTGTTCTTAATGCTTTCATAAGTTCGGTATTTTAGGCCAACTCTCCCGTCACTTGTGTGATTTTTATCTTGTAATTTTGTTGTCACGCAATCTTGGTTGCAATAATTGAGACCTGACAAAGTGTATCTATGGATAATTAATGTATCTTAGGGTAACTTTATTTAAAATCATATGTTTTTCACCATCCTTTTCACGATGAAGATTAACTAAGTTCACTTCACATGTTCTTTACTTTGTGAACTCTATGACTGCAAAGTAGTGAACAAAATACGTACATGAAGTACTACAACCAATATAAGTAATTTGAACAGAAAACACATATTATTTTAATATATGACATTACACTTGTAGTTTTAAAATGTTGCATCCGTGGCTCTTTTTCAGGGAGTTTCCCTTTATCTTATCTCAGAGTAGTGAAGTGTACCTCATATATGCAATGAACATAAATTATTGCAATAATCAATGCGTTCTTAAAAACATATAAAAATTCAACGTTCATAATGCAAGTAGGTTTTTACTTCGAACAGGTATGATTTAGCTGGTGGCTTGATTCGGTTTTTATTGGTTAGAGCTGAACTGATTTTAACATGCGCATTTGATGTTTCTTAGTCGAAAGACGAAGCAATTGCTGTGCTAAAAAGAACCATTCAGGAGAGGGCTCTGGGACCTATTGTTGATCCCGGTAAAGAAAAAGGAATGTCTGAAGAAGGCGAAAAAATTGTTCAGATGTTAGAAAACCAACTGCAGGAGACTAAGGAGAACCTGAATGCCAAACAGAAAGCTTTTGAAAAACTACAACAAGATTTACATGAAAAGGATAACAACATAATTGTGTTGAGACATCAAACTGAGCACGATCTGAAAAGTTTGAGGGAGAAGCTTGAGCAAGAAACGATGAAGACATCGGAATTAGCAAAACAATTAAATGATAAGGATAGTATTTTGCAAAATGTTGAAGAAAGTCAAGTGAACCTGAAAGAACAGTTGAAAAAGACTTTAACCGACTTGGAAAGCACGAAATTACTTCTGGAAGAAAGATCAGAGAAATTATCAGAAAATAAAGATGTGTTGGAAAAGGCTTCCGAATTATCGCACACAATTGAAAATTTGGAAAAAGTGTTAGAGGAACGCGACTCCAAGATTTCTGAACTGAATGTATTGAATGGGGAGTTGCAGGAACGTGTCGAAAATCTGGTTTTAGAAAATCAGCGAGTTCATGAAAGCATGGATGCGATGGAACACGATTTAACTGCGCAATTGGTCTCTGTGCGGGAAGAACTTAAATCTTTTTCTGAGAAACACGAGATGGAAATGTCTGAAAAAGAACAAAAAATTATCGAACAAGAAAGAGCTCTTATCATTAAAGAGAATAAAATCAATGAGTTAAACGAAACACATGAGAAGGAAAAGCGGATGTTTAATGAGAAATTTGAGAATTCCTTCAATGATAAAACTACCCTTGAGAAAGAAATTAAAGTTCTCAATGTAGAAATTGAGAAAAAAGACGAGGCAAGAATAGATATGGAAAAACAACTTTCGGATTTCCAAGAAAAAGTTGACAATATGAAGGAAGAAATGAAACAAAAAGAAGAGGACATAAAATCTTTGGAGAATGGGGTAAGTGAGGATGTTAAAATATTACAAGGAGAGAATAAAAAGTTACTGGAAGATAGAGGTAGATTAGAATGTCTGCTAGGTAGCAAAGAAAGTGAGCTGACTGAGAGAAATAAACGAATTGAAAGTGCTCAAAGCGAAACTTACGAGGTAAAGCAACAGTTTGAGGAATCTGTTAATCGTATTCATGAACTCGCTGAACAAAATCAAACACTGACTGAGGAAATTCTGCAAACAAAAAAAAAGTTTGAAATTGAAGAAGCTAGATATGTAGTAGAAATGGAAAAGAAAGAAACTGAACTAGGCAAGGCTTTACAAGAATTGCAGCTAGAAAAAGATAAAAGTAAAGAAAATGATCAAGATCACATCGATTGCTTGAATACTTTACGTTCGGAAAATGCTGACAAAATTGTTTTAAAAGATAAAGAGATCTTCTTAATGCAAGAACAGTACAATGAAAGCAATAAAAAATTGACAGACATCGTTGAGAAATATGAAATACTGAAGGAAGAGTTGGATATCGGCAAGAAAGTGGAACAGTCCCTATTGCAGAAACGTGATAACGAAGTTAGTTCCTTAAATGATAAATTGACAAGTAAAGATGAATTGATAAACGAATTAAGAGAAAGATTTCGAACATTTGAGGATAATAAAACAGAAGAATTAAGTGTTGTCTTAAAGGAGGCAGAGACATTAAAAGAAACTGTCCTGACCTTAGAAGAAACGCTTGCAGAAAGAGAAGAGAACTTCATTAATATTGCACAAGACAACAATGCGTTGATAAAAAAAATGAACGACGTACAAGCAACTTTGGATAAATGTAACGAAGAGTTTACGAATGAAAAAAACCTTCTCCTCGCAGAGATTGACATTTGTCGGAAAGATTATGAAATAAAGATTTCTGATGGAGATGCGGCAATTGAAATTGAAAAGAAACTTCGCTTAGATCTAAAGGAACAACTTGCAGTTAAAGAGAAAGAATTGAATGACAAATCAACTGAATTTGATAATCTTCAAGGTAAAATGGACGAATCTTTTCAGACATCTGAGAAACAAATGCAAGGACTTAAAACTGTTTGTGAAGATCTAAAGGAACAACTCGCAGTTAAAGAGAAAGAATTGAATGACAAATCAACTGAATTTGATAATCTCCAAGGTAAAATGGAGGAATCTTTTCAGACATCTGAGAAACAAATGCAAGAACTTAAAATTGTTTGTGAAGATCTAAAGGAACAACTCGCAGTTAAAGAGAAAGAATTGAATGACAAATCAATTGAATTAGATAATCTCCAAGGTAAAATGGACGAGTCTTGTGAGATATCTGAGAAACAGATGCAAGAACTTACAACTGTTTGTGAAGATCTAAAGGAACAACTCGCAGTTAAAGAGAAAGAATTGAATGACAAATCAATTGAATTAGATAATCTTCAATGTAAAATGGACGAATCTTTTCAGACATCTGAGAAACAAATACAAGAACTTACAACTGTTTGTGAAGATCTAAAGGAACAACTTGCAGTTAAAGAGAAAGAATTGAATGACAAATCAATTGAATTTGATAATCTTCAAGGTAAAATGGACGAATCTTTTCAGACATCTGAGAAACAAATGCAAGAACTTACAACTGTTTGTGAAGATCTAAAGGAAAACTCGCAGTTAAAGAGAAAGAATTGAATGACAAATCAATTGAATTAGATAATCTTCAAGGTAAAATGGACGAATCTTTTCAGACATCTGAGAAACAGATGCAAGAACTTACAACTGTTTGTGAAGATCTAAAGGAACAACTCGCAGTTAAAGAGAAAGAATTGAATGACAAATCAATTGAATTAGATAATCTTCAAGGTAAAATGGACGAATCTTGTCAGACATCTGAGAAACAGATGCAAGAACTTACAACTGTTTGTGAAGATCTAAAGGAACAACTCGCAGTTAAAGAGAAAGAATTGAATGACAAATCAATTGAATTAGATAATCTTCAAGGTAAAATGGACGAATCTTTTCAGACATCTGAGAAACAGATGCAAGAACTTACAACTGTTTGTGAAGATCTAAAGGAACAACTTGCAGTTAAAGAGAAAGAATTGAATGACAAATCAATTGAATTAGATAATCTTCAAGGTAAAATGGACGAATCTTTTCAGACATCTGAGAAACAAATGCAAGAACTTACAACTGTTTGTGAAGATCTAAAGGAACAACTTGCAGTTAAAGAGAAAGAATTGAATGACAAATCAATTGAATTAGATAATCTTCAATGTAAAATGGACGAATCTTTTCAGACATCTGAGAAACAAATGCAAGAACTTACAACTGTTTGTGAAGATCTAAAGGAACAACTCGCAGTTAAAGAGAAAGAATTGAATGACAAATCAATTGAATTAGATAATCTCCAAGGTAAAATGGACGAATCTTTCAGACATCTGAGAAACAAATGCAAGAACTTACAACTGTTTGTGAAGATCTAAAGGAACAACTCGCAGTTAAAGAGAAAGAATTGAATGACAAATCAATTGAATTAGATAATCTTCAAGGTAAAATGGACGAATCTTTTCAGACATCTGAGAAACAGATGCAAGAACTTACAACTGTTTGTGAAGATCTAAAGGAACAACTCGCAGTTAAAGAAAAGAATTGAATGACAAATCAATTGAATTAGATAATCTTCAAGGTAAAATGGACGAGTCTTGTGAGATATCTGAGAAACAGATGCAAGAACTTACAACTGTTTGTGAAGATCTAAAGGAACAACTCGCAGTTAAAGAGAAAGAATTGAATGACAAATCAATTGAATTTGATAATCTTCAAGGTAAAATGGACGAATCTTTTCAGACATCTGAGAAACAGATGCAAGAACTTACAACTGTTTGTGAAGATCTAAAGGAACAACTCGCAGTTAAAGAAAAAGAATTGAATGACAAATCAATTGAATTAGATAATCTTCAAGGTAAAATGGACGAATCTTTTCAGACATCTGAGAAACAGATGCAAGAACTTACAACTGTTTGTGAAGATCTAAAGGAACAACTCGCAGTTAAAGAAAAGAATTGAATGACAAATCAATTGAATTAGATAATCTTCAAGGTAAAATGGACGAATCTTTTCAGACATCTGAGAAACAGATGCAAGAACTTACAACTGTTTGTGAAGATCTAAAGGAACAACTCGCAGTTAAAGAGAAAGAATTGAATGACCAATCAATTGAATTAGATAATCTTCAAGGTAAAATGGACGAATCTTTTCAGATATCTGAGAAACAGATGCAAGAACTTACAACTGTTTGTGAAGATCTAAAGGAACAACTCGCAGTTAAAGAGAAAGAATTGAATGACAAATCAATTGAATTTGATAATCTTCAAGGTAAAATGGACGATTCTTTTGAGATATCTGAGAAACAGATGCAAGAACTTACAACTGTTTGTGAAGATCTAAAGGAACAACTCGCAGTTAAAGAAAAAGGATTGAATGACAAATCAATTGAATTAGATAATCTTCAAGGTAAAATGGACGAATCTTTTCAGACATCTGAGAAACAGATGCAAGAACTTACAACTGTTTGTGAAGATCTAAAGGAACAACTCACAGTTAAAGAAAAGAATTGAATGACAAATCAATTGAATTAGATAATCTTCAAGGTAAAATGGACGAATCTTTTCAGATATCTGAGAAACAGATGCAAGAACTTACAACTGTTTGTAAAGATCTAAAGGAACAACTTGCAGTTAAAGAGAAAGAATTGAATGACAAATCAATTGAATTTGATAATCTTCAAGGTAAAATGGACGAATCTTTTCAGACATCTGAGAAACAGATGCAAGAACTTACAACTGTTTGTGAAGATCTAAAGGAACAACTTGCAGTTAAAGAAAAAGAATTGAATGACAAATCAATTGAATTAGATAATCTTCAAGGTAAAATGGACGAATCTTTTCAGACATCTGAGAAACAGATGCAAGAACTTACAACTGTTTGTGAAGATCTAAAGGAACAACTCACAGTTAAAGAAAAGAATTGAATGACAAATCAATTGAATTAGATAATCTTCAAGGTAAAATGGACGAATCTTTTCAGACATCTGAGAAACAGATGCAAGAACTTACAACTGTTTGTGAAGATCTAAAGGAACAACTCGCAGTTAAAGAGAAAGAATTGAATGACAAATCAATTGAATTAGATAATCTTCAAGGTAAAATGGACGAGTCTTGTGAGATATCTGAGAAACAGATGCAAGAACTTACGACTGTTTGTGAAGATCTAAAGGAACAACTCGCAGTTAAAGAGAAAGAATTGAATGACAAATCAATTGAATTTGATAATCTTCAAGGTAAAATGGACGAGTCTTGTGAGATATCTGAGAAACAGATGCAAGAACTTACAACTGTTTGTGAAGATCTAAAGGAACAACTCGCAGTTAAAGAAAAAGATTGAATGACAAATCAGTTGAATTAGATAATCTTCAATGTAAAATGGACGAATCTTTTCAGACGTCTGAGAAACAAAAACAAGAACTTACAACTGTTTGTGAAAATCTAAAGGAACAACTTGCAGTTAAAGAAAAAGAATTGAATGACAGATCAATTGAATTAGATAATCTTCAAGGTAAAATGGACGAATCTTTTCAGACATCTGAGAAACAAATGCAAGAACTTACATCTGTTTCTGAAGATCTAAAGGAGCAACTCACAGTTAAAGAGAAAGAATTGAATGACCAATCAATTGAATTAGATAATCTTCAAGGTAAAATGGACGAATCTCGTCAGACATCTGAGAAACAGATGCAAGAACTTGCAACTGTTTGTGAAGATCTAAAGGAACAACTCGCAGTTAAAGAGAAAGAATTGAATGACAAATCAATTGAATTTGATAATCTTCAAGGTAAAATGGACGAATCTTTTCAGACATCTGAGAAACAAATGCAAGGACTTAAAACTGTTTGTGAAGATCTAGAGGAAAAACTCGCAATTAAAGAGAAAGAATTGAATGACCAATCAATTGAATTAGATAATCTTCAAGGTAAAATGGACGAATCTTTTCAGACATCTGAGAAACAAATGCAAGAACTTACAACTGTTTGTGAAGATCTAAAGGAACAACTTGCAGTTAAAGAGAAAGAATTGAATGACCAATCAATTGAATTAGATAATCTCCAAGGTAAAATGGACGAATCTTTTCAGACATCTGAGAAACAAATGCAAGAACTTAAAGCTGTTTGTGAAGATCTAAAGGAACAACTCGCAGTTAAAGAGAAAGAATTGAACGACCAATCAATTGAATTTGATAATCTTCAAAGTAAAATGGACGAATCTTTTCAGACATCTGAGAAACAGATGCAAGAACTTACAACTGTTTGTGAAGATCTAAAGGAACAACTCGCAGTTAAAGAGAAAAATTGAATGACAAATCAATTGAATTAGATAATCTTCAAGGTAAAATGGACGAATCTTTTCAGACATCTGAGAAACAAATACAAGAACTTACAACTGTTTGTGAAGATCTAAAGGAACAACTCGCAGTTAAAGAGAAAGAATTGAATGACAAATCAATTGAATTTGATAATCTTCAAGGTAAAATGGACGAATCTTTTCAGACATCTGAGAAACAAATACAAGAACTTACAACTGTTTGTGAAAATCTAAAGGAACAACTCGTAGTTAAAGAAAAAGAATTGAATGACAGATCAATTGAATTAGATAATCTTCAAGGTAAAATGGACGAGTCTTGTGAGATATCTGAGAAACAGATGCAAGAACTTACAACTGTTTGTAAAGATCTAAAGGAACAACTCGCAGTTAAAGAGAAAGAATTGAACGACCAATCAATTGAATTATATAATCTCCAAGGTAAAATGGACGAGTCTTGCCAGACATTTGAGAAGCAGATGCAAGAACTTAAAACTGTTTGTGAAGATCTAAAGGAACAACTCGCAGTTAAAGAGAAAGAATTGAACGACCAATCAATTGAATTAGATAATCTCCAAGGTAAAATGGACGAATCTTTTCAGACATCTAAGAAACAAATGCAACAACTTACAACTGTTTGTGAAGATTTAAAGGAGCAACTCGCAGTTAAAGAGAGAGAATTGAATGACAAATCAATTGAATTAGATAATCTTCAAGCTAAAATGGACGAGTCTTATAAGAAAAAGGCTCGGCTCGAAATATCGATATACTAAAACCTGAGGAAGAAAGACTGTCAAACGAACCTGTTATAGACGTCACAAGTTTAAATGATCTGGTGAGTTAATGGACTGTAGAAGTGTGATGAGTAGATTATGAGTTGATTTTGAGTGAATATACTTGGTCGTCATGCAAACGTGACATGAAGCACCTCTTTAGAAATGAATGATATCATATGGTACAATCTTTATAGACATCAAGATTTGTGTATCTGTTTTAGATGAATGAAATGGCTTTACAACAACCTATTCGCGAGGATTTAATTCAGCCCGAGACTATACGTGAAGTAGCTGCTTCTACTGAACCTTCTATCCAAGTAGAGTCAACTTTTGATGAGCCTGAAGCTAATAACCTGAAGAACTCTGAAGTCTATGAAAAGGTCTTGTTTTGAATTGGTAATAATGTTGTTATGCTCACAACATTTCATCATTTAAATGTAATTTTATTCAGGTCGATGAGATTGAACGAAGTTTTAATGAAGTGAAGGAAAAGTTGGGCGAAGAAATGAACAGAAATCTTGAATTACAAAAAGAACTTGAGTGTTTGCATGAAGAGAAGATGGTAGCTGATGCTAGATGTACCGAACTGAAGAAAGCCCTTGAAGAATTCATATTTGCAACTGACAAAAAGGATAATGAAGAGAAAGTCCCAGAGAGCAAATCTCTGGCGGAGGAAGTTGAAGGTATTCGTGTTGTTGTTATCCATATTTGTACATGCGTTTACCACCCATGAACAACAACATCCTTTAATTGGTAATGTCATTTTTGGAACTTCTAATATTTTCACTATAACTAAATTTGGGTGATGTTTGTACAATGTTGAAGAATTCTTAAGATTCAGGAGTTGTTATCAAATCCCTAATATCATGTATTTGTTATTCCCTATTCCAGGACACAAGAATACCGTTCACAACTTTTATATTTACTCGACATCATGTAATATTGTAATGGTGTTGATATCACACACACTAACATATTTTGTCTCACAGTAACCGATGATGTTTCTGTTTTGTTGGAGAATACTCAATCAAATATTGAACCAATGCAAGCAATTAATGCTACATCTGAATCCTTTGCCGAAGTCATACGCTTGTTGGAGGATGAAAAATCATCGCTTGAAAGGAAAGTAGACAGCATTACGAAGGTTTGTTTAATATCTGTTTACGACTGTAACTCTCCAGATACATTTGCTTTAGACTTGAGCTCTCATTTTTCCGAAAATGTCTAATCTGCCTTCAGTGTTATTTATAAGACATTTTTAAACATTTTTAAGAAAGATTTTATGTCATCTTTTAACGACTGTAAAGAAGCGTGGATGATTGCAATTAGTCATTGGTTTCATTTAAATTTATATGGAATTTGATTTATATAAATTTAAGAATGTTTTCGTCATTTTATGTTTGTAGGAAAGAAATGCACTTCGTTCTCATATTGAGCAAATGGAAGAAGATCTTGAAAAGTTCCGTGAAAAGGAAGTTGAGGAACATCACGTGGCCGAAAATATTGGAAATCGTAATAGAATTGAGGAGATGGTTAAAGAAATGGATGAACTCAGGTGAACATTGTTTTATATTATTGTTAGTATCTGAAGTTAGGAGATACAAGTTCAAATTAACTTAAAGTAAACAATAAAACTATGTATCTGTTTGACTACGTCAGCATAAATAACTCATGTAGTCAATCAATCATTTTAGATCTCTCATCGAAGAGCGCGATGCTCAAAAGTGCGAATTGCAAGAGCAATTGAAATTATCTGAAACTGAATTACAACGTGAATGTGAAGACAGCGAAGCTCTTCGTAATACAATATCTCATCTTGAGTCTCAAATTGATAATAATAAAGAACACATACGTGATTTAGAAAGCACACTTTCTGAGGCTTTGAATGATAGCAATCGCTTCAAGTTTGAAATTGAAAAGCTAGAAGAAGGGAAAGACAAGTTGACGAAAGAATTAGACACGGTGCAAGCCAATAATGTTCAAGCTAATGAAGCAATGAAGGAACTACGAGAAATAAAGGATGAAGTTATTAACAACCTTGATGATACTTTACAATCTAAAGAATCCCAAATTGCTGGTTTGCAACGAATGCTTCAGTTCAAGGAAACCGAAATACACGATCTTCGGGAAAGTATTGAAACAATGGGACAATTACAGAGCAATCTTGAGTCAAAGGATTTGGAACTGGCGAGATTATATGGCAGTGCTGAAAATAGGGAATGTGTCGTAAAGGAGCTGGTTGAAGCTAAGGATTCGATTATAATGGACCTTCAACATGACTTGCAAGGAAGAGTATCCGAATTGTTTCAGTTACAAGATAGTATCGCTGAGAAAGATAAGGAGATAATGAAATTGAAGCAATCTACAACAGATGATGATTTAAATTCATGTGATGGGAGATCAGTATTACAAGAGAAAGAAACAGAGTTGCTAAATATGAGTCAGGTTGCTCAAGAAAAAGAATCACAAGTTGGACTACTGGAAGCTCAATTGTTAGAAAAGGAAACTGAAATCGTAGAATTAAAAGAAATGATCAAAGAAAAAGAGACTACGGACGATGAACTTGCAAACGCGAAGAAACTCCTCTTAAAGTTAAAGAAGAAGTTTGCGAGTTTTCGTGAAGAAAAACAGACTGAGTTAGAACTTAAAGATGGTGATGTTTCACGACTCCTTGATCGTGTTGCAGGTTTGTCTCTGTTTCTAGTTCAATTTTTACATGTACCTGTGTGTACCTGTGTGTACCTGTGTGTACGCGTATACGATGTGATAATGATGATGATGTGCACATAAGAAACATGTACCTGTGTGTACCTGTGTACGATGTGATGATGATGATAATGATGATGATGTGCACATAAGAAACATGTACGTGTGTGTGCCTGTGTGTACCTGTGTACGATGTGATGATGATGATGATGTGCACATAAGAAACATGTCTCTTGATTTTGTTGACAGAGATCGAAACCTTACGACATGACGAAGAACGGAAAGTTAAAGAAGAAATAAAACAGTTAAATGACAAATTAATTGAAAGCGAGAAAAAGTGTGAAGAATTGATTGGCGAAAATGTTCAACTGAAGGTAGTAGTTTGTATAAGCCCGTAGGCTGTTTTTACCATCTGTAACACTGTATTTCATAATATTCCTGTTGACACAAGCAACAGATATATTTGACTGACATTACTATTGCTTTTTTAAACTGATTGGTTGGAACCCGGGCGTATTGTTGACTATTCATACATATAGATAGTCCATGTTAGTGCAGTCTTGACTCCTGAAAACGACTGTTGGTGTTGACTGAAATTTAAATAACCTTAGCGGTAGTCATCTGTAGAGTCTAGTGACTCTCAACACCATTAACATACCATTGACTGGTATTCGGCAAAATGTATGATTTTTAGCACCGACTCCAGACTGTATGATTTCCGTTGTTATACTGACTTAGAAAGTACACTCTCTCGAACAAAAAAAACAGCGAACTTTTATACATATGACAAGCCCAGGCTGTGATTGAGGTAAGTACCACCTTCGGCCGGGGTAAATGAAATGCATATTTTCAGATAAGTATTGGCTTCCGTGTATGGAATCGTCATGGTAAACAGGTATCTGCGGGTGCATCGTTTACTATGACGATTCCAATACACTGGAGACTATGTACAATACACGTTTACTATGACGATTCTAATACTTACCTGAAAATTTGCGTTTCCTTTTCTCCGGCCTTTGGCGTTACTTACCTCGTCCACAGCGTCTGTCTAGTACCGTTTACATTTACTCATTTCCTCTAAATACTATATTGTGTTGTATGGAGTAATCAGAAAATACGGCGATCCTGACGTTTTCTCTTTTCTACTGGATATTGAAGATGACTACATCTTAAGTTATCGGAACATCGGTCAACGCCAACAATTTTCCATGCATGAGCTACATCTACAAACTTGCTAAATGTAGTTTGAAACAACTCATGATTTTCTGCAGGATGTGATCCAAAGTTTTGATCAATCGAAAAAAGCTGAACTCTTAGATCTCGAGAATGAACTGACGAAATTGAAGGAAATCCACGAGCAATACATAAATGAAAAAAATGAAGAAATTTCTAATCTTAAAAATGACTTCTTGCTGGAGTTGAACCAAAATAATGAATTTGTACTCAATCAAATCAATGCATTACGCCAAGAGTTGGATGAAAGCAGGTAATACAGCATTTTATAGACAGAGTTTGGTTTTTTTAAACATTATCAATGTATTTCAATTATCAAACATTTTTTGTAAAAAGGCCCGAATTTCAGGTTTTGTTCATTGATGAAAGTTTGATTTTTGTAGGACTGCTCTGTCGAAAGAAGAGACACAAAATGAAATGTTGAGGAGAAGTTTGTCCAATAGCGTTGAGGAGTTGGAGATGGCAAAACTAGAACTGCGAGAGAAAATTGCCATGATATCGGAGAGTGAGAATGAGGTGGCTACTTTAAATAGACTTTTAGCTGATAGCAAGATGGAAGCACAAAATGTCGAACATGAATTAATTGATACAAAAGCAGCTTTAGTTGAGAATCTTGTTCGGTCTTTGAATGAAAGTGTGTTAGAGAACCAATCAAATACGGAACAAGTTTTAAAATTAAAACAGGAATTATGCGAAATCCAGTCTGTTTTGGGTAAGTTTACATATTGTGTGTTCTTTCTATACTGCCAAAAAGATGCGTTAAGTTTTATTTATTAATGTGAAGGTGAAAAGAAAAAGAACTCGAAGCTCAAAGAAATGTTGTATCCGACACTGTAACAAAACTTGACATTCCCGAAGAGCTTCGCCTTGAGAAAAGTGTACCAATAGTTCCAGAGGAGATTACAACACAGGAATCGAGTGAAATACAAAATGCACCTTGCGTTGACGATTTCGTTACAAACAAAAGCACGGTCGAATTTCAAGAAATGACACCTTTGGAGGAAACTGCTTTGGAAAAAAATGAATCTTTTTCATTACGTTCTGGGGACAACGCAAAGGTTGATGAACTTTGTTCTCGTCTACAAGAGAAAGAATTAGCTTTTCAGAAACAATCCGAGCAATTGCACGCGGTTGCCAAGAAGTTCGCTGGTTTAAAGAAGAAATTCAGCAGCCAGAAAGAACATTTAAAAGAAGTGGAAGACAGTAACAAAAAACTCGACGCTGAAAAAGCTGAGCTTCTGATCTCTTTAGATGATATGAAGAAGAATTTGCTTGAATTCCAGGAAATTTCCAAACGGGCAGAAGAGCAAGATAGCATGGTGGAATTTTTGAAATCAGAAATTTCCCGTTTCCATGGTACTATCGTCACCACGGAGGAGGAGAATAACCGCTTGAAAACATCACTTGAAAGCAGAGACAAAGAGGTCAGTTTATTACATGGACAGCTTAATACTGCTTCTGAACGACTAGAAGTTTTAGAAAACGTGATTGAGGAACGTGATAAATATGTTGAATTACTGTCATCGAAGGACAATGAATTGGATCTGTTGAAAGCCGAACTACAGAAAAGTGAAGCTTCGATCTTGAAGAAAAACGATGAAATTTCGGCGGTTCGTCACAGTGCTAAAGAAGATTTCTCAGTTCACGTTGAGCAACTTGAAATACTCAAAAATCAAGTGGAAGTTAGTTGTCGTGAAATGTCTGACTTACAAGAAAGTTTGCGAGAGAAAGAAAATGAAATCAAGAGGCTTCAAGATGAACGCGAAAGTTTTGTCGGTCAGGTCGAAAATTCGTCTGCGAAAATATTTGAGCTCGATAAAATATTGAAAGAAAGGGAAGGCGAAGTTGAAGAAAATGCACAAGAAATATCTTTTCTTCAAAGTCAATTGGATAACAAGATAAGAGAGAAGACTGAACTTTCCGAAGATATTCTCAGATTTATGAATGAAAACGAACAATTAAAGTTGACACTCGAATCAAACCAATCTCAAGGAGAAATTGAAAATTTCAGCAATGAAATGACCGAACTTCAAAAGGCATTTCAAGAAAAGGACATTCTCGTCACCGAGTATGAGAAACAATTTGAAAATTTACGAAATGATATGCAGGATATGGAACTAGAAAACCGACGTCTGGGCGAGGCGTTGGATGAAATAGTTGAGCAAAAACGAAGTTTAGAAGGTTTACTACAGGTAAGAGATGTCGAAGTCGATGATCTTCGTTGCAAAGTTAGCGAAATGGAGTGTTTTTACGACACGGAGAAAGATGCATTGGAAAAGCTCCAAGCCGATAAAGATGAAGAATTGCAACAACTCAATGATTCGCTAATGATGAAATCAACTTTAGTGGATGAACTCTCACAAAACTATCGGAGAGGAAAATGAACACAATTTGAAGGAAATGGAAGAGAAGTTGATGGACACCGAGCAACAATTGACTCGACTGCAAACAGATTTACAACAATTGAAGGAAAACAACACGAAATTACAAGAGAATTTGTGCACAACTGGAAACACATTGGAGCTCTCCAATGCCAAAAATTCTTCTTTAGAGGAAACTATAATTAGTCATATGAACGATATCAATGATTTAAAAGAAGCGTTACGTAAAACTGATGATATTTCAACAGAATTGCGAACTAAAGTTGAACAATTAGAGGAACTTTTGAGCGAGAAAGATGCTCAATTGCAAACACTTCAACAAAAAGATAATGAAACGGAATCGTTAAAGTTGGTGTTAACTTCAAAAAATCAGGAAATACTCGAATTACAAGAGAAGTATGATAGTTTGATACAGGTCAAGCAAGACGTCTCCGACAAAGTTACTGAATTAGGAAGCATACCTTCCGGTAAAAGTGAATTGGAGAAGGAGTCACTGCAATCAAAGGAAATGGCGACTATGAACGAAAAGTTTTGGGAAGAAAAAAACTCGTCTTTACAAGAAAAAATTGCCGAATTGGAAAAAGAGAGAATTCAGTTGCGTAGGAAACTTGCGACAATGAAAAAAGCAAATGCTGAAGTCGGTAAGCAACACAAGCAGCTTCAAAGTGCTTTGTCTCAACAAGAAATAAAACTTGCTGAGGTTTCCTTGGAGAGGCAAACTATCAAAGAGGATTTGGAAAGGACTATTACTCTCATTCAACAAGAAAAATCTGACATCGAAACAGAATTTGAAGATACTGTAAAAGAACTAAAGGAACTCAAGAGAATTAATGAAGATATTTGTACAGAAAGAGATTCCTTGAAAGCTGACGTGGAAGCTCTTCGAACTGAGAAAGAGTGGAATTCCTCTGAGCTCGAGAACTTGCAAAGTGAACTTGATAAAAAAATATGTGGAAATACAAGAATTGAAAATAAGACAAACTGAAGCCAGCAACGACTTTGATGTCCATGTACAGAAACGTGTTGACGAAATTTCCATGGAGAAGAATTTGGAAAGGGCTGAGATTGAAGAAGAGTTTGCCAATCAACTTCAACAGATGTCCGTTGAGAAAGATGAAAAAATTCGCAAGAAAGATTTGGAAATCACAGAATTAAAGAACAAACTAGTTGAAGGAAGTTCACTTTCTGAAAACTTTCAAATTGAATTGCGCAAATTAAATGATGAAGTTGAGCAGCAAAACAAGCAAATTATCGAACTGTATGCGACATTGGAAAGCGAAAAGGCCAGCGTAGAGTCAAAGGACATACAAATATCAAGTATTTCCACAGATATAAAGAATTTGCAAAATCAACTGAATTCAAAAGATGAAGAACTGAAGGCGTCGCTTATTACCAATAACGACGCTTCTGTGAAGGTTGACGAGCTTTTGCTTGAAGTTAAAGCTTTGAAAGACGAACTTAATGTACTTAGTGAAGCACGTGATGCCTCGGATAAGATGTTACATGAAGTCTCAAGTGAGAAACAGTTGCTGCATGAACAGTTTCAAAAAGCTCTGAAGGAACGGGATGAATTAAAAAAACTTGATGGAGATACTGGTCAAATGGTCGTTGCTATGGAAGAAAAGGACAAGGTTTGCTTTTTTTGTTACTTTTTTTTTTTGGAGTGCGTCTCACAAGTACCGTAAAGCTCAAGTGTATTGTAGCTTTATTGCTATTTTCACCAACCATTGATACAACGTAAGAAGTCTATTTATCAGTCGAGTTGGTCGTAGGTGTTTTTATTTTTGTTTGTTTTCTGTAGAAAATTGCGATCTTAAAAAAGAAAGTAAAGGAACTACGAAAGGAAAAGAGTGCAAATGAAAAATTCAAAGATGAGGGAACAACTAACATGGACGTTACTCCCGAAGTTACAAATGAGGTTTGTACGTTGATATAAATTACAGTAAATATTCTTTATTAACCTTGATTTAAAATATTCGCTTCCTTGTTTTTTTACTTACAGCAGTTTCAAAAAACTGAAGTGACCATGTTAGACGCTGAACCTACAGTCGATAAACGTATGGAAGAGCTTGAACATCTTCGACATGAGAGAAATGTATACGAGGAAAGTTACATTGGTCTTCAACGTCAACTTGATCTTGTACAAAAGGAAAATGAAAAACTCGCTGAAGATCTTCAATTGAAGCAACAAACGCTTGACGAGCTTGAATCAAGACTCGAACTAGAAAGGAAAGATGTCCGCCAAGAGATGGAAACACGTTTAAATGAAATGAAAATGAACGCGAATGTAAGAGAAAAGAACTTTTGATAAGAATGAAAAGAAAAGCAAACTTTATAAGTTCAATCTCTACGTTAAAGGTGAATAGTTGCTTTCTTTTACTGAGTGAGAGAAAAAAACAGAAAATTCCATAAGTTCCCTATGCAGGTATGCATTTACATTTGTCTTTTAGTTATGAAATTTTGTGTTTTATAACTTACAGGCGGAAAAGCAAGGAATGAGTGATGAGATGGAACAGTTGAAAGAGAATTTGTCATCTTTGGCCAACGAGAAAAATGGTTTGAGTGACGAGAGATCAGAATTAATGGTCACGTGTGAAAATAGGTCTAGAGAAATTGATAATCTACAAAATCAAATTGTAGAGCTTAAGGTATGCGTTAACTCGTTGTGTGGATGCGATAAAAGATTATCAAGGTGTACTTAGGTTGTCAATGTTGCTGTTTCAGTTATGCTATTTTTATTCATATCGGGGAATTTTTTTGAATGATTTAATTTCATTTAAGGTTGAATGTGCAGAGTTAAATAGGATTGTCGTATTTTACATTTTCGTACTTTCTTTTTTGAAGACGCAACGCGATGTGCTCGAGAAAAAAAGTGCTTTGATTCAGAACGACCTTGAAATGAATAAAAAAGGAAAGATTAAGCTGAAACAAAAATTAAAGGACAACATTAAACAACACGAGGAAGAGAAACTATCTCTTGAAAAAGACATACAAAATATTAAAAAGGAAAAAGCAGAAACGTGCAATGCATTGCGTGTAGAATTTGGCTCAGCGTTAGACAATCGCGATTCCCTTGTAAGTAGTTTACGCGAAAAACTTGACGTATTGAATGCAAAGAAACTGGAAAATGAAGAAAAATACGAAGTTGAGAATCGACAATTAACATTGAAGTTAACAGATTCTAATGAGAAAAATATGAAACTTGAATCGGATTTGTCCGAGTTGAGGATAAACCTGGAGAATGCTAGAGCAAACATGAGTGAAATACGCCGTGAAAAAGACAATATTGGTGATTCAATCCGTGCAGAGTTTGATAACATATGCTCCGGGTTGAGAATGGATTTAGAAAGGGTGTTAAAAGAAAAAGATGAATTGGCAAGAGCTATGGAGGTATACTAAATAACGTTTTCTGATTGTATACGAATGCAAATCTTTAATTATTTGGAGGAATTGATTTGTGTTTACAAATATATACGAATGATTTACTCTAGCTGCTATGTTAATTTCAATTGTTTCTCGACTAAGAAGGGCGGAATCTTCGTCAGGAGAGTCTTCATGTTCGTCCTTTTGAACGTTTTTTAAAATGTATAATGAATACGCAAGTGTGTACTGTTAATTAGGTAGGCTCTACGGCGATTTCCTCTTGCAAATTTAGATATTACTTCGTTATCCTATGTTTTTAAAACGCTCTCTATACTAGCGACGAAACTGTCTCACCATGGCTCTTCAGTAGTAATCCAAATGTACTTCATTTTAATCTTTTTTTTCAGTTGGGACGTCTCGGTTTGGAGAAAGAACTTGTCGACAAAGAGGAAACATTTGATGGACTTCTACAGATTGTGAAAGAACAAGACGCCAAGTTAAGTTCTGAGAACCTAGCGACTTTGAAATCTGAAGTAGAACGACTTAGACGTGAACTAGCATCAAACCAGGTTTCTTTGGAACAGGAAAGAGTACTTGTGGCACAAAAGAATGTCTTCATTCAGACCATCGACGAAGACAAGAAGAGATTATTGGCTGAGAGAGAAGAAATGGCTGAAAAGGCTAAACAAGAGGTGAATTTGTATTGTTCATAAACGATTTCATGCAATTTCCTATCAATTTTTGTTTGATTTTAGCTTTTAGAATTACGTTCAACAAAAGATGCATTAGTTCACGACCTAGAAGAAGAGTTATCTAAAAGGAAAGATGATCAATATTCCTTGAATGAAAAACTCGACACTATTTGTAAAGAATTCGATGAAGTCAACAATCATGTCACGTCGTGCGTTGAAGAATCAAGTAAAGATTCACATCTACTTGAATTGCTGGATCTACCGACGACAACACCGGCTGAAATGCGCATGCGTGTTATGAGAATTGTAAGTCGGCTCCTGGGAAACTGGTGCGATTGTGAAAATGAAATTGACAAGCTGAGAAGAGACTTACAGACTACTGAAGAAAGTTGTAAACTAAAGATGGATAACTTAGAAAATGAAAAGGTCAAGGAAAGTATGAATGTTAAGAGCACATGGCAAGCTAAGTTGACGGAAAAACAAGAAGAAATGGAAAGTCTGCAAATAGAAATCGACCACTTGCTAAAGGAAAGAGATATGATTAAAATAGAAATGGAGAACGTTAGGAGTTTCTTAGAAAAGGAAAAGAATGAAATTCTATCCGATAAAGAAAATGCTTTGGAGCAAGTCCAGAAACTGCGTTCAGAAATGAGTAGAACAGAAAATGAGTTCTTTATTGTAAAAGAGCAACTTGAACAAGTGCAAATTGATGCTGAAAAGTTAACTCGAAAAAATGCAAATTTACTATCTTCAAATGAAGAGTTAAAGGAGGCCATCAGGCTGGCGAACGAAAAGATTGAGAGGAAAGAACTTGATATTGACGTTCTGCAAAATGAGCGAAATCACCTTGAAGATAGTTTAATTGAAAAAAACACTGAAAATAGTGAAATGATTTTGAAATTGTTCAATATCGTAAAAATTGAAGATATTGAAAATACCGAGAAGATGAGTGAATCTTTGCCTGGATTGCTTAAAGATCTTGTGAAAAAGATAGGTGATAATTCTAAAATTGTAGAGAATTTGAAGCAGGAAAAAACTCAAGTTTGCAATCAAATACGGCTGGAGTTCGAGACAGTGTTATCCGAAAAAGAAGCAATCTTTAATGATGTTCGTGAAAATTTGAAGAATACTCGTCAACAACTTGACGATATGAGACAGACAAACACAGATCAACTGCATCAAATCAAAATACTGGAAGAACAAGTTTCTGTGCTGCGTGGCGAGTTGGACTTGAGTAAAGATAACAACGAGGTCAAATTAAAAGCAAATGATGACGTAGAGAATACACATGTGATAGCTAAAGAACTCGCAGTATCTCGTGTTGTTGAAAGCGGTTTGATGTCGTCTCCATTATTGAAAGAAGCGTCCCCTGAGGACGAAAGTAAGTTCAGTGTAAATTATATGCGGGAAAATCTGGTTGATGGGGAATTGGAATCCCTGACAAAAAAGAATGACATTATGAAAGAAGAATTACAAGAGCTTCAAAAACTGTACAACGAAAGAAACAATCAAATCTCCTCACTTGTCAGTGAAATTGAGGAGTTAAAATGTGTAGTTGAAAGGTCGAGATTGTTAAATGAAGAACTCACTGAGAAGAATGATCGATTGCAACTTGAAATAAGTCAGCTAGGTTCGGTCGTGAGGGACGAGACTGATGCGAAAGCCGTCAACGAAAAAACAAATGATTTGTCAAAAAGAGTTGCTGAACTGGAAGAAGAGCTTTTGAAGATCTCTGAAGAAAGAACAGCATATGAAAAGTTACGACGGGACTTCGATCATATCGTTTCAGGGTTAAGAGGTGATTTGGAGCGTGTTATAATTGATAGGAATAATACTTTGCAGGCATTGGATGAACTTAGATCTCAGGTGCACGATAGGGATATGAAAGTACGTGATGAGGCTGGCGGGCAAAATGACACCTTCAAGACAAAAAACAAAGGTTCTTCAAAGGATGTGGAAAACGAACTAGAAAGTACGAAACATGATCTGAAAAAAGTGTCTCTAATAAACCGGCAATTAAAGGAACTTGGTAAAACTCTCGATTTGGAGCTAAAAATGGCCAGGAAGGACAAGCAATTGAGTGAAAAAAAATGCCAAGATTTACGAGACGAAATGGAAGAGTTTGTCAAAGAAAAAGAAGGAATTATTATCGAATCCAGGGAACGTATGGCTACGCGCGAAAAACTACATGAAAATGAACTAAAAAAATTACAGACAGAATACGAGTATATGTTACGACAACAAGAAAATAATGAAAGGTCAGAATCTAAGGAATTGACTTTGGCGAACGAAAAACTTCAAATGAAATTAAATGACGCATATGAAGAGATTAATAATGTAAATCAGTTGGAAGAAAATAACATCGCCTTGAAACAACAGGTTGATGATTTAATGGATGAACGTGATATGTTATTAAAGAAAGTGGAGAAGACTGATGATGCATCGGAATTGTTGAAAATTGAAAATGGAGTTTTGTTGGAGAAAGTGAACGAATTAAAAAGTTTAGTTGATGAAGCTGATAAAGAGATTGAGCGTCGTGATGAAGAAATTCTAAAATCATACAAGACTGCAAGAGATAAAAAAGAAAGTGTTTATATAAACAATGAAATCATTCCAACGGAAGTTGACTCCTGTTTATTCATTGAACCAAAAGATCATGATACCAAATCTGTTAATACTTTTGATTACAGAGAGAGGCCTGGTGATCAGTTTGACATTATTACACATAAGTCGGATGTGACGTCAGAGAGTGCAAAACTTGAGCGCGAGTATATACAAACGAGTGGGGATTATGTAAATAAAAATGAACAACAGCTAAAGTTTTTGATGGAAGACTTGGAAAGAAAAGAAAAGGAGACAGCGAAAATGTCAGAGAATCTAAGAAAATCGGAAGACGATTTAGCCTTTGCTTCCCAAGAATTAGAGAAAGTCAAAAAGACATCTCAAAAACTGAAAACGATGGTAAAAAACTGTCGTAGTGAAATAGACTCTTTGAATGATGTCTTATCACAAAGTAAAGAGGAGATTTTGGTAAAAGAACAATGTATTGCTAAATTGAGGAAGGAAATGTCGGAAGTTGTGTCAGAGAGAGATGACTTGTTTGACAAATTGATGTCAAAGGTAAAGAAAACAGAAAATGATAGCGAGCAAAAGTTGAAGGTTTTACAGTTAGAATGGAAAGAGAAAACCATGACTCAAAATCGTCTACTTGAAGATTTGAATGTAGACTTGAAGAACGCTCTTTCGCGTGGGGATGAGCTGAAAGGTCAGTTGGATGTATGGCGATGTAGTTATACAGACATGAATGATAAAGCAAACGCAGCTGAAAGTGAAATTATCACCCTAAGACAGAATATAGAAACACTTCATAATGAATTGAACATGACGAAAGACAAACTACAAAATGCTAATAATGAACTTCTATCAAAGTTGAGGTTTTGCGATGATCTCTCGATGCAATTACAAGAAGAGCAGAAAAGGGTTTTTGACTTACAAAATGAAATGAGTGATTGTTTAAATGAAAAAAATATTTTGATCACACAACTTCAGAAAGAACTTGAAGATACGAACAAAAGCTTTGATGAAATGAAAGAGAAACTTATGGCTAAAAGTAACGACTATCAAAGTGTACTAACTGAAAAGGATGAACTAGAACGTCAATTAGAAGACAGTCAAAATGAAATCCAAAATACAATTCTTATGAATGAAAGCATCTTAACTAAAAAAAGTTCTAACTTGGAAGAAGTTTCCATCCGTGCGGAGAATCTTTCTTCTCAATTAAAAAACACTTCGGAGATGCTCGATAGTGAAAAAAAACGACGAGAAGAACTTGATGATATAACCTGTAGTCTTAGGGAAGATCTAGATGCAAGGACAGAGCAAAAACGAGAACTAGAAACTATTGTCATGGCTTTAAATGTGGATCTTAACAAAGCCTTAAAGGATCGCGAGGAATTACGACAAGCTCTTCGAGTGAAACAAACCTTAACTCAGGGCACCGAAAACCCATGTTTTGATCAATTTGTTTTGGACAAAAGATAAATGAGTTGAAGATCGTTCAAAATAATTTAAGAGATACTGAAGAAGCTTTTTCTTCTGCACGCGATCAAGTTCAACTTTTGCAGAATCAATGTAAACTTTTGGAAAGTAAGTTAACCACTGCGGAGATCAACATGCAAGAAAAACTTACTTATGCTGAAAATGAGAAGTTACATTTGGAAGAAATCATTTTGAGCTTAAAGTCTGATTTGCAACAAAGCAGCAAAACGAAGGAAGAGGCAATTGACGTGTTGAGGAAGAAGCTGGAACATGCAGTTGAAGAACGCGGTGGAGCGGTGTCATCATTGAGACAAGAATACGATGGCATGTTAAAAGAAAAAGATTTTCACATTGCCTCTCTTCAAGATGAAATCCAAAAAGTAAATGAAGAGTTCACCAATCTTGGTTATCGTTTTGAGCTGACTCTTCAAGACAACGTGAACAAAGGGAATAATATCATTCAATTACAAAATCAGTTACATCAATCACATGATATTTTACAACGAAATGATGTTCTTGAACAAGAGTTAAGCACGATGAAAGAGCAAGTGAATGGTCTAGAACTTAATATACATGAATTAGTGCAGTATAAAATGAATGTGATTCTTTTAAGACAGAGTTAGAAGCGTCTAAAAAGAAACTTCTTGATACGGAAAATCGAGTGGAAATGATTACAAAGGAATATGAAGTGGCAAAATCGAAGCAAAAGAAAGAGTTCAAAAGATTATATGATGGGTTACAGTTTGACCTGAAAAATTCTCGGAAACAAAACATAGAGAAAGAAAAGCGCTTACAATGTCTTCGTGAAGAACTTGAAGCAATAATGAAAGAGAAGGAAGCTCTTACGACAAAGATTCGTTCCCCTATGAAGGCAAAACATGTCGAAAAATTGCAAAAAGCTGGCGATCCTTCGGCAAAGCAACGCGATGAAAGGAAAATATTTCTGCAGAATTTTGAAAAGGATGAGCAGGAAAAGGATCAAACTTTACTTGAATTTCATCGAATTAGTGAAGGCCTTAGAAGAGATCTTGAAACAGCGATTAATGATCGTGATGAAAAAACAGAAGAATGTCTGAAGGCAAATATTGTGATTAATCAAGTGAAAAGGTCTAATGATGAACTTCAAGAAGAATTGAAACAACGAGATTCCCTCATAAATTCCATTAAGTCTGGATTGCCATCACAGAACATTGAAAACTCAAATGTTGTTCAGCAGCTACGTGCTGACAATGAAAAACTGCACTCTTCTTTGATGCACGAATCAATTAATGCTCGCGAAGCTATGTTGAAGATGCAGAACACCAATGATGAATTACGGCAAAGTATAACAAAGGCTGAACACGATAGAGAGAACATGAGAAATTATGTGGCTACAAAAGAGATTGAAAATGATGATTTAAAAAGACAACTGGGAAAATTATTGGGCCAGCAACAAAGCCACAAAGTTGTAAAACAACTAACATCCCTACAGCGGGCAGATGTTGTAAGAGATCTTGATGAGGTGAGTGTGTTACTGTTTTTCTTTGTTGTTGTTTTTGCCTGTTTGAATTACAATTCCAGAAAATTAGGTTATAAATATTTTGATATTGTACAATGAAGGCACGTAGTGCCTCATCACTTTGAAAGAGACATTCATTGATATTTTCTTTTTGTTGAGACTGATACAATGTTTAATGCAAGTGTTAATGATGAACCTCATGGTGATGAACAAACGCACAAGCTTCTGGAGAGGTGAGTCATTCTCTTGCGCCATAGAAAACCATCAATCTTTACATCTTCTCTCAAAAAATTCTCATTCCACAGACTTGCTGATGCTGCACGTCTTCAAGACGAGACAAGCTTAAAGATGGTTGAACTAGAGGTATTTCTTTTCGCAAATCAGCTGCTGTGATTGAACTGCAGAATTTGTAAATATGCTATAAGAAGCATCCTGTATCAACGCTTCTATATAAATGTTTTTTTATCTTCTGCAGCAAGCTTTACAGGAGGAAAAAAATCGTCGCGAGGAACTAGAAATATTATTTAACGAAACACACCAAAGAAAGGACGTAAGTATCCGCTGGGTTCTTTTCACTTTTCTTCATGCATTTAATGATGTATTTTTTTGTTGTTAAAGTATCGTGTAAATATAACGGAAGAAGAAGTGATGGAACCTTTAATCACAAGATCGTCAGTTCCTCGCGGGGAACTTTATCAACACCGTGCGACAAAAATCCGTAAGTAATCGTGAAATCATTCGGATTAGTTTGTTTTTTAACAAATTTGTAAGGAAATTGTTTAACAAACAAATGACGCAAATTTATTGGTATTTTTGATGATAAGTGCATGGTTCTATGGAAAATTTTAAAATTAAGTTACAAAAGTTCTTAGATTCTTAAGTGGTTTTTTATATTTTTATATTTTTGTGGCTTGTAATTATTTTATTACGTATTTTTTATTCTTTTATTGTTTGTATATTTTGTAACTATTGTAGGTACAAGACCCTTGTTGATAACAGTGTTCATTCACTGATTAGGCTTCCTGTTTAAAAATTAATAGAAATAATAATAATGAGCCATGAAGTTCAGAATTCACGAAAAATTCCCAATCATTTTGTTTTTTACAGACAGACGCATTCTGAGCCCATTCACAATACGAGGATGCCTTCAATCAAGGTATATCTAAGTCGTTTATGACATCGATATTTCCTAAATTGATATAATTATATAATATCATAAAATACTGTTTTTATCATTTCCAATGAAAGTTGACTGATGAGTAATAATGTGCAAGTTCTTCAATACACAATCTTTTCTAGCATTTTCATATTAACGCATAATTTTTTTTATAGCGGCCGTTTATTCCAATTTTTGTGTGGTCAAACAAGAGGAGGCTGGCCAACAATACTCTATCTTATGTTCATACACTCTGTCCTTGTAGTTTGTCTTTACTCGATCTTTATGTCTTAGTATATTGATTACATGGTAGGTTCTGGATATGTTGCAAACACTCTAAATACCCTACCACTATAAATTGTGTGGTTTATAAGGGAAGACCAATTATGTTTTTACAGAGATTGTCCAATCATCTGCCTGGATGATGATCCAAAAGGACACGCATGATTACTCTTACTAATAGTTTACATTGTGAACAAAGAATGCAATTAATGTGTCATTGGTGATTTGTCTATAGAAGGAGAACTTTGTATATCAAGCTGCTTTAGCAAATTTTGATAAATAAGAATAACGTACATAACAAAAATATATACGTAAGAGCATTTATTCATACACATGTGTGTTGTAGCATTAATCAACTTTCATATATCTGTACTTCGTCATTATATAACATAGATTAACGAAGGCCCTCAAAGTCAGAGCTGTTATTACAGCTCCCATTCCTTTGCTTTTGCATCTCATGACTTTTCTACCCGAGGGTATCCTGAAGATTTTATTGATATAGTGAAGATCTTCCTTGAGATGTCATGTCTTAGGCGTAGTGCCTATCTCAAAACTTGATAAAAATGCTAATTTTTAAGACATTTATGGCTGACTTTATTGCTCAGGTGAAACGGGTTAAACCATTTAAAGTAAATTAATATTGTGCTTATAACAAGTTAGTTCAACTTATTTAAATTCACTGCGTACATTCCTTTCAATGGGTGAAATTCCTTCAAAGGTGATGCAAAGGTGATGGTGGTTCTTTAGAGTTTAAACCTGATGAGACATACAGATTGGTTTGTTTTCATTGGGTTAATTCACAGATGCCCTTCACTACTCCATAAGTACACGAGGCTTGCAGCGCCGAGAGATTTAGCTAACCTCACAGGGCTTTCGAGTGCATTTAATCACTAAGGCCTGTTTCAAATGTCGAACTTAAAATGAGCCGAACGCATTTAAAACAAAAGATGATGAGGAATTTCATCTCATTTTCTTTTGTCTTTAATGCATTCGGTGCATGTAAACTTCGACGTTTGAAACAGGCCAAAGTAATTTAACTACAATGGTCATACTTTGTGTGCTTCACACACTCTGTCAATGATGGTGCAAATTAAATTTTTGAATACTTAGAGGTGATTTTTATTATTTCAAGCTCAAATTTGGGGTTGTTTGTAATGCAACCAGTAACAGACGACTTGCAAGGTCGAATTACTTTTAATGTAAAGTTATAAAAATGTCTAAATCTATTTAAAGAAAATAAAAATATTCTGCATCAAAGATTAAACATCTGCAAAAGCCTTTGGTGGTCAAACCATATTGGAAACAATCAAAACATGTTTGTACAAACAATAGAACTGTTTGTGCATTTTTACACATTTTTACGCCAAATACTATAGTCTTTCCATTTTCAAACACTTTCACACCAAAGACTATACTCTTTGCATTTTTACGCCAAAGAGTATAATCTTTGCATTTTAACACACTTTCACACCAAAGACTATAGTCTTTGCATTTTTACACATATTTTTATACAAAACACAATAGTTTTTGCATTTTTACACACTTTTATGCAAAAGACTATAGTCTTTGTATTTTTAATCACTTTTACACAAGACTATAGTCTTTGCATTTTTACAAACTTTTACGCAAAAGACTATAGTCTTTGCATTTTTACACACTTTTACGCAAAAGACTATAGTCTTTGCATTTCTACACACTTTTACGCAAAAGACTATAGTCTTTGCATTTTTACACACTTTTACGCAGAAGATTATACTCTTTGCATTTTTACACACTTTTACGCAAAAGACTATAGTCTTTCCATTTT